TATATTATTTAACTAACTTACTTTATTAATAATAAATTATTATTTTTATTATTATAATTTTAATTAAATATTAGCCTATAAAAGCTAATAAATAATATTTAAATAATTTATATTAATATTAGTAATTTAATAATAATATATAACTTTAGTTAATATATTTTTAATTATAAATAAAAGTATATAATAGTTATATATTTATTATTACTTTTATTATTATATTTATATAAAATATAGTTTTAAAAGTTAATAATATTATTAAAGGTTCTTTTAATTATTAAATAAAATAAATAATATAATTTAAACTTTAATATCTTTTATATAAAATATTAATAGAGTTTATATATAAAAATATTAATAAAATTAGATTTAGGTATTATAATTAATAATAAATAAAATAAGAATTTTAATTTTAAAATAGAATATTAATACTACCTTAATTAAAGTAGTTATAATAGTTTATTAATAATATTATAATAAAATATAAAATATTAAATAAAATTATTTTAAATAAAATAATATAATAAGTTATAATAAATATAGTAAGTTATAAAGTAAATAGATTTATAAAACCTTTTATTATTTCTTTTTATTTATTAGACCCTATTAGAGTATATTATATAGTTTAAATTAATATAATAAAGTTTATACTTAAAATAGTTTTAATTTCTTTAAAATATAAAGGGAGGTTTAATAACTTTTTTATAAATGGGAGTACTTATTTATATATATATTTTTAATAATAAAAGTAGCTTTTAATTTTAAATATTAATTAATTAAATTATTATAAATTAATTTATATATTTATTATATATTAAAATAAGCCTATTTTAAAAGTTATTTAAATTAATACCTTTTTTAAACTTTAATTATTAAATTAGATAGTAGTATATATAAAGTTTATTTAATAATTATTAACTTTAAGCTTTAATTTAATTAAGTTAATAATATAAAGTTTTTAATTTAAGCTTACTAAGAATTTATATTAAGTTTTTAACTTCTATTTTATTAAAATTAAGATATATAATATTATATAGTTTAGTATAACTTTTAAAAGTATATAAGTTAGTTTATAATTTAATTTATTTTTATTTAATTTTTAAAAGAGCTAGCTAAGATATATTATTATAATAAAGTAGTTAGTAACTATTTAATTATATAAAAGGTATTTACTTAAAATAAATACCTTTATTAAACTTAAATATTAAATTTTTAGTTTATTATAGTAAAATATTATTATATACTTTTACTTTTATAGTTAGTAGCTTATTATATTTTATTTATTTAGCTATATTATTAATATTACTACTTTTATTTATAATTATATTAATAATATTTAAAATATATATTATAATTAATTTTATATTATAGTTTATTTAATTTAAAGTAACTTTTAATTTAGTTTTTATAATTATATTAGCTTTATTATTTTAATATTATAATTTATTTTATACTTTTAAAACTATTATTATTATTAGGAACTATTTAAATAAATTTAAACTAAGTTAATATTTTAATTTAATATTATATATAAAGGTATTATTATAAGTTTTTAGTTTAAATAAAGGCTTTATTATATATATTTTATTATAAAGATATTTATTATAGTAGAATTAGTTACTATTTCTTATTATTTTTATTATCTTTAATTAATTATAGGATTTATAGCTATTATTTTATTAAAATAATATAATAACCTTTTATTATTATTTTATATTACTTTATATAGCTAAGGCTTTAAAGTGAATTTTAATTTATAACTTTATTATTATTATAGTTAATTATATATAAATAGATCCCTATTATATTATTATATTTATTATTTTATATTTTATATTAACTTAAATAAATATTTTTATTACTAATTAATATAGTTTTAAATAGTAATAATAGGCTATTTTATATAAGTAACTATATAATAACTTATTTATTTTATTATTTTATACCTACTTATTATATTATATATATTTAACTATTATTATATATATTAGTTTATTTAATATATTATAAAAGTTAAGTAAATAAAGTTTATAAGAAATATTTAAGGTTTAGTTATTTATTTTATAGTTATAATTATATATTTTATTACTATACTTTATATTAGTTTTTATAAATTAATATTCTTATTAATATAATTTAATAATAAATATAATTTTATATAGTTTTATTTTATTTTTTAAAGTATATTTTAAAAAATAGAAATTTTTAAGTATTTAGTTTTTAATTTTAAATTTTAAATTTATACTTAAATATAAAAAATTAATAAGTTATAATTTCTTCTCCTTTTAATTATATTCCTAATTTAATAAGTAAAATTTAAGGATTTAAGTTTATAATAATTTCTTTTATTATTTTCTAAATAAAATTCCTTTTAAAAATAAGTTTTAAACTTTTAAATTTATTTTTAATTATTTTATAATTATTTTTATAAATATAAAACTTTTATTTTAAATATTTAAAGGGTTTTTAAATAGTTTTATTAAATAAAAGGAATTTATTATAAAATATATATATTATTAATTATATTTTAAAAGGAGTATTTTATTATTAAATTTAATAAGATTATTTAATATTATATATTATAGAAATTATAAAGTATTTTATTTAAATAGCTAATTTAATTTAATTATTTTATAATATAAAACTACTATTATTTATATAAATATAATAGTCTATTACTATTTAAAACTTATTAAATAAACTTTTTATTAATTAATAAATTCTTTATAATTAGGTAATATATTTATCTTTAATATATTAGCTTTATTTATTTTAAAGTAGGTATTTAAAAAGTAGTATTAAAGTTTAAATACTTTTAATATAATTATAGTTTATTAATAAAGCTAATTAAGTAATAAGGTCTATTAATATATATTAAACCTTATTATAATAATTATAGAGGTAATAATATACTTATTTTAACTAAAAGGTTTATAAATAAATCTATATTTAAAATTAAAAGTTATTAATTAGTATTAATATATATATATTATTTAATATAAATAGTATTAATTATTACTATATAGAAGTTAATAAAGTTTATAAGTATAAGGTTAGGTAGGAAAGGTTATAAATATTATAATTATTATAATTATTAAAGTTATTATAGTTACTATAGTTCTTATAATTTCTATAAAAGTTAGGTTAACTTTAAGGTAGTTAACTTTAAAATAGTTAATTTTAAGGTAGTTAACTTTAAGGTTTTATAATTAGACTCTATATATATATTTTAATTTAAATATAATATATCTTATTATTAATATTTATAAAGTAGTTTTAATTAAAAGTTAAATAAATATATTATTTAGTTTAAATTATTATATATTTTAAATTTATATATTAATATTAATCTATTTATTTAATACTTTTTTAATAATAAAATTAAATAAAAGCTTAAAAATTTAATAAATTATATTAAAATTATTTTAAAATTATTTTATTTATTTTTAAAGTTAAAAATATATATAAAATATTTAACTATAATAGTATATATAAGTATACTTTTTAAAAATAATAAAATAGTTATTAAGTTAAATATTATAAATAAATAAATTAAAAAGCATTATAATAATATTTTTAATATAAAGAATATTATAAAGTTTAACTTAGTCTATTTTATTCTAGGATTTTTAAAATTAAAACCCTATAAATAGTTTTATTATATTAATTTTAAAAGGTTAACTCCTTTATTTACTAAAGTAATAACCTTACTTTATTATTATTTTTATATTTATTATATATTTCTATTAATTTTATTTTCTATTTTTACTTTATAATAGTTTAACTAGCTTTAAGTAGTATTATAAAGTTAGTTATTTAATAATAAAAGATAAAAATATATATTATATATTAATAAATAGTTATTTTAATATAAATTATATATATATAAATATATATATTTAAAATATAATAGGTTAGGATAAATAAATTATAATATTTTTTTAATTAAATTAAGTTATAACTATTTTATAGTAATAAAAGATATTTTTATTAAAATATATTTACTAATATTTAATTATAATATATATTAAAGATTTAAAAGAATAAATATATATTAAAGGATATTTTTAATAATAATTTCTATATTTTTATTAATTAAATTTAATAATCTTTATAAATAGACTTTAAATCTTTATTTAATAATAATAATAAGTTAAACTATTTTAATATTGCTTAAAATCTTTTTAAATATTATTTATTAAAATATAAATATATTTATTAAAATAATAAGAAATATAGTTAGGTTTAATAAAGTATATAAAAGGTTTAATTTAACTATTTATATTATTAAAATCTATTTTATTATATAAAAGATTAATAATATTAATATATATAATATATTTAATAATTAATTTAAAAATTTATTAAAATTTATTAAAATTAAAGTTATTATTATTTAATTTTAAAATAGTTTTAATTTTATAAGTTTTATATTATTAAACTCTTTACTTATAATATAATATAAAATACTATTTTAAATAATAAAAGGTTTAATATTTTAAACTCTATTTATATAAATACCTTTTAATTATTTAATATATTTATTTATTTTATAAATATTATCTATTTAATTTATAATTATAAATTACTTTATATTAAAAGATTTTTAATATATTATTAATTAAAAGATATTATAAATTCTTTATAAAGTCTTTTATTAAAGATTATATAATAGATTTTTATAAAAGATATAAAGGTTTAAATTAGAGATTAAAATTAAAGATTAATTAATTTAAATAAAGGTAAAAAGTATAAAAAGTTTATTAATTAAATAAACTTTAACTTTATTTATAATTAAATTTTATTAATTTTATTAAATAATACTTTATATTTTATAATATTATAAATTTATTAAAAAAGTAGACTACTTAATATAGACTATTAATCTACTTTATTAAGTAAAAGCTATAGTTATATATAGTAGAAGTTCTTGTAAAAATGGGAAAACTTTCTCTCCCAAAGCTGTAGAGGGCGGCGACTGGGGCTTCATCATCACGCGGCAGATGGGGGCGCTGTACCCGCAGCACGTGGCGGCCTCGCACCTCAACTTCGTGCGTGTGACGCAGCCGCCGCGGCTCGCCGAGGCGCCGGGCCAGTACCTGCGGCACGCGGTGCTGCCGTACACGGCGCAGGAGCGCGAGGGCCTCGCGCGGACGGCCTGGTTCCGCGAGAAGGGGTTCGGCTACAACCTCGAGCAGTCGACGCGCCCGCACACGCTGGGGTTCGCCCTCGCCGACTCCCCCGTGGCGCTGCTGGCGTGGATCTACGAGAAGCTCCACGACTGGACCGACGGCTACCCCTGGGGCGACGACGAGGTCCTCACCTGGGTCAGCATCTACGCCTTCAGCACGGCGGGGCCCGACGCCAGCGTGCGCATCTACTACGAGGCCCGCGCGCAGCAGGCCATCTCCCCCGGGTACGCGTACCTCGCCGCCGTGCCCCTGGGGCTGAGCTACTTCCCGCGCGACCTCATCGTCCCGCCCAGCACGTGGGGGCGGACGCTGGGCCCCGTCGTGTTTGAGAGGCGGCACGCCGACGGCGGGCACTTTGCCGCGCACGAGCGGCCTGAGCAGCTGGCCGGGGACCTGAGGGAGATGTTTGGGCCCGGAGGGGGCGCCGAGGCCGCGGTGAGGAGCTTGAGGGGGGTGAAGGGGCAGTCTAGGATTTGAAACACCACGGGGGACGTTGACGTGGACGGGGAGGGGTCGGGGGTTTTTTTATTTTGGGACTCAGTAGCACTTTTGAGCCGCAGAGCTTCGCTTCCTCCCGGGAGGATTCCTTCCATGCATGCATGCATGCATGCGGGTTGTTTATGGAGGGTGTGTATCACCACCTCGAGCTTACCTGGAAGGGGGAGCCGTGGATCAGCTCAACTTGAAGTGCAGTGCGACGGTATTCCCGAATGTGCGGTTTCGGGAGATCTCTGTCATACCCGCCCTTGCCAAAGTACCCGGGCAAATCTTGTCAAACTTTGGCCACATGTGCAAGCAAGGGGTACGTCGTCGTGGCCATCAAGAATTCTGGGGGCCGAACTAGACGGATCTAATAATGCGACGGGAAAGGCCGTTTAAAGCTTCAGGGGACCGATGCGGGCGCAGCACAAAGCACTTGCACCTTGATTCATATTGCGAAAATACCGAATCCACCGGAGTGTTATATTCTTAGTGACTGAATGACCATGGTTATGTTTGCAGCAGCGACATCTATTCCCAATGTATCACAAAATATCCCACCACACACACAAGAAAAAAAGAAAGAAAAAAGAAGTGAAAAGAATTCTAGCTATTGAGTCTCAAGAAAGAACGTATATAGTAGTGATCGAGAACCCCCCTCCCCCATTCTAGACGCCGCCCAATGAAACGAACGAATAAGAGCGCGATATCGCGCTCCCCCAAATGGATGGTGCTATGCTCAGTTGCCTCGTCTATGATCTAAATGCTGTGTAACCCCATTGCGTATGCCATGCTGTGTCGTACCGTGCCGCCGTGTGCTGTGTATGGTACCGGTATGTTGTGGCTTAAAGCTTACTACCGCCGATGAGACCCAGACCCACGCGACGACGAGGACGAGGACGACCCACCGCCGCGGGACCCCGACCCCGAGCCCGACCCCGAGCCCCCAGAGGAGCCGGAGGGGTTATAGACCCCGTAGACGATGTCCGACTTGACCACGCCGATGGGCGACGAGTAGCGCAGGATGTCGTTCCAGTTGGTCGAGGAGCCCGAGGAGGAGCCGGAGCCGGAGCCAGAGCCGGAGCCGGAGCCGGAGGACGGTTGCTGGGACATGGTGGTGGTGGTGGTGTTGTTGGTGAAGACTTTATAAAGAATTTGCTCAGGTGTTCGATCTGACGATGATGCTAATATAGAGACAGATGCCCGTGCGTATTTGGTTCTTGGTGGATGGTATGTATATTGTCTTTCCCGGGAGGAGGTTTTGTATGCTCGTTCAACCAGCGGGAGTGGTTCTTGAAGCTAGGGTGTGATGGACGTAGTGATTCAATGCTGCTTGCTCTAATGACTGCCTATCAATCAACAAACAGACAAGAGCGGGCGCCATCTCGACTTTATACTTTCCTCGCCGGGCTGAGCAGGCCACATCTCGCCCTCCCGCCAGCAGCTAACAACAGCGTGGCTCGCAAGTGGTGTAGGTATCATTCCTGTGCAAGTCCGGCCAGCGGGTCGAGTTCATGCCACAAGTTGGTACTAATCAAGTACCTACCTAGGTCCCCTCCCCCCAGGAACCAACCAGACCTTCATCCTCGAGAGGCTGACGGGCCCGTCAAATCCTACCTACCTCGCTCTCGCATGGGATCCATCTTTTGCCCAACAAGCCGCGCTAATTTCCCCCATGTGCTGGTAGATAGGTAACTAAGTAACCAAGTCAGTCAGTCAAGCAGATCCATGATTCCCACATGGCGCCAGGGGTGGGCTTGTGTGTGTAGGGTCCCGAGGTCCCGAGGGCAGCACTACTACCCACCTGGGCAGCCATTGATCGAGGATAGAGGATACCGGTACATGATGATGAAATGAAGATGACATTATGTAATTACAGAAGGATTAAGCGAGTGCCGTCCCAGGGGTTGCACAGCGTAGGGCTGAGCAGATTTGTTTTCTCGACTGCATCCCACATCCCGGGCCCATGCATATGTTCTGTGGTCTGTGGTCTGTTCAGATCTGGGCGATTTCGCAAGGGGGGGGGGGGGTGCAAGTACCATAATACCATACATGGATATTCGAGTTGATACTGTGTGCCATAAAACCCAATTATTAGACCCCTCGGACAAGCCAGCCAGTCAGACGTGAATCCTACCTAGGCAATTACTTGAGGACGTACCCAGGTACCTAAGCACACCACTCACCCACCCACCATGCGGCGCTGCACCCAAGCATGCACGTCAACAAAGGCCCCGTGTCTGGCAACAGGGGTGATGCAGAGAAAACCGTGACGTGCGTGCGGCTGACCAACAAGTTACAGCCCACGCCCCAACCAACCAACCAACTCTGGGAACCCTACGTTCCAGAATGCCATCAATCGGCTTCTTCGCCTGAATGGTGTGTGTGTGTCGTCGGACAGGTTCGGACTTTTCGCACTAGAGACCGAAACCAAATCCCGCAAGGAGAGGAGGGTAAGCCTCGCCGGTGCGGGCTGAGCCCACAAGCCCCGACAAGGCAACAGAATAAAAAACCCGGGTGCGGCAGGCCCACCAGCTAGCTAGCTGTCCGTTGTATTCCTGCCAGGCGTGTATGGTAAGCAAGGAGGCGGCGTTAGCTGGCTCCATCCCAGGCTCACCATTTTCTACATGCGGGACGCCGGGACAACATTGTCATTTGCGCTGTTCCTTCGAGGCCAAGGTCAACACAAACACAGCTCGACAAGGGTTTTTTGTAGTTTGGTTTAGTCTGTCGGGTTGGCGCATGTCAGGCGGGACGTCATACATGGAACCCCCACACTGATTTCTCAGCATCCGTCTTCCATCTTGCCTTGCCATTGCCCGCATTAGCCGGATCGCTGCATCTCTGCTCAGACCCCCCCACCTTCTCATCTGATTCTCATTTTGAATCTCACCTATGTATGACCTCCGCCCCGGACTGCCATGGCACTATCTCCGGCCCTATAATTCCTCGTGGTATATCCGGCTCCTCGCCCGCCCTCGCGACTCGTGCCTCGAGGTCCGAGTAGTCGTCGTCCTCTGTGCCAGCCCCATACTATTGCCCTGCCCGTGTGACCATCCCGAAACCAAGGTATCAGCGGATTCTCACCTCCTGATAACTCCTTCAAGCCTCGTCTGACGAGGTCCTTTGCCGGTGATAAATGGGGAACCCGAGCCGCGCGCAAGTGTGTGTGTGTGCTCAAGTGCGCGCGCGCGCCGTTTTTGCTTATGCCTGGACGTCCATCCAGTCCACACCGCTGCCACCCAGGTCGAACATGGCCTGCCAGAAGGCCTCGTCGAGCTCACCGGGCATCGTGAGCTGGCTCGGTGATCCGTAGTCCACCTCCATGGCCTGCCCTCCTACGTCTGCCTGCGCGGCTGGGGCATTGCTGCTACCGCCGCCGCCGCCGCCGCCGCCAGCCTCTGCTGTCCCAGCACCGCCACCACCACCGGCCAGGTTCTTGGCCGCGTCGCCTACAGCCTCGCTCCTAAACCGCGCGTCCTGGGGGAAAGGCCCGGGATAACCCTCGCGCGTCCCCGGGCGAATTCGCCCCAGGTACCAGCTCCGAATCCACCGTACCTTGTCTCTGAACATGCCGAGCACAGTCTTCTCGCCGTCCACATATCTCCCCCGCCTCCCCAGCCCCGTTGCGAGGCGGTCGGCCTCGTCGAAAAATTCCGAGAGGCGTGCGCAGATGGAATCGAGGTTGAAATGGTCGCGCGCCACCGAGAGAACCCAGTCCGGATCACGCGGGTTGTTGGGTGACGACGCCTCGTCGCCCAGGAATAGCAGCCGGCTGGCGGTCACGATGACGAATGAGATGTGGGCGCTGTGGAACGGCATGCACACCAGGTTCTGCGGCGGGATCGCCATGTAGGACGACAAGAAGTCGCGAGCCGAGCCGAGGCACGACCACAGCGCCGATATGCGCGCGTTCGGGTCACCCGCCTCGTAGCCGGTGGCCGCCGATGTCGAGCGGATGTAGATGGTCGGTTCATAAAGGCGACATATCGCGGCATGGTAGTGCGTCCACAGGAGAGCTTTGATTTTGTCAGCCAGCCGTGCTCACACGAGCAGCCAAGAGAAGGGCATCCATCCATGCGGGGGCGAGGACCTACAATTGCACTCTACCTCTGGTGGTTGCTCTCGGACGAGGGCGTCCAATTCCCTCCGCACGGACGCGATGGCCATATGTATGGGCGCATAGTTGACACTCCGCGAGGCGTAGTCGTCTCCGTAGGGCACGAGCTCAGAGGCGCGGCCCAGCAGCTGCTGCATTTTGACCAAGGCGACCAGGAAGCCGTCCGAGTCATACTCGCGGGCCTTTCCGATCTCTTCGCAGCACCTGACCAGGTACGAGTTGCACGTCATGGGGGTATGCCGCCTGAAAAAGCTGGAGAGTCTGCGCACGAGATCAGTCAGTCGCGAGGGGCCCTACGAGTGGGACTTGCATGCCCCTGAACTCCACTTACAGTGATGTGACATAAAAGGTTCCGAGGGCAGCGCGCATGTCTTCCAGCGTGTGCTGTTTGCTCCAATACTTCTTGCCGCCCCGATTTTGCGACGAGGCGTCCCTCAGCATGAGCGAGGCCGCCTTGCCAAAATCTAGGGGCCATCTGCTGAGGCCGAGATCGATGACGAGCGCAACAGCGAGTTGGACAAAGTTTGTCGCCTGCGAGTCGATAAAGAAGTGGAAGTCGCCCCTGGGGGCGCGGTTAGCCTTGACGCGACCAGAATATTGGGGGGGGGGGGCCGCAGCTGCAAAACTTCTTACCATGCAACGTGGACGAGCAATGCTTGCAATAACTCCAGCCGCCGCTCATTGTTGACCACAACATGCTCGGCAATGTAGCGGCGGAACCATTCCCTAAAGTCGGATTGGGTATTTGGACCCTGCGGCGCAGCCACCGAGACGATGGTGCGGAACAGGAAGGGGGTCTTCTCGTAGAGGTCATAGGCGGTGGCCATGACGGGTACTGTGACGAAGGGGAAGTAAGGCGCGTATAGGGACCTGTAAATGTTCAAGGCGCGGTCTGCCTCGTAAAATGTCATGCGGAAGCCAGGAATGATGTCGACAGACTCATTGCCGGTGGGCGAAGGCCTGCCCTGTGCCCTGAAGCCCGGCCCAGCCGTGTCCGCTGAGAGCTTTGGGCTGCTGGCACTTGTGCTCTGGCCGGTGGTAGTGATGGATGCAGGCTGGGCCACGCCCGGCGGAGGGAGAGTACGGGCATTGTATTGGAAACTGTGTGCTGACGGAGGAGACGAGGCAAAGTCGGCAAGATCTGGCCTGTTGCCAGGGGCGGCACTGCTCGTGGACTCGACATTTGGGTTCAGGAGTTGCTGGATGCTATTCCGACCGGGCTCGTGACTGGGGACGGGCACACTGGCGCTGCTGGGTGGTGTATGGCCACCGGAGCTAGGGCTGTTCTGTTGGACTTGCTGGCTGGCGTTCAGGAGGAACATGATGCCGTCGATCTTCTCCTCGAGCTGGCCAACACGGCTGCGTGCGAGAGATGTTGTCAGCGGCCGTCTGCGGAAAAGATGGCTGCATGCTGCATGCCTGAGATTGTGCGCACCGTCACCCCGGCCGTTGGAGAGTTGTTGTGGACTCGGGGCTCGAGACGGACGGCGACACAAGTCGAGACATGATGCAATCCGAGGAGGGGTGCAATACAAAGCAACACAAACACATACGTCGAGGGACCGCGCCTCCTTCGCGGGTTAATCTCTGGGAGGGTACATGGTGCCTTGATCTTGGAACACCTGCAGCAGCGATGTCAGTGGATTGATCTCTAATATTAGACGAGCAAAGTATATATAATAAATGCAGCCGCGAAGGCATGGCATGGCATGGCATGGCATAGCATAGCATAGGGCATGCGGCTGGGTTCATGCAGCTCGTCGGGACGGCGAGTGAGCCGGGAGATCGGCATGAGATCGACCGACTGCCGGGTGACGAGGAGCTCTGTCGCAGCCAGGGGGCAAGGGACGGGTGGTCTCTGCTGTGAAGCTTTCCGCGGAACCTGGCATCCGGACGACCCGCATTTGAATGGAACCCCGGAATGGCCAGGCACAGGGAGATGGATGGCCGTCCGCCAGAGTCGCAGATGTGCCACATGAACAGAAGGAGTAAAAAAAAAAAAAAAGGAGCCAATTGCAGCTGTGCAGGTCCGGCGCAGGGCAGTCGGCAAGATCGGGCCCCAGCCAGCTCTGAGTGGATCAAACCGGCCGGGAGCCCAGGTCTCAGATGACTGTGACTGACTTGACGAGGGCTGGCAAGGTCGGAATGGCGCAGCAGGGCGAGACACGGTGTGGAGATTCAGAGGGAGAAGGAGAAGAAGCAGAAGAAGCAGTCAGTCAGTCAGTCGACTCAAACAAAACTCACCTCTGGCAGGGCGTGGCGCCGGGCTCAGACGGCCAGACGCATCTCATCTTTGAGCGGGCGCAGGACTGACATGCTCGTGGGCGATACTTCTGGACCTCGGGGGTGGCGCGAGAAAGGTCGCCCGATGCCGGGGTGGAGTCTGGCATTGTGTCGACGGCGGCGTCGCGGATTGCCCGGACAAAAGAAGCACGGCGCGCGCGTGTGGGTTTAAACTGAACTGAATTGCGGACGGGGGCTTTGTCTTGTTTCTTGTCCGTCGTGTTCGTATGTGGTCTGTCTGTCTGTCTGTCTTCGGACTGCCAGGCTATGCCGTGGCCGTGGTCGTGGTCAAACAAATGCACATCCGGGGCGGCCGCGGCGCCGTTTGTGCGCCCGGGGGAGGCTGGATTTCTTCAAGAACTCTGGGGCGCGCCCTCTTCCCTCTTTCTCCTCTTCTGCCAGGCTGCGATGGGTCGATTTCTTGTTCCCGAGCTTGCTTGCTTGCTTGCTTGCGTCTAGCAACGCAGCGTGTGGGCCTCGGATGCCTTGGACCGTATCAAAAAAGGAGAGGCCAATGCTGCAGCCAACAGGAAGCAGCAGAGTCGGTTAGTCAGTTTTTCGGCCAGTCTTGTCGTGCTTGAGGCGTTGAGGCGTCAGGCGTCAGACATCAGATGCGGAAGGAGAGGACGCATGGCAGGCGGGCGGAGGAAGAGGGTGCATGTATGCCGGCGTCCACGGTGAGAGAGAGTGGGTGTGAGAGAAATGAGTGAGTGAATGTGAGCGAGCGAACCAGCGTGCGATGATTGATGGACGGGGACGGGGCTGGGCTGGTCCTCGGAGGGCTGCGAGCGCGTGGGAGCGGCGGCTTGACTGAGGAAGCGTGCAGGGAAGGGAGACTCGGGCAGCGCACGCAAGGCACTCAGGCCAGAGATGGATGGAGAGGCCAGGACGGGCTGGGCAGGGCAGGGCAGGTCGGGGCAGGGTACGGAGTTACATGAGCCACCTGCGGAAATATACAAGGTACTTGGACTACACCTGACGTGACAGGAACCAGAACCGCTCCTGCCCTGCCCTACGCCCTGCCCTTGCGCCTGCCCTGCCCGCCAGCCCGCCTGCCGCCCTGCCAGCTACTCCATGCTTGCGTGCCTTCTGCCGCTGCCACATTCGTCCCTAGGGCGGATTCCTGGTTCGGCCCGGTCGGGCAGTTGGACCTCGTGGGGCCACCAGCTCTTGGCCCCGCATGGAGCTTGCCCATTGGCTGCGGCTGGGCCTTTTCACGGTGGGGTCTTTCAGGGGTGGCCGGCTCGGGTTCTAATTGAATATCCGACCCCGAGCCCTTGCAGTCTGTCAAGTCTGTCAGTCACGCCTGCCCATAAATCTCCCTCGGCTAATAAAACGATCAACAAGTCAGCATCACCGCTTCTTGCGCACGACGCCGTCGTGACATGCCCATCAATGCCCACCCAACCAACCCCGATGGCCGATGGGGCTCTGCATATCGTGCCACACAGACGGCTGCATGCTGCGGGCTGTCCGGTCTCCGGGTCTAGACTCCAACGACTTGAGCCTTTGATTCGTCTTTGATCATGTCTTGTCTCTGGTGTTGAGATGCGAGGAGGCTCCATGTAATTACGGAGTACTCACATAAGCGAGCAGGCTGCATGAGTAAGCTGACCCACGAATGACCACCACGACTGTTGCCGGCTGTTGGGTATCTGACTGATGCTTCGGTTCAAGTGTTCATTCGTTGACCACAACCAACATCGAGCCTAATGCCCATGGATGACGGCAATTGATGCATGCTCCCGGCAGCTGGTGGGATAAAGTAATCACCCACCCACCCCCTACCGAGTACATATGGACATTCGAGCAATCGAACATTCCAAGGTTCAACTGAACCTACTTCACCACACTTGTCTACAACGGGTAAGTATCACGGGAGCCATGCTCTCTGGACCAACACATGGTGCCAGGGCATACGACGGCCTGTAGGGGTTTCCAGCCTGGGCACGCGGATCCATACTCCCGCCCGCGCTTATCCTCCAATAACCTCGTCCACTTTGCGCCTATCGCCAACAAGTGGCCTTCGAATTGTTCTAGCCCGGCCCAGCCATGACACGATGGAGATTGAAGGCTCACCTGAAGGCTCGCTTGAGTCCTGGCGCGAAACTATATTTACAGAATAGGGCTGGCTGCTCCTCCCCGGGCTCTCTCTATCCACTCCGGCCTATCCACCTCTATCTTTCAACATTCCGCCCCTTGAGTCCATCGTCTGATAGTCTGATGGTCCCTGCGCTCGCCGTCCCTCTATCTGCCTGGCATGGAACTAACTACCCAGGTACCTAGGTATGGGACGAGACGAGACGAAGACTCACCCAATGTCCCACTCGGATGCCGGCGCCTTTCAATCTCCGCCCGAAGGCCAGTCAGTCATGCTCAGATAGATGCCCAGCCCCTTGTCCCGAGGTCAAGTACTCGATAACCCAGGCACTCTGGCAGTCACGACGTGCCGACCGTCTGCCCGCCCGGGTGTGCAAAGTGTTGCGCTCTAGGAATCGTTTCAGCATCACACCGCCGCCCAAGCCATAGTTACATGATCCCGCTTGACATTGAGAACCAAGCACTCGTCCAACATCAACCACAGTGCCTCATAGGTACCAAGCCCGCGCTAAGACGAGGCAGGCCACCCACCCAAAACCCAACGCGCCCTGTGGGTTACGAGTCAATGGCTCGTGCCGGCCCTCCCAGATAAGCACAATCTCGGAACAACCCATTCGTATTTCAAGACACAGCCTGGCAAGGTTCGACCAAGGCGACGCTACTGATTCAGGAAGGTCAGTGCCGCCGCTTCAAGAGGGGGTCGGGTGTCATCCAGGACGGGCTCGGTAGCCGAGGGCCCTTGAAAGGGGATTCGACGCGCCGCGGACGACGCCATGATCTTCCTTCCCCTGGCCTGTCTGTCTGCCACCGGGCGGGCTCCTCTCGGGCCAGCTACTCGGGTCGGTGCCACGCCGACAGGTCCGGAGCCTCGCATTGTGTTGCCGCCTCTGAACCTCTGGGCCAGATCGGCGGCCAGCTCTACTATCATTGCTGCCTTCGGCATGTACACGGATTTAAAACGAGACAGCTAGTATTTATTCCCTCTTCCAACGCAGGAATACTAAACTGCCAGGCAGCAGTGGGTCTAAGCCGCCACGTGGCGCAGGGGGCCGGCCCTCTTTGCTTGCCCTCAGAAATGCCTGGAAAACGTGCGCCGTTTAATCCCTCACTGGTGCTTGAGAGGGACCTCAGGATCTCAGAAACAGGCCTCGTGCTCTTCCTGTCTCTCGCCGCCCTCGTCTTGCCGGAATTCTCATACTCTTTTTGCCCATCATCAACAGTTTGCCCTGATATGATATTTGTACTATATACCTAGTCAAGAAGAGAATCTAACCATGACGTTGAGTAGTTACTTCTGGCCCGTTTTCCCGCCCCTCAGCTTGCTATCAAGGCCGCAAAGCCGCCACTCTCTTGCTCGCACAAATCCACCTGTCTCCCACCTCCTCAGTGTGACTTTTCAGGAAAGCCAACAACCTCTTCACACAAGTCTCAGGGCCCATCCGCCCACGGTCCCAAGCCAGCTCCTCCCAACACTGCCACTCATATAGGGGTGAACAGGGGTTCACGAAGACGTAGCTACGCAGTTGAGCAGATGCAACAGTCAAGTCACGGGTTAGGGGAATCCCAACTACCGGGAACGAGGTAACTGGTTATTTCAATAAAAGAACATGGTTGAGCTGAGCAGCAATGTCGGTATCCAGTAATTATTGCTGTTACGAAAGCTAGCATACTCATTCTGGTAGTGTGTCACTATCACGGGGTATATCGTCATCACCCGTGGACGTCAGAGCAGACGCCCTCTTGCGCCTGCGTCGTCTCCGCGGCTTCTTCCTCTCGACAACAACGCCAGCATCCTCCTCCCGAACCGCGAGGCTCAGCCCCTTAATCATAGCCCGGATCCTAGCCCTCTCGCCACCAGCATACTCCGCCGCGGCCGTGTCCCCATCTCCATCCTCACACGGCATCTGCCCCCGGCTGTGGATCCGGACAACCTCAGCGGCCAGGTCGGCGGGCGAGTGTCGCTCGCGCCGCGGGTACTTGCCCGGGTCCACGCCGTCGTGCGCGCAGAGCGCCTCGATGCCGGCGGCGAGGAACCCCTGGAAGTGCCCGCCGTCCGAGGTGCCGGACCCGGCGGCGAAGGCCCTGGCCTCCTGCCTCATGCTGCTCAGGGCGTGCCACAGCGGCGTCCTGCCCTCGTTGTCGCGGGTGTCGGGGAGGATGTCTGGCCGCCCATCATCAGCTGCAGGGCTTGCTGTGCTGCGTTGTGGTGTTCCAGCGAGTCGCTGGCGTCCAATGCCTGTAGTACGATGTTGAGTCAGCTATCTGATCCACTAGCTGTTCTTCTGCCCCCAAACCCACCGCGGGCGATTATTCAAATACTCACAAGCCTTGCTGGCCCGCTGCAAGGCATCCTCACCCTGTAATTATACATAAACTTGGAGGTCTTGCACACCGAGAAGAAGTGAGCCAGTGGGACCATCCCGTCCACATCGGGTGCATTAACCCAGCAGGAGCTGGCCGAATGCTGCAGCAACAGCCTGATGGCCAGCGGGGAGCCCCCCTTGATGGCCAGGTGGAGCGGGTTTGAGCCTTTCCCGTCGGTCCAGCCCACCGGTAGCTTTGGATCAGCCAGTGCCCGGTGATACGGGCTTCCCTCCCACACGTTGCCGTTCGCGATGGCATAGTGGAGCGGCGACCACCCGCACTTGTCCGGCGCCAGCAGGTCCTGTCCATGATCAGCGACGAGCGTCGCTGCCACCCCGCCGTCTGAGAACTGGCCCAGGTTCTCGGCGACAAGGGATAATGCCGTCCGGCCCTGGTTATCGCGGTGGCTGACATCCACCCCCGGCGTGTTCAGTATGAACATGAAGGTTTCATGGTTCCTCCAGGTCTTCGAGGCCTGCATGACTGCTGTCATGCCTTCGCGATCGGGTACATGTAGCTGTGATTTCAGCGTGGGGCAGGACTGTAGGAGCAGCTCGAGACAGCCGGGCTGGGGAAGTTGGCAAAGAATGTGAATGAGTCCGTGTCGTCTTCGCCGGGAACAATCTTCAGAGATTTGAAGGCAGAGGTTTGGAAGATCTTGTCGATCAATCCTGTCGTGGGCTGCCTTGAGCAATTGCCAGCAGTTATTATAAAGTGTTTTGTACGTTGCTGGCCTTTCTTTCCTCTTGTTTGATTTGAATGCATTGAGAGGGAGGATGGCGTGCTGGTAGGCCTGTAACGCAAGGGATATGAGGGGGCAGTCTTTCTTCGCATCCTGATGAAACGCAAGCCGTAGGTTAAGATCCGGAAGCTTGAGCAATGACAGGAATTGTTCTGAGTGGTCGTCTCTTCCGTGGGCGACAGCTGCTGTCAGAGTAGATTGCCCACACACGGTCGTGGAGTTGATCACTGCGGTCCCATCCTGTCGTCTGAGCGTCTCCAAGATAAGGTCGATGCATTGTGTGGTACCCCTGGCAAAGCCAGCCATCAGAATCGTTCCACCTTTGCTGGTGGCGTCACACACTGAGACTGGATAAAGCTCTATCAAGGCCCGGAGTAATCCATCGGAGCCAGATGTCAGGGCAAGAAGGAGAGAGTTGATTCCGAAGAGATGCTCTTCGTCGAAGTTATTGCCTTCGCCGGGTGTTGGATAGTTGTCGTACTCAAGCAACTTTGTAGTCAGCCTCTCCAACCCCTGGCGATAGACGGGTGAGATGGTCCCGGTGCTGCCTGGTGGCATGGGATTCCAGTCGAACACATTGATGCTCGTGATGTCAGTATCTTGGTCCTTTTTAAGACCGGCCATTTCTCTGATGAATTTGAACACAATCCTGTCAAAGCAGCTGTATCCGCTGCTGTCCGCCTTGAACAGACTTCCGGGGTTGCAATCCACTAGCAACCTCCATAAGTGATTGAAGGTACTGTCATTTCCTCGTAGAAGCGCCTCCAGGACAGTTAGAGGATCAACTGTAGCCTCACTTCGGGTCCGGAATTCCATGATCAGGTCGTCCGCCCCAATGGTTGCCGCCAACGCCAACGCTGTTCTGCCACGGTCATCAACCAGGCTTAGGTCGACAGATTTATCGGCCAAGAGGAGCCCGAGTGACTCTGGGTTCCCCTCGAGAACAGCGAAATGAAGCAGCGTGTAGTTGTTGAAACCGCGGGCAGGATAATTGACGTCGATGAAGGGAAGTAGAGCACGCATGATAGATACATGTCCTGCATGTAAAGCAGAGAGCATAGCGTTCATGCAGCTTGCCTTCCACTCCGTGTCGAGCTTCCCACGAGAATGATCTTTCGCCCATTGGAGGATCAAGTTGACGCACTTCTCGCGCCCGTTTGAGGCCGCGGCCACCAGCGGGGTCACTATGATTCGGCCAGTTCGCTTGTCCCCTTGTCCGGATGGTGCAGGTGGCGGCGATTCGTGCGGGCTGGGTCCCTCGGAGGGTAGAGGAGGTTGGAGTGCACAATCTTTGGTACCATGACAAGCTCTCAGTTCATCTCCAAGCTCCAAGAGTAATCTGTCATAAGCTGTCGTCAGTCTCATGTCTTCATACCCCGTGTGCATTCTTTTGTAAACAAACCTTGGCTGAAAATCCAGGAGGAGGTTGAATTTCATAGAGTCCAGACCTAACAGCCAACCGAGTATGTCGCTTTGCCCAGTCGACGCGGCCGCACCCAGAGCAGTGTAACCCGCCCTATCTCGACCCGTGATCGAGGCTCCGTGTTCCAGCAGTGTCTCCGTAATGCTCATCCTACCACCAAAAGCCGCAGCCACCACAGCTTCATTTAGAAGTGTGTTATCCAAGCCCTTTCCGGCGCAGACGGCCACTGAGCACTTCCTAGACTTTGACAAATTTTCACCACGGGGGTAGATATCTGGAAAACTCTCAGACTCGTAGCACCACGCGTATCCACAGTGTTCGCCAGCTTGAGAAGCTCGCTCAAAAGTGAGTGGCTTCTGGTACGAGTCAAGATTGTTTTTCACAAGCATTTTGACCACCTTTGTCCGGTTTTCGCGGCATGCGCACAGCAGAAGATCTTCTCGCATGCCTTCTAACTCGAGCGCAAGCTGCCGGAGCTCGGACTGGTCGCCGGCCTGCTTCGCAGCAAGCGGGAGGGATGCTTGTTGTGAGACCGGCAAGTCGACTTTAGGCTCTGCGGGGCGTTCTGACTCCTCCGTGACCCAGTTGATTTGGTGATATGCCCAGTTGTCCCGAACGTAATCCATAAAGTGATGCCCCCGTTCTGTGCCGGACGTTTCGTACGCTTCTGTGAATTTCCTGCAGATAAGAGCCATTTTTGACTCTGCGTCTGAGAACCACCCCGAGCTAGTGGACGACAAGTAGTCCCGTATCGATCTGTGAGCTATATGGACAAGTCTGCTTCCTGACGGTCTTTCAGCACCTTGCCTTGGTGTCGCGGCCAAGCCTTCTGCGTCTGTTCTTCGAGAATTCTGGGTTGTGTCTTCGATAATGACCAGCCCGGCACAAGACGAAAGGACGTAGTCGATTGATGGAATGTTGTCCTCGTCGAACTCATCGTCCGGGTTCTCCAGGTCGATGGCAAGGGCGTGACACAGCTCGTCCGCGGTGAGAGCTCGACGAGCGGTGATCAAGATCATTAAAGTCTTTAGACCCATGCTGGATACTTCTTCTGGCTGGCTAGTGACATGATCCATCGCATTCTCCAATGCTTTCTCGGTTGAGTCCTGTCCGGATGGGAGGCTTTGGAGAGCTTTGCGCAAACTCTTGGGCGATGATTTGGTTTTCAAGGAGCGAAGATGTAGATCAGCAAGGAGGAACCTGCTAGATTTCAGTAATACTGTCTAGCTCAATCAATGATTCTTTTGTCTCTTACGTTTCTCCCGCAGCTTGCACCAGTGATCCCCTGATCTCATTCTGCAGTCTCGTGTTCCCCGAGACGAAATCGGGTAGCGTATCAATACGACTGGAGATATATTGCTCGATATCTTCGCCTGTGGCTTTAATTCTCAGCCAGAAAGTGCAAGAGAAGAGGTTGCTGATTTGAGGACTGTCGCGGGATGTGACGAAGATGTTCAGATAAGTGTGTCGCTGAAGCTCCAACAGCCGCGGCATGAGCACATCTCTTGCGTCCTGCGCAAGCTCGTCAAGGGCGTCAATTACCACGAAATTTCTGGTTGTCAGCTTCATGCAATCCTCTAGAAGACTGAAAGCTTGATCAAGGCTGAGATCTGATCGTGATTGTTTTGCCCTTTTGTACATTTGGCGCAGCGTCACTGGCCGAAAGGTTGATTGCTCCAGGATCATGCGCAGAAGACTCCGAACCAGATCAATAGGCTGTTGTTGATCGGACCGCTGATAGTCGCAAAATACAAACGCAGTACTGGCCTCGTGCGAGTACAGCCGTTCAATGACCACTACACCCGAAAATGTTAGTCTCATTTGCCGAAACGATAGTAAATAGAGGTGTTGATCATGTGAAAGAGTCGTCCGAGTTACATCATGACCACGCTCTGGTGATGTGATTTTCCCCATCAACATAGGATGTGGGCGGACCCTCATAGATGGCAGTCTACCCCCGGGCCATCTGGGAAACGGAATACTAGTAGGCTAAGGTTCTGAGGAATGGCTTACTGGCTGATGTATGTGTTTTTCCGGCGCCTGGTGTACCAGGACAAAAAAGTGTAGTTCCTCGCCCTTGTTCGCTAGTCCAAGTCTGCCACTCGGGAGAGTCAAAGAGCCATTTCCTAGTTCCGGGTTCGTGACGATGAACGAGCCAGTTCAGACGGTCAGTATGTCTGTCATGGTCTGTGCTGATCCATTTAAGTATCTCCTCGTCTTCTTGCTCGGTAATCTTCTCCACATGCATGCAGTCGAGAGTCTCATGTGCTTGTCGCTCTGTAATATTCGACAAGAAAGCTTCCAGCATGTTGATTTCGGAAGTCAATCTCGCTCTCAACTCGGAGATCTCGTCAGTATCAAACTTCAAAGGTTCCATGATCCCTTCCACATGGTGCTTTCCTCTGGCTTCGGCACCATCGTTCAAAGTGGCATATGCTGTGAGCGCTTGTCAGCATTCCTGGACGAGCACTGTCTATGACTCTTCACATACTGTTGAGAAGGCTGTACAGATCTTGTAGCACACGGCTGGGCCCTTCAAAAATCGTTTCCAAAACCTCTTTCTTCGAAGAATGTGCAATTTCCACTGTGTCTATGAGCACTCCGACGTCCGAAAGTACAATCACGAGACATTTTGCGTCATACAAGACCTCCTGAAGCTTTTCGGGCGCGTCTGAAAACATTGTAAGGATTTTGATGGCGAGCTCGGCGACGGCCAGAAAGTCTCCGACGCCAAAGTTGAGGGTCATCGTGATGGTCCAGAATGGGACACCGGGTCCTTGGACGGATATGTAGTCGAATAAATTGAACTTAGCAATGAGACATGTTTTCAAGCGAGCGACCGAGAAGATAAAGGCTTTTCTTTCAAATAGCAATCCTCAAGCTCGTGGGATGTTGCCTGCCTAGGATGAGGCACAACAGTCAGCCCTCATGTCCGCTGAAACACCCAATTGTGCCATGTTTGGGTCAGGCCTTCAGCCCCCAACTGATTTTTACCCGGCCCACATGTGCAGTGCCCTGGAATTTCGCAAGACTCAGACTCCATTTGTACACCAATTCTGCCTGCTAATTTTACCCAGGCCACAGTCGGCGGACCGTGACGCAGCTTCATGTATTGCAAGATTACGGGCCGGCGCAGAGAATGAAGCAAGGTCCGATACTTGTGACAGCTTCTCGTCTTATCAGGTTACACGGCCCCGACTGCCGTCTTACGTCGCACAAGGTCGGACTCTTCGACTAATTGGACTTGGCGGAGCGGGGTCTCTGCTTACCTACATATGTAGGTAGTCAGAATGCAGTCTATTGAGACATCAGAGATATCGATCCACAAATGATTGCAGTATATACGGAGTATGCCGACCCATTATCACCTCTGAGCCAGGAATAGGGCGACTTGGCTGAGCGGGGTCCGCGGATGGACATGTTGCGATCTATTGAGATCTAGATCAGAGAGGCAGTGATCTACAAAGCAATTCAGTACTTATGCTGGCCCATTGTCGCCTTTGAGCCGGGGAAGAACATATATTCGTGGGGAAAAACGCGCATTGTGAAGCCGCAGACTTGCGTTGCCGCGACCATGGAGACTTCCCTTGGCCTTGGACTGCCGCTGATAATTTCGTGGTTCTTGTATTCTGTCCTTCTTGTAAGTGCTATAATACTCTTTTTAGAGCCAGCAAAGTGAAATTACGACTGACAGGCTTAAGATCTCCATTTACGTTGGTGCAACTGCCACATACAACCTATTCTTCCATCCTCTACGACACTATCCAGGGCCGAAGTCATGGGCAGCTACCTATTTGCCTTGGTCCCTCAGCGTTTTGCGCGGCCATCCTCACATCGACATACTCGAGCTACATAAGCGTTACGGCGATGTCGTCCGCCTCAGCCCCAGCGAGCTGTCATTTTCGCACACCGACGCATGGAGGGAGATATATGGCCACCTCAAGCGCGGCGAGGTGGAGAATGATAAGGACCCCAGGCTGGAAGCGGCAGGTGACCAGAGTATTGTCTCGGCCCCTCGCGAACGACATGGGCAGATGCGGCGCCTCCTTTCACATGGATTCTCGGCCCGGGCCATGGCTGAGCAGCAACCGCTGATGGACAGGTACATCGACCTCTTCATCAGACGACTTCGTGAGAAAGGCCAGGGCGGAAAGGCGCGGCTCGACTCGACCAAGTGGTTCGAATGGACGACGTTCGACATCATAGGGGACCTGTCGTTTGGGGTACCCTTTGGATGCCTACAGAATGCCGCGTCTCATCCTTGGGTAGAGACATTGTTTGATTCACTGGGCGTAGTGCCAATCCAACAAATTATATACAACCTTCCCCTTTACTCGGTTCTCAAGGCATTCTACTTCATGTTATTTGTGCCAAGGCACATAATGACCAAGCGCCAGACCAGCCAGCTCTTTTCAGAGGAGACGCTGAAGAAGAGGATGAGTCTCGCAACGGACCGACCAGACTACGTGGATGCGATGCTCAGAGGTGAAGGGGAGATGGTTAGTACTTGACTCCTTCCGTGACCATTGCGTGCTGGCCTTCTAACAAGGTGTTGTCGCAGAAACTGACCGATATCGAATTGAGAGACAACGCAACACTGATAACCACCGCTGGCTCTGAAACAACCGCAAGCGCACTCACTGCGACCATATTCCTTCTCGGCACCCATCCTGATGTTCTCGCTCGGCTGGAGGCCGAAGTCCGTTCTGCCTTTCGCAAGGACCAAGAGATCAACGTCAACAGTGTCCAGAATCTCCCATATATGCTTGCCGTCCTCAAAGAATCCATGAGAGTCCATCCGCCAGTGGCAATTTCCATTCCTCGAGTGACACCACCTGGTGGAGCTCGAATAGCCGGCACCCATGTCGCCGAAGGTGTAAGTCAGAGGGCCTGAAAGACCATACCTAGATATTGTTCGTTTTTGAGAACGTTCTGGCAGCTGAATCCTCTACAGGCAATCGTAGGCGTCTGGCAGTATGCGGCTTATCACAACCCGGCTAAGTTCCGTCATCCTGATTCCTTCATACCAGAGCGCTGGCTGGAAGACTATCAAGGATTCGAAAACGACGAAAGGGGCCTGTGTCAGCACTTTTCGGTCGGACCACGGAATTGCATTGGAATGAAGTAAGTGTTTCTCAGAACTCCAAATGACCCTGACTTCTCCGTGTTCTTGATTGAATATCTGCTAACATCAGGTGTCTCGCTTTAGCCTCGCATACGCTGAGATGAGATTAATCCTCGCTCGCATCATATTCAATTTCGACATCAGCCTGGCTCCTGAGAGCCGAACCTGGACCTCAGGCCAGAAGCTTTTCTTCTTTTGGAAAAAGCCGCCTCTGTGGACGTACTACAAACCCAGAAAGGAGGGGACGACCTCGTGATATGACAAGTAAATGATGCCCTGGATGGCAAAATAAACTGAGCTTTGTGATTTCACCACTGTATGAAGGAGCGGTGTATGGCTTCGTAAGTATACGGAATAGAAGCGAGACCAGTTTTTAACTTCATGTATCGCTGTGCACATGTAGCCTGTGCTGGTACATAAATTTGAAGCAAGGCCTACCAACGGTTCCTGAGTCACTGGTGCCAGTGCGAATGAGTCAGTGAGATAAACCAATATGAGAACTGCAAGTAACCGATGAGCGCTGAATTTCGGCCGCTTTTCTTACCAAATCCACCAAAACTGCCAATTCTCATCTCCACCACGCTGCGTAGCATAAGCTTTATATAAAACCATATATTTTAAAGCTCATAATAAGCACTAGTATATCAGTGGAGATAGGAACATCTATTTTTGTAAGAAAATATGGGGGGACGGCGACTTGTCTTGTTCCGATCTCAAAGGTCGTGCGTGCTACCGTGAATGCGTCCAGTCTCAAGCCTCGATTGGAAGGCGATGCGTAAAGTCCATGGCCCATCAACTCTGATAAATACAGATTAAGATGAAGAGGTACAATTATCGGCTGGACAGCTTTCGTATTCGGGGACAACTTCGAGAATGGGGAGTAGCTTCTAACAGCAGATTTAACGGCATTGGTGTCACAAATCTAAGCAGGGCATATCGAATAGAGCAAATTGACTGTTTTTCTATGAACACTGGCCGGGATAAGCCCGTATTTATAGACAATGGAGCGGCACAACAGTGGAGCCCACAGCTCCCGATAATAGGCTTGACCCAAGCAGGACTTGGACCATCCCAGATGGTCTTCTCATCTATAAAGGCACTAAAGCCCAGTCCTGACAGCTAAATATTCCTCCATAACTGACCTAGATATCATACATTCCCTTCATCAAGTAACTCCTCATCTCCTGAGTGTCTCAGGACGCCCGCCCATCTGAACACGAGACGGCCCAACATGTTGGATCTTCTCCTTGAGCGTCTGTTTCCCCCACCTCTCCTCATCCACCTTATCCTTCGCATCCTTCTTAGCCCGCCGGAGATCAAGGGTGGCGAGCAGGATATTCAGGAACGAGATGCCGCTCCCCGTGACATAGAGCGTCGTGAGGCCCATGCCGATGGCAAAGGCGAACTCAAAGGGCACCACGCGCGTGATACACAGCGTGACGGCGCCCAGGTCGGAAAAGCCGGTGATCACGGCCGGCATGGAGAGGGCAAGGAGGAGCTGGCTGAGGAGTGTGCCGATCGTGCGGCGGTCGGCCAGGGCGAACGGGACGGGGAGCACGGAGGCCGAGGCGTCTGGGGAGGGCGCTTTGGTCGAGATGTAGAGCTTGCTGAACACGTTGAAGGCAGTGGCTCCGAAGGTGACGAAGGCGGTGATCAGGCCGATGATCTGAAGAGAGAACGTCCGATTAGTCACTAGGAACCCGCGACAGGTGTATGTTGTCAAGGATAATTACTCACGCCATGTGCTGTCTGCATGTGGCCGGCCGTGCCCCTTGCCAAGAAGCCGAAGATCAGCAGCAGCAGCGTGGCTGGGCCCATCAACCAGAGCCACCCGATGTTTGCCCATTTTGTGGCCTTTGGAAGGACGTGGCCCAGCTTGAGCCGCAACAATAGAACTCGAGTGCCCTCGAGGGTGAGAATCAATGGGAGTATGGCCAAGAACACGGACATGGCAACCATTACTGTTTGAAGAGAGATACGTTAGCATCAGATCACGATTTGCCGCACCGTGCGAGGATATTGGAAGGGGAAATGACTCACTGTGAACAGCCAGGAATACTCCGAAGCGAACAGCCGTATTCCCGTTGATGCTGATGCCGTCCGCCGCAGACAGCAGGTTGCCCTGAAGATTATCAATCACCTTCTGCCCATCGATCTCAAACTTGTTCCCGTCGCTTGTGAATTTGATCAAGCCCTTTGGCACCACCTGCTGGATAGTAGTAATATTGATCCCAGTGGATACCCCATTCGTCGAGATGGTCCCGCTGTCCAGCAGACCAAGGCCCACGAGCACCAGGCCACCGACTCCCTCGCAGGAGAGGGCGGAGATGACCCGCTGAGTGACGGAGGAGATGGTATCCGCATTGAAAACGACAGAGAGGTTGAAGCTGTTCCCGTTGCTAACAGCCGTCACTCCAGAGTCCTGACGGGGGAGTATCGCACTCGAGAGGACCTGACGGACACTTCGCCTGGCCACACCCGTCCCATTGCTAGGAACGGGAGCAGAAGCAGCAGCAGGAGCCATACCAGAGTCGGTATTATTCCCAACCAGCCCCTCGACGAGCGACGTGACGTTCAGCTGCGACAAGAGCTGAACACCAACAATGGTGCCCTGCCCGCCGAGACCCGTGCCCAGACCCATGGCCGCACCGCCCAGGGAGTCGTTGAACGCGAGCGTGCTGGGCGGGATCGCAGCCTGCTGCGGCATCATCGCGGTGCCGTTGATGAGCGCCTGCAGGCCACCCATCATGTTGACGGCGTCACCCGCGCCCTGCACCAGGCCCATGGCGACGCCCTGCGCCGCCCGGCCGATATCAATGTTGCTCGCGGCGCCGGTCAGGGCCGTGTTCCCCGAGGTCAGCTGGGTCATGTTGATGTTCTCGGTGACGCTCTTGGTGAGGCCGAACGCGAAGTTGCCAGCGACCGCTGGGGCGTCGTTGCCGTTGGGGTCGGGCATGCCGACGATGGCGTTGTTGAGCTTGAGGCCCGCCGCCACGCCGCCGCCCAGCCCGGAGCCGAAGCTCTGGGCTGTCATGCCCAGGTTCGGGATGATCTTGTTGATGTTGATGCCCTGCAGGGCATTGCCGCTCGTCAGGCTCGACGTGTTCAGGTTGGACGTCACGCTGTTCGTCAGGCCGAAACCGAAGGCCCCCAGTGCGTCGGAGGCGGTGTTGCCTGTGGGAGGGGCTAGGTTCGCCTGGGTGAGCTTGAGGCCGGACGAGGCACCGTTTCCGATGCCCTGGGCCAGGGACATGGCGATCTGTGATGTTGGAACGCCGCCTGTGAACTGCTGAATGTTGATGCTGTTGGCTGAGAGCTTTGTCGTGTCGATATTGGATGCCAGAGACTTGGTCAGCGCGAAGGTGAACGTGTTCGCGATATCTGCCGTGCTGTTTCCGGGCGGAGGCTCCATTGCCATTGCCTGTGGAGATAGCTTCAGCCCTGACGATATGCCATTGCCTATGCCATTCGCAGCACCGAGCGCCACGCCGTTCAGATCGATACTTCCTCCTGCTGACCCTGCGAGACTCGAGATGTTGACAGCGCCAAGCAGCGATGCCGAGGCACCCATCGCCGCGTTTTGTATAGCAGGATTGAGGCCCGTCGCATTCATGCCGTTGTCGGCAGCCACCTTTGCCGCGATCTGCGTCGTCATGGGAGCTTGGGCGAGATTCAGCCCCTGAGCAGCTCCTGCGCCGAGGCCAATGCCAAGGAACATGCTAGCTCCTCCCACATCCTGGAGGAGAGAGTCCCCGATGCCGGACAGGGCTGAGGAGATGCTGCCAGTGATGCCAGAAAGGATGCCGCCTCCTGCTGCTGCATCAGTTGCCCCGGGTGTGGCAGGAGCTGTGCCGGTGCCGCCGCCCAGGAGACCCCCCAATCCTCCAAGTATATCTTGACGACGTTCTTTTGTGGCAGGGGTGCCATCGGAGAGGCTGTTTCGATATCTTTCGAGGCTGAGGCTAGCCTGTTGCAGTTCGGGGACATCTTCGAATCTCTTTGCGAGCATCCTGGAGAGGTCTGCTACCAGTTCGACGGCATCCTCAACATGACGTCTTAGTACTTGGTCCTGGGCTGCTGCTCTGGCCGTTTCTGGCGAGACGATGCCCGAGAACAGCTCTGCTACCTCCAATTCCCTTGCTGGTATCTTCGGGTCCACCTGAGAGGCGCTGACCCCTGATGCCACGACGAGGGTAGACAGCAACACCGTGGCAATTCTGAGCCTCCTTGATACTCTTTGGCCAGCCATTATATCAGTCGACAGGACGGCATCAAACAATGTGCAGAGTCGGCGGCGGCGAACGAAAAAAATATTAAGTATAAAAATATCGCCAGCGACAATTGAATGTATCGAAGAGCCAAGTCTAGCAGCTTGGAGTTCCCCACAAGCCGACTGAAGGGGCGGGAGAATCCGTGATCTAATAAACAAGCCTGGCACATCATCTTCCAGCCCCAGATTGAGCCATTGATCAGCCTTGGGTGACAGCCAGGTGGGCCTAGTTACCCAGGAAAACGGAGGTACATTGTCGCCATCGAGCCCCTTTGGTGGTGCAGTCCCCACAAACAGGCGGCCAGGGCACCGAAAGAAATTTCCCAATGCGGAATCGACTTCGTACCCGCGATTCTGTACATGCGAAGGTACCACAGTACTCCGTACTTCAGACAGGCAGAGGCTGAGTCGCTCAGGAGGCGCAAGACGCTGGCTTGGGCGGACACATCCCGGGCTTTGGGCCAACCCTGAATCGAGCCTGGGGTCGCATGGATATGAGTGGTGCTGGGGCAATGGGGCCCGTCCCAACCACTGAGATCCGCGCTGCATGGAAGCCCTCGAGATCATCTAGGACTCATCGTGCATGGTTCCAGACCGGGGCCCTGCGTGGGCTGCAAGGGCTGCAAGGAGTTGGGGTCGGATACCGGCCCCGTATTCGTTCATCTTGTGTGCGCTCGCAAGAGAGAAGCTGGAAGAAGCATAAGAATCGGGGCAGGGCCTTGTTTCCGTGCTCCAGCCCAGTGGGCCCATCCAGTCCAAAGAATCGACCAGGTTTTGGATCTGCGAGATTTGGTGTGCGCTCTGAGACCCGGACCTGGCTGGCGAATGGGGTGGCTTGACGGAGGCTGAGTGTCGTCGTCTGAAACGCCATAGTTAGACTCCGCGCTGTCAAAGATCGGGCGGCTGCGGATCGCGCTAGGTCACTCCTTACAGGGGCAACCGCGGAATATGGCCAGAGCACTTGACCTAATGCAGAAGGTTAGTGAGGGGTGACGCCACACGATGTCTTCGACTGGGCTTCGGACGACGGTTTTCCAAGGCTAGTGTCCAAATCTCTAACATGACAGATACCGACCTCGCCTGCCCGGGTGAGGCAAGGCATACTCAAATGTTTGCCCTGCCATGGTCCGGCTGACCAAGTGACCGTCTCACTGACTCGATTCAGCCTTCTGAAGTCGACGGAGTGTCGGGTCAGGCACTTCCGTTTCTCTTGTACGTCCTGGCCCTTTTCCTTGGCTTGTCTATATCATATCAGTGCTCTTGAGGATCACATCCGGGAACTCTGATCGCCACGGCCACTAAAGGAGCGACAGCAAGCACCAGGGTCTGCACTCGCATGGTAGAGATAGATATATTCAGAGGTATAGCATGATTGAGCTAAGCACCTGTCAGTCCATCTAGGTCGGAGGGACGCCGTTCAGTGGCCAGAGCTCCATCCAGTGATCTACAAGCCCGCGTCAGACAAGCGGGACTCCAACCATCAGTCTGCCAGGAGAGTTATTAGCGTTGAAACAATCTGGCCAGGCAGCTCCACCCCGGTGGCACAGAGGTGAACACTTTGTCCAAATAGGGGAATTTCTGTGCATCGAATACACGGGAACAGACTGTCAATGGCCCGAACGAAGCCGCTGTCTCGTCGGGCAGCCTGGGACTTGGGTCGATCCCCAGAAGTCTTGGAAGGTTCTGCCCCGGGGGTCATGAACACCCTGAGTTACATTGGTAGGCTGCGCCCCATCGATCACATGCGTTAGTCCGTGGAATGACTCACGATATCTTACGGCCATGCCATCCATAGTTATCCAGTGTGAGGGGCTAACACGTTTTACAACTGTGCACCCGTGAGGTGTATACTTACACACAGATCATTTGCTTGGGAACCGGCCTCGGATGAAGGCAGCCTGTCATCCAGAAAGCTTGATTACCAACAGAATCATGCTAGCTGGGTCCTGCTCCTAGAGAGGACGCCCTCGTTGCGAAGCCATCTCATGTGCGATCAAACCAACGATCCCATGTATGTGTCACGGTGTCAACCTCCTCGGGCCATGTCGATCATGACGTTCCGTCCTTTGCTTATAGTCACCAGATTTTATTAAGCAACGTTCCAGCGGGATGAGGATTCTGCCCTGTTTTTCAACTTGATACGGAACACCATTACCAACATGTGACGACTCTACTACTCCGGAAGACTGTCACGCAACCGAATCTGTCCTGTTTTATTCTTGTCGCTGGATCCGCGCATTCAACGGTTTTTTTTCTTTCCACAGGTGTAGATATGTTCTGTCTACCTAGGTACATGGACCAGCTTTGAGTCTGTAACGCTTGCATTGGATATGCACTAAGGAGGGTCATTCTCATTGTTGGCTTTACGTCCAAGCACCACACCATCACTGAAGCACTTGGATCGCGCCTCATTCTGTAGTCTCCATTGGTCCTTGAATCTTGAGCAAACTCTGCCTGGTCGGGCTAAGTCGAAGACCTCCGCAACTCTTGCTGATATTTAAACTCTGAGGAAAGCAATTCGAGTTGCCAAACGTGCTTGGCCATCCATAGGCTTATTAGGCACATGCGTCCATAGCGCTGAAGAAACGCTTGGGCTAATATGTTTCCCCCTGCCTTCCAATGCGTCGCACGGCCAAGGTGTTTCTATGCTCACTGATCGTGTCGTGCCTTCAACCAAGTTTTCTCATGCGTGCCCCCTGATCATCGTCTTGGTACGTGGAGCTGAATCGCGATGGCCGGTGTCTTTTTGCGGCATATAGAGAGCTACAGACGAAGCCCCGTCCAATGAGTCGTGTCAGATGGGACGTGGCCGATGCCATAAGTCCAAGTCGTGCATCAGGAAGGGCAATGGCAGGATTAATGATAACAGTAGCATTCACAAAATCAGGTTGAAACGAGGCACTCTGCAAAATCGCATGTGGGGTCCAAGATGGGCGGTTGAGGACCCATTTCTTGGTTGCCTATATCTCCGGCGCGGTATAGGGATCTGCGTCGAAGCGCCCTGGTCAACGGCCCGGGCGATGCGAATACGATCTACCCGGCCTCCGACCTCACCAGCCACACGGCAGCGCTCGATGGCTGTTTCAACACACCCTGGGGCAGCTTTCTCTGCAACCGTTGAGAGCTTGCCCGTGATTTGAAATCGAGAGGGGGGGGGGCGATGGGGGAATGTGACCCAGCCCGGACGCAGTAGTAGCCACATGTGCACGCACACGCCGTGGACTTGAGATAGCTTTCGCTCCATTGAAGCAACTGTAGACGGAAGAAGATACAAACGACCACGTCTTATCATTCATGCTATGTTTAAACTAACCGCTGGCTCTCACGTGATGGCTGTTGCTGTCCGAGGTGGCATCGAGTCTGCCTTGCCGTACTAAGTACCTTGGTTCAATGTTGGTCACCGAGTGGATCGCCCCAGTAACAGCAAAAGCATTGTTTGGAACTGCCTAGGTGCTCAATATGTAACGAAACCTGGTCTGAATCCAACGAAACCTAGGTGGTTTTGTTTTTAATCCCTATATATATAAAATATATATAGCGTCTTTATATAGTGGTAAATATTTAAAATTTAGTATTTAAAGAAATATAGTATTAATAATAATAAAAAGAGAATATAGTATATAGGTATATAGCTAAACTTTATACTATATAGATAAGGTTAGAAGGTATTACTTTTAACGGTATTATATTAGAATTACTAATATAAATAATTTAAGGGTTAATAGTTAGTAAAGTAGTTATATAATAAGATTAGAATAGTCTTAAAATAGCTCTTATAAGAAGAAGAATTTTATAATATAAGATTTAGTAAGCTAGTTTTTTTATTAATATACTTAATAGCTATTTAAATCTAGTTTTATTAAATAAATTAAATATATTATAATCCTTATTTTAAGTATATAATTATTAATAAAATAATAATATTATAATAATAAACTTATTTAAGAAAGCCTTTTATATAAATTATATAAAAGATTAAAATTCTTTTAAAAGTTAAGTAAAGTTTATTTACTATATATTAGATAAATACTATATAAGGAAAGTAGAAATTTAGGTATTTAAGAATTAAATTTTTTTTTAAGTATATTATTTTATTATTAAGGATTTATCTACTTTTATATAATATATAAGGAATATAGTAGAAGAGGGAGCTTTATAGGGGAAGTTAATAATTTTATTATATATAGATAAGTTTAAAGGTATATATTAAGTAATTATTGACTTTATACTTAAGGTATAAGCTAATAGTTAGTTTAAAAGTTAAGAAGATAATGAATAGATAAATAGTTAAATAAAAAATATAATGTGGCTGAAGCCTCTAACGAAACCTATTGCTAGTAAAACTTTGTGCCTCGGTGGGTAGTTAACCACATGTAGAAGAGCACGGGGCAATAGGGGGCCAGTGGCGTGGCGATACTAGGCACTCAACAAGTCGGAAGCGAGGCACGTTCAAGCAACATGGCATCTATTTCGGATTGTTTCAACTTAAGGAACGGTTCGACAACCAAATCAGCGGGTGGAATGTGTGGAGGTATGTTCCGAAAAGTTATGATAGAACATTTCCATGGTTCGGTGTTTTTGTAAATTCTTACTTCCCTCCTCGAGACTCGTGTCTTTCAGACCACCTGGGTAATCATTGGCGACAGGCCGATTGGGGCAAAGCCCCATTGGAGCGCCTGCGCAGCGCTGCAGATAGGGTACCTAGGTATGAACAAACTCAAATTTCAGGGCTGAGGTAGCCGTCCCCAGGATCCCGTACTGAACGATCCGTGGCAGGCATCAAAACCGCCTGCAGGAAAATAATTGATGCCCCGAGGAAGAATGAGCATTTCCACGACTTGAAACATACGAGCGATGCACCCAAACCAGAACGGAAAGTGTATCGAGATCACTTCTTCTTATCCCGTCCAGCCCGTCCAAACACAGCCGCATCCCTCTCCATAACCAGCATAGTAGCAGCAGCCACCGGACCACCGACGACCCCATAACCCAATACCTTAGGCACCACGTCTCGGAGCAGACTCTTGCCGGGCAGGGCAGCCAGGTACACAAAGACAGCCCACGCCAAAATAGCAGTCCCGGCGGATGCCACATCCCACTGCAGGAACAGCTTGGCAAGCTCGGGCTTTCCAGCAGGCGAGCCCGGGTCACCTGCCATCGGAGAGTCCCACGGCCAGGAGGGGACGAACAACGACTTGAGGGTGAGTTGCTCGAAGATGGCCTTCAATTCCTCTGGGACCAGGGCCGCGGGGGTTAGAGCGACCGCCATGGCGATAGTGCGAGGGACGAAGCACATGTAGAGGATAACGCGATAGGCGCTTGTGACGAGGGCGCGGGCTCCGGCGGCCGTGAGGCGTTCGTTCGCGTCCGGCAGGAAACTCTTCATGATGTAGTGGCAGACTGTGTCCGTGATAGGGAAGACCTGCCACATTGCCACACACTTGTAGTGAGCGTCTGCAGGGAGGAACGATGGGGAGGGCAGGCTCATGAGCACGGCTGGGACAATGAACGAGAGGACGGCGTTATGCAGCAGCGGCGTGGAATCGCTCGGGTCGACAGCGAGGTCCTCTGGGGTTGGGTTGCTGCCGCTCGTTGGAGACGTGAGAAGGTGAATCAGGAAGTAGATGGGCGACGTGATGGCTATGGTGATGTTCTGCATGAGGACGCCGAAGGTTCCAGTCCTGCTGGCTGTCAGCCTCCATCACTCACTCAATGTCGTGCTGCTCTCACGTCAACTGGTCTGGGCGTCAACTCACCAACTCACGATGCGGCCGTGCCGGCTATTACCCCCTCTATATCCCTCAAGTCTGATGAACAACCAAGCCGCGCAGACCTCAGCCATGAGAAGCCAGTATGCTACCGCCACATCCCATGTCGCCGGGCCGTCGATTAGGATCACGAAGAATCCGATCAAGACAGCCAAGTGATTATCGATCAGCTCGATGCCGGTGTAGGTAGTCTTGTATGGAGTCGGACCACCTAAGAAGTATTTCTTGGTGGCCTGGTAACCGGAACTGCTTGCCAGAGCATCCAGCAACCCATTTTTGTGGGAGGCTCCGAACGTGGCGTACCCGCCAAAGACCGCGCACGCCACCAGGATACCGGCTGTGATCGTTCGCCCGAATGTCGATGAGGCCATGCCGAAGTTATTCAGTTTGCTTGGTACGGTTCTCAGAATCTAGCGATCCACTTCAAGTTGTCGCGTTGACGTGGGTGCGGGCAGAGATATGTGCGGTATTTCACATGCGAAGAAAGGTTAGGATTCGCCGAGGCAATCTCCGCCGACGTGACCCACCGCAAAAGAGTCCGCCAAGGGCCCCGGCCCAACAACCACCGCGGGATTTCTGTTCGTGTTTTTTCTGGCAGGATGAGAATAATTTCTCTTACCCATTGGGACTACGTTGGCTAGATTCCTTCAAGACAGGCGACGAAACCCTTAGAAGCCTAGGCCCCAGCTTCTCGGGAATGATAGGGGTCCCCAACACGCAAACGACAAGGATTCTAGATATCTTGAAGCCCTGCTGTTCTGAGAAGCAGTCCCCCACGTATACGCTGGGTTGCGCCTACCTGCACCTCAGCTTCCTGGGGTTATGTAACTTGACAGTGTTCTTCATACTAACAGAAGACAAGATTCAACCCCTGTATTAGCCCTGTGTTTCGGATGTATCAGTGTAACATGACTCTTAGTAGATGGATGCATCTCTTTACATTACTTTCCTTCTCGACTGTTGACCAAGTGATAAAAGCAGCAGAAATATTGAACTTGAACACTATTCAAAGTACCAAGACTTTCACTTGAGACGTGTTGGATTCAGACACAATGCTAACAGTCCCGGTACGTCTGTGGACACCCCCCCCCCCTAGATCGAGATTTGGTCCTCTTCAAATTACAACATGCATCTCATGACCTCGAAGACTTTGATCGAGTTCCAGGCATTGTCCACTGATTCAGCAGCGGCATTTGAAAGCAAGGCGAATGATTTGTCTCTCCTCCACGTTGCGGCTCCGGTCCTCTCCAACCGGAGAGACAAGTGGGAACGCACTAAACCCAATGGAGGCATTATTTTGAGAAACTCGAAGCAACAGTGACATCCTGCCTTCGCCTCTCTTCCAGTCACAGCATTGTGTTAGTAATCCGGGCTCGCATCATGAGTTAGGACGAGCTTGTGAAGCTGCCCTTTGACAGACGCGCCCTATGGGGGGCCTAACCGGAAGAAGGCATTAATTCGAGACGACGTTAAGTCTGCTTGGTGGGCCATCGCAATGCCACGAATAAATATGAGACAGAAGAACAGCCTGTATGTGGGCAATGAAGAACTGTGCATTGTAAAACTTTCGAATCTCGATAGCACTGCACAACCATGGCATCGTCGGAGACACCAAAAGCGCAGCCGTCCCTCGCCCGCTACGACGCCACAGACCCCTCGACCACGCCCGAGAGATTAGTCGAGATCATAAACCGCGACGGCGCGGTCATAGTAGAGAAGCTGATCACCCGTGATCTCGCAGAGGCAATCAAGAGGGATCTGAAGCCACACTTCGACCAAGACATCCCGGACAAGTATGGCTTCTTCCCGCCGACGACCCAGAGGGCCTCGGGCCTGCTGGGCATATCGGACAGCTGCGTCGAGCTGGCGTGCAGCAGGCTCTACACCGACGTCGCCAACATCCTCGTCTCCTCGTCACACACCTTCTGGAGGGGCGACCGCCAGAAGACGGTCAGCGGGAAGCCCATCATCTCCTCGACGGTCGGGTTCCGCGTGAACCCCGGCGGGACGAGGCAGGTGCTGCACCGCGACGACAAGTAAGTGGTTTGTTTGCTGTGGCTCGCCGCTGCGGTGGCCATCTTGCTGACCTGGGCGCATTAGTGACTACCACCCGCATGACAAGAAGTTGCCAGTGATGATCGGGTGCGTCACCGCGCTGACCAAGACCACGGCAGCCAACGGCGCCACGGTCCTCATCCCGGGGTCGCACCTGTGGGGCCCGGAGCGGCGGCCTCTGGACGAGGAGGCTGTCCCTGCTGAGCTCGAGCCCGGCGATGCGTGCATCTTCCTCGGGAACACGTATCACGCCGGCGGAGCAAACATCACCAAGTGCGCCCCTTCAGAGTACCGAGGATCCTTTTGGCTTTTGTAATTCGCTGACCAGGAGTCACAGAGACGAGTATCGTGAGACCGTGGGCATATTCCTCTGCCAGCCAACCTTGCGCCCGGCGGAGAACCAGTTCCTCATGGTCCCCCTGGAAAAGGTCAGGAAGATGAGGCCGCAGGCCCAGAGGCTTTTGGGATATGGCCTATGTGAGCCAGGCGTTGGTTTCATGAAGTACCAGGATCCTATGAGGGTCTTGTTTGGGGTTGAGGATGAGGAGACCGTCGACTTCTGATTTATCTCAAATGGTGCGTCTTGGTGTCCCGGATTTGGATTGATGAAGCGCCGTGGCCTTCAAACGACGAACAAGCGCTTACCAGACGCCTCCCTGGTCTGAGCCAGTGATCTCCAGTCATTATTCGTCCCGGCCCAGAAGTTCCGTAGAAAGTCAAGCACATCTAAATAGTAGTCGAATCTTGTGACTTCATGAATCACTGTGAACATCGATGTGATTATCGTTTGACGCTCCTCGTTACCAAAACAAGCAGTTCCCGCAATGAAGGTCGGCCAAGCAAGGTTCTGTACGAAGGCGTGAACGTCCTCGAATCGTGACAGCTGGTCGAATAACCGTGTGCATGCTGTCACCCAGTGGGCACTTTCCTCGTCTGCACACTTGAGACACTGCAACGCATACAGCAGTCCTGCGTTGTGATATATCTCTACCAGGCGCACAAAGTCGCGAGCCATCATTGATCCGTCCAGGCCGAGCCGGCCTGCCGCGATCAAGGTGGTTCCTCTGGCCTGCTCGAATTCCGAATGGATTGTGGAGAGTGTGAGACGGCTTTCGAAGGGTCCGGTTGGGTGCGGGCCTTCGTGCGTGTGTTCAATAGACTCGAGTGTGATCTGGTGCAGGAGTTTGAGGTATTTCGAGAAAAGCAGGAAGTCCGAGCCCGGCGCCGGAGTGATTGCGTTTTTAATGCTAGCCTTGTCGAACGTCGTAGTGGCTGCTATGATGTCTTCGATGGCTAGCTGGTTGCGGAGGAAAGCAAACAGCTCGCGGCCTTCGGTAGACACTGACTGGTTGAAGATGTGGACAATCGTCCGAGCCGCTTGCCTGTGGCCTTCAGCCGCCTCGAGACGGCACCTTGCATTCTCATAGTTGTTGATGATCAGGATCGAGGCGAGCATCCACTCGGCGTCGGCGATATCAGAGTGGCTGTCCAAGTCGACGCCTTCAGCTACCTTCTCGGTCATCTCTTGAGCTCGGGTTTTGATCAGCTGAAGGCACTTGTCGCGAGCGCTTTCGGCCATCGCGGCGATGTTCTCAAAATGGTATGCTCTCCAGCCATGTTGAGCGGCAAAAGCCACGATGGCGAAGCGGATGGCCGGCTGGTGTTCAGCAAGAGGAATCACATGCTTCCGATAAGCATTTTCCTCGGAATCTAGCCAGACCATGAGGCCTGCAAGGTTTCGCCGATAATACTCCATAAAGCGACTGTCTGATGCCTGGATGTCCATCCGGGAAGCCGCAGGGAGATCAACTTTCATCGTTTCATGCCAATTGGAGCACGGCGGTGCTGTTCCACCCTCGGGCTGGGCGTTCTGCAGGTATACCGGGGCAGATTGTGAGGAGCCCGGTTGAGATGCCCTGGTAGGCACGGTCCGGCCCTGGAGATGGCCCCTGGCTGCCACGCCGTTGATCCATCGTAGCTGGCGGTTATATCCAGGACATCCCAGGCCTTTCTTGGAACATTTTGCACAAGTCGGGCGCTTGAGGTCGCAACGAATTCGTCGCCGTTCGCAGTTGGCACAGCCTTTGGTCAGGGATTACGGTCAGCACCCGCCTTCTCCAGGGCGAGCCGAGTCGCGATGCAACTCCTACCTTTCTCCGTGATTGAGTTCACAGTTTTGTTCTTCCGCGGATTGCTTCGACCTGCCGTCGGCATTGCGCAACTTGCTTCCGGAAGCTGGTGGTCGCTGGCATCGGTGTGCCTGGCTAGATAGGTGTTCTTCGAAGTCTGGTTCATTGCAGGACTTTCGTCGAGGAGTGGGGCCGTCGAATTTGCTCCGTCACTGCGTCCGGCCTCCAACGCCTTCCGTCCTTCCGGCCCGATCGGCTTCGATGGCCCGGGATGCAAAGCCGCTCAGTGCCGTGCCGCCAAACGCCTCGTTCGCTGCATTCCGGCACGCATTTAGCATCACAGACCTAGGGGTTGATCATTTGACTAAATAAAAATGAAGCAGCCGACGGTATTGTGCTTGGTCCACAGATTTCTTTCACGAAGCTCATCCGAGTGGACTGCGCATGTGGCATGTAGCATGTAGCAAGGGTGGAGGCATTCAAGTTGAGTGTGACCATTCTGGCGCTGTTGCCTAACATGCACTAATATCTGACTGACCCGATGACGCCGTCATTTCTCATGACTGTCTGCCGACACCCATGCTTTACATCCAAAGCTCGCCATGGAAGAGGAATATCTCAAAAGAGCCACCGTCTCGCCCCACTGGCTTGACGGCGGGAATTCATTCTGGTACCGCCGTCACCTGTCCGCTGGAAAGTCCGAGTTCACACTCGTGGACTGCGTGAACCAGACCCGCGGACCCGCTTTCAACCACGAGGCTCTGGCTGACGCGTTGAGAAGCCGATCCGAATCAGCAGAGCTTGGACAGGACATAGGCCCGAACTCGTTGCCCTTCACCTGGATCGAATTTTCTCCAGACGGCTCTTCGATAGGATTCGTCTGGAACAAAAGGAAATGGGGGTTCAGCTTGGACAAAGGGCTTATAGAACGGGACGGCAACTTTGTTCAGGCCAGAGACCAGCTTCTCACCAAAGAGCGCCCTTCTCGCCCAGGGAGCCAGGCGACAACTGTCACATTCGCCAATCATACCGATGGCCCTCTGTCCCTCTTTTGGATCGACTTCGACAGCAAAGCAAAGCTCTATGAAAAGATCAGTCAGGGCAAGACACGTGAACAACGGACATATGCAGGCCACGTCTGGAAACTGGTCAACGAGGAAACAAAGCAGACCAAGGCTATCTACGTCGCTCCCGACGAAAGCGAGGACTACATCGTCATCGATGAGAGTACCATGACGGAGGAGAAAGCCAAAGACGGTGACGGTGACGATGACGATGATACTGGTGCTATCGAATCTAAAGGACAGGATGTGAACAGGGAGCGAGTGGATCCTATGACCCATAACATCTCGGTGGCAGGAAACAATGTCTGGCTCACAGACGACGAAGGCCATCGGACCAAGCTATCATCTGACGGAACCATGACCAACCCATACGACGGCGACAAGGTGTTTGCATCCCCAGATAAGAAATTCGTCGTCGTATGGCAATACACACCGGAAGAGTACCACGTCCTGCATCTCCGAGAGTCAGCGCCCGAGGACCAGCTTGAGCCAAATTTGCGGACAGTGCCGTACTTGAAACCAGGCGATCGTGTGAGAGTTGACCGCCCCCGGCTGTTCGATCTGGATTCGAGGTGCGAGGTGCCCACGAGCGACCTCTTGTTCGACAACCCGTATAAGATCAAGGACGTGGGCTGGGACGAAGGCAGCTCCGAGTACCGCTTCATCTTCAACGAACGCGGCCACCAGAAGCTCCGCCTGATAGGCATGAAAACGACTGGCGAGGTCAGAACCCTGATCGAGGAGAGCAGCGAGACCTTCGTCGACTACTCCAGCAAGCTGTACCACCGCCTAGTTGACGGCACGGATAGCATGCTCTGGTTCAGCGAGCGGGATGGGTTCAACCACATATATTTCTTCGACCTCAAGAGCGGCCAGCTGAGGAACCAAGTCACGAAAGGGCAGTGGAACGTTCATTCTGTCACCCACGTTGACGAGGAGAAACGGCAGATCTGGTTTCAAGGATATGGCATGGTCGCTGGACAGGACCCCTACCATGCGCACTTGGCTCGCGTTGACTTTGACGGGAAGGACTTCAGGGTTCTGACCAAAGGCGACGGGGATCACCAATGGACGCTGTCCCCGGGGCATCGCTACTTCACCGACACGTGGTCACGGGTTGATCTGCCGCCTCGGTGTGTTTTGAGAGATTTGGAGACGGGAGATGAGATCCAGGAGTTGGAAGGGGGAGCAGACGACATCGAGCTCCTCCTTGCCAAAAGGTGGGTGGCTCCAGAAAGATTCACAGCGCCCGGGAGGGACAGCGAGACAGCAATCTACGGGCTCATCATCCGCCCGTCGGGTTTTGACGCATCAAAAAGGTACCCGATTATTGAAGATATCTACGCTGGTCCCCATGGTTTTCACACGCCAAAGAAATTCTCTACCCTATCCAAACAGCGCAAGTGGGCGGACCAGGGCTACGTGGTGGTCATGCTAGACGGGATGGGGACCAACTGGCGGTCAAAAAGGTTCCACGACGTGTGCCACAAGAACCTCAAGGACGCCGGGCTTCCAGACCGCATCGCATGGATCACGGCGGCCGCCGGGACGCGCCCGTGGATGGACAGATCCCGGGTCGGCATCATGGGGGGCTCGGCCGGGGGCCAGAGCGCCGTGGCCGCGCTGATCCACCACGGCGGGTTCTACAAGGCCGCCGTTGCCGACTCGGGGTGCCACGACAACCGGATGGACAAGATATGGTGGAACGAGCAGTGGATGGGCTACCCGGTGGACGAGTCCTCGTAGGACCCGTCGAACGTGGTCCACGCGGGCGGGCTGGCTGGGGCTCTGATGCTGATTGTGGGCGAGCTTGATGAGAATGTTGATCCTGCCTCGACTTTCCAGCTGGTCAAGGCCCTCAATGACGAGGATAAGGACTACGAGTTCGTGTTTATACCGGGGGCGGGACACTGTAGCGGTCGTGCGAAGTTTGCTCTTCGGCGACAGGAGGACTTTTTCAGACGTCATCTACGCCCATGAACTCGTCTCTAGCCGCCTAGATCAATGGAATGGGTGGTGGTAGAGGGGAGAAACATGCAAATTGATGTCTCGTTAAGGGTAAGCATGTACAGAGCGCAATTGTCACAGCGGATTCAACATGATGGATTGAAATTAACAGAGTCTTACAACATCGCCATCGGTTTACATGCTCCGTCCTGGTTGCCCATCGCCTCCTTTTTGTCTAGCCCAGCAGTACATGAGGTTCTTGCGACACATATGTCTACATGCCATCGTATCCGTACAGGTCTTGCGAGGTCCATCTTGATCTACTCTTCTTCTCGGACAGGGAATAAAAGAAAACAGCGTAGGCACACAGGTAGGCATGGACTGACCTGACCAAATCCATCCTCGTCGGTTCTTCCAACCACCCGCCCGTCCCCCCCTCTGGTGTATCCCACCTGACCGCAGCAAATCCACGCCCGCTTCATGCCTCATAACTCATCGCTCATTAACGTCCTTGGAATGTGTCCATCAGAATCTCACACCCTCTCTCAAGACCAGACACACACACACACCATCCCCAATCACCCATCTCAGTCCTTCACAGGCCCCTGGCTCCGGCTCCGGCTCTGGCTCCTCGGCCTGCGCAGGTCACACTTGCGCACGACGGTGATATTCCCGCGGTCCTTGGCGTCGCGCACGACAACAAGCGCGAGGTCATCCCGCACGCCGGCGGCGCTCTTCCTGGACACGGCCGAGCTGCGCGACGACACGCTGCGCGCCATGCTCGGCGCCCGGCTCCTGACCTTGCGCCTCTCGGGCGCGGGCGCGGGCGGCGGCGGCGGGGGGCCGACCAGGCTCGGGCTCGGCGGGATGGGGATGTCGGCCGGCTCGCTGGGGGGTGGCGACTGCGGCAGCGGGATGTGCGCGCCGTTATTCAGCCCCAGCCCAAGCCCCAGGTCGTGCTGGGCGGCCGTCATGGCCGCGATCAGGCCGTTGGCCGCGGCCAGCTGCCCCGCGAGCTCGGCGACCCTGCCCTCGAGCCCGGCCTTGTCCGCCTCGAGCGCGGGGACCTTTGCGGCCTCCTCCTCGAGCGCCGGGACGCGGTCGGCGGCGGCCCTGGTGTGGCCGAGCTCCACCTGGGCGACGATCAGGGCCGAGGCCGCCGAGTCGCGCTCGCCCTCGAGCTGCGTGATGCGCTCGCCGAGGGAGGCCCTTGTGCTCTCGACCTCGGCCGTGAGCTCGGCGTTCTTGGCCTCCAGGTCGGCTGTCTTGGCCTCCAGCTCGGCCGTCTTGATGTTGAGCTGCTGGTTCGCGGACTGGAGGTCTGCGACCTCTGTCTTGTCGTCTCCGGGGGGTGCGAACTCGACGACCACGACGTCCTTCTCGTCCTCGACGGTGGGCTTGGGCGGGGCCGCCGGCGCCGGCGCTGGGGCTGGCTCTTCTGGCGGAGGAGGAGGTGGTGGTGGTGCGTCAGCAGGCGTCGGCTGCGGCTCGGCCTTGCTGTCCTCCTCCAGGGAGGCGGCCTTCTTCTTGAGCTCCTCGTGCTCTGCCTCCAGGGCCTTGCTGCTGTCGAGCAGCTTGGCCACCTCGCCGTCCGAGGCCGCGAGCTTTGTGCGGAGGTCGATCAGGTCCTTCTCCTGGTCGACGGCGAGCAGTCTGTGGCCGTCGAGCTGGATCAGGAGGGTGTCTCGCTCCGAGGCCAGCGTGTTGGCCCTCGACTGCTCGACACCGGCCTTGGCCTTCTCCTCGTTGAGGCTGACCTCCAGGGACTTGACCGACTCCTTGAACTTCTCAACGTCGGCATGTGCGCCGTCAATGTGGGCGTTGAGGACGGCGATCTGCTCCTCCAGGTCTTGCACCCGGAGGTCGTGGCCCACGGTCATGCCGGCGACGAGGGCGTCCTTGGCAGCCTCGAGCCCCTCCATCTGCTGCTTGTGCTCGTCCTTGAGCGAGGCAATGTGCTGCTGCGTCTCCCTGGCGCGCGCCTCGAGGCTGCTCGCCAGGCTCTTGATCTGCCCGTCGCGGTCCCTGATCCTGTCCTCGAGGCCGTCCTTGTCCTTCTCCAGCGCCCCGACCTGCCTCATGAGCCCGTGCTTCTCCTCCACCAGCCCCTTCATCCCGTTCTCGAGCTCGGTGATGCGGTGCAGGTAGCTCTTGACGTCCTGGTACAGGCCGTCCCGCTCGCCGTGCAGCGCCGTGATCTCCCCCTGCTGCTCGTCGACCCGCGCCTCGAGCGGGCCCACGCGGCCCTGCAGCGACTCCTTGATGATCTGCAGCGACGCCACCTGCTCGACCACGAAGCGCTCCTTGTCGCTGACGTGGCTCAGCGTCTTGGACAGGTCGGCGCACCGCTTCTCGAACTCGTCCCTGATCCGCTGCAGCTCGGCGCGCTCCGCCTCGGTGGCCTCGAGCGTCCTGGCCTGCGCGTCGAAGCGCGTCTTGAGGTCCGCCAGGATCTTGCCCTGGTCGATGAACGACTCCTGCAGCTTGTCGTGCTCCCGCTGCGCCTTCTCGATGTCGCTGAGCTTCTTGTCCAGCTGCTGCTTTTCCTTCTGGCGCGCCCTCTCGCGCTCCTTGTCGGCCTTCTCACGCTCTTTGGTCGCCTTCTCACGTTCCCTCTCGGCCCTTTCGCGCTCCTTCTCACGTTCTTTGTTCGCCTTCTCCCGCTCCCTCTCAACCCTCTCGCGCTCCTTCTGGGCATTTTCGAGCTCGGCCTTCTCCTTCTGGAGTTTCTTCAGCTGCCGCTCGTGCTCCTTCTTCCGCTCCGCCTCGGCAGCCTCCTCCCTCAGCTTCCGCTCCAGCTCGGCCCTCTCCTTCTCCCGGGCCTGGAGCCGGGACCTCTCGATCTCCAGCTCGAGCTTCTGCACCTCCTTGGTCTGCTGGACCAGCTCCTTGCTGAGGTTCTTCTCCTGCTCGGAGACGGTCGGCCGCGCGGCCTTGTCCTCCGCCTTGGCCTTGACCTTCTCCGGCTCGGCAAACCTGACCGAGGGCACGCGCTTGATCGCTGGGGCTGGGGCTGGGGCCGGTGCGGCCCTGGCCTCCTTGGCCTCCTTGGCCTGGTTCTGCTCGGCCTTGAGCTGGGCGATCTTGTCCACCAGGGCCTCCTCCACCAGCTGCCTCTTTCGGGCCTCGTCGCGGTGCTCGCGGTGCTCGCGGGAGTCCGACCGGTTGACCTCGATGTGGATGTGGGGGGCGCTGATGGTGTTGCTCCGGGCTGCCGAGGAGCTGGAGGTGGAGGTATAGCTCCTGGAGGAGGAGTGGCTGCTCGTCACCGACTTGGTCGATGACGAACTCGCAGAATCCTTGCTCCCGTTGGAGAGGATGGACTTCTGGGTCGTGTGGCGGAGGATGGACGGGCGAGGGGTCTCGGCCACCGCGCGAGACTGGGGCGGTTCTCGCCCGTGCGTCTGCGTGGGCGTCGTGGTCCTGGTCTGGGTTGGTGTGATGTTGTACGTGTCGCCCTTCTCGGTCATGTCCGACATGACACTCGTGGCAGTGGTGCTGGTGGAAAGGCACGATGCGCTGTCTCCCTCCGAGTCCCAGACGTTGTCGCCCGAGAAGTGGTCCATGGAGATGGTCGAGTTGGACATGGACAGCTGCGTCGTCAGGTCCGTCGGCCGGCGGTACGGGACCGTGGGCGCATCGGCCGGGAAGGCGCCTGGCAGGTGCATCTGCATCGAGGGCTGGCTCACATGCGGTCCCATGGGCCCCGAGAGGTCCAGGTGATTCACGCCTGGCGCGTTGGTGGAGAATGGGTTGGCGGACAGAGGGGCCACAGGCCGGCTGCTGTTCAAGGACACGACAGGCGGCTGTGGCGCCAGGCCTGGTGTCTCTCTGATCCCATGTTGGCTGCCGAAGATGCTCGGTTGTGTGCTGCTGGCGTACATCGACGTGGGCCGTTGATAGGCCGGGGCCGTGGCACTGTGCGACAGCTGTGGCCTGTACGGCTCCTGCTCGAGTCCGTAGACAGGTCGCGCAGGGGGGGCAGCAGTGCTCGGGCCTGGTCGGGCGGTGCTGGCAGACTTGCTGGTGGTCCTCGAGGGGCGGAGGGAAGTGCCCTGGTGGGAAGAGCTGTTGCTGTTGCTGCTTGAGGACGGCGGGGCGCTTCCTGTGGACGCCTTGGTCGAACTCATCGATAGTCCGGATGTCTCAGAGGCGTCGTCATGGTCCATGTGGCGTGACAGCCGGTGAGACTTGGTGTCATGTGAGCTCGACCGTGCCGATGGGGACCTCGACTGCCTCGTGCCAGAGGGCTCTGTGCTAGCTTCATTGCCCGCCCGCTGGTTGCTGTTCGTCTGACTCTTGCTCTCTGCGGGCCGGAAGTAGTCCATGCCTGGGAAGGCCCAGGAGCCAGAGGAGCGAGAGGTCATTGCTGCTGGCCCGCGGCTCAAATCCTGCCGTGGTTCTGGGTCGTGATCCCTTCGAAATCCTGCCGGGTGTTGATAAATATGCAAATTCAGCGGTCTCGGTAACGTCTTGTGTGGTGGTACTGAAGTTGCGAGGACTTGATGCTCATGGTATATCGGCAGGGTCGGAAGAGTGGCAAGTCGATGTTGACTTTTTTTTGTTTGTCGAGGATAATGAGCAGACCAAGATGGGCTGGCTGCAAGGGTAAGGCGAGCTGCAGTATAAAAGGGAGAGATGTCAAACGACACACATGCAGCTGGGCCGACGTCAGACAGTCAGTCACAAAGGGAATCACGACCCAAGCAAAAGCACCCGGGCAGTCGATAAAATGTGCGTCTCAAGGGTGGTTCTGAGCGCAATAATTGCTGTGGCAGGCGTCCCAAACAGGCAAGACGGGCTGTTCCTCGCCTGTCCGTCCCGCGATACAAACTTTCGTTGGGCACCGATGACATGGGTGTGCCCAGCTTCCAGCCAACAGGGGAGACGCTGTCGACGGCATGCTGCATTCTGCCCTGCGTCTGCGCGGGCTGGCGGGCTGCAAAAAACCCACACCCACCATGCGTTCGTTCGGCCTAGCCTGGATGAAGCAAGCGTTGCCAGGGGCCCGAGATGCGCACCTGGATATCCCGCTGCCAGGCTGGGAATAACAGTCGACTGGGCCTGGAGAATGGCAGTCTGGCAGAGGACTGACTGGTGGTTCTGGTGGAGGGTGTGGCCCGCCCCGGATTTCCAGGGGTTCCAGACTTGGTCGATGCGGTGGTTTTCTGTGGATGACGGCACTCTTTCTCCTCTCACCGTGTCCACTCTGCTGCGTTCAGCATGCAACATCTCTTGGCCGGCTGGTGTGCAGCATTGGCCCACCGTGTTCTGGATGTCAATTGTGAGTCAAGTTCGCCGTCTGGGACTCTGGACCCTTCCCCCAAGATGCAGGCGTCTTGGAATAATCTCTCGCCTCACTTTCATTGGAGCCGGGACCAGAGCCAGGGAGCCCAAGAGTTCGTTTTGGGGGTGGCAAAATTAGATTCGTGTTTCTTGTGCGACGTCGAAGCTGGTGGTCGCACACCCATACAGAGAGAGGTACATACGCCTCGCCCTGGCAGCCCTGGCTGGCTCTGACATCTTCCCAATAAACTTGCTTGTCGGCCCGGCCTGCCAGTCCAGTCAGCGCCCGGCACACACACACACGCATACCTCTACGCCAGCTGATGCTGAGTTGTCTGCGCTTTTCACCAGTCGCTGCCGGTGACAGCTTGTGCTGTACGACTTGCCCTGGCCCAGATGAAGGCGCCTGGGCTCGCCCAACTCCGGCTCAACACTCCCACAGGCCCGTGGCTCGCTGCCAGGTGCATTGTCGGGTTTGCCCTGCTTGCGCCGTGATCTCCCAGCCACCGCCGTTGGCCCAGGAGCCGGAGCTGATTCGCGTCGCGGGTTTGCATGGCGCTTGTATTGGTTTACTTTTTGGATTCAGTGGGGCATGGCTGCAGTCTGCAGTCACCTGCACGCGGATCATCTCTGAGAAAGGGCCCCCAGGCACCGTGGCTTGCCTGGGCACTCGTTCTGACAAGAAGGGGGCCGTCTTGGTGCCCGATCTTTTTCTGCCCGTCCGGCAACCGCCCCCAACCCAACCCCTGATTCGTCCTGCGTCTCCGGATCGGCAACTTAGGGACCCTTGGGCAAAAACTTACCACACCTCAGGACCTCGGGACCCTTGGGCCAAACGAGACAGTTCTGGCATCACACTTTGAGTCTTTCTCATTTCATCTCCCTCCCTCGATGCCATGATTTATTTTTGGGTCAATTCACGTTGGCCGTGGTATTAAAAGAACAAATCGTAGGCAAGGCCCACGGTTAATACCGCCGTCATTGAAAAGCTGTTAATTCTATTGTCCCCAGATGCCACAACGTGTGTTTGCATAGTCTGCTTGCAAATGCCTTGGCGGATCTAGTGGGTACGTACTTAGTCATACTACTGTACATGCCTTTTTGACTGTATGGACGTGGCGCATGGGGCATGAATGCTGCGGTACGCGGGTAGGGCTGCATGCCATGTGTTGGCTCCGTGACAAGTAGGCTACTCCTCTCCGGGGCTGCTAGGATTGTGGCTGCGCCCTAAGGACCCTGAGCATGTGTCAAGGCGGACTGTCAGCAGCCATTTGATTCGATGAAAGAGTAGGAACTGCCGCCAAAGCGCTTGATTCCGAGCCCTTCCAGCCTTCGAAGCGTGTCCAGGGACAAGTAAAGACACTACCCTATGCCTATCCGGATTCCAGGCTCTGCCTAGGTACTAATCTCTCCCATTCATGCCCTATGCCACAGGAGTAGACTTGGTAAAACCAACTCGTACCAAGGCTGCTCTTATTTAGTCTGTGAAAGACAGGTAGCAGTGCCCCAAGTGCTTGAGCCGTTATCGACGGTCTTTGCCCCGACGACCTTCAAAGGCGGTTGACTTTCCCTTGGCTGGGCTGTGACCGTGGGGGGGGGGGGGGGGCGATAACCCGATGAACGTCTCCAAATGGTTGCACCTTATTGATAGTGCTACTTCTCAGCCTGATCTTACCGGGACGCTATTTCCCGTGTCAGTTGGGCGACAGACGTAGGTCAGCCTGGTCGGGCGTCCGTTGACGCTGTCCAACTACTCCGTGCCCAAACAGCGCAGATTGTCTGTTGCCCATGGTCTTGCAGTCCTCCTACGGGCGTCTGATGGCTCCCGACTGGTCCACGTGCACATGAAGCGCATAATGCAGTAGTAGGCTCGTGTGGCGTGGGGATATGTGGCTGTTGTGTTCTCGATGACTCCAATGTTCCAGCCAACAAAAAAGTGTTCGGTCTGCCTGGGGCTGTGCCTCGACGTACCTAGGACGTACTAAGGGTGACCACCACGCCATCCCGTGTTATTGGCATTGTGTCCTTTTTTTCTTCTTCAAATGCTGGGCCTTTAGCATTTACCGCGGCACCACGGCGCCACATACGTTTTGTATGCATCGGGGTTAGAAACAAATCCACTACGCCATGCCAACCGGCCCAATCCTTCATCATGTGGTCTCATTTCTAATTCCCATACATATAAGATGTTTGTGGCGCCTCTATATAGTGAATCCTTCATCATACGGTCCAATATTTTCTCTGCTGTATGCTCAGCATGATCACCAAGGTACGTAGCAGCTCTTAAAACCCTTTTCAAGGTTGTCAGGCTTTCCACATTCCACAATTCAGCCAAATGCCCCTTTTCAGTTATACATTTTCAACCATTGCTCAAAGTGTCAACGTCTCTAACTCGAAGCCTTAGCATTATTTATCCTCATACTGGTTGTAGCTGGTTTCGCTTCTATTCCCCATAAGTCCGAGGACATACATGGCGCCTTCATACGGTGGTAGAAACCTCGGAGCAAGACCTTTGACCCTCCCATTCTAGTTCTGCCCCTCAACATAAAGCTCGTATTCATAGGCCGAGAAGATGAATGGCGCCACACCCTTGAGGTCATTTTCGAAGAGAGGAATGCTGGCGTAGTACTGTTCATGCGTTAGTGGACAGTCGCCCACCCACGGGCCCGTCTGCAAGTCGACAGAGGGGCTTACCTCAAATGTTCCGTTGGAACTCAGACTCCCCGTCTGCACCGTCCAGCCAAAAACCAAAGCCCCATCGCTCTCCGTCTTCTCCGCAAAAGTGCCGGTCATGAGGTCCCACCCGCTGGTCGCCGCCGCCTCGTACTGCTCGCCGGAGATGTAGCCGAGGCGCAGGCTCTTGAGCAGCCCGTACACGAACATCGACGAGCCGGAGCTCTCGATGTAGTTGCCCGAGCGCGTCTCCATGCCGGGGTCCATGATGTTGTACCAGCCCTTGTACACCTTGTCCTGGGCGGCGACGATGGCGTCCGCCAGGCTCTGCAGGTAGGTCAGGAGGCGCTCCCTGCCGGGGTGGTCCTCTGGGAAGTAGTCAAGCGTGTCTACGAGTGCCATGATGTACCTGTCTTGCCGTCAGCTTGGGCTACCGCGGGACGCACTCTGTGACCGAGGGGGCTCACCATCCAACAGCACGGCCCCACACGTGAGGCGATGCACCGGTCTCGGGATCAGCCCACACCTTCGTCTTGGAGACATCGAATCCGTGGAGCGGCAGCCCATTCGTGCGCTCTCGATCTACAGTAGTGCCCGCATCGATCAGGTCGAATTGCAGGGCGATATCGTCCCAGGCCGTCGTGTTTTCAGGCTCGAACTCGTACGTCCATCGGGCATAGAACACATCCAGCATGTAGATTCCATCCAACCACATCTGTTCCGACCCAATTCAGCCTCTTGGCACGCTCAGGGCTCACCCCATCGATGCTTCCACGTACCTGATCAATGTAGTCTGGGTAACGATGATAGAATCCTCCAGCTGGGGTGCGGCGGCTGCGGTCGATCTGATCCCTGAGGAATTTGGCCGCAGTCTTGTAGATCTCCTCGCCGCCAGTAATGTTGTACATGTCGAGGAACGTATGCCCAAAGCGGATGTCATCAATGGAGTTGCTGTTGTTGTACATGAGGATGCTGCCATCGTTGGCCGGGTAGAGCTGGATGTCTGCGTGCTTCTCAATGTACGCCTTATACTTATCGTCCTGGGTGCGGTCGTACGCGAGCTTCACGCCGGACAGCAGCGCCGACACTGTGTAGGCGTGTGTGGGCTCAATGCCGTGCTTGATCTGGCTGTCGGCCATCCATGTCAGGTAGCGAGGCTGCCCGTGGAAGTCACCTGGTGAGATCTTCTGGGCCGGGGGGATGGTGAACCAGCCATTGGGCAGAGAGACATTGTTTGCCGCGAGAGCGGTGCCGGCTAGTGCCAGGTTACCCAGAAAGGACTTCATCATCATCGATGTCTTTGCAGCTGTGCCCCCGCATATCACGATAGTATTTCATCGTGCCGAGTTCCGGCCTTTTATAATCTCTTGACGTCCCTCGATGCTTCCTAGTGCCATTGCTTACGGAAAATTTGACGATGCTGCCCTGCACCCAAGACTGTATTGCGCATGTACCGCAAGCCGGCCAAGCACTTCTCCTCCTCATCTCTCCCCTGCACGAAATCGCTCGGCTCCTTTCATTGTCGTTGCACTCGATGGTAAGTCTTGGTACAGTTCCACATATCCACACGGTCGCACAACATGATTGGAAGGCCAGCCATGCGAACGGTGAAGGCTGGCGATCAGACGCAGATGCTCGCCTCTAAGATAGCCCGTTGGGTCTAATCATAACCGCGGAAATGTCATCGGAAAAGTGTCTCTGTGTCCATAACACCGGGGCCGATGCTAAGTTACTGGACGGATAAATATTTAGGGCGCATGCGATGATACTTGGCACTTTGCGGGGAAATGGGTATCCCTCATGTTGTCTGCGACTTGACTGGCTGGGCAAGGAGCACGCATGACTGGGTACCGGTAATTTGGCGATGGGCTCTTTTTTAAGGGGATAAAAACCATACACTAATGAACATGCGAACTTGGGTCCCTTCGGACTGACCGAACTTTAAAATGCCACAAAAAAACTTATTCCCAAGATCGCCCTTTGACCATGTGGCTGGAGGCTGGCACTTCACCAACTTGCCTCGTCCAGGAGTCCGTTCTCCAAATGGAAACGCTCCAGCTGCCTTGAACGAGCTCGCCAGCCACGTCCCGTCGCATCCAGAAGGAGGCCGTCCTGGTGTCGGTGACATATTTGAAAGTCGTCACGACGTGAACCCCCTTTGCCCGAAGCTCCTTGGCCTTCTCGGAACTGTCCCCAGTCTCATCATCGAGCAGCGTCATCCTTAGCGCTTCCGGCATTCTGCCGTGGTCTGTGTTGTAAAACACAAGGATGAAGTGCGGAATACGCAATTGGACACGTCCAACGTTGAAGTCTGGAAACGTGACAGAATATTCGCCGACATCTGCCAGTGTGACCTGGGCTCCATCAGCAACGACGAACCCGAACGGAATCAGGCCTCTCCAAATGCCCAGAACTGTGGTGAACTCTGCAACCCACGGAGCCACAGTAATCTGCTTCAGCGGATGCAGTTTGCTCACATCCTCCGCATCCATGACTTCCTTCCTCGGCGCCCTTGCCGTGGTCTTAACGGTGCCAGATGTAAGGTTCTCGATCACGGTTCCGAGCCAGTGGGCTGGGTAGCCTATTTCAGCGAGGCGCACGACCAGCCTCATGAAGGCAGTCAGGTTGAGAGGCGCATAGACTGGGGCCCCGTCGTCGGGGTCGCGCGTCGCAGGCAGGCAGAGCTTGAGGAAGTGAGCGTACAGCCATCTCTCAACTCGTGCCCGAGGCATGAGCTTCCCCCAAGGCAGCTTTGGTGATGTGCCAGACAGCTGCCACGCCCAATAGTTGCTGCCCAGGTAGAACGGTTCTCCTGGAATGTCGGCTTCCCCGTCGTACTGATCAAACATCTCGGCGCGGAAGTGATTCCTGATCTCTTGCTTGCTCGACATGAGCAGGTATTCGGACAGGAAGGACTCCTGCGACTCGAACTTTGGTGGGTTCAGGAGGCAATTGTACTGGAAGCTGGAGCCTGCGTCTTTCAGCAGCGGCTGAGCGTGCTCGAGTGGGGTGAGTATTCCGCCCACGTAGTCCCTGTGGCCTGAAATGAGTTCCATGCTTCACCCCGGGGAGCCGCGAGAATGGAAGAAGTGGAATGGCCTGGAAGGCTTTGCATCAAGCAGAACTCACGGGATATTGCTCATATGCACACGATCAAACTGTTGCGGGAGCGACATGGAGGGTCTTGTCCCAGCCCGGCCGTCTATGAGGCCGTATCTGAGTCCCTCCATGATGTCTGTCATCTCCCCAGCTATAATCTCCATCCGAACCTTGGAGGATTTCAGGACATGATTCAAAGACCCGGCAACCACGGAGAAGTAGGTCGCTATGACTTGGATAACTCCCTTCTGGCCAGGAAATAGGGTGGTTGTTGCTATATCGCCCAACAGACACGTGGCTACCTCCATAGGGTCTCCCTCTATCCCGAGCAACTTCGTCCATTCAAGGCCAGCGGGCCTATTCACTTCAGAGTTGCGCTCTTTCTTGGTCTGCCACATGAGGTCGATCATCGTCACGTTCGTCCTCCAGTGCTTATTGATGTGGTCGTCAAGTTTGCGCCCGGCTTGCTCCCTGGTAGCTTGCTTTTTAGACCTCATCTGCTCGAGGATTGGGGCAAGTTGGGGCTCGTGTAGCCGAACAAAGGCTTCGGGCGGCGGGGTTATTGTAAATTCGTCGAAAATCGCCTCATCTTCCTCAAATGCGGCAGGTGTCGGGGGGTCGATGTCCATCAGGCCATTCAACATACGACGCATTCCTTGGTCACGCATGGCGGCTTGGGTTGTCTTTCTGATGTTCTCTGGTCGGTAGAGATCGTCCAATGGTTCGGACCACAGGCGCAGATGCTGAAGGACTTGTGCCCGGGTGTCTTCTGACATGATAACCCACTTGAGGAAGGCACTTTTCGGACTGTCTCTCTCAAGAATGTCTATGAGGTTTAATATCGTCTTGGACAAAGTCGCGTGGACAAACGGCGGCACAACGTGCCCAACAAATAGGTAAGCAATGGTCCAAGTAAGATTGCTGGTCTCTTGGCCCTTGAGGCCCTTAGGCAGCTGTGACATGAGTCTCAGCATGACGAGTATTCGAGCCAGTGCGGCCGGTTTCAGGTCGATGAGGGTGAAGTGCAGCTCTTTCGGGAGATTCTCGTTCATCAATGACTCCATATCTGGCACCACGATGGATGTCAAGGTCTCCCACAGATTGCGCGCATCACCTATTCCGCACATGAGGAATGATAGACTGCTATCGCCACGGGACTTTGCCTCCAGCCGTTTTTCAAAGAGGGACTGGGCAGAGTCGTGGCCGATTGGATAATATTCAGGTTCATCTTGTCTGCAGAAATTATCAGAACACGCGGCAGTCACCGTGATGGACTTTGCTCTCTTACAAACACGGCTTGTACCGGGGCAGGCGATCTAAGATATCGCGTCTCATCGTCTTGATGTTCGCATCTGGGTGCTTCAGCCCTTCAGATACTCTCAAGCTTTTCAAAATCAAGTCTTTCCCAGGTACGTCACCGCACTTCGCAAGGGCTGATCGAGCCTGTTCGGTTTGCAAGCAGTGCAGGTGGCAGCGGGCTAGGCGGAGGTACAATTTGTCCCTCGACGGTGACTCGTCGCCTGTCAGCGACAGGGCTTTCTGGATGAGTTCCGCTGCTTCGCCGTACTGGCCCATCTCAAACTTTGCGGCTGACAGGTTTGAGACTGGTGCCGGGTCATCCGGCGCCAGGGACGCCGCCTCCTGGTAGCATTTGATGGCTTTTCAATGCGTGTGTGAGAGCGTGCGAGCCCGGGGAGATCGTGGAGGCGAACACTCACCTTCCGGCAGCTTGCTCTGTTTGTAGAAGGCATTGCCTCGCTCTCGCGCCGCGGTCGCCATGAATCGCAATCGCGTGATGGTCAGGAGTCGGAACAGACGAGGGTGATGTTTCTGCAATGAAGAACCGGTCCTGTTTCTGTTGCTCTTGACGTTGTAGCCCTACGTCCTCGAAAGGTAGAGTTCTACCAAATTTGCTTGCAGGGGGTTCCGAAACACCCCGCTCGGCTGCTCATTTGTCCTGGCAACCAGGACAAGAGCCAATGTCCACCCACCCAGCGTTTTCCGTCCACCCACCCAGTACCGATTTTTCTTAACAACTCCCTTACATTTGAAAGTACTTTCTGAGTTCACACCAAGAGAACTCCACGCTATTTTCTTCTCCAATTCATACCACTTAAGGTACAAGCCCCTTCGCCCTCTGGCCTTCTGGCCTTCTAGCATTCAGTTGGCATCCAGCATGTCTAAATGGTCAGTTGTCACCTAAATATCTACAGGCCAAAAGGGTGCCAGAAGGGGTGCATGAAGGCTAGAAGGGGCTTTGTACCTTAGTAATTGAAAATTTAGAGAATCCTGGTCAGGTACATAGTTTTATATGGACCGTCCACGTAAAACCTTGTACTGGGTGGGTGGACGGAAAACGCTGGGTGAGTGGACGCAAATGCTGGGTGGGTGGACGCCCCGTGCAATGTTTGTTAAACAGATCGCGAAATCCCTTGCAGTCCAAAAGACAGCAAGCCTTCAGGGGATATGCAACTGATCCCCTTTTCTTATCCGGTGTTTAACATCGCGAGACTGTGTTCTATTTCCCTTTTCTGCCTACCCTCCACCAGGTTCGGGCACATCGGCTCTTTCATCATAATTTCAGCACAAACAATCACCCACCACGGCAGCCTTCCTGACTTAAGATGCTTTTGTAATTCGCGAAAGGAACGGAAAAGGATTATAGGCCTTGTTTCCCCCCAAGACACCTACTACTATACTACCACGAGCAGGGGAAAAGGTTCCAGGCACGGGCATGCATTGCATTTGAGAAAGAACATTAAAATTGTTTTTACGGATGTCACGTATGCAAACGTAACCGGTGGTTTGGTTGGCTGAGTTGTTCGTCCTTTCAGCCGAAATTTCAGCTCGAGGAATACACTTCTGTCGACTTGGGGGCAGTGTGAAGTCGAAGCGTGCCGTGTGCATCGATGTGAAATATGAATGTGCTCATGTAATCATTTCCATTGAATGTTGAACCGTCGGAGCGCTTGTGGAGAAGAGTGACATGTGGAATATGTAAGTGAATAGCAAGTATCCGTCCAAGGGTGAATGAAAATGCCCCACCCAGGAAGGAAGTCGACGGACTCGGACTGGGACCTGTCTGCTCCCCAGATGCTGCTTGATGCCACCTCCCACTCTCCTTCTTCCGCACACCACTCAACAAATGACTTTCCGGAGATTCTCTGTCAACTTGGTCGCAGGACGAGTTCATTCTTCTCTTTGCTCCCGTTTGTTTCCTTGATCATCAACCGGTGTTTTCTGCCCCCCCCCCCTCCAACCGACCGGTCTTCCTTGAGCATTGTCACGATGGCGACCTTTGTTGACTACTACGCCGTCCTTGGCATCGAGCCTAGCGCAAACCTCAACGAGATCAAGAAGGCATACCGTCAGCTCGCCCTCAAGCACCACCCCGACAAGGCAGCACCAGGGAGCAAGCCCGACTCGAGCAAGTTCATCAGCGCCTTGGCTGCTTACGAAGTCCTGGTAGATGATTCCAAGCGCAAGGCGTACGATGTTCAGTACAACAAGGCCTCCAACGGCACGGCTACCTATTCAGCGACCCGTGCGACACAACACCGAAAGCGAAAGGCAAGCGGCGGATTTAGCGGAGGGTTCTGGTCTCATCCGGCGCGCGATGGAGATGGCATCAACGTCCCCGGCGCCTATCCTTCGGAGGATGAGGCGAGTGAGTCTGACTATCAATACGAGGAAACAGACGCATACGAATATGCATGTGGCGACGGGGAACGCTACTTCCATTCCTGTTGCACTGGAGAGTCCAGCTTTGACAACACTAGCCTCTACTCTGAGGGGTCTGACGCAACGGACAACCGATCCCAGTCCCCTCACGACCTTACAGAGGACGTCTCTCCCGCCCAAGGCTGCGGCAGCGAGTCGGGAGCCGAGACTGAGCTCCGCCGCGGCGACGAGAAGAAAGCCTCGAGCATTGCTGACCCCATCAGCGGGGCTTTTGACATTCTGGAGGACATTCTAGAATCGCAGTACCTGGGGGACAAGGTCAAGGGCCGCTATTATGGTGAGTACATGCTCCATTTGTCCGATGTTACCGAGTGCGTGGATGCCCACTTGGGTAGGCAGGTTTTGTCGGGGTTTGTGTCAGGATACATAAACCTCTCGCATTTTTGCTGTCAATCTAGGAAGCCTATGGGACATTATTCATGCTGAAAAGCAAAAGTACAAAGGATATTAAGCTGCTTCTGAAATTGACCAGGTGGCTGACGTATTTGATTGCCAGACAACGCTCTAGACGAACTTCGCCTGCAGAAGGGCCGGTGCAAAGAAATCGACAACAAGCTCGATGATATCGATGCTCGAATGCGCCGCCGCGTCGGCGACATGCCCGCTGGCAGCATCCCCCTCCAAGAATTTGATAACTCCCTCAAGCGGAGAATCATTGCTGCTCATCGCACCGTCAGCGCCGCTCAGCTGGAGGTCGAGCGAGCAATCTTCATCATGCGCCACGAGAAGAAGCCCGGATCCTGGAAGGCCAATGACAAGACGACGCGTGGCGTTATCAGTACGATCGAGAAGAGCGCCGATGTCTTATCGCAGATGAGGCAGGGGCTGACCGGCCTGGAATATATCATGGTCAAGATGGAGGGATGGGCCAATTCGGACCTGAGGCAGCTCAAGGGCTGTTTGTTTAGCTTCATGTCTGACCTGCGCGACTGGAGCGAGGAGATTGCCTCGCGCACATGATGCTGGTCGCGAGTCACAGGCAAGCCATGCCTGCCGTGGTGGAAATGGAGCGGCTGAGATCGACAAAGTCTCTCAAACAACCCCCCACATTTTGATGAAGGCATGGTTCACGGCATGAAGGATTTGTGAGGGGAGGCAAAGGCGGCCAGTGGGACACCTTCCGCCGGAAATGTGTTCAACAGGGTGTACAAGGTTGTGCAAGGTTTGAGGGTTTTGACAGCGTGCACGTGCTCCTCTGTGATCATTTGGATTTGTTCCACACAGTTGGAATTGAGCATACAGCGTTTCTGTCTATTTGTGAGGGGAGGTATAATGGTGGAGGTGTGATCGGATGAAGGAGCCTCTGGGTGGTAGCCAATCGGCCAAAAAGAGCTTCGTGGATGGGCTATTGTGGTGTGGGAAACAATAGTACTCGACGCTTCCCTACGGTAGCTGGCCAGTACCTGAAAGAGAAGAATAACGCTTCTGAATAGGCACAATGAACAATAAGCAGGCACCCCCACCGTGCGGTTGTTCAACTTCAAAAGCCCATAAAAATCCCACGATCCCCGACCTTTGAGTTGTGGAAAAATCTTCGAGCAACCGAGATCTCCGATTTTCTTTAGCATCTGCAGACAATCCCAAGCTTTTGTGACTCATCAACTTGAAGTTGACGATCTTTTCTTCCCATACCCAGCCGATACCACCAGTCCCAGTCTCAGATTCCCTACTTTCAATTATGGCTTGTCTCCCAGATTCATTGATGCCTCAGGGCCAGGGCCGACTCTACCCACCTGGCCAGAGCCGGCTCGAGTTGACACCCACCGAAATCCTCACTATGATTGTCGGCGAGCTCTCACAAAACGAGCTCCAGTCTTACCTCGATATTCAAAACAGAGATCGGTGCGAGGCTATTGGAAGAATCCACCAGAACATAAGAAGTCTCTGCCTGACATCAAAGCGAGTTGAGTCTATCGCAAGGCCTCTCCTATTTCGAACTATCACGGTCTCTTCGCCTAAACAGCTGCTGCTGCTGTATTCAGCACTGCTGGAGAAGACGCAGCTCGGCTTTTACATCAGAGAGATCAGTCTCGAGATTCTTCCCAAAAGTATCAACCCGAAGGACTTCCTGCCTCTGCCCTCCGGAGCCTTGACCCTCCTCACCACGCCCTGGGAGAGTCCAGGCCGCGAACTGGACACTGAGGATCATGAGTACCCGGCTTACTATTGCGATCAAATTCTCTCCTTGGCCTTGTACTCGATACTTCGAAGAGCACCAGATACTCAGAAACTGGTCCTCAGAATCCAGCAAGTCTCGTTCCGCTACCCCGAGGACCGCGAAAAGGACCTCACCTTCGCGTACGAGCCTTTCTTCAGAAGGGTTCAGTTTGCACGTGCCAGAGCTGAGTTCCTCCCGCGTCTGAAGACTTTGCAGCTCCTTGGAGATCCAGAGCTCCCAGGCAAGATGGTCATATACGACATCTGCGCACCTCTGTTCCAGAGCAGCACCTTGGAGAACATCGCCGTGTCTCAGGTGCTGGGCCTCTTGGACGACTCGGGGTGTGAGGTCTCGTCCGCTTCTGACAAAGCTCTCGGGACTATCAAGACCGCCGAACTACGAGATTGTCTTTGTGGGGATCGGGAACTGCGGGGGTTTGGAAGTGTATTTCCCAACCTCGAGTCTTTCAAGTTATCACTCATGATGGACGACTTTTGCAACTCTAGCGACGCGAATGGCGCGCGCGGCGAGAATCGCTTCGAGGACCTCGAGGGGTCTCTGAGGAAGATGAAAAGTCTTCATACCCTGAATCTCGAGTTCTCGCACACTTTCAAGGCCATCGATATGTCGAAGTTGCCCGCAGAGGGCCTGAGTCTTGCATCGCTAGTCAATCTGGCGATTCTGAGAATCCCTCTCATGATCTTGGCGGGTGGAGACGACACAACCAGCTGGAGCATCGGAAGTCGCCTCGCCCGGAACCTGCCGCGATACTTGAAGCACCTGACCGTGTCTATCGAGGTCAGCAGCCTCACGCACTGGTATGGGGACGGCGCCACGGATGTGTCCAGCGCAACCAGCACGCAGATCTCGACTATCCTTGGCTTCATAGAGGCGCTGTCCAGCCTTGGGACAGAGGTATTCCCGCACCTGAAAGAGGTAGTATGTTGCTACACGATGAAGGGTTACCGGCGCCGGCAAGAAATCGAGATCGCCGAGGCCACCAGCACGGACTTGGAGGAAGCGGATCTCTTTGGACTTGATGAAGACAGCTCCCAACGCCTAGAGAAACTCCGGAGATCAGTTCGGCGTTCACAAATACGTTTCAGTGTAGCATATGAGGAGCTCTACGGCAATATCGAGAGCCGGGATGGAGGTTGGGCGTGAGACACGGAGGGGATGCGCCGAAAGGGCTATCGTGGTTCCAGGATCTTTAAGAATTTCTCATAACAGCAGAGAATCAAAATTAGCCAGGCCCCTTCCGTCCTGATTCTTTCCCAGATGTACCTTCTATCTAATCAGTGTTGAGATGATGGTGAATCTGACTGCGGCCCTTGACAACCCCTCGACATCGCTAGCTTCCGAGCCCGCACCTCGAGCAACGTGATCTCGAAGATAAGCTCCTTCCGAAAGAATCCTCTGCCTTTAGACCTCTCCTCGTCTGTAGGACATGGATACTCGACTTTATCACCCCGGCAGTGGTGCGCGCGTGCGTCGCCATCATCATCACCGAGGGGCTTGCGTTCCCAAACATCCCGGCAGATACCCGTCTCGGAGATGGGATCCTCTGGGTCGATCCGGAACAGGTTCTTCTCGCCCGGAAGGATGGGTAATGGGCTTGTAATCCCTTCCATGTCCGACAATAGAAACTCAAAGAGGTCCTTCCTTTGCTCTGGGAGCAACTGCCAGATGCGGTACGTCACAGCGCGATGGTTGGAATGAAAATATATTTCATAGGGATCTTGAAGTGGTTGCTGCAATGCGCGGTACTGAGACAGCAACCATTCAAAATGCTCCCACTTATCCGGATCCAGAAGCTGTAGATTACGACGGGAAACTTCACTTCTATTGCAGGGGAGGAAGCAATCCTCCAGACACTATTACGGCCTGTTAGTGTGTTGTGCTGGACAGGGGGGGGGGCGGACAGTAAATGCGGAAGAGCATGCATGCCAGTGTAATACAAAAAACCTCACATTTTCCCAGGCGTCAATCTGCCGTCGCCGGTCAAACAGGATCACACCGCCGAATATCTGAGCTTCAGCCCAGTATCCGACTGCATCGGCGACTCCGTGAGGATACTGTTCGATGTCTTTATACTGGCTGTGTACGAAGAACGTCGGGGAGTCGTTATCCACCTTCAGCAGTGCTTTGTGGTCACCCAAGTCTAGGTCCCGCTTATATATATGCGCCGCGATCTGGTGTACAGATACGGCCACGAGTTCGATCAATCCAGCTTTGTATGCTTGAGACCCGGGTGATGCGGCGAGATAACGGCGGATGAGCTGTACGATGCCCGTGTGTGTTAGAACCGCTGTTCTGATTGGTACTGAGGCCAATGACTTACATCAAAGTTAAACTTCAAGGTATGCAAGTTGGATATGTCTAGAATTTGATCGACTTTCTCATGGACCCCACCGCACAGCTCGGAGTGTGCGTAGATGGGATGATCTCCTAAAGGCCTCTCGGGCATCGAAGAAAGAGTCTGGCTGAGTGGTGCACCATCCACAATTTGAGCATATGTTTACCGCGAAACTTCTGTAAGCATGACTCTCCCCAGTGCTCGCGTGTATGCTACAAAATGCTACCCTCTCCCCAGGTCATCAACTGTGGCCTTGCGAACATGTGGCTCAGTGTTGACTGGGGCCCGCGAAGGAGAATCGCTCGGCATCTGAGTTGGCGCCATGGATTCTTAGGATTACCCGGAACCAATGGGAGAAACCATGTGTGCGGGAAGTGTTATTATGGTGAAAGGTTAGAATGCTGAGAGCAACGTTGGCCAGTAATCCGTACAGATGTACTTATGTAGAGGGTCTCACGTGCAATGTTGCCTGGCGAGTGGATACGTCCATCAAGCTGACTCAGCCTACAAGGGAAGCACTCAGATTCAATGATAATTGTCCGTTCTTGATCTGCTACATCTCGAGGTCATTTAGTATAATGGGATCTTTGTACTTCCTGGTGGTTGAAAGTCTCCTTAGGCAGAGACTTACAGTCCTGGTCGTTGCAACGGGTCTAGCCTCACCACGTCATGTCACGAGAACAGCAGGATGACGCTCAATGCTGAATAAAGAGTGCGAATTTAGTCGACAGGATACTAGAGAACAGCAATGGACACTGCAATAAAGCATTGAGACTATACTACGCATGAATTGGTACATTACTGGAGTGGCTCCGTTTGTTATCGAACTAAGCAGGGGCGACGCCAAAGAGGCTCTAGGTAATCGATAGCATTTCATCTGAACCCCCCGTCTGCTCATATATTCCTCGTTGCTTCGTAGCGACGACTTATAGTGGAGCTACCCTCAGCTCCATGATTGCCTGATAATTGTCCAGTGTTCCAGTCGCCTTCAGTTCAGGCGTCCACAGAGCGTTGATCTTAGCTGCCGTTTCCAAACTCAGAGGGCCTTTCTGAATTGCTGCGACATTACACTTCCACTGCTCCATGGTTGTCGCTCCAACCACCATACCATCCTCCTTCGTAAGCGCCGAGTTGTATGCTACCCAGCGGTAGGCCATCTCGGCCCCAGAGATGCCCTCTGCGGCGGCAATGTTGTGCCACTCGTCTAGGGCTTGTAGAGCCAAGGGCTTGTTGTAGAGGAAGTGGTAGACCTTCCCGAGGAATCCCGCTTCGTTCCAACGGCCCTGGAGGGTGTCGGTGTGATCGCGGAATTGCTCGGATTTCTTGGCGAGGAAGCCGCCAGCCATAGGGCTGTATGCCACGAAGGAGATACCGTGCTTACGCAGAACATGTAGCAGCTCATCTTCAGGCAGACGAGCGATTGGGTTATAACTACCTTGGAAGACCGTTGGAAGGACAAAGTTGTTAGCCTTGCCAACCTTCATGACTTCCTCAACCTGTTCAACAGTATGATTAGATAGCCCCCACTGCTTGAAAACCCCCTCCTTGTAAGCAGCATCAAATCCAGATAGTGTTTCCTCAAGTGGAACACGTGCATCGGGGCCATGTAAGTATAAAGTCTCAAACTAAATATTGATAATGAGAGTCAGTATCTGTGAGGTGTGACGTCTTCAATAAAAATATAGAGAGCCGTATAGTAATTATAGTATTGTACTCGGGCTAGTTATAGTGTCGCACTTACCTGCTTGACACCAACCTTGCTTAAGCTTTGTCTAGCTTGGGAAAGAATGTTCTCCTTGTTGGAGACTTGGGTAGGGTGAACACCACCGGGAAGCTTCGTGGAAACAGGGAAGCCGTATTGTGACCCAACGTGAAGCTGCCCTAGCCACTCCTCACATTCGCCATAGGCAACGGCGCTGTCGAGCCCATTGACAATGTCCTTATTTTCCAAGAGGAGGTCGAGCCACGGCCTGACATCGTCAGCGGATGCAAAGCCCTGGTCCTTGCTGAAGATACCGGCCCCGAAGTCGATCCTCATCATGCTCATAGTTGGTAGGCTGGATTTGACACAGTAGTTGGTGTCTGGTGTGCAAGTGAGGGGATTGGAGGTGCTTCAGGAGCACGAAGAATGGCCAAGGACATCAGCTTTTGCGACGAGGACTTAGTATCAGTAAATGTACGAAGAAATGCCTCAGTGCTTTTTGTATGTACCGATTTGTGTCAGCAAAGGTGGAGTGTGGAAGCATTTTGGGCTCAAGTGCTGATCATCAGCATTGGCTAAGGCGGTTTCTGCCGTGCGTAGGATCAAACTATGCTACTCGAGGCTCAGTCGACCGACAGCCTTTAATACTACCAGTGACCGGCCAAAAGACTTATGCCACCAACCTGCATGTGATCCGACACGACGTCCAAAGATGCATGTTGACATAGTATGGGATATGTCATGGAGAACCTGCGCCGCAGTCTTGCGTCTTACTACTGGGGACTGGAAACAGACTGTCTAGACTCCAAGGGCAGTGGAATAATAACATTTACCACGCAGAGCGCAGACCTGGGTCCGCGTCGGCCTGAGATTACCTATCTGGGTAAATGCTGTACCTCTGCAGGTCAGCTGTCGCCCAAGTAGTCAGCCCTTCCAGCAGGATCAACCCAGGCGCCTACTAAGGGATTGCCAGTCTTCTTCTCATCACCTTGAGGCCCTTGCAAAGGTCCGATTCCTACCCGGATCAGTGAGAGGTCGTATCGCGGGGTTTCATTGCTGCATGATAGCTTGAGAACAACACCAGCGGTCTTTGTTTGGAGATTGCGAGAATGGGGCCGCCTTCCGCCGATCTCTGTGAACCCAACTATACTGGCATGGCGATGTCGTATGAGCACACCTGCTTACTAGGTACACCAAAGACCGTCGAAATAACCTTGGAACTCAGTACCAGACCATTTCTGCGAATCATCCTCAGAAAAGAGGGTAACCTGGGCTTATGAAAGTAGAAAAGCATTTCACATTCAGGATTTTATCTGCTACTAAAATATATTATTCGCACTCACATCCACCACAGTATGGGCCGGGGAAGGTGGCACCTCGCCAGTCTCCCACACCCTCTGTTCAGGCCCCACTTGAAAGACAATCTCACCTCCCTCAGTCATGATCCCTCCCGCATCCTCGTGCTCGAACCAGTTCTTCGTCCAATTTTCTCCGTTGATTGTTACGCCTTGGACATAGTAGCCTTGACGTCCGTCTCCATCATCCAAACCCTCCGCTCGGATACGCAGGGTACGATTGTGGTTAATCGTCATGTTCACGTCCTCGAACCATGGGCTCTCAATGAGATACACAGGTGTGGTAACGATTGGGTATAGCCCTAGCATCTGCCATATCAGCCAGCAGTTCAGCGCACCAGCGTCCGAGTTCCCAGGAATGCCGTCTGAGGTGTTGAAATAGAAATCATTGGCCAGTTGGCGTGATCTTTCGACAGACTTCCACTGCTTATTGAGATAGTTGTATAGATACGGCGTTTGGAAGTCAGGCTCGTTCGCAACGTTGTTGATGGTGGTAATGCCGTAGCCGTTGACACCAAGATCTACCCCTGACGTTTTTGGCTTGAAAACGTAGTCCAGTCGGTCTTCGAAGTGCTGCGGCCCGCCCATGAGCTCGATGACTCGCTCAACGTCGTGGGGAATTACGAAGGAATATTCTTTATCCTATCAGCAAAGTCTCTTAGAAGACAGCCAAGTAAGAAGCCAGGACTTACCGAACGCGGTGCCTTCGTAACTTTCATCCGCCCAGTTACATTCGCCGCAATCTGTGATGTCGTACGTTTTGTGGAATGTGCCGTTCGAGTATCGCGGCATTACGAAGCCCGAGAATCCCCGGCTCTCCGCCTCTGGGTCCCAGCTCCTTTGCCATCCAGCTGACCGGCGCATATACACATCACGGTCACCGGGCTCCTCGCCAGCAGCGATCTGAGCTACAGCAAAGTCGTTCAAGGAGTACTCGACAGTTTTGGAAACGGCCCGTGTGTTCCTATCAGCGGAAACATATGCCAGTTGAATCCAGTCGTCTAACGCGCCGCGGCCTTCCTTCAGTGAGCCCTGAGCGTCCACAGGGTTTTGGTCGAAGAAAGGAACCACCTCGGCGTTCTTCTTCACGGCAGCGTATCCCTCCGTCCAGTTGATGGCTCCGCGGAGCCCTTTGACGTATGCGTCGGCGAGAACGTTGTCGGCATTGGAGCCTCCTTGCACAAGGCCGTTGTAATTCCCGGATCTCCCATCGGGGAGATAGCCTTCGTGCTTGAACATGTCAATAAGAGATCGAATCATGCTTTCATAGTAGGCAGGCTGAATCAGATGCCACAGTGAAACCTGGTTGCGGAAAAGATCCCACATGGTGTAGAAGTCGTCCCAGTAGGGTTCATCCGAGTCCCATAGCGGGTTTTCGCCAACGCGCTCGCTCGGGATGAGGTGCATGAAGTACAAGCTTGAATACAGCAGTGCAAGCCTTGTTTTGTTAGCCCGCTCGGTCGTGTCCACACGAACCTTGGAGAAAACATCGCGATTCCATTCGTCGCGAGTGGCTTGGGCTGTGGTTCCAATGTCCCAGGAGGTTAGTTCTTCGTTCTTGTATGCGCATGCTTTATCAACCGAGATGAACGAGATTCCAACACGCGATTTGACCTCGGCGCTATGATCAGTGCCATTCCACGAGAAGATGGCCCCTACCCGCTCATTCATGGGGCCCGACCTCGCGGCAGAGCCACGGAAGGTCGGCTCAGGGATCGACTCGTTTCCAGACGAGCGGAAATGTCGTCCCACAGGAAATGTATTCTTCCCACTGAATGCCCTAGCTTTATCGGGCGCGGAGTCAAATTCGCCACACACGTAGACTACCACGGGCGCACCGAGGCACCAGCCATTGGCGATTGAGGCATACCCTGTGTAGATGCTGCTGTTCGGGTGGATCTCGATCTCACCGCCGGTATAGAATTGTGAGTCCCAGGAGCGCGTGGGATGAGGCAGGTAGTGCGACAAGTCAACGAGGACGTGCTTTTCGGAAGTCGAGGGGTATGTGTAATGGTAAAGACCTGCATGGCGAGACGCGGAGAGCTCGACGGTGACGCCGGACTCGAAGTGCGTTCGGAAATAGCCCACACTTGCTTCATCCTCGCAGTCCTAATAAGCGCCATTAGCTACGTATTCGCAATGCGCCAAAGGATACAAAATTCCACGCACACGAGTCTGCCAATATGTGCGGTTGTCCAGGAGGTTGACCGGCTCGTCTATTGAAGCAAGCGGCATCTGCGCCGGGAAGCCGTACTTGGGGCCACCACCCGTGCCGGATTCATGCATCAGGCTTATACCTGTGACTTTCCCCTGCGGCGTCCATCCACCGTTCAGCGCGCTCTGGTTGATGGGCTCCTCGTACGTGTCGATTCCGAGCTTGATCATGCCAAAGGGAACCGCGCCGCCGATGAAGACGTTGCCGCCGCCATCTGGAGGGCGTCAGTTTGCTAATTTGGGGTTGCGCAAGCCAAACGTGATTCATTTTAACTTACACACATAGCCTGGTATTTTCCCTTCAGATCCAATGAAAGGATTCACAAATTGGGTATAATCCACATCCTGAGCGTGAACCCGCAATGCAGCGATCGCCACAGAAAGCGATGCAGCTCGGACTGCAGCCATTGTGCGCATTTCACCTCAATCACTGCGCAGGCACAAAGCATGGCGTCGTTGTACGGTCAGCGGACCGCCCGTTTATTATACCATGAACAAGACGTGCATAGAGGGACCCCTCATGCCGCTTCCTGCACAATCCACTCCAACGCCTAACTCATTTTGCAATCTTCAAGGTTACTTTTCCGCTCGGCTGTCAGCATGTTTCCGCTTGCTATGACGTTGCAAGGACCCCTCTTTCTCGAGTAGGGCGCCTGCCAAGGTAAACCCCCCGCACGATAACGACTCACTACCGGTGTGCAGCGGACGTGGACGACAAGCCCGCTCACTTTCGCGGACCCACCGGGGTCAATATGGTATGTATGTAGGTGAGAGATGCCAGTAGCAAAGCCTCCTAGTCTTTCGCGGGTTACGCGGTGACGCATTGTAGCCCATTGCTTACAAGTCAAACATTGGAAAAGGATATCTCGCATAGACACTGCCTCGGGGTGACTGATGTATCCCTAGGTGATGTTAGCTTTTGTCGAAACTGGCCAGGACGCTACTCCATGATGGAAATTTAGTAGAATTGATGGCAGCATCGGGCAAAACGTACGCTACAACGATAGACAAGATAGACTCATCATTTGCTCAGGCCGAATTCCATCACTCCAACTTAACAGTGGGCGAAAGACAAAGGGACTTCCACATTTGTCGTCGGCAATCATGGCCCCAGAGTAGTAGCCTAATTGCGTGAGAGGGAAACGAGGCCACTAATACACAGTTTGCGAATAACACACGACGATGATTCATAGCTGTTCCAGGTTGCTTCCCGGAAACTATGAACGCGCGCCTAACATCAGCTGCCCCCCCCCCCCCCCAGATGCCGTCGACTTAAAGATAGCCCTTAGGCAGATATGTAATCCATGATGGCACCCTTTCAGCACTGGAAAGTGAGAATAAGGATGCGAAGACAATTTTGTTCGGCTACAGACACCACGATATTCGGTGGAAGTCTTCTGAAACGGTATTATGAGGAGATGACTGGGCATAAAATACCGTCAGAACAGATAATGTAGCTCACATTTCGCTAGATTATTCCCTGACATCAGCCAGTCACACGGACGTCCACACACCTCATGTCGTTGCTCTGATTCATCTGCACAGGAGGTTCTATAAAATGGCTCGCAATCCGCCTCAGGTCGCCTTTCTCTTTCTTTCTTCTCCGGCGCATCTCTTTTTTTGCAATCTTTATTTCATCATTGACACTCCCAGGAAAAAAGAGGGCTCACGGTAAGAAGCCCAGAGACCATTTCGATCTGTCAACTTAAGCCCCTTGGTATTATGGCGTACTCCGGCCGGGGCAAAGGTGCCCCTTACGACCACCGCCCCACAGGCTCACGAGGGCAGAGCAGCACCCAGCAGCGGGGCCAGTCCTCGCAGGCAGGCAGCAGCCGACTTGAAACTCTACCCAGCGAGCTTCCAACCGCTATCATTCAAAGCCTTACATCATACGAACCATACTCGCACGACCCTGACGACCAGGCCCTTCTGCGGGACTTGAGCAATCTTTGTCTGGTCTCAAAGCGGATGGACCTCCTTACCCGTGAACATCTTTTTAGAAAGGTGCCCATCAAGAGCATTCGCACGCTCATAAAACTTTTTCATACCTTGACTACAGAGAGAACTAAGGACTTCGCCTCTTTCATCAAGGAGGTCGACGTCAGTCTTGACTTTCGACAGGGCCTTAGGCCCCTCCGGCTCTCCGCGGCTGATCGAAACATCCTGGTTGAGGACTTGAATCGATATGCCGACGGAACATTGTCTGCACCCGAGAATGACTACGACATCCTGGGTCTCTTATTGTATGAGATCCTCGACAAGGCTTCCAACCTGCGCTTATTGAGCATGCACATTGCGGGAACCAATACCTGGCCAAGGAGATTGGATGAAGAACACTATGCTGAATTACTACTGCATCTACAGCCTAGAGCGTACACCCCCTTCTTCAACAGAATCCCGAACGACACTCTGGCGGTTGCGCGCGGTGCGATTCCTACGTTTCTGCCAAATCTGAAAACATTACACGTCTATGCCTCATCGAATACCGTAGTTGAGCCTGAGTTGTTCAGGAGGCTTGTGGATCTACCAAGCTTAAGAACTCTCTGTGTCGTCAATGATGATGGAAATTGGTGCCATATTGCGCCCTTTCCTGAACTGTACACGATATCGAGCCATGACCATGGTAAGAAAATCCGTGGCAGCTTGTTCTTTCTGTTTGAGTCCAGTTGGTTGGAAAGTCTTTCCTCGTCCTCCTACATTCCTCAGAGGACACATCATCTTTTCATTAACTTCAAATATACTGATCAAGAAATATAGAAGGACGACGGCCACGCCGGCACATTACAAGCCTGTCCCTCTGCGGCACTGCAGCATGCCAGTATGACTTCGAAGACATTGCTCAGTCATTCCCGTGTCTTGAAAGCCTTAACGTCAGCGTCCGTGGCCCACAGCCCGGCAGATTTGAGTCTTACATGGGTCGCGGTACTCGCAGAAGTGTTTCGGATGCACTAGCTAAGATGACTTCCCTTCGGGCCCTCGATTTTCACATGTATCCAGGCTTCAAAATGACCTCCGACTTTGCCGTAGGCCTGTACAGAGATGTCACCAGATCATTTGGCCCCCAACATACGCTCGACCTGAGCACACTTCCCCACTTGGAAGACGTCGAAGTCCCCTATCACATGTTTGCCAACCCTGGCCTCAAAGATATTGGGAAAACGGCGGCGGTTCCCCGTGACGTCCTTCCGAGATCATTGAAGAGGCTCGTGCTGATAACTCACTGCGGCCGCGGACACAGCCTGGAATGGCGCTGCTGGGACTCGGTCAGCTCTGTCCTTGAGTTTCTGGAGTACTTCAGAGATGACTTGCGCCACTTTCCGCACCTGAAGACCGTGTCATACTGCTACGAACACAGTAGCTGCGGCTACCCGTTTCCGATTCTTGACGGGACCCCCGAGGAATGCAAGAAGACCGAGGATGAGAGACGCTCCCGCCTCAGAGGGATTCGAGATGCGTTTTGGAAGCACAGAGTCCATTTCTGTGTTGAGTGGGATGGCCCGATGGGCAGAGAGCCAACTAAGATATGAGAGAGGGAAGAGGCCACCCAGGGCGATGGGCGTGTGTGAGAGCTGGTTTCAAATGTTCTCAACTGGACTCCAAGGGCTCGGGCTGTTGATTGTGGCGTTGCGCAGCACAGCAAGGCCTGGAAATGAGATGTCACACGCCCGATTGGTATCCACAGGTGGAGAGAAGACAGGCTGGGCCTTTAAGTATCTCTTGTGTGCAAGGAAGTGTGAGGGGGAGGGTTTGGTGCTTTTCTTTGGTGAAACTTTTGGCCATTCTGGACGGGCAGGATCTCCCATCAGCCTAGGCATGTATTCTTGGAAGCATCTAAAACCCAGCCAGAGCAATTCTTTTCCTGCCTCCTGTTTTTGTTGATCACACCCTTGTTGGCTGGCCCAGGTTGTCGTCACTGGCGCTGGTGCACGGGCCACATATATCCATTCACTCCAGGACTGCCCATGGTTCAGCTCCAGTCCCCAGCAGCTTTGCCTGCAGCAGCAAACACGGGTTAGAAATTGACAAATTCCCAGAAAACATCGGACAGGCGACTGGCGCGGGGTTCTTTTATTGCGGGGCAACACTCGGTGTGTCTTTGCTGACAGAGTCATGCTTGCTCCACCAACAACAACTGACTTTGGTCAACTCAGCCTTGCGCACAGAAATCACCAGAGTGCAACTCGTTCCCTCCAGTTCATCGGCCACCACTGAGAAGACGATCATCTCGCAAGCCTCAGGAACCATGTCGCCCGATCTTCCCCCCCACGCGATGACCGAGCGACCTGGCACCGAGCTCGTCGTCAGAGGCAGCACCTCGTCCACCACCGATGGGCGCAGCCTCATCGAGGGCCTCCCCAACGAGGTGCTCATCAAGATTGCTCAGAGTGTCGAAGGAAAGAACAAGGTCCCCATCCTCCTAAGCCTGTGTCTGGTCTCCAAACAGATGGATTCTGTGGCCAGAAAGCCCCTTTACCAGAAAGTTATCATTGAGTCCTACCTCGCTCTGACGAAGCTCTACCGTGCACTCAGGAAGAACAAGGCCCTCGGCCCCTACATTGAGGAACTCGAGATGCTGGTCCCAGGTTTCATCGTGGACCCCGACTACCTGGACCTCATCGACGATGATGACTTTGTCCTGCAATGCTCTCATTATGTCGAGGTGCTGAAGCGCACGCCTCAGCTCAAGACGCTCAACCTTGTCCTCTTGCATTTGAAGGGAACCAGCAGGCCATTTGACACCTGCCTTACCCCGCAGATGTGGGACGAGTTCATCAGCAAGCTATCGGACGCTATCACTCTGTCACAGGAGGAGAGCTCTGCCACTGCCATCCTACCCCTGCTGGAGGAGGTTCGACTGGGGACGGATCGTTTCTTTCGCATTGGCATGGAGCAACCCATGGTTTTGCTGCCATTCTTGCAAGTTCCGTCCATGGCAAGGATTGAGATGATTGGCGATTCTGGTCTTTGGCCTGGTATCAGCTATCCCTTGCTTCGAAATGCCACCAGGGCCTCCCCGATCGGTAAGCAGCAATCTGCGGAGCCAGAGTCCCCGCCCAGGTGCATTTGAACAGCCCCTTCAGGTGTGAAAGGCGTTGGCACTCAGAGATGCCGACTTCCCATTCTGCACTGAAAAAGCCGTCTCCACCCAGTTCTATAAGGTGGCTTATGCATCTACTGACACGTCCATTATACAGCATTGGGCGCACACCAGTTCAAGCAAGTCAAGTCCGTGATCCTTACAGACAGCCACTGCCTGTCCAGCGACATCATGGATGCTTGCAAAATCTTCCCAAACATTGAGGTCTTCTTTTGCCAACACTGCATCGGATCCGGGACCTACAAGATGCTGGACAGCCATCGATTCATAACCGAGCAACACGCTGCCGACCCGTCTGAGAAGCGATACCTGACCAAGAGCTTCACGCAGCTGAAGAAGCTGCAGAGCCTTGCCCTGGTCCCCATCATGGGTGAGCCTATCGGACCAGACTGGTGTAAAATATTCATTGGACCGGATGGGTTTCTCAACCTCACTCGACTTCCGGCCCTGACATCCGTCGCCGCCGTGATCACTCTCTTTGCATACCCCCAGGGCCAAGGGAATGGCCATCTGACCCCGTCCCCAATGGAAATTCTCCCTCGTTCGCTACAGTCGCTCCAAATCATCGTTGACCCCTGGACCGGCCGCGTCCTCCACCCATACCGCACGCCTCTGAATACCCATTGGTTCCAGCCTCGAGAGGCCGCCCTCCGTTTCCTCAACACGCTCGCCAGCACCTGCGCAAAGGAGTTCCCCGATCTCCGGCACGTCGAGTACATCTGGGCCGTTGACCGCAACGCCGACGCCAAGCTCCACGCCGACTTCCCCGGGGCCCCCAGCGAGGACACCCTCTGCCGTCTCGCCGATGGGTCCTTTGGCGTCCTATGGGCTCCTCGCCGCTGTCCTGGCATGCGCCCGCTGTGCTGCGAGATGCACACCAGGATCCAGGCGCTCAGCCCGGACGAGGACTACTATTCCAGGGCTGCCAAGTTCGTCTCGCCTTTCAAGGACCGCTTCGACGCCCTCGGCGCCGCCTTCGAGGAGGCCAACGTGGTCTTCCGCATCGTCGAGCTGGTGGAGTACGATGAGTTCTACGATCACTGGAAGGCAGGTCGAGACCTGGAGTGATTTGCCTGTGTTGGATGGGCTTTCTGGTACGTTATTTCTTGCACCGCGTTGAAAATATGGTGGGATTCGGGCTAATTGTGTTATTCATCTTCCTGCGTACTAGGTCGGACAAAGGCACCATGCGACAGGTGTGGTTCAAAAGCCCGCGAAACCGCGGGCGAGCTGTCGGTCAGCGTTCCGAGTTTGTGGCATGGCGCGTGGGAGCATGTTGAGTGCCACTTCAAAATTTACAAAGCTTCCGGGCTACGCCACCTTGATGTGGCCTGGGCAACAATTCAAAATTCGCATGAGGGGCGAGATCTGGATGGTGGGGGCGGAGGCATCGAGGCATCACGATGAACGCTCAGCCAGCATACCGGAACAATTGTGGTTTCTCACATGGGGCTTGGAAAAGGAAAATGCAAAAAGCAAAAGGGGAAAGTGTGGGAGAGTTAGGCAGACCGTGGAAAGGGAAGGCCTAGAATGATTCGTCATGGGCACATGGGGTTGCTCGCAAGCCTGAGTACAGTAGTATCGGTCACAATGTAAAAAGCAAACCGCGGCAGCGCACATACTTCATCTGCAAGATGTCAGCTTCAGAGGAATCACGGCTATGTGGACTTATGAACTGCATGCTGACATCTGTTTCCGCTAATGTGATCCCGCAGTGAGACATGTAGGCACTCAGCTTTGCTTGGGGGCCGGAGCACAGTCTGCGAATCACAAAAGCCGGAGACTCTGGGGCCATCGGGGGCTCAGGGGCGATCTCAGGACAGCATTCTCACATTCGTCTGTTCATTGGAAGTTATAGATTACTGCGTGTCACAACAGGGCATTAAGTGCTGATTCTGCCTGCAAGATGTCTCAATGTCAGCACCTACACCTCTATGTTGGGCCTGTAGAGAAAGCCACCACTAGAGCCTTGCATGGACCTACTGCGGTGACCGATCCCTCATTATTTACCCCTCAGGCTTGCTTTAATGGATTCACGGAAGATATAAATAAAGTCTGGGCTCCCAATACTAGCCAACGTTTGAACCCTCTATTTCCTAGGTTCCAATACGCCGTATAACCAGATGAGGCGGACATTACATTCAAGGACACTGAAAGGGAACATTATTTGGTCCCTGGCCAATTGCCTGTCCCTTCACCAAGACACCTCACGCATATAAGCCACAATGGCAATCTCAAGAGGGGCGCGCAACCATCTTCTCGCAGCTCCAGAACCTGGCCAAAAACACATAACCGGCGATGGCTGGCAACCTCATGGAATCTCAGACGCGATACCAAATTCCTTTTCCGTCCGCTCAATACCAGATTCTGTGCCGGGGTGTGGTAGAGATGCACGACCACGTCCTGCACAAGTCAGCACCCGGAAGGCAACAGCGGAGGTTTCAGCCAAGAGACTGGATTCCCCTGACCGAAAAGCGGCGAGGTCATGCACATGGTTTACTGGCGATGGCTGGGCTATGGAAATCATCGCCGCCACCTGCTCGATATGCTGTTTTGTCGCCATCATCGCAGTCCTCAAGGTCTACGATGGCCAGCGAAGCCCGAGTCTCCCATTTGGAATCACGCTCAACGCGATCATATCGATTCTCGCGACCACCGCCAAGTCCAGCATCATGTTCGGAGTAACCGCTGCGATAGGCCAGGCCAAATGGGACAGGTTCAGCACCCAGGGTCCTTATCACCGCTTGTTGGATCTTGAGTACATTGATCAAGCAAGCCGGGGACCTCTCGGGTCTTTCCGGATACTATTCACAGCGTCGGGACGATCAGTTTCATCTGTGGGGGCGATTGTGACCTTATTAATGCTGGCTGTTGATCCTTTTGTCCAGCAGCTCCTGGTGTACCAGCAGGAACCCACTCCTGTGTCGTCAGACCTTGCTTGGACAGAGCAGGTGCTGGCTCCGACGATCTTCTCAAACCATAGCGACCCTGTCTACTTCGGCATGTTCAACAGCGCGCTATGGAACCCTCAGGCCTCATATGAGAGAAAGGCTCACTGTCCGAATTTGAACTGCACCTACCCTTCATTCAAATCCATGGGGCTCTGTACAATCACTCGTGAAGTCCCATTGGATCAGATTTTCTTCGGTGGGAAGGCCTGCGAAAGGACTTATTCCGATACCACCAAAGGGGAAGTTATATTCGAGGGTGTCAACAATCTGATCACGTCTTACAATTCGACGAAACCATCTGATCCATGCAGGCTGTCCTTCTGGGGTGCCAACACGACATCTCTTCCAATTACAATTACACCAGCCGCAGATGGTGAGACCGAATACGGTTGGAACTTTCCTCTGGACATCACCGGCGCCATGGAAATTGAACTAGACGCGCAGCATGATGTCCTAGGTGTACGAAACCCCTTGCTATCACTGGGCCGGATCAGTTGGTCCTCACCATCACTGGTGGGCGACGGGTCGATGAGCCTTCGGTTCGACAAGGCAGAACAGGCCGTGATTGCATTCTGCGCCGGCGAGCACCGTACGACCGTCAGCCAAGGGAACACCTCAACTTCCGTAGCCGACCTGTCTCCCACGTCTGGCTTCTCATATCACGACAATACTACCATGCTTGGACCAAACGCTACCTGCTGGACCTCAGGTTCAGAAAAGACCACGTTCCCAGGAGCCGAGATTAAGCAGTCGGTCAACGGAAGTTACATTGCCAGAGACTCACCCTTGTCATTCTGTACTGATAACTGGGGCTGGGGAGCCGACATTGCTTCTCGTCTAACTTGCAGTGCCTACGTTGGTATGAACTTGAACGGTTCTGCGGATCCGCCGGGTGATTCCAGCACTGTTCATCCCAGATTGTTCATCGGTAGCCCCGGAACGACCAATCAGGATGCCCTACATCAAATCCAGGCACGCAGTTTAAACAATGTATCAAGGTCGATAACAGAATCCCTGAACGCATTGTTCAGGAAATACAGCTCAGATCGCATCGTTGGGTTTTACATGGAGTACGACACAGTGGTCCGCGTACAGTGGCCCTGGTTGACTCTGCCGTTGGTAGTTGAAATATGGGGGATTATGTTTTTACTTTGGATTGTGTTCCGCAACCCGAGGTCTCCAAGTCCATGGAAGGGCAGCATTTTGGCCACACTGTTCCATGGTTTGAGCCCCAGCGGCCAGGTTTCGGACGACTTGGATACGATGTCCTCCATGGAGGAGGAAGCTTCGAAGACCCTGGTTAAGCTCGAGACTTCTGACAAGGGAATGAAGTTTCTTCATAAGATAAACCACGACACTGCTTGATGCACGGCGAAATTATGGGTATAGGCATCCCAGTACCAAGGGATTTAGGATGGAATGCCGTGTATACAATAGATAGTATATGAATCGCTCAATCAGCCTCAAAAAGAGATCTGCCCTAGTAAACTGATTTTTCGATTCCGGGAACCTTCTCATAACCGTCAGAGTCAGACATGTGAAAGTCGTTTCGGATAGAACATCGCTCCAGAACAAAGGTCAAAGCCGACACAGCCAACGCACAGGCAAACATGAGATACCATCCGGCCCGCATGCTGGAACCGTATGCATCCAGGAGACGTGGTCCCATATTTGTATACTCATCTTTAAAATTTCCAATGTCAGTAGCCAAGGTTTCTGCGACATCCGCAACAACAACACCAAGCGACGACTGCAGCCTGGGCATGTACACGGCCGCAAAACACGCAACCCCAAACCCAGAGCCCAACGCCTGGAAGAGTGTGAAGATCCGGGAGCCCGACCAGGAAGGCGAGTGGTCAACGTAGGTCTGCGTACTACGAACCAGGCCGATGAATGCAGTCCCTTGGCCCAGGCCCAGGAGGCCAAGGACCACCACTGCCTCCGCGCGGCTGGTGTTGGTGCCCCAACGGACCATCAGGCCGCTCGCAAGGGCCGTCAAGGCAGCACCTCCTTGGGCGATTCTGCCTGTTCGGATTTGCTGCCTGGAGATCAAAAAGGTCGCACCTGCGGCCCCCACAGCCATTCCCACCACCATTGGTAAACTGCTCACACCAGACACAAACGCACCGTCGTCAAGAACGAGTTGGAAGAAATGCGGGACGTAATACAGCGTCCCAAAGAGGTTTGCGCCGTAGAAGAACGCCACCATCGCAGTCATAAGCAGGCTTCGGTCGAGGAACAGCGAGGGGTGGAGGAGAGGATCAGGGACCAAGGGCTCGATGAAGCAGAAGGCTGCCAGGAGCGCAACTCCGGCGATGCATAGGCCGACTGGGGGGGCCGAGATCCAGGGAAATATGGCACCACCACCTGATGCTGGCACGAGCAGCATGAAGAATGTTCCGGCAGTGAGAAGCAGTGAGCCAAGGTAGTCGAACTGGCGCAAGTTCAGGCGGATATCAGCCCAGGACGGCCCCGGAAGGTTCAGGAAGGATAACGCCATGATGTAGCCAACGGTTCCTATGAAGGGGCCAAGTTCGTAGGAAAGTGGGCCAGCTCCGCAGCTACGTGATAAAAAATGGACAAGTCAGTTTACCCGGATACCAACCAAGAATTAAGCAAACAATTCGACTGGTTCAGGGACTCACTCAACCAACGCTCCGGATGCCAGCGGGCCACCGACCGCGGCCACGGCCCAGATCATCCGAGAGGCAGACATGTACTTGTTGAATTCTTTCGGCGGAACAATGTCCCTCAAAACCATCTGTAAATGTTAATGTGTGTCAGACCGTCCGCCACCTCGGTATCGAACATAGACAACCTACCTCGAAAATCGCGTAGGCCCCGCCGGCGCCCGCTCCCGCCATAGCACGCATCGCGATCAAGCGCCCCACCGTCTGTGCGCTAGAGGGCGGGGAGTGGACGGCTGCGAGGTTGAATGCCTCCATGGCGACGGCGAAGGAGAACTTGTGGGCGAAGCCCTTGCACACCCTCGGCCAGATAAGGAAGCCCAGCGCGAAGGAGGCAAGGAACGCAGTGCCTATCCACGCTGAGTTGAGGTACCCGAGGTTGTAGGAAGAGAGGGACGGGACGGCGACCGGGATGACGGCGACGTCTATGGCGATGCCAAACATGCTTATTTCGATGCTGGATGGGCAAAACGTCGTCAGCGGCTCTGCGTTGCTGGGGCGGACAACGGGGGTGTGGGTCTCTCTACGTTAGCAACAAGCGCCAGAATGCCCTCTTGCTCAGGGGAGCTTTGGCACCAGGTTTGTACGGCGTGGCCTGTGGGGTCATCACGGCCCCTTCTTCAGCTCTCATCTCAAGTAGCATTCTAGAGGCCTCCTCCTCCGTGACGGCAAGTTCGGGCGGGCATGACGCGCTTCTGGCTGGTCGGGTAGGCATAGAATATAAAATAGATGTATGGGCAGAACGAATTTTGGGGCTGTGACTTTATCAGCAGGCTGTGGACAGCGAGTATTGGGAGGTGAGAATCAAAGAAGCCAATTTACCGGGAGGGAAATGTGGGAGGATGAGTTGAAGTATGCTGACGGTGACGTCTGGGGCCTCCTCATTTTCGGACCAACCAGCCAAAGGAGGCTCAGCAGGCGGTGCCAAGAACCAACTGCAGATGGTGCTTGTAGTCCTTGCCATTGGCTGCACATAATGCGCCAGTTACTTCGTAACTCATTAGGTGAAGGTGCATTTACGATTAGGCAGCACTGCGACCTCCAAACATTCCCACCACGAAGTAGAGGTCAAAGCATGTGGATCGGCAGTCGTTCAACCCCTCGTGGGACTTGTGCGTGCACCAAACACAAAAAGGGGACAGTCTGACCAAACACAGCCCCGTTTGACTGTGTGTCGTGTCCGCTGCTTGGACGCATGCATTATCGGGTGGGGGAAGTGAAAAGATAGACCGAAGAGAATGAAGTTCTATCTTCGCATTGACGCTCCTCGAGAATGGCATGAGAGTCACTTGAAGAACTGTTTAGGTTGTAGGTTCATGCAGAACAATTCCTAGGTACACTTGTCGTTCATGGATCTGGCCTTCACGCTGCCAGGTGGAACAGCTCAATCTTGCTCTTCAAATCAAGGTCAGTAAGGAATGATCTCATGATATAAAAACCACTGCAAGTCAGTCATTAAGTGAAGTGAAAGCCACAAGTATTGCCATTTTGGAGCAGGTCTGTTAGCTTTTGAACATGAGCAGTCTGAGAAATCAAGTTCATCAATTAATCAAATCAGACCTCGGACTGGGCTGAGATTGTTTGCTTTGAATGACCAACGGATGTTCACTTTCTTGTATTCACTTTCTCATACGTCCCACCAGACATCACCCAAGCACGATTCGAGGTTTTGTCACTTTCGCAAACGTCGTCCACCCCACTTCCTCCAACACACATCTCATTCAGATTCGGTGGATTGCAGCTGATCGAATTCTGATCCAAGACACATCCACGACTGGCATCTTTAAGCATTTTGCGAACTGCTGCCGAGTCTTGCATTGCAACCGTTTAGCCAGCTTGCGTAAGTCTCAGTCTCCCAGCCCTGCTTTTTTGCATCATCTCCTTCGATTGGGCGGACGCTGACAAGTCTGGCAACCAGGCCAAGCGATCGCAAACATGGCTCCGCCCCGCCCTCCAACCTTCGACAAGATGCCACACCAGTCGACTTCAACGATGTCAAATCTCCAGACGGTTGACGGCAAAATGCCTCAGATTTCGACTCGCCAATTCAGCCCAAATGACAACGACCATCCGTCTACCAACATCACCGCCCTTGCGAACGAGCTTCTTGTGACAATCGCCAGGTACCTGGCCGTCGACACGGTAGAGGCACATCTTGACGATGAGTCATTCCAAGGATACATCCAGTGTCAGAAGGACCTGCGAAATCTGTGCCTTGTCTCGAAACAGATGCAGGCAGTCGCTCGGCAGTATCTCTACCGTGCAGTCATTGTGAGAAACTCAGATGTCTTGGTCTACCTCGCTCGGACTCTTGACGAGTCCCCGGATCTTGGGCCTTTGGTCAAACAACTGGTATTTGAGGTTCCGTTTGACCTCAAGGATGTAAGGTATCGTAAGCCATACGTCGGAGTTCTCGGGTCACGCCAAAATTACGCCAGAATCTGCCGAAGCGCAGTGGAGGCCTTGGATGTCGCCAAATATGAAGAATTCAGGCTCCATTCTCTGGAGTTCATTGGTAGGGAGACTGATGTCACCTTCAGAGAATGGGGATGGGGACAAGAGTGCGAAATTCTCCGCGAGCTACACGTTGACATCCTCCAACGGTTACCTAACGTCGAGCTTTTGTACTTCGGCAGGCTGATTCCGACTTTCGAAACACGTTTCACACTGGACTACTGTTCCTTCGTACTTAAAAAGATCGCCAGACCATTCGATGGACAAGGTCTAGTTTCCCAACCAGTTTCCGGGCCCCAGTCAAAGCTCAAGCAACTACACCTGCTTGGAGCCAACCCAGATGGGGAGGTACCATCTTTATGCCTCTATCTGTGGGAGTTCGTGCAAATCCCCAGCCTGCAAGTACTCAAATGCAATGGTGACGATGGAGATGTGTATCCAATTTCGATTGACCCACCCTTTGGAGTCTCCCAACTGGCACAGGGTATGTCATCCTACATCTGGTTCTTTCCTGTCCCCCAGGTGCCTTCCCGGCCAATCAATCTGGACCTAGACTAGACAATGTTGCTAAATATTCAATGCTGACGCAAATCAGATCCAGTACCACCCTTACGCTGGCAGCACAATAACATCACATGCATTGATCTTCGACAAAGCCGCTGTACCTCAGCCGCCATCTTCCTTCTCTGTGCCTCATTCCCGTGCCTGGAGTACTTATCAGTTTCTGTCAAGCGTGGAACTCCGGCCAAACATTGGGGAGAGAGGGACATCCAGGGCTTCGGCACCAAGGAGTTCCTCTCAACCGAACTGGACAAGTTGGAGCACCTGAGGGAATTGAGCCTCGACCTCCACTACAGGCAAAACATCAAACCGCTCTTAGGTGAACACGGGGTGCTCAGCCTCGGCAGCCTCGACAAGCTCACTCATGTTCGGCTCCCTTTGCATTGCCTAGTCGAAGTGCAGACTGGGAGCGAGCTCAGACTTGCGGATTTGTCAGTGGTGCTTCCGCCCTCTGTGAAGCACCTTGCTGTATGGGCAGATCTTGATTCTGTGGGGAGTTGGGACAAGGGGCCGTCAACTGGCATGTTTTCTAGCGGTCCGCCTCCCACGCCGGGCGTCTCTTATCATCCAAGTGAGTCAGCTCTCGAGTTCATGGAGTCGGTTTGTAGCCTCCTCACATCCCACTTCAAACACCTCGAGGACGCTACATACTGCTTCGCTGGCAAGGCTCTGGACATGCCTTGCGAATGCGACGGGGACACGCTGTGCAGCCGTTGTGAGGCCTTGCAACTTCTGGACGTCCGGGCAATTGAGGACTCGGCAACTCGAATGGGGATCCTTGCATCAGAATCCGAAGCCCGTGGAGTGCGTCTGCGTACCTTGCAGGAACCTATTGAGGAGTAGATCGGCGTGGTCGCAGGTGCAGACGGAGGCAAGCGTTGGTTATGTTATTGAGGATGATGGTTTTGGCATCACAGAGTCCTCTGCTCAACGCCTCTGCGATTTTTGGTAGCTGGAAGTGTAGCCGGCATTGCAACTCTTAGTACCGTTAGGCCCGTATTCGGGGTGAATGAAAATTGACAAAACCAGTCATTGTGACTAACTTATATGTGCTCAGTTCCAGTGTCCTCTCCGACCGGGCTGCAATTATCATGATGAATTAGAACATTAAGGTGTTTGTATTATTATCCTATTCACAGATCCACACGCGGCCGGAGAAAGCTGATCATCGTTGACCCGTCCCGGGTGGTTACCCGTGGGTCTGAGTTCTGCTTACCCACTGCTGGCGCCGGGAGGCGTACGGAGGTGTAGGTAAAAAGTCCATTGCCAAGGAGCAGGGGCTCGACATTAAGCGAAGAATTGATGTCAGGGTTACAACTCTGATACCCCCTTTGAGTAGGGTAGAAGAGGGGGTGTCCAGGGCCTAACCCTCACAAACACCCCCCTTACCACCCTATCAGATGGGGGTGTCTGGGGGTTGTGCTCCCACCCTGTTGCCCTGCCAGTGTGTAGCCCCTGCTCCTTGGCAATGGACTTTTTACCTACACCTCCGTAGGTACTTAAGTAGCAACCGAAGGTCTGACCCCTGGAGGCCCTGTTGTTGGAGGCGTCACCCACTTCGGCAGCTTGCCCTCTGCAAGCAGGGTCCTACCCTGCGGCCCGGAACAGGCCGCAGCGGGCAGTTGGTGATCCATTCTCATCGACGGCTGCCAACGACCTGGGCCGATTCTATTCTTGTCACCAACACCCATTCGGCCACCCTCAGACCTCCGCGTCTCTCTTGATACGAGGCCCGCGCCCCAACTCCTGTCCACAGTGCTGTTCAGGTCGGTCACGATTCTGTAGACAATCATGCAGTCCGCTGCCGCGACCCGTGCCGATGCTGCCCGCAAGGGCGAGACAGCAGACACGACGCACTCGCCAGTGCGGGTACTGGTTCAAACATACACGCACCTCGTACCAGGAGAGGCGAGACCTGATAAGCTGGAATTTTTAAGAAAAACCATCGCCAAACGTGTTCTGAAGATGAGGCACAACAAAAGCACGGCCTACATGCATGTTTACGACGATTTATTTGCCATCCCGGGCCGCCAGTGCTTCTTCCTTTACGATTACGCATCGACACCCATTGGCGACGACATTGTTGACGATGAAATCCCGATATTATGGTACCGGTGGTCGGGTGACAAAATGTCAGTTTAGCCTGGCCTAACATCGACTCGGGCTGCGATTTATCCTCCGTCATTTTGTTACTAACTCTCCTACAGGATGGCCTTGAATCAAAAGCCGCCAAAAAGGATTCGCCGAACGATAAGGGAAGACTATCCATTCATGATCCGGGTCCTCAAGCCGAAATTACACGACCTTGAGCGTCCCGATATGTCCAAGGAAGAGTTGAAAAGGCACAGAATGAAGGAGACGCCCGAGGAGCGAACCAAGCGTCGGCGTGAACTGGAGCAAGCAAAGCTGCGCCGTCTTGACTACTTGTATGATCACGAGCTCCAATGGCTGTCAGATGAGCCGGAGCACGAAGCTTGGCTACAGGCAAATGTTGAGCCAAGGGCTTGGTCTTGGTACCAGCGGTTAAAAGCAGAGTGGATAGAAATCGGGCGCGTCGAGAGACTGGTTAGTACCGCTCGGATCGGTGAATTCCCGTGATGAATCACTGGTCAATAAACGCCATGCTATCATCCATGATCTCGACGGTCACTAGAGTAACGTACCATTGGCAAAGGCACAAGACAAGGCAGAAGAGAGTTATAGAATATGTTCGACTTTTAGAGCAGCGTGGATTTATGAGGCATCGAAACAGGGTACAATGGTTACCACCAAGCAGTAACAAGCTACCTTTGATCTAGGTTATTCAAAATCGCATCCAGACAGGACCTGGGGACCGGGCACTTAGTTGAGTGCCAGCCGCAAATACTTCCACTGATCTCTGCTCAAGCACCTGTGCAGTTGAAAACATAAAGTTTCGAGATTTGCAGGCCAAAAGAACGAGGCCCGATAAAGCACCAGCAGGAAGGCCCATCACATGAGCCCGCACTTATGTTACAGCCAACTTCCTCAGTATTCATTGAGCCTCCAGCTGGAAGCCACCAACCTTCGAGACAGCCCAGAGGTCACCACTGGCTAGTCCGTTTCATGGAATCATGAAATGGATGGCAAGACCCGTCTATTTTGAGAGAACTAGCACCAACACTTAGATCGACAAACTCTCATCCCCTGTCTGATTGGGGCGAACAAGGTTGGTGTTGGCGTAGGGTAGCATTGTGTGGCCTCCGCCTTCATTCAATGTTCGTGACCATGTTCCAACCGCGGTCTAAGGAATCAACATGTCGCAAAGAGCCTGGTCAAATTGTACGCCAATGCTTGTCAAAGGAATCGTTCCGTCGGAACCTCTTTGGTCTCTTAAGGCCGCGCCCGTCGTGGGCATATCTCACATATACGGATTATGCGCAAACGTGGCCTGGCTTCGTATCTGGCTTCGGCCGACCTCGTCGCAAGTTGTGTTCCATGTTTGAGGCCTGAATTTCCACACGAGATCAAGACATAATTAGAAGTCTGAATTCGACTCCCAGGAGGATTTCTGCGTCTATAAATGCGGGCTCCTTGTCAAATCTACAGGTTTACAGACTGGATATTCGTCAAGGACGTCAAGCACCATTGCCACACTCTTCAATTCATCTCAGATATCATCACCGCTATCTGGCATAGCGGGCAGAAATACCTAGATCAACAAGCCCATAACCCTACACTCGAACATCGACAGCCCGGCACGTAACATCATTCGCTTCCCAATCTCAGTTCATAAACGGCTCAGCACTTTTTAAATATGTCTTCATCTTCATCCTCATCCAAGAAGCACAAGTCGAGCCGTCATGAGGGCTCAGGGAGCTCTCATCGCCGGCAAAAGTCCTCTAGCAGTCAGAGCTCCGGCGGGTACAGTGGTGGCAGCCGCGGAAGCGGCGCGGACCAGAAGCAGAAACAGATGAACCCTGGAGGATGCGACTACTGCGATAGCGGGGAGATCCTAATCAACGAGCTGGTGGAACGCGAGGTCAGGTGCGACGGAGAGTGCAATGGCACCCCTAATTGGAGGGGCGAGGTGGTACCAGGCGTGGTTGAGGCGTGCTTTGTCTGCCGCCCGGATCCTCCTCCGGGGAGAACACGCAACAAAGCAAATGACAACTGCCGAATTTGCGAGGGGTGGGGGGTGCTTCACAAGAGGAGGAAGTGCTCCACATGCCACGGACGAGGGCGGGTGACGAGGATGCTAAGGGTGCGGAGGATGGTGCGATGCTCGATGTGCCAGGAGGACAGAAGCTATGCCTTTTAGTGAGGGCCCCGTGTAGTCTTTTGTGATTGGCTGGGACCGTGATGCTCTTGGATGTCCTGTACTACCTACAGTCTTTACCGTAAACCCAATGTAAATACCTACCTAGGTAGGTAGATCGATATTAAGCTCTGTAATATCAAACAGCCTGGAGGCTAGCACTTACCGCGCGGCGTTCATAGTTTTCGGCTTTTATCAAATTTTAACACGATTATAACCTGTCTACCATACTACGCACTTAGGGGTTTTTAAAAATCGTCTCTACCCTATTATAATCTAGTAATAGCTATAACTATTAATGGATCCTTTCTTCCTTAGTACTCTTTAAGTAAGAAGGAGGTTTTTTAAAAAGAATAAGTTTTTAAAAGATATTAATTTTTAGAATTCTTTAATATTATTCTTTTACTTTAATATAAAGATTTATTAATTTTTTTTCTTTAATAATCTTCCCCTTTAAAATAAACCTCTAGCTAGCTCTCTATTTACTTTATTTATTTAACTAACTCTAGTTAGATTCCTTTCTTTATATTTTAAGGCTTTAAAAGAAGGTTTAAAGAAGAAAGAGAAGGTTTTTAAAGAACTTTTTAATTTTAAAGAAAATTTAATTTTAAAAAAATATTAATATACTTTATAGTTATTATTTAAAAGTATTAATAAGGAAATTATTAGGAGATATAAAGTATTACTTTAAAGTTAAAGGAGATATTTTAATAGCTAAGTAAATAATTTAAGAATTATTTTTAAAAACCTTTTAAGGGGCGCTATAGTATTTAGGTAGGTATCTATAAATATTAAAATCCCTTAAGTCTACTATTTACTTTATCTACTAGTATTTAGTCTTATTAAATACTTTATAAAATATATAGGTAAATCTCTATATTTTTATAAATTATAAGAAGCTGTTTTTTATTTCTATTAGAATAATAAATAGATATTTAAATAGGAATTTTAAAAAGTAAAAAAAGAAAGTTTTAATAATAATAAAATATATAATCTTTACTTTTATATTTTATAATTATTCTAATATTTTATTAATATATTTTTAAACTATATATCTTTTAACTATTAATAATAATTTTAATCTTTTAAAAACGTAATTATAATATTAAATATAAGTTTTAAAATGCTTTATAAATTTTATTTATAATATATATAATTTAACTTCTATTTTATATATATTTAAAGATTTATATAACGCTTTTATATATTAATAAATACTTAAGGTCTAGTGTTTAAAAAGAATATTATATTAATAATAATAGTTATAATATAATAAGTACTTATAACTTTAAATTTATAATATATAAATAAAGTTAAAAAGTATTATTTTAATAACGGCGTTAACTAGATTCGTAGTATATATATATATATATATATAGTTACTACTTATTATATAACCTTCGATTTGTAATGTTAAAGCTTAAAATTTATTCTAAATTTTATAGATTTTATAACTAGGTCTACTTAAGGAAGAAAAGATGGAGCCTTCGGTGTCACGAAAGGGCGGATACACAAACATGGCAGCAGTCCTTAACATGTCAAATGACGTCAATCCGACGCTACCTTCTATACCACGCGGAGGGTTTGAAGGAATTGTAAGGTGTATGTCTAAGTCATTGAGGCTGTGGGTGAATTGGTCATACTGAATGACTAAAGAAGCCCACACATAATACACTCTTGAGCTGGATGACGAGGAGCCAACTGGGCAAATAACTCGAAAGAAGGATGTTCGATGGAAAAAATTAAACCCCAGTGACTGGGGGACAGGACGGCCTTCGATAAACTTTCCTGGTGGGGTTATCGTAGCTGGGCATTTGGATGCAGTCTTACCAATCTGGTTGATTTACAATCGCGCCTGTAGATTCGAACCAGACTCCGGAGGCCGGACGGCGGACGAAATGTGCAGCGGGTTTCCAATCCAACCACTGTCCAGTCAAGATAAAAGGACAACCCGAACTCGACAACTCCACCATCTTTCAACCGGACCCTGAAGGGATGACCTTTAAGTGGTTTTTTTTATTCAATATGTCAATTCCGAGGACTACCAAAGCCTACCGCCGTACGGAGGGTGACCTCCCAAGGACCATCGTGCAGACCACCGAGGCCCTGCCAAGGCAGGAAGAACTTGGCCCCCATGATGTCTTGATCAAAGTGCACGCTGTGTCGTTGAATTACCGCGACGTGGCGATGCTGAATGGGTTGTACCCCGCCGCAATACAAGACCGAGGAATCCCCTGCTCCGACTGCGCAGCCGAAGTAATTGCTATGGGTGCATCCGTCCAAGACTTCGTGCTCGGGGACCGGGTCGCACCAATCTTCGACGTCAACAATTTTACGGGGCTGGAGGACGAGCCTCACCGCTCGCTCGGCGGGGATCTGCCTGGGGTGCTTCGCGAGCATGCTGTCTACGAGGACAAGTTGCTCGTCAAGCTGCCGGAGTATCTGACGTGGGAAGAGGTTTGTGCATCACTGAGCGACGTTGTGACACCGCGCGAATGGCTGAAAGACATACTAGGCTTCCACGTTGACTTGTGCTGGTGTTACGGCGTGGAATGCCCTCGATGGCCTCAAGATGAAGCGCAAGGACCCGGTTGTCCTATTGCAGGGTGAGTGATTGGTTACCAGTGTGGTGGTTCGAACACCGCGGAACCGCGGGGTGCTGATGCTGAAGCCGCAGGAACGGGAGGAGTAAGCCTATTTGCCCTCGCAATCTGTATAGCCGCGGGAATCAAGGCGATTATCACGTCGTCTTCCGATGAGAAGCTTGAGGCGGTCAAGAAATTGGGCCCGGACGTCCACGGCATCAACTACAAGACTACAGCCAGCCAGAAGGATGCCATCCTCGAGATCACCAATGGCAAAGGGGTTGACTTTGTTGTCAACAACAGCGGCCCAGGCTCTATCCCGGAGGACGTCGGCTTCCTTCGCGCGAGAGGCGGCACAGTGTCCCTCGTCGGCTTCCTGAGTGGCTTGGGGGGCACATGGGACCCTAGTGAGATGTTGGGCGTGATGCAAAAGGTCGCCAAGATCCAGTGAGTTGAACATTTGCACAGCCCGGACACTGAGAGGTCGTTCTGACGTTTGAATAGGGGTATTGGGGTGGGCTCGAAGGAGGACTACCAGGACATGAATAAGTTTCTTGAGGGAAACAAGGTAGCTTTGGGGCCCGCTATTGTAGACCGCGTGTTTTCTTTTGACGAGTCTGAGGCTGCATTTGACTTTCTTTTTTCTGGGAAGCATACAGGGAAGGTCGTTATTAAAATTTGAGGCCGATAAGCCATATATAAATACATAAAAGAAATATGCAACTTATTATACATTTTTTAAAAGAATTAATATAAATTAATCTTTACATATTTTAAATTCGACTTCATAGTTATTTATCTATTAAATCCATTAACATTGAATTACACATAGTATATTAAAAACATTTCTATAATTTTATATAATTATTAGATTATAACAAATATTAGATTTAAGTTAAAGTGATAAATTAGTAGTTAGGTTGAAGTTTAGAGATAAAAAGATGAAAGACTTAAGGCCTAGTAGGTACTAAAGCCCTTATTTCGCCTTCTCTTTGCAGCCTTAACATTATCTTAAGACATACTAAGAGTATAGCACGCCTTTAAATTACCAATGTCAATGTTTGCCTCTTTCGACATACAAGCCTTGCTCGATGCCCCTATTTATTTGGAACTTTGTGGCCTTTGTTGTTCATCCTCAAGAGTAGCAGGACTATCAAATCTCAAAGTGACTCTTTTCGCTAGGATAGACTCCTTGTTGGTGCTCGGGGCCTAGCCTCGCGCCGTTTTACTTTCGGCAGAGCAGGGAACTGATTCGGCGTTCCAGGTACCTTGGGTACATGGCTTGCGAAACTCAAGCTGAGGTTATCCATGAAATCCCATGAATACGTTGCTGGACTTGACACAAGGCACATGAACATTAATGAGTTGAGGACGTTACGTGGCGGGGACGGCGGTAATATCATCACACTGGAGAGCCTGATGCTACACTTGAGGCCCGCAGAAGAGGCAGCGATACTGTGACTGATTCAGCAAAACTGGCTTGCTGAGAATGGAGAACTTACTGCGTTGGATCACCCCGCCGCGATGGGGCTGTAGTAGGTGTGACGGGTGCACGTCGTAATCATCGCAGAGGCTTAAGGAGAGAGACTAGCGTGCCTCGTGAATGGCAATCCTACCTTTGAAACTATAGGGACATTGCGCAGATGACGAGACAGGAGGATAGCACACGTCGAAGAGATGGTGGTCAGCCCACTGGCCAAAGCCCCGCAGTGAGCCTGTGGCTGCTTTAGAGCACGGCATATCGGCATATTGCACGGTCTGGTTCTCCAATCGCGTGTCGTGCATGACGATTTGGCAATTGAGCTGTAGGGCGATCCCATGATGAGGGGTGCACATCTCGGCTTCTTTATGTTGCGAGAATGGGCATCCTCTGTTGCCCTTCGTTGCTCGTAATTGTGCCATCTTACTCCTGGTCTGTGAACATGGCTCCACCACGCGCAGAAGAAATCTCCTGGGTGAGCGACAATAAGGGGCTTCATGGTTCAGCTCCATACAATGGAAGTCCGAGAAACGTCGAACATATCAACGCAATCCATTGGGACGAATCACTGCAACCCAGGCACTATGAAATGAGCGGAACTGACCCCGACTCCAAGATACTGTTTCTGGATGTCAACATACTCGACTCCACAGGATCCGAACCTTACCGAGGCGATGTTCTAATCGAAGGTGAGAAATCTCTGATATGTATTACGTTCCATCAGTTCCGGGTGACAGGTTCACGAGCGTTGTGATTCCTCAAGGCATGGTCGCCGCGAAGTGACACTCGAAACAGGGCAGCGCTTTGCCGCTGTAGGCGAAGTACCGAGCGTCGAGACTCTTCAGCGAGACCCGCGTATGCGCATTTTTCACGGCCGAGGAAGGACGTTGATGTCCGGCCTTGGCGACGGCCACACGCACTTCACATGGAATGGTGGCGACCTAAACCATCTGGGAGATCTGGGCGTTGAAGAGCACACGCTGGTCACCATGAAGAGCGCGAAGAGCTTCTTGGACTCTGGATACACCATGTGAGTTCAGTCACGCTGAGCAACTAGGACCCATCGTCTTCTACGTCTTCCGGAGAGACTAATGGCACCTATTGGTCACAGGTGCTTCGGTGCGGCCTCAGCAAAAGAACGCCTGGACGTCGTCATCAGAGACGCGATAAATGCGGGAGATATTCCCGGCCCGCGCTACCTCGCCAATGGCAAAGAGCTCGCTCGGCGGGACGGCATCCTCGTCGCTGGGATCACAGCGGTTGCAGATGGTCCTGATGAGATGCGTGAGGTCATTCGTCATCATGTGGATCTAGGCGTGGACAATGTAAAACTGAGCATGTCTGGGGAAGAGGTGAGTTAAGCCTAATGAAATCACCCGTTGGGGAAAGCGTTGCTAAGATTCAGTCAGATTACGGAAACACATGCAGCTCAAGACTGTTACTTCACAGACGATGAGACGGCAGCCTGTGTTGATGAAGCGCACAGGCATGGAAAGCGACTCTGTGCTCATGCTCGCGCCAGAGACTCTGTTATCATGTGTGAGTAACAATTACAGTTCCACAGCAGCTGGCTGTTGAACCATACAAGGGTTATGGATACAAGATACTTACACATTTTGCAGGCGTCAGGCACGGAGTAGAGGCCATATACCACGCGTCCTTCATCGACGACCAAGGCATGGACATGCTCGAAAAGGCTAAGACAAAACACGTCGTGGTCCCGGCAATCAACTGGCTCATCGCAACCCTCCACGAGGCAGAGGCCTTCGGGTACACACACGCCCAAGCCGACAAGGCAGGCTACACCCGCGAGCTCGACGCCGCGGTAGCCGGCCTGCGAGAGATGCACCGCCGCGGCATCGTTGTCCTGCCCGGGGGCGACTACGGGTTCGCCTGGACCCCCCACGGCACATATGCGCGGGACCTGGAGCACTTCGTCAAGCTTCTGGGCTTCACGCCGCACGAGGCCATCATCTCAGCCACCTCGGGCGTGGCGGCGCTGATGATGAGGAGTCACGAGCTGGGCAAGATCCAGGAGGGGTACTTTGCGGATTGCATCCTAGTCGACGGGGACCCACTCGTGGATATCAGCATCCTCCAAGACCACAGCCGGCTCAACGTCATCTGTATCAATGGAAGAGTCCATAAAGCAGAAGGAAAGGACCGCATATTTTGAAGAGATTATAACACGAGGATGCTCGCCTAAACAATATCCCGGATCATTGCTGAGTTCTGAAATTATCTTGTAAAGAATCATGAATGATGTTGAAACGACGCGCATGAGTCGCGGGTCTGAATGCTTATTAGAGTTTTTACTCCACGCCTATCCCGTGAGGCCTTGAGAGCCGTCCCCCGCACGGTGGGGGGAGGGGCCGAGATGCGGAGTGCCGTGGTTTCCCTTCTATTCCGCATCCCTCCGAAGACACTCCGCAATTCCGCAGCCGACGAGCCTGTTTGCCAGGGCAAAACCCACGCGTGCGCTACGCGGTAAAAACCCACGTAGGACAGCTAAATTACTATAAGGTCCCTTGCTGCCCCACGGGGACTGCTGCGCATTCGTCGGTCTCCCTGCCCAACCCTCTATTCTCTTGTTTCCGGCATTGACATCATATTACTAAATTCTCATAAATCTCCGCCTCCCCTCTCGTCAACCGGAAGCCATTCACAATGTCCATACACCGAGTTACCTTGTTCAAGATCCCGAAAGAAGAGGATGTTGATTTCCTCCTGGACCAGTACAAGATACTTACAAAGGAGGCCCGCAAGGTAAGCATTTCGGGATAAAGCAGAACCGCGCCCTGCTGAGGCGGCCTTGCCTGGGTTCCTCGTAATTTCTGAGTGTTGTGAAGCTAATCCGAGCCCCTCTCAGGACGGCGCTCCGTACATCGTGTCTATCGTAGCCGGGCGTCCCTTGCCAGATGAGCGAACCCGCGGCTTCACATTGGTGGCCAAGACAACGTTCCGCTCGCTTGAAGACATGCGGTATTACGACTCCAGTTGTCAAGCGCACGCCAACTTCAAGAAGCACGTTCCATCGCGGCGTGAAGGAGAAGTCGTAACGGTCTATTTTGAGGATGCTATTGGGGCTGCGTAGGAGCTCTGGATGGTGGAACTTTGAATGTCTTGTATGTAGAACTGTCAATGTACGTACCTCTGGCCGTGAGGGTCAATTTCACCCGTTGTTCTGCACCTTTCTTAGTCTCTCAGGCTGCTGCCGTCATACCTTGCCAGAGTAAGAACTACTAGTAGGTCTCTCCCCACACCCGACACACGTCACGGTGTATCCGGTAATCTTGAGTCCACATATTTGTACCTAAGTATATGAAGGGATGTTTGGTGTGCTAGACCTTGCTTCAGAACGATGTTACAGGAAAAGTCCATTGTTTTTCTCTCCTGGCCGCAGTATTGTCGTGAGGTGTTTCAACGAGACGTTGTTGCTCGTTCGTAAGGCTCGATTTTACTTTTTGTACCAGCAGGTATCGTACTATTGCCCCCCTTCAAACAAGTTTTGCTTTCAACACCTAAACTATCACAATACCCGCGATAGACTCCCAGTTCTGGAGAGAAGTCTGTCGCCATGTTCTGCAAGCTGGTACATTTCGAAGTTCTTAGACTCATTTGCGAATCAGCTCATTTTGCAACGAAGTGTTGCCGGCAGGCGATTGCGGACACACTTTTGGACTGGTAGTATCATATCTTCAGGCGCCTCCTGCTGCGACGGTCATAAAAAGTCTCTCGCGCTTGAGGAACACCGAGAGCAGAACACCTAGGGCACCAGCCGCGTTCAAGAGAATGTACCTGTGTTCTGTCAGCTTGAGTACTACACCAGATTCACAAGTCCAACCAATGCTGTTTAAAGACTCACGTATTGTCAATTGCATGAACGATGATTGCAAGAGCATCTTTCTGCTGCTTTTCAGACAGCGTCTTGAACAGATCGCTGCTGGTTCCAGCGATGGCATTGACGACAACGTCCTTATCCATGCCCGGAAGGAGGCTCACCAGTCCGGCAGTAGCTCCGTTGACAAAGATTGCTCCTGCCATGCCTAGTGCCAAGACAATGCCGCCAAGTTGAGCTGCAGAAAATCGAATTAGCAAAGTCCTCACATGATTGGCACCACCTGCAGGATTGGGGTTTTCGGGTTCAACAAAGGTAATGTGATCGAAAACACTTACAAACCATCATGAATCCGAGAGCCCAAGGGATCTCCCCTGGCTTTACCTTCGCCTGAACAACGCTATAGCCGGCCTGGTTGAAGAAGCCGACACCGAGAGCCATGAGGGAGGTATAGCCGAAGATGGCTTGGGGATTGGTCTCCGGCTTCCCCAGATCTATTTTGGAGTCAATACTCGAACCATGGCGATGAAAGTATGGTGTTTGCCACAAAGAGAGCAGAGTTGGATGTCATACACATCAAAATAGCAGCCACAAGCTCAAATGCGGAGCCGAAGAAGTACCAGGGCATGTAGTAGCCAAATCTCTGCATCATATGTCCGTTAAAGATAATGGCAAATATCAAAACCATAACAAATGGCAGAATTCGGAGGGATGAGTAGATCGCCGAGTCTCCCTGTTCGAGAACGTGGTCAGCTGAAAGTCAAGAGCCACGCAGCCGACTGGTGCGAAGCTCACATGTGTGAATTGGAAGAAGAGCGGAATATAGTAAACCGAGATGAACAAGCCGGAGCTTGCAAGGGCTGAAAGGGAGGGTGTTGGTCAGCTGCGGTCGTATCAAGTGGAAGATCAGAAGGAGCGACAGAATTCATACTGTTGAGGACAAAAAGCAAGAGAAGTGAGCGTCGCTTGAGGAAGTGGATAGGGAACAGCCGTGTCTGCTCGTTGCAGAACCAGTACATGCTTTGCTGCAGTCCGAAGGCGATGAAGCAGACCCCTGACACGACAAAGAGCGTGATCGAGCGCCCGTCGCCCCATGCCCATTTGACACCTCCAAAGTTGATACCCATGATGAGACAGGCCAAGGCAGCGATGAAGAGGACAGCTCCTATCCAGTCGATGGTTTGGAGCTTCTCCTTCTGGGTCTTCCCGGGAAGAGGGTCAAAGGGTGGGAGTAGCCACACGTAGACGGGTGAGAAAACCGCGCCAATGACCAAGTTTATATAGAAAGCCTAGGAATGACAAGACGCTCAGGTTAGATCCATTTTCTAGAGATTTAAAAGCCGAGACTTAAACAGATGACATACCCATCGCCACGTAGCATTGCTCTCAGCAAATGCACCACCAATTGCTGGCCCTGTCACAGTTCCAATTCCCCAGGAGACTGCTGTCAGTCCGATATAGAATGGCCGCTCTGATACCGTCGTATTCACACTGAGGAGTGTAAGCACACCGAAATACATCCCGCTGCCCTGTAAGAGCGAGTCAGTCTGAAATGTACGTTATACCCTATGGCTGTGACAGGCGGCAACCTTGGAAAACTTACACCAGCGCCAGCCATTGCCCGCCCGACAATCTCGGCATCCATGTTCTGGGCAGCACCGCACAGCGCGGAACCGGCCATGAAGAAAATCACACACTACCAACTTTTTGTTAGATGAACCCTGATGCGGTAGGTACAGCTTATATGAACGATCTTTTAGTCAAATTATGTTGACTCACACCGATATAAAGCCACTTAGCGTTGTAAGTCGCGTAGCACTTTGACCACGGCAGCACAAGGGCAGAAGAGCAGAGGGAGAACGCTACGGATAGCCATGCCACCTGGCCAGCCTCCTGGAACTGCTCAATAATTGCCTAGATGGATATCAGTCATGGCGCGATCGCCTTGGTGAAAGTGACAAACAGCGGGTGCAGATGAGTAAGCGTACCGGTTGGATGTTTGCCACAATGGTGTTGTCCAAGGCGAAAAGCATGTGGCTCGACAGGATGGCGGTCACAACAAGAACCCACTGTCCTTCATTAGCTCTACCGTACCAAGTCACGGGTTCGGCGGCAGAGGGTTGGCACGCCCTACCTTCAAACCCTTGAGGGTTCGTCCTTCATCCTCGCTAGTCACTGAAGCGTCGGCTTCATCGCTGCTGGGAAAATAGAGGTTCTTTTCCACATCGCCGTCGGACATTACTAGAGGAGGGGTCGACGCTTGAGACTCCGCGCCTTTGTGCAGCGCGGTGCCTAGGCTCTGATCAAGACTAGTGACGGCCATTGAAGACTTCTCCGGATGGTTTCAATGAATTTGGATATACAGATGACGTTATTGAGAGTAGCACATCAGAAATAAAGCTGCTGTTGATACCGAATCTACGCTTTCTCCTTGCTGAGTGCAAGGGAACGAGTATTCAACGTGGACTCCATGATAATATAGATGGGACACGAATACCTAGTACACACGATCCAATGTACGGCACTGCTTTTTTCCCGATGACAAAATCACTACTCCATGACGTGAGTTTAGTGTTCATCTTGCTGAATAACTGCTCGAAGATCACTTGTACACCCTACTGTGACCATAGCATCTTTCCAAAAGTAAGCAGGTGAATTGTTTCTCCTGCTAACGCCGGGCAAAATTTGTAAGCTCACGTAGCGTAGCTGATACCTACATGGACCCATTCTTGTTACCGCGTCGTGTTGGTTGCAGGGCATCACAGTGATGCCGGCTAGACTCACAAGGCCCACCATGATGGATTGGGGGACTGAAGCCATTTTCATCGAAGGCGGGAAAACAGATTGATCCGCATGCTATGTCATCACCAATGGCATACTAGTAATCGAGGTGGATACAATTCAATGTGCTTTGGGCATGGTAGGAAGTGACATTTAGTTGCTGTGGTGCTCAAAGGAATCGAGGCCCTGCAGAAATAGGCTGCCTTCACGCCCAGCCTCGAATAGTCTTAGGTAACACCGTCACATTTCATGACAAACCAGGGACTTCCGGGACTCTCTGAACTGGACGCGGTCTTGCATGATTCCGGTCTCCCCCAGGTTGCGGACCGGTCGGTGCTCAACACCGCAGGGAATCTATCGGCTTGCTAAGCTTTTCTTGGTCTGTTGATGAAACTCAATGACCAACCAACTGAGATCAGGATCGCAGGGCACGCAATGTAATGGTGCTGAGATTTGCGACTCTGATCCTTTGCGACTCTGATCCTGACAAGACCCATAGCTCCTAGGCGACTGGTCATTTAATACGCAGCGCACATAGTCCACAATATGCATGCATCGGCAACAAATGAAGTTAGTGGCACATTTTCGGGTGGAGCCTCGCCAATCATGCAGTATGCGTCCCGGGCTTTAGCGGTTGGCCAGCCTGAGCTTCATGGACGGGCGACAAGGGTGCCCAGGTGCCAGCGAGCACGGAGAGTTTCCGTGATTTCGGCCGAGACACAGAAGGCTGCGATTTGCCAGTGATGCTTGGCTCGGTGTTGTGGGTACTCAGTGGGGCCTTCGTGATCTTACCCTAGGGTAGCGCATGTGCCCTGAATGCATGATGGGAATTGGACAGGACTAGCATGGCATTTTCCGTGACTGGGGGCACAATTGCAGTGTGATCTCGATGCCAACCCAGGATCATAGATATGTAGTAAATCTGAAAGCAATGCGCGAGTGTTTCCTTTATCTGGCCGGTTTCAACCTCATTCCGTGTACCTGGTTTCGCTTCTATTATTCCACACGTCTGAGGACAGACATGCCGTCTTCATACGGTGACAATTGCATTGGATCAGCAATAACGTCGGCATTATCAATCATTGGAAATGGAATAGTACACATCCCTGGCAACAGGAACAGCTTCAACCGATCCCAGAATTTTACTACCAGAACAGTTACTCCTCATCTCCATCAAGCCAAATCTCGTGCCCATCGCCTTGCTTGCACCACATGGCCAAACAGCACGTACAAACGCCGACAGCTGCTGCCGACCAGAATGCCAAGCCCGTGAATGAGTGCGAAGTCCCGTAGCTGTACACAAGGGCTCCAAGTGACGCCCCGAGAGCACGACCTAAGCCACTACCCACATACGAGATGCTATTCGTCCGCGCCAGTGCCGATGGGTGAGGGCAAACACTGCAGTTAATGACATGTGGTAAGCTTCTGCCGCAAGCAGAGAGACTAGGGGGTGGAGGGACAGTCACTCACAGCCTAGTGAGCATAAGCGCCGTGGGTGTGACGAACACCGCGCAGAAGATCAGTACGACTTGTATCAGTGCAATGAGTATCCATACGGCTGGAGGTTGCCCATGCTCAGTCGTCGCCGATTTGGTGAGCTTGCTGACGACGGCAATGAATGGAGCAGCGGTGTAGATGATGGGTAGCCCTCGCATGAAAAGCTGCCAGGTTTTCAAAGCACCCAGCTTATGGATGACTTTAGGGTACACGAAGAACTGAATCGGCAGACCGCATGCACCGACAATCGACAGTGTGAAGCCAATCTCGGCCGGCGTCATTCCCGGACCGCCCGAAAATCGGAAGGGCAGGGAATCCTTCGCACCGGTCGCCGGAGGATCACTGAGGAAATTGGTCCAGAGAACAGTATATGCCCCTATATGGCTATCGTGTATAGAAGTTGTGATTAGCATAAGGATGAAATTACGGGTCCAAATGCGTCGGAGTGGAAGCACTGGGGCAACTTTGCTCTTCTCGGGGTTGTTAGGCGATCCGATTCGCTTCTTTCCTTGCTCCCGGTCGTCGTAGTCGTCGTCGGATTTGTTGGGATCATCGTCGTCCGCGTTGTCCCCTGCTCTGTCATCCCCCTTCATGAATGGCACAGCCTCCATTTCAGTTGAGTCCTCGTCGTCCAATGTTGAATATGAAGGCTTTGTATCTTTCTGAGAGTAGAAACAAGAGAAAACCTTTCTCGAGATTGCTCGACCAATGTCGGGACTACCCCTTTTCTGGGGATGTGTCTTGCATCGTGGAATCTTATCAGAACACCAGAAACGAACATGACGGGCACCATTACCTAGGAAGACAACATACCTCTTCAAGGAAGAAGAAAATCGCTACGAGTGTAATGAACAACATCGATGCATTGACAAAAGCGGGTGTTGCGTAAGGATACTTCTTGAGGAACCAGTTGTTCCCGAACTTGTCAGGGTATTGACTGGCGAGGTCGGCCAGTTGGCCTCCCATCACTGGACTCAAGAGGGTGGACAAAGTAGTAGCCATAGTGACCATGACAAATGCCCTGGATAGAAACCTGTTGGCCAGTTAGCTTCAGTCACACCAGCCATATTCCACTCGGATTTCAAGACAAACAATTTATACAAAATACAAGTTGTTGAAAGGTACGTACTTCGGCTCACCCACGATCTCTGTTATAACGGTTCTAGCTGTCGCAACATTGCCGTTGAAAACACCCTCAAGACCCCACAGAAGTACCAATTGATAGAAATGACTGGTAAACCCCAGAAGTGAGGAACTGATGACTAGACACAGATCAAAGTTAGAATCGAGCTAAGACAGTGGGAATTTATCACTCGACGTAAACTGACCCGACGCTGCTGTGCCAAGCAGGAGAACCCCTTTCCGACCATATTTAGGGGAGTCTGCAAGCTTGCTAATCCAAAGCGATGACAAACATTGTCCAATGATGTAGGCAGTTGATACTGTGGCCGACTGGCTAACAATTTGCCCTGATGAGAGGGACGGGTCCAGATTCTTCAATTGAAAGTAGAGGTACGTCTAACGAAGTCGACCATCAGTTTCGTGATTGCGGCGAGCATTCGTGCGACGATGCAGTTGAAATTGACCGAGGACGCTCACTCACAGAGGCAGAAGACCTAACACAGGGCTCCGCAAAACGCAGCATGAACAGGATCCCTAGCTGTCCCTTTCTGGGCATATCAAGCCAGCTTACGCTTTCTTGAGACGACGCCATCTTTGTCCGCACCTTTTCTTCTACCGCCAGCCAAGCAAGTTGGTCAAAATGAACACACTGCGCGATAATATGAGACGTAAGGCTTGATACGGGCCGCTAGGTTCAGATGGGGGTGTTGATTCGAGCTCATAGTCAGATGGGGACCATTCCCAAAACGAAGGGTGCTGCCAGTACATTGTGCGTTGCTATGCGAGGATCTTCTACATCACTTTTGCATCCTCGGCCCGAACCTTACTTGCATAGTGGACCCGTGACATTTCTAGATTGCGATTAAACCCTAGATCTATGACTCTGTTGACTGAATGCCATGGCTAATTGTCATCGTCGTGTGCAGCAACCAGCACCTGTGGGGCCCCGGGAGGGATGGCATATCTTTAAGGGAGCACAAGTATTCCAGTGCGCAATAGCTACGAGTGCGCACTGGGTTGGCAGACCCAGTGCCGGAGGCACCAAGGTCACCGAGAACACTAGGTCTTCGTAACCCGGTTTGGGCGTTGCCATAGAGCAGACCCGAGTATACCGTACAAGCCCGAGTGGCCAGACCCAAGTAAAATGCACAAACTGAGCCATCGGCCGACCAGACCCGAGTACACTTCAGACAGGAACTGGCCAGACCCGAGTAAGCTGCATCAACCAATCTCCAAGCAAGGACCCCCTGGCTTTGAGACACTGCGGAGTCAACTGCCTAGCATTTCTACCCGAAACCTGTCTCCTTTTCCACCTCGTGGAAACGCATCTTTTCCAGCCCTGGAGTAAAATGACAAGTTTCCGGAGTCTCACTGTCAAGGCCTGTCACCGCCAACGCATTTGGCTTGGCATTGAGACTCCCAGTCAGATACCTAGGTAGGCTGTCCATACACTGTCGCTAGTCATGGGTTTTTGGCGAATCAGCTGGATGTACCTAGGTGCCCTTTCACTTCCATAGCATGAGACTCGTACCGCACGATGCTACGTTACCTGCCACCCACTGTCTAGTCACTTGCAGAGAGGAAGCTCTGAACTCTAACGAAAGTAGTTGCATTTTGATTTAGTTCCAGTCCCGTACGGCTTGTGAAAGGAAAGGTGATTGTTAGTTTAATAAAAGTGTTAACAGGTTATTTTTCTTAAGAAATTTTAAAATTCAAAGAACATTAATTTTCAATACATTAGCACTAGTACTATATCCTTTAAAAATTTAGTTAATGTTATTCCAGACTTTAAAGACTAATGACTGGTATTTTATTCTATATTAAATTAGAGTTTTTGTTTATTATAATAAGTAAAATAAATATTTCTAGTTCACGGACTTAAATACCGTTTCCAGCATCTATATCACTAAGGGAATAGAGTTTTAAGCTTATACAACAAAAGATACATACGGAAAACTATATTTAGCTATGCAATACATGGTGCTAAACATTTGTACATATACAGGGGCACAGTCTTGCCGACCACACTCGAGTAACATTCTTCATGACTCTGACTAGTTTCGCTTCCATTCCGTATGCGTCCGAACACGTACAAATGTCAAATCTTGTGACCCTTTGCATTGAACACATCTTCAACTAGCGCACGATTTCCGCCGCCATCCTAATGTTTCCCCTCAAAAAGATATTTGCGAACGGACGTAGTTCCGACCATGATGGGATTGAATACAAGTCTGTTGATTTACAAGGCGACGAAGATGGCCAAGCTGCAGCCGACAAATCTTCCATGATTAAGTTGGCGAAGGTCCAGAAAAAGCTGAGATTCTACCGCGCCGGATTCTATGTCAGCCATGTCTTCCAAGCTTTGTTCTTTGGGTTCTGGTGGTTGCGCGGAGGCGACACACCACACCCGCACGCCACATATCACGACCTGGAATGGAGTGGTCTGCTAGGCGAGGACTGGAACGGGATTGTCCCTAATGGTACGTGAAGGGCAACCCAGACGGAGAGGGGTGCTAAATAATACCTGCCGTTACTAACATACATCGTTGGTTTAGGAGTTGGGTACCCATTAAAGCCGACCTACTGGGGCCATGACCACCCTTACTACATGCCCGAGGACATATTCGAAGACTTCGACAAGTCCTTGGCTATGATAAATCACTGGAAATACATGCACAACAGTCAGTCCAATCAATTATTCTGTGCCAAGATATCGTGGTTGACCTCTTGGGCTTTGATCACAGGTTCCAGCATATTCGTCAGGCCTGATGAGCCCCGTGCCAAGCGGATCAAGCCCGATGGCAACACCGCCGAGCTACCAACGTTCTGGCCTTGGGAACCTCTTGATGACGGCAGGGAACTATACGCCATCCGCGGCTTCCACCAAATGCATTGCATAGTATGGACCACTTTACCACACCCCCTCCCACTTTTAAGGATCATCTTCCCTCCGACGGAGGCTAACCTGGGAAATCTTTCCTCTCGCAGTTCGTCATCTCCGAAGAGTTTACCTACCATTACGCACAGACCAACGACTCGCTGTGGACGGCTGGACATGTGGCACACTGCATCAACACCCTTCGTGACGCCGTCATGTGCATGGCGGATGCTCAGCCCCTGTCATACATCAACGGTTACAAGAAGGGGCACGCGACGGATGATCAGGCTATGATGTGCAGAGACTGGGAGGCATTGCACAAGTACGTGACCGACCCTGCAAGGGGATTGCGGATCAAGAATGTCGCGCCAGCCGGAAGCAAGGAAGACAAGATGGCCCCCATCGTCCCTTATCCTCAGTTGACTGATGCAGAGCTGAGGGGCGTAGCGTGATGGAGGCCGTGACGGGGTTATGTATTTACTATATGTATTGTTTTAATTTCCTCTGCCATGTAATTATAAAGACGAAACCACACTACTAGAACTTGAATGTTCTAGAATGACAAAACACAATGTATCTTTCACCATGAACGCGATTATGTCTACCTAGGTACGACGGAGCGCAATCCAGTTGACCATTCAATACACACCCCAAAATTTGTCAGTTCTTGGTTTCAGGATCGCGCTTCGTGCATGACCGTAGATATCGCCATATCAAGCAATGTGCGCCAGAATTTCCCGGAGGCCATACGTACGTCTTTACAATCCGATGGATGTGAATATGACTGAACATGAATTCTATGATATTACGCCTAGGAACAAATAACGAAATACAGAACCAACAAAAAAGTCTATATGCAAAATCATGCGCGCAACTCCAAACCCACGTGACGACATAAGAAGTCGTATCCGTCTATGACAGCCTGTTTGGCAGCCGCATTACGAACTCTTTGTAGCCCTCCCAAATCAAATAAGTGGCCCACACCTTCCACAATCCTCAACTCTGCGTCAACATGAGCCTCTTGTAGCGCGTCCCACGTCCTCTGGGCCTGCTGCCACGGAATCAGGTCATCCGCTCGTGGGTGCAGGATAAAAGTCGGCGTCGTGTGGTTGCCGGCCCTGATTTGCGCCAGCGGGCTGACCGCTACAATATCGGCCTGCGACGGTGCAGCCGGCTCTTTGCGCGTGTTCTTGTCCAGCCCGCCAAGCAGGACGTTCAGGGTGCGGCCGCTGCAGTTCATGTACAGCGCTAGACGGCTTCTTTGATCCGAGGGCGCGAGCCAGCCTCCCAAAGCTTTCTTGTTGGGAGCAACGTTGTACTTCGTGATGGGTGCGTCGAAGACACCGTTGGTCCAGAGGTTGTCGTCGAGCTCGAATGCTGACCCTGAGCCTGCGGCAGGTGAACCTGCGCCCTCGGGGATGTTGGGAAGTGTCCAAAACGGGTCCTCGTAGTCCAGGGGGCAATAAAGAGCGAAGATGGCCTCTGGAGGTTGCACTCCGCGGGATTTTGCTGTCCAGGCTAGTGTCATGGCAAGGTGTCCGCCAGTGGACCAGCCTACGACGACAACCTTGGAACCGTCTATTGATATGTCTGGTCTGGAGAGGGTGATGTGTGGCAATTCGGTTCGAATCCAGTGCAGGCCATCGACGACATCATTCATTGGTCCCTCTGACAAAGTAGTTTCAGGGCAGAGCCTGTAGTCGATGCTAATGGGAAGGAAACCAGCATCCAAGAGCATGGCGGTTTGATCTTTTCGGATATCCTGCCTTGAAAGCATAATGTGACCACCTCCGTGAATCATCAGTGCTGCAACGAAATGTCAGTCTGCGGTTTCATTGAATTGTGGAAATCAAAAGCTAGTGGTCTCACCTACGGGGAGTGTCTTGCCGGGCTTAACGAGTTCGCCTGGATAGTGAATATCGGCATAGAGTTTCTGACCATCAACTTCCTTGAACTCAATTGTTTCCAGACGGGAAGGAGGGTCAAATGGGGATGCTGTGATGACCCTGAGCAGCTGTGACTCCTCAGTCGAGCTGCGGCTCCAGTCGACCCATTTGTAGCCGGCGTCGAGGAGATCCTTCTTCCACAGCTCCTCACTCGCCAAGGCATGCCAGCGTCCATCGGATGACAACCACCATCCCTCGAGAAGCCCAAAGACAAGGTCGAACCAGTAGAGGTTTTTTGTTAACTCCACCAGACAAAGCAGCCCATCTGGTTTCAGCATTTCCCGAATGTGAGATGTCGATCTCACGAGGTCTCTTGTCGCATGGATGCAATTTGTCGAGAGGATAATGTCGTACTTGCCCACAAAGTCTGGCTTAGTGTCCTTCTCAATATCAACAACCTTGTATTCCATGAATGACCACTTCGAGAACTTTCGTTTGGCTGCTGCCACGAGCGACGACGATAGATCCGTGAATGTGTATGTGAACTTGTGGCCCATTTTTACCAGGGTCTCAACAACATTCTTTGTCGTCCCTCCTGTGCCTGCGCCAAGCTCGAGTATCCTCAGCTCTCGCTTTGCGCCCACGTCTTTAAGCACGGATGCCAAATACTGAGACAGCACAAGGGTTCCAGTCTTGAACATGGGTGCATTGGTGTAGACGTCGCCGAGAAGCTCGCGGGCAGCCGCATTGCCAAACAGAACTGAGACTGGATCAACACGTCCTGTCAGGCAGTCGGCCAGCTGTTGACCCGTGGAGTGGAGGAGCAAAGTCTCGGAGGTGTGTTTTGGAAACTTTTGCAGTAGCTCGTCCTTGAGGACAGACGCAGGGACTATGGGTACTGGTAGCTCTGTGCGGATGTATTCTCCGTTTGTTCCTTTGGTGAGCAGGCCAGCAGTAGTCAAGATTTCGTGCAGCTGAATCATGACCTTGGCGTGCTTTGGAAGCGCTTCGATGGAGGGTAGCATGGCACCGGGGGCAACAGATGCCAAGTCACAGCCGAGGGAGGCGAAAGCTGTCAACACGTATTGCACGACAAGGGCAGACTGTGTGGGGAAGACGTCGGTGTAGAAGTTTGTAAACCCTGTGTCTTCGGCGTGCTTATCGTAGGATGCCACCGTCTCGGAAAAAACGTCGCGGCCTGCGACTGCGAGAGGTGTGACACCTAGCTCTTCTGTCTGGTTGAATACCTTGTCAGAGGAGGCAACAGGGTTGTCGCTGAACGAGCTGACCGGGGTGCTGGCGCGGGAGCTTCCTGATGTTGAGGCCCCTTGTATTCTTTCCAGTGGCTGAGGCTTGCCTCCACATAAGAGATCTGCCACTCCACGCACATCGGCACAATTGGACAGCTTCTCTTGCGCGACGGAAACCCCGAAGCGAGTCTTGATCTCGGCCATCACTTCTGTTATGAGCAGAGAGTCGATGCCAAGGTCGTCCAACGATGAAGTTGGGGTCACCTCATCCATTGGTATCTCGATGATCTCGCTAAGCATGGTTTGCAGCTTGACCAACATGTTATCCGCTCCGGCATGGTCGACAGTGACTGCGACCGGATCCGTCACGATGGCCTGGAGAGTGCTGGGGATGAACTCTCGAACAGGTGTCCATTCTGCATCACTTCGCTCCGATGCATAGCCCGAATCCGCCGAGTCAATTGGTTTAGCTGGCCTTTTCTCAGCCACTGTGGACGTGGACTTGTTGAGCCTGGTGAGACTCTTCGCGAGAGACTTCAGCGGAACACCTTTGAAGTTGGCTCCGAGTACGGCCATAACAACTTGACCGGTGGTCGCATCACAAACAAATATGTCATTTGTTCTCGTGTTGGCGGGCGTGTCCTCGTCGAACCGCGTGTGTACAATCCACTCCCGATCGACGCCCCTCTTTTCCAGGCAGGACGGGCTGAAAATGATCTCGTCTATAGAGGTGCACATTAACACAAGCCCCTTGTCTTTGGGTGACAGACAGTTGGTGTGGATCCCAGCAACTTGGAGAAAGTTGTCTAGGATGATGGGATCCGTGATGCCAGCATCAATCAGCTCGTGCTGTCTCGCCGGGACCTTGACCGTCGCGATGGCCATATTTGTGGAAGCAGATATTCTGTCAACACCCCTGTAGTAGTCGGCGTAGTCGACGACATTTGAGAACATGTCGTATACCATTACGCCACTCATACCGGTATCCATTGCTGATGCCGAGGTTTGGCTTGTCCCCAGGCGGCCAAGCACCCTGAGTCGTCGATCCGCCATGGCGTCGTCGAGTTTCTTCCACGAAAATGAGCCCGTGGCATGTCTTGTCGGCATATCAACTGGTCCCGAGCTGGCGGCTGCTTGGCTGCTGATGACAAAGTCCCACGACTCTGGTGCCGTCTGGTGGAGATGCACGCGGACCACGGCTCTATCACTAGTCCCCAGAGGAGCTAGCATTGTAAGAGACTCAATATGCGGCACCAAGTTCTGTTTGGCAGTGGTTCGGTGTGCGTCTTGACTGGCGGCTTGAGCGACGATCTCCATATACATGGATGCCGGACACAGGTGCTGACCAGCGACAGCGTGGCCACTCGCAGCCAATTGGAATGTGTCATTGGCTGTGTTCACCTCCAAGGTAAGCTTTCCATTTGCACGGTCATGTTTGACCAGTTTCACAAGCGGGAGAGGGCTGGCGGTCTCGATCGCAGCTGGTGACAACCGTCTCTCCAGTGAGAGCCAATGAGACGTCTGCTCGAATTGGTACGGTGGCAGGTTGACCTTCCGGTAGCGATAGCCTGATGAGCGATGGTGGAGCCAGTATTGGGCAGCCGAGCCTGCCTTCCACAACTCACAGGATGCCTTTGACAAATTTCTCATAGCATCCACTGTGCCAAGCTGCATAGGCAAGAAGACGTCGCCTCGCTCCACCACGTTGATGGCGCGTTTGGCCATGGGGATGATGGGTGTTGCCGATCCAGCTTCCACCCAGATAGCCCTGGGACAACGTTTTGCGATGCGGTTGACAGCCTCGTTGAAGTAGACAGGCTGCCGCGTGTGGTTGACTATGGCCTCGGGTGTGAAATCCGTCAATGTCTCCTGACTTGTGCAGGTCTCGATGTGGATGCGAGGTGGCTGAATCTTGATTGAGCCGGCAATCTTTGACAGATCCTCCAATATCACGTCCGTCAAGTGAGAGTGGTACGCATGAGTGTTGCTCAGCTCGTGTACCTTGAAGCCGCGGCACAATTCTGCAGCTTTCGCAATCGAGGGCGTATCCCCGGCTAGCACGAATTGCTGCGCGCCATTATAGCATGCAACATCCACGCGTAGACCGTCTTCCGCGCTGACCTGTGCGAGAACGTGATCGAGATCCGCCCTGGCACACTCCACCGCCAGCATTGCGCCGGCGTCGGGGCCCCAGGCATCCCGGACCAAGCGAGCCCTGCCTGCGACCAGCCGGAACGTGTCCTCAAGAGAAATGGACCGGGCCACACAGAGCGCGGTCAGCTGGCCGAAGCTGTGACCAAGCAAAGCGTCGACTTCCAGCCCAGAGTCAATCCAGCTTCTTGCGCACGCCACCTGCAGAGACAGAAGCCTGCAGTGGAGGGTAACAGTATCTTGAACCTCCTCCGACTCGAAGATACCGGGAAAGATGCTGGAGTAGCCTAACCTTCTGCAGACCGAGTCGCATTCATTCTAAATGTAGAAAGTCAGCCAATCATTCGTTCTGCGAAGACGGTCAAACAATGGAAGTGTAATCACTTACCAAGTGCTTTTGGAAGAGGTCACTGCTGGTATAGAGCTCCTTCGAGGCGGTTACAGTTCGCCCTGTCTGCCCACCGAAACACAGGATGACGGGGCTTTTGGTCGCATCAAATGCCTTTGTCCTGCTAAAGCTGGATATTGCACTGTCTATCGCATCGGAAACAAAACCGACGCGGCAGTTCAATGACACATCACGGGCCTGCGCGATGTTGTAAGAAATATCTCCAAGGGATGCTGTGCCCTTGGATAAATACGCCTTGAGGGCTTCCGCATAGGAGTTGAGGCTGGTTGTCGTCCTTGCCGACAGAAGTATTGGGTGGAAAAAAAGGATGGGATGGACAGTTGGGATGACGGCTACCTCCGGTTTCCTCTCGACTGTATGAGCGCGGATGAGAATGGCGGCATTGCTTCCAGCTGCGCCGTAGTTATTAACCAGAGCAATGTGCTTCCTCGAAGTCCAGGGAACTGTTTTCATCGATACAGTGATGCGATCTCCGGCTGAGCTTTTGATCTTCGGGTTGATCGAGGCAAAGTTTGCCTGCTTTGGGATCGTGTTGTGATGCATCATGAGTAGACATTTTATGACCCCTGCGGCGCCTGAAGCGGCCTCAGCATGGCCAATATTGTCCTTGACCGAGCCAACATACAACTGCTCGGTGCGCTGGGGACCAGTCAGAGCGGAGCGTATACTCTCGTATTCGATCGGGTCGCCGACTTGAGTACCTATGTGCAATGTCAGCGTGAATGTTATCAAAATCGAAAAGACTAGGCAGGAGTATTCTACGGCTTACCAGTTCCATGCGCCTCGACATAAGTCACATCCTGAGCCTGTATTCCGGCGTCTTTGAGAACTCGCTTGTACAAAGTACTTTGCGAATCTGAGTGCGGAACCGTGATGGGGCTACAGCTTGAGTTCTGATTGACTGCTGAGGATGCAATGACCCCGATCACAAAGTCGCCGTCAGCCAAGGCGGTAGACAACTTCTTCAATACAACCATACCCGCCCCTTCTCCGCGGCAGTAACCACCAGCTTCAGCATCAAAAGCCCTGGAAGAACCTTTAGGGTTGAGGAAGGATGCCCCGGCGAGGTTCTGATGAAGTGAGGGACTGGTGATGACATTGACGCCGCCAGCGAGCGCCATGGAACACTCTCCACCGAGAAGAGCCTTGCACGCGGTATGTATAGCTACAGCAGAGGAAGAACATGCTGTGTCGACTGTGATAGAAGGACCCTCCCAACCGAAGTGATGGCTGATACGGCCGGTAATAAATGCCCGCAGAATGCCGGTTGCTGCGAAAGCGTTGGCAGCATGGGAAGCCACGTTATCCTCATAGTCGACAGCGCCAACACCGAGGTAGCAGCCCACGTCTTTGACGCGCATTGAAGACGGTTTACTGCAGTATCCAGATGATGAGAGCGCCTCATATGCAACTTGGAGGGCGAGTCGCTGTTGAGGGTCCATCGATTTTGCCTCACGGCCTGAGATGCCAAAGAACTTGTGATCAAAAGCATCTGGACGGTCGATGAAGTTACCCCAGAAGGCATCCAATTTCGGTTCACGCTCTAGCTGCGTAGTATCGAAGCGATCGGTGGGCACAGTATCAAGACACGTGCGTCCCTCGTCGAGAAGACGCCAAAAGGCTTCGAGGCTCTCGGACTGCGGAAATCTGCATGACATGCCCACAACGGCGATCTCTTCCGTTGCGGTGGGCTCAGTGGATCGTATCGGCTGTTTGGATCTCCCCAGTGACCTAGGGAGACACGTTTCGGAGCCAAAGCTGGCGATCTCAGTTTCATCTGAGCTCAGGCTGCCCACAGTACTTTTCACTGTCTCGAACCAGTTGGCACGTTGGCAAAGAATCAGTCGGGTTGCAACATCGTGAAGAGCCCCGGTGGTGATGGGGTCCGCGTCAGCTGTGGAACGAAGTGGTAGCCGCAGATCGGCAGCTTCAGGTAACTGAAGATTTTCATGCTGGGCGTAAAGGGTGATCAAAGCGCCAGAGGTCTTGCTGTGCTTTTGATGGTGGTAGCTCCCTTGGAGACCAATAGCCGTCATGGCGATGTCTGCTTTCCTCAAAAGCGAGCTGAAATCAGCTTCGTTGGCCTGCGACAAAGTGATGGTGACAACCCTATCCTCAGTCACGCAGGATATGTAAGCCTAGCAAGTTTAGTCAACCATCACGCTCTAACAAGACTCTCATTTGTCATGAAGGGCAAACTTACGTCAGGAAAGCGATCTAAGTATGTGTCCAGGGTTGCCCTCTCTGCTGGCGATCTGCAACGCACAGACACCACCTTGACTGGCGAAGCAGCTTGCTCCATGTCAACTGCAATACCGAAACAAGCAGCCAGTCGAATGGCATTGGAGACATTCTTTTCAAAATGCTGCCAGTCCTTTGCTGACGAATATGACGCAGCTGAGAGGAACCCAACGCAGAAGCCCTGGGCTGTCTCAAAATTTTGCAAGTTGGTGCCGTGTTGCTGAATTAGGTCGACAATCTGCGCGATGACCGTGAGCGGCGCCAGTGCAGTGTTTGACAGCACTTCATCCTCTATGTTCCTGGTGCCAGCCACGATTTCTTGTAATTTTTGTAGTTTCTCCACGACTGGGAAGTCTGGTGAGCCGTATGCTTGTTGGATCTGCGGCCATAACGAAGGGAGTGTGGCCAGCGTGCTTTGCAGAAATTCGAGGCGAGCATCTTCTCGGAAGGCGGTTTGTAGGTCTTCAACGTCACGCGATGTCCAAACAGTTCGTTGTGGCCCAAACAGGGCCACGCGAAATTTTGTAGTACCATTGTTGAAAGGCATGATTATTTGGATTATACCACAAGGCAACGTTGAGTAGAGTTTAGTTCGTGCAGATGACAGAAGTATAAAGATTTACTTTCGGGTGCCTGCAGGCCACGTTTTGTGCATTTGCATCTCGGTACTTAGGCACGTTGAGTGCTGTCTTGCTGACAGAAGACCTGTTTGAAGCTCAATGCAGATTAGGCTCTATAAATAAGCTTGTTTTTAAATATAAGTTATGAGTCTAGTAGTTTATTATTAGTAATATATCTTTATAAACACTTTATATATTATATAATATTATATTATATTAAACTTAGGTGTTTAATTTATATAATGTTTATAATTAATTTATTTAAAAGAAAGAATAATAAAATATAAATAATAGAATACTTTATTATTATTTATTATATTATATAAATAGTATTTATATAATTTCATAGGTTTATTTTAACCTACTTATAAAATCTATAGAGTAAAACTTCCTACTCTTGTTTTACACTAAGTAGTCATATACCCTTGCCAATTAATTTCTACGCAGTGATACTTCCTTGAACTGCATTAGTCCTCGCCTGAACTTTGGGAGTAGTTGCAGACCGCCGGCGTTCTACACCATGCCGGCGCTAAAGTCGGGTCCCGAATGAGCGAGTAATCGCAACCCGGCCGGGGCGATAGGCCAGTCAGAGCTTCACGGGGTAGTATCACGTCGGTGGGTAGAAGCGACATCCGAAGCTCTCGGCAACGTGTTGTCGATAACACAGTCACATGGTTACCAGGTTGTGGCACGTGTGCCTGCCTATCTTAGTGAGTGTGCCGGTAACTTACTGCGCAGACGACAACGTTGTCGCAAGTAGCCCCCATGTACTCGGTGCCGACAGGACCTGAAACAGGACTTAGAACAACAGGCCCATGCCTTAGGAACCTAGGACCCATGATCGAGGTTTGGATAATTTAATCCTTTGGTTATTAATTTGACGAGGTGGGACTTGATGCTGTGTAATGCACACCGACTTTCGCATCCCATGGTTGAGAACCAGCATAGACGTAAGACCTACGTTGACATTTCTCACATGCAGGTTTGGATTACCTGGGTAAAAATATCAACTGGACCAGGGCCAAGCGAATCCCTCCAAGCTTTACGCAGAATGAAAGGACGCCCACGAAATTGCTTATTTGAAATGTATGGTGAATCTCATGCTCCTGCATCTGCCCAAGTTTGTAGACACCCTTTGGATTCCAGGCCTCCATACTGGCAAGAAGGATACCATGAGCGTGACCATGCCTGCCAACCTAAGTTTGGCAACCTGTAGCCCCTTGGTGCTGGCTTCCGCTGCGGTAGTACTGCTTGTGGTCCTTCAACTTACACGGACATGGTGGCGTCTTCGTCATATCCCTGGGCCATTCTTTGCGAAATTCACGAACTTTCAGAGGGTTTACTGGGTCAAAACCAAGCGCGCTCACCTAATCCTTCAAGAGGCGCATGAGAAATATGGCGAGCTTGTTCGCGTTGGCCCGAACACGGTCTCCATCCACAACCCGGAACTGATTCCCACGATATACACTGCGAGAACAGGATTTCCAAAGGTGAGCAGCTTCGCACTAGATTGACCCTCCCCTCTAACTTCTACGATCTAACGTGCTCGATTTCAGTCAGATTTCTACCCCACACTCCAGGCCTACACTCCGAATGGGGGCTCGTTGGAAGCCATCTTCAACACCACCAGCGATGAAATCCACAAGAAGCTCAAAACGCCTATCGCGCCCCTGTTTACGCTTGCCAATGTCCCGTCCCTGGAGCCACGCGTCAACGAAGTCCTCGAATGCATACACGAGAAGCTGGAGCAGAAATTCGTTGGCAACGATCAAGTGTTTAATCTAGGCGATTGGCTCCAGTTCTTCGCATTCGATGTCATGGGTACATTGACGTTCTCAAAGCGTTATGGTTTTCTGGACACCGGCAAGGATGTTGGAGGCATGCTGGCAAGCATTGTATTTTTCATGCGAACCTCTGCACCGGTATGTTGCCTTGATCATTGGGCTGAAGCAACATGGCGATGGATGAACTAACACTGATGCCAATAAGTTTACACAAATGCCCAAGATCGACTGGCTCCTCCGAAAGAACCGCGTAGGTGACGCCATCCAACGAGCTTTGGGACTCCAAGCGTCCATGAGTATCATGGGGTTTGTAGGAAAGGCCATTACCGAGAAGAGGGCAGCTCTCGCCAACGATGTTGAGAAGAGGGACGTGGCAACTGACAAATATGCTCGTGGATCGGACTTTCTCACAAGATACGTCGAGGTGTCACAGCAAGACCCTTCGCTTCCGCCATCGTGAGTAATGCCGGTAGAGCCGACACTCGTGCACATTTCTGATAATTACAACAGGGCCCCAGCTGCATGGACGTTTTCCAATGTCATCGCTGGCTCCGACTCGGTGGGAAGTCTAATGCGCACAACTATGTACAGCTTGCTGGTTTACCCTCACACGCTGGAGAAGCTCTACAAAGAACTGAAGAATGCCAATGTTTCGAGGCCATACCCAACATGGACTGAGACACGGAACCTGCCGTACTTGGACGCCTGCGTCCTCGAGGGAATCCGCATGCACCCACCCTTTGCCCTTCCTTTCGAGCGCGTCGTACCAAAGGGCGGCATCACAATCGCGGGACAACATCTACCTGAGGGGACTGACGTTGGTGGAAATGCCTACGTCGTGAACCGAAACAAGGATTGGTTCGGAGACGATGCTGAATTCTGGCGACCAGAGCGATGGACTGAGAAGGATGAGGCTCATAAGAGAAAGTTGGAGGCTGGGATTCTCACAGTAAGTATTGGTCATGATTGACCTGAGCTCCGCTTTGTCTTGATTTTACTATAAAGGGGGCTGGCTTGCTAACATTTCTGCTAAAGTTCGGCGGTGGGCGTCGGATCTGCATTGGCAGATATGTAGGCATCCTGGAAATCAAGAAGATCTTGGCTTTTCTCGTAGCCAACTATGATGTAAGTCCCCCATACTACATGCTTCGCTGAACAGTGGAAAGCCTGACACCGTGTAGATACATGTCGTAGACCCCCAAAGGTTCGAGTATGAAAACTCGTGGTTCTTATTCCAAAAGGGTCTGTATGCAAGGATCGAGAAACGGCCAGAGGCGATGTAGTGAAGCTGAGTGTCTGGGCTGGAGCGGATGGCATGCATGCTATGCTGGAACGCCCTAGGTTTAAAAGTGGTTTCCTTTCTAATCCCCATACACGTAAGACGGTCGTGGGCTGGCGCTTACCATCCATGGATTCTATGAAGGCGTAATGTATGTACTCGGACATATCCGTATACGGAATAGAAGCGAAACCATATACATATACAACGTATGTGGCGCCTTTATACAGTGGTACTCGATTAAGAGATAGTGTTTAAAAATACAATGCCAATAACAGGACAAAGAGAATACAATACGTGGGAACGTGGCCTCGGCCTCGTGCCGCAAACTACTATCTTTAAAATATATGTACAAGCAAAGTTTAAGTTGTTGACGAGGAATTGGTGCCATCTCACAGACTGCGCCGTTACCGGGTCTCGGGGAAAAATCCTACTGTTTGGGCCGATCGTGTCTCCGGGATGCTCGAAGACTATAGTCTCCAGGCCGAGCGTCGCTGCATTCGTTAGTCATGCTCCGCCAGTTCGTGGGCAAGACATTGGCGATGCTGGCGATCGAGCGGCCAAGGAAGGGGATTTGGAAACCCTTCCAATCACAGTTCATGGCGACAAGGACTGAGCGGCGAGCGACAAAACGCCTAGCCGCACAGCGCTGCGCCAGTGCCATTGCTTCAGGGGATTCCCGTGCTCGCGTGACGGGGCAATCTCGGAGGTCAACAAGTCTCGCCAGTCCCGATGTCACGCCAACTTCCGGACAGGGTTATATTGTCCATCAGCTGGAGCCTTACACTAACTGTACACACAAAGCTACTTTGATCTGATATAAATATCATTATTTCTAAATGCCAACCTCCTCAGATAAGTATTAAATTAATATTATAATTTACGTACAGCATTTGAAAAACTTTTGTTAATGATATGATTTACTAATAAACATTACAAATTAGATGACCTCTTTTACCTATATCCCGTAAAATAAAAATGTTAAAGTTCTTAACTTCTTTAAAAGAGAATGTTGTCTTCTTATTATAAGACATTACCTACTTGTCATACAAACCTAACTTGAGATTCACACTTGATTTTATGGACTTTACTCCACGATCTAGTTGACGGGGACAAAAAGAATCAAAATGTTTCGCTCTTAGCCCATGCGGCAAAACCTGCAGGTGTGGCTTCGATCAGGGCCCCTGAAAGGACCTTGTAGGGGATCCCTTGCCCAGCACTCCGCCATAACTTCACAAGCTCCCTTTTGGCTGCATCGGGCCGCCGGTGACGGCAGTTGTGGATGGACGGGATTAGCAGCCTGCGCACAGACTGACTGCGGCCTTTGAAGCTGTCGGGTACTTATTAAGCAGTCTGAACCAGTCTTCGTGGGCATTTTCCTTCCTTCCTTTCTTCTTTATTAAGCCAGCCGAAGTGTGGTTCGAAGTTCTATCAAGTTGAAGGGGACTTCAGCCTATCATGTTAATCCTGTCACAATAGTACTACATCATGTATTGGTATAGTGGTAAAGGGGGCCGCAGCCCTGAATAACTATTTTACAACAGCAACGGTATGATATGCATCCCTACTCGAAGTTTTCCACACTGACAGATAAACCAGCCCCAAACCCAGTAAGCTGCGTCAGGGCTGAAGCTAGTTGCCCTTCATCGCATGTGAGTGTTACTGACACCCGAAACCTTCTTGACTTTGGTGTTGATGCTGCCCTATCATGCGGCGGCAGTGATGGGAATGAAGGCGTCGATTTGGCCACGGAGGCCGTCTTGGAGGCCATGACCCAGTCATCGCACTCGAGGCCCTTGTTGCTTCCCGCCAGCGAAGTTCCATTGGTAATTTGAGTACACCTAGCGGTGTCTGAGAGCGGTTGAGTTGCAGTGCTCAATCCGTGTGGAAGGTCAGGTGTATTGCGCTTCTGTGGACTTGGCGGCTCTTCCCCATAAAAGCAACCTCCGGCCACGTGGAAGGGCGGCCCTGGAGCTTGGTCTCGCAGCAAAGCTGGGTCGAGTTGCAAATACTCGTCCATGGCCATGCCGCTGTCCTCGTTGATACCTGGAGTTGGAAGGACGTTCTCCTTCGGATAGTCATACCATGCTGTGTTGTCTGTCATGGCAACATTGATCCCATCCATTCTCACGGGAGTAGTCTCATTCTGCCCTGATGGGCGCGTATTCATGCCGCCGTCGGTTTGGACGTCTGTGTCGCTGCCAAGATCCTCCAGCCATGTGCGTATCACTTTCACCTTTTTATTAACAGGTTCTCTTTCCTCTTCCTCGTCTTCCATATCATCAGATCGTAATGACTCGCTGTTTTCGCTCGAATTGGATATGCTGACCCCCTCGGAATTTCCCAGACTCGCCTGCGCGTGGATGCTTTGCAATGTTACATGCCCGAAGGATGGGCTGGGTTGAGTTTGGCGTACTCGGCTTCTATTCTCGTTCTTGACCCTCAGAGTGGAGTATCGATTCTTGAGTGCAAGAGTAGTTCGAGTTGGAGTGTGATAGCTCGCGATTTGAGCCCACTTGGTGCCGTTGGTCAAGACTTCGTGGAGGAGGTCTGCGTCCTAATAAACCCAGTCAGTTTGCCCTGCTATTAGATATGTGGTAAGCTTCTGGGTTTGGGGTAAACACACCTCCTCTGGTGTCCAGTCGCAGTAATTGATCTTGGGGTCGAGGACGTGGTTCCAGTGACTTGAGCATTGATCTGCACTTCTTGATCCGACTTCAGTAGCCACTTTGGTCCAATTCGTGCCCCAGCGCTGGATAGCAGCAATTAGACGCTCGTCCTCATTCTCGGACCAAAGTCCCATAGTTCTGCCGTCCGCGAGACTGTTCCACCACCGCCGGCGGCAGTCCTTGTTCGATCTCCCAGGAACGGCCTTCGCAAGCTCACGCCAACGAAGAGGCTGGTGCTGTTGCTCAGCTATGAAATCATGTCAGTTACTTGCCGAACGTCTGGCACGGGAAAAAATCATTCAGCTTGATCGATGCCACCTAATGGAGGGCCTTACCAGTCATCACTGCCTGGCGCAGAAGTTCGTCTTCCTTGCTTGTCCAACTTCTTCGTACGCGTGCCATTTCGACAGAGAGACTCATTCGTCGGAAAGGGATACCTCGTTGCACAATGTTGTGCTATGAACCTGAGCTGGCACCAGGTGAACTATGAACTGGCCGCTGGCTTCTTCGCATTCGGACTTCGGGTCCGAGGGTGGCTTGAATGCCGTCCATAATATTTTGGCCCCACTGCTTCCAGCCTCCCTGCGATGTCCAGTGATAGCAGTGGATCCTTCTGCATGCCATTCAAGTTCTGCTACCCTAGTAAGTCTAATAGAAGTATAGAGTGCTTTTACCCCAGCATATAGTGCACTATTAGCTCATTTTAAAATAATTAATATAGCCTACATAGTATACTTGCGGTTATTGAATAAAAAGCTTATAATAATAAATTATATAAGTCTAGTACTTAATAATAATTTAAGTAATATAAAATATTTAAATTATATTATTTAGAAAATAAAAAGATTATTATTAAAACTATTTTTTTATAATAATACTTATATTTTTATAAGTTTTTATTTAAAACTTTTTATTTAAGTATTTTATTTTACTAATTATTAAAAATATCTTTCTATTTATATATATTATAATATTAGTTTTAATTTAATAAAATCTTTAAAAATTATATATAATAATAAATATTTTATTATATTTATAATTTTAATTATACTTCTTATAACCTAATTTTCTTTATATATAATTATTATACTTACTTTTTACATTTATAGTTCGTAAGAGGTAATATGTTTAAATATTAATAGGACACTAATTAAGTACTTAAAATATGTCTTAAAAAGCAACGACGCACCTGCGGGGTACCCGAGCGGCCCTGACGTGAAAGTGAGATACCCAGCTAATAGAGATCAGGGGTCACGAGTCCCTGCAGCTCGGCAGTGTCGTTTGTGGCCCGACCTCCGCAGATAAGGCGCTGCCGCGGCCGGCCTGGACTGGGCGCATGATCAGCGGGCATAAAAGTGTCGCAACCGACCTGACCGCGGCAGCGGGATCCACCTCCACCGGAGCGGAACTCTGATCGTCGCCGCAAAGACGAGTAAGGTCAAGCTTTGGTTTAAGGTTGATTCCGCCGTCGATTGCATGACTAGCTGGGATATGGCGTCTGACTAGGAACGTCACGGTGAGGCTGTTGCCAGATTGCTCGCAGCCGCCACTCACACGTGCAGGCAGCCTTGTTCTCACCGTGGGACATTTGGGGACTCATGGCTCGCATGAATTAAGTCGACGCCTATGCCGAAGGCTACCTACGTAGGTAGCTAACTCTAGCTGCAGATGCAACCATCTTTGCTTTTTTTTTTTTTGCCCTCTCATTTTCTTTTTTCTTTTCTTTTTTTTCTCTTTTTCTTTGCAACATTTTCTCCCTTCAACTCATGATAGCAGTGTAATCAGATAAATATGAAGTGCAGAAACAGCTCATGCCATGAATTTGCAAATTTGCATTCCCAGCCGTATAGAATTGATCCAGACCAACCGCGCGTTTGAGCATGAATAGCGAGCAGAGAAGCGGTGGATTGAAAAGCGTGCGACACCTCAGGGCCTCTAGATTCGTCTCACCTGACTTGAGTGAAACGCTGGCAAGCTTCACTTCGCTGGCTATCTGTACACCGTAATTTGAACTCCACAGGAGATACCCATGGCCTTGTTCCACCAACTACGTGTCTGTAGCCATACCACGTTTTCGAAGAGACTTCGCCATCCTATGTCGCTTTTGCTAGCATACTGGGCAAACTTTGACACAAATCGCCCACAGAGAGCTTGTATACAAGTTAGAGTTTTGCATGTCTGGGGAGGCGTGGTCTAGAACCAGAACTCAAAGCCTAGAACTCAGATGTGCCCAGGTCACACAGACCCTCGGCGGCACGAACTCAGTACCTTCAGGGGCAAATGCAGTGTTGAATCTAGAATCAGCATAGAGCGTAGAGGACCCGGGGGATTTGGGGACCCCGGGTGGGCGCAGAGGGGAAAAAGACAGGGTGGAGAACTTAACAGCAACATCAAGTATGGTGCCGAGGCTCAGCCGCCAGAAGCCCTCGAGTAGCTGAAGATCTTGGCTGCATGCTGGCTTCACTTGTATCCAACTGGTAACTAATCTAATAAAGGCTGGCTACCTGACTAACACTGGCATAAATTCAAGCTTGACCCTCTGCTTCCCATCGACCAAGGGGCCCCATTCATCCCCTTCCCAGATCACCAAACTTAGGTTGAAACTCAGGATCTTGACTGTGAACCTACGACTTATTTGGATATTCTATCGTGTTTCACCCTAAGAGAAACGTGTATACAATATGGCCACCACTACCTCTACCCTTACCACCGAAGACTTTCAGCGTGGAGGTGCCGCGTATCCAAGCACGTGGCACTTCGACAAAGATCTGCCCGAGGACCGAAAGAACATCGAGAAGACGTTCAAGCTCTTGAGGGAATACAGCGGTATACCAGCAGACAAAGTTGAGGAGCATGTCCACGATATTGTAAGACGCCGTTTCCCATCGCTCGTGGTTCAGTGTGATGCCGAGGCTGACTCCTTCATACTGTAGAGGACCAAGGCATGGGAAGTCTTCCCATACCCATGCATCGGGTCCTGGCGCTTCTTGGCAGACTACATGGAAGAGTTTCCTGAGTATCCTGAAGTTATCTCCCGTCTGAAGGGAGGCGAGACCTTCCTGGACGCCGGATGCTGCTTCGGTCAGGTGCTCCGTCACCTCTACTACGACGGTGTTCCTGCCGAGAACCTGATCGGTACCGATTTGTACCCCAAGTTCATTGAGCAAGGCTACGATCTGTTCCGAGACGAGGGAAAGTGCGGCTTCAAGTTTGTCACGGGCGACATGCTCAACCACTCAGACCCGTCGCTCGACTGTCTAGATGGCAAGATAGACATCATTCATGGCACGTTCCTCTTCCACCTATTCGATCGCGAGGACCAGATCAAGCTGGCCACGCGTCTGGTCAAGTTCTTCAAGCCGGACGCCAAGAACGCGCTGATTGTCGGCCGCCACACGGGCCAAGCTGAGCCCCTGGATCCCTTTGAGACATGGACCCTGGACAAGCTCAAGCGCTTTCTGCACACTCCATCAACGTGGCAGGCACTGTGGGATGAGGTTGGCGAATTGACAGGGACGAAGTGGGTGACCACTGCCGAGGTGGTCGACCTGAAATTACTTGACATCGATGACAATTACTGGGCGAAGAGGAAGGAAATCACGGGAGACCCGAACGCCCCGAAGACTTTGCGCTTCTGCCAATATCGGTATTCGGTGCGCAAGGTGTAAATCGGCTAAATGATGAATTGAAATAGAAATCATCTTGAGTCGAGATAGACTTTTCTTAGACAAGGTGGAGGATAAATGTCTTCTAAAGATCTTTGCATACCAATCCATCTAGACGGTTTCGAGAATCTTACGGGCTTCCATTTCACAGAATGCATGTGACAGTTTAGACCAACAGGACAATCTTTCGCAACTAGGTCTAGGACAGCCGACCACACTCTCCAATTCAAGAGACGAATAATTTCACAATGGTTCATTGGCCTGATTTTCGAATTATACCCGTCCAGAACTAAAGGTTTCCTTTTCTTGGATTTTATTTCTTCTCTCCCCCTGGTGAACTCGCCTCGTCGCGGCAATTGAGATGGAGTCCATAATCGTCATTATGCCTTACCCGTCTATCACTCCCGGATTGAGATTAGTCGTTGAACGCTGAAATCATCAACTGACTACCTATCAAGTGACCTTTATCATGGGCTTGGCGTTACAATTCAATTAATAACGGTGTGACCCAATACATTGTGGCGGCGTAAAGAGCCCCAAGGAAAAGACCTTGAGGCCAGCAGTCTCCATTCAATGATCTAACGCCTTTATACAGTGGGTGACCACGTGGTTACGGAAGTGAGGACAACAATTCAAGACCCAGTCATAGTCAGCATGAATGTGATGAGAGGTCAATTAATATTGGTGCTCAAAATACAGAAGCACTCGAGATTCAGACATTCGAGTCATCTTTGAGAGTCGTATAGATCTTGACAAAACGCCCAACGAGAGTCCCCCTTGATTCCTGATGTCTTCCACCCATTGATTCGTTTTGGGAATAGCGGGATTTTGTCTCGTATTGACAGATCATGAGCCATCACCACGAACACACTTTCCAGTCCGTCCAACTGCTGTATCTTGTCCACAGTATCAAAGGACGCATCCTTGTCTGGGAAAATAACACTCGGAGCCGCGACCTCAAAAAAAGGGTCGCATTTTCTGGACAGGCAAGAGTCCAGGAGGAGACCAGGACACAGTGCAGAGTCCTCGCCCAGGAAATGCTGCATTTTCTCACCGGATGGCAAGGGATGATACGCACTGGGCCGCAGGACACCAACATGGTGACACGCATCGGCTCCCATAAACACAAACGAGGATCCTCCCTCCTCGTGAGCAGCAGTCGTGCGTGCCAAAGCACAAAGATGTCCTACGGCATGCCCCGGCGCATCGAGGAGGTAGAAGGACCCATCCCCAAAATAGTCAAAAGCGTCGAACCGCCCGATCTTCAAGCCCTTGTCAAAGGCGATCTCGATCACCTCACGGCCCTCGATATCTGCGTCCAGAACGATAGCGTCCGCACGCGTGGGCCAGCCCGGCCACGTCACGTCACGGACACCGGGTCCAACTACCAGCGCCGTGCTTGTGGGGAAGCGAGTCACATCGCCGATGTGGTCAAAGTGATTGTGGGACCATATCACGGCGGAAACGTCGGCCCTACTAACATTCGTGTCGCCGCTGTGGGCCGCCTCATCCAGCATGGTGGGCACATCAGTTCCCGGTTTTACAATCGTTGTGGCGGATATCAGGTCCACCGTCTTGGGGGCATAGTTACGCCAATCAGGTCGCGTTCCAAGGTCAAAGAGAACATTCTCCCCAGTTCTGCGGTTCGACACCAGGAAACAGTAGATTGGGGCGTGGAGGCCGGTGAAGCCGTCGACTTTTGGTCGCCAGAACAGTTCGGGGTTCAGGTGAACGGTGGTGTCCCTGTTTTGCGCTATGTCAGTCTTCAGCCCAGCAAGAACCGAGAGACCCGGACGCATACGTATCGATAACACTGACATCCACCGTAGTGGAGGACTCGGGGATGTTGTGCACCCGTAGGAGGTTTGAGGCGGACATGCTGATCGTTCCGAGGAGATGGTTCACATGTGCAACGTAACAGCTAGCAGCAGTAAACGAACCGGTAATACAAGTAGCTCCGGGATAATCCACGATGGTCTAGACGCAACCGCCTCGGACCATCAATTCCAACAACTCCATATTCGTGTGTAATTTGAGGGTCATGGGGTCGTGTCACTACAACGAGTTGCAGAGAGGAAGACCCAAGCCTTGCCACCACGTGCCCAAGTGCTAATGGATTCGGCACCGAGTACACGGCGCAACTCCCAAAAGCCGCAGCCTCATGCTTCACAACCGAGCCAATACAGTGACTTTGAATTGCCCTGGGCACGGAACTAGCCGCATTGCCATATTTCTGAAGATAACTCAATTCATCGGCTGGTGGCCGGCATTTCACAGTTAAAGCCCACGCCTTTACACTGAGTCAGCAACCCAGATAGATGACTCGTCACTGTACAACAAATAGTGATTACTGAGTACTATGGAGCGTTCTAGATGCTTTGGGCAAGAAAGTGTAGGAACACACAAGGTGCAGGATTCACCGGCGTGTCGGATGCAGTGCACGCCCCTTTTCGAATGTCAACCACCGTGCAACAACAAGGCATGTAACAAGCAGTGCAACCAAACCTAATTATAGAGTTCTCAGAAAATTCTTTGCCCATAACACATTTACCTATTGAAATAAGTATACATATAATGAAATACATTGGATAGTAACGTTAAAAGAGTAGTAAGTGAATTACTATTATTACTTAGTTTTCCTATAAATTTAAAATTTATTTTTTTAATTATAATACTTTAATATATTTAATTATATGGAAGCCCCTCTTATAGTATTTTAATTTATATAAAACTAGTAAAGCTTTGTCTCTTAGTTATATACTTCTTATAGCTTATGTTACTAGTAACCTTTAATCCCCATCATTAAACGACTAAGAAGATTACGAAGGTGCTTTGATTATGTTCGTGCCCATCCTAGCTAGGTTTATTCCGCATACATCCGGGGACATACATGGCGCCTTCATACGGTGCTCGTCATAGGCCTGAGGAAGTCACTGCAAAACATAATCTGCATTGCGTGACTCTGCTTATTGTGAATTAGATTCCCCAGAACGACCTGACAATTCCAAAGTTAGAGTTAAATGATGTGTCCTAATCGTACCGGAGGGTCCGTTGATGACTAGACAAAATTTCGCCCCCATGTCCGAAAAGGCTGGGCGCCACGGAATATTGAAGCTTCGGTGCTCGGGCGACCCCTTTTCTCCTTTTCTCATTGTGGCTGTGGTCCATATCCCAATTTACGGCGGTCACATACGGACGGTATGCTACACGCTGCGTCCTTTCCTAGCAGCTTTATCAATGGATGCTTTTCTTCTATACGTCGTCAACGTGAACTACGTCGCCCCATTCTAGGTGTCATTCATTCATTATGCGTTCCCTGACAAGCCACTCATTTTTGCTTTCTACGTTGCTGCTTCACAGCATCGACCATGCTTTAGCTGCCCCGAGTCCTAGGACCCGTGCTGAATGCGGGCCAGCTGTGCAAAGCTTCGACTATGTCATTGTTGGCGGCGGCACTGCTGGCTTGGTTCTTGCGACCAGGCTGACAGAAAATGCCGACATCAATGTCGCTGTTATTGAGGCTGGAACCAGCCCCGAGGCTGTAGCAGGAAACTTGACTCAGGTTCCAGGCTACGCCGGCGAGCTGTACTTGAACGCTGCTGAGCTGAATTGGGGCTTCACTGTCACGCCTCAGGAGGTATTTTAGGTCCCAACGTTCACAGGTATCATCAATTACTGACGAATTTCAGGCTCTCCTGAACCGAACGTTCACCTACATGCGAGGCAAAACGGTATGTTTCTTCGTACATCCTTCCGGCGTGGGAAGGGAACATCCTAATAACTGGTTACTGCTCCTCTAGCTCGGTGGCAGTGGCGTCTTGAACTTCATGAACTATGGACAGGCCAGCAAGGGTTCTCACCAGAGATGGGCCGACCTTGTCGACGATGAGTCTTACACGTACGACAACATGTTACAATACTACCACAAGGCCATGAAGTACTCCCCCCCGAAAGAAGGCGCTCGCTCAGCCAATGCCACCACCTCGCTCCTCGCAGCGGACGCCGCGATCAACGGAACGCTGCCCGTTACTTTCGGAGCCTACGTGCAGTCTTGGAGCACTTGGGTCGCTCTGGGTCTCAAGGCCATCGGCGTCCCTCAGGTCTCGGCCTTCGTGGATGGCAACAATATGGGGTGGTCTTGGAATCTCTATACCATCAAGGCGCCAGAGGCCATCAGACAGACTTCGGAGACAGCCTACCTCATCCCTGTTCTCGGCCGTCCCAACCTTGCTGTCTTCGACTATACGTTCGCCAAGCGCATTCTATTTGATGACCAGAAGACTGCCACAGGCGTCGAGGTCACGTCGACAACGACCAACTGCTCGTTCACTATGTCTGCAGCCAAGGAGGTTATTGTCTCGGCTGGCGTCTTCCAGTCACCACATCTCTTGCAGGTCTCTGGTGTCGGTCCCAAGGCCATGCTTGAGCAATACGGCATTCCTGTGGTTGCTGATCGGCCTGGTGTGGGCCAGAACATGCAGGACCAGGCCACCACATTCGCGATGTACCAAGTCGATCTCGTCACCAACACTCTGCTCAGCCAAGATCCAGCATACGCCGCGGCAGTTGAGGAGCAGTACATTGTCAACCGCACAGGTCCCTTGACTGCCCCAGGAGGTGACCTGATGGGATTCGAGAAGATACCAGAGGAGTTCAGGACCGGATTCTCGAATGATACCAAGGCCTGTGAGTAACAACAGCCAGAATCCGAGTTCAGTCACTGGGGATCTACTGACACATACTTTCTGCGTAAAGATCTGGACCAGTTACCCGAAGATTGGCCCGAGGTTTGCTACGCGGTCTACCCGGGCTCCGCTACACAGCCAGAGCCGGGGAAAAATTATGCTATCATGCAGGCGTGGTCGATGGCCCCCCGTTCCAGGGGCTCACTCACGATCCAGTCGGCGGACATGGCCGTACCCCCAGTTATCGACCCGAACTGGTTCAGCTCCCAGACAGACGTCGAGGTCACTGTTGCCGCGCTCAAGCGCATGCGCAAGGCACTCAGCAGCCCGGCTATGGCCCCTATCATGATTGGCGATGAGATGCTCCCTGGTCTGGACGTCCAAACAGACGAAGAGCTTGCCGCATTCGTGGCTCAGCGAGGCAGCACCATCTACCATGCGGCGGCAACCAACAAGATGGGGAAGCCCTCGGACCCTGACGCGGTCGTAGATCACCGTGGACGAGTGTTCGGAGTGCAGAGATGTAAGTCTCCAATTAGTCTCCCGTGAAGCACACTACCATAGGTACCTCAGTATGCAATCTGAAGTTCTAAACTGACATCGAATAGTGAGAGTGATTGATGGCTCTGCTTTTCCGTTCCTGCCGCCAGGGCCTTCGCCATACACACAAGTTTGTAAGTTCTTCAGTCCTCGCTTCACCAGAAACGGTTCATCACTGACCCGAATAGTCATCTTGGCTGAGAAGCTCGCCGACGATATCAAGAACACTGTCTACTACTAGTAGGATTAGTTTGTAGGGTGCATGTTTAATTTCCTGAACCAAGCGGTAAGACTTGTTGCCTTCAACATCATATCTTTTAGCTATGTCTGCACGGGTGTCTGCTTTTGGTTTGAGCTCGTTTCTCTACCATTATATTTAGAACCTGGATCTCGAGCTAGAATTAATAGGCTCGTAAATTCATTTAATTGACTTCTCTACGCAAACACAATGCATTCGGAACCCCGAACACGTGGACTAGTTGATATGCCCAGGTGTCGTCTGTCGTTTTCGGCGTGGGATTGTTCTTAAATCACCCTGGGCATCTATAGACGCGGGTCCTGGCATCCGAATGCCAGAACTTGTCGACCCTGATCCGTTAGGTAATTAAAAGGCTTATTAGTCTCAGGTATTGAGGGGCTTACTCTAGAAAGAACCACTAATACGCAGTGGTTTCGTGTGGTCCAACATTTAATCCCCATACACACATATAAAATGTATGAGGCGACTTCAAAACCCAGGGTATAAAAGAATACAGTGCCAATAACAGTAGAGAGAAAATTAGTACGTCCCCACTGGTGCGCAATAGTCGTATTGGTGTCTGGTACAGAAGAAAGAGGCGGCAGGCAGCATCCCAAGCGAGACCGAAGGGGCATCTTCACCCCAGCTGGGTGCTTCTGCACCGTTATCTACTTACGGACTGTTCGCCGGCACAAATCTTGACTTCCCCCTGCCTGCCCCACAAGGCGGACCGTGGCTTGGCCCTGAGCTTGGCCCCTTGGCGCTGAGTAGGCAGGCATGAAGTGATCGGTCGGCGCTGGGTAAGTTGACACTGGCATGCAATGAGAAGAGGTGGTCCGAGACAGAAAATCGCGCAAGGAGGCCTGCAAAGCATCATGACCTAAATTTAGATGATGTATGTCATGAGAAAATCTATAATTGTGGCTACGCACCCCTCAGTGAACGTGATATGCCAAGCTAGCCAATCTCTTCAACTTCGTCCCTGAATGCCAAGTGAACAACGTGGTCTAGCGCAGATCCGATCTTAACAAGATGGGGACATTCGCGATCGATTCGATTGCCACGAGGCTTCTTGCAGTCCCAGTCAGTATTTCCTAACGGGATACCCCCTGCACTCCCCGGTGGCCTGAACAACAATTTGGGGGCTGCGTACATTCAGACTGCCGAAAAGCCACTTTTCTTGGTCGCTGATCACGCAGCACCAAGAAGACTCCCCAGAGATGGCATAAGTAAAACCAAATACTAACTTGAACTACTGAAAGACAAAAATATGGCCCTTTCTCCTCATTACTATTGCCGTGTCCGCGGCAAAATTGCTCTTTGAGGCTTTTCTGAAGCACGATCCCATTTCCGAGATTCCACTTGTTGACGGTGACATAAAGGACGAGGCCACGAGGCGCATGAAGTTTGCAAAGGGGGCCAAACATGTGTACCGGGAAGGGTACCGCAAATTCAGGAATGGGCTGTTCCGAGTCTCTTCGCCGAGAGGTGCGGTTGCAGAGCTTCCATGTTGTGAGGCTCAGTTGCTGATGTTGAAACCGAAACAGAATCCCCGGTCGTAGTTGTTTCGCCTCACTTCCTGAAGGAATTGAACGCTCTGCCTGACGACCATGTCAGCTTCCACGGGGCTCTAAAAGAAGTGAGTGTCTTGCTGTGGAGTCCTTGTGTGTGAGGCCAAGGCTGATGCCAAGGATGTCAAGAAAATGCAATCGCGATTTACCCACATTACAGTGGACATTCCTGTTGTCCCACATATTGTGAGGAACGAGCTCACCCCAGCGTTGAGTAAGATCCCGTGCCAAGATACAATATCTTGTACCAGTTCTAACATCACGTAGGCCGTCTCAATCCCATCATCGCCGAAGAAGTGGCGACGGCTTTCCGAGACGAACTCCCCGCTTGCAAAGACTTCACTAGAGTTCCAATCAATCGTACTCTCTGGAGGATTGTTGCCAAGGTTTCCGGCCGCTTTTTCGCCGGCGCGGAGCTCGCCCGGACAGAAGAATACATGGATATGAGCATCAACTACACGCTGGAAATCGCGGGCGCCGTGAAAGGTATCGCTGCGATCAAGCCAGATGAGAGGGAGACCAAGGCCCCAAGTCTCCCCCAGCTTCTACAGCTACAGAATCGCCGGAAGCGGACCCTCGAATTCATTCGCCCACTGATCGCTGCCCGCAAGAAGGCGATGGCGGAGGATATAGATTACCAGCCGCCCGATGACATGATGCAGTGGATCCTCAACAGCGAGGCCAAATACGGCAACCTCTCTGTCGAGGACCTCGCAGAGATTCAGCTCTTCCTGATTTTCGCCGCCATCCACACCACCACCATGACAACGATCAATACTTTCTACACGCTCGCCGCGATGCCTGACATAGTCCCCGAGCTCCGCGACGAGATCCGCGCCGTGCTGCTGGAACATGGCGAGTTCTCCGGCCTGGCTCTACAGAAGCTGGAGAAGCTGGATAGTTTTCTGCGCGAGGTCATGCGCGTGTACCCGCTCTCGTGGTCTTCGTTCCAGCGCAAGGTCTACAAGCCAATCATACTGTCCAACGGCCAATTCATCCCCGCCGGCGCCATCATCGAGATCCCCGGGCACAGCATAGTCCACGACCCGGAGCGGTTCGATCGGCCCGACGAGTTTGACGCGTTCCGTCACTCCCGGGCGCGTCATGCCGAGGGCCTCGACGGCGAGAAGAAAGCGGGCGCTGGCGCCGCCAACCAGGTCGTTTCGACCAGCCTTAACAACTTGCCGTTTGGGTACGGGAAGCTCGCCTGTCCTGGGCGATTCTTTGCTGTGAACGAGATCAAGATGATTGTAGCACGGGCGATTTTGGACTACGACATCCAATTGACGGACGGGGCGACGGAGAGGTACCCCAACATCGAATATAACGAAGCCGTGAGTCTCCATCGCCCTCGCAACTTGAATTTCTATTCCTGCCCAACCGTGGTGTGATCCTGTGCATCACATTTGTGTGTATTGAGACTCCTGGCTGACTATCGCTCTCGTCAAAGAATATTCCTGATCCCACCAAGGACTTAATGTTCAAGCGGGTCCCCATCTAATCTGTGATGACTTTGAATCGATGTTTTTTTCCCATTTGCGACTATCTTGGCATTTCAATGGACCGGAGTAGCCGGAATGCGCTGGTCGCTTTGCTTGAATGTTGGAGTTATTAGGTCCAAGGCCAAGTCATTTCAAATTATGTACCATATCTGTACCTGTACCTTTCTGAGAGAGTCCCTCCGGCCCTTATTACCCATGAAAAATGACAATTCATTGCATCACCTTGCTATCAAGTCAGGGCCGGATGTTCACAGGGGGAAACTTCCACCTTTCATCGTTCGAAACACAGCCCTGGAGGTTAGGTACGTCCTAGTTACCTGGGTATCTAGCCACACGGGAACAGCGAACACATTTTCAGCTTGAATCAAGTCTGTGGGGCGAAATGATTGCACTGGTGTTTTTCTTCTACTAACTATATAGGCAGCCAGTCACTTGATATATCTTTACCACCATTAAAATCACCTATCACCACTCAATGTCGATGTGGTGGCCCTTGATATCACCGTTGAACCACTGGATAACCTCTATCCGTTCTTCACTCGTCCGAGCTCCCTCCAACACTTCACTATCGACAGCTGCTGCCACTGTCTCCAACAGCTGTTGCATGGCCAGGTTCTTGCCCAGACAGGCGCGCAGACCCGCCCCGAAAGCAATTAGGCTTCGGTCCATGTGGGGGCGGTACAGGCCGCAGTTCCATTCGTCATCTATCCACCGCTCCGGCCGGAAGGCAAATGGGTCGGGGAAGATAGTAGGGTCGTGGTGGAGGACGTATGCCGCGCAGCCAACGACTGCATTGGCAGGGATGGAGATGCCGTCGACCGTCAAATTTGCGCCTGGCGGGACCACTCGCGTTAGTCGTGTAGGATTCGCCATTCCCAGGCGCAGCCCCTCCTTGACGCACGCCCGCAAGAAGGGGATGTCGGGCCTCCTGGCGTCGTCTGCTGTGGGCGACACGGCGCGGATGTCATGCAGGAGACGGGCGCGGGCTTCCTTATTCTGTGTCAGGTGGAAGAGGGTTGTGGCCAGCATGACGGCGGTCGAATCGCCGCCTGCGAAAAGGATGGCTTCGCATTGCGCTGTGGTCTCTGGGAAAGATATGCCCGCTGCGAGGAGACGATCCTGGTAGTGCTCGGTTGTCTTGCCTTCCTTCGTGCCCTGCATAACTCGGCCCATGAACTCCTGAATCCGCATAAATGACTTGTCCACTTTGTCGCTGTGGCTTATCTTCTGGGATGCCGAGTACACCAGTTTGAACAGAGAGTTTGGAAGTAATGAGAAGCGAGCAAATCCCACGATGGCGTGAATAAACTCGTTGGCACTGAGCTTCGCCTCCGACTTTTGCTGGTCTGCCAGGGGCAGATGTACTTGCTCAGCCAACCCACCAAATGGTTGACCAAGCACGTAGTCAGAGACCACGTCGATAGACAATTTTGCACATAGATCAAGAATATCGGTCTTGATCTTAGCTTGCCGGAATGCCTTGAGCTGGTCCAAAAAGTCCGCCACGTGCCGTCCGATGGAGCCATGGGTGGAACTCTCCTCCCGTAGCCGTGCAGGCGAGAAAAGCGGAGCAACCGCCTTGGCTCTCACATCACGATATGCTGTGTCTATGGAGGAGAATATTGACACCACCGGCCCGAGGTTGAAATTTTGATACCGAGCATCCTTGAGAAACCCACCCCCTGCCACGTAGATGTCGCGGACGGCATCGCTGTCGGCCACTGAGATGGCATTGGGGCCTATACGAAGGACCTTGGTCTTATACTTCTCATGGTATCGGCGTATGACGCTGCCTTCGATGCCAAGGTAGCATATGACGTAGAGAAACAGGGAAGAAATTGCAGCAAATGGCGGCCCGGGCACATGAGCGAGGGGGTGAAAGCGAAGTCGGTATATTACCGGAGCCGCCAACACAACCAAAAGAGCGAATGCTGACTCGAACATGTTGACGGAAATAACGAGAACAGGAAGATGTGAAGGTGTGGTATTCCTAGGGAATTGCCTACCCTCGAACAGAGCTTTTTGTCAAGTGTGTTGATGCGGTCTCGGCGGCCTGAAGCACCATAATGCAATGACACGCCTACAAGTCGATAAGGGAGTCACAGTGGTGTGCACGTAGGGAAGCTCCATGCGGAACCGTTCTTGAGTACGTGTCTACTCGGTGTCAATTGGGGGTTACTCAGTGACCTGACTCCGTGCTGTGCACCAAATGCCGAGTCCTAGCTGTCTAGCGCTGGTGACTTGACTTCGACGACAACCGTAGCGAACTAGATTATAGAGCATAGGGACTGGTCAGGATAAAATGATAAACAAAGCCTGATATCTCTGGGAATTCCATACTTCGTCTATAATTCGTTCGCAGCCAATTTTATCCGAAAATGGCAAACCAAATTGTCCAGACCCTGAACGGGATTAGCGCCGACTCTTTTGAAAACGATGGACAGCGTATGGAGGCTGTGGCGGCGGCCTATGCTCTCGTGGCCCGTCTTGAGACGCCGTGGGACTTCGTGTTGAGGCTTGCTATGGGCCAGGTGAGCAGAATCCCCTTCTGTTCAGTTACAGCACACTATTCACACCAAATTCTAACAATTACTAAAGCCTGCCCTCGGGGCCGCCCTCAAAATTGCGCTGGATTTACAGCTGTATCAAAAGTGGCATGCAGTGGGCGACGGGGCAAAAACCTTGGAAGAGTTGCACGAGCTTGTCCCACAAGTTGAGCCGAAACTTCTTCGTTCGTCAACCCGCCCAAACCTATTTCTGGCTTCTCAATGTCTGGACCTGTGACTTAAGATGCACATTGTCTAACAACTTTGTTTACAGTCCGTCTGCTTCGGCATCTAGCCGCATACCATGTCTTGGAGGAGCCTTCTTACAGCGTCTTCAAGCCCACGGCGCTATCAATCTCTTTCAATAAGCCCGTATTCTCTGAGTGGATAAACCACCAGTATGTTTTTGCTCGCAGCTATGATTATCTTTACCGTGGCTTATTAACATACGTCGCAGATATGATGCCACAATTCCGTGCTTCTTCAAGTTGCCTCGCTACCTCGAGCAGACAGGATATAAGAATCCAGTGGACCCTAACGACGGAGTCTTCCAGTATGCCAAGGACTGCAGGGGCAAGGATATGTTCCATTTCTACCAGGAAAACCGCGTCGAGGGTGAATCCTTCAACCAGGTGATGGGTGGTGTGATGGCGAACCAGTCAGGATGGCTGGAAATATTTCCTCACGAGACGTTGCTCTCCAACGCAAAGCCAGATCAACCACTCCTGGTCGATGTCGGCGGCAATATCGGCCATGACTTGGATAGATTCTACCAAGCCCATCCGGAGACCGCCTCACGTTTGTATCTGGAGGACCTCGCTGAGGTTGTCTCCCTCTCCAAGTGTCCGGATCCGGTCAACAAGATCGGCTACGATTTCTTCACGCCACAGCCAATCAAGGGTAAGATCCACCGCCACTCACTCACTAATCTCATGCAGAACATTTTCTGACCATTTTCACAGGTGCACGGGCTTACTATATGCATGGAGTCCTTCACGACTGGTCCGATGAGCCAGCACGTAAAATCCTGGAGATGCAGCGGGATGCCTTGACACCCGGATATAGCAGGCTGTTGATTCACGATCATATCGCCCCGGAGACTGTTGCCCACCCGCACACTACCGCCTACGACCTGACAATGATGGTGATGGTGGCTGGCGAGGAGCGGAGTGAGGTGCACTGGCGTGCTCTGCTCAAGTCAGCAGGGTACCGTATAGTCAAGGTTTGGTCCTCGCCGCTTGCGGTGCAGAAGGTCATCGAGGCAGAACTAGACGTTTAGTTATTAGAAATATCTAAGAGAATTATCGTCGCCTAACAGACTACGGATTGACTTATAAGTTAGTGTGGGAACTGAATTTCCGACACCTGGCCACGGATAGGGTAATATAGTGCTTTACACCCATATCGTGCGTTAGTAGGTACTAAAGATAGTCACTATAACTATCTACATATTTTTTACTACCTCTTAATTATTATATTACTTCTCTCTCTTTAAGGTTATTATTATAATATTCATCTTAATTTAATAATTATAATAGTATATATTATTAAGCTTAAATAATTCTCTTTAAATTTTAAGGTTATTTTAAAAACTTAAAATAGTTATAAAGAAAAAAAAGTTATAAAAGTAGAAATAGACTTATTAAAAAGGCTTTTTTTTAAATAACTCTTTCTTTATTCCTCTATAGTTAGTTTTTTATTTAAATATACTAATTAGTTAAGAGAGATTCCCTTTATTTCCCTTTTTATTAAGTTTCTTTTAAGTTAAATACTTTAAGTTAAGTTATTTTACTTTTAATAATTCTACTTTTAAATCTTTAAATATAGAATTTTAATTAATTAACTTAAAGGAGGATGGTAGAGGAGTTAGTGTTAAAGTTAAAGTTAAAGTTAAAGGAAGGAAGGAAGGAAGGAAGGAAGGAAGGAAGGAAGGGGAAGGGGAAGGGGAAGGGGAAGGTACCTTTACAACCCTTTTCCCTTTTATAAGTCCTTCTATAAGTCTATCTCTTCTCTTTATAACTACCTTTCCTCTTTAAGTCTCTTATTATTAAAAGTATATTAAGATATTAATTAACTATTTAAAAGTTAATATTCTCTCCTTTTTAAGTATACTTAAAGTTAATCTTATAAAAAAGGGATTTCCTACTTAAAGAATAGTTATAGTAACTATCCCTAATATCTACTAATATACGGTATAGACTTTATGTCTCAATAGTTGATCAGTTCCTCCACCTCACCTTTCCGTACATTCGAGGAGTCTATGTAGACTTCGCTTTTTTGTCTACCCAACTTCATAACATCACGCCAGTCACATCGCTTAAACTGATTGAAACTCTGTGGAACATTTTCAAGGGGCGTTGAAGAGTCACCGGGCCCCAGCTCACAGGAAAAGATCTGAAATTCGTCTACCACGCATGCACGTTTAGTTTATCGTTCTTTGTCTATCTTAATCAAAACCCTTGAAAGAACGCTACGGGATGATCTAGCGAGGGCTGAGGGCTCTTACACGTCACCCACGGGACATCTCCTGCACGGTTAAGTGGCCCACTCCCAATCCACATGCTCACTTGAAAAGCTCCGGGTTCGCCTCGACCCACTGCCGGAACCCAGTGGCGGGCTTTCCCGTGTACTTCTTCACGTTTTCCATGCCCTCCTTGTAATGTGCCAGCCATGAACCATCCTCCAAGGCCGGGTCGGTGTCCCCCAGCGCCCTTATCATGTACTCCGCCATAGGCTTGGGAGCACCCTTTGCCAGATACTGCGCCATTGCCTCCTCCGCGGGGATCCCCGAAACCTTGATCTCCTTCCCAAGCACCTCGCCAATGATCTCCAGCGCCTGCTTCTGTGACAAGATTTGGGGGCCATAGACAAAGACCTTGTTCTGCCCATCCCGCGTCCGGCCCTCGGCCAGGATCGTGCCGACCACCCCACCCATATCGTCGGGCGTAATGCAGTCGATTTTAAACCCAGCCCCAAACATCTTCACCTCCCCGGCACGAATGCCTTCCTTCTGCCTCAACAAATTTGTAGCAAAGCCGCCGGGACGCATGGCCACGTATCCTTCTGGCCCGTAGACCTCGTCAAGGGTGACCTCAATACGCGCGTGCGAGTACGGGATGAACTCGCTCGGCTGCACCTCCGTATGCGGCGTACTGCCGATGGTAGAGCTGCTTAGCAGGACGACAAACTCAACACCGGCGGCCTTGAGAGCCTCGGCGGTGCCCTTCATGAAGTCGCGCGTGCCTTGAGCCACGTAGATGAAAGCGCGCGTGGCGCCCGCGGTCTTGACGGCCGCGGCGACGGTGTCAGGCTTGCTCAGGTCGGCCTGGACGCGAGTGTAGTTGCCGGCTTTCTCGGCCTCGGGGGTGAGGCCGGGGATGACTTTGGAGGGGTCGCGCATGGCGAGCCAGACTTTGGCGCCATGTTGGTGGGCAGTTCTGGCGGCGACGGAGGCAATGTTGCCCGTCGGCCCAAAGACAATCACAGTGGCCATTTTTGGGAGCGTTGAGGAGGTGAATAGTGGAGGTGAATAATGGAGGTGAATCGTGGAGGTGTATAGTGGCAAGTTGGTTGCCAAGGTGTTGAATGTTTGTTGGAAGAAAATATGTATTAGCTCTACAGTTACTTGAGAGGAGCTTGGCGCAGACGTTCCACGGGTGTCTTCATTTATATCCTGGTGGGTGGACTAGTCATGCTCTGGAACGAATGCCTGGCATTATTCCTGATCCGCTGTTATGCAGCCTCTTAGCACCAACACAGCACCAAGCAGCTGCACTCTTGAATCTTGACATTCATTCATAGGCCAGGAAGCGTCCGCCCACCCAACTGCGCAGGAGGTCCGTCCGTGCCCCCAAATCCCGCAATTCTCAGTCACTCACCCAGTACCAAAAGTAGCTATGCATACCTAGTAAATTCTAAATTTTCACTGCGTTTTGACCCTACATTGAAACTCCCTCTGCACCTATCACTCTAACTGAATTATACAACTTTAACTGTGTATTATTCTACGTGATATCACCATTAATGATGACTGCAACGTGTTTACGGCCCGAGGACATGGTTTTAATAAAGCCAATCTCGATGACAGTGTGGGGGGGGGGGGACTTAATAGCTGCACACGGTTCAAGCCTGATGACAGACGCTTAGGTTTGTCAAAACGCTGACTCAAGGTGGAGGGCCCCGTTTCTCAACACAATGTCATCAATATTCATGGTGATATAGTCTTTTGATTGGCAAAGCTCCCGCAGTTAGACTCGAATAGCCCCGTGTGCCCATGTCTGCGATTCCGGCCTGCTTAGACTACGAACACCAGACGAGTAGGAAAGATTTCTACTTTGGGTCTGCTAGATTTCCAGATACCGGAGCACGCATTTCCGGCGCAGCCTCTCCCTTTCTCGTGTAGGCGTTGTACCCCGAACCGTGCGCTCCAGGTACTGGGATCCCCATGAGAACTTTCTGACGGTCGGACAACTTTGCCTTGACCTCCTCAGTGAGGAGACGCGGGTAGTCTTCCATCTTCTGCACAAAGTAACGGACAAAGGTCAGAATGATGAGCGGTCGGGGCTCGGCTGTCTTGTTATCGCCCGTGGAGTGCCATGCGCGGCTATCTAGAAGCAGGACCGTCCCGGCCGGAGCGCAGGCGGGGATTGAGCCGCCCTAAATTGACAGTCAGTAACTCACTCATAAAAGGGCACCATGTAATCGTTGTCAAGCATAGGATGCATTGGGTAAAACTTACAGGGTCGCTCATGTGTCCCAGTGGTGCCACGTTCGTCAAATGTGACCCGGGGTAAATCAAGGTGGCACCCTTCTCAGGTGTCAAGTCGGTCAAGTAGAAGAGGGCGTTGAACATGTACGCAAAATCGATTTGATCTGGTGGCATCGACGACTGGTCTTTGTGCATGTGAATGCCGCTTTCTCCTTGGAGAGAAATGTTGGCTGACATGTTGTAGATCTGGAAACCTTCGCCCAAAAACCATGGAGTGAAGGATTCGACCAAGGGGTGATTGAGCATATCGAGGAACTCGTCGCCCTTGTTAGGAAGGTTCCTAGGCACAATAGTATTAGAAAACCAGATCAAAGTATGCAAGCAGCGAAGAAGTGTTCTCACCAGATCCGTTGGTTGTCCCCCTGCATATGCGCAACTCCATTCACCCGCTCACCAGCGCCTTGCTCCAGGACAGCCTTTTTGAGGATCTGGCATTGCTCAGGCGAAAGGGCGTTGGCCAGGAACGCATAGCCCCATCTCTTGATGTCCCGCTTGATCTGCTCGGGATCTTCTGTGGGCTTGGGCAAGCTGTCGTGGTCCAACTCACTCGCGGGAGTCATTGGGCCGGGGAGGCCGAGGGGAGCAAAGCATGACGCAAATGCGCCAGGACACGGGGGGTCTGCGTGCCTGGTAAACATGTTTTGTGTCAGCAGGCGACCCGTGATCGCATCCAGCACACAGGCCGGCGCGATGTTTGCCACCACGTCAGGCTCGACGCCCTTTGGTGCCGCATCAAGCAGCTTGACTTCGCTTTTGCGCGCATCGATAAATATGGGGGCGGCCTCTTGCGACCCTCGGCAAAGAGATAACTGTGCCAGCTGTTCAATGCCGGAAAATCTCTGTCGTTCAGGTTAGTCGTGGGGAGTTGGACGACACATGGAGACAGGATGCTTGCCTGCAAGTTTTGCTGAATCCATTCAAGTACTTCGGCGCTATCACGATTGAAAACTTCTATGGAGTTCTCGTCAGGCAGGTAGACATGGGAGCTGAAGTCAAGCCCGGGGTGCAGTGGCTTTGACGGGGCTGGCAGCGTGGTCGGCATCTTGGGCTTGTTGCTGAAACGCAAATGGCAGTCTATGATTCTATTGGCTTTTGGATAAAGTTCTGCGAGTTGTTGATGTGACGATAAGGAATTATTTATGACAGCAGGCTGCTCTAAGATGTAAGGGCTAGAGTATTATCAGTCTGCAGTGTCCATTCCACTGATTGTACTGAGTGACTTTAGCTGGGATGACTAAAAGCTTATTTCTTGAGAATCATTCCACGATTCAATGTATACTTAAGTACTTACCTTTCTTTTTTAAGTCGCAAAACTCAATTTTACACTGTAAATTATATAACATTTAGATAGTTTGTTTAACTATAAACTACTTACTAACTTTATCAACCCTAATATTTATATAATATTATAAAACTCTAGCTTTAATTATCCTTAATAACTTACTAATTAAAAAGCTTAAATTAGTCAACCCTGTGTTGTGATGGAAAGTATATGTACAATATGTACCTTGTACCTCGAACGAGGCTCACCGCATAACTAGAAGCCACAAAGTACCGGGTGAGAATCGAGGGGATGAGGGCCGAGCCGAGAGTACCGATTCCCGAGGTCCCCACATGGTTCTCAGCACCGGGTAGACGACAGACTTTCCGAAGAACTCGTCACAATTCATTTGTCGCCTAGTAGACCTGTGGCCGACCACTGACTCAGGAAACTAGCCACAGCACGTGGGCGGTGTATTGCAATTACGGCGTCTTCCCAAGAGCCTGGTAAACGCCAGATCGGTGAGAAGATGGTCATGAAGGGGGCTCGGCTCCTCCGGGACAACGGAATCTCTTTAGCCCGTCGTAATGAATGGCGTAGAAGCGAATGCCTCTTTAATAGCGAGTGCAACCAATTAGAAAATGAATTGCAGCAGTGCATTTTGTAGTCGGCATTGCGTCAAGACACTAAATCCCCCTCAACTCGACCGCCAACCAATCCCACGAAAATTAAAGTCGTTCTCGTCGTGTTGCGTTTGCGACTAGCCCCAGTCTAGTAATGGGCTCCAACGCGGTGGAAGAGACCGAATTGAAACGAGGTGTTGGCGACCAATCCGATTTTCCGTCTTCGGTAGCCGGAATTGATGTGTCCGGTCTGGATGATGATGCGCTCTACTGGTGGCGTACCAGCGGGTTCGACCTGGCCCGGATGATGGAAGAGGCTGATTTTCCCGAGAAGACGAAGAATCAATTCCTCACATTCTACAGTACTGTCATTTGTCCATTGCTGAAAGGAAAGCCAGAGTCTGGATCAATGCCGACTGCCGTGGGTTGGGATGGCAATCCCTTCGAATACAGTTGGGAATTCAAAGGTTCCACCAAGAAGTCGAGTGTGCGGTTTGTGTTGGATCTGACCGAAGTCCGCCCACCGAATAAGGAATGCCCCATGAGTGTGGATACGGTGGAGGGGGTTCTCAAAGTTCTGAAGGACAAGAGTCCACTTTACTATGATAAATGGGTACGTCTATTCAGGTCGCCGGGCCAGATGTCCTGGTGCCTGGGCCAGTATTGGCCAGTGACAACAGCTAAGAGCCTTTGGAAACTAACTTTGATCTTAGCATCGCGCGATTGAGCGGTGGTCAGTATATTCAAATGTACCGGCCGAGAGGCAAGAGTATCTGATATCCAAAGCGGGACATCGGACGCCTACCATTCTCGGCTTCGACATCAACCCCAAGATCACCGAGATGGCCCCAGATATGCTCCCTGTCATGATCAAGAGCTACTTCCCACCATGCTTCGTGGCTGCGGACCGCGGCTTCACGCGCTTTCAGGCCCTCTCCTTGGGCGTGCGGCAGTTGCCCGACATCGGCTCGCACCCAAACATCCTGCTCGGGCTGAAGATGATCGAGGACTTCGTGGCCGACAATCCCCAGTATGAGTCTCAGGGTCGTGGTCTGTCCACTGATTTTGTGCGCAACGCCCGCCTCAAGGTGTATTTGCGGTACCTGGGCGACGACTTTGATGAGATCTGGGACTACTACACGCTTGGCGGACGGATCCCCATCCCAGACCTGGAAGAGGACAAGCAAAAGCTGAAGGACATCATTCAACTTTCTAGGGGAATGTGCTATCCTGTCAACAAGATCCGCAAGGAGACCGAGGACGACAAGAAGCGCCGTGCTATCCTGGGCACAAAACCTTCGTCGTTGTACTTCTCGCTCACGCCTGACAAGCCGTACCCCATCCCCAAATTCTACTTCTATCCGGGCTTTCAAGCGCCAAATGACGAAGCCGTGGCGCAGGGACTTGATCTCTGGTTGGAAAAGTATGGATGGGCCGATGGCGGACCGACTATTGAGGAACGGACCAAGAACACATTGTAAGATTCCATCCAACCCTCTCAACCCATGGACACTGCTAATCTTGCTGACAACTAACAGCAAATACCGGAGCCTCGATGAGAAGCCCGGCATCTTCACGTTCATTGGGTTCGGAAGGAAAGAAGGCGTTGACGACCGCGCTTTGAGTTTGCAAATATATGTAACACCTGAGCTGTACGAAAACCCCCGTTTCTAGGAGAGAGTTGTTGGATGTGTTTGATTTAGTGTAACACCTATGTATTTATCTGCCAAACTAGTGTGAATATCAGTTTTCTTAGTGTAACCAGCTCAATTCTGAGTTTAACCGAGTAGCTGCTAAAATACAGTACTCGGTTCCACCTATGTGTGATAAAACTAAAGTTCGATCAGTGTGTGGCTTAAGTCAAATCCAGAGGCCACGCCACACAAATCTTTCACTTTTCTGGTTCTCCCCAAACATCACTTCAACGCCTTTTGTTGACCACGAAGATGTCGTTTAAATACAACTCAATCCTCCTTGTGGGAGCCACTTCTGGAATCGGCGCCGGTCTAGCGGACAAATTCGTAGCCGAGGGTTCTCAAGTCGTCGCCGTAGGTCGCCGCCAAGACAAACTCGATGACTTTGTCAACAAGCACAATTCTGCCAACGCGGCCGCCATTAGATACGACATCACAGACGGCGCAGGCTTGAACGCTTTTGTCAACGAGTAGGTCCCGGTGAAATTTCCAACAGCAGAAAGGGAGTAGAACTAAAGAACATTCTCCAGAGTTATCAAGAAGTACCCAGACTTAGACGCAGTGTTCTTGAATGCAGGCGTCCAAAGTCAAATACGCCTATCACGGGCTGCCGAGTTCGACGCCGCCAGCTTCCACTATGAAATAAACGTCAACTTCACCAGCATCGTCAACCTGGCTATGGCATTTCTACCACACTTGCAGGCCAAGACACAACCGACTAGTTTAATCATCACGGGAACTCACCTCGGCCTAGTTCCGGCTCCGACGATCCCTGCTTATTCGGCGTCAAAGGCGGCTCTGACTTCTTTCGTCGACTGTCTCCGGGACCAGAATCGCCACAAGTCTACCAGGATCATTGAGATTTATCCTCCGGTTGTGCAATGTAAGTCTTTCTCGATGCGCTCTCGGAACTGATGAGCCATTCAGATCAACAAACCACTGACTACATATCTCAGCCGAGCTTCATGATTATCTAGGGGAGGATGTCGGCCGCTCCCTCGGGATGCCTCTTGACCAGTTCACGGAGGAGGCGTACGAACAGCTGTTAAGCGGCGATGAACTTATCGTCATTGGGTCTGTTGCAACCGAGCCGCGTGAATCTTATATTGAACTGGTCGAGAAGCGCAGGCAGATATACAGCAAGCTGTCACACGCAATGCTGGCGCGCTTCGAGTTGTGAAGGACGTTCTTGGGACTTGTTTCGTTGTAGAAGCAATGCATTGCAGGGTTTTCAGAGAAGCAAGCTACCTTGGTACCTAGGGTAGGTAGCAAAGGGAACTCAAAGGTACGGAAATAAATGTGGTTTCGCTTCAATTCCGTATACGTCCGAGGACATACATGGCGCCTTCATACAGTGGTTAGCACTCGAAACCCAGCGCTAAGAAAGAATAAAACATCAATAACAGTTGTTATAATACGATAGGTGCTTATAGCCTCAGCCTTACAACGCACAGACAAGGCTAAGGGGCACCGTCTTGACGACACGGAAATAAATAGACAAAAACGTAGACTTGCTACAATACCACCTTTTATGCAATGAATCAAGAATATTGCATTTGAGAATTCCATAAATTGATAGAAATCGTAGATGTAACCCATGAATTTGCTACTGTCTAATCAGACCTCGGCCCTTCTACGGATCACGATGGTCTTGCTAAAGTCTGGCGAGATGGATGTCCCACGGACATTATTCGCATACCGTCCCTCCAGCCCACCTGGCATCTTGAGATCATAATCTCTCAAGATGGAGATGAGTATCAACTTGATCTCGGCCGCTGCAAAGAACCTCCCCGGACAGGCCGGCTTCCCAAACCCAAAGGCCATGTTCTCCTTGGTCACGGAAATGAACTGGTAGAGCTCACGGCTTGCATAACCATTAGGGTCGGGCTTCTCGCCAGACCTCAGACGGACGAATCGGTAGGGGTCGAAACGCAGCGCGTCGGGGTACTTGGCCTCGTCCAGGTTGACCGGCAGCGCGGGCACGGCGATGTCGACACCCGCAGGGATCACCGTTCCGTCTGATAGTTGGAACGACTGCAACACGCTGCGTTGCATCCTCATGACGTTGGTCGGATTGAGCCTTGCAGATTCACGCATGACTGAGTCCAAGAGTTTCATCTTGTATAGGGCTTCGGATGTGATCCTTCCACCATGGCCGTCCAATGCAGCCTGAATTTCTTTGCGGAGATCAGGAATAACCTCCGGGCAATGACCGATGAGATCGTAAAGTCTTTCAAAAAAGTTAGCATGCGGGCTATATTGCAAAAATGGAGTCCTCAGGACACTGACATATGGACCACGGTCAACGTTGTTGTATGAATGGCTGCGACGCCAAGCAGGATCAAAACCATAGCAATCTCCTCATCCGTTTTGACGCCGAACTCGTCCGCTTTGTTGAGGAGCCACTGGAGCATATCCTTGGGCTTCTCGCTAGCGTCCTGGCCTGATGTCGTCTTCCGCCGCTCCTGAATTCGGGGGATATAGTAATCATACGCTTTTTGTCGGTGCTGGTGGAGTCTCTTGACCGGAGCGATAAAGCGAGCAGCAATCGCTCTCAAGGGACCCCAATTCGGCCAGGCCTTCAATTTTGCTATGGCGCCAAAGAGGTCCACTGTGAAAGTGATGCTGTTGGTGATATACTCCTCTTGGCGGTACATATCAGGGCCCACGAACGCGAGACCCGAGACGATGGCCACGACGCGCAGAAGCTTTGGGAAGACGTTTAATTCAACGTATTCAGAACCAGAACCCAGCGCCTCGTGGATGGATCGTTGAACCTCGCCAGACAATTGCAGGGTTAGAAGGGGGATTTGGCGGGTGAGATCTGCTTTGACGACGTGGACCATCAATGGAGTCGCAAAGGTGATCCCCAATAATTTGGTTTCGAAAGTCTATTGGGCGTTGTTACCAATCAAGTCACGTATGCGAAGATTTCAAGGTGCATGCGGTACTAACCTTATCGTTCGCGACATCTCTACTGACAACATAATCCGGTTGCTTATTGACTTCATCTGCAGCCAGTATGGGCAGTACCAATATTTGTCCTGGGAACACTTGGTCAGCATGTCTTGAACTAGCTGTTGTTGCTTCCAGGGAGGGTTATTTGTACCATCTGTGGACTCTGTGCGCCAAACACGCGTTCGGAACTACCAGGAGTCAGTCAAGGCCATTCGTTTTTTGGGACCGGGATGAGGAACCTTTTGGTAGCCCTCTTGGAACACTTTTTGCGCATTTTGCAAGAAATACTGGCGTTTCTGTGCAGAGGTACCCGTTTGCTGTCCCAGAAGTGGGAAATGGGAGTTCTTTGAGACACTCAACAGCCATCGAAACGCCAGGACGGAAAGAAATACGACTATGATGCTGCCGGCAGAATATATGCGTGCTTCAGCACCGCCAAAGGGCTGTGCAATGTACGAAGCCATGAAGCCAGCAACAGCGCGTTGTTGGAGTGCGATGAATACAACTTCAAAATTCACACTTCACCTCTGAGCTATGGAGTTGGCAGCGCAACGCAACTGAATACTGTCCTGATGCCTTAGAATGGGGCTTCTGCGGGTGCTTTGGGTTTTTTTAGCGCCGATGTTTGCATCGTGCTGAGTCGTACTGCCTGACAGGCGTGCTGACTACGACGCACAGCTTCTCTTAGCCCACACAGCCACTTCTACACAGCTACAAAACAGTTGCATTCTGCCCTTGATTAAGTTTTCATACTACTTATTTAGGTTAGTGAGCCATTGTAATTTACCATACGAATTTCGCCATAGTCTGTTTAAGTTACCCTAGTAACAGATGGACAAACATCTTTAAAAAGTCTTTCACTTACCTACGTATCTACCCAGCCATGTAAACGGGAACATCTGCATGAACTGAACTTGAAATCTGGTGAGGCCAACTTTGGCCGCATGAGGGTCGACCCAAGTAACACCCAATATGAGTGCTGGCCGCAATTGTCGACCCCGAGTAATGCCCACGATGAGTGCCCAGGTGCCGGCCGCGAGAGCCGACCCCGAGTACTGCTGGCGACTGTCCGGCAGTATTACGGTTTTCATCATGAACACTTGCTTGCAAATACACGGCGATGATGTTGGCCGCAGGGAGTGGATACCCTGTTTATTGAATTTTATGGGACAGCCGGCCACCGGCTGATACCAGGTGTCGGCTTCTCGGATGATAATAGCAACCGACGAAAGCACTTCAAACTAGTATTTATCAACCAACCGTACCGTAATACATCAGGGCAATTAAACACCCTCTCATTCACGCAACTTCCGAACTTCTCAAAGTTTAGCCTTGTCTGTTCAGCCGCCGTGATGCCGTACCATCTCCCCTTAAGCCCAGTTGATAGGGCAATCCAGCCTCCGGTGTACTACTTGCAAGTCCAAGATTCACTGATCTTGAGCGTCTCAATTTTCTGGACCATCGCCTATATCCTTTATGTCCGCCAGGGGTACCGCGACCAGTCCTATGGCATGCCACTTTTTGCCCTGTACGTTGCCCAGATACGGAGGTGATCTCTAAGTTTTAATCAGCGTTGGCGACTGACTGTTGTACAGCGCGGGAAATATAGCCTGGGAATTTCTCTTTGGCGTGGCAATGCCCACATCTGTGGCCCAAGTGGTTTGCTTCGTACCATGGTTGGTTATTGACGTCTTCATCGTTCACACCACTTGGAAGTACGGGGCGCGCCAGTTCAAAAACTCTCCTGTAGTCGCCAACAACATAGGGCTCCTCCTGGCTTTCGGAGTTGCTTTCGTGACCGGGTCGTTTTACTTTTTCATCAAGACTGTCGGACTGGATGCGGCTTCGTTTTACCTCGGTTACTCGGACCAGCTCCTGATCAGTATCACGTCCGTGGCACAGCTGCTGAGGCGAAACAACACCCTTGGACACTCCTGGGGTATTTGGTGAGTCGTGTCTAAACAAGTTGAGGGATGACATGACATTCCTGTTCATGCGGTCATACTGACGGTTTATATGCAGGTTCTGTCGATTTTTCGGCACGTTCCTCTCCATTGTATTATTCTGCTGGCGGTACTTCCATTATCCGGATAGCTACCCTAGGGTCGCAGAGCCGATAGTTGTTTTCTTCTTCGCGGCGTCAGAAGTCTTTGACATTTTATACGCATTTGTATATGCGCATATCGAACGTACGGAAAAGGCCGCAATAAAGGGGAAGAGCAAGCAGAAGTAAGGGATTAGAGAGCGATCACAAGATTATAGAGCGTTGAACATTGCCATTACAACTGAAGAATTTCCTGACGTTGCGACGGAGAATGTAACATACTAGTATTACTAGATAAGCGGCCTTTTCCCCTGGAAGCCTCTAAGTGCAGAGCTATCTATTTGTGCGACATTCTCGAGCATGTGAAGTTCACCTCCAAACTTCGCGCCTCAGTCCATCGTACGTGAAGAAATGTCCAAACTTTCAAAATTCTGCAAATGACTGCCAAAGTCTGAGAAGGCAATTTCTTCACAAGACCGCATCGTGACTGCTTAGCAAGAGAGTGGGCATGTTCCGCAAACACTTCCCTGCCATTACAGATGAAAGAAGAACCTAAAGTGACCTGACAAGCTGCAGGCTTTCATTTCCCGTCATCTGTCTATCATTGGTCGAGGGATAGCTCCAGAGGATCTTACCCTAATAATAAGTGTTTCTATCAATTTCGGTACCCTAGGGTATGTACAACATGGCGATGGAGGAACGCGTCGCGCTCATCCCTGAGGCTGGTTCGGCACCAGTCTCGGCTGTGACTCCGATTCGGCACCGCAGAGAACGAAAGGGGCAAGTGGATTCCATCCTAGTAGCGTCCAGTTCCTCCTAGGGCGTGCATATCGGGTTGCACAGCAGGAATACGGCGTTCACTTAGCCGATAGCGGCACCGATTACAAAACACTCCTCGTCATTTTGGTCATTATCGTCCATTTTGCACTGATGCCCTCTATCTTCCGCTTTCTTTAAACTTTTCACGTCGACGAGATCGTGATTATAGCAGCCTCCCTACTGTAGGTGGTCTTGTTCGTCCTACTAGCTTGATCGCTTCGATCCACGGGAGGATCTCTACAGTCTTCGGCAGAGACTGTTTCGGCGAGGGGACATCCCGGGACTTACACCGTGCGCCAAAATATAGGCAAGATCGAGATGGCGCCTGATAAGGCCACTGGCAACACCGATGCGATACAATCCACAGAAGCCAGTGACTCGCCGTTAGAAAAAGGCGGACGAGCAGTATCCCAACAAAATGTTGATAATCAAGCCCTGCCAACGACGCACTCAATATTCAACAAATGGGAGAAACGGTTCATCGTCATCGTGGCCTCAGCTGCCGGCTTCTTCTCTCCCATAAGTGCCAACATTTATTTTCCGTCTTTGCAGGTTCTAGCCGACGAGTACCGCGTGTCAACAACTCTCATCAACCTAACGGTAACAGTTTACATGATTTTTCAAGGATGTAAGTACAAACAAAGCCTGTCCCTGTTTGGGCCCAAAACACTAACGACACACACAACTTGGAGTGGCCCCTTCTTTTACTGGATCACTCTCGGACAATTACGGCAGGCGGCCAGTCTACTTCCTCTGCTTCGTCGTGTACATTGCGTCCAACATCGGCCTCGCCCTGCAGCACTCCTTTGCTGCACTTGTCGTCCTCCGCTGCGTCCAAAGCTCAGGGAGCAGCGGTACGGTCGCCCTCGCCAACGCGGTCGTCTCTGATGTTGCGACGGCCTCGGAGCGCGGTACCTACATCGCCTATGCCTCGCTGGGCGGTGTCCTCGGAATAGCTGTCGGTCCCATCCTGGGGGGCATTTTCGCCGAATTCCTTGGGTGGAGGGCAATATTCTGGTTCCTCGTCATCAGCGCCGGTGTAGTATTCTTCGTCTTGATATTTTTTCTGCCCGAGACTGCGCGGCTCGTCGTGGACAATGGAGCAATTCGGCCGCCGAGATGGAACCTCTGTTTGTGGGACATGATGCCCAGCGTAAAGCAGAGGAGGGCCGCGCATCACTCCACCAAGATATCCGAGCCTTCCAAGAGAGCTCTGATAAATCCGTTCGCGACCTTGAAGATCTGTCTCGACAAAGAGGCAGCCATCGTCTTGCTGGCTAATGGTATCTCATACGCTGGTTACTACGCCGTTGCAAGTGCCATACCAGCGCAATTTGCAGAGATCTACGGCTTCAACGCGCTCCAAATAGGGCTGTCCTTCATCCCAATCGGAGTTGCCAGCGGCATATCAGCCATGACCGTGGGGCGGGCAGTTGACTGGAATTTTGCTCGCCATGCCCGCCGACTGGGAATCACGCCCGAGGAGGCAAAGAAGAAGAACAGAGATCTCGGTGCTTTCCCCATCGAGAGCGTCCGCTGTGAGATAGCCCTTCCCGTGTTGATCCTTGCGAGTATCTCAACAATCATCTATGGCTGGGTGCTCGACTTTAGAACGAGCGTTGCCGGGCCGCTCGTGATGCTGTTTCCCGTCGGGTTCTGCGCGAGCGGGTTCTTCACCATCCTCAGCATCTTGATGGTAGACATCTACCCGGATGCCCCAGCCGCAGCAACTGCGGCGAATAACCTCGTCCGTTGCTGGCTGGGTGCTGGTGCCTCGGGTCTTATCCTACCCATGGTCAATGGTATGACCAGCGGCTGGGCATACACTTTTATTGCTTTTTTGTATCTTCTCCTGGTTCCCCTTCTATGGATCATTATGCGATACGGACCGAGGTGGAGAAAGGAACGTGTCGGCAAGGCCTAGTGGTGGCGACGATACATGATAGTCAATCCGACTCCTTCAATTTGTGCACTCCCTGATCCGATTGCTGATCTGTACTTGGACTCCGCTCCTTCTGTTAGCAACCATGCTTTGACTTTCACTTTTCTGCTCTGAATCATACAACAGCAGCCTCTTGGGCGCCGGCAAGTTGACGATGAACTGTTGCTAACGTGGCTGCTTGAGTTAACCAAAAGCTGTTCTATGCACCCTGCCATGAATCTTCACAGCATTTTAATATCGTTTATTCTCAGTGTTGGATCTCAAACAGCCGACCGTGCACACTTCATCGAATGTCCAACGAGAAATGAAAGGGTGGAAAGTAGCGGCACAACAGCAACGCCTCAGAGTCACATAGTCAGATGAGGTATCCGCCGCAATGCATTGGCGCAGGTTTGATGTTCCTGTTGGTTGTGTTGGCCACTGTGTGACTGGTTGCTGAACCCGTTCCTTGCCCCAATCCATCAGTTGAAAGTGGGCCAGAGTGCGGTTCCGAGGTCAATTTCAGCAACACAACCAACAGGTGACCGGTCTGATCTAAAATGCATGTGGTATTAATACCCACTTCTGGGAATTTCTCTCTTCATGCGCCGTTGCCAATGTATTTATGTCTCGTTGAACAACCACCAAAGTAAATATTATAGCACGGCTGGCTAGATCCACGGAATTGCGTGCTGGGCAACATTCTCGTAGACCAGTCTCTCACTGGCGACAATGGAGGGGAACGTTTTGCTCGTCGTGGTTCGAACTACTGCGATCATACTGGGTCCGTTGGTATGGAAAATCCTGTTCAGTCTTCCAGGGTCTCATTTTTACTCATTCTCCGAACACAGTTTATCCTGGTTGTGATATCGCGAACTATTCTCCACCCACTCAACAAATACCCTGGACCGCTCGTCGCCAAGGTCACCAATGGCTACGGCGGTTTCTATTCACTAAAGCGACGGCTTCACCTCGAGACATATCGGAGTCACCTGAGATACGGTATGAGACCCTGTCGCTCCGGCTCCCAGTGTCGCATCACTGACTTGAGAACAACCGAAAGGTCCTGTTGTGAGACAAGCTCCGAACCGCTTGAGCTTCAATACTGTCACGGCTCTACAAGGTACTTGGCCACATGCCACACTGACGTCTCTCGCGTGAAAATCTGAAGGCTGACCATCCATAACGCCAAGACATTTACCTGAACCCCGGCGTTAGGAAAGGAGATGCCTACCTCGGTGCCCGCATCTCCGGGCAGCCCAACATCTTCGATGTCTTGGACAAACGTGAGCACAGCCGCAAGAGAAGAACGATCGGCCAGGCACTATCAGAACGATCCATGCAGACCTTCGAAGCGACAATGATCTCCCAGATCGATGTCTTTCTACGGGAGATGCTGCGCTCTAGTCGAAAACAAGAAAATGTCAACATGACGCGCAGCTGCTTCAGGCTCGGCGGGGACATTATCTGCCAGCTGGCTTTTGGGTACCCTCTGAACACGCAGACCGAGCCGACCAATCGGCCTTTCTTGGGGGCGATGGAAGCTATCAACTCGCGGGTTAGTCTTTACATGGCTTGGCCTGCTACCTCCATCGTGCTTGACCTGCTCGTGAAGTGGCTTGGTAAGAAGCGTGTCGCGGATTTTCGCAAATCGGTGTTCACGATGATCCACACTCGAACCGCCATGGAGAAGGATGCTAAGCATGATCTCTACGCCATCGCTCTCAGCGATAAGGGTACAGGCAGAGGCGACTCGTCCGACGACGGCGTTCATGGAAGCGAGCTATGGGCCGAGGCTACATTCTTCATCAATGCAGGTGAGAGCCATTCAATCACTCTTGTCCTTACTCCTAGGAACTGACATTCGCCTCAAAGGTGGAACCACAACCTCGACCACAATGGCTGCAGTCCACTTCTACCTCACATGCAACCCAAATGTCTACGACCGTCTTGCTGCGGAAATCCGCACAACCTTCTCCTCCGGCGCCGAGATCTGTAACGGTCACAAGCTGAAATCCTGTGTGTACTTACGCGCCGTTATCGACGAGACATTGAGGATCGCACCATCTTCGCTGGGCACACTGTGGCGCCAGCAGGACACGTCCACCCCGTCCAATGCCAACAAGCCCTTCGTCGTTGACGGACATGTCATCCCTCCAGGTGTACAAGTCGGCATCAACCCATACGCCCTGATGCACAACGAAGAATATTTCCCGGAGCCGTTCAAGTTCAAGCCGGAACGATGGCTTCAGCCGGAAGACTCGCCCCAGCTACGCACCATGCGGCGTGCTCACGCGCCGTTTGCGGTAGGTGACCGTGGATGTGCTGGAAAGTCGATGGCATATCTCGAGATCAGCCTCATGTTGGCCAAAACTCTGTGGTATTTCGACTTTGAACGCGCCTCTGGTGTGGCTGGGCAAGTGGGCTGTGGTGGATATGCAAACTTCAAGGGGGAGCAAGGTCGGCAGAGGGACGACGAGTTTCAGCTCTTTGATATGATCACAGCCTCACACGATGGGCCACTTCTTACTTTCAAGCCTCGAGGAGACTTGTGGAAGGATCTGTGATTAGAGTGCGAGCCATTATTGTTACCTATGTGCTCGGGAACCTTGGCTTCCCTACCCAAAAAGGCTGCTAATAATGGAATGGGACGTATATAGGATTAGAATGTTCCTCACAATAAAATAAGAAAGAACGCGGAGAATCCCGGCGCCAGCAAATGGAAACGACCATTGCATCCATTGGTGTCATCTGCCGAGCCTTTCTGTTTGACTGGCTGCAAGCCCGAAGGCACCAGGATTTTGGGGTTGCGCGGCACACAGATGCGCGACTCGCAGCGTATCATCGCCCTGGTGTTAGGCTGCGAAGGAAGGAGTAACGAGACCGTGCCGGGCAGCTGCCGGGCTGTCCTGTCGGCCTCTGATCAGCCCCAAGGCCGCAGCTGATGCCCCTTGGCCATGCAGGCCCATCACCTGGTAAACCGCAGCATGCAACGACGGCTTCCAGTCAGCCCTAAGGACGACCTGGGCAAGATGGTCTGTACCGATCGGTCCTGAGCAGAGCTTAGGGGGATATATAGGTCAGGACCGTCCAGCCGCATCATGTACCAGTCATCTGCGACATAAGCATGCGACTCTCTCCGGCTTCAACCACTTCACACCTCGACTTCTGAACCATCCGCAATAGTGTCAGACATGGATCCTCTCAGCGCACTCGGTATTGCCGCCAGTGTGATACAATTTGTGCAATTCTCGGCCAGTATTCTCAACGGTGCTGTAAAAATTCACCAATCCTCGGAGGGTGTCTCGAGTCAAAGCCAACACTTGAGTGACGTATACACAAAGCTTTCCCAGCTCGGTTTCAGCCTGGAGAAAGAAGTTTTTGCCAGTACAAGCACATCTGGGCCAACCCATGCCAATATAAATTGCTCCTCCATCATTATGCAGCTCGGGAAAGATTGTAAAACTGATTGCAACAAACTCCTTGGTGTTGTGTCTCGGCTTCAAGCTGGTCAGACAAATAATAGACGCTGGTGGAAAAGCTTCCGGGTCGCCCTGAGAGAGCATCTAAAATCAGAGGAAATCGAACAACTGCAGAAACGCATCCAGAACTATGAGAAAGCAATCATGATGCATCTATGCACTCTATCCAGGTGACCGAAATCCCACTTTGCCACAGATGCGGATCCACAAGTTGAGTGCTGCCGGTCTAACAAGAAATCGTCAGTCAACACTGCATGACGCTCGAGAAGGACATCCGCGACTTGAATTCAAGCTGGGAAGGCCATATAAGATCTTATAAAGACGACATCAACAGAATCAGAACGACGCTCGGGAGCATCGAGAGTAAAGCAACAGAGATGCTCCGCCAAAATCGCTACGTGATCGACAAAATTGATGTTGAGCTGCTCACATCAAAGCTGTCTGCTCTAACTGTCGAAACTGAGCTTATGAAGAGGGCCCGCGAGATTCTGAAAAGTTTGGACTATGAGCAGCGCCACGCGAGGCATGAAGCGATCCCACTTGCGCATCAGCAGACCTTTCGATGGGCATTGCAGGAACGCCGAGGCCCGGGCAGTGTTGGCCAGGGCTACCTACAGAGTGGGGTTGACTTTCCTCGCTGGCTGCAAGAAGGAAACGACACGTTTTGGATATCCGGAAAGCCAGGATCAGGAAAGTCGACGTTGATGAAATTCATCGCGGGCCACAAGGACACGCGGCACATGCTTGATAATAGTCCGTGGGCCGCATCCAGCAGAGTCGTCGTCGCCAACCACTTCTTTTGGTCTGCCGGCACAGAAATCCAGCGATCGCAGCAGGGGCTGTGGCGATCGCTTCTCTACGAAATACTGCGGCAGGATCCACGGATGATACCCCAGGTGTGCAGTGGGAGATACAAAAGCACAGAGAGCGACTCATGCCGCCAGCCTTGGTCACTCCCTGAACTCCTTGATTGCATACAAGCTCTCGCCGACCAGACAAGGCCAGGAATTAAATTCTGCATTTTTGTTGACGGCTTGGACGAATTTGAGGGCGACCCGTTGGACCTCATCAAGCCCCTACAAGCTTTATCGAAATCCAGCCTGGTGAAGCTGTGCGTTGCCAGCAGGCCCTGGAACGCCTTCGAACAGGCATTTGGTCAACGTTCTGATTTGAAATTATACGTCCATGACCTGACGTCTGAGGATATCCGTGCTTTTGCATCAGACCGCCTGAAGACTCACCCTAACTGGGGTTCATTCGCCTCCGAGGAAGACTCTAATTCTATCATTGAGAATATCACAGAAAGATCTGGAGGGGTGTTCCTTTGGGTATTCCTAGTCACAAGGGAGTTACGGGAAGGTCTGAACAATTTCGACACCTTGGCCGACTTGAAGAAAAGGCTGCACAAAATGCCGTCCGAGCTCGGTCCATTCTTCAAGCACATCCTGGCTTCTGTGGATTCATTCTACCAAGCCAAGACGGCAGAAACACTTCGGCTCTCGTTGGCGGCAGACGAGGCCAATCGCGGGTTTTCAATGCCTTTCAGCCTTTATTACTTCCACGACAAGGAATATGACGACCCAGGATTCGCCCTGAGGATGCCTGTCGAGCCCAAGCCGGAGGCGAACACAGCCATGCACATGAGGCAGAGAGTCCACTACCGGCTGAACGGTATCTGCAAGGGGCTCCTTGAGCTGAACGGCAATTTTGTCGGCTACCTCCACAGAACCGTGAGGGACTGGCTCAGGGACCCTGAGATGCAACAATACCTAGAGGAAAAGTCCGCGGCAACATTCAACCCCTTCGAGGCTATCCTGTCAGCATCCTTGGCAGGGATCAAGAGCACCAGGTTCACGGACGGCATACTCACCAGGAAAGATGGGTTGGCCTACACGTGGCACGGAAAATTGAACCACCGCCTGCGAGAGGCTCTCTCATACGTTTCCTATGCCGAGACCGCTAGACATAGCGATGCGGAAATAGTCCAGATCGTCGATTGCTTGGGTGATTCCGTCGAGAAATTATTCGCCGTCAATGGCGCGCAATTCAGTCTCTGGACAGAGGCGCCTGCGAGGAACCCTAGAATGATGTTCAGGCAGCATTTGTTGGAAGCTCGACTCTGGGATTATATTTCACTAAAGCTGCAACATGACCCCGGTTATTTCGCTCAGTATCCCGCCACGCCCTTTTACGCATTGTTGAGAGATGATACACTAGCGAGCCATTCCCGAATGGTATGGACACAAGAGCGGGTCGAGTTGGTCAACGGCGTCCTGGCTGAGGAGCAAAACATTGCCTCCGGACGCAGCTACGACAGTGCCTCCGCGGACAGAGTCATCTGGACATTGATGATACGAGATTGCCTGCCTGAAAATATGGTGGACATTGAGACCATACCTACGGCTGAGAATCTGTGTTCATTCATGTCCGCACTCGAGTTAGGTATCATGTCCACATTAGCCAGTCGGCTTCAACTGAGTGCGGAGATTTATGTGGCCCACACTCCTCTTATCTCCATACCATCCTGGTTTGGACTCATTTTACTGCTCTTCAAATGTGGAAGCCTCTCTTGCCAGCGAAAGGAGGAGTCGATCCAGGTTCTTGAAGAGTGTCTCGAGTCACCCAGCACTAGTGTTGCCAGATTGGGTACAACATTTTAGGATGTGCTTTGCAAATATTTACAACATCATAAAGAATCGATGGTGGACCATATTCAGGAGGAATTCTTGGTTCGGATTTTGTCTCTCGTCTTGGGTAACGCGGAGAAGCAATGGGCAGCATCAACTAATACTGTCCTCCCTCGAAGATTAATCAAGTCTACAATATCCAATTGCTTCTCCCAGAAGTGTGCACACCACCTTCTTTCAACCCTTGGACCATTTGAAGGGGGCGCAAGGAAGGAAGCTACAGTGAAGCGGAAGAAGAAGCGCGAAGATGACGATGAGGTGACAAGAGGCAGGTCACGAAAACGAGGAAAGCTTCTAATAGATACTCGCTGAGTCGGGGACCGAACGGACTCGAGTCGGGCCGTAACAACACGTGAACATCTATTAGATGATATTATGATATATAAGACTGACTAGACCCGCCCAAGCCAGCACGCCTTGGCTGAATTACTCGACATCCACTGGCATGGATGGCTTCCAATATCAGCATTTATAATCGCCTTGATAACTGGGAAAACATTGCTTGTCAATCAATTAAGTCCAAAGCAATGTCCAAAGCCCAGAGGGGAGACACCCACAGTGGAATTGAGAATACTAATTTCTGTTGCGGTGATAGGACCAGCGATGCTGTGGTAGAACGATACAGCCCCGGCCCCAGAGCCAACTCTGCTCCACGCGTAGAAACAGCCGGCTAGTCCCCATATACTGTCACCTCATGCAGCCCAGCCGCCCAGTCCGCCTCATCATCATTATGGACATTAACAACACTGTGAACATTAACCCTCACGTAGCGGAACCTCCCCGCGTGCGAGACAGCAGCCGTCCTGAACCCAGGAGACTGGTTGCCAGCCTCATCAACAAGCGTCGTCCACGTCTTGCGGTCTGCACTGCCCGTCACGTTGTACTGCACATACGTCTCGGAGCCGCCGACCTGCCTGGGTGTCAGGTCGACCTGCGCCACGCCGTGGTCGGCGCCGAGGTCGACCTCCCACCAAAACGGCACGGCCCCCGGCGAGAACAGGTTCCCCTCCCGGTCCTGGACGCCGTCGTTGGCGAGCGACGCATTCGCAACGTTGACACTCGCGCTGGCGGGCCTCCCGACGCTGAGGACGCGGCCGCTCTGCACGGGCACCACGACCCCCGTGTCGTCGTCGTACCGGACCTCGTGGTAGAAGTGGTACGCCGCCGCGCCGCCCGCCGCGGCGATCGGCAGCACGATCTGCCGGTTGCCCGCCTCCCTGTGCGCCCAGTTCGCAGCCCACCGGTTCGCCACCTCGACGAAGGCGTCGCCGATCCGCGCCACCTGCCCCGACTGCGCGCCGAAGGTGTTGAGGTTGCCGATGCCGCGGGACGCGGACCACGGCCCGGCCAGCTTCTGCGCCGAGATGTACTTGCCCCCGGACGCGTACCAGCCCGCCGCGGCCGAGGTGAAGACGTAGTACCAGCCGTCCACCTTGAACAGGGCGGGGGCCTCGCGGTGCTCGCCCGGCTGCAGCGTCGCCACCTTGGAGGAGACGTTGGTCCAGTCGTCGCTCAGGGCGTACAGCCCGAGGTCCGTGTTGGTGTGTGTCGCGCAGGCGATGTACGCGGCGCCGTCGTCGTCGGCGAAAAAGGTCATGTCGCGCGAGTCGTCGCCGCCGGGCCGGAACGCCCCGCCAAAGGTGAGGTTGCCGCCGCCGGGGTGGCCGTACGCCACGGCCACCTGCCCGAGGGCGTAGTCGCCGGCCCTCTCGAAGTGCGCCCACATGAACACGCGGCCGTCGGCCGGGCGCTGCGCCCAGCTGATGGACTCGAGCTTGCAGGTGCCGTCGCCGGTGGACGCGCAGGCCTCGGCCCTCGCCAGCACCTGCGTGTCGCCCGAGAACGCGTAGCCGTCGGCGGATGTCTGCTGCGAGATGTGGCTGAAGCCGTTGGCGTCCGTGACGTAGTTGTGCCTGTAGTACGTCCCGTCCGGGCCCTTGATCTTGCTCTTGATCTTCAGCGTGGATGCGGCCGTGTTGTCGTACGCGGCCAGTTCGGGGCTGGGGTTGGCCCCGGCCGTGAAGTGGAGCTCCGCGGAACTGTCCAAGGTCTTGTTGCTGGCGTCGACGGCTTCGATCTGGAAGGTGGAGGAGCCCTGCAGGCCATAGACGTCGTAGCCATTGCCTGGGGCCGATGCGACGGTGGCGTATGAGCCGGAACCAGCTTTCTGTTGTATGTTGTATGCAACCGCTCCGTCGACGAGATCCCAGCTCAATTTCACGTTGTTGAGCCCGCCAGTTGATCCGGCTAGTTGGAACAGCTGTGACGTCGCACTGAGAGCGCAACGGGCGCTCAGGGGCAGAGCAGCATAGGCCAGTAGCGAGTAGATACGCGACATTCTTGAGATCTTCTTGAAGCGAACGACTGGCTGTGATCTAGTATGACAGCGCAGGAGACTACATGATCCAGCTTGGTTGACAGAAGGTCGTTTTATCAATACTTCCCACAGAAGAAAAGCTGCATGTGTACTCAAGGCATCTCCGGGTGCATGTCAGACCTCTGGTGCCGTGGTCCCAAACTGATCACCCTGACCCATCCGTAGCTGCTCCGCCAGTTCCGCTGTTATGATCTTCATTGCATGTAAACCCTCAAGTTACAATGCGCGAGGATTCCGAAAGTATGCGGGCATATATAGATAGCCTTTACGAACACAAGACGAGGTAACCTATCCAAATGAATTCGGCTCTACGGTTTGCAGATCTTCCAGTATTATGGGGCGATAGCCACTCCCATCCTACCTACTTGTTCAGCCGTCACCTTCAGGGGAACGACTTGAGACCTGAATGAGCCAATTATGTCCCCTCAGGCAGGTATACTTCGTGATCCCTGTGCCGTGTCACCCGTGTGCTCCATACCGCCTACTCATGCCTCGAGCTTAATATCTGCCTGGTTATTTACCTGACTTGAAGGGCTCAAAGCTTGTGCACGGCCAACCCCCATCCACTGAACATATGAGATGGAGCCCGGGGACTTCACGAGCACTGCCGGTTTCCACAAGGAGTCTGCCGAAAGGTTAAATTCAAAAATATTTCACCATAAACACGAGCTCTTCAAGCTTCAAAGGAACAGACCGGGGGCTGTGTTTGAGTTGTCTATCTGCTGGCTGAGCCACTGACTATTTGAAGCTTCTATAGAGATAGGACCATACCGTGCGTTAGTAGGTACTAGAAATAGTCACCATAAACATCTATACTTTTCTAGTAACCTCTTAATTACTATACTACATCTCTCCCTTTAAGGTTATTATTATAATATTCCTCTTATTATAATAATTAAAATAGTATATATAGTTATACCTAAATAAATTCTTAATAATTATAAAGTTATTCTAAAGGTTAATATTAGTTTCTAAAGGTTAAAAATAATTATAAAGAAAAAGTAGTTACAGGAGTGAAAATAGACTTACTAAAGAGGCTCCTTCCTTCTAAGTAACTCTCTCCTTATTCCCCTATAGTTAGTCTCCTACTTAGGTACACCAGCTAGCTAAGAAAGAATCCCTTTCTTTCCCTTCTTATTAAATCTTTTTTAACTTCTTAGCTTTATTAGCCCTACTTCTCTAAGTCTTTTAAGTACTTTAATTTTAAATCTCTAAATATAGTTAATCTCTAGATATAGTTGATTCTAACTGCCTATTTAGGTAGGTAATTAACTTAAAGGAGGAAGGTAGAGGATTTAGTTAAAGTTAAAGGAAGGAAGGAAGGAAGAAAGGAAGGGGAAGGGGAAGAAGTACTCCTCTACTCCTTATATAAAGGAAGGTATAAAGACTTCTTAACAACTACTTCATCCCTTAATAACCCTCTCTTTTATAAATCTATTTAGCTATAAAGAAATCACTAAAAGGCCAAACAATTATCTATACTATAAGGCTACTATTTATATTGAGTATATTTAAAGTCGGTTTTAGAGGGATAATAGTTAAATAGGTAAATGAACGTTATAGTGACTATCTCTAGTATCCACTAACGCACGGTATGGGAGTAAGGCATCAGGGAGCCGTAGTCCACTAAAGCACATTTATTAGCTTGCACAACGGTGGAGATCGGCGCAGTACTACTGGACTCTTTAGCTAAGTAGTCTTACACCATGGAAAGGGTTACCCAGGCGCAAGGGCAAAAAAAAAAAAAAAAGGCACACCCAGAGAATCGAACCGAGGGCTCCACATCTGATGCAAAAAGTCATAATATGGTGCAGGGGCCGTCGCCTACTTGAGGCAGCTTCATCACTGTGTCCGAGGACAGCTGAGTGCCCAAACACGGTCCTATATAGGGATGACAAGTCTTATTACCAGACGACGTGACCACACCTTGGAAATCAACAAGTCCCTGATGTCTTGTCAGCACTCAGGTAGTACTCTACCAGTGGTCTTCGCTGCACCACAGGAGCTAGCCCAAACATGAATTTTCATCTCTAATGGATGGAAACCTCTGAAGTTCCTGTCTTGGTGCTTGAGTAAGTAATGTAGCTCGGTCAGGAGTCTGCAACCGAGAACCCGTCCCAGGCAGACTTCCCCACGAACATGAATGAGTTCAATCATTCTAGGCGCTTGAACATGCAGCCATTAGAAAATGAGAACCACATCAATCTTAACACAGCCAAAGAGCCTTCAAGTTCACCACCCATCGCATGATTCCATCCACGGCAGATCAAGACAGAATCCCAGCTAGAGTCAACCCCAAAACCGGCACGACTCGGCCGGGCCGGGGCAATCAGTGCACCGCACCACCCAGCGTCCGGCATCCGGCATCTCCAACTTACTGTAGAACCCGCCTCACCACCAACAAACAACAACGGCCGATCATCATCACCCACTAACTCGCACCCAACCAAGCAATTAATCCCAACCAACCCACCAACCCACCAACCCAGCGGGACCACCACTCACAGCCCCACCGCCCAACATGTTCCACCCCCGCAAACCAACAATAGCAATAGCAGGCCTGGCAATAGAAACCTCCACCTTCCACGCGGGCCGCACCGAGGCCGAGGCCTTCCACCCCCGCCGCGGCACGGCCGAGATAACAGCCTACCACGCCGCCGTCCTGGACCGCCCTTACCACCAACACCCAGCCAGCAAAACCAGCACCACCACAGCCACAGCCACAGCCACAGCCACACTCCGCGACGCCGCGAACTGGGTCGGCGCCCTGACGGGCCACGCCCTCCCAGGCGGCCAAGTGTCCGCCGCGGCGTACGCGCAGCTCGAGGGGGACCTCCTGGCGCGCCTGCGGGCCACCGTGGCCGCGCACGCGGCAGAGAACGACGGCGCGCCCCTCGACGGGCTGTGGCTCGACATCCACGGCGCCATGGTCGTCGCGGACCCGGCGAACAACGACGCCGAGGCCAACCTGCTGCGCCGCATCCGCGGCGTCGTGGGGCCGGCCTGCGTCGTCAGCGCCAGCATGGACCTGCACGGCAACGTGTCGCGGGGCCTGGCGCACCTGTGCGACCTGCTGACGTGCTACCGGACGGCGCCGCACGTCGACGTCGTCGAGACGAGGGCGCGGGCGTGTGAGAACCTGCTTGCCGTGCTGGCGAGGCGGGGGGAGGTCGGGGGGGAGGGGCAGTTCAGGCCGTTCAAGGCGTGGGTGCCCGTGCCGATCCTGCTCCCCGGCGAGCAGACCAGCACGCGCGACGAGCCGGCGCGGTCCATCTACGCCGCCGTGCCGGGCGTCGAGGCCGGCGAGGGGGTGCTCGACGCCTCGGTGTGGGTGGGCTACGCGTGGGCCGACGCGCCGCGGGACCGGGCCGCGGTGGTGGTGACGGGGTGGGACGAGGGTGCGGCGGGCCGCGGGGCCGAGGCGCTGGCACGGCTGCTGTGGGACAAGAGGGGCGAGTTCCACTTTGTCGCGCCCACGGGGAGCATGGCCGAGTGCCTGGACACGGCGCTGGGGCGCATCAGGGAGGACAGGACAAAGCGGCCGTTCTTCATCAGCGACTCGGGGGACAACCCCACCGCGGGAGCCAGCGGGTTCAACACGTGGGGCCTGGCGCAGGTGCTGGCGAGGGACGAGTTCAGGGACCCCGACGGTGGGCCGCGGGTCATCTACGCCAGCGTCCCGCACCCGCACGAGGACCTCCGGGGCGCCGTCGTCGGGGCCGCGCTGACGGTGACGCTCGGCAACGGCTGGGACCCCGAGCTGGACAGGGAGCTGACGGTCACGGGGCGGGTGCACAGCGTGAAGCACGGCGACAAGGACGCCGGGACCGAGGTGGTCCTGCGGGTCGGCAGCGTGTTTGCCATCCTGACGGACAAGAGGAAGCCGTACCACAAGGAGAGGGACTTTACGGATCTTGACCTCGAGCCGCGGGAGGCCGACATCGTCATCGTCAAGATTGGGTACCTCGAGCCCGAGCTCTACGACATGGCCAACGACTGGATGCTGGGCCTCACGCCTGGGGGCGTGGACCAGGACCTGGTCAGGCTGGGCCACAGGGAGATCAGGAGGCCCATGTTCCCAATGGACAAGACGTTTGAGAAGGAGCCGGACCTGTCGGCGAGGATCATTGCCATGTCGAACGAACCGCTCGAGGGTCCAGATGAGTAGTTAGTCTAGCGGGTCCACGGAAGAACGGCCTGTGCGGCAGCGCGGCTAGATGCACTGGCTGGCAGGCCACGGAGCAAGGAACAGAATAGTATTGTAATGAAATATTCGCTATGAAAAGATATGTGCTGAAGAAGGCGGTACCCCCTGGTTGGGGGGCGACGGGGCGTCCACATGCTGGTATGTGGTCCTCTGTTGTGCCGTCGGATCCAAGGACAGCAGCATTGCCAACATGGACTGTGGGCAGCAACGCCATTGTGTGCTGCACCGGCCATTGACCGGTGGCAGAATGGTCCTGCAAGGGCCCTCGCGGCGGAGGGAAGCCTCTCAGGTGGATGGTCTCGCGCGTGATGAAACTGCTCCGCGGGTGTCACACCAGAGTGGTTGTGTCAGGTCCGTCCCCCGTGCTACTCTCTTGGTCCGCCCCACAAGGGCTGTTTCCAGCCCCGGACCTTGGCCGAAGGCGGTATCCATCTCGAGCGCGACATACCCGATGCTTTGGGAAAGGGCATCTGGTTCTCGTGCGATCCGAGATGGGCGATTGGGCATTGGTGGTCGACAAGAGATCTCGGTGGGTGCGTCCTCGGAAATGACCCGGGAGTAGTAATGTCGAGGCGTTGAAAGGCGGGCGGTTCGGTGAGCTGAACTCTCGAGACTCAGACGTCCTGCACCTCGTTGAAATGCCCTCGCCTCATCTTGGACAATGCGTCTCGTCCCAGCACGTCGTCAGGGCGGATGATGCTCTAGGCAGATCATTAGCAAATGCTTTCCTGGAACAATTGCAGCGTCTTGGGACGCCGGCATTACCTTGACAGCCAGCTTGCCGGTGGGTTCCCGGCCCATCTGCAGGTAGGCGACAGGTGCAGCCAGAGTGCACGAGGCCATGACGGAGACGAGGAGGACGGAGAACTGCATCGTGGGGATCGGCGATGTCGATCGGGTAATCGGGTGGTCAGTATTAGTCCGTAGATCTGCGTTGACAGGTACAGAGATGGACAGCCCAGCTGTTGGATAGGTATAGTTATGGGTTGGTCCAGCAACGCGACGGGTGAGAAAGAAGAGAAAAGTAAGGATCGGGATGATGAACTCTCATCCGCGGATCATCGTGGCAGTGAGTGCAGCTGCCAATGCTTAAATGGCAATTCAACGGGGCACGGGAGACTTCCCGTAAGGATTAACACAAGCGGTAATGTGCTCGCATCGTGCTCGCATCGAAAGTGCGGGAGATGCCCGACTGGCGAAGGCGTCCGGCGGCTGGGCGGTTGGCAGTCTGGCGAGGGCCCCGCTGCCTGTTTCAACTGCTCGGAGCGCGCGTCGTGACAGGCCGTCTCAACCATGGGACGACAGCTCAACAAGCTCACTGGAGCCGGCAGATATGCTGTGGCGGCGAGGGCGGCGGACATGTTCCTGGCCTGCCAAGAGGCTGATCATTTCGCCCTGTGGCGCCAAGGGACACCGCACGTGTGAAGCGAAGACATGGTGAGGGAGCATCTCGACGAGGAAGGTCGGGATCGACCCGTCGTCCCATCGACAGTTTTGGGGTGGTGTTTCGTGTGCGGGATGGGAAGGCGACTCCGAGTTATATTCTGCGTCGCTGGGCTGCACTGGCGGCTGCTCTGCTGCCATGGCGGCTACACCTGATGTGATGCATAAGCTGGGCAGCGGTTGGTACGGTTGCAGCATGTTGAACATCCATCTCTGGAAGAGTCGAGGGATTTAACCTGAGATGAACTGCCCTCGGTAGACTAACTGGGAATGGGGGAGGGGGGAGGGGGGAGGGGGGAGGGGGGAGGACTTGTCCCCTAACCCGGACGCTAGATATGCGATGTGACTGATGAGATAAGATAAGCAGCCAACCGCCTGCTTCCCAGCCAGCCAGCTTCGTGCCTCAGGCAACACATCCCAATGGAGGGGCCTGGCCCGCGCAGGGTAGGCGGGGTAAGAAAATTTCCCAACCTCGCCCTATCTGGACTTGCTGTGTTCTCCTTGGGCAGCGACAACAACCTCGACGACCTCACACCTCAACCATCCGCATTTTTGATACCCATCCGCATCAGCTCCTTTTCAATCCCACACAAAAGACCGCCAAAATGGGTTTCACCGATCTCGTCAGCGACGCCGGCCTGTCCGTGCTTAACAGCTACCTGACCACCCGCTCTTACATTGTCGGGTACGTTGCACCTTCTCCAGTCCTCGTCCTCAAATCCCATCGCTTGGTGACTCCCAGGATGCCCGTGTCTGGACGGCCTTGACAAGACAGAGCACTCCTGTTGGACTTCAGAACCATCGGCGTCGACCAGCCTCTACCCCCCCCCCCCGCTCAGCCCGGCTCGACCACCTTCCTATCATCACCAAGACCCAGCCAGCTCGATACTACCGCCTCAACACCCCCCAAGCTAACCTCAACCCTCTGCCCAACAGCCACAACGCCACCCAGGCCGACGTCGCCACCTTCAAGGCCATCTCCTCCGCCCCCGACGCCGAGAAGTACCCCAACGCCGCCCGGTGGTACAAGCACATCGCCTCCTACGAGTCCGAGTTCCCCACCCTCTCCGGCGACGCCTCCAAGCCCTACACCGCCTACGGCCCCGAGGCCGCCGAGGTCACCCTGAACCCCGCCAAGGCCCCCGCCGCCGAGGAGGACGACGACGACGTCGACCTGTTCGGCTCCGACGACGAGGAGGAGGACGCCGAGGCCGCCCGCATCCGCGAGGAGCGCCTGGCCGAGTACCGCAAGAAGAAGGAGGGCAAGGCGAAGCCCGCCGCCAAGTCCGTCGTCACCATGGACGTCAAGCCTTGGGGTATGTGCTTTCTTTTTTCTTCTCCCTTGGTCGTACTGGAACCAATTTGCTCTCTCTGCTCTCTTGCCTCGACGAGAGAAGGCTGGGGACCTGTGTTGCTAACGAGATGGAAAAAACCTGCAGATGACGAGACCGACCTGGCTGCCCTCGAGGCCTCCGTGCGTTCCATCGAGAAGGACGGTCTGGTCTGGGGTGCCTCCAAGTTCGTTGCCGTCGGTTTCGGTATCAAGAAGCTGCAGATCAACCTCGTCGTCGAGGACGACAAGGTCTCCCTGGAGGAGCTCGAGGAGGAGATCGTCGGCTTCGAGGACTACGTCCAGTCCTGTGACGTCGTCGCCATGCAGAAGCTGTAAGCAGCTTGCATGCAGGTGATCTGTCAGGTATCGGAGTGGAATATAAAAGCAAAAAAGACGAAATCTGAGGCTGTCGGGAGATGGCTATGACTGAAGATGGGAATAATGATGGTGTCTATCTACACCGCCTGCTTTGTCGAGCTGAGCGCCGGAGAGTAGAATGCGTCAGTAAACAGCATGAAAACCAAATGCAATGAAACGCAATAGACAGGGTTACCATGAGTTTCTTGTCCTGACTGTTCGAACACTGATGCTGTCAGTGCTGGCTTTGCTTGTTACTTTTACATGATACGCCATAGATCACGGATGTCCAGGCCGACTCAAGGGTCTATCTCCTGATCGAGCCGGAGTCCAAGCTGGGGTGCGTCCCCGAAGATCGATACGCTGTCTGTCCGGCACACCTGCAGCCAAGACATACCCGAGTAACTACTTAAGTAGAAACGGGACATCTTGCTCAGCGTTGATCTTGGCTACGTATGAACAATTGACCTTATAGGACGCTCTTGACACATCAATCCAAGCCCAATTGGGATCCCGTCTCTTGAAATCACCAAGCAACACTGCCTACCGGGGTCGAAATAATTTAATAACAGCATCTGCGATCTCCGCGGCGCTATTCACGATGGCTGCCAAGCACGAGAGCATCGAGGTGGCTATTGGTGCTATACCATGCCAAGAGAATATGATCCTCCTTTTTTTTTCTCATGCTTGATGAATAATCTCAGAGGCACCGAGTCGCTAATCTAGCCTAAGGGAGGTCCGATACGCTCATCAAAAGTCGATGCAGGGCCAAAAACCCCTTCATCCACAGGCACCGCACATACTTGAGTCCTGTATTGTTCTCCACTGAGGCCTCGTGTCAAGGACAGCCAGAGCCTGCACCTTAAATGAAGCCCTGGCTCTCTTCCTTGTTAATCGACTCTTGTCGAAAATGGTTCGTAGCACTTGAGATATATGGGTGGCAGAAAGGGGTGATCATATTTTCATCTACATGCCAGTGGGGTTGGTTAGGGGGAGACTCTGTACAGTGTCTAGGACTCAATCCCCGAGACAGACAGAGAGAGAGACAAGCCGTCTGCAAGGAACTAAATGCGTTCATTTCAAAGCTTGGAACTCTGTCACAGGCCAAGGGGCGCTCATTTCTACCTGGTAACAAGACCCTGTCCCATCTAGCTAATTGAACACACCAGCCATTACAAGTACTATCATTTCTTTGCAGATGCAATATCGTTTTTGCATCCGAGTTGAGCTCATCCGGGGCTACTAGTAGCTATACCGAAACGAAAGGTGCCCATCCCCCAGGTTATCCACGTCGTCGCCCGAAAGCCGGTGGTCTCTCCTCCCAGCATCCCGCACCCTGTTCTCCTGTACAAGAGACAAGTATACAAGACAACCAGGAACGCCGCAACACAGCTCATCACAGCCAGCGTCTTGTACCCGTCCGCATAGCCCGGCGCCTGGGACCCCTGAAACACCAGCGCCGACGCGATCCCGCCAAAGTTGCCCAGGCCGACCTCCAGCCCGACCGCGAAGCCGACCTTGTACGCGCCGCTGACGTTGTTCACGAGCATGGTCCAGACCATCGGGAGCGAGACGTACACCCCCGCGGCCATGAGGAACAGCGCGGCGTAGCGGGCGCACGCTGCTGTGCCGCGCCTGGTCCATCAGGACGGCCGAGCCGGCGACGGCGAGGCAGTAGCCCGCGAGCGCGAACCCGCCGCGGTGCTTGGGCTTGTCTGAGGCGTGGGCCGCTGAGAGGCATGCCGCGAGGGCCGATGCGAGGATGGGGATCACCAGGGCTTGCACGTGTTGGGGGCTTTGGCCCTTCTCGAACTGGTTGATGATCGTGGGGGCGAAGATGGCAACGCTGTAGACTGTGATTGTTGTGCAGCAATACATGGCCCCGCTTATAAACATGTGGAGGGGATCGTCAGCCTACTTTTCTCATTTTAAGATCCTGCGCATAGATCCCATGAGACCAGGGCCAACGGGCGGGGGATGCAAGTAATTAATTCCCTTGCCAGATCCAAACTTTCCAATCGAACACAACGCGTCTCGCAGTCTTCCAGTCCAACCTGTCCATCCGCCCGGTAACACCTTGGTACCGAACTATCACATATCATAATCAGCATCCAATGAAACCAATTACGCAGATAGGACTCGGAAGCCCTACTCTCATCCGCAATGACTTGTTTCTCCAACGGCGTAAGCCACCTCGCCGCAGCCGGCCAGCCAGGCAGGAAAGGGGAGACGAGAACCGCGGCGCCGGCCGTCACGCAGCCCTCGATGATGAACAGCCACCTCCACGGGCCGTAGCCGTTGCCGGACCTTATCCCCGCGATCGAGAGCCCGAGCAGGCCGCCGGACGCGGTGCTCAGCGCGTTGCTGACCATGAGCGTGCTCACCCTCCACTGCAGCTCGTAGCGCGGGTAGTACTGCGCGAGCAGGTACACGCTCCCGGGGATCAGGCCCGCCTCGAGCGCGCCGACGAAGAAGCGGAGGGCGGCTAGGCCCGTGAAGGTGGTTGCTAGGCCTTGTGCGAGGGTGAGAATCCCTGTGGTTGGTTGGCTTTTTATGTAGCAATTTTGGCCCCTTTTCTATGTTTACTAGGTATTTATTGTCGGGGAGACGTTGTTGCCATGGGGCAATAGGGGTACGCACCGAGGAGGAAATTCTCTGCGGTTAGGACCCAAGAAGGCCTCATATTCTTCAGGAGGTAGTTGCTGGGCACATCGAACAGGATAAGACCGACCATGGTGGTGACAAGTACCACGTTGAAGTCGGTGCCTCGGGGGTCCATGTGCAGATCCTTCTCGATGCCAAAGATCTTGGCTGACCCGATGTTTAGGCGGTCGATAAGGGAGACGAACCACCGGACAAATAAGGGCGGCAGGAGGTGAACGTCGAGTTTCCATATCAGCTTGCGGTACTCCAGAGGTGGCAGCGTGACGCAGGTTTCTTCGTGTGTGGCCGCGGTCTCCGTACTCGGCTCTTGTTTGGTGACTTTCTTTTCCGAGGCCATACTTGGGGCTGCGAGAACTGGTGGCTTGAGTGATACCATGTCGCAGGCACTGATTACGGGACGGTCTGATTTGAAAACAGAGATATTACGAATTCGCCCGCTTCTTCATCTCTTATATGGCTATAAAGGAGCATGCTCGTGTGGTAGGCGTGGCCATCGGTCAGCACTACAAGGCGCTGATACCGATGTACATGATAACACTTTGAAGGCTGACCAACCAAGATGAAAATAAATCAGATGCAGAAACCTAGCATCGGATCGAATTGTCCATGTAGTAACCGCACCTGTGAGCGAGCCGTCCTGGACAGTAATTTATCTGCCGCTCTCAGGGTCCACTGCATGATGCAGACACACCCATAAACGAGGCTTTCTAAATGCTGACACCTGCTTCACGGCGGCACTTATCTAGTCACCCTACGGTCGAGCCATTGGTTATGTTGTGCATTGTCTGACCATAATTGTAACATACCCCTCCCTTCGGTGCCACAGCAAATGAACTTTCTCCCACATGGCGCGGTGCTTGCGTGGCAAAGAAACGCGGAATGAATATCGGCAAGCTCGCATTCAAAGTTTCATCCCGGGAGACGGGAGCGCGCCGCGACGCGTCCACGGGTGGTATATGAAGAACTAATTTCTAGGCGTTTCCCTAATAGTAGGCGACTCTACCACCTGTCAGAACGTGCTGTGCAATAGTTACACTTCCGAAGACCTCTCCTAGGAATTCCTCGTCGTCCAGGGCTCACGGGTGGGTAAAATACTTTTCAACCCCTATTAGAATTTGAAACATTCCGATGTTGGGCTGGAGCCCGCGGCAGCTGAGAACCTTCCGACCCATCCATTAAACGCCGACAATGTCAGAGCAGAAACAAATCCACGTCGCCATCGTGGGCGGCGGGATCGGAGGAGTCCTCTTAGGAATAGCACTCTCCAAGTTCCAGCACATCACATATACCATCTTCGAGTCGCGAGGCGCATTCGGCGAGATCGGGGCCGGCGTGGCCTTCTTCAAGAACGGCCACACCGCGATGCGCCTGATCGACCCGCGCATCTGGGAGAGCTACCTCGAGATAGCGTCCTTCAACGGCTGGGACGACAAGCAGGGCGTGTGGTTCGACTTTGTGCGCGGCGAGAGGGGCGAGGCCGAGGGCAGGCGGATCATCGAGGTGCAGCTCGACGACCCGAGGGGGCTGAGCCAGGTGCACCGCGCGAGCCTGCTCGACGCCCTGGTGAGGCTGCTTCCGGCCGGCGTGACCAAGTTCAACAGGCGGCTGGTGTCGGTGGACCAGGGCGGTGAGAATGCGGTCTGCCATTTCGCGGATGGGAGCCGGCGCGAGGCTGACCTGGTCGTCGGGTGCGACGGCATCTGGTCTGCGTGTCGGCCGCTGGTGATCGACGACCCGGAGCTGGCCTCTCCGAGGTTCACGAGGAAGGTTGCGTACCGCGGCCTCGTGCCCATGGAGGCTGCCGAGGAGGTCCTGGGCCGTGAACATGCGAACAACAGGACTATGTACCTCGGCCGCGGTGGGCATGTTCTGACGTTTCCAGTGGCCAGTGGAACCCTGATGAATGCTGTCGCTTTTCACGAAAGCGAGAAGGACTCGTGGGAGGGCGATTCTGTTCAGAAGCTACAGATGGAGAAGGCTCGACGGGACTTCAGTGAGTCCCTGTGGGGGTCATACGTGGTGAATATAGTGAAGGTGAGTATGAAATTTGAATCTCGTTATTACGTTGACATGCATTTTTTTGACGTCCTCCAGCTCCTACAACCAGATGTTTGGGCCATATTTGAGCACCCGCCGGTAAAAACCTTCCATAAAGGCCGAATATGCCTCCTTGGTGATGCAGCCCACGCAATGCCTCCTCATCTAGGACAAGGGGCCGGGATGGCGATCGAAGACTCGTTTATTCTTTCTGGGCTTCTGGGTGAATGTTCATCTCGGGAGGACATAACCGCCGCACTGGCGGCTTATGACTCCGTCCGGGTACCACGTGCTACCAGAGTTGCGGCCGACAGTCTCGAGAACGGCAAACGTTTGGATCTCCAAGGCAGCACTGCTGGGTCTGATTTCGAAAGAATAGCTGCCGAGCTTGATAATGTAGCAAGATGGATGTGGAATCTGGATGTTGAGGAGCACCTGAACACCGCAACCAATAAGTTTAAGCAGATTAGAAAATCACAATAGATGTTGTACATGTTGGCCGTCCCTTCGATCGAATCAGTATCTTGACCGACTTGTCGGACATGTCACTTAGTATCCCTATTTAAGGACACGATTATCTGTCCCGTGCATCAACACCTGGACATGCAGCCACAATTATGTATCCTCGTTCATACATACAATCAACTAGTACATACTCTGGAATTCAGAGTCGTTCAGACATGAACTCACTCTTCATTTAAGATACACCAACAGCGCCTCACTTGCCTTGACGGTAAAGGTCGCCTGGCCGCCCGACACAGCCGCCGTCTCGTACGTCTCCGTCCCGCCAACCACACAAGTGCCATTCCCATACGTCTGACCGCCAAACGTGGGGTTGCCGCCCTGGTCCTGCCGGGACAGGGCGCTCGCCGCCGTGAGCCTCTTGGCCCGGACCGAGGTGGCGGCGAGCCCGGTGAGCACGAACGACTGGCTGGAGCGCGTGCCGGTCCCGTCGAAGTAGTCCGAGTTGTACAGCAACACCCTCAGGGGCGCCCCCGCGGAGTCGAAGGTCGCGTAGCCCGCATAGTTGGTCGACCCTGTGTCGAGGGCTGTCAGGTGCTTGGCCCCCGCGAGCAGCGCCACGGCCGCCGTCGCGCCGTAGTATGGCGCGCCCATGGAGTAGCGGCCCCAGAAGCAGTACTGGCAGTTGCCTACGGTTCCATGGTGGAAGTACGTGCGCGACATGTTGCTGTACGTCGCTCGCAGGGCGTAGTCCATGGTCCAGAGCGCTGCGCCAAATGTCGGTGACACGCCGGCAGCTCCTCCGCCGGATACTATGGGAGTGTGAGTTTCGAAGTCTGAACTGACATGAGGTGAGCTAGAGTGAACACTAACCCGAATTTGTCTCGCCAAAGATGTAGGGCTTGCCCTGGCCCAGAGCCGCAGCAATGTCTGCGTCAAATTGGTGCAGGTTGTTGGCAATGTTGCTGTGGCTCATGAGGCTGGTCACGGTCCCTCCGGGGTAATTATGGTGAGCATAGGTCTTCACGTATTGCTTCACTGTCGCATTCTCGGTTGCGATGAGCTCTTCTGCGCCCCATGTTGGCGGCAGCGAGTTTGAGTTACCTGCTTGGATGATGTTTGTCTTTCCAATCGCGCTTCCCACCAAAATGTCCCAGTTATTCTGAGACGCGGCATCTTTGGCAGGATCCCATCCTCCTGCTGCGATCGGTTGGCCAGCACCGGCATAGTCTAGACGAGTCGTTGGCAGTCAGCGTTCGGCTCATGAAAATGGAAACAATCGTAACGAGTGCGGACTGACACTCTGGCTCATTGCCCAGCTCGATGGCTAGTAGATTGCTCATTCCCGAAACCGCCACCTTTGCCGCGGCAATGGTGTTTGAGATGTTGTTTTTCCCACGGTTCAGACCCACGACGACCGATCCGCCATAGGTATTCGCCAAGGTCATGAAGCTCGAGCCAAAGGTCAGACTCGCGGGTGCGTCTGCTGGACTGGCGACTGTGTACACCACGTATGCGGACGTCGCGGGGTCATACTGCGCTCGGTCTTGGGTGGTCCCTCCAATGCGAATAGGTGGCCAGACACCCGTCAAGGTCTTCCAGTTCGAGAGACACTGGTTTGTGGCCGTTACGTTGGTGAAGTACGAAGGGAACGCAAAGAACTCAAATCTGAGTTGAGCTATTGATTAGCTCAGAGATCTGTATAGAATTCACAAGGCACGTCAAGACTCACGAGATGCCCACGGGAGCTGGGTCGAGCGGCGCGTATGCGTAACCTCCCGTGCCGACCTGGGTAGGGACGGCAAAAGTTACAGCTGCTACATGCTGCACCGTGAAGAACAGGCATGCGAGGGAGCTTGCCAACGTCGCCATCGTGGGAGTGGGAATAGATTGCCGTGACTCGTAACGCGAACCTCGACGTCGCGACGACAGCTTCGGCGCAGACCTGTCATTCTGTCACGGTGTCAGGCTCATTTAATATAATAGTCCGTGTCAAGACATATCATCATGTGAGGCGCCCGCACGAACCGCTGCAAGATGCCTCCCCGGTTTATTGACCACCGATGCGACCCAAGACGGCCCCCCAATTCAAGCCTTAATTTTTCCGGCGCCATTCATCCACTTTTTAACCAAGCTAGCCTGGGGAAGATGAGTGTTTGTTGCCCTACCCCAACCTTTGCCTGAATCCGGTTGCGGGGAGCAGCATTTTGGGTGCACGCGTTTTGGGGTTCACAGGATCCCACCCCTGTTCTGCAAGCTTATGATTGGACGCCAGCAGGCTCACAGTCCGACCCCATGGGGAAGACATCGTGGGCACGTGGTGGGCTGGAGAATCCTCCTCAGGCAGCCCGAGTTAGACTGGGCCGAAGCGGACCGAGCCCTGTAGCAAGGTGACCCGGGGTGATTGCAACAGCTTCACTACCTAGGTAGCTAGGTAATAATGAATGGTATACATCGCTATTGAGGTCAAAAGCTGGTCTCGAGTATGACAAGACAATCAAGACACTCACATAAACTGTTCTCTTCAATATGGGGGCTGCTGGAGCGGTGCCCGAGTGCCGATACGGAAGGACTGACCTGTCATACTCGAAATCCTGCGTCTAGTAGTATTATGCAAAATCGTCAACACACGGTCCCCAAGAGGGTAGAAAGCACTGCATACTGTGAGGGTCGCCATAATAAATCGCCGCCTTTCAGCGTTCCCGCAAGCGGAGGCCCAATCAAGTTATGTCCGGCTGTAAAGAGCAGACGAGCATTACAGATGGCTTATCCCTGTGTGTAGATCGTGCAGTTACAACCTATCACTGCTGTTCCTTTACCACTGGAAGCAGACTTTAACTTCAAAATTGCCCCCTTTTTGGTTTGCTATTCAATGTCGTCATCCATAAATCGAGCGGGATAGTCTGGTAACTACGAGTCGCCTTCTTCTTCATCGTGTCCGTGTTCCTCTGTCCGAAGTCGGGCTGGCGTCTCGAGTGCAGTCGGAGTTAACGGCGTGCCATATGAAAGAATATCACGAGCACCAAACACCTTCGGCAGACTCTGCGAGGTAATGGAAAGAGGGCTTATACTCATAACCGAGCGGTTGTCGCACAGGACACACAGCATAATTTCTGGTGCGGGTAGAATTGGGTCTTCTTACGCAGAGGGGGAAAAGGCATTGCAGTCCATTATCTGTGGTACAGTTTGAAGGGTACGCAGGTCTGTGGCGGGGACAAAGCAGTGTTTGTTTGAATTAGGTGGTTTCGCTTCTATTCCGTACATTACGTCCGAGGACATAGATGGCGCGGTTTGAATTAGAGGCTGGCAAACCCATCGAACTAAGCTGAGACCTGACGTCCAACAGTCAGCATCCGCACGGCCAAGGTGAGGATCCTGTGGACCCACGAACCGTCTCAGCCCCTACATGGGTGGAAACATAATGCACGCTTTTTCAAAGACTATTTTCTTTTAAAGACTAGACGATGAAGATTGTGACCACTTAACCCAGCTTCCAGCAACTAATACCTGGGTACTTAAGTACTAGTGGTACTTAGTCCCTGCACCGCTCATCGTACCAGTTGGTGCCCGTAGCCTACCTTGATAGCCTCCCTAATCGAATTCTGATTGTATAATTTGGTGCGGGACAGGCCTTCTTCGACTGAGAAATAGTGCCAGCCCCCCGAAAGTGGTGGAGAAACTAGATGAGGCAATCATGAGGCCTCAACACCAGGACAGAACCCACCCGGGCACTAGCATGGCCCGATCTGCGTTGGCAACCGACTGGAAACCTTGGAAGGAGTGTTGGACTCCTGTACAAGTCATGCGCCAATGCAGGCTTCGCTAAGTGGCGATAGCCATGAGCCGTCAGGCACCTAGGACGCACATCCCTTTCCAATTTTGAACTGAGTTGAATCTAACATGACGGGCGCTGATTTCGGATTATTGATTATTTGAAACGAAGGTTACTTCTCAATAATTTTGTATCTCAACATGCTACAACAGGCCCTCTCTCATAGCCAATGCCCTCGACTATGGCCTGCTTCAACTTCCTCACCCTCCCCGGCGAGCTGCGGAACATGATCTATCGCTTTACACTCACGACAGACCCCCCCAATCTGGAACGAGAGCACAAATATGACTGCAAGCTTTGCACTTGGGATCCGAACGAGCCGCAAAAGTCGACGTGGATGGACTACAAGAGGATACCAGGCTGCAGGTGCTGGGCCCGCTCCGGACTCACCCTGCTCCTGGCCGACCGCCAGATCTACTGGGAGGCTGCCCCGATATTCTGGGCCGAAAATCATTTTACTTTTTATGGAGTGAAGTCATTCCTCACGGTCGGAACACAACTGCGGCCCCGGTGGCGGAAAATGTTGCGCAGTATCAGCATTTTTGACTTTTATGAGCCCGCGTATGAATGGTCCTCCGACGCCAGGCTTACGCGCGTATTGATCAAGTGTCGCAGTCTTCGCAGGCTGGAACTAGATCTCCGCTTGGCCTGCGTGCTGTTTTTCCGAGCTCCAACCCGGAATCGTCCCGATCCGCAACTGGCTGCCTGGGAGGACATGAAACGACTGCTACCCGAATTGAAGACATTCACACATACGTGGACGCTGGTGAATCGCACAATATTAGGCTGCTCCCTTGATATGAAGTCACTATCGCCGGAGCAGCACCGCGCCGTTTGCCTCCCGATACTTCATGTGTATGCCTATGCTGGTCACGCATTGGAGTTATGGGCCAGGGATCAGATACGACCTACATTCCTTAGCGGGGTGGAAATTATTGAAGACACAGGACACCCCAACGTGCATGCCTTCAGAGTGCTCGTCGCGAATTGCCCGGTCACGTTGACGATGCAACGATACTTCCTGCCCTTGAGCCCCGAGACCATCGCCAGGAACAGAGTGCTCGAAAAAGAAGACATAGCGCGAAAGGAGAGTTTGAAGAAACGTGCCTTGGAAGAACGACTACGCCCAAGGAAGAAGCGCAAGACCACCTCACCCGAGAAGGCTGTGGAGGCAGTTGTCTCTACCCCGGCGCCAGACGGCAAACAGTGCGGCGCACAAAATTCACGGTCATAGTGATCGGCGAGAGCCGAGCGCATCGACGTTGGATTTGTCAGGCAAGTCACTATCTCGGAAAAACGAGAGTTAGCCCCCCCCCCTGCAAAATGCCCCCTATTCCTTAGCTAAACTAAAACTTTACTAATAGGGTAGAAAACCTAATATTCTTATTAAAATATCTATATTAACTTTATTAATATTAATAATAAATTATTTTTATTATTTAATTAAATAAAAGTAATACTATATTAATTTTATATAATTAATTTAAGTTTAATCTATAAAGATATATATAACCTATTTACTTTAATATAAAGTAATATTGACCTAATTAATATTATAAATAATATACTTTAATTAACTTATTAAGTTTAAACTATTTAATACTTATTATATAAAACCTATTTAAAAGTTAAATTATATAATTTATTAATAAAAATATTATACTATTTAAATAATTATATACTTAAAAATTAATTATTAAGGTAATTAAAGTCTAATAAATTACTTAAAAATACTTATAAATACCTTTAAAAATTACTTAAAATAAAATTATTATAGTAAATTAAATAGTTTAAAGAGTATAAGAAAATATTATTAAAGTTAATAATAAAAGAATATATTTAATAATAAGGAAAAAAGACTTTAAAAGGTATTAATAATAAAAACTTTTTTATTAATAAAATAAAGTCTTTAATAAATAATAATAGTAATAATATTAAATATTTTAAAAATTATTTAATTAACCTCTTAATATAGATATATTTAAATAGATTAACTTTAACTTTATTTATTAAAATTTATAACCTAAAAGTTAATATTACTCTTATTATATAACCTAAAAATAAACTATTATATTAAGGAGGAGGATAAGGGTTAAAGGATTTAAAGTTTTTATTAAATTATATTAATTTATTTAAAAATTTAATTAAAAAAGTATAAAAATTATTTAAATATAATTATTAAGTTAAAAATATCTTTATTAAAACTAATTAGCTTATAAATTAAACGTTTTTAACTTTATAATTAAAAATTATAAAAAAGATATTAATAAAAGAATTAAAATATTTAATTATAATAATATTATAAATATACTTTTAAGTTTTAAAGATTCTTTTTTAATTTTTATATAATTATAAAATTATATTATTAATATAAAAGTTATAAATATTTATATTATAAAATAATTATTTAATTAAATACCTATTAATTAAAATTTTCTAATTATTATTAATTATTTAATAAGTAGTTATTTTAAAAATAGTTTATTAATAATTAGATAAATAGTAGATTTAAATATATTTAATAAAAATTTAAATTTTAAAATTTTTAACTTATATTAATAATTATTAAATAGAGTTAAAATAAAGGTAGAAATAGACTTTATATAAAAAAGTATAAATAATTAATAAGAATATAATTATATTTTTAAATAATTATTATAAAGTTAATTATTATTATTTTTAAAATAAAAGGATTCTTTATAATAATAATATTTTATTAAATAAAATAGTATATATATTAGTTTATTTAATAAAGACTTAAAAATTAATTTAATATAATTATAATAAATAATATTATAATTAAATACCTATTAAAAATCTTTTTAATTATTAAATAGTTTAAATAGAGCCTAATAAAGAGGAGCTTAATAATAATAGAGTTAGTTTTATCTTTTAAAAATAATAAAAATAGAAGTAAAAGAAAGTAGTATTAATATAATTATTAATTTATTATTTAATATTAATTTATTTAAGGTTAGATATAGTTAAATAACTTTAATAAAGCTTATTATTATTATTATTATTAGCTTTTTCTTATAAGTTTAATAGGGCCCTACTATTACTAATAATAATAATAATAGTACCTAAAAGTTTATTATAGAGATAGAAACTATTAATTATTTTTTTATTATTATTATTATAGGTAAAAGGAATAAAATAGTTTTATATTAAAAGTTTATTATAAAAGTATTTTAAAAGTACTTTAAAATTTATTAGAAAAAGCTTAACTTAAATAATTTATAAGAGTTATAAAATATAAAGAGCTTAACCTTTATAAGCTCTATAAAAGGAGAATATCTAATTTAATAAATATAATTTAAAGACTATCTTATTAATTAAAATATTAATTAAATTATACTTAAAAAACTTTATTAATTTCTTTAATAATAATAATAATAAAAGGATTTACTATTATAATAAAAGTTATTAAATAACTATTTAATAAATTATTAAATAAATATTAAAATATATACTTTATAAAGTTTATAAAGGTTATCTAATTAACTAATTAATTTTATTTAATATTAAACCTTATAATTAAATTAACTATTTAATAAAAGAGTTAAAAGTTTATTAAAGTAATTCTTTATATTTAATAAAGTAAAAGTTATATGATAAATTTTAAAGAACTTTTAAATAAAAAAGTAATAATTAAATATATAAAAATATAATTAATAATAAAAGTAATTAAAAAAGTTAATTATTTTAAGTAAATAAAATAGATTAAATACTTAATATTAAATAACTAATTAATTAAATAGATTTACCTATAGTTAATTTATCTACCTTAACTCTAATTATTAACTTAACTACTTAACTTATAAATAATACTTTTCTATCTATATAATTATATTTAATTAAAACTTTATTAATTTTAATTTTTATAATTTTTAATTAATACTATTATATTTACTTTATTTTATACTTTCTTTTAATATTTATATATAATAGAAATATCCTTAAATAGCTTTAACTTTAAACCTAATTTTAAATATAAAAATAAAAATTAAATAAAATCTTTTAAATTATAATTTAATAATTTATATTAATATTAATAATATAAATAATACTTTAAATTATTAAAATATATTTTAATAAAATTAAAATTAAAGAAGTATAAAATAGATATTTATATTTTATACCTTTTATATTTATTACCTTAATTATTTTTATATTATAATATTATAAAGTATTATTTATTATAAGAATTAATTATAAACTTAAATATAAGTTTATTTTAATAAAATATTTTTATTAATTATTATAAAAGTACTTTTATTATATAACCTTTATATATTATAATAATAAGTAAGTTATTAAATATAATTATAAAAGAATATAAAAGTAAGCCTTTTATTTAAAGAGACTTTTAATTTATAAAGTATATTTAATAAATACTTAATTTATCCTTTTATACTATTTTATTTATTAAAACTAAATTTATTAATAAAATAAATATCTTTATTATATAATTTAATTAATATATTTATTAAAAATAATAATTATAAAGTTTTTATTATATTAATAAATTAATATATATATTTATTTATTACTTTATATATAAACTTTAAAAATATTATTTATTATTTTTATAATAATATTAATTTAAAACTATTTAATAAAAAGTATTATATTTTATTAAAATATAAATTTAATTTATTAAATAAAAGATTTTTAACTTTTAACTTATATAATTTATATATTAATTAAACTTTATAAACTTATTATAAAAAATAAGTTAATAAATCTTTAAAATCTATTATTTTAACTTAATTATATTTAATAATAATAATAATAATATACTTAAAGTAATTATATAAGTAATAATAACTTTTTAATAATATTTTTAAATTATAATATAATTAACTTAAAATTTAATTTATAGTTATTTATTTAATAAAAATAGATTAAAGTATAAATAAAACTTTAATTATTAAAGTTTATAGTTTAATAAATAATAACTTATTATTATTAACCTCTTTTTTCCTTTTTAGAGTATAGGTAGTATTAGGTATAGTATTTTATTAAAAATATTGGGTTTTCCGCCCTATTAGTAAAGTTTTAGTTTAGCCGAGGAATAGGGGGCATTTTGCAGGGGGGGGGCCAACTCTCGTTTTTCCGAGATAGTAGGGTTAGGACGCTCGGTAGTGGTCTGGGCATCTCGCGGCTCGGACTTAGATGACTAAAACGGGCCTGTTTTGTCATGACGATGACCTCGCGCCCGGGCCGATCCTACGCCTTGGAAGCAGCGGGTTTAACCGCCGGGGCCTCCGTGGTCGGCGAGGTCGAATCCTGACTACAAAAGTTAAAAACCCCAGCTCAGATCAATGACTCCGGGACTGGAACAGCATCTCGGATATCCACCACCTACCTCGTAATTCCTCTCGATCAAAAGCCAAACGCCAAGGGCCGAAACGAAACTATGGCCCGCTTCTTCATAACAGGCTCCTCCGACGGCCTCGGCTCCCTGACAGCCCAGCGCCTCATCAAGCAGGGCCACTCAGTGGTCCTGCACGCCCGCAGCGCCCAGCGCGCAGAAGACGCGCGAAAGGCCTGCCCCGGGTCCGACGCCGTGCTGGTCGCCGACCTGACCTCCATCGAGGAGACCAAGGCCCTGGCGGCGGAGGCGAACAAGCTGGGGCCGTTCGACGCCGTCCTGCACAACGCAGGCCTGTTCACGGGGTACGAGAAGGTCCCCGGAAAGTCCGGACTGCCCAGCCTGTTCACCGTCAACGTCCTGGCGCCCTACATCCTGACAGCCCTGATGGAGCGGCCAAAGAGGCTCGTCTACGTCAGCTCGGGGCTGCACGAGGGCGGGCAGACGAGGCTGGACTCGCTCGAGGGGTCGCTCTATGCCGACTCGAAGGTGCACATCATCATGCTCGCCAAGGCGCTCGGGAGGCGGTGGGGCGGCGTCGAGAGCAATTCTGTTGACCCCGGCTGGGTGCCCACCAAGATGGGCGGGAGCAGTGCGACGGGAGATATCGAGGGCAGCATCAAGAGTTATATGATGCTGGCGCTCGGCGAGGGTGCTGCGAAGGGCAAGACTGGCAAGCACTTCTACGACTCCAAGGAGAAGTCCTGTCTGGAGGCTGCGAATGATGAGGCGGCGCAGGATACGCTCCTGAAGAAGTTGGCAGAGATCAGTGGCGTTGAGCTCCCTCAATAGGGTCAATTAGAGGATGAAAAGCTGAATAAAAGCCCTGGTTTCAAATCTACATTTTGACCTCAGGTAGGCATGCCCATCTCAAGGGTCGAGCCTAGAATTTGAAGTGATTATATCTCCATTGCGGCCGAATGCAATGCCAGTTACACAACTGGAGCTTGGAGGACAGCTATCTACTCTGGACCGCCGGCCGCCCTTGCTTCTGGATTTTTTATTTTTATTCGGACTAGGTATTCTTGGAAACTTTATAATTTTGAGCCAGGTGCGAGAGCTTTCTGTCGCATATATCCCTCATCTATATCCTCGCGTCACAGATTGAGACCCCAATTCAGCTCCGCAACATTCTGGCTCGGAGCTTTCACACAACTGGGTATGTCGGTCTTACAAGTAGGTCTCACCCAAGAGTTGGGGGGAGGGGGAAGGGGGGAAATGAGTTAGAGGAGACCAGCAGTGTCCCGGCAGAAGGTGTAGGACAACAGGTCCTTTTGATAATGAGACCTGCAGGGCGCATCACCACTGGCCCTGCCAGAGTGGACTGCTGGGCCGAGTCCTACCGTAGAGCTCGGTAAGAATCCTTCCAGATTTGGTAAATTAGTGGCGCTGCGTCTCTGTCTCCCACGGTGGGTAATCGTGGCGGCGTTGATACCTTCAGCGTCAGGACTGTCCATTCAGCTGGTCGATCATACAACAGGGGAGCGGCCCCCAAGTCACCGAGCCAGAGCCTGCTGGTCATATTACACCAGGTTGGCTTTTGCAGTCAAGCCCATTTAAAATGCGTCACGCCCCCTCAACTCCTGGCTTCTCGCGTTGAGGGCCTGACTTCGAGCCCTCGAGCGCTCCTCACAGCCATAGTCCGCACCACACCCAGTGGGTCCTCGCAAGCTTAATGGCAAGTTCTTATCCAGCGGAAACCGCCTCTGGGGTAGTTACTTCTTATATACCCCTTCCTGAGGTGTTCACCCCACGAGAATCTTGCAGGTCGATGTTTCGACAATATGGCTCGATTTACATGGCCTACGATCCACTATTCGGACTCGACATTGACAGCGACGTTCAATGTCAGCCTCCAGCTGTCACCACATGGTGGACCCAAGCCAGTCTCGGGAGCCCTGTGTCAGGCGATACCGCCATGTCGATTGGCCCTCTTTCGTGCCCACGCAGCTGGAGGACGGTGGCCCAGTCTGTGAAAGATGTCTCGAGCACAGCAGCAATGTGCTGTCCCCCGTGAGTGGCCGAGCAAACACGGCAAGCATTTCTGCTGATGTGCTCTGTGGGCTGACGTGACATGATATTGACCAGTGGTTACTACCTGGCACATTCCACGAAGGGCGAGGTGGTGGGTGATTGCTTGTCTAATGTCGCCGGCCATTTCTCTGGTGTATTCGCATACATTGATGATGGGTCCGTCTGGTCGGTCTCGACAGGCACCGTGACGGATTTGACGACCGTGGGAGCCGTTGCGGTGATCGGCTGGAATATCAGACAGACGCCGGAGACGGCCAGCACATCACCAACGCTTTCCTCCCCAACGACCGAGTCGCTCTCGTCGACCTCCACGCCGACGACTTCCTCTGCGACATCATCGCCTACATCCACGGGCGGCTGGACGTCCGGCCTGCCACGTGGCGCTGCTGTTGGAATAGGGGTCGGCGTTGGGCTTGGTGTCGTTGGATTAGCATCTCTCATTGCATCCTTTATCCTGATTCGACGTCGAAAGCGCAAGAGAGAAGGTGAGATCAACGGAGACTCAACCCTGCCCGGTGTTGTTGTCGAGGGGAAGCCAGCCGTGGGGGTCCCGCATGGTAACATGGACCAGCCTGGTCCATCAGAGGCTGGCAATGACGGCGCAATACGAGCCTCGGAGCTGCACTCTGAGGATCGGGAGTATCAAAGCGTCACCCCCTCGGAGCTGCATGGCTGACCGCAGGAACGAAAGTACGGACAATGTAAAAGAGACCAGGGGGCAAAGGGTCTGTCGGTCGCACGGAATCCACACGTACCTACTACGCACAGCCCACCATACACACGATGTAGTCTTGCCTTCATGCCTATGTCTATTCTAACTCGGCTGGGACTTCAGATGCTACGATCCAAAGGACAGGGGTCCCCCAACCAGCTTTCCGTTGGGAGTCCACCCACCCCATGCTCGTCAACCTCATAATCTCGGATTCACGCAGTCCACATTTGAATGACAATACTAACTCAGGCCGGTATGAGGATCAAATATGACAGCTAAAGGCATATAAGATAGCCGCAAGACACGAAATAATATCGGAAGGCTGCCGATTGTAAATTGTGCTAGAGTGGCCGTCAATTACCTAGGTACCTAGGAATTCTCTAGATCGCTGGCGGTAGCGATCCGCAGCGGTAGGTGATTGAACTGATGGTGTTACTCATCATTGACTCCTTCGCTCTTTGTGATCTGATGGCCACATTTGAAGGGCCCCCGGCTCCCACATGTTGGCAGTGCAGTGATAACTGCCTGGTCCAATTCTGTGCAACCTCCTGCCTTGGACAGACGGTAGTACTGACTTGGCTCTAACCGACGTACTACGTAGTATTACATGGAAAAGCGGCCTTGTCCCTGTATCTCCCCTGCCAACACCCTATCCATACAACGACCAATTTCCCTGCCCGGGCAAATCGCTTGTCCGCAGCCTCAGCAGTCGCGTTGATTGCTCAGGACCAACCACTGAACTGTACCTGCCTGGGAAGGTTGAGCCTGTCCTTTCCAAAGCAGCCCTGGATATTCCTTGTTTCACCAACACTCTTTTTCAAACTCCGAGTCCAACTAGGTATCCTTGAGGAAGTTACGCTCACCGAGTCAAACTAGTTTTAGCTATAGGCCGTGTCACACTTGTACCAAGCACATACGGCCATAGATACAGGAAAATACGGGATCCCGTCCGCTCTCCCTTAGTCAAGTTTGTAATCGCCGGATTAGTAGTTGGGTCGGTGACGACCAGCGAATACCCGGTGCTGTATGTTTTTGTCTCCATTTTTGCTGCTCCTGCTGGGCAAGCTACCTGGGTGTGGTGTGGGTCTCACTGTGCGTTTCCAATGGTGATACTGAGTCCCCACTGCAGGTACCTGGGTATCCAGTGGAGAATTGCACTTGACGTCAGACTCTGTGGAGAACTTTGACCTCCCCAGACACGGGCGCGATTAACGCCTGAAGAAGGTAGTTCAGATCAGCAGTGTTCAAGTCCTTTGACAAGATCCAATAGAATAGTACACTACATATTATATATAAAAATTAAAAGACCAGCAGTGGATCCATCTCGTTATGCGACGTATGTAAGCAAAGCTCTCCTATCATGATCTAAAGCGAAGTTAATGTGTACACTTAGGTTTCTAAGGTCGACCTGTATGCCTAGGTAAGAATTGTACCTCCGTTGAGGTTGAATCCAATCAGTCATTCAACCTGGAGAAAAAAAAATAGGAATCAATCCTCTGCCTTACTGAATTCCGCACATGGAATTACACAATTTCGGCTTAATGTAGAATTCTCATACTAAGGGCTGGATTGCTAGGGGCTAATAGCTAGTGGGACTTTATTTAAGTAGTTTCATTTTTAATGCTTATATATATAAAATATATATAGTATCTTTATATACTAGTAAACCTTTAATATTGAATATTAAAAGAAATATAATAATAATAATAATAATAATAAAAAGAGAATATAAAATATAAATATATAATTAAGCTTTATATTATATAAATAAAGTTAGAAAGTATTATTAATATTATATTAAAATTATTAATATAAATAATTTAAAAGTTAATAGTTAGTAAAATAATTTAATAATAAAATTAAAATAATTTAAAAATAACTTTTATAAAAGAAAAATTTTATAATATAAACTTTAATAAATTAATTTTTCTTTATTAATATATTTATTATATAATTATTTTAATTTACTTTTATTAAATAAATTAAATTATAACCTTTATTTTCAATATAGAATTATTAATAAAATAATAGTATTATAATAAAAATTTATTTTAAAAGCATTTATAAATAAATTTTATAAAAATTTAAAACTTTTAAAATATTAAATAAAGTTTATTAATTATATATTAAATAAATATTATATAAGAAAGTAAGTTTAAATATTTAAAAATTAACTTTTTAAAATATATTACTTTATTATTAAAGATTTATTTACTTTTATATAATATATAAAGAATTTAATAAAAGAGAGTTTTATAAGAAAATTAATAACTTTTATATATATAAATTTAAAAATATATATTAAGTAATTATTAATTCTATATTAAAATATAAATTAATAATTAATTAAAAAGTTAAAAAATTATAAATAGATAAATATATAATTAAATAAAAAAAATATAATATAATTAAAATTAATTTTATTTTAATATATATAGGTATATATATACCGGTTTTAAATAATTATATTAATTAAAAGTTATAATTTAAACTCTTAACTTTATAGCTATTATTATTATATAACTACTATAGTTAAGAACTAAATAGTTTATAGGTATAGCTTTTACTATTTATGTGGGAATAGTAGGCTGCAGTGGATTTTTAGTACCTACTCCGCAAGGAGTGGGTAAGTAAAAGCCGAGGCCCACGGGTAACCTCTAACTATGCCCTAAAATAACACAACAAAAACATCTATCACCGGCCTCCTCGCCAACTACACATATTATACCTATCAAAGTCAGCCAGCCCCTCTAACAAATTCCCACTACCACTAACGCCTCACTCTCCCTGCATTATAGGAGGTATGGGTTTGGCTTAGTTAAAAGTTCTATCCATACCTCCTTATAAGTCTCAGGCTTTACACCATCCTACCAAACCATATAACTAATACCCAAATACTTCTCACAAACTTTTCAACTTTATATCCTAGACACCCAAACCAACACCAGCCAGGAAAAATACCCAAATAACAATTACCAATGTAATAAAGAGAATATTAAACCAATTTAATAAGCGCAAAGCCATTAAACTTAGTTGGTCTTGCTACTTCAAACTAATATAATTACTAGCAAGCATAGCAATATTAACAACCAAAACTGCCATAATAACAACCCTCCATATTTAAATATCCTTGCTAATATATAAAACCCCTTTTAATATAATAGCCATAAATGCAAATAAAGCAGCAAGCTAATAGAAAAGAAAGCCTTGGTTAGGGTTATAAGCCAAAAAAGGTGGCGGAATAAAGGCATCCAACATAACTTAAGGCGTAAATAAAAGCGCGTATATTAAAACCAATAGTACGGCAAAATCTAGCCATAAAAACCAAAATTAATAAAAGATGTAAATATTTGGAAGCGCCATAGTATCAGTTAAATGTGTGGTAATGAGTGTATGGTGATAAGTGTGTGGTAATGAGTGTAAGGGGGAAGAGAAGACTCGTTGGGCGCGATTGGAAAGCGGAGTAAAAATGTGAAGGCTTAGCGAGCACCCTGCATCAGCTGGTTGTCTCACCTCACCAACCGGTCTTGGCCCCTGCACGCGCTGTTTGCACTATGTCTATTTACGCAGTACTGTATTCTCTTTTCACTGTTATTGGGACTGTATTTCTTTAAACGCTGGGTCTTGAGCGTTTACCACTATATGAAGGCGCCACGTACATTTTACATGTATGGGGATTCAAAACGAAACCACCACCACTCTTTACGCAAAGAATTAACTTGTGCAGAGGCACTGCACAAGGCCTGCAGGTAAGCTCACCCAAAGTGGTCCGTGCGTGGGCGTTGGCTAAAACCTCTCCACCGACCCCCCGACTCCTGAGCCTCAAATCTTTGCATACACGTCACCATGGCAAACCCTGTAGAATCAGACTCGACACAATTTTTCGCCCCAGAGAATTTAGAAGAAAGTCCCATCACGTGCAAAAAGATGTCCTACGCGGACGCAGTCATAGGCCATGAGCTCCACAACTTCTTGGGCGGTAAGGTGATCGAACACACCACCGCCGCCGGTGAGATTCTGGCACTCAAAGTCAAGACCAGATCAGGTCTGCAACGCTCTGAGGCCGACTTGATGCATTACGCCGCTTCTCATGGTGTGCTTGCCCCGAAAGTTCGCGGTGTCTTTGACGTCCAAACCAAGCCGAGGGCGAGGGTCATGGTCAGTGAGCGTGTGCCCGGAGTGCCTCTTGCCCAAATATGGGAGACCGCTTCCGAGTCCGAGAAAGCAAGCTATAAAGATCAGCTCCGAATTCAGCTGAAGAGAATGCGCGACTGTACGCAGCCATTTATTGGTCGCGTAAAGATGTCTGGGAAGCGGAAACAGACTTACAATATCTACGATCGCCTCCGCACGACGTATTGTGGGCCATTTGAGACCGAAAATGAATTTGACGACTGGTGCCTGGCCCGTGTGCTTCCGAAAGTCGGCCTTCTTTCTCGGTACAAATGGAAGCGCTTTATCGAGCGGGAGCAACATCATGCTTCTGGTAGATTCGTCTTGACGCATGGAGACCTAACGCCACGGAATATCATGGCGCACGACGGCAAAATCACGGGGATTATCGACTGGGAGAGAGGCGGGTTCTTCCCTGAATACGCTGAGTACATATATGTATGCATTTGCTATGGCGCTGGGCCATAGTATTGAGGATTGGTGGTTGCCAGTGCTGAAGGACATCCTGCAACCTTGCTCTGAGCAAAGAGTCAAGTTGACGAGACTAGTGGAGAACAAAGGGTGGTAGAAGAGACTTCTGGAAATTGTGTTGCCTAATACAGCAGTAGATTACACAGATTTCTGAGCCGGGGTTGTTTTTAAGTGGTGGTAATAGTTCGGCAGAAGTTATAGCCTTCGTCCAATGTGTTAGTAGCCCCATCTGATATATAATTATTTTTAATGGTGAAGGCATCATAATGATAACTCAATGTGCAGACTGGAAACATGATCAAGTCTACGGAGCGGCGCTCAAGAATCTGTTCGACCATGTCAAAAGACGGGGCTCTAGACTCACAACGTGCAGTCGATTGCGGCCCTCTGGAATGCCATGAAACTGACCGAAAACACTTCCGATGACTTATCCGTCTGAATACATGCCAGCGTGTATATTCCGGTCTCGAACAGCCATGGTAACTGGGGGTAATAGGTTGAGTCCTTAACTTCGTAGCCGCCACTACTGCAAAGCCGTTGCTGCTGAGAAGTAAACTGCTTATGATTCCAACCTATACCACCTAAATTAAAGAAATGCTCTATCTGTTCATAGGCTGCAGCTTTCCAAATATGCTTTGGCTACCTTGTGGTCCAGTCTTTGCTCTGCCCAAGGTTGCAATGAAGGTACCTTAACTCATTGTACTGGTCCTTTGATGGCTAATTCTCACTTCGACACTAAAGCTGGAGACTCTCACCATAGTTAATGGAGTTCAGGTCTTCGATTGCATGAAAGGTCGGGTGCGTCGGTGACTGGCAGTGATAAGTAACGTTATGAAGAAGGTTTATGTGACAAGTCGATCTGATGCCTGGAATGTGACCATCGAATCCCCCCAGTGACTGAACCCATATTTTCAGGACCGTCAATGTTTCTGGGATGCGAAAAACTGGATGGAGGCATAGTGAGTCACAGGGCAGAGGCGCGTGGACAGCTCCACGTAGCAGCAATGCAAGTCAAGAAGCAAGGCAGGCCGTTTCCGCTTACCTATAAGAACTGCTTCAGAGCGCAGTCTGTATTCGTTTGCGATCGAGTAACCTCGCACACCAACACACTTGGAGCCCTCCAACAGCAGAACTCACACTCCATACTTTTGACCTTGACGTTGCTCTCCACAGTCCGTCTGCTCTCTTTAAAGGTCTTCATCTCGGGCTTCTCACATTATCCCCGTTATTCGAGCGGCTTCAGCACAAAGAACAAGAATCATCGTAACCTATGTGAAACCCTAACACCATCCCCAACCATGGACAATACCAACCATACCATGGCACCGGTACCAGCCCAAAGTGTGCCAGGCACTGAGTCTGTCCCCACCGACCAAGTCTTGAACTCCTATATGAGAGGAACACCCTGCGGCAGAGTATGTGGTACATCCAGCCCTGAAGTTATCGAGGAACTCCTCAAGTAGAACTTGAGCGACTCCTCGGCTCCTTCCACGGCCCAATCATCTCCAGTTCAGGTCCCACGTCTCCAGCTCCAGGCTCCCAAAGAGCTGCTCCTTGTGGTCAAGAACCACCCAGTCGTCGGACTGATGTCCCTGGTCCAGACTTCATCCGACACTAATACAGACGTTGGCAAACGTCGTTGAGTTGAACAGCCTTCGCCCCTCGCCGCACAAATCTCTCAGGCCATCAACGCCCATACTTCTCCTGCCGAGCGGATTGGCTTCAACTTCGTCTATCTCCTGCCTTATACCATCCCTCATCCCGATCCCGACAAACTGCCTTGTGCTCCGCTGCTGCTGGTTCGTATCCTCCCTCGCAGCCCTCTGACCCGCGACTGGAACCGCGGTATCACTGCCGCGTATGCCGATCGCCGGGTGCTTGAGACGTTCGGTCTGGATGACATGCACTGCCTCCTCGTTGAGGGTTAGACCGGTCGAGTCATCTGTCTGCCCTGGCGCTATGACTGTCCCAGGACGAAGGAGTTCACCCATCTTCGCAATTCTGCCACCGCCATAATCAGCAAATCTTCGTCAACGGCAAGGACTGATACGGAAAAGGATACGCAGTTGGATCGCATGGACCTTCTCCAGGTTGTGAGGGAACTGCGCGGATAGCACATAATATGGACATTACAGGTGCTACTCAATGTTCCGATTGAGACAGTCATGGGAGAGGTTGCGGAGCAAAGGAGGGTACTCGTTTCAATGACGGTGTAAGAGACGATGACTTCGGGAGTCCTATTTTGAGGGAGGGCATAGTACACCTAGGTGCTAGAAAACAGCCGTATGTAAGCATCCAGGCTGTACACCTCCTCACCACAACTCGCCATTCATAGTAAGGTAAGCTTTGCTGATCAGCTCATACGTATTAATTCACCTCTCTGATTCGTCTCCCTGAACGTGAGAGGCACCGTATGCCCCGGGGCAAAGGATAGCTCGTCGCTGACCTGATCTGAGGTTCGCAGCATGCCGAGGTATCCCGAGGTCAGCTGAAAAGGCTGCAAGATAGTGGCTTTTGTCGATCTGAAAGCGTGTTCTTTAGAGAGTCGAGATTTATTATAGGGCGGGAAACGGAGGCCATGAGCGGAAAGCGGGGAGATTTGTCTCAAAATGGAGACTGCTCTATTCTACTTATTTCTAATAGCCTTATACAAATCAAACACATGGTCGAGTATTTAATGTAATTAAATAAGAATTCATCGAACCAAACACGCGAACCAATATTATAACGACCTAAGTATTGGAAAATGCTTGAGAACCCACTCTAAGTCATGTGTCCCACAGAGGATTGTCTTTCCCTAGCGGGTCAGGACACACATCCTCGTTAAACTTGAACAGCAGCACAGCGCCCGACTCACACCCAATCACCACCTTGTAACTCGATACAAAAGCTGTGGAGACACCATCGCTGTTGGGACGATATTGCTTAGGCAAAAAGATCAGGTTATGGCCCTTGTAAGTGATCCAGAACGAGTCATTTTCCCCATCCCGGCTCATGCGTACGCCGTATGGAAACCATCCCGGTGGGGGCAGACGCGCTTCTGCAGAAGTTGAAAGATGTTGGGCGCCACCCTCAGTCAGGACGTAGTCCGTCAAATGACCAAAGAAACGCATGGAACGGTGTGTTCCTGTTTCTGCCCGGATTTCCTTGACGAGCTCACCTGATCGCCAATTCCAGATCTTCATAACACTGTCGCGCGAGGCCGAGATGATGCTATTGTCGTCAGGTAAGAAGGCCAGACTGCGGGTGTCCTCACAGGGCCCCAGCCTCTTACCAAAATCGTCTTGATCCAGCCCCCGCGAAGGTCGCAAGTCCCACACGAGGATGTAGGGGTCGTCTCCTGCAGACGCGAGATACGACTCGTTCGTCATCTCCTTTTCGTTTGGAGACGGAGAGAAGACGACGCAATAGACGTAGTCGGTGTGGCCTTTAAGAGCAACAGACTTGTACTTCTCCTTCCCTCCATCTGGTTCTTCGTCAAAGCCGCTATCCCAAAGCCGCACTGTCCTATCGTCCGAACCCGAGGCTATTCGCTTCCCGTCCGGCGAGAAGACAGCGGACCGCACCCAGTCTCGGTGACCCTCAAGTTCGCACTTCAAGTTTTGCTCGTCACTGTGTACGTCCCAGAGAAGGATTTCGTTCTCCAAGGCCGTTGACAGGAGCATATCCGAGGTCGGCGAGAAGGCAAGCCATAGGATTTGTCCATCGTGCGGAGGGCTTCCTTTTTCGGGGCGTTTGAGCTCTCTTATAAAAGATCCCGTTTCCCCGTTCCAGAGAAAGAGGCGTCCTTCATCGCATCCCGAGGCAATAAACCTTCCATCTCGCGATAGTGTCACAAAGCTAACGGGGCTTGTGTGCCGGGTTGGCTGACAATCCCCATCAGTGGAATCGCCGTGCGCGTCGATGTCCCACAGACTAATTATGCCATCCATTGACGCTGACGCAAGATGTTGAGCGGCGACTGGCGAAAATGCCACGCATAATACCTCCCGCTCGTGTCCTTTCAACACTCGCCTGGATTTGGACCCGTCGCCTCCAAGGTCCCAGATCCTGATCTCCCTGTCCGCCGAGCCAGAAGCGATGCGTGAACCATCTGCAGAGAATGAGACTGTCTTAACGGCGTCGGCATGCCCTGAAAATACCTTCGGTGTTTCTTCCTTGGATTCCAGGTCCCAAACGAGGACTTCAGACGAATATGAGCCTGCTGCCAAGTATCGCGAGTCTGGAGAGAACTGAGGGTTCCTTGGGCTGTACTCGGATATGAGCGGGCGTATGTGTCCGTCAAACGTGTTTAGAAGGTGTATAGTATTGGAGGCCCCAACCACAGCCAGTGAAGAGCCATCGTCGGAAATCGCAACATTTGCAAGGTAGTCGACCTCTGGAATCTTCCATATTTTGTACTCGTATGATGGGAGGCTCCAAACAGCCACAGCCAACTCCGTTACAGTAGCCAGGAAGGTTCCGTTGCGCGAGAAGGCAATGTCCTGAAAGCTGGTCTCCGAGGTCTCCTCTCCGAGGTCAGATGGTTTAAGAATCTTTCGCAGAATGTAAGTCATGTTGTCCCAGACGGCGATGGAGCCACCTCCCAAGGCTGCCATAAAGCCCATTGAAGAGTATGTGACCCGGTGGATCCAGCCGTCCTCTTTTAGGAGGACGTTCCGCAGCTCTCCATTCTGAGTATCCCAGATGCGTATGGTGTAATCGTCAGATGCTGATGCTAGGAATCGGCCATCCGGAGAGTATTCGCAACTCCGAACCCAGTCTCGATGTCCCTTCAACGAAAACAACTGAGGGTTTGAGTTGCGACCAACATCCGGAGGCAAACTTAACCATGGGAGTAGTCTGCGCCGGTAGTAATCTCTCAGAAGTGTATTATTGAGGTAAAACAATAGACTGTTTACCACCTTGAGCATTGGTGGGCCATGTGATGCTTGGTGGAGCTGGAGCACCCGAATAGCATCTCGGATCAGTAGAAGGCAACCGTCGAACATTGAAAGAGCGGGACTTCCTTGGGAATCATATGATTTGAGTCTCGTCTCGAGCCTCAGCAATTCAGTGAGAGCCCGCGGTAAATCTTTACTGGATGCCAGGGATTCTAGCCACGGAAGGAAGTGTCCGTCAAGGAAGTTCATGACAATGAGCCGGTGTTGTGGCAACACCTCGGTACTTGAAAGATGTCGGATCCAATTTATCGTTGCGTAGTGAGAGGATAGGGGCTCCAGAATGCTTCCAGTCTCCAAGGATCCTGCTAGAAATTCTAAGCAGCTTTGGGTGACTTCAGCGTGCCTTCGTGATGAACTAATGAGGACATCGCTTTCAGACTGCAGGAATCGCCGCGCAGAACTGTGTAAGAAGCATACAGCACCATCCACAACTTTGAGGAATGTGAAACACCTCTTCTGTATGAAGAGGCCAAGGTCGAGCCCGGGCGGTAGTTGTGCGATGGCCTTAAGCTCTTCGATGAGGAGGGGGCGGAAGGCCATGGCAGCAAACTGAAGAATTCTTTCGCAATAAATGGCGTCGTGCCAGGGAAGCTTGGCTGTCTCTCCAAGAGAATGTCGGTAGAATGCACTTACTCCCTCGGGTAGGCCATTGAGGATGTGAAGTATATTCCACGGGGTCCCATAGCCCTCAATGACATTGAGTGCCAGATTGATCCACAAAAAATTCCCTTTTGACTTTGCGAGAAAAGCCACCTGGGCTTCGGATTGAGACTGTATCCCTTGGGTTGGATCTCGAGTAAGCTTCTGGATCCCTGAAGCGACGTGATGTTCCGCGGCTGGCTGCAGTGCGACCGTCTCGGCGTCCAGGTCTAGATGAAGCTGGCCCTCTCTCACTCTGCCATCTTTTGCTAGAGAGTCGATGGAAAGCAGCCATCGTACTTTAGTTGAATCCTCTGTTGTTGCTGAAATAAGAGCAGTGAGTTGATTTATCGCAGATTCTTTTGTGTCCGCAGAGTCGTTACCGGTGGAGCAGTCGTCAGCTGAGTCCACGACGAAGTATGCGGGAAGAAAGTTTTCATCCTTGATCATAGAGTGAAGCACCTCCGACATAACAGGAAAGGTAGATTGACCATTGGAATCCTCCCGCCCGATCAACTCATTCTTTTTGTCGAGATGATGTCGCAGATCGTCCTGCCTTTTCAGTATCTGGTCAACCAAGCTGGTTACCACCATTGCAAGACTGTCGGAGCCCTGATCCTCACCACAACACAAGACCGAATACAACGCGTTGTTTCCACTGATCTTCCGTTCACTTAGCAGTAGCTTTCGGGCAATTGCTGCCAAAATTGTAGTTTTTCCGGCACCGGGACCGCCGCTCACCCAGAGCACGCGATTATCGTTCTTTGACCCCCAGTCTTGTAATTTCTGGAGTGTACTGGTCAAAAGCTCGCTGACATTGTCGTAAAAGTGATCCAGGTCTACAGTCTTCCAGAACTGCGGAATAGAAACTTCTTCGGAGCTATCAGCCGAACTCACGTTGGAGCTGTTGAATAATTCGACTACAGCTTCTTCGGTCTCGTCATCACTCGTTTCTGCTTCCGTGGTCCGCAGGGCAGTCTCGGACTCGATCTCGGACTCGATCTCGGACTCAGCCTTGGATTCAGTCTCTGATTCAGCTTCGGATCCAGTCTCTGATTCAGCTTCGGATCCGGCGTTTTCATTTGAATGTGGATGGGCAACAAAGTCGGTCGACTCAAAGAGTCGCCTCAATTGCAAATCAATCTGCTGCCCCTCTATGCTTGCCGGCAGAGCATTCTCCTTATCCGAAAGGACAGCCTTCAGCGCTTCTGCATCAGCGAAGTCGAGCTCGTCGAAATATGGCCCGCTAGTACATATGATCTGCAGGCAGTGATAAAGAACTGTCCGGTACAGATTTAAGAGGGCGTGTTCCAGGCCTTTGAAGTCCACGCGTGTTCCTGAAGTATTGTCGCGGGGCAAAAGGTCCGAGAACAGACAATACCACTCCAGTCTGGAAAGTATGGAGGCGATGCCGGGGAAGATTCCGCGTGGAAACCTTTCTGGGTGATTGAAAGCAGCCTGCCCGGGGTTAGCACTCATTTGATCGACTGCGAAAAGGCGCTCAACCTCTGCGGGTGGATACGGAAATGTCGTTTGTCTTACCTCTAAGCTAAGACATACAGCAACCCAAGGCAAAGAAGGCTGCGATATCTTCTTCCAAGCATCCCGGACGAGAGAAACTGATTTCTCCCAATCGTCTCCTCCGTCTGTTGCGGGGAGGTGCTTGGTAAACCAGGATTCCAGTACCGCGTCCATGCGCTTTTGAAGAGTTCCTCCGGCGGTCTCATGAGAACTGATAACCTTGATGTCTTCATCCGTCTCAGCTAATTTATCTTCTTGGCCGAGGTAGCCGGAAAGGATCTCTTCATAGTGATCAAAGTGTTTGGGATGATTGGCCTTGATCTCATGATATGCTGTGGCCCACAACTGAAATGCGTCAGCAGTGTTGTTCCGGAGGCTCGAAAATTGAGGTGGCGATGTTGGAGGCTGAGATTGAGCATCTTGGCTCCGGTCGCCACGTGACAAAGGTTCTGGATGATGTGCTCCAGGTAGAGACTCTGGCACGGACTCCGGCAACGACGCGCTGACCGAGTAGGGTTGAGCTCTGATACCCGCTGACGACATGGGCTTATCGGTCTGACCTCCGGAGGCAAGATCCTGTGAGCGAGCAGTCGAAGACCGTGATGGAGAATTACGCCCTGGCAAGGGAGCTTTTTTCTCTCGAGCCAAAGTCTTCCTCAAAAGCTCGCGGAAGACGAACTTTGTCGGCTTGGCTTCGACAGTCTTAGGGGGGGCTTCTTCCATGTTGCTGTTTCATCAACTTTTACGGAGTCCAATAGTATTGTGCACAATAATCAATGAACAATTGAGGGATGAGGATGGAGAGCATCGGTTGATCGAAGAACGACCGGAGTGATGGGCTGACGGCAGAACTGCACGTGCGGGCACATTTCCACGCTATGTGCCTGACCATTTGAATCCGGTGCCTCGGTGCTCAGTGTACATCCAATGCACAACGTGATCTGTGCCTCCCGGTCTCATCCATGGGATGGACACACACAAGGTTGTACAGTACAGACCCAAAGAGGGTAAGAACGACACCCCGCCACACAGTGAAGATTTAGTATCTATCTAAGCACGGAGCTTTCCGCCATTCAGCTCGCAGCAACATCATGCAATGCATGACCTCATGCGTGAATCAATATTTAATTTTTGGTGTGCAACTTCGGGCGCTCATCGGGCTGAAAAGCCGGGCTGATCTCGGCCGGGGGCGGAACTTGCCCGACTGCATGCAGGTCAGGAAGGGGTCTGTCTGATTGCGGGCGGCAACACCCCGGGCCAGTCGGCCAATAGATACGTATTAGAAATCAAGGGTAAATAGGATATGATCAATTATTTATTTTTCTAATATTATAATAAGTATGAAAGATAAGATTTATATTTATAGTTTATTATTAATATTAAATACTTATAATATGATAAATATATTAATCTTTAAAGTAAAATATATAAATTATTAATAATAAAAGTTATAAAAAATAAAAGAAAAAGTATTAAAATTTATATATTCTTTATTTATTAATATTAAAAATAAAAGCTTATATAATTAAAGTATAATTAAATTATTTAATAAATTTAATTTTATAATACTTTTAAAATATTTAAAATAAAATATTATAATTAAATATATAATTAAAATATTATAAGTTTTAAATATTTTATTTTAATATTTAATAATATATTAATCTTAATACTTATAAAGACTTTTATAATATATTAAATAAAATACTTTAATTAGTTAATCTTTTTATTATTTTTATAAATTAATCTTACATTATTTTATATTATTCTATAAGTATATATTCTTTAATTTATAAATAGAAAGATCCTTCTAAGTATAAAGTTAAAAGATTTATAATTATAATTTTCTAACTAATTTTATTTAATTATTTTATTATATTATAACTTAATCTAACTTTATTTAAACCTTTTCTTAAACTTTATAAAAGCTTTTATTTCTATAAATATAAACTTTAAATTAAAACTTTTAAACTTAAGTTTAAGATTTTTATAAATCTTAATATACTTTAAATTAAACTTATAATTTCTTAACTTTTTAGAAATATATTAATTATTTTAAATACTAATAACTTCTTTTAAAGTAGAAGTCTACCTTTATATAATTATAAACTTAATTATTAATAGTTATTTCTTCTTTTATAAAACTATTAAAACTATAAACCTAGATACTATATATAATAATAAAGTATAGTTACCTTATCTAGTTATCTCTTAATTCGGCTAAGTAACTACTTTTAAATAGTTTTACTTATAGAGTTAATAGATAGGTATTTACTATAAAGTAGAGCTAAAACCCTTAAGGGAATAATAGCTTTATTTTTATCTATTTTAACTAACTTATATTTATATTTAAGTTATATAATAACCTTATATATAGTGCTTAATAATATTAAGATTAACCTATAATCTATGATAGCTTTAACCTTTAATAAGCTAATAGTGCTAGCCTAAATAGACTAGGTATAGCCTAGTGTACTAGTGTAGGCAGGTGTCTTTTAATAATAGACGGTATTATAAATATAGATTGTAAAGTTACTATAAAAAGTTCTATATAGTAAACTTAGTTAAGCTAATTTTTAAAAGATATATTATATTTTATCTCTCTAGGCCCCTAACTATTTACTTCCAGCTTAGTAGTGGAATTAAAAAAATATGAATAGTTTATAGATAGAAAGATAGTAAAGGGTAGGAAAAGTGGTCCTAATTGTTAGAGTTGGATAGCATGTGTGTGCAGTCGCCGACTTAATCTTCAGTCACCCGACTAACGGGAACAGAATTCTGTATATTAGCCGATTACACTTACTCCTTTCTCCTTACCTCTACACCGATTTCTTGAGCACATTCTCGGAGGACGCTACAGTGTCAGATCAACCCCGCAATGATGAGTGACAGTGGTGAACACGAGGACGTTGGGGGGGTCGACTCTTTTGACGAAGACCTGGATCCGACTGAGGACCTATTTTTTCCCCTTTTGGAGCACACGAATGCGCCCGCTGCTGCTGAGCAGGGGCAAACGAAGTCATATCACGTCAAGCAAGACAGCCCCGAGCTGTACGCCCACCGAAACTCGGATTACTCCATTAAGGTGCAGCGTCTCCTCTGGATCGATGGCCAGGAAAAAGCGCAGGAATGGATTAATGACCCTGACACGAAAAAACCAATCAAGCGAGAGGTAGTGCGCGATTCGACACTTGTTGTGCTCAAAATTCAAATGTGCTCTGAGAGAGCCGACCAGAGATTCAAGTGGATGAAAGCGACCCTTTCCCTGGAAGATGGCAGACGCGGTGGAGAGAACCACCCGGAAGTTGAAGCATGGGCGCCTTGGCGCGAGCTGGAGCGCGGCAACGAAGTAGTCGGTCACCACGAGGTCGCGAAGCAAGTAGAGGCAGGCGCCAAGTTGGGGTATCAGGGCAGTGATATTTCAGTTGGGCGAGGTCGGCAAGAAAGCATATCGTGGGAAAAGACCCACTTCGACGTGGGTCACTCCTCAGCTGGATCCAAGGACGGCAAGCAGAACAGTGTGACGTGGTACACTGAGGAGAACGACCTACAAAACCAAGGAATCAAGCCTGAGGTGTGGGTTTCCGCCCTGTTCTCGCGGTCATCGCCGGCACCATATCTAGTCAAGTTTGACATCTATGTACACGCCGGCAAACTCGACGAATTTCATCATAAGACCAAAAGATTCTTTGGCATTGGGCCAGGGCGCACGAAAGCCTTCTTCGTCACACCCGGAAAGCAGCAGATTATTAAGGGCGAAGGGGTGGACATGATGGACGGCATCGACGTCGGCGACTTTGGCAAACTGAGAGATAAGGCGCTGAACACGAGCCTCCACGTAACCTGGGGCCTGACGGCCCACAACAAAAACAGTCATACTTTGGCTGCGGACATCGGGGCCATGGAGACCCCCAAGGCTGCATATTTTGCCAAGGGCCCGGGGAAAGAGGCCAAGGAAGGAGCCGAGAAGCCCCCCGAGCAGGTGAAAGCAGCGGAGGAAGAGGGAAAGGAATGGATCAAGAAGGCGATTCCCTCTGGATTTCATGAGAGCTCGCCTTCCATGTCGTGCCGCAGACCTTCAGCACAGACTTGGCCGGCGCTTACGACTGCTGGCATTACAGAGTACACCCGACTTGTGGCGGTCGAAGGTCGTGTCGCAGACACCGAAGCCCGCATAGCCGCCCAGGACAAGTTCATTCTGCAGTTGCAGCGTGAGCTCATGTCCAAGGATGTGCAATTGGCTAAGATGGAGCAGGCAATTCAACAGCTCGCCACCTTACGGTCCGGGCCAGCCTGATATTGAGGGGTTGGTGAGAGAACAGGGAAGGGATGTGCGATCGCCGACCACTTGCAGGTCAGGACTTGCTTCTTGTGTTTGTTTCCCGCAGCAGAATCTCTTCAACAATTTGCTGCAGATCCCGTAATCAGCAGCTTGCATGAGCTGAAAGCTGCTGCATGCCAGGATCAACTCGGTGAACCTCGTGTTACGGAGTACTTTTCAAAAAAGAAGAATGGGGTGGGGGGCCTCAAAGGACGCTCAAATAGGAAGGTCCTCGGTGATGCCCGGGTAATAGACTGTCACACCTATCTTCCACAGTCCACCACACTGTGCTGACAATCATTCTGGTAAAGGGCAAATTGAAGTGGGCATGTGTTGCAGTCACGAATTTATTTGTCAATAGAGCATTATCTTTGCTTTCTGGCTTCCGGCCTTTTTCCTTCCTATAGTCCATCTTTCTATTCTAGCAAGACAAACAAACTCTTGTCTAAGGCTCTTTCTTTCTTTTCACCCTTTTTCAGCGTTTTCCACAGCTGAACCGTACCCACGGTACATACCGTTACAATGACCCAGGGGCGGGCAGCACTAGGTGTGGACCAAAAGAAGCCAGTGGCAGCCTTGGAATCCCCTTTGGGCAAATGCAAGGAGAATTGGAAAGAAGCCCAAAAGAAGAGTCGGTTTTCCGACTATATCGGACAGCACGCAAACACATTACGGCTTGACCTTACTTATGTTCTCGAGGAAGCGGGCAAGGGGAATAATCCTCCTATGGATGAGGCTCTCGTGGCGGTGACAGATTTGTTGAAAGATGTGAGCGGAGATAACAAGATTGACAGCTGCGTCCGATGGGTAATTCTTAAATGCCTCGCTGAAGACGACGACCTTGACGAGATGGGTCTCAAACTGGTCATCATGCTTGTCAACATGGACCCTTTTCTAGCATTCGAAATTCCCACGAAAGCCACAAAATCCTTTCAGGGACCCGAGGCAGCTGACATCTGGGCTTCAACATGCCTTGAACCAAAAGCTCACATGAAGCTGAGGAAGCTTGAATCCACGCCTTTTCACAGGGCAGCGAGTACTGGGAACGCCAAAGCAGTCAAACTCATGATCGAATCCCTCGAACATTACTGGAAGGCGGGAAAAGGAAATGACAGGGTGGAAGGGCCAGCGTATCAACGCCTCATGCTCTGTTATCCCGAAATTAGGACAGTTCTCGACGTCCTACGCATCACTGAAAAGAGTAGCGGCAAGACCGCGCTACAGCTCGCCGCTCAGGCTAAGAACGGAAATCTAGACACACTAGATGTGCTCCTTGCATCAGATCCCGGAGTGGCTGCGAGGCCCGATGCCACCTTTACGGAGGCACTCGATACAGGGGCTGCTGCCATTGTGAAGAGATTTTTGGACGATCCTGGTCTAGTCAAGCAGTTCGTCACTGCCGACAATATTGTCTATGCCATGAACCAGATTTCCCGGCAGGAAGGGGAGGATTCCTATGCGACACTGAAAGAAGAGGAGACTGATGACAAGCTTGACGATAAGGACGTCGAAGAGAAAGTCTCTCAAGATCCAAAAATCACGATCGTCCACCTCCTGATACGGTATGCCAAGGACGACTCGATCTTCAACAGGGACGTCGTCGAAAAGATCATAGCGCTTAATCTGACACGTGTATGGAAGGACGAGAGGCCCAAAGATCTGGACTTGCAGCGCCATTCTCCTCTCCACCTTGCTGTCATGCACCAAAACCTCGACTTTGTGAAGATGTTTGTCAATGAATACAAGGAAGCTGTCACAACGCGCGCGAGGATAGACAAAACACACACAGAGGACGTCTACCCGCTGTGGTTCAACAACCACAAATGGGATGAAGCCAAGGCCAAGTGGGTCAAGCGAAGCGGCTCGCCAGAAATACGGACTGAGCTGGTGGTAGCCACCATTAGAGCGAAGGACAAGATGCAGGACCTATCCGAGATCCTACAAGCCTCTGGTGGTATGTTGTGATTCTGAAAACTGCGTCTTGAGTTGTGTTAACTAACCATCATCTCCCGAGGTCTGTGTAGAAAAAGGTAGGAATTTATTGTATCTAGCTATTTCAGACCTTAAAATGAATACTGATTTTGAGATATAGAACGCGAACTCTGTTTTGACATCTCCCTGTTCAACTCCAAATCGTATCGCCTATGTACCTTCGTCCGTTCACTCATCAAGCACAGTGAGAATCAGACGCTGCTTCAATATGAATCAACTATCAAGTACGCCAGATTCCCTGCTATGGACCTGCATCCAAAAGACAAAGAGACGTTCGGGGAACCCGTTAGGCGCGACCACAGGGAGGTGTTTGACGTTCTCGAATGGCTCCGGCGAGACAAGGGGGTCAGGTCGATCATTGAGCTCAAGGTCCTCGACAGGCTCGTCAACCCCCACAATGAAGAAGAGATTGCTAGAGTGGTTAAGGATTTTAGCGTGGAGGTCTTGGATTGGAGATTTCTGGACCTATCCCTATCAGTCTTCGCGGACGTGCGAAGTCAAATCCGGGGCCTCCATCTCTACACAAGCGGAAAGCGTGCCGTCATCAGCCACTGGATGAGTGAGGAAGGGCTGCGAACCCTTGAAAACCTGGAATTTCTCCGTATCCACGTTGTACAGGTGAGATTAAGCGTTGATCCCCCCTTCTGGTCTTGTAATCGACAGGTGGTCATTAACAAACTTTCTAGGAGACCATGACGCAGGCGGCGTGCGAGAAAACCCGCAAACTTATTCGAAAGGGAGTCAGAGCTCTGGAAAAGAAGGGTTGGCCCTCAAGCTCCTCCGGTCAGTTTTTTGGTGTCGAATCTCAACAGTGGAACCAAAGATATGACGGTCTGGCCGATCTGGGTGACATGTGCGTTAGACCTACCTGTGTGATTCCAATAACGGGATGTCAGCTAACATCGTGTAAGAGCTGAGAAAGCCTTCCCTACGATGTCCAAGTTCATCAACGATTATCGGAAACTGGTGACCAGTGACACATGGAAGGAGAGATTCAGGCCCACAAAGATTGCCATCATCGACAATGGCATCATGAGCATGTTACCGGCGACGGACGATGATGATGAAGATCGAGAGCTAGAAACGGGCGCAAACATTAGTGCAAAGTCTGCAAAGACAGCCAGCCCTCATTTGAAAGGGAAGGCCAATTCTCGGGAGGGAGGTGGTAGTGGTCTGACCCCAAATGATACCGCTGGCCAACGCACGCTGTGGTCCCGAATCAAGGTGGGGCGTTCGTTCGTCGACGACGACTACCAACTCAGTCCCTGGTTATTTGCGTCGGACCCCCATGGCACGCAGCTGGCGAATCTGATTTGCGCTATCGATCCAGCCTGCGAGCTCTACGTGGCGAAAGTCGCAAATGGCCGTGATGGCATCACTCCATATCGAGTATACAAGGCGAGTATTCTTTTTCGTCAATCTGAGCTCGTCGTGTGAAAAGCTAACAGCCGCTCCACGACAGGCCATAGAGTGGGCCATAGGAGAAGGGGTGGACATAATCTCCATGAGCTTCGCCATGCTTGAGAAGACAAAAGAACTTGAGAACATTGTGTTGAAAGCGAAGCAGAATGGCATAGTCATGCTCTGCAGCACGCACGATGAGGGATCCAACATCGACCTGGCCTATCCGGCCGACTTGACCGGAACCTTGACCGTGGCGGCCTGTAATGAGTACGGGACGCTGTTCCGACACGTCAAGGACAACAGCTACCAGTACAAGATTCAGGGCCTCAACGTGCCGGCGGGTGCTATTCCATTTCTCGACTCGGAAGATCGAATCTCCGGCAGCTCCGTTGCCACAGCCATTGCGGCGGGGCTTAGCTCGCTTATTCTATCGTGTCTACGTCTTGCGAACCCGAAGCAGAGTTTTGAGGATGGCGATCGTGCAGAAAAGGTAAAAGAGAAACTGAGGGGTATGGGCGAGGATCCAAAGTATGTGATGCTTGACTGGTTTGGAGGAATTGACAAGGGGACACGCAACTTGACTCCCCCTGAAACAGTGATTGACAAATATTTCAAAGTAAAGCCAGCAGTATAGTCATAGTTTCCCGTCATGACTTTCATTATAAATACTCACCTAGGTACTATATAGTACTATTTATACTTTGGAAAATATTAAAGGTTGAAGTTCTATACTACGATTATTATAAGGTTTAAAAAGATTAATAGTATAAGTAAATTTATAACTAATTTTTAAAGTTAGAAAAGAGTTTAACTTTTAATATAATATATTTTAAAACTTACTTATAAAATTATTTATATATTAAAGTTATTTATTAAATTACTAGTTATATTAACTTACATTTTATAAATTTATATATAAATAAATATAAACTATTTTCACATAATATTAAATATCTAAGATTTAACATTTCAAGAAGATTAACTATTAATACTCATAGTACATATATGATAAATACATATTGATGCCGCTGTGGGGAGCATTCCCGGGTCAAGTGCTCGCCCCCAATGTCCACTCCGCTACCGACCGTCCCGTATCCGGAGTATGAATTCCGCGCGCTGGCATTCCAGACATGCAGAGTCCCTCACTTGCTAGTTTTCCTGTTGTGGGATGCCTGCTGGGGTTAGATAGCTGGCTGGTGTGCAATGCAATGGCGAGGTGGCATTCACGAGGTGCAGCGCTGGGCTTTTAGCTACTGAAGAAATGAACACTCTACTCAATGCTGGAGAAAAGAGGAAAGTCAACAATGGGAGACATTTTCCATTTGACCGTGTGATATGCAACTACCAGTATAACATAGAAAGGAAAAGGCCCAAGTTGTGAAGCTTCTCCGGCTCAGTCCACTCGCACGGAACTCCCAGTCCTTCATCATATATCATGCCGCTTCAGCGCGACTATTTCTTGTCCCCGTTATGTGGCAGCCCAGGCCTCCAAAGCTCCATGCACTGGTCGTTATCTCCGTCCGGCCGGACCATGAGGCCCGTGTCAGGATCTCGCTGATGCCGGTACTGGCCGGCGATGCAAGTTGGGAGAGGCTTGTCGCCCTGCACGATCTGCCGCCAGCTCTGCATCACAAATCCCATGCAGTGTGAGCCGTGCGTCGAGTCGAACCACTCCATCTGCACGACCCCACGCTCGATCTTCCACCACAGGTACAGGCAGTGGCCGGCGTGCCATTCTGGCGAGCAGTAGTACTTGGTGCCGTTGCGGGCGAGCGCCTCCACGGTCTCTAGGTCGTAGAATGCGTTGCGGCCGTAGTAGGCATCCTCGACGTCCTAGATTGAAAATGTCAGTTTGTTGCTGGGATGAACGATCAGATGACCGGTTAAGAACGGCGACGACTGTGCTTTAGTGGGAAGGACTCGGAAACGCGGCTATGCGTGTGTGCATGCCTGTCTGACTCACATAGTAGTAGTCCCATAGCCCGTCTGGTCCGGGCCCGGCATGGATGAACTGGTCAACAACCTCGTCATCAATGCAGTGCGGCGGCAGGTAGTCGACCGCAAGATGATCGTACTTGCAGCCATTGGCCATGGCTTCGTCGTACGTCTCGCCGCACCAGCATGGGTTCGGCCAGCCCCATTTGTCGATGGGCACTCTCGCCAACTGCGCTTGCCGTTGACTTTCTGCCTTTACAGGCGTCGTGGTCTCAAATATGAGGAGTAAGGCAGGGAAGAGGGAACGCCAGGTAAAGGACACCAAATAGATGAGGACGACGAGGCCAAGCAAAGCATACAGAACTTTAGTGCCAGCATGGCGTAGACCTCGGCGTCTGTCTGGGTATGACCAATTGGGAAGTTCAGCGATGCCTTCGCAGTCACTGGTTGAAGCCCGTGGGGTGGTTGGACTGCAAGAAGGGCGAGGCTTGGCCCCCTCTGAGATTTGTTGATGAGAGGCTTGACTCATTGTAGAGGTATGGGAATGGGGAGGGGATCCGGTTGTGTGTGTTGAGCTTGAAGTCTGTCCATGAACAGAGGGGAGAATCGAGTCGCGGATTTGGCCTGAGCTTTATATAGCAAGAGGTAAAACAGAGTCACACATACCATGCAAAAATGATAAGGTAAGCGTATGCTTGGCAAACTGAAGTTTATGTTTGGCGTCTGAACCAACCACTGCTTGCTTTTCGCCCCTCTACCTCTCCGGTGGAAATCGTTGAGCCATATCAAGCGGAGCAGAACATGGCAGCTGTACATAAGGGCATCAGCTTGATATTATGGCAAGTTATTCATTTCATCTTCGAGCTCTGGAACATGAATTTCGCGCGGAGTATGTGTATCTAATGCGAAATGTCAGGGACTTTGTCTACATCGAATCATTACTGTTGGAATACAGGATCCTTTTCCCGGTCCACCAATTGCCCGTCTCCCAACACTATTGCAGCGTCTCCGGTGCTTTAACCCCGTGATATTTCAAGTAGCCAGAAGATTCTCAGTATAGACATTTTCATATTGCCATAGACTCCGGTGTTACGTGTTTACGAAATAGGCATATAGCAGTCCATGGCACGACCAAAAGTACCATACTCGTTGTCGGTTAAACGCACGAGAGTTGGCGCTTCTGCAGTCGCCGCCCGCCCCTCGGGAGTAAGCCAACTGAACAGTCGTTCGGTGCAATGCTGCAAATGTCCCTCGTGCAGTGCCATCAGGGTCAATCCCCGATCCTTCCGGAATTGATGTGCTAATCGTATACGCATCATAGCGATACAGTGCTGCAATCAAAAGAGGTCAGCTTGCCACATTCACGGCGAGCAGCCCAATGAAGTCCGTGTCTGGCAACTTACTCGGAAATGATACTCTTCGCTCGTCCACAAGTCAACGCCCAACAACTCTGAGTCTCCCGACCAGACTTGGTCCTGGGGAACACTCTTGGTACATTCGCGGTCTAGACACCAGCCGAGGTCAGGCAGCTCATCCCACTCCTGACGCTGCGCTGGGTCACTGCACACCTCAGCGACCCAGCCGCCCATGGATTTGTCAAAGACACAACCGCGACGTGCAGCGCCCTCAGGATCGTGACGCCCATTGCAATAGCTTGAATTGTACACCAGTCCGTATCCTGGGACACGGATGGTAGCGCCGGGGATTGCAGCTGGCCTATTGCTTGACCCGCTCTTGCCCTGTGATGACATGGTAGAGACTTCCCCGAGGTGTTGCAGATTGCCAATTTGGTGTTGTACATCGCCCAGCTTGGAATGTAGGATGAGAACCTGGCTCCTTCGAGCGTATCACTTTGTTAGCAATCTTGGAAAGGGAGCGTCGAATCAGATCCGGCTAGTTGAATCGAGAGTGCTTCGGGGTCACATACATAAGTTCATTTGTGGTCCAATAATGTTCCTGTGCGCCCAGTGGAAGATGGGGCTGATCGATCTTGCGAGCGAGCTCTCTGGTTGCGCCCAATCCCAGATCTAACGTCAGGAGCCACACGATGACAAGGCCGGCCACAAAGATATAACGCCGTGCGCCAGAGGCCGTTGTCGGTCTTTGAAAAGTTTGGTCCATGGCGTCGCGGGGACTCTGAGCACCACCAGAGTCGCTTGGTTCCCGACAAGGCAGTGCGTTATACTTAGACGGCATGACAAGTTTGGATGATTTGAACAGATTGAATTGAATAATTGAATGGACTGAAGAGTGAAATTCGGGGGCATATCAAAATATCCCAAATTCTGGAGAGTCACGAAACCAAGGAATAGGACCATAGTCAAATGAAGCAAGGATGAGGGCTTAAGGTTCGAATATGCCGGCAGCACTCTACGGAATACAATTGAGCCATTTTGCGGAGACTTTGTTTGACTAATGCCGGCTGAACAACTATAAGCTCAGCCAGGGTTGATTTGAACTTGTAGTTCACAGCCAAATATCTTGTCACAAACTCTACCAACGGCATGTAACCACAACACAGGGGTCGTAAAGTGTCGGGATCCTATATCATTGCGTCCCGGGCGCCTTGCCAATCCCAATGCTTGCCCTACCGGGAATTTCAGACCGTGAATCAGAACATACCATATTGACCACGACATACAGTGGCCACCTCATCCACCATACCTACTTACACAGCCCTCGGACCCTCCGAAGCAACCAGAGTTCACAATGTCCAGCAGCCATGAATCCAAAATGGATACTATGGGACAGCCCCTGCTCGCTGGCGATCCGTTTCACAGCCATGACGATCTCGACGGGGCGGACACCCGTGACGAAAGCGGAGACCAGCGGCGTCCGCAGCACTGGCCTTGGCGAGGCCCTCTTCTGGCCATGCTAGTTGGCATCCTTGTTACCTCCGCGTTCTGGGGAGCATTACTCGGTACCAAGAGTCTCGCCCTTGATCAGGTTGTGAGTGCACTTTCGAGTGGAGACGTGTCCATGTCGCAGCCGCATTACCTCTCGCTCTGCCATCCTGGGACCGAGTTGGTGTGTGGCGACACCCCCGAGGAAGCGCGTGATGCGAAATGCCACTTTCAGCTCTGGTCTTACAGCTGGGTGCCGTTCCCCTGCTACGATGAAGGTAAGGGTGGCGGTGGATCTTGACTAAGGCCACACACTATCTCATTTGTGAGAAAGCTATCTTCCTTCCGAGGTTGCATTCACCACCCACCGGCGACATACCAAAACCTTACTACAGCTGACTCATTGCTCTACATAGACTTGCACTACGACTTCTTGAAGCGACAGAGTTTAGAAGGCTGGGGCTACTATCGCGACAAGGACGGGCAGGAGGAGATTCCCGTGGAAGAAGTATTGCAAGGAAACCTGAGCGGCATCTATACCACATGGGGTCAACACTTCTGGCATTGCGCGTTCTACCAACGCAATTTCTTCCTCGCCAAGGTCGGGATCACGAATCGTGACCGCGACCTGCATCACGGCATGTCTTGCCAAAAGTGGATGTCAAATCCCTTCTTCTATGGCTGGAATGACACGATTGTCAGGTTGAAGGTCGGGTTCCACAAGTGTGATGGCACACATGGTCTCAATGTCCTGGACATGACAGATGAATTTGTGTTTCCTCTGGGCACGGATGATCGTCGGGGTTGGGACAGTACTCTTCGACCCGACGGAATTATTGATGAAGAGAGCCACGTGATCAATAACCACATTACGACGGATAAATGACTATAGATTGTTCAAAGATCGACCTCTAGGTACATGTTTTGCCATCAGCAGCGGCGCTGCGTTTTAAGTAGTCTACTTATTAAATTTTAAAAGAGTGCCAGGCATGTCTAGGAGCTGAACAACGCTTCTCAAAATTGTTGAACCAAAACCTCTAGGATACTGAAATATCTATATAGTACATCCAGGAGTTTGTGCGTATCATCTAATCGATTCCAATGATGAACTTGATGCCATCCACAATGTTCCGGATCTTTGTCTCGATGTCTGCATCGACATCAGTGGCAACTTGCATCTCCTCATCGAGGCTGGCCCAGCCTCTAGGCTTGCCAGCCACGGTCCTATCTGCACCAAACGAGAGTGGAAATGATGACATGGAGCTTGGGTCCAACGGCCGGAGTATCGGCAGATCATCGGTCTCATCATCGCCTTCCCCCTGTGTATCGGGCTGTTCTTTGTACAAGGGAACAAAAATAACGCCGATGCCATACTCTCCGAGAGCTTGTCGGATGATCATCTTGTGCCATTTCTCTATGTAGGGGTGCGTCAGGGCCATGAGCACCGGGTTCTCTCGGCGCAGCCGCTCCGCCTCGGATATCTGGAAGACCAGGGTCTTGTCTGACACGGACGGGGCTGCGGATGTTCCCGCATCGCCCCACGGGGCCGAGTCGCTGGCGCTAATGTCAATGGAACCCCGCCGGCTGGTAGTTGTTCTCGTCAAGGTCGGCGACGAGAATGCCCCGCCGGCACCAGCCCCGAAGCCAGAGAAACCTTCTTGCGCAGGTCTGGATTCCTCCGGGAACAGGAGACCGGTGCGAGTCAATTTCGAAAGCCAAAGCCGCTTGTAAAGCCCCTCGTTGGGACCGGCTGGCCGAGAGCTGGACCCCGTTTCTGTATTCTCGGTGTGGCTGCGCCGAGAGGCGCCGACGCTGGCGGCTTTGGCTGACGAGTCATGGATACTGTCGCCCACGTAGGTGGGGCAAGACAGGGCGTTACCGACTTCTCGGAGAACCTGTGCTCTACCGGTGACCGTGGTGGATCCCATGATCAAGATCAAGGTTTTCTTGGGTTTTGCCGTCGTGCTCGGGCCTGGCCTGTCGGGGAGGTGATGGACCACGATCTGGGGTGTCGGCGGGCGTGGAGGAATGGACGACATGGTCTTGTGGGTCAACTGGTAACTCCGTAAGGCAAAGGAACTAGGTCTGAGAAGGAGTTTGATCACTAATAGCCGCGGAGACACAAGTGGTAGAGACCATTTATGTCGTGGTCCACCTATGGTTACTTTGAATGCCGTCCCAGCATTCCTAAAAATCCTAATGCAACGCCACCCCTCCCCTCGTGCTCACCGCCGACGTGAACCCGGGAGGCTGGGAAGCCGAAACCGAACCAATTACAAAGGCTTGTCAAGAATTAGGCATTCAACCTAGAAGCAAGGGATCTCGCACACATCTCCGCAGGGAAGTAAACGTTGAGGTTAATTCTCTTACCATTGGTTGGCTGGACATTCCAGGTCACGCTTTGGCGAACTTTCTAGCAAATGCAACTTTCGGTGGGGATGTCACCGAACAACGTTTATTACCCCTGTGGAGGTGTGATTGAAGCAATACGACTCGGGGGGAATCAGAAACGGTAACTTACAGCTTCGCAGATCCCAAAAGTGAACTGTGCTGCATAGTTTCCTATTGGCAGTCTGGAACATTCATAGGCACGCTTTGCCTAATTTGCCGCATATCTGGCGTGGGTAGCTTCCCGTGGAAAAGTCAACGACTAGCCTTTGGGATGCTTGTATAGCTGTATCTACCATGCTCCAGAAAAACAGGGAATACGTGAGTAATGTGTTTGTCTTGAACCTTAAAGATTTATCTCATAGTAGTCACCATGAAAGGCTGTTCGTACGGTGAGGTACCTAGGTAGACGTGGCAGTAGGGTGCTAGGTCGGAAGCGATGTAGCCACACCCCTCAAAATCTACCTCAAAATTAATGGATTTTTTTACTGGACTTATTAATCCAAAATTGATAACTGATTTATTTGATCAATTTTTGTTTTTAAAAAAACAAAATAATCACTTCTAGTTGTATTCTTGAGGAACGAGTAGAACCTTCGTCATCAAGACAAGATCACTCTGCGGTCTGTCACTGTCTTGCAGCCCAGTAACATCTCTCATATGAAGACCCAGGAATTCTAGCATCGACTGCTCCCAGTACAACTCCTTCTCCAACTTCGCAATTTCCCCATCTACTACTTCCTTAAGCGCTATCGACATCATGGAATCATCCCAGAAGCTCCTTTCAAAAGAAGGCGATTATGACAGTGTTCTTCAGTCAGACTCGTCAGAAGAGCTGCGCATTCCTGTCAGGCATGACGAAGTGTACCAGGCCTTACGGCGGCGTACAATTCGGCTTGCTATGATAGTCGGTGCTTTGACGGTTATGTTCATCCCGTCCTTGATCATCAACCTCCGACTCATGCGGAGGCTCACACCTGCCCCGAGGCTGTCATGTGGCAACACAACAGACGAGGCCAGGTCGCTCGGATGTGAGTATGACGACCTGGCAAAAGCCTGGTTGCACAAAGATTGTTCCCTCCATGGTGGCAGGGAGTTTGAGGAGGCCGGCACGCTCTGGCAGATCCAGAACGGCACCTTTGACAGCTTCTACGGGGAGGGTTGGCCGTACTTCCGCGACGCCCACGGCACACAGAGGCTTAGCCACGAGGAGATGGCTATGCTGGCCGACGACGCCCCTGATGGGGCCCGCTGGTATTCCACAGCACGAGAGCACTCAACCCACTGCGCCTGGAACCTGCTTCGCATGGCTCATGCCTACTCAAACGGCCTCAGGCTTGATCACCTCACCCGGAGCTACCCACACGCAAAGCACTGCGTTCAAACGTTGTTGGAGAAGGCACTCAAAGCACCCGAGATCGACAATATTGTTACTATCGGTATGTGAATATCAATGTTCCCGTACCCCCATTCCATTCCATCCTAGCACTAGAACAATCCATCTATGTAAAATGGTACTGACGAGGATAAGGCAACATCGTCCTTGGATCTTGTTAGGTGGAGATGTCAAGGCTGGTTGTCGGGACAGTAACATCGCACCTGCGGTAAATCTGCTCATATAGGGAGATCCTGTACACCACACCAGTTCCATGCAACAATTTCAGACGTCTCTTCCTTTCGTTGTTTTAGTTTAGGCTAGCTTTCAGAAAATCAACCTCAGTTTGTGCGAACCTCGTGTCTTCATACTGCCTATGCGCCAAGCCGAACTGGTGTCTCATGAGCTATCTGATCACCTTCAAGTTTTTCAGGTATCTCCGAGGACTTCTGACTCCACCAGCTTTCTGGGCGTAATGGATCCAAGCCTGAGTCAAGCGATAGCAATTAGGAAAAGAAGTGACATCACACCATAAGATGCTGCGCTTATTTACACGCGTTGAGTTGCTCTAAGGTGAACGACAACATCTACACAGACTTGAAGTCCCCCGCGTGAAAATGTGTCCTACTGACTGCAGGCCTTGAATCACGACGGTCGCATGTGCATCCCCTGGATATAAATCATGTGCCGCACTTAATGACGAACGGGTTGATTGCCTTGATTCGCAAGTCTACCTTACGAGTAGCAACTAAGGTACATGAAGGCCATCCAAATAACTCCAGATTGCAAGAAAAGCGGAATCTATATCTTCAAGCCACCACTAGCTGGTACGCCATTTCACCGCAAGATATGATGCTATTCTCACCCGCCATGGCCATACTACTGGTCTGCATCGGCTATTTCCTCGTAGATAGGAGGGAGCTGGCGTTTCTCGTTCTCGCCCCCATCGGCAATCTCCTCGTAGATAGGAGGAAGCTGGCGCTTGGTGTTTTCGCCTGCATCGGCAATCTCCTCGTAGATAGGAGGCAGCTGGCGCTTGGTGTTTTCGCCTGCATCAGCGATCTCCTCATAGATGGGGGGGAGCTGGCGCTTGGTGTTTTCGCCTGCATCAGCGATCTCCTCATAGATGGGGGGGAGCTGGCGCTTGGTGTTTTCGCCTGCATCAGCGATCTCCTCATAGATGGGAGGAAGCTGGCGCTTGGTGTTTTCATCAGCGATCTCCTCATAGATGGGAGGAAGCTGGCGCTTGGTATTTTCGCCTGCAGCATCGGCGATCTCCTCATATATGGGAGGAAGCTGTGGGGTCCGGATGGAAACGTCTTTGTTGCTGACAAGAGCGGGAGCTGTGGCCGCAAGGGCGATGAGGTAGGCAATAGAAAGAATGGAGGCCTTCATGATGGAATCTTTGAGGTCTGGATCTTGAAAGGTGATAATGTTTAATAATGTGAAGATGTGTTGCACAAGACTAATTACTATTCAGCTCAGAGGTCATCATCTTTTATATTACTTTTCATGTTGCTGAACTGGTAGGAGGAACTTGGATGGCCAGAACCACTTCCATTACTCGTCTTCAACATGACCTGGTTTCGCTTCTATTCCGTATACGTCCGAGGACATACATGGCGCCTTCATACGGCGGTGAACGCTCAAGACCCAGCATTTTGAAAGAGGACATACAGTGTTAAACACAGTAGTGAGAATACAATGGGTGGCTTTCACTGAACTCGCTTGTATTCCGCATACATCCGAGGACATAGATGGTATGTGTGGTTTGAATATTTAGATTAAAAGACGATTATATTATAGCCTTAGCGGAGGTTTACTATATACTTAAGTATTTATATTTTACATTTAGTACTATAATTAATAAAATAATTAAATTATATATAATTAAAATTATAGTAAATAAATATCTTTATTAATTTATAATTACTTATATATATATATATATGTTATAATTAAAATATATATTTCTTTTATTAAACTTTTTATTAATAAACTTTATTATTATTCCTATTAATATTATAAAATAAGTACCTATTTATCTTTATTAAATTTATAATATTTATTAATAAATAGTATAATATTATATTTTATATTTTTACGAGTTTTTAAATTTATTTTTAATTTATTTATTATTAAGTTTTAAATTAAGGTTAATATTATATTATAAAAAAATAAAATACATTATATATAATATATAATTTATTATTAAATATATATAAGAGTCTATATTAAATCACGCCCTTACTCTATATTTCTTACCGTATTAGAATTTTCGTATTGCTACGAACCTCTTCTAGAAAAGATCCACACACCTTTCAACACCGACATAGGGCCATACTAGCCTTTTCAGACTACCCAACCTTTCCCAGTGTGGTGTGCACACTGGCTTTTGGAAACCAGCCCTTCAGTTGATCCTCGCGAGTGACTTCTCGTTGCTACTCGTGGCAGGCTTAGCATCGAAGTTAGTTCACAGGAGCTGACACTACACGGAGTACAGGTTAGCCCCCCGGCAGTTGTCATGCAGCACTCTAAACTTTTCACAATTCCATAGCTCCGGCATTCTGGAAAACTCTCCGGCTGGACATTTCGAAGTACCGCGGCTAGAGCCGAGCAATGCCTCACCGTTATAACCTTATTAGCTCGATTCCGGACCCTTGAAACATGTGTACTACACCGAGTCACTCTATTCCAGGCGCTTCTTTATCCCGTCATTGTGGACATCACTTGACTACAAGAGAGTTTGCGAGCTTCATGAGTCAACCCTAGCATTTTGATGGGTTGTGATAACTATGAGGCCAGTCGATCAGAGCCTTGCGTGTCATGCTGCTCGGTCCGATATCAACCATTGCATCCATTTAGCCGACGGATCTACTAGGAATCTCAATAGATTCCGCCGCTCCATTACTCGCGCAATGTCCATGCCAATACAGATGTTCGTCCGAACGGGAACAAAGCGTCTACATATTTGTACCATGTATTGTGCGTTAGAAGAGTAGCGCTTGTGACATTGCAGTCTAGGGAGTAAAGTCGATTATGCATGCCAGAATAGGAAAGAATTCTAACTACGATTCCAACCACCGCCTTCAACTTGGGACTATCTTAAGCATGACAATTTTCTCCCCAGGTGTGTATCAGCATCTATGGTACAGGTGCTTCCAACAGCCCAACAGCCTGGCTCCTACAGAAAGGCCTCGCCGACTCTGCGTGGGTGACACTGTTTCTGTTGAACCCCGGGTCCGTCCAGTTCATGATCATGTTGGTGCAGTGCACGGTGTGCTCGTAGTCCAGAATGTCCTCGTCCACCGGCCTCCGCGTGATCACGGCGTGGTGCAGCTTGCGCCACAGGTGCAGGCAGTGCTTGATGTGGAACAGGTTGTTGGGGTAGACCTTCTCGAACTCGCCGCCAAATACCTTCTCTGGGGGCACCAGCTGGGTGTGCTTGGCGTCGCTCCACCACGTGAAGTTCCAGTTGACCTTGGGCTCCGCCAGCATGTCATCTAGTACCTCCCTGTCGAAGCACTCCGGGGCGTACCACCGCGATGCCATTCTAGATGTTTTGGCGATCGCGGTCAGCTCAGTTCCTTCTGAAGTCCACCAATCTTGTCGCGTGCACTTTTGGGTGGGGCCACTACTCACACGTCGAAATGACAGCCCATGGCTTTTGCCTCTACCCAGCTATTGCCACACTGCGTACCATTGACTTCAACGCCGTCAATTATGGTGGTCTTGTGGGGACTCATCTTTTGTCCATGGAGTTGCGTAAACGATGGTACAGCAAGCTCGGGATTCGGCGGCAATACATCAGCCACACCACCTCTGGTGCTCAAGCTGAGAAAAGAAGCGGACTCCAGGAGGGACCCGCAAAGTAAACCAATGGAAAAGACAAAGAGATGAGAAATGAGCATATAATACCAGCTTCGCCTTCCGTACGTGCGTCTCCACGCGGGCTCAGCGGCTTGATCTTTTGGCGTGCGTCCCAGGAGCATCTCATAAAATTGTTGCGCCATTTCTCAGAGTTGCTAGGACAAATAATCAAGTATGGCGTCTCCGAATGTTTGGCAAGAGATTCTGGCCTGGTGAAATTGTTACAGCAGGCTGAGGAATGAATACAGCGCGTGGTGAAAATGTTCTCAGCCAACACTAGGTCCCCAGGTAGACTACTGTGACAGACAACATACAGCAGTTCGTCTAGTCTATCTTTTGCCATTGGTTAGCTGGACCCACCAGGTCAGGCTTTGGCAAACTTTCTAGTAAAAGCAACTTTCGGTAGGGATATCACTAAACAACGCTTGTTACCCCTGTAGAGGTGTAGGTATATTGCCAGGCACATAAGTTACATAGGTACTAAGCTGGCAGCGCGTCAATTTACTAAGTCTATTCTATGGGGACCCCACCCGCCTCGGGTTTGCGACCCACCTCCAGACGGCCAGCATGGGGGGGGGGGGGGCTGGCGGGCTGTTCGCACGACCAAGATCAGTTAGTTTGTGGGCCGCCCAAGATGGAGCCTATTTGCGCCGATCCGTCAACTAAGCAGTAACTAGCTGAAAGAGTTCGGCGTGAAACTCAGAATGGCTCTTACAAACTGAATCGTACAGCTCACAATAAGCATCCGAGGGGTTTCCCTGCCCCCGAGAACTTAATTGGCCAGGTTAGCTGTGACGTAGTTGCTACCCAGCTTCTCTACTAAGAATACTTTCGGGGAGCATTTCACAAGGATCCTTTTCAGGTCTGTAGACGACAACCAAATTTTGGAGGGAAGGTACTGCCACCTAACTCCATGACTTGCGATGAAAACTTCTTGATGCTTGTGACCTCTATAACAAGTCGAAACGACTCGGTCACACTAAGGTACCTAGGTATATGCCCGTCCTCGGGTCATACCGAGGTCAGAGGCAGCGGCAGCAACCTTAAAGCAGCGGCAGCAACCTTAAAGCAACGGCAGCAACCTTGAAGCCACGGCAGTAACCTTGACACTGCAACGGAGCAGACGGCGACGTCAGGTAGTCTCATTCGACTCATATGTGGTTTCGTTCTATTCCGTATACGTCCAAGGACATACATGGCGCCTTCATACGGTGGATTCGACTCATACTAGTATACGCCTGGGCAATGATGATACCGACTTTTCACACGAGCCGCAGGATTGGGCGCGCGCCTCGGAGGTCACCTCAGAGTCCGATCCGTGGCGAAGAACGTTTCCGGATCTCCACTGAGTCTGGCCAAGCCCCATGTAGCGGTCAACCATCGGCAGGCAGGTCTGGACAGCTGAGGGGGGCGAGGTCAGCCTCGTCCTATGAGGTCCGCTGTTCGGTAGTTACCAGTCAACTCAGCCTGGCCCCATATCGGTGCCGGAATCTTCCTGCCCTGAGATGATTTCCAGACGGCAAAGGATGTTGAGCTCACCCGGATGGCTCTTGAGCACAACATGGCACCTGAGCCAAACAACACAGAGAGAAACTGCGCTGCGATGCAATACGCATACCGAAGGTAAGACTGAAGCATACAAAGTCCAATTGACCCTATACCGACCGCTTCTACCAGCCGTGGTATGCTGACAAGTCTTACAAGAGTCAACTCGTCTGAGGACGCCGCGGAGGGTAGCCTCCCCCGGAAGGGGGGCATGCTGCGGAGCACCGAGGGGAAGAAAGTAGTCAAGGACGTGATACTGGCCGCGTTAGCCTTCCTCGGTGTACTGAGTATGGCTTACAACATCACTTTCTATCGCGGCCGACAGCAGCACGACAGTGTCATGTTCGACCCGTTCGCAGAGGGCTACGCCGTACCGCGGCAATCGGTGAGTGGACGCCAGAGTGGTTTTCCGACTTGACTGCCTCATCCTATGCATCAAGAATCTGTGTTCATACTTGCCTTGTGTTTTTCTCTCCCAGTCGTGGCTTATGGGGGGTCATCGCCGGTTAGGTCCCCTGAGGGGAGGAGGTGCAGGGGCGGCAATCGTTGTGCCTTACACGTGCCTCTTCTAACACAAATCCCTCTACGTTGAAACCACAACCATCCACTGACTCCATTCACATAGTGCCACTGCGGGAGCACCACAGCCGAGGCCAGGGTGTTGGGGTGCAAGTACAGCCCGCTGGCGTCGGCGTGGCTGCCGGAGCACTGCCGCGACGACGAGCTCGAACTGGAGTTCGAGTTGCTGGGCGACGGGCCTGACGGGCACTGGATGTACTTTGCAGACAAGGCGCGGCAGGTCCGGCTCAGCCTGGACGAGATCGCCGAGTTTGGGAACGATCCCAATGCCACGTTCCATATGAGCTCCGAGTGGCATATCACGGTAAGCAGAGAGAGGTGGTGGCATACGTCCTTGGCCTTTTTTTCTATTTTCGTCCAGTGAACATTTATTTTCTAAGATGAAAAAAAAAAAAAGCAAAAGAATACAACCTGAACTTACGTTGTAACAGCACTGCTTCTTCTTCTGGCGGTGGGAGCATCGAAACCGGTTCAACGGCAAGTTCCTGCCGCTCCGATCCGACAGCGAGCACCACATCAAGCACTGCGAGCAGGTCGTCAGAGGGGGCGGAAACTTCCAGGTCGTCTCGGGGGTGACACTAGATGCTGACAAGGTCGAGTTCGAACTTGATGAGTGAGGCGCGTTGCGATTACATAGCTGCAAACAGGAAGACGGTGAGGTCGATATGGCGTGCACCGATGTGCCCAGGTGGAGCGGCAGAGATGAAAAGCCGCGAGGTCCTGGCCTCCTGGATACTTCCCAGCCTGCTGGAATGGAGATAGCCAGGGCACCTACACACACCAAATAAATATCACACAGCTGCGCGGCGCCATCTCCAAGTCCGCTTCTGCGAGACCCTTATGTCTCCCTTGATTGCCTTATCCACGGGATCATAACGGTTGTTCTTGTTCAATTGCTGACGTGCTTCCTGACTGACACTCCCGGGCCGCCCGGCGTGGATGGAAATGTTGGCTGGAAGTCATTTTATAATCGTTGGCGCTGACGCCGAACTTGAACGTACAATAGAGAAATGTTTGCATGGCAGCATTTCTCCTCGTAGCACGAGATGAACGCTTCGATCCCTGATCACCATGGCCAGCAAAGCCATGTGCCACCCTCCATGCCGTGCACAACAAAGCTCTCTGTCCCACATGTTCCGAACAGCCCCCCACGAACCCCTTGCACGACTTCGCCTCCGCTTCCCCTCTCTCCTCGCTAGAACCTCCCCGATTAGAAGAACCCCTTGGTGACCTACCTGCTGGCGCTGGATATCTATAGGTGAGTACTACCGGTGTGCTGTCTTTGTGTTTTGGTATAGGCCCTAGGATGTTATTGTGCTTGTTGTTGGAGTTGAAGAAAGTAGCTCTCAGGGCCTAGTTTGACCTTGCTCCTCTCTTTATTGACCTTGGTGTATTTACTGGAGAAGCTGTTGCTGTCCCTGGGCTTTAAATCATATCTAATCCCGCTTCTATTCCACATTCATTCGAGGAGATGCATGAAAGCAAACCAGTCTACAACATGGGTTTTATCAATGCCCATGTCAGTTTCCACCAACAGCTGTAATATCGTACGTCTCCCCAATCTCGTCGCCAGTACCCTTGGGTGCCCAGCTCAGAGGCCAACTCGTCGATGTGACGAGGCAGCAGATAGAGGCCCTTCTAAAGCTAGGCCCTCAGCACCTCGAACACCCTAGTAGCAGCGACATAATCCCCCTCGTGAGTATCAAAGCTATACAGGGCCAGAAACTTCTCCCTCCCGAGCGCGTACAGCCCAGGCCAGATCGCCTCGCCCGCAATGAGCACGCTCTCGCTCCACGTCTCCCCGTCGTCAACACTGCTGACAACCTTGAAGTCCCCAGGCACGGTCCCGCTGCCGTTGGTCCCCTCGTTCGTCATGAACCCGGCGACCAGCGTGCCCCCGACATTAATCACCCCGGCCGGCGCGGACGCCTGCTTCTCCTCGTCAAGCGGGTCGTAGACCCGCGCCCGCGTGTCGGCGGGCCACGTCCGCCCGTCGTCGGGCGACAGGACGCGGCGCATGTCGAAGCGGCCCGACTCGGTCGTCTCGAAGAGCAATATCAGCCGCTGGTCATCCCCACCACCCTCGCCACCCTCGCCGAGCCTCGCGACGCCCGTCATCCCGTCCCGGCTCCGCACCCTCCCCGCGCCCGAGGCGACCCGCCGCTCCCCCCACGTCCGGCCCCCGTCCGCCGACTCCCGCAGCAGGCTGTCCTGGTCCCCGGCGTCGTTCTCGGCCGAGTAATAAGCCTGCAGCGTGCGCCCGTCCCCCGCGACCCGCAGGAACGGCTCCCACAGCCCGTTGAGGGCCGCGGACCCGTTGTTGGCGGCCCGCGTGTCGACGTCGCCGAGGAAGCTCCAGCTGGCCCCGCCGTCGTCGGACGCCGACACCGTCAGGCGGTAGGTGGTGTAGCCGCCCGGCACGCCGAGGGTGTTGTTCGGCGAGCGGTCGTGGTTCCTGTAGGCGTAGAGGATCCTGCTCCTACCGCCCCCGACCCCATTACCAGTCGCGCTGGAGTTGGTGCCGGTGTTGTTGTTGGGGGACGAGCCGTTGGGCGGCCCGCCCGTCCCGGGGAACCCGGGCGGCAGCACGAGCGGGAACGCGTTGTCCAGCTCCCTCGTGCGGTTGTCCGCGGCGCGCTCCACGTCCCCGAGCCGCGCCCACGAGCCCCCGCCGTCGTCTGACCGGTACGTCCGCAGGGCCTTCGCAAAGCCCTCGCGGACCGCGTACCCTAGGTACAGCCCGTCGTCGACGGACCCGGCCGCGCGGAGGTAGACGCCCGTTGTCTCGAGGGTCACGGGCGGGCCGGCTGGTGTGATTTCCACTGTTGCGTTGCTCGCTGTGATGGGGAGGCACCCGAGGGCGCCGAAGCCGCCGTCGGGCGGTGTTGGGGGTGATTGTCGGGGGAGGAGGCCTAGGCTTAGACCTTTTGGGGCCGATGGTTGGGCCCAGCAGGGGGCTAGGAGGAGGGAGAGGCATGTTGCTGATATGGAGCGCGGCATGTTGAACGAGTGTGTTGGCCCTGAGGACCGCCCGAGACGACGCGGCGATATTCGTGCTGGCAAGACCTTATGTCTTCCTCCGCTTGTGGAGAGTTGGGACCAGACTTTATTCCTACCCAGCAGACTCCCTCACTTCCCCTTCACTCGACAGAAAGGAGCAATACGACCTCATCCAAAGAGATCGACATGTGATGAACTTATCACCAAGCTGAGAACTATAAACGTTTTGAGTTCAGCCAGTGAGATCCTACAAACCGTAAAAACAACAGACGAACACGTCCAGCAGCGCGCATGGCATAACGCAGCCAATCTCAACAACCTCTTCGCCCTGCAATATAGAATTCCCAACTGCGACGTGACGGAGCTCATGGCTTAGAGCTTGTACGCTTTGTACAAAAGTCAGGCCGCAAATTGTTGGGCGTTTAATGCGCGCAGGGTGGCATTCCGTGGCTGACTGGCAGGTAGTTGGAGAAGAACGTCCGCAGGAGCCGTGGGAGATTCGCCGTACCCAACTGCCGTCTCTCAGAGTTTGCATAGCGGCTGTATTGAACTAATTTTGGCTCACTTGGGTGTATCAATCGCTAAGACAAAAAAAGAAGCATTATTATATCACACCGTCACATTACTTTGTTTTGCCCCTCAGCTCCCCGCGGGCTTGCCTGGAGATTGCTGTTGCTGCTGCTGCTGCTGCTGAAGCCCCAGGCCAACCGCGCTCCCAGCCACACTGCCCCTGGTCTGCGCATACAGCGCATACATATCCTCCCCCGTCCTCGTGTTCTCACCCCCCGTCGTCGTATACCCAGGCGTGATGGGCGTCTGCGGCATGGCGCTGGTCCTGTTTGAGCCGCTGTGGAAGCTGGGCGGCGGCGACAGGCCCGGCGTGGGCATGGCGCTCGACCGCCCGCCCGCCATGGTCGTGCGCGTCACGTCCGTCCAGGAGCTCATGGCCGACATCCGCTCCGTGGAGCCCGACACGGATGAGCCCGCCAACATCGACTTGTAGTACGCCTGGGCGTCGTCTCTGGTGAAGACCGGCAGGGGTGCCGTTACGGACTCGGCAGTCGACTCAGCGGTCGACTCGGTGGGCGACTGTGCGGCTGGCGCTGTGTTGTTGGTATACGCCTTCTGTAGTCCCAAGTCTGGGAGCGGGGGAACGTCCTGCATCCTCCTAGCTCCACTGCTCTCCGCAGCCGCGCTGTCCCCCGAATTGGAATGGTAGCTGACGGTCCTTTGCGTCGCCTGGCTTGCAGGCCGGCTCCTCCTGCCTCCAGTCAGGTTGCTGCCGATGGAGCTGCGCAGGCTCCCACTCCCACTCGCCGGGTTGAGCTTGAGCGGATGGTGCCTGCTGGAGCGCTTGAACCAGCTGACCACGCTCTTTCGGATGTGTGCCTGCTCGACCGGCGCCGGGTCGAGCAATGGCAGTAGATGGTTCGGATCCCGCCGCTTCTCATCTAGGAAGCCCTGTGGAACCGCGTCATTGCGCCCGTCTTCCATCTGGTACGCGGCTTGGATAGCCTCGTTCAGGATGTCCGAATCAGAGCGAGCGTCTCGGTGGCCGCTGACGTGCCTTGCGTTGAACGGATTCGAGACTTGGCGTTTCGGAATCGCCTCGGGTTTCGGTTTGTAGAATCGCTCGAGTGGTGCTGCGAGCGATGACGGTAACGCCGGCATCGATGGAAGGTTGAAGTCGAAACGACTTCCTCGACCAATGCGAGAGGGGTAGCCGCGAGGGTCAAGCTCATCTTGACCATGACGGCGCCGGCGCCGGCGGATGAGAAATGTCCCCCAGAGCACACCTACGATGAGGCCTAGACCAGCTGAACTAAGTGTTAGTCAAAGTGCGGCCTTCATGACGCAACGAAACATACCAAGGACACCCAAGGCGATGCCGGCTTTGCAAGAGGCGCTAAGACCAGATGGCGGCCCTCCGTCACGGTCATTCTGCTGCCTCCCAGTCTCTTGGCTCCCGGGCGACCCTATGAAGATAGCACCGCTGGTGGTGGTTGTCGGTAGCGCAAGGCTGCTTGTCAACAATGGCAGATTCGTCTGTGGCGGTGGGGTTATCTGCGGGATGCTTGTCGAGGTGGACAGGGTTGATGTCAAGATCGGAGGGATAGACAGTGTCGTCGACGCCGACGTCGAAGTACTCGATGTACTTGAATCTGTGTCAGTGTCTGACTCGGACGACGTCGTCGATGTCGTGCTCGAACTCGTGGTCAAAGCTGCCGGCGGCGATGGCGATGGCGACGGTGTCGGCGACGACGAAGACGACGAGTCATCGTCGTCTTCAGACTCATCCCGCGCTGTGTCGGCCGCGTCTTCGGCCTCATCCGCAGCTGTGTCGAGTTTGTCGTCGGCATCGTCCCTCTTCACAAATGCGATGGTCCTGCGAAAAGGAGGCGCCTGCCGGCCGTCCAGAATGTCGTCGTCGTCCTTTTGTCTGGCATGTACCCGAGCGGCTGCCCATTGTCCGCCGCTTCGCCGTGCCCTACAACGTACATGAGATCAGCACCACGGACCCTCGTCACGTAGCAAGCGAGCGGCGATCACTGCCCGAGCTGTGTACTTACAGGAACGAATCGAGTCGGAGAGCGACCATTTCTTCACCAACAGCCCTGGGGCGGCAGCTCAGGCATCAAGCAACCCTTTCTTTGAGTCAGGTACGGCAGGCGTACGCACGGGGCCGGGCACCAAGATAAATTCGATGTTCGGAATAAAGTTGGAAGAAAACGAGATGTCAGGCGTCTTGAGAGAAGAATGCCCAGCAACGCCCACGCACGCGGTTGACAAGCCACTGATCCCAACTTCAGATTCGAAAGCCAAGAATAGGCAGATGAAAAGGCATCCGGTGTCATTCGAAGTATTTCGAAACCGGCAGGCGAGGAGATAACGGGCACAGCCCTCGGATGGTACTGCAAAGAACGACAGAAAAGACCTCCTGGGCACTGGCAAGAAGAGAAGGAGGGGCGATGATCATCCGGACGACACAGGTCGACGCAGCCGTTTGTGTCAGAAGATTGGACAGAACAGCTCAAAAAGTTGGGACGAGCGACGGGCTGCCCAGAAACTCAAGTAGAGTGAGGGAAAACAAAACAAGACAAGGAAAAAGAAGTCTTGGGGGGATTTACAACACGAACAGGGAGGCAGGGCACATCACCGATTTTGAGCAGATCGAGAGGGTTCCTCCTGCACCGGTGATCGCTGAGTTGCCAGCAAACATGGTGGTGCCATGCAACAAAATTGCGAGCGAGCAAACCATCATGCGTCTTGGGTGACTCTGGCTGCAACTGGAAGCACAGGTGCTGCACTGAACCGGGATGGAGGCGGCAGGTCGTGTTGTTTCAGCAGCAGGGTCGCCAACGTCATGTTTCAGAATGTGGGTGATCCCTTCTAGCGATCAGCAGTCGGACAGCGCACATCCCAGAACGACCTGCCCACTGCGGAAGTCTGGCAGGGCAGGGTTCGGGGTGTGCGTGTGTGTTGTCGCTTGGCACTTGTCCCACCATTAGCAGCAAGCGAGGCAGCCAAGTCAGGGACTACCAAGTCTCTAGTCCACCACCAAAGTCCACACACAGAACAGAGCCAGGGGGGTGATAGCAGTGCTGGGCGGGCTGGGCACGGAACCCCCCACTGAATAAGCCCCTTCCACGGACGATTCCAGGGTTCTGCGGGTGATTCGGGGTGGAGGCGGGCCAGGCTGGTGTTTGAAGCCCCCGAGCACAGAAACACCAGCTGGTGTGACTGACAGGGCCAGGACCGCGGGTCTGTAACACGGGGTACTATCACACTCGGCCGCCCTGGTGTGGAGCCTGCGTAATTGTCCGACTGTGGTGTGTCACACTGTTAAAGAGCCTGAGAGCCCGGCAAGTCCCATCCCAATCTCCTTCAGACTGTCGACTTGGCAGCCCCCAGCCTCGTTGACCACCAGCTCTTCGGCTCGGCAGCTGAAGTTGAGACTGAGTCCGACCTCGAGTCTCCTTCCGCAGTGGATCCACAAGGAGAAGCTTGTTTGGCCCAGAGTCTGGTGACGGGGTGCACCAGCCAGCGTCTCCGTCCAGTTTCCTTGTTGGGCCCGTTTGGCCCGTCGGCCAGCTCCACTACAAGGCCCAGGTCCAGGTTGATGTGCATCTCGGTGTCTCTTCTTCCTTTGCCCAGATGGTTAACGAGAGCGAAGGATCTTGGTTCAGGGTAGGTCCTCGATTGCCTTTCCGCCAGATATTCTAGCGTTTGCCACCACCCCAGATTTCCTGCAGAAAAGCGGTAGGCTAGCAGGACAGTCTTGTGGAGCAGATGGGCCTTGAATCGGCAGTCGATCGATGGCGGTGGGTGGTCAAGAAAAGAGACGCGTCACAACCGTCGCATCAGTGGTGCGAGGGAGGGCAACCACCAAGGGGCCAGGCGCGTAGAGGTGATGACAATTAAGAAGATGGGATGATGCCTGGGCCCGAGGTCTGAATTCGGGCAGACTCGGTCTTTCGTCTCGTCGCCCGTCTTGTTTGTGCCGCCGTGTTTGGTCTTGATGAATCGACCAAGCCTTGGCTGGGAACAAGCCAGGCAACCAGGGAACAGCTGCCTGCCAATCTACTGCCTACAGGTGAGCTTAAGCACTGGCCAGCATCTTGACCCTAACCCTATGTACAGGGGCACCCGACGCTCGTGTACTACCATCCCCCGCCAACCCACCCAACCTCGTCATGCCCTAGGAGGTGCCAAGGCGCACCTAAGTGCAAGGGATCCGACGATGACTTCAAGCACAGAATCAGAGCAGTTGTAACAAAACAAATCCATGTGTTGCCACCCCTTAAATACCATGCAGTTTCTCAATAAAGTGTAGTGGAGGCTGTCTGCGATGGGAAGTAGTATAAATAATCAGTATCAGCAAGTCAGGTATCCGACCCTGCTTTAGATGTAGAACGAAGTAGTGAAAAGCTTGCAGTTCCGTTTCTAACCCATATGTATAAAACTTATGTGGCCCCTTTGCGCAGTAGTTAAAGAACCAACATTTTTTTAAAAAAAAAACACCATGCCCATAACAGCCTATAGTGTGGAGAGAACATAATACGTGGGTACGTACGTGGCCTCAGCCTCGTACCGTGCAGATAAGTCTAGAAGGCATCGCTCCCGACGGCGCCGCAGACTAGAATCGTCGACACAAGTCGCCCAAGGGCTTATGGGCGGCGAAGCACGCAGCAGTCATACGGACATATTTTAAGTGGTTTCGCTTCTATTCCCTATATGTCCGAGGACATACATGGCGTCTTCATACGGTGGTAAGCGCTCAAGACCTAGCGCTTGAAAAGGACGTATTTTAACCTTCAACTTTTTGTTCCTTATGTCCTCATTCGGCGGGACTTGACCACGCAAACCCTACACCCTTCACCTCCCAACCTCCTGCGTCTTAACCCAAGATTGGCTTCCAAGGTTGACAAGCAATATGGCCGACGAGGACGAGACCCGCCCCCGCGACTGGGGACACCACAGGTCGCCCATCTTCAAGCTCCCCCCCGAGCTCCGCAACATGATCTACCACGAGACCTTCGCTGGCTCTGAGCGTGACCTCGTCCTTGATCGCGTGCTCGTCACCGGCCGCTGCAGCGTCTTCACCACCGCCAAGTCGACCCACAACTTCCTCCTCACCTGTCGGCAGGTCTACACCGAGGCCCTCGCCGTCTGCTGGTCACTGACTGTGATAGTAAATCGCCGCTTAGCGGGTGACTATGCAGATTTTAACAAGTACAGGCACACATGGGAATTATTCTCACGCGGCTACTTCTTGAACCGCATCCCCGCCATTGCCAGACAGCACGTCCAGCATCTCCGTGGTTTATATTTGCCGACCGTCCCATTCAACAAATGGCTACGACACGAGGACATCCCCCGGCATCTCAATGTCGCCGAGACTCTGGACTTCTTTCCAAACCTCAAGACATGCTCGTTTTTGCATTTCGATTTTGTAAGCAACGAAGACTTTGCAGGAATGTGTGCCGGGATCGCGAAGAGACATCCCCGCGTTCACATCCTCCGCAAGCGGTGCATGCTGGCTGCTGCCGACACTCCGATATATTTCTTCCTACCGTTTATTAATTGGAACCGGGTGAGTCGTTAGAATAAAAATATCAAATCTTTCCAGGTGTATCAGATGACTGACAAATTTGGACCAACTCAGATTACTTTTACCGACTTCACCTCCGGCAACAGCTTGGCCATTTACGAGCCTCTTTCAGCTCCCGACGTGCCATGGATCTCTGAAGAGGCCGGCTTCCAGATGATCCTAAATTCGTCTGACATGCAACTTAAAACCGTCGAACGCGCCCTCGAACTTAAGGCGGTGGACTATAAACCCTAGTTCTAATCTGGCAGTTTAGTATAGGAGCTGGCTGGTATCGCATTGATACCTGAGGGTATCCTACAGGAACCCTGGGAAGGGATTTAATAAGAATTTAATGAGAGGGAGGGCTGGTAGGGAGTTCTGTAGAAGGTTAACCTATAGAAAAGAATCCGATGGGAAGTTATCCCGCAGAAGAGTGTCCTATGGGGATGTCTCCTATGAGAGGGCATCTCATTGTAAATTGAGAGGAGAGTCATCGCATCCGCGGAGTGGACATCCGAGCAGTCAGGGAAGAAGTGGCACAGAAGCACTTCTCAAACATACAGCCCAATTGATCAAAAGTGAAAAAAAAGAAAAGGTTCGTGTCGAACTCTCACACCGCATCTTACTAAGTATCAGAAGTGCAAGGCCGCACGCGCCAGGATCCCACAGCCATGAGCCATCGAGTTTCAAATTTGCACCACCAACAACATGCCTGATACCTCCAGCCCCTCTATCAAAGCCACGCTGGCCTTGATCAATTACTTCTTGGGTTCCGCGCGCCTGGTGGGCTGCTCCCCGGCCCCGTGCTTCAGCCCATCCGAGACGGTCCCGACAATCTCGCTGACCGGGTTCCGGTGCCCGCCCACCTCGAGGCCCTTGGAAACAGAGCCCACAACATCCCCAGCCAGGCCCACCCCTTGCTTGGGGCCGTGGGCGTGGGCATGAGGTGCCGCCGCGCCAGGGTTTCTGTGGGAAGGAGGAGAGTTCTGTTAGCGACTGGGCCCATGCGGATATACTTTCGAGAACGAAGAGGAAAGTGCGAGCTATCAATATTGGGAGTGGGCATGTTTACCCTGCGGGAGGAGGCTGATCCGCCATGATGATAAGCTTAACTGGTTTCGCTTCTATTCCGCATACGTCGGAAGTCAGCTTTCCTAGAGTAGTAAATGCTCAAGGCCCAGCGTTTAAAAAGCATAATTAGATTGTCGATAACAGTGGTGGAAGATGCGATATGTTGGATGATACCTCGGTAACGTTAATAATTCATCAAATTATACGAGGCTGGCGTGGGGAGTTGTAAATAAAGCGGCTTTGGCAGTATCAAAAAGCTTATTGTACTAGTAGTTTGAGCTGAGATAGACCTCCCAGCTAGTCCTCACAATTAGCTCAAGTGATGCGATTCGGAGAGCATTTTTATATTTTTTCCCGTCATGCGAAGAACATCGACCCGCGCCTTTACCAACTTGACGTCCATAACTCTGCGCAGGAAATCTGCTCAGTGACACAGCCTCTCCGGAGTCCGTGGCCGTGATCCAATTTCTGATTCTGTCATTCCGAGATCCACAACTGGCGGAGGAGTTCACGTCGTCGCAGGCCCTGCCATCCGGTGTCGCTAGCGCTGTCGCATCCGCCCTCCAACGGGGCGCCGTACCATCTTTGGAATCTCAATGCGAGGTCGTTGGACACATTTTCTTGATATGAGACACGGGCCCCCAAAGGCCTTTTCCTGTGTACCTGGGCAGTAAGTTTAGATATTCGAGTCATTTGCATGCGGCCACTCCGATGGTTTCGATAGGCACTCACCTGGGCACTCTACGGCGCACGGTGGCTTGCCATCCCAGCGAGTATTCAAACCACGGACCTTGGACCAGGATGCTGTCGGACTTTTCCAGGCCCACTCGCTTACACGAGCCGTAACACGGCCCGTTCCGGGTCTTTCTCCAGGTGGCCGTCCATTCTAAGGTTGGCTACGTGACCCTCCAATCCGTATCAACTCGTGAAGATGATGGCTTGGCCAATGTATTCTGTTGCCCAAAAATCCCCTGAATGCACAGAGGTACCCTAAGAACTCGTGCTATGCCCTGTCCGTTCAAATGTTCTCTGCTCGCCCTTTCTGCAGCACAAGATTGTAAGATAAGCGGCGGCGAATTACTTGCAGCCATTGTTCTCTTTGGTAATGAGCCAGACATTGGAGTCAGCCGTAACATTGAGGTCTGGGAATTGAATCGCAAGTGCTGTTCTGAAGTGTATTTCAGAAAGCAGGAGAGATCGGCGACTCGGATATATGTATGTGCCCCTGACGGAATTACTTCTTTGGAGTCTTTTTCCTCGTGGGCACGACCTTCTTGCTAGTTGTGGGATCAGAGGTCCTGCCACCGGTATCTGCTTTGCCTTGTAATGAGGGTCTTCCTAACATCTGGCACATCTCACCATGGCCCATTTTCTGAGCAAGTGCCCATGCTGTTTCCCCGCCCTTCGTCAGGGCTTGTCGGTCAGCCCCTTTCTCCAGGAACAGCTTGAGCATTTCCTTGCGGTTGTTATACGCTGCAAAGTGCAGCGGTGTCCAGTGGAGATTTTTTGACCGAACGTCAACATCAGCGCCGTATTGCAACAGGATCCGGACGACGTCAATATGACCCGCCTTCGCAGCTTCGATGAGAGGTGACATGCGTGTGTGCCTATTGATATGGACACTTGCACCTCTCTCGCACAGCACGGACACGATGTCTGCACGCCCCTGCCATCCCGCCGAGATAAGGGCATTACACGATCCGAGATTGACCTGAGCGCCGTGATCGCACAACAACGATACAGTACCTTTGTGGCCCCCGCGTGCAGCATGGAAAAGCGCAGTCCCCTTCTGATCGTCCAAGACATCGATTTTGGCTCCGTTCTTCCGTAGCACGGATATCACTTTGTCGTGGCCACACTGCGCCGCGAAGTGGATTGGGTAGCACCCATCCTTCCATGCTGGGAGGTTGGCATCAGCTCCGTACTTGCACAGCACTGAGACGGCCTCTTCGTGATCTCCTCGCGCTGCGAAGTGGAGTGGACGCTCTCCCCCGGTCCTCGTGCCGGAACTGGCTGCTGCATTTCTGGAGAGGAGCAATTTCAACACGTCCACATGGCCTTTCGAAGCGGCGTGGTGGATCATCTGAAGGCCATGGCCATCTGTTGAGCTGCTTTCAAATCCCATGTTCAAGAACAACTCCACCGCCTCCTTGAATCCGAAATTGGCAGCATAATGTGCCGGCAGGAGCCTGCGCCTAGCCACATCTGTTGTCGGCTCCAGCACACTTGCTCCGCACGCGATCAAATACTTGATCACGGAGAGGTTTTTGTCGCACCTAGTCCGACATGCGACATGTAAGGCAGTCTCTCCGTTGCGATCTTTGCTGTGGATATCTGCACCTTTATTAAGCAGCCTCTGTATTATTTCTGTGTGGCCATATTCTGCAGCTTGGTGCAAAGGAGTTCGTAGTTGGCTGGAACGAGCCTCGATATCGGAACCTGAATCCAATAGCCTCTGCACAACCGTGGAAACACCCTTTTGGGCAGCCGCATGGAGGGGTGTGAAGCCATCTAGATCCCGAGCCTCGATATCCGCTCCAGCATCGAGCAGTAACTTAAAAGAGATGTCAGAGTGCGGACCGTCACCCGCCATAGCCACTGAATGGAGGGCGGTGTCGCCATCTGCGTCCCGGACCTCCAGATCCACCTTGGCGGTGATTAGACACCGAATGGCTTCATGCATGTGTCTTGATGCCGCTTCATGGAGGGCCGTCATCCCATCAACAGAAAATTTAGGCCGAAGATCAGCTCCGTGTTCCACCAGGGCTTTCAAAACACTAGTTTTCTCCTTAAGAACGGCTATTAAGATCGGGGGGAGTACGGTGTCGCTCTGAAGCTTTATTGATGCCGGAATTGGCTCTGCTGCATTCACATCAGCGCCATTGAGCAGATAGGTTCGGACTCGTTCCGCCTGTCCCTGCAACACAGCCAACATCAGTCCACTATTGCCGTTGCTGTCTTTGATATCAATCGCAAGACCCGAACGGACAAGAAGTCCGACGATGTCAGACCTGCCGGCTGGAACCAGGTGCATCAGAGTTAAGCCGTTCGAGTCTGTGGCGTTGACTTCAGCCCCATGGTCAATGAGAAGGCTGACCAGGTCCATGTGCCCATTTTCAACGGCCGAGTGGAGCAGTGTTGCCCCGGACGAGTCTTTTTTGTGCACGTCTGCGCCCTTGCTCAGGAACCAGCTGACGACGTCTGTTCTTCCAGAAACAACTGCCCGCTGTAGTGAAGAGGCCTTTGAGAGGTCTTCGCCTAACTCTGGCGCTTGTGACTGGAGGTATTCGTGCACGGGTGACAGAGCAGCCGAATGCGAGCCTATTTGCGATTGATTCAGTCTGACGAGTCGCAACCCTTCCGGGTAAAAGGGGAACCTCCTAGCACGTTCTCGTCATCATTGTCTTTGGATCCTGGCGACACAGTCAATGGTCCTGTGATGGTATCCGGCTCGACCCTTAATCGCACGTCGTCAATAGCATTATGCCAAAACCCCTCGAGCTCCATGACCAGATTCATGTAGTTCAGATCATGGCGGTGCGCAAATTTCGGGAGGTCCGCGTGGTTCTGATTCATTTGCATGGTACAGAGACTTATACTTTCTGGAGCGTTGTCCATGGGTTTTGTAGCCGATGCCTCTTCCACTAAGATCTCGTGTGGACCTGTGATCTGCCAGCGTCCTCCTTCAAACTGTGCGGAGTCAGCGCTTTGGCACTCTTATACGGGCCACATCTCTGCCTATCTCACTGACTTTTGCTGTTCTTGTCCTCATGGTCTCGAAGACCGACAGGATCTTCGACTTTGGATAAGTGAACTGTGCCTCGAAATTTCTTTGCAGGTTGAGCAGGTACTCGGAACCAGGGCGCAGATCGCGGACTAAAACCTCATTGGGCTGGCCTTTGACCATAGGAAGCCAATGTTCTATACGAATACCAGCATTCGGGACGCCAAAAAATATTAGGCCATAAATGCACGACGCCGTTATTCTCTGATTCTCTTTCTTGCTCGAGCTCATCTTGCAGATTGCCTAAGGACCTTAATGTTAATGGGAGAATCGCTTATGATTGCATTTATTTTCCTACTTGCCTGTTTCACCACCAATCCGCCAAGGCTGTGCGCGATGAACACAATGGGACGAGGCCTCGAATCAACTTTCCCTTGCTTCCGAGACAGTCAGAGACATCTGGGTGACTTGTGCGTTTCCGTGGTGTAGGCTCACGCACCTGAAGCATGCGGCGGACTCGTGACAGAGTAGCCCCCAGCTCAGTACCGATATTCTCAATGGTTTGAAACGACTCGCTGTTCACCAGTGCCGTATCATATCCGTACAACATAACCCGGACGTTTGGCTTGCGCCATGTTGCATCGTCTCTCAGCCACATGAAGTGGTCTTTCCTGCTCTTCCAGGACCCATATGCATGACTTGCAAGACCGCTAACAACAATGCAACTTGGGTGTCCGTTGCGTTAGACCAGGGGTCAATATTTATCTAGACAGAAGATAATCGCCATGTGACTTACTCGATGATCTCGTCACGAGGACAATGAACTTCGTTGAGTGGTGTGAACCCAAGGAAGGTGATGTCGAATGTCAACTCGACAAGTATCCATTCACCTCGAAACTCCGCTTCCCCTTTAATGGGTAGATTGGTTGCAGTTGCCAACTGCGGAGGTAGCGTTTCAAAGGTGACCGTTGCGACCATCTCTGTGTGCTGCTCCAAGCAATACGGATCCTGACCAAGTGAATGAACAGTAGAGTGGCACGAGAAATCTGGCCCACCGATCCTATCGCAGACCTGATCGACTATAGATGCAGCGTCGCCTTCCGTGGCTCCCGGGGGGATGCCCGCGACTCTGAACACCGTTTCACGTCCCCGAACTCGGTTCGCCATTCTAGGGTGATTTGAGCCGCATAAGGGATGGAGATGTTAAAGGACAAGTGAGTATATTCAACAGATCTGAGTTCATATCTTGCCCAGCGCTCAGCAGTCCAGTCCCTTGTTGTGTGGCTGAGCAAGCGGCACAGCGTGATGGCGGATGACTGATGACAGGGAAAGAACCTTGGAAAACGTAGAGACCGAAAGGATGCTTGGAAGAGGGGTTTGCATGCATCTATGTGTAACCATCTCAAACAGGTCAAGTGCATGGAAACCTGCAGCAGACAGACCATGTGATCCCGCGTCCAACCAGTTGACAAGCTCCTGCAACTAGACTAGAGTAAGCCCAATCGTTTGTGCAAGAAAGAAGGAGCCTGCCGTGCAACTGAGAGTTCGTAAGCGGTGCCTGGTCCCAGGAGTAGCTACAACTGTTCATTTCGGACAGTGCGATTGAATGAGCAAGCCAGCCTGCGCTGTGAAATGCGGCTCAATATCTCGATTTAATGCGCTGCTGGATGTTCCAAGACTGCAAAGCGAGAGACGCAACTGGGGTCCTTTCTCTATTCATCTCATGCATCCGCTTGTTTCGACTGCATCGCAGCATGCTCAGGGACAGGTGACAGCAAAGGATCAAGAACCGTCTACCTCACATTCTTCATAGCACTTGAGCACAACCTCCATCTTAGCCGGTGGTATGCGTTAGGGTACCCAAGATGCAGCACCGACAGGACGCGCTCCTACTTAAGCAACTTCTCACCAATGCCGAGGCGGTTTTATACTAGATATTTTATTTCTTATCATCTAAGAACCTTGGAATACAGAAGACCACTTCTCACTGCAGCGCATGTTCTGCTACAGTTACCCTCAAAAAGTCTCCCCACATTTACCATTTTACACCAAAACTCACTACTTTAAATAATTCCCTAATAATTCTATAACTAAAAAGTATTTTTAAAAATATTTTAAATAAATAGAGTTTTATAGTATATAAATTATATTTAAATTATTTTTAATAGTAATAAATTTCTATTATAATATAAGAAGTAAAAGTAGAAATAATTTTTAAAATTTAAAAACATAACTTATTAGGGGGTCTTATAGAAGGTTATAGGGCCTAAGCTTAAATTTTTTAAATTTAATCTTTATAAAAAAGCTTATAATTTTATAAAGTCTTAATTTTAAATTTTAAAAATTTAATATAATATATATCTTATAATTCTCTATTATATATATAAAGTTTATATTTATAATAAATTTTAGTAAGTTATTATAATAGGTTAAAAGTGGTGAGTTTTGGTGTAAAATGGTAAATGTGGGGAGACTTTTTGAGGGTAACTGTATGTGGCAGTCTAATCAAAGCGGGACTGTATTTCTGTCGTCTAATTGTTCGCAAGTGTCGCCTTCCCGTTGTGTCGTATCATACTCTAGTGGCAGCTGCTATTGCAGATGACTGTGACGAGAATCCTCGACGAGAACCCGACCATGCTCCTTCCCTGGTATTATGATCAACATTTGTCAGTGTCTTGGTGGGCAAAAGATGCCCGAAAGTTCATCCCGAGCGCCATTCTGAACCCAACAACAACAAAACACCCCCAGAAAAACGCCATCCTCACAAGGCGATCACTCCCCTTCAGATACTCTACCATCACGGTACCCAATGCGCCTCTTCGAACTCCAAACATGCAACCACAAACCTGCCCACCACTCTCCACACGCACCCACACCAACACCGTCCATGGCCCCATTTCCTTGCAAGCTGCTCCTTTCGCCCGTCCTCACACCTCAGCCATCTGCTACACAACGGCAGCGCTCAGAATCCACCCCGCCCTAGACTCTCGGCCTCGCACAGTTCACATCCCGGAAGATCCTCGAAATCGGAGTCTCCATCAGCAAAGGTCGCCCCCTTCAAGTGTTTCTGCCTGATCATGGCTATCTCAACGAAGACTCACCCAACACATTCCTATCTGCCGAGGAGAACACCAGCCACATCCATCCAGTATCACTTGCCGGAATTGCGGCCTCTGGTTGTTCTGTTTGGACCCTGGGCATCTGGATGCGAACTCACTACTCATCTTGTCCAGTCTTCAGCATGGTCCATCGTCCATCTTCCGTCGTCCGTCGTCCGTCGTCCGTCGTCCGTCGTCCGTCGTCCGTCGTCCGTCGTCCGTCGTCCCCATCGTGTTGTTTGTCGTCCACCGTCTTCCTGCGCCTCATGCTCTCTGCTGTCGCCTATTTCGATTATCATCAATTTGTTACTGCCACTGATAAACTTTGTACCGCTCTTTCGAGGCTCTTGGTAAGTAGTATGCATTCCATGTCGGTATCGACACTACAACGTCTGGGTCCATGTGTCATCCATTCAGCGAAGTATTGGAAAAATCCAACTCGAACACTCAACCCTCTCATGTGCCTGGGGGCCTATCGTGCCGGTTGTCCAACGCGAGCCCAGTATCCGTCAGCATGTCCGGCGTTCCGACAAAACAAGCAACACGCAAACCACATCTCCTCACACAATTGACACTTATCGCCGAAGCCGAAACTTCAGTCTCATTTGCGACACGTCGCCACCAAAACACGGGTTCCATACTACTCCCCCACCGGCATCACACGGTCGGCTATGCAAGTTCGTCGACTTTGCCTTAGAGGACTCCGAATCCACTTCCATGACTCCGACGAACATGACCCAGCCATAAGATCAGGTATTTCTGGGTCTTCCCAATTCGGCCTCTCAGAGTGGGTTCCGGGCGCTGCGAGCACCTGCGGCTGCCCCGGAAATCGAGCTGAGGGCGCACTTGCCCATCGAACATGGCAGTCTTAGCCCAGGGAAGGTGCAAGCCGGGGGATAGGACAACACAAACTTCATGCAGCCCGCCCAAATCTACCGTGGCTCTCCCTTTTGCTTGGGTGGTCGGCCGATCGCAGAGACGACGACCACGACGACCACGACTACGACCACGACCACAACCACGGGCAGTGCAATCACATTGAGCCGCCACGGCCTCAGCAAGCGCGGCCGCGAAGCACACAGCCCTATCGAGGGTGGTAGCAATGGGCACGACCACGAGGAACGCCAGAAGACCAACAGGAAGCGTCCTGTTGATGAAGGATGGTATGAAAAACGCGACCACGATGGGTATGGACCTGGGATACACAGCCCCAAGAGGCGTCGGGTTGACGGCAGAGATTACGGCGAGCGCATATCCGAGAAGCGTCGCCCTGATCCACACCCCCCTAGACCTGACACGCGCCCATTCATCAGTCACCAGTCAAACAACATTAGACTAGAGAAACACAGGGACGACAGGCCTTACTCTTCAGGCCACAAGTCTAAGAAGCACGGTCCCGAGAGACAGCATGCTGACAGCCATGGATACGGCAAGCACCCTGGCAGGCATGGGTACCACAACGACGACGACAAAAGCCTCCGAGGCCTTCTCGCACTGGGCGGGGCCGCTTGCGGTCCTCGCAACCATACCTAGGTAACCTTGGAGGAGTGGGTGACGCGGGTCGGCGCTGTGCGAGAGTGGGGGAGGGGGAGGGGAACGGCGCGGCGGAGGAGCCGGAGCAGCAGCACCAGCATGATGCTGTCTTGGGCGCTGCCTTCCGGGCGGCGGTCGACGCGGCGGTGACCGCTTCGTTGGCGGAGGTGACCGCGACGGCAGAGGCGGCGAAGGAGGCGGCGGTTGCGGTGGCGTTGGCCGCTGTGAATGAGGAGAAGGAGAAGGAGGAGGGGGAGGGCAAGAAGAAGGAGAAGGGGGAGGTGGAGGGCAAGAAGAAGGAGAAGGAGGCCGAGGAGGAGAAGAAGCGCGAGGAGAAGAGGCGCAAGGAGGAGGAGGAGCGGGAGAGGGAGAGGAAGAAGGAGCTCGATGACCTCAAAAAGGAGGTCAAGAACCTCAAGGAGGTCTTGGCCGGTGAGAAGGTCTATGACCTAATGCCGCCGATCAAGGATCAGGTTGAAGAAGGAGGGGTAAGATGGATGACAGAAAGAGAAACACCAAAGCTGTGAGGCTATGTGGAGTGGGGAACTTACTGTGAGAAGTATAAACCGGTGAAGACTGGGTGGGAATTGCCCCTAAGGATACTGTAATGGGGGGGGGGGGGAACTCAACAAACTAGAAAAACAGAGGCCCGAAAAGAATATGACAAAACTACAAGACAGGCAAACAACAAAACAAAACTTACTCCTTCTCGTCCTTCTTCTTCTTCGCGGCCCCCTGGGCCGCCTCCATCTCCCCCAACTTCTCACACCCCCGCGACACCGAGTCTGCTAGTGACTCGAGGTCGTCCTCCAGAGGTCAAGCACAGAGGTTGATTCTTCTGCCTTGCCCTTCATTTTTCTTAATTCTTCCTGGTTTTCACTTCGTCCCCTGGTCTGCTCAAGTGCGTTTGTTACCTCCCCCCTTTTCTTCGCCCTTTGCCCCTTTGCCATTTGTATATCCCGAGCGGGTTTGCCTTTGGTCTATCAGTTGATAGTATCGCGGACGTGAGCCGCGTGACCTACATTGGTCACGGCGAGCGAACAGGAAACGCTGGCAGGGCTCGGTTCGAAGAGACGTGTCGCGGCTGGTTCGTTCGTGGCAATCCGAGATGCCAGCGGTCTTTGGTATGCCCGGGTGTGCATGTGACCTGCAAATCCTGTTGCTGATCAGCATCGAGCAATCTTGACATGGCCAGGGTTGCCGTTCACTACACTCAGTATAGTAGTATAGTGTAGTAGGTGTAAATAAGCCCACTACACTCCATTACACTGAGGGTATTTTTAAGTCCACTACATTATACTAAGGCGCCTAGTGTGTGTAATGTAGTGGGTTTAAGTGTAAATAGGGGGGTAGGGGGAGGAGGGTGATAGAGGGAGAGAAAGGAAGGAAAGGGGAGAGAAAAGCTGACTAAGCGAGTAGATAAGATAAGATAAGATAAGAGGAGGAGAGGGAGGAGGAAAAAGATAACTTATTCACTTATTTATTCACTTATTTATTTACTTATTTATTTACTTATTTATTCACTTATTTACTTATTTATTTATTTATTTATTTATTTAATTATTTATTTATTTATTTATCTATTTATTTACTTATTTATTCACCTATTTATTTACTTATTTATTTACCTATTTATTTATATATTTATTTACCTATTTATTTATATATTTATTTATATATTTATTTATATATTTATTTATATACCCCCCTAACCCCCCTAATCCCCCCCCTTTAGCCCACCCCCCTATATTTTAACCTACTATACTATATATACTTATACTAAAGGTCTATATATTATACTATATTTACACTAAGGGTATTTTAAAGTCCACTACACTATACTGATGAGCTTAGTGCGTGTAGTGTAGTGAGCGGCAACCCTGGACATGGCCGGCAATGAGCTATCCCGCACACCCTTCCTGACGTGTCAACCTTTGACTTATAACACAACCGGCCTGTTCTTGAACACAACCTACCCTAGGGCAGGTACCTAGGTACCTAGTGTTGAGGGCAGTTCGTCACCAGTGGGCGCGCAGGGAAGCGGAGACAAGCTCAGCTCACTCTTTGCTGGACTTCCGCTGTAATTCATGGCTGAACTAGTATGTGTGCCCATCTTCTCTATCTACCTACGTATCTACCCTAGGGTAGATATCTTGTACCTAGGCGAGTGCCTATTTAAGTACACACAAGCATCCTGGTCCTGGATCATTATTTTCCAAATATACTACAGCGTGCTGGTATATGTTGTCTTTCCGAAACCTCACTTTCTCCGGGGTTCATGTTTCCCAATCCGCCTCACTCTTTCTACCTAGGTAGTCGCACGTGCTCCACATGATGTCGCTGCAAAGGCGAGTAGGCATGTGTGCACAGTTGTGGGCGTCACGATGCCCAAAAGTATTGAATGGAACTGTATTACCGCGCGATGAGAGTGCTCTATCATAAAAAGAGCCGCGAGCGAAACCTATCGTCTAAGTTATGAAACAGGATGCTGAGTAGAATGGCAAGGCTCTGAGACTGACGCAGCCTGATCATTCCCTTTTCCAGACAGTACCTTTGCCTTCAATGCCTCAGTCGCCAGTGTTTGCACATCATCCTGAAGTTCCCGGATCCTCGATAAATGCCCCGAATTGATGTCGTTCAATTTGTTCATTGCCTTCAGCTGTGTCATTATAGTCTTGTAGCTGTCCTGCTGGGCCAACCGCTGTTCATCCAAACGCCCTTCTATGTGGTTCGTCTTTTCTTCCAAACTCCTGTTCTCTTTCTCCAGCCTTTCCTTGTCTTTTGCCCATTGGCTCTTCTCTTCCTCCAGGCTGCTCTTCTGCTCTTCTAGGTTCCTCTTCTGCTCTTCTAAGTTCCTCTTCTGTTCTTTTAGACTTTGGTTCTTATCTTTCATGGCCTGAAGCTGGTCCCCGATGGTATCTTGTGTTCCGTCAGTAGGGGTTATGCTCGCACCGGTGAGATTGGCTTGTTTGGATGACTTTGGCGCTCCAACGCGCTGTAGTTCAGAGACAGCCCTCTCAAGTGACTGCAGCTTTGCGGCTAGCTCTGCTGTGCACTGCTCGCCTGGCTGCTCAGGGCTGAGCGGGAGGCCCTTTGTTGCGGGCTCCTGGGGGCCATCGCGCTTCGGAGTTGCGGTCGTGGTCACGCCGTTGGAATACGGTGGGGGCGGGCTCGACTTGTTCTTTCGCGGCCGATGGCCAGCCGTGCTTTGGTTTGCGCCCATTGGGACAGGTATTTGGATTTGACGAAATGATACAGGTATATTGAAGCGCATGTCAAGGGACAAGATAGCTGGTGGAAATAGAAAGGGGCTAATGACAAGAGAGCCATTTGGGACCAGCAGACACTCTGCTTATAAGCATTCTGAAGCCCATAGGCTAAGGCTTAGCCCAGCTACATCGCTGCACGGTACCATGGCTAAACAACACCATTCCTTATGTCGGCCAACTAGGTACTGGGGCCGGTCGAGACCGGCCATAGCCAGACCCGTCATGAGACATCATTTGGTGTTCTGCGGGTGGGCGCTAAGGATCCCGAGGTCTACGAGCTCTACTAGTTCCCAGCAGCTGCTCAGTGGGCACTCGAGGCGACGGGAAAGTCATTACCGGTAGCTCCAGCTCCCTGCCAAACAAACAGAGTGATGAGAGCCGGTCCCAAATGTTCATGGAATATCTTAGAAGTATATTCCACGTCAGAGACTGTTCTGGTCTCAGCCACTTGACTGCCTCCCCGGTTCGCCGTGGCAGATTAGCCCTTGGGCTACTTGTGTCAAAGATTCTAGTCGACTGCGCTGTCGTGAACCGTATTTTATAGCCTCGTCTGTGCGGCGCAAGGCCGAGACCACGTGCCTACTACTTTTGTTTCTTAGACCGCGGCTGGTACGGCTGTACATTTTCAGTTTTTCAAGATTAAGGATTCACACTAACAAAGTTAAGAAGCATATAAATATAAATCTAGCACCGTTGCACTAACTTTAATTTATATTACTAGTTTATTAAAGTTAAAATAAAAATATATTAGTTAGATATATATTTATTTTATTAAACTTATAATAAATATTTTATTATATATTTTTATAAAATTTATATATATTTAATATTATAATTTTTAATTTAATTAATAAAGTTTTAATAAATAAAGAATAATATTAAATAAAAATAGGATTAATATTATAATTACTTTAATTAAAATAATTTAATTAAATAAAATAAAAATAAATAATTTATAAATATAATAAAAAGTTAAAATATATAAAACTTAATTATATAAATTTTAAAATTTATTAAATTTATTATATAAAACTTTATAAAGTAATTATAAATATATTATTAAACTTATATAATATTAGGAAGGAATAATTAAATTAAGTAGAAATATTTTTAAAAGCTAATTTTTAATAATTAATATAAAAGCTTTCTCCACCTTAATATATTAATATAATCTACTAGTTAGAGTAACTTAGAACCTACTATTTCTACTTTTATAAAGGTTATATATAGATAGATAATATACCTACTTATAACTCTCTCCCCCTCTCTTTCTCTCTAACTTAAAATTAGAATCTAATAACTACTATATACCTTTAAATAAACAACTAATTAAAACTAAAACTTTATTAAGTTAAATAATAAATAAACCCTCCTCTTTATTAATAACTTCTTATTTAAATCTTTAAAATCTCCTCTCTCTTTATAAAACTATTAAGTTAATATACTTATATAACTTAAAGCTATTATTTAAAATTAAAGTTACTATTAAAAACTTATAAAACTATCTTTTATTAAACTAAACAAACTATAAGCCTTTATAACTTAAAAATTATTAATTGAAATTAAAGAAATAATATAGAATAGAACTTTAGAGTTAGAGTAAGGAGTTACCTACTACTAAGATCTAAGAATACCCTTATTATTCGAGCTTAAGGTCTTTACCTTAGGTAAATAGGGGCCTCGTGTAGTGCCAGGAAGGAACGATTGGGTTAGGTAGGGGTGTTTTTAAGAAGGCTAATTCTTAACGATTAGTATGAGGACTTTCTTCCCCCCAACACATCAATACAATCTACCAGTTGGGCTGGCCCCAAATCCATCATTTCTCCTCTCACCTGTCGGGGTTAAGTGTCTTCTCATTCCGTACGCTGACCATCGGCTGTGTTGCCTATTGGCCCGTCTGTCACGTCACGTCCTGCCGCCAACATAACTCGGAGATGCCCTGACCGCTCTATTCTCCCAGAAACCATCAGACACACTCAAAAAAGTCATCATCCCCAGTCACCCACCATGGCTCAGTTCTACAGCGATATCGACGACGAGATAGGCCAATTCTTTTTGCAGGCATCTGCCACCAGGGCAGAATGTGACAACCTGGCCCGCACGAGGTTCGGAGGGCCGGTCGAACCTGTTTCAGTCCAAGGGGCGACCAGCTATACTGTGGTGGTTGGGCCAAACCATGACAAAATTGTCCAGTTCCGAGGTATGGATGCCCAGCTAGATATGAGAATGTTGGACCTGGCTAGACAGGTTCACGGAGACGTGGTGCCTGCAGGTGCTGCCCTGGGCCACATTGGCGACGACGCACAACGGCAGCTCGCGATATACGAGATGGACAGACTCCCGGGGGATAACTACGCCATGGTGCGCACCTCTCTGGCGGAGGAGCCCCAGAGCCAGTTGGCTGCCATACACAGCCTGGCGAGGTTCGTCGCAGCTGTATATTGACGTCTCCGCCCCGGGTCCGCTGACATTATGAAACAAGCTTCTTTTCGCAGGCCTGGCGCAAGCCGGTGGCTCCAACCCGGTATGCTCTTTCAACCGTTGCTACCGAGTTGTCTACCAGGCTCGACGACGTCTCATCCTCCGGTGTTCTCACCGCTCGCTTTGGGCCAGCCTTTGACGAAGTGAGAGAGCAACTGCCGGCCCTCGCTTCCGGGGATTTTCCAATGGCGCTCACCCATAGCGATCTCAACGAGCTGAACATCCTCGTCGACGGCGGCAGCGGCATTATCACGGGAATCGTCGATTGGAACGATGCTGGCATTCAGCCCTTCGGTCTCACCCTGTATGCGCTGGAAAAGTTCATTGGCAGTATGGGCCGTGACGGATGGGTGTACCTCGATAATGCTGATGCGCTTGGAAGGCGTTCGCCCACCACGCTGGGCAGGTATCCCAGTCACAGATGAGGGGTATTCAGATTGCGAGAAAGGCGGGATACTTCCTCCGATACGGCACGTTCTACAGAAACGGGCAGAAGGGAGTTGTGGGGATTGAGTATATGACTATTGAGAAGAGACGTCTGTATCTTGAGGCAGTCCTTTAATAAATACTTGCTTACCCAAGTACCCGGGACCCCGGGCGGACCGGTCCGTCGTCCGGTAATAACATGCGGCTGTGGGCAAGTGCCGGGGTTGAGCTGCAGGGCCCCAGTTAAAACGGCTATGCTGGGCTGGGGGATCACCAGACATGACCGCGTCGGAGAAGAGCACTTGCATGGCCGACATGAGAATCAGTGGTGCCGATCTCGAACTAATTGCATCCACTGACATTTGTAAGCAATAATTATCAGTACCGATTGATAGCATTGCAGTGATCAAGAAGCAGAAAGAGCTACTCGGACTCTTGAGGGTGAACAGAGCTTGACAAGTCGCCTGCCTGTCACACTACATACCCGGCTGTCATTTCACACACAAATGTTCCATTTCATCATGAGAGCTTCATCGCACAGTGCTTGAGAAGATTGATAAATATCCTCTGCGTACATGGCAGCCCAGATTGAATCGTACAAGCCGCCAGACAATCGACGCTGCAGCCCCGGCTACAATTTTATGGCCTCGCAAGTGGGCGCATACTAACAAACAATTCAAGCCCTCGAGTGCTCCGCTTTCAACCTTTATTATCGACTCAATATTCCTGGACCGTCATAAACTCACTCATCTCAACCGCATCACATCACGACAAGAAAGTAGGAGGCAAGTCAGGCCCTAAATAAACACCCGTCAGCACACAACGAACCAACTCCACACCAGGGAAAAAAAAGAGAGAGAGAAGCAGCAACTCACCCCAGACATGCAACCCATCAGGGCTCGCCTTGGTCCGCTGCGTGGGGTACCTGCGGTCCAGCAGGTCCCCGTCGACGTAGTGCTCGAGGATGAAGCGGCTGGGGTCGAACCAGTAGTCGAAGATCTGGCTGCCCATGATGTGGCGCCCGACGCCCCAGCAGTTCTCGTAGCCCTTGTGGCGCAGCCAGTCGTGGCCCAGGACCTGGGCGTCAAAGTCGTGCGTCTCGAACGACGAGTGGTGCACGTGGCACCTGGGCCCCTCGAAGAAGAAGAAGCAGTGGTGGTCGACCTTCTCGTCGCCGCGGTCCAGGCGGAAGAAGACGGCGTTGTCCTCGTTGTTGTCGTCGTAGACGAGCTGTGTGCGTGCGGGGGGTTTTGTCAGCTTGTCAGCTTGGGGTGGTAGTGGGAGTTGCCGGGGGGGGGGGGGTTAAGGGGTGGTGGGTTGTGGGACTCATGAATTGTCTTACCTCGCTTGGGTAGAAGTTGAAGTATTTTGAGTAGAACTCGTAGCACTTCTTAAAGTTGGTCACACACATGCCATAGTGGCCCAGCTTGTGCACGGGTGTCGGGCGCTTCTCGAAGCGCTGGAACTGGTTGGTCTCGCGGTTCTGCTTCTCGGGCTGGCCGTCGTGGGCAAATTTGCCCATTTCGTCAGCTTATGCACCCGTCATCACTCCTCCAGGTAAGCTGGCCGCGGTGAGGGGGGGGGGGCAAGCAGACTCACAAAGTTGAGCTTCAGATCCGGGAACTTGGGGTCCAGCTCCGCGACCTTCTCCTGGCCGTGGACGAGGTGCATGGGGAAGCCATCGACGGGGTCGTAGAAGGTGACGCACTTGCCGCCGCCGGGGGCATCGGTCAGCTCGTAGACGTCGGTGGGCCTCGCCTCGGGCGGCAGGACCTTGGCGGCCCTCTCCAGCTCCTCGAGGGTCTCGACGGCGAAGGCGGCGCCGGCGAACTCGGTCTTTGTGGAGGCCTCGACGCACAGCACAAAGGGCTCGGGCCCGTAGCCGCGGTAGTAAGTCCTCGGGCCGGCGCGGGCGGTCTCGAAGAAGCCGAAGTCGTCCATGAAGAAGCGGGCGGCGTCGACCTCGGCCGTGCTGTACTTGTAGTAGACGTGTGCGATGTGGTGCAGCCTGATCTTGTCTGTGTCTGCCATGTTGGGCGGGTTGTTGTGGTGTGCTTGGTCTGAGTATTGATGTGGTGGCTGTCCTGGCTGGGAGTAGGTCAGTAGTTAAGACACAAGCTCGACGATGAGATAGATTGACAGGTTGGTAGGGTGTAAGTCAAATTGGCCGACAGGGTAGGTTATCAGATGAAATGACCAGTCATGGGGATAAAGTCTTATACCAAACCACCAATTCCGTAATTCCGTAATGGATCGTGGACGGGGGAGAGGAAGAGTGGTAGCGAAGGCACAGCATCGGCGGCTATATGTGTGCGACGAGGCGAGACGAGACGAGGAGGACCCCTTTGTTCGTGACGTCTTGACCCATTTTACCAGGGCGATGCTAGTGCTGTCCATTTGCTGACCACAAGGACCCCCCCTCCCCGCGGGGTTCAGTGGTGGGGAAGCTCCATCGTGTCGGATCTATGCGTGCATGCGCCGGGTGGGAGCTGCTGTGCCACAGCAGGTGTGGGCAGTGGGCTTGGATGTCGTGCGGCAGTTGTGTATCAGCCGAGCATTCCTGTCAGCTTGGGGGGAAACATTTTGGCGATGGTGCATTATTAGTCAGTCAGTGAAACTGCAATGATAGACAGACCAGCATTGAGACAACTGTTCACTTGAACAACTGTACGTTGAAAATCAGGTTCCAAAGCCGACTTTATTCCGATGAATTGGAATTAGTGCCTGGTGCCTGTTCCAAGGGGGCTGAGCCGGATATCCGTAGCTCCCAGCTACATATTGGGTGTTAACAAATGCGTGCAAGCAGAGGGAGATAGATGCAGGAAGCTATGGATTAGAGCTCGTTAGGGGGGTCAGGGAACAGGGGTGAGAGCCGACGTGCTCTTATCGCACTCCGATAAGAGACTGACCGACATCATCGTCTCCTTCCGAGGGGCAAATCAAGGTACCAAAAGACTTCCTTCCTTCCTCCTCACCAACCCTCCACCTCAGCCGCAACCGTTGAGAGCAGCAGCAGCCCTATCCCCGCCAGATCCGAGCTATCCTGGCCCGCCCATAAACTCGACCAAGTACTACATCCTCACGGCCACACTCGAGACGCACCAAACCTAATCGCAGCTCCCAAGCCGGACCCTACTTCTGCCCCCCGCCCCGACCCGTCCACCACACACACACACCTCCGACCCAGGACGGACAACGACACAATGCCCAAGAAACTAGCAAAGTCCTCCACCTTCAACACAACCTCCTCCTCGACCTCCGACCTCTCCTCCACCACCTCCCCGGCCCTCCCGCCCAACCTGCCCCCGATCCTGACCGACGGCGGGCCCCTCCCCAAGCTGATCGTCTTCGACCTCGACTACACCCTCTGGCCCTTCTGGGTCGACACCCACGTGACGGGGAGCACCCTCAAGGCCGTCCCGGGGTCCAACAACACCCTCGTCGCGGACAAGGTGGGCGAGCACTACGCCTTCTACGCCGACGTCCCGGCCGTCCTGCACGCCCTGCCCCTCCTGGGGGTCCGCGCCGCCGTCGCGAGCCGCACGTGCGCGCCCGACCTGGCGCGCGAGATGCTCAAGCTGCTGTACGTGCACCCCCCACCGGCGCCACAGCAGGACGACTACGGCACCGGCAGCGGCGGCAAGAAAAAGGGCAGCGGCGGCGCCGCCGACAAGCCGCGCAGGGCCCTCGACCTCTTCGACGCCGGGCTCGAGGTCTACCCGTCCTCCAAGCTGCGCCACATGGAGGCCCTGCACCGGCGCACGGGCCTGCCCTACGCCGAGTTCCTCTTCTTCGACGACGAGGTCCGCAACCGCGAGACCGAGAGCCTGGGCGTCACCATGTGCCTCGTGCGCGACGGCGTCTCGTGGGCCGAGGTCGCGCGGGGCGTTGCCGAGTGGCGGCGGCGGAGGGCTGTTTCTGCGCTGGCCGAGGGGCCGGGTGAGTAGTAAGTGACGGACGGGGGTCGGCCGGTGAAGCTGAGCCGAGGCCTGTTGTGACTAAGGGACTCTCGGGGATCGGGGGTGGTTGGTCGGTATACACATTCGGTGGTTCGGGACCTACATACTTGCCCGCCGCCGCATCTGTTGAGATTAAGGGTGGGGGCGTCGGGTTGGGTCTGGCGGTTCCGAATCACTACCGATTGCCGCGGCGACCAAGAGAACGGCGGCCTGCCCGGCAGCCCCGGAAGCTCCGGCCCCATTGTGCTTGGCAAGCTCCTTGTAAGGGACGGTGCGGCCGGGTCGCAATATCCCATCGGGGCCCAAGAGACCGCAGACGATGACGGGAACAACCAGTCTAGAGCAGACATTGTTTGAAGGCGCCCGGGGCGTCGCCGGCACACGGTCTTTGGTTGGTGCTGGATGGGGGTTGGCTTGTTTACCACATCAGCCCACCAAGGACCAGGATGGCCTCATTGAACATGCTACACCAAAGCGTGCATGAGCAGATTAGACAGAAGAACATAGAAACTAGAGGCAAAGCATACACATACACGCAGCAAGAAACAGAATAGAAATAATTATATCTTCCAGCCCACTCGCTCACTTACCGGCGCCTCGTGCCATCCATCCGCCCAAGGAGACCGACGTGTATTAATTACTACCGACAAGTAACGGCTTTCCACTTCCACCCTGCGCACAAGGCGCATGCAATCTTTCTACCCCCGCCCCCCAGGCTACATAGGCCGGGACGATATCCAAGAACATCCATCATATACATGTCCAAGGCAAAATCCCACCTACGTACGTTCTATTGGTATCCAAAAAAGAGAAAAAAAAATATCCCCCACCGAAATCGAACCTGGTCTGTATATCCAGAGTTAGGATCTCGTCTAATAACTCCGCCCGTCACGGACGGACGGCTGAATGATGCGCGCCCTCCTCTCACCCCCCCCCCCCATCCCCCAACGTCCTTCTTTCCCCCCTAACCCCATCACAGCTCAACTCATGAGGCCACAACAGGCGTCCCGTTGGGCACGGCCGCCTCCCCGTTGGGCTTCTTCTCATCATCCAGCGACAGCTGCTGCGCCGCGCCGACGAGCGGCGAGCCCAGGGGCGTCTTGAACTCCTCGTCGGCAGGGCTCGCGGGGTCTGCCCCCGCTGTCGTGGGCGACGTGGCCGCGGCCGGCGGGGCGAGAGTAGCGGGTGCTGCTGCTGCAGTCGCGGGCTCCTTCTCCTCCTCCGCGGCCGGGGCCGCGGCTGGGGCTGCTGGCTCCGTAGGCGCATCCTTCGCCTCACTGCTGCCCGCGCCGTTCACCACAGCGGGAGCAGCAGCCTCGCCCTCGCCCTGGGGCTGCGCCTCCGCCGCCGCCTCGCCCGCGGGGAACGCAACGGGGATGGTGCACACCCTGACACACCGCTCCTTCTTGTCGACGCTGCCGACGGCGACGCACTCGAGCCTCCTCCCGCCGTCGATTGGCCGCCAGTACGCGGGGCCCTTGGGGAATGCCGGGCTGGCCTTTGCCGCGGCGTCGCCCTCCCAGTCTGCGGCGTCCCGGATCACCGGGTCCAGGTTGGGCATGTCGCCCCAGGCGAAGTCGAGGGTGCCGCCGTACTTGCGGGGGATGTTGGCCGGGTCGATGTAGGACGACAGCACGGGGAGGACCTCGTGGTGGCCCAGGATGAAGATCTTGGAGACGGTCACCGGGTCGAACCAGCGCTTGACCCAGGCCCAGACCGTGGAGAAGAAGGCCGGGGCGCCGATGATCTGGGTTTGGTGGTGGTCAGTGGATAGTTCTGGTCGCAGGGGAAAAGGAAAAGGGAACAAGGAAACAAGAACCACTCACGAATATCCGGTCCAGGGTCTCGGGGTAGTGGGCGGTGGCCAGCTGGCTGGCGGCCTGCATGTGGCCCTTGAGGTTCCAGAACTGCTTGAGGCTGACGCCGCCGACGTCGACGATGTTGGTGGACAGGGTGATTGGGGTGGCCGGGTGCTCGCGGTCGGTGAGCTGGGTGCACAGGGGCTGGGCGAAGCGGGTGAGGTTCTCGTAGAGCGCAAAGAGGCGGATCAGCTTGGGCGGGGTGTGCATGGAGGCGGGCGGGGCGGCGGCCTTGGAGTAGGTCTTGTCGACGGACTTCTCGTAGGCGGAGATGGTCTTCGAGTCGAGGTGGCGGATCTCGAAGAGGTAGAGGGGGATGCCGCGCCTGTCCCTCCGCCCCGTCCACTGCGGGTACAGCCGCCTGCTCTGCTCGTAGGCCTCGACGTCGATGGTGTCGTACAGCACGTCGAGCTGGATGGCGCGGCGCCACTCGTCCGTGTCCTTGAACTGGGCGTAGGCGTCGGGGACGACCCACTTGCGGGCGCGCAGGAAGCGCAGCAGCGTGGGGTCGTCGTGCGACGGCGACGGCGGGCCCGGCGTGTACAGGCCCTTGTCGCCGAGGTAGGCCTTGAACCTCTTCAGGGCGTCCTCCTCGTCGGCCGTCAGGTGGCCCAGGTGGCCGTGCGGGTAGCCGTTCTCGAGCAGCGCCCGCTCCCTCTTGGACGAGGCGCGCGAGGCGTTGGACCGCACCTTTGTGGCCGGGCCGGCCGTGGTTGCGCTGGGCGACATTGGATGGACGTGCTGGGACCCTGCGCCTTGGGTTATTGGCTGTCTATCGATCGCTGCTGCTGCTGCTACGCTGCGCTGCGCTGCGCTGTGGGATCGGCGCTTAGAGTTTGAGGCTGCTGCCGAGCTGGCCGAATCAGAACTGGAGGGAGCGAGGGTGGCAGGCAGGGAAGGGAGAAGCTGTGAGAAGAGGCTGCTGGTTTTTTGGGGTCAGCAAGCAACAGAGAAATGCAACAAATGACAACGACAGGAACGACGGCTAGAGTAAAAGATGGGTGACAAACAACAATAATAAGCCGCAGGATCAGATCCGGCTAATCCATCCGTCCATCATCTCGCAGGCACATGTTGGCGCCGAACCCAACCGCCCAACACCCGCCCAGGCCCCACACCGGCGGGCTCGGAGCTGACTGCCAGCCCGTAGGTGTGGGTATTTTCTGGTGGGCATTTGCAACAGCTGCATGTCGCGCCTTGCCCGTGTTGGGCATAGAGTCGATCCTTGTTCCTGCGCCGGCAGGACGGCCCTCCTGCTGAGTCCCGAGTCCCGACCCCACAGTCTGTCACGAGCAGACGACTCGGGCACGTACCACAGTACAGCAAGCAGCAAGGGGCAGGCACACACACGGCCCAGCACCCACGAGACCCTCACCTCCCCTCCAATGACGTCAGCCAGGGTCCGCGACTCGGGCTCAAATCCGAACTAGCCACCGAGCACTGAGGCTAGTCGGCAGGGGGAGGAGTAGTAGTCAAGTAGTGTAATTGTCACAAGCAACTCGTAGTAGTATTCCCGAGATCTAGATCTGACCCGTCCGGGACCGTTCCTATGCCCTAGCTTTTGAAGTCCTTACAAAGCCCCCGAGCACGTCCTCGCCTGCATATGCAGTTCCCTCCAGTGGCCCCGTCCCATCTCATCCTAGGACCCTGCATCACTCCAGAACTGTAGTCCTGTGCGCTATCCCAACCCGTTCATACGCCCTCGGAGTAACCTTGGAATGCTCCCTGGATGCTCGGATCACAGTTCATATATGACAGAGCAGCCTTGTTACCATGCTGGTTTGAATGATCGCTCACTGGCAACGACGAGTTTCCAGTGGTGTCCAACGTTGGACATCACTCATGCACCGTGGCCGTACTGTCCCAGCGTAGACAAATGCACATCCCATATTATTTGAATCACCAGAAGTACCTAAGTCTCGAGCTCGTTGGCCGCCGAGATAAGGCACAGTCATCTCCGCCCCCTTCAAGCACCAACAACCTCTGGCCCGACCAACCGCCACCTGTCACACCTCTTGGCACCCTCCTCGAATGAAAGCCACAGACCGCAGCGGCACCGCATGCGAGGGTGCCCAACTCAGCCAGGCTGCGGTAGCCATAATCAGCCGGGGATGGGCATCACCCCTCATCTTGTCGTCCCCGGCCCCGAGGGAGTCGCCTCGCCTCTCTGCCAAAATCCCAAATCGCAGCCATTTTTATAGACAGTGTAGTTAAGCCATGCCGAGCAAGAAACAGAACCACTTCTACGCCATCAGCCGCGGCCGCTGCTGCCCGTCCGTCATGCCATCCTGGTAAGACCCCTGCCCAGGTGATATCTGAAGGCAAGTGTGGGAGTGGGTCCGACAAAGGCCGGGTGCATTGTGCTAATAATGGCACGAAATAAATAAATAGGCACGACGCATCACCCATGGTCACCGGGTACCCGGCGGCCGAGCACAAAGGGTTCAGCACGTTCCAAGCGGCGAGGGCGTGGCTGTCGCAAAAGGGCCACGACACCTTCCACTTCTGCCAGGGGCCCCGGGACGGCGACTAGTCGGCGTCGGAGGGGCACGGCGGCCGCCCGGCGGATGGTGCCATAACTGAGGACTACAGGTAAGTATTGCCCGTGGGATCATCCTGAGGCTTGTTGGCGGTCTGTCCGTCCCGGGCTGATAACTTGATATCGACCACAGCGAGGCTGCCTCATACGTCAAGGGCTGCAGGAACTCCAGCGCTTGGGCAAGGGCGTTGATGTGGGGGAGACGGGGTTGTCGGATGGAGAAGAAGGCAGGGTTGTTGCTGGTATGGCCAATTTGTTAGCGTACCGTACTGGTAAATAGGGGGGATCCGCAAGTGTGGTGGCCCTCTGTAAGCGTTATGCATACCGTAAGAGTTGCGCCTACCGTAAGAGTTAACCCCTTCTGTAAGAGTTAGAGGATTAAGGTGTGAAAGTTATGTGAGAAGATTTTAGTGATCTAAAGGTTGCTCTACTTGCTTAGGTGTGGAGGATGGCTGAGAAGGATTCTTTTTATAGTGTGATTTTGAGGTTTTTCGTTCTCTAAGTTACTTAGGTGTTTCGTCTTTATCTTCCTCTTTATCTTCCTTTTCGTCTCTCTTCCTCTTCGTGGCTGCCTCTTCGTGGCTGCCTCTTCGTGGCTACCTTTTCGTGGCTGCCTCTTCGTGGCTGCCTCTTTGTGGCTGCCTCTTCGTAGGTACCTACCTGGTACATACTTCCCCCTCTAAAAAGTCCTTACGTGACTTTTACACCTTAATTCTCTAACTCTTGTGGAAGGGGTTAACTCTTGTGGTGGGTGTAACTCTTGCGGTAGGCGTAAGTCTTGAAAACAAGGTAAGCCTTGCGGGCCCCCGTAACTCTTGCGGGCTGCCTGCAGGCCCTGGTATGGTAGAATCAGGATAGAGGTGGAGGTGAGGAATTACATTAGTACCTAGGTAGCAATAGAGACCTGGGTGGTGATTTGAGCGGAAGAGGGCCATCTAGTGGGATTACGACTGGCAATCTGTTCAATGATATCGAGCAGGGCGCTGCATGGGCTTTTTCAGAAACAACAGACATGATCGATCATATTATCATCTCTGTTTAATTATAACTATATAAGTTTAAATAAAATAATAATATTTTACTAAGTTTGTTTTAATAAAACTTCTTTTAAATTATAATTATATTATGTGCTTAAAGATTATTAAGATAATATTTAAAGGTAATTACTATTTAATTATAATTCTTCTTTAAAATATAGTATTATAACTACTATATATAGATGCCACTTTAGGATATAGTTAAATAGTAATATAGTCGGCTGCTTCCGACAAGACGCGATGTAAGTACCTAGGTAGTCGGCGGGTGACTCGAGAGCAACACGTTTTGACTGCCTTCCTATGGGTCGAGGGCCCAGTGTCTCCTTGCGACCTCTGGCTAACAGCCATCCCTGCTGACTGTCCTTAACATGGCAACCGTACCGACGGTCTCATTCCCCGGGCATATGGACCCAGCATCCACAAGCTCGACTGTAAGAAAGCTGGTGTGACATGCCTGCCGGACACGTTGATCAGCCAGAGCATTCTCCAGATATCCCCAGTCATCGAGACCGAGGAGTCCTTGGACGATGCATTTGCCAGGAGCCTCGACGCTCGTCTGATGGAGCAGCACCGCTCACGCGCTTGACGTCCTGCGGCTCCTTGTGGGGTTCACCCCTCCCAAAATGCTGCTCGTCATCCACGGCCTCATTTCCATAGATTTTAAGACCTCCCGCACGGTGCTAAAGCAGCTCGTCGAGATTACTCGCGACCAGAGTTCAAGGATTGTACTCAGCCTTTTTCTTTTTCTTTTTTTTTTTTGGTTGGGTTATGATCAGTACCATGGCCCCTATTGCTTGGAGGCAAGACGTCGATGCGTAAGCGACGTGGTGCCGTAGTGCAGGATCGTCCTCGGAGGTCGCTCACGGGAGTTCAAGTTGTCTCCTCGGGCGACCTGAGGATCCGCACCTCGGAGCAGACAGACGATGGTACTTGATTGACAGGTGCCAGGAATGTAGAAGTGAAGAGTACCAATTTGTATTTGTCCCAAAACTCCAGGTACAGTAAACTACAATCTAGTCAAAGACTTGCTTGAATAATATCACAGTGGGGGCATATTAACCCCTAGTTCTCCCGACATTATCTTCACATGTCTTGGTCGCTGCGACCGGCATCAAACACACACATAGGTCTCCAAAGCCAGCACCCGTGATTCCTAGCTCATCGATGCGGGGATGGGTTCTGGAACCGGCTGCTAGGCCATTTGCTCAGCAGCTGCACCTGCAACCCAATCAGCCTCCTGATGAAGTTGTCCATGGCGGCGGCATCCTCGGTCTTGTAGGGGCCCCACTGCTGCATGATACAGAAATACTCAGGCCCCGGCAGCTCAAGGCTGGGGCCCCGCGAGGCCCTCGTGCTACGCGGCCTCGCCCCGCGGGCCTCCTCGGCTTTGGCCATCATGTCGTCGAACCTCCCGGGGTCGGCCTCCTGGGCCAGGGACACAAAGCCTTCTGATCCGGCGAGATCCTTAACATCTTGGGACTGGTTGAAGCCCGGGGGCTTCACCAGCTTGTTTCCCCGGATGTAGTGCTTCCATTCGTCGCCGTACTCGGCGATGATGATCCACAGCTCGTGTCTATCCTGGGAGATGAGCAGCCGCCTTATGAAATGTCGATATTTAGTATAAGAGTCACACGTTTGACAGACAAGCCCGTTGGCCTGGGGGGAGGCAGGTGATTGTGGGGACACTGACCGTTTCCTCCCACTCGTGGAGGACTGGAGCAGACCAACATCCTCGTACGCCTCGTCGAGGCCCGAGACCCAAGAGGCGATCTCGGCGCTCTCCTGCCAGCGGATAGAAGATAGCGCGGACAGCCGCGTGAAAGGCTTGGCCTCGATGATGGCGAGCGGGTACTGGTTGAAGCGGGGGGCCAGCTGGCCGTCCCTGCCCGGGTCGACGACAAAGTCCCGCCGGCATAGGTAGCCGTCGACCCGGGCCTCCATGAGCTTCCTCGGCGAGGTGGTCTTGGAGGACCTGTCGAGGAGGTTCAGCGCGAGGCGGTCGGCCAGCCAGTCGAGGTGGCGGAGGCCGCTGATCCGGGACAGGGCCTCAGCCAGGGGGTCGGGGGACTCGCCCTTGTCGTCGTCTTGCCCTTTGGTGTCTGTCGAGCCGGGAGCCGTGGCGTGCGGCTCGCCGGCTGGGGATGGGTCGGTCTGCCTCGTGACGCGGGCAGCACTGTGCGATCTAGGGTTAGAGTGACTGCTGGAAGGCCTGGTATGGTCCTGGCCCGCGGGCTTGCTGGCCGGGCGGATAGCAACGGTGGTCGTCGGCTGGCTGCTCACGGCGTCGGCTTTCCTTCCTGGAGGTCGTCTGGCGGCGGGTCCTGGGGAGCTGTTTGAGGGGGTCTTTGAGGGATTGCGTGATGGAGTCTTCGGAAGGCTGTTTCCGGTGGTGTTCGGTCTGCCTCGGGAGCTGTTTGAGGGGGTCTCCGAGGGAATGCGTGATGGAGTCTTCGGGGGGCTGTTTCCGGTGGTGGTCGGTCTGCCCCGGGACCTGCTTCGGCTCCGGTCAGATTCTTGCAGATCAGTCATCAGCCTCGTGACGGTTTGTAGCAGGAGGAGGAGTGCCGTGTTGACATATGTCTCGTCAGCGGTGGCGGGATTCTGAAGACCTCCCGCGGATGCCCGAGCCGGATCAAGGGCTGGGGTGCCGAAGCCATCCTGTGGCTGACGTGGTTGCGTCTGTGTTCTTGGTGTCTGCGGCGGCAGAGATGGGCCTGGGGCCCTCGCAGTTCCTATCTCACTCTTGCGGACCTTTCCTCTGAAATACTTCTTCTGGTCGTCATCGTCGTACACTTCCTTAAGCTTGAGTGCGACCAGGCCTTGCCAGTATCGGGCCATGTAGAACATGTCACAGTCTCCCGAGGGCCGGGTAGCGTCCCCTTGGCCGTTCTTAACCCGTAGGATATCACACAAGTAGCCTTCCAGTTTCGGCTTGATAGCATTGTATATCACGTCGGCAATGTGGTCATTCTCGGGGGTGATGTACCCGGTATAGGGTGTGCTTTGCTGGTTGTCGTTGAGTAGGGCTGGATTGTTTCGCATGTAAGATCGGAAGGTATATTGGTCCGTCCATGTATACCAAAGAACACGTAGACGCAAATAGTCTACCTGCTTCATTTCCGAGCCTGAAGCGAAGGCGTTTTCCTTGATTCCGAAATCCCATACTTTATTGTTCTTCTTTGGGTCTTTGACAGCGATTGATTGGGACTGAAGGACCATCTGTGCCCACTGTGTAGGAGAGCAGGCAACCTGGCCCTCATCCACCTTCTCATCGCGGTCGAGTGATGCTGTGCTGGGTTTGGAAGCCATGCTATGGTATTTAGGAAGTTAAATTCAAATGATAGATGGGAATATTTGTGTATGAAGAGATCGTCGAAGACTTGTTGGGAGTAAAGTGTCTACCAATATATACAGTCTCACAATACAGCACATTTTCTAGAGGTCGAGTGGGGTTTATATGCTAGCAATCGAGATGCTTCGACCGATGAGCCGTAAGGCTATTAAAAGAGAGACCTCCCTGGCCGCAGATGTGTTGGGTCCATCGACGGGTGTGGTGGTTGCAGGAGGTGCGGGCTACGACACTCAGCCGCATGGCCAGCGTTCGTGCTCAGGCTAATAATAGCGACGACCAAGTGACGAGCCAAGGCAATCGAGGCTAGTGAGGCCATGATAATTGCCCAGGTGGACTGTTACAGTTGGGGGTCTCACTACTGGCTGAAAAGCAGGACTGAGACGCAGGCCAGCTGCAGGGAGAAGGCAAAGATCACGTAGTATCGAATCTTGGGTATCGAAGGAAGTAGCCCCCAATAAATGGTGACGAGTGACAAACGACGTGCAAGACTTGGCAATGAACACGGCGGTTATTAATTACCTAGGTAGTATAATAGACTGTGCAAGCGCCCTGTTGGTGCTGTGCCGCCGCCCCCAAAAGCCAGGCAGAATAGCCCACAGCAGCGACCCCAATCGAGGGGTGTATCCCTGTCGTCATAGCAACGCACCCGACACGCTTTTCTGGCTGACAACACAGACGCTTGTCGACACATCCCTCCCCCTCCGCAACCCATCTCATTGCCATCAACCTGCAACTCAGTCCATCTATCATGGATCTCATCCAACTCGAAGAATCAGCAAGGGACCAGCACGAAGCACTGGGCCAAGCCGCAGAGGCGCTCTGGCGACACGCATTCAACTCGCGCCGCCGCCTCCGCGCCGACCAGCTCGAAGCCCTGGGCATCACGAAAGCAACACCCCTGGAGGTCGACGAGCAGGAAGGCCCGTCCGGCTTCCCAGACCGCCGGTTTTTCCGCCCCAGCTTCAGGGACGAGCACCTCACGCACGCCCTCGACGCCGACGACCCGGAGTTCGTGGCCGGGATCGTCGAGACGGGCCGCAAGAAGGAGAAACAATGGGGTGAGACGTTCAGACCCAGGCCCCGTGACGACGACGACGACTGGATGCCGCCGTACCCCGAAGATCTGCCCCAGTTCCGCTCCATGTGGTACAGGAGCTGCCTTAGGACGATGCAGCAGCTGGCGCTTGACGAAGAGATTTGGTGGTGGCAGGGGGATGAGGAGGAGGAGCTGCCGGAGCAGCGGGAGCATGAGGCTCGGACGTGCGTAAACCGTGAACTCCCCCCCCCCCCCACACACACACCTAAACGGCCTCCTCACTGTAATGAGCACCATATATCTAACCGATGCTAACTTGCCCACAGCGACGGGTGGCGCGGCGTCTACTCCCATGTGGAGCCAGGCGACAGCACCTATCGCGTGCCCCGCCGAGAGGCACATAACTGGGACTTCCGGACGCTGTGGCTAGAGCAGCCCCGGGACCCGGGCCGGCCGCACCTCGCCGTCGTCATGGGAGACTCGGAGGTCGTCGCTCCAGGCGAGGACGACGTGCTCGTCAGCGAGCTGCTCGCCGCCGTGGAGTACTCGAGGAGGCAGCTCAGCTGCGGCGACTTCAGCAGCCACCACACCAGGCCGGTAAGTCTATCCCTCGTGGGGCGGGCCCATCTACTCTACCCGGGTATCGATCATTCATGCTGTCCCACACATTCACTCACACACACACAACCCAGATCATAATCTTCACCCTCATGTCCGAGACCCACGCCCGCATCACACAGGCCCACGTCGACGCCAAGGCCGCCGCGCTCGTGGTGCGCCAGTCGCGGGTCCTCGACCTGCGGGGCAGGAAGCCCACGCCCGACGCGTACCTGCTGCTGCGGTGGATGATGAACATCCCCGTCGGGGAGACGGAGCACAAGCTGCGGGACGAGGGGCGCGGTGTGGAGGAGGGTGGTGGTGATGGTGGTGGTAGCCGGGGGCGAGGAGTGCCGTTGCTGGTGAGTCCGCGCTTGGCTGTGGTGGCGGCTGGCTAGGGAGAGCCCCACTCACCATGATGATGATGTTTGTTTGGCGTCGGGCATTAGTGAGAGGGAGGGAGAGTGGTGGCGTCCGGGGGGTCTTGGGGAATGGGCGGATGGAAGTGCTCTATCTGCTCTGTATTTATGCTAGCATGCTTGTCGCTGCGGCTTGGGACATGTGTGAGTTCCACCGAGGGGAAAAATAAATAAGGCGTTGTCGCATTGCACCCAACCAGCCAGCCGAGCCAGCCAGCCACCAGATATCGTCCCTCAGAAACTAAGCTCGGACGCGAACGGGTGATGGCACGAGGTATCACGGCACGGGCGGGCGTTGCCGACCAAATGACAGCTGGATATGTTCTATTATGCTTTATCTAGCCTTCTATCACATTACTCGTGAGCCTCATTTCATAGGTATACATACGTACGCCCATCTCCTTGGGAGTTGGGTTGACCGGCCCCATATATAACAACTGCCTCCTCTTCCTGGCCCTACCCATCTAGTCTCCGAATGTCTTGGGCCGTGGGTGATGCAACACTCAGATCTGTTTTTCAGTCCATGAGCACCCGCACCAACGTCTGCCGCGACCACCGTGGGCCGATCGGCCTCCGCCCTGACTGCGACTGCGCCCGCCGCGGGGGCAGTACGTGGCGCCCCTCTCCAAGACGCAGCGCCTCTTCCTTGGCCCTGTCGCAAACGGCCCCCTCCCCCTCCGCCGCCCAGGAAGGACGGGATGCAGCCATCACCCGCAGCCCTTTTGTGTCCCATCGCTGCTGCTGCTGCTGCTGCTGGTGCGATAATACCCCGGCGGCCTAGGCGAGTTGAGAGGGCGGGGAGCATTGGTGCCAGGCAGGCACACAACATAAAAATCCAACGATCCCGGGGCTTTCCCACCGGTCGCCTCTCACTCACCCCCCCTCGCCCACCCCCCTCCGCAGCGCCGCGACATCCCGCAGCAGGACCTTCTGCTCCGCCCCGCCCCGCACGGGCTGCTGCTGCTGCTGCTGCCGGGCTCCCTCGGCGGCGGGCAGCTCCGCCCGCGGGCCGTAACCCCCGCGGTGCGTCTGCGCCGTGGGCAGCTCGACGACAACCGCGGCGGCGCCGTTGTGTGCGCTAGGCTGCTGCTGCTGCTGCTCCTGCTGCCGCCACGCCTGCTCCTGCCCCGGGACCCCGGCCGCAGCCAGGTGCGCGTGCGCCGAGTGCGGCGGCGGCGGCGACCGCGGCGTGGCCGGGCCGTACAAGTCATCATCCTCCGCCTCCCCCTCGTCGTCGTCGTACCCCCGCGGACCTCCAGCCGGCGGCGCCGTGTAGTCCGGCAGCAGCGTGAAGTCCGCGCCCGTGCTCGCGTCGCGGGGCCCGTTGGGCCCGTAGTTGACCGAGGCCAGGCGCGTGGGTGGGATCGGCCTATCGTCTGCTGCTGCCGCCGCGGCGGCGGACACGGACACGGGCGACACGGGGCGCTCATCGTTGTTGTTGTTGTACTCGGAGGGGTACAGGCTGCTGGTCAGGTCGCGGACGTCGCGGATGGCGGCTGCCGCGTCGGCCTGGTGGGTGTTGCTGGTGATGGGCCCGCGGGCGGGGGCGGCCGGCTCGGCTGTCATGCTTGCTGTGGTTGTCACGCTGGGCTGGGAGGAGTAGGACGGGTAGTGTGCCGCCCCCGCCGCGCCCGCCATGGCCCCTAGCTGGTGGCTGCTGCCCCCGACCGGGTCGTAGTACTGGTAGGGCGCGTTGGCGGCCGTGGCCTGGTGGTGATGGTGCTGGCCTGCGTACCAATCTGCGGCGGCGGCGCTGCTGTTGCTGCTGGGGTCTGAGACGCCCGACCAGGCGGACGGGGCGGGCTGGGGCGTGCCGCCGTACCGCCAGGGCTCGAGGTGCTCGCCGTAGTAGTAGCTGTGGTTGCTGTGGTTGTTGTTGTTGTTTTGGTCCGTGGAAAAGGCGTCGTGGCCTGGTCCTCCTACGCCTCCGCCTCCGCCTCCCCCTTGCCCGCTGCCGCTGCCGCTGCCGACGATCCGCCTGTAGACCTCCTGGTGGTGCTCCTTCCTCTTGACGTGGCGGTAGTACAGCCAGAAGACGCCGGCGCACACCAGCGAGGTGGCGATGCCGACGCCGACGCCCAGCCCGGCCTTGGCGGCGGAGCTTATGTCGCCGCCGCCGCCGTTTGCCCCTGCCGCAGCGGCCGTGGCGCTTGATCCTGGCGGGGTCGAGGCCGCCGTGCTGGATGTTGCCGTGGCGGAGGGCACTGCTGCGCCGGTGGTGACGGGCCCAGATTCCCGCTCGGCTTGGCTGAGGGACCACTTCTTGGTGTTCTTGCCATTGTCTGAGCTTGCATTGTCGCGCAGGTTGAACCAGCACGGCGTCGTCGTCGAGAAGTCCATGTCCATCAGCACCGAGGCATTGTGGGGCTCCCCTTCCGTCTTGCGGACTGCCCCCGGGCGACGTCAGTCAGCCTGTGTGTGGTCAACATCGGGCGGGTGAGGGAGGGGCTTGCTTACTGAAGCGCACCGTGTTGGCGGCCTCGTCCTCATAGCACCAGATGTACAGCCATGGCTCGGCGTAGGAGGACTGGTAGGTGACGTTGACGGTGTCGAGGCGGTGGAAGACCTCGCCGCCGCGTGGAAATGTCCATGTTACTGTGCCGATGTCGCTGTCTGCGGCACAGAGGCCGGCCTGGGCGGCGAGCAGCAGCGCGACGATCAGGACAGCTGTGGACAGTGGAGGCGATGGCGACGGTGACGATGGCGGCGGGATGCTGCTCAAGGGCGCCTCCGATGGGTCGGCCCGCGATGGCACCATGTTGCGCCGCCGGAGATCAGGCAATGGAACGACATGCTATTCGCAGGCGCAGGTCATGATGTGTTGTGTGTTGTGCGTTGTATGTGTGTGTGTGTGTGAGTGATATAATCAAGACCACCATATGACACCAGGTACGTAGGTATGCAGTTGCAGTTGCAGCTAATAGGTGTGAGGAGGAAACAAGTGGCTGGAAAAATGACAAGCAGATGAGTACGAGGTGAGGACATGTCGTTGGTGACAAGCGAATCGAGGCGAGTGGGTCGGGTTTCTTGGGCCTGGCTGCACTGCAGTCTAGCACCTAACACCGGCTGCTCGGTTGGACCAGCAGCCCCAGCCAGGCTTGGCATGCACGAGCAGGCCAAGGTGGCCCAATTTTAGAAGCTCAGCCTGTGTTGTGCCACTGCGGCGTCCCTCCACCCCCCCGCCCTGCTGCGGCTTTGCATCCTTTGGCCCCCAAAGCACGGATCAAGATTGGCCGTGCAGCCCGTGCTTGTCCCTTGGGCCCGGCTTCAAACACGACTTGTCGTCCTGGAGACGGGCATAAGCTCGACGGGCCGCCATCCGTGACAGTCAGTTTGCGACATGTCTCTGCGCCATGCTCGTCCTCGTCATGGTAGGAGGCATTGGTCAGGTCGCTGGTCAAATAGTGACAAGAATTCTGTACCAATTCGGTGACAACAAGAAGGTCGAGTGAGTATCTGGGGCGCCCACATTATTACTATTCCTTGGCTTCGTTCTCGAACCATGCCAACACAATGCGAGCCGCTCAAAGACAAAGAAGGACATTCAGAGTTTCGGTCCGGGCCACCACCCGTCTCGGGTCGTCTTCGCACACGCCGTCGTCATGTCTCGTCTTCCCCACTGCTCAACGCCTCATGCAGGGCCGACGCCGTGGCAGGGAGACCCAATCAACATTAGCCTGCCTTCCTGGTAAGCAGCAGAACGTGCAGCCAGCATCCATCACTCACGCCCTGCCCTCAACACCACCCTCCCCGTCCTCCCCGTCCGCACCCTCGCCCTCCTCGCTGTCCGCATCAGCCGCCTCAGGCAGCTTAAACTCCACCCTCAGCCTCTCGACAAGCCGCAAGATCCCGTCCTCAAACCCCCGGCCCAGCAGGCTCTTGTCCCGCCCGGCCCCCTCCCACTCGGCCCTCGCGACCCGCACCAGCGCCACCGCGAGGTTCTGCAGCCCCTCCCCCGTGATCTCGCCCCCGCTGTCGACGATGATGCGCACGTAGTCCTCGAGGAACTCGGGCAGGGTCTGCTGTATGCGCAGCCACGGGTCGGCGTCCTCGCGCCAGCAGGGTTGGCCGGTTGTCGTCGGCACGAACGCCGCGTCCACGTCGTACTCGTGGTAGTTGTCGAAGATGCTCTTGGCCTTGAGGTACCGCGCCGTCAGGATGCTGTTGACACAGCGCGCGCGCTGGATCAGCGGCGCGTTGGCGCGCGCGTCCTGCTCGCGTTGCTCCTGTGTCCGGTCGGCGAACTTGGGCGCGTTGGACATGCTGCGCTGGCGGGCGTCGGCCATTTTGGTGGTGGGCTGGCTGGCTGTGTGATGTGAGACAGGGGTCGGGGGTGGAGGGGATGTCTGCTTTGTGGCTGCTGCGGTGGTGGTGAGTTGCTTTTGCTTTTTGGTTGTGTCTCTGTCGCTCTGTCCTGATGAGGACTCACCATGAAATTGGTTACCCCTGATGATCCATGCTTCAATGAGCGGGTTCCAACCCTAACCCGGCGGCAGGTTACCACCCCTGCTTCCATGCTTTAGATTAATGCACAAATGGACTGCGCCTGCCAGAGGTACCTAGGTACATGGCAGAATCGCTGCATCCAGTCCCATTAGGTTATAATTTCACGCAACCACACGAGCATGGGAATTGGACCTGGGCGCGTGGGCACATTTGCAGTCACACATCTCTTTGGTCCGTGGATTACAGCCAGTTTCTTGTCATGCGCGATGGGGCCCCGGGGGTGAGCATGGCACTTGACAACAGCAGGAAGGAAAGCACAGAAACTGATGCCAATCCAGTCGTCTCGTTAACGCCAGGCACAGATCCAACACTGCCCTGGCTGGTAAAATCTGTACAAGAAATCCCAACTACCAAACCAACCGTTCTCGCGACTCACTCATCATGCTGACATCACATCACGCCACGTGATCTCGGCACCTTCACTCTGATAGTTAGCCCGTCCTCGTCAACACGTAGATCTCCCCCGTGCTGTCAGAGCTCATAAACACCCTCCCCTTGGCGTCGAGCGCCACGCTGACGGGCCGGAAGCACTGGCCCGGGCAGTTGGCCAAGTTCTGGTTCGTCATGACGTCCACCAGCGCCGTCGTGCTCGTCGACGGCTCCGACGGCTGCCCGCTGGCGAAGTTGACGAGGCCCAGCTTGTACCCGATCGGCGGCTGGCGGTTCCCTGGTTTTGTGTCTGGTCAGCAATAGCACTGTTCAAGAATCTTTGAAAGAAGAGCCACGATGGGGGAAACTCACAGCTCCCGTGGAAGGGGATCAGCGCCGTGTTCCCGTCTGCGGTGAAGGCGATGTCGAGGGGTGCCATGTGGGCCTGGAAAGATGCAAGGCAAACATGTCAGTGTCAGTCCGGAATTTTCAGATAATGCCTATCCGACTCCCACCTACCTGGAAGGTGATCCTTGGCGCCACAAAGTTGCTCGCGCACGAGGTGTCGTTGGCCGTCGCGGACTGGGTCGAGCTGAACTGGACCCCGGTCCTGAGGCTCTGCGCGTTGGGCACGCCTGTCGACTGGTAGAGAGCAACGCACTGTTTGTTGTAGGACAGACATGATCAGTGGATGATGCCCTTGATAACCCCATTTCCCCCAATATCATCTCCAACAAGACGGACAGACTACTCACATCAGGATATCCAAAGTTGGGCGGCACAGCCGGGACAGGGTCACTCAGCGCGCCGAGGTAGTTGAGCTCCTCGCCGGGGTTGTCGGTGTGGATGTCCTGCCCGTCGCGCGTGAGCTGGTCGACCGAGTTCTCGACGGACCACACGCCGCCCGTGGCCGGGTGCTCGGCGACGCCGACGTCGTTGCGCAGGCCCCACCCCAGCACGCGGCCGTCGGTCGTGTAATTGTACACGCGCCCCGCGCCCAGCGCGCCCAGGTCGAACGCCTTGATCATGGACCGCCCGGACCTGACGTCGCGCGTCCCCAGGTCCAGGTTGGCGTTGCTGCCGCGCGACACAAGCAGCGTGCCAGGCTTCTTCTTGGACATGGTCAGCGTGCGGCTGACGTGGTCGGCGTTGTTCATGCCGTTGATGATGGTCGTCGGCGTCCCCGAGGCCACCGTCCCCGTGGTCGGGTTGTAGGCCCACGCGAAGACGGCCTCTGCCGAGGAGGCGTAGAGGATCGTGTTGTTTGCGTTTAGAGCTATGCCGTGGGTGAGCTGTTGTCTATGGTGAGTATCCGGCCACATGGTTACATGATTGTCTATCATGGCATCATCGTGCATGAGTTGTCATGGGAAACTTTTGTGTGCGTACATCAGTCTTGGTGGCGAGGGTCTTCTTAGTGGCCGTGAGACAGCCGCCGCTCTCGGTGAACGTGATGCGCGTGATGCCCGTGTTGGCCTGCGCCACGAGCAGCGCGCCGCTGCTGTCGAACACGAGGCCCCGCGCGCTCGTGACGCCGTTGGCGATGAGCTGCGCCGTCCAGCCCTGCGCGAGCTTGGGCGCCGGGTATGTCGGCGTCAGCGCCCCGGGGCACTGCCGCTTGGTGATCAGGCCGGCGTCGACGCCGGCCACGGCGCACAGCAGCGCGGCCGCGAGCTGAGTGATTGTCGGGAAGGCCGTCATGGTTGGTGGTGTGAGGTCAGATGTGCCGCCTTGGCTGCAGGTGTTCCAATAGATGTGGAAAGCTTGGTCTGGCGATGTAGACGAGGGCCAAGCCTCGAGGGAGCCTGAGGCTGGTACCGGCCGATGAACCACTATATATCTCAACGGCTCGTTGGACGCAATGTCACATTGCGCAGCAGTCCCCTCCTCGGAAGGCACAGTCCGTGACAAAGCAGTTGATCTTCATCGCTATGGCCGGGTTGCGACGCCAAGAGTCCTGGCGCCGCTGGCGACATGTTCATCCCTTGGTTGAAGGATATTGACGAGCCCCCCCCCTATGATGCGCCCCTATGGGGGTCATGGTTGGAATGGATGGCACTGTCGAGTGTATGGATGTGACTGGGAAACAAACATGCCACTAGGCCCAATCGCGAAGGAGGTTTCTCGACGTCTGCCCCCCACTGCCCCCTTGGGAGAATTCCTCCTTTGGTCTTGGCCCAGAATGTAACAAAGAACGGAGTGGGCCCGGCCAACACTGTTAAACCGCCCATCCTATAGAACCAATCTAACTGACCCAAGCGGGGATCACAAGATCTGAGCCGGCAGGGCCGGGTAATAGGCGGGACCGCGACTGCGGGACTGCACATCCCGGCAGTTGGTCCGATACTACAGCCGGCGCAATGAATCGATCGGGAATCACAGCGTCTAGGGAAATTGCTGCAAGCAGAAGGTACTGTGTGTGGTTCCAGGAGCGACGTGGAGGATACGTGCATGTGCAGTGGACTAGTTTCACTGGCGGCAATTGGAGGCGACAAATTGTAATACATAGTCCGGGCACTGGCGCCGTCAGCCTATGACATAATGGCTTCTGACGGCATTGTTCGCTGGTCTTACTCAACTACACTACTTGCATTTGTCCCCTCAAGAAGACCTCGAGATCGTAAAGGTTGTCGATGACCTAACCACAGCGCTGCTGATCAGACAAGCAAAACAAAGAGCTGATGGAAAGGAAGCAGCCACAGCATCATTCGTGACCTCGGAATCAAACCTACCCGCCACCGGTTCCCTTCAGGTTTTAACATGAAGAAAGAAATTGGGCTGATGGCTAGTAGAGTCGAAAGTCTTGTTTCTAGACTATACAAGTTGCCAAACTTTACATTGACATTCTAACTACACGAGTGCGAGAGAAATAATAAGCAGCAGAACCTTTCCTCGAGGAGACGGAGGACCAGGGTGCATCCATGATCGCGTGCCACACAGCCGTTCAATCTCAAACACATAAGGTTATCCCAGGAGGTCTACCCCATGCTCACGAAGGCCAGCAATCCGTGGGCGGTGTGCACAGCAAAGGTCTATTAGACAAAGAAAGCAGGGCGCGACCACCACTTTGACGGCAAGCATCTTGCCAGTCATGGTGTTCCTTTTATTGAGTGAGCCGATCTTCTCCCGGGGCAGATAGGCACGGATGGAGAAATGGTAGGTCGGCCTCTGGAGTAATCCGATGCACGGAAAGTGAACGAATGAAGGGGGACCTTACTAACTAATACGCTGTGACAAATGCACCAGCTACAATGAGAAGTGGTTTCGTTTATAATCCCCATACATATAAAACGTATGCGGCGCCTTCATACAGTGGTAAGTGTTCAAGACCAGTAGTCGCCCGTACCTATCCGTTCTTCGCCCAAGAATGTGCCTGTCAGAGAGGTAGTAACTAGTCGGAGTCAGACTTCAGGAGTCACAGTCGAAGCCCAAAAGCCCTCTTCATCCCTAACTAGCCACATCACTTCCCTCCTCACGCGGCTGGACGGGCCACTTACACAATGCCTGCCACTGCTTGTAGCGTATGATGAGCAGAGAACCGGCCGTCAAAGGCCTCCCAGGCCCGTCTTCCGGGCCATGTGCTTGAATACCGCGCCATGGGAGACGAAAAATGAACGCCGCGTTGTACTCAGGCTGGGTTCTGATCCACGGTCGTGCTGCCTTCTTTCGTTGGTGAGGAGGAGCAGATGTTTGCACCAACCAGTCTGAAAGCACGCCAAGTCTCGCGCCGGACTCTTCCAAGGTTGAAGCCGCCCTCGATTTTCCCCCGGGCCCCGGTCGTCAGGATCATGGTCGGTCGCACTTGCCTATTCTCATGTCCTTCCCGAGGTCGTGATGTCGCCGTGATTGGCGCCCTCACGGCGAGGGCCTCGACTAAGAGAACAGGGAAGGACGCGAGGGTTCCGCAAGGGGAATGTTACTAAGTCGGAGAGGACAGGTTGGGCATGTGGCGGGAGAACTGTCACAGACGCCCCTGTGGACAGAATACTCGACATGTTCGCAGAAAAGAGTGCCGGCGGGACTGCATGGGCAACGCCGCAGTTTCGGTACATGTGTAACTACCTAGGTACCTAAGTAGGTAGCTAGCAGGTACTTATTGGCCTGCACCCTCCTTTTTTCTCCCTACAGATAGATCTCTGCTCTCTATTATACCAAAATAGGTATATCACGCCACCTTGCTGACCTCGGACACACATGTGACAGTTGGACACTAGTTGTGGGCGGAGCGCAAGTATGAGCAGAATGCTTCTGTCGTCGCAAGGGCTGTTGTGCGTGAACTGTAACACTGGTACTTGTGTTGCATTTACATTCTAATTTTGCGATGAGAGTGAGATAGGCGAGACTTTGACATTAGATAAGTACAATTTCCTCAATGCTCTTCTGACCACCCCAAATATCCATAAACCGTTCCATGTACTCATGTTCTGTCGGTATCTCACCATTGAATACCCATGAGTCTGGTTTTGAAAGATCGAAAGTACCCAGGCGAGAGTATTCGCTCTCCCTTCCTTCAGCAGGACAAGACCCCCTGGTCCGGTTATACCCCCTCCGCCTGATAACCGTCCATAATTGTGGTAGGCGACCAGAAGCAGGCGGATCTGCTTCTTTTTGATATCGCGCTTCGAATCTGCGAGTAAATCAGAAGGTGAGCGATCCAACCATACCATGCCGTCGTACAAAAACGAGTTCCGAAGTCTGCGATATGAACTCTTTCTAAACAGCTTCGCGGTGTCCATTTTGAAGCTCCAGGTGGGGCGGGAAAATTTCCTCAAGCTGCCCACGGCACGGCACTCTTGCAGTCGAAAAGGTGCAGCCGTGATACCTAAGCCCCCTGACTCTGAGCCGAGCGGCTTTTACCGTTCCGTACGTGTGCTCTGGTGACGCGTACTCGGCCACATGCTCGACAACTTCAAAATTCGGGTCCACTCTGAGCTGGGTGCGGTCGAATAACCCACCTTCGTGAAGGGAGTCTACACGGAGTACGAAACGGACGCCACCTTCATATGACGCCCAAGTCCACGAAGGTCCTCCCGTTCCGTGATTTCGTGCTTCTTGCGCACCTGTGGCGTCGACAGCCCGTCTCTGAGCGCGCCAGAGGAGTTCCCATGCTGCTTCAGACTTCCAAATCCCGCACCAATACTCGTCTCCGAAAACTTGCCCCATGCGACGTGAAATGGCCGAAATCCCTGGTAGACGGTCTTTTTGAAACGACAGTAACCGCTGGGAGTAAGTCTCTACCATGTCGTACCACCTGTTGCGTTCTTGGCTTCTTTTGTTGCCAAGTCCGACCCTGCCGGGATTTTGTAGAATCATCCTGATTCTCGCCAGCTGGTGCGTGTTCTCGTACACTTGATTTCGTGGATGGTAGAAGCCCGCCCGGACCCACCCATCAAAGTCGTCGTAGGGCATTGGGGCGCCATAGCAAGACCAGCTCGTCTGCTTTGTCCCAAACCGAAGCTGTCGCCTTGACAGCAAGTCTTCTTGCAAAGTCCAAGCCCTGAAATCCCATGGCTCCTGTGTTAATTCCCAGTTTCCCATCTGTTCTGGCCCTTCTGGAACCAAAACCACCCATTTGTCAACGGCACTTTCCTCCTCCCCCGAGGTCGTATAGGCCACCTTGAAGACTTTATCGGGGGTGGAAGCTCCCGCAGCTTGCCGTGGAGTCAGGAAGCCTTCGCCCACGCTGCTAGATCTTGCCGCCACGATGGTGATCGACGCGTTCTCGTAAATATCCCCCATCCGACTTATCTCACTGTTTCTGGATTCGGCGTCGTCCTGTACGATACATAGAGCATCGATCCACAGGTAAAGGTAACCCAACTCCCTGGTGACCCTGATAGCATCACGGATTGTGGCATCAAGTTGCTCTAGCCGGACACCGTCTTCCATGAATTCAACCCGGTTATCTGTCCTGAGAAGCTTTCTTTGTTTGGTTGCCCCCCAACAGTAAGACAATGCAAGATACTTTTGCTTTTCCCCAATTTTCAGTTCAACGAGTCTAACTAAGCCGCACTCGTCGACATTTTCAAGCTTTAGAAGCATGGTGGGCATCGACGATGGGACATGGTCTTTCAGGCCACAATCATGCTCAAGTTCGCATTTCTGGGTCCATTTGCGCATAAGCTCGAACGACTGCGCACTACCTGGATTGACATTTACAGGCAAAGCGAAATCGTGCGGATCATTTGAGATCTGTTTGTTACCTGGACGGCAGACTCTGAGTCAGTCTTATCACTTGAGTCTCGTAAGGGATCAACGAAAAATGGTGGTAGATACCAGGCAATCCAAGTACCGCGAAGCCAAGCTTAATGTCGGAGGGAACGTACGCATCTCCATCTTTGAAGAAAGAGACTTTGATGGTCACCTGACCTTTCTCCTGTCCCCCAGTGGCATAATACACATCAAGGTTGACGCCATCAGCGTAAGGAGTTACACGCCCGGGACTTTCAACTGTGTACAAACCATTAGAGGCTGGACTCTTCAAAAACATGGAGTCCCCATTATATGACCGTGGGGTACATATTCGGTAAAAATTTGTTCTTACACTCCCGTTCCTGAGAGTCTACTTCGTCCGACACCAGTGCCCACAATGTACAGCCGTCCGTGGCGCGTTGTCGTATTTCCTCCAAGCTGGCGACCTCATTTGAGAAACGAGAAAACTCTCCGGGGATTATAATGAGCTTGTCGCAGTGCTTGCACGAATGTGCGCTCGAGAAGCCGCCAGCTACGACACAACATCTCAGCGTCGTCAGCTTTTCATCGTCTTTGCCCGCCTCGCTGGTTCTAATAGATGAAGTCATATCGAAGTACGGGAGTATGGACGAGCGCGACGTCACAATTGATCGCAACTTGAACTGTCTAGAGACACCAATTCTGGCGCATAATTTTGACAGTGGAGTGAGGAATGGAAGAAGTTGGGTGAAATAGGTGAAGAGTCTTCGCGCGATGGATGATCTGTTCACGGCGACCGGAGATTTTAAGGCGGGGAAGTGGCGAGCTAATGTCCAACCACCCAGCATTTGCGTCCGCTTACCTAGCGATTTCTGTTTACCCACCTAGTACAAGGTTTTATGTGGAGGGCCTATATAAAATTATGTACCTGACTAGGATTCTTTAAATTTTTGATATTTAAGGTATGTGGTTTTGTTTTTAATCCGTATACGTCCGAGGACATACACAGCACTTGAGCGCCTTCATACGCTGTCTCGGAAAAACGAAGTTAGCCCCCCCCCTTGTCAAAGACCCCCTGTTCAAAAGTTAAACAACTCCCTTTTAGAAGTAATCTTTTCTTAATAACTCTCTTAATACTTAACTTAAATCTATATAAAAAGTATTTTTATAATCCTTATAAATATCTTTATAAGCTTAGATTTTTAAAATAATATTTATTTAAAGTTTATATATTTACTTATATTATTAATTTAAATAGCCTTTATAACTTATATAATATAAACTTAATAATAAATATTTTAAAAATAGTATTATATAGAGATTTTATTAAGAATTATTAAAATACTTTTTATATATTTTTAAGTTAAGTATTAAAAGAGTTATTTTAAGATAAAAAGGAGGTAAAAGATTTGTTTAACTTTTGACAGGGGGTATTTGACCAGGGGGGGGGGGGCTAACTTCGTTTTTCCGAGACAGCGGTGGTAAACACTTAACACGGAGCTAATAGCATGTTATTCGCCGCAGAATCAGAACCCAACATTCAACTACTATGTACTGGTTTGAAGTCAATAATACCTCTCTCTGCTTAATGTGCCATGTGATCAACAGCCTGGTATGAGAACTTTAGGTCTTAATGATAACCCGGCTCCTCCAGCAGCAGGAATCTCCAGGGCCCCATTGTTGACCTGTTTCGACTGGCTGCCCACCAAGCTTCTGGTTCATCTCCTCGATAGATCCTCCGGAACCGCCTCCTCCAAAACAGATCGACGGCTATTTTTGCCGAAGGGTGTACTTGCCGGCGCGGACGACGGGGACGCTTCCTCTTGCTATCATCGAGGGCAACATTGAAGCCTTTCACACGACCTCCAATCCGCCGCCTCTCGACCTCGGGCCCGGGTATCAGGAGAGCACTAATATTGCCTTTTTGGTTTCGATACTTGATGACTGTTAAGAAATGGTGGACTCCCAAACCTTATAATCCTTCTGCGAGCGGAAGGACACGGCCAGCAAACCACTATCTCATCGCCCAGGCCGCCTACCTAAGTATGTTGCTCCAACCCTTTCCATCAGCCATGCAGTATTATCTTTTTCAACGCCGGGCCTTGAACGTTTACCACTGTATGAAGGCGTCACATACATTGCATATGTATGGGGATTAGAAACGAAACCATCAAACCACCCATCAGCCAGATTTTCCCATCAATCAATTTCGTTGACGACATCATTCCTTAATCAGGCGCCACTTGATGTCTCAAGCAGATATGAGCTGTGGGTCACAATCGCCGAGTATGGTTTTCGATGAAAGCAGTACGCTCGAGGCATCCACAAGATGGAGCCCGTCAACTAACTCCAGCCACTCCGAGGACGCCCGGGTGCCAAGGACAGCGCCAGCCCAGAGGCCTCTGCACCTCGAGCTGTCAGTCATGCAGATATGCAGTTTGGACTTCTAGGCCCGGAGCACTCCTGCACCATGCAGGAACGGGACCCATATACGACCGCGGATGCAAATCACACGGCTTCATCCGGCGGGTGATTGGGTTCGAGATAGAGCAGGTGCAGACCTGGCCCGTGGAGGAATTCGAGCACACATGACCTTCAGAGTCTCCTCTGACCAGGCGGAATTACTGCGACAGCGAATGCTCTCGCTGCTAGTGTGGCCGTTCGGGTTGGATGTTGTGGCTGTGCTAGATCTAGATGTAGACAGTATTGATGCCCGGGTGGATCACGTGCTTAGCACAGTACTACATTGGTCAAGACAGGCCTATTTTGTGCGTCCAGTATATGTTGTGGAATATAATCTGTTTTTGTTCTCGTACTCAGCCAGTACGATAGTGAGTGCAGGTGTTGTGTTGCTTTGTCTACGTCTACAGGTTCCGAGATTCCCGAGCTCATTCCGGTGCCGTTCACATTTGAAGCTCAAGTGCTACCAGCCCTCTCAACGTCACTGCCATCCCAAGACAGATATCATCAGGCACTACCATAAGGTGCTCTTGCCGATCCAATGGGGCCTCCGAATATAAATGGCCTCAGTATAGCCTGTACCCGTGATTTAAGGCCCCTCTTGCCTCCCTGTCTTCCCCAGTTGTCGTGTCCTCCCCGGATGGCCTGTTTACGCCGGGAGATCAGGGAGAACGTCACATAAACCCCATTTTTCATCACTAACTCTTTCGAATTCTGCCTTTCATCAGTGATTTTGCGGTTGGTATAAAGCATTTGTTGGCGGATCGTCGTCATCGACGGGGCGGGCGGGACGGGAGTTTAAATACGACCCCGCCCCGACATCTTGCAGCTCCGTCCCGGGTCACATTCTCCATTCCAGATAAGCTTCAACGTCTTGACCAGCCCTTGCCATCCACGCACACAGCAACGGATGAGGCAGGAGCCGGGCGGTAACTCTGAGCCGGTGTCCCCCTCCCCCGAGATCGTGCCTGAGTTCATGATACATTGCATGACTAGCACGATAGCAAGGTGGCCTTCCGGTCATCCCTACCTTGGTAAGCTCGAGTGCTCGGGAGAAGCCGCGAGCGATAGCCCGGCCGAGCTCAACGCCAAGTTATACGGCTCGCCCTTTCCGAGCGTCACACTGCAGGCCGGACAGCGGAATGCTGCACGGTAGGAACGAGGAGCGAACGTGTCTGGGCCTAGTCCAGGTCTCGGTCAACATCCGCGTCTGCACCCGCCGCCTCTCTCCCATCCTCTCGCCATCGAGTCCCTCCCTTCACAGGTCCAGAGCTCCAGACAAACAACACATACTCCGAGCCTGTCCACGTTGAGTCCTGAGTTGCCCATTTATCTCTAGTCGCTGTGCCACACACACTTAGACCCAATCATATCATGGTCGATCCCGCAGGCGTCTCCGTAAGGTCACCCAGTCCGCAGTCCGTGGAGATGGTGGAAGAGGATGAGGTACCCGACCGCCACCTCGGCACGGTGCTCGTGACGGGCGGCTGTGGCTTCATTGGCCACCACCTGGTCCATAAGCTCTCTATACAGCAACGTGAAAACGCATGTGGGGCCATACATGTTATCGACAGAGACATTAGCCGCAACGCATTCGCCAACCCCCAGATACATTACCACCAGTGCGACATCACCAACACCGCCCAGGTGGAGGCCATCATGGACCACGTGCAACCCAAGGTCATATTCCACACGGCGAGCCCCAACGCTATCTACGAACGGCGCAACGCATTCTGGCGCGGCAGCTTCTACCACACCAACGTCACGGGCACGGCGAACCTGCTGCGCCTGTCCAAGCGGCCGGGATCCAGCGTCAAGGTGTTTGTCTACACCTCGTCCACCTGCGTGTACAAGACGGACCACCGGGCCCCTATCAGGGAGTCGGCGCCGACGCATAACGGGCGTCCGTGGCCGTGGGAGGGCGTGTGCGAGCCCGTGTGGACCAAGGGCATCGCGCACAACATGGTCCTGGACGAGAACGAGAGCTGGAAGAGGGGCGGCCTCAAGACCATCGTCGTGGTCCCGGGCATCGTCTACGGCGGGGGCGACAGCCAGGTGCTCCCGCTGGTCTTCGACGCCTTCCAGAAGCCGGGTATCCCGTTGCTCAAGGTAGGTAACGGCGCCAACCGGGCCAGCTTTGTCGAGGCCGCTAAGTGCGCCGACATCCACATCCTGGCCGCCAGGACCCTCGTCGCGGGCGGCAAGAACATTGCGGGCCAGGCCTACAACGCCGCCGACGGCAGCGACGACGTGCCGTTCTGGTGGCACGTCGGCCTCACCTGCGCTGCCATCTGGGGCTGGGACCCGGCTGCTACCAACCGGAGCAGGTTCCACACGATCCCCCCCTGGGTGATGCTTATCGTTGTCCATTTCGTCTGGTGGGTGTGCCTCATCTTCACCTTGGGCTATGTGGAGCCCCCGCTTGCGCTCAGCCTCGAGGGGTACAAGTGGGCCACCAAGGACAGGCTCTTGAACATCCAGAGTTCTGTTCGGTCCCTGGGGTACGTGCCGGGCACTGTGACCGTGTGGCACGAAGACATCGTCACGGTTGCTGTCGAGCTTGAGCGGAGTCGCCGACGGGAACAACGGGAGCGGTTGCTAGGAGGAATACGGCCAAGACATCAGGAGCCGCGAGCCCAGGTGGAACAGGGCGTTGACGAGGGGCACGCTCACGCGGAGTAGAGGCTGACGAAGAAGTGATGGTGAAGTTACTCATGTTCGATACGTTTGTATTAGAGGAGGTGGAAATCGGCGGCCAGCCCGGATGCTCGCATGATGGGGGCAAGATGCATACATATCTATATTATGGGGACGACGATACTCTCTTTTGGGGCATTTTGTACATTATTTGCCCAACGCGGTGGAGTGGGCGAGGCCAGAGGGCATTTGGGATTTCATTATTGGTGTTGAAGGTGTTTGTTTCATCATTAGATCGCCGGGGTCATCATTTAAAGTTGGTGTCGGAAGGGTTCCGGTAGAAATAGAGCATTGATGTCTTTTGGGTACGGGTGAGGCAGAAACAAAAATATTGACTTTGGAGGTTTTTGAGGATTATGGTTTGCGGTAGGGTGTCTTTTTCTCTCTCGCTGTGTTCCGAGGTGATCGTGTTTCCGACGTGATCCTACCTGTCGTGATCGTGCCCAGGTGCCCGTCGTGACCGTATTTCCGACATAGTCTCCGGCCAGGAACAGAGACACGAGATCGAGACAGAGACACGCGACTGGCTAGGACAGAGGCACGCGACTGATTGGGACATCGATCCCTCCAGGCACGCTTCAAGGGGTCTTGTGCGCGGCAGTGCTCAATTCCGTTACGTTGGAGGCAGGTCAGCTATCTATTTCACCTCTCCCAGCCCACCGACGCGCATCAGAGGTGCCGTCCTGTGCCGCGGCAGGTGAATATATATTCACTTCTAAGTCTGATGTCGCCCCACTTCCGCAACTTTCTTGTTCATTCACCCACACGAGACCACCCTGGGCCAACCTCGCGGCGCAGTACTTAAACCTCGCATCTTGCAGCCCACAGGTCTCTTTCCTTCCATCCTTCCACCTGCACACCACACCCACCGATCGTCCACGACGGTCAACCTTCCTCCCTCTACACACGCCCACTAGCATTTGCTGCATTTGCAGGTAAGTTTACTCCTTCAGCAGGTCATTCAATCTCCAAGTCCGATCTTGACAAGCATCGTCCCCACAGAGAGCCAGCACTGCCGAACACCCTGAGCCGCCTCGATGCCGCCACCCGACGGCATGGAGAACACCGCCAAGAAGCGCGAGGCTCATACGAGGGCCGTAGACAAGATGTCTGTCAGCAAGACGTCTGCTAACAAGACGTCCGTCAACAACACGTCGCTCAACAAGACGGCATTTGGCGAGATGTCACTTTGCCAGACGTCATGGCGAGATGGCAATGTCGTTCGACACGATGTCGCTGGCTGTTGACAAGCCACTCGTTGACGAGAAGCCTCCGACCCGAGCCATGTCGCTGGCACTTGACAAGACACCTCAGACCTCCGCGATGTCGCTGGCACTCGAGAAGGCATTCGTTGACAAGACGCCTCAAACCCGAGCAAGCTCGAAGCCGCCCCGCCCGACCGAGCCGACCGCATGCACCGAGAAGAGCAAAGCCCGGAGCGGCCCGGGCTTCATGGATCTCCCGTACAACATCCGAAAACGAATCCGCCATGAGGCCTTGCTCGTGGATACCGATCGCGGCAAGCCGTTCCTCACCTCGAACCTGGCCACAGTCGCCAAGGAGTGGAGGGACGACATCGAGGAGGTCATTTTCAACGACATCACCATCGATGCGCTCGACGACCCAGAGGTCCTGGCGTTCAAGGCGATGTTCGCTACGGATAGACGCAGGCAGCTTCTCACTCGCCTGAATTTCGCTGTCGACGATAGCGAGACAGGACCGTGGTACAAGGAGAATGACGGCCTTGAGATTGCCCAAATCGTGGACAGCATCGGGGATTTCTTGAAATACATTCATCGCTGGGACTTTCGCAAGGAAGGGGGAGGCCGGCGACCCTTGGAGATCGCCTTCGCAACATCGCAGTTTCCGGACGCAAAGATCGATTGGTCTCACGGCCATCGACTCATCCCTAACACCACCTCTATGTGGGAACACTCGCGTGACCGGACTGCCTTCGGAGTTATGGAACTTTGCCAATTGTCATCTATATTTCACAAAGAGTCCAAGCTCCCACCCTTTCTCGACAAGGTGACATATCTCAGCATCCCACCCGACTGCATACCCCACATGATGGCGCAGGAGGTCATAGAAATGATGCCGAACCTGGAAACATTGATACTTGACCCTAGATTTGATGTGGAGTCTGATGAACCATGGGTGCGCTTGTTATGTAAGCTCCCTCATATTCAAGTTATGCAAGCCCACGATGGGAGGCTCACATGTATCGTTATCCAGATCTCATTGATTCCTTACCCAGCTCCGTGCCTTCGCTTCAAAACCTGACTTTGCGAAACACGGCTCATGTGCCTGACCGCGACACGAAGACTCGAAGTCCGCACAGACCGGAATGCATGGCGCTTTTCTCAGCTGTCTTGCGGGATAACAGCCAGGGACTCCGGTCTTTATGTGCAAACCCATTCGAAGTAGACGAAGAATTCATTCGACCGTTCTCACGGTTGAAGCACCACGTTTACAGAAACACCTGGAGATGGCCCCGATTGCAGCACATCGACTTGCAATTCTTCGAATACTGGGACGAGTGGGATGACAGGCCGTGGAAGACTGAAGAATGTCAGGCGGCTTTGGATAAACACGAAGACAAGGTCAAACAGCTACTCGACGACTATGGCCCGATAGAACCCCGTTGCGGTATGGATGAGACATGTCTAAGCTTTCGGCATGAGATGTCTTCGTATCTGAATATATGCCGGCCTGATCCCGAGGAGCCGATTTTGTCACCAACGCATATACTCATCGCTGCAGGAAGGGCCACCACCGCCATGCCGGTTCTGGAGTCTGCTCACATTTCCATCTTCTCACAGGCAAGGGGAACTCCTGGCATATTCGCCAAGCGAAAGCTGTGCCCCAAGTCCGGGAACACGACAAGCTCCCGCGTGTGGCTCTGTGATGACTTCCACCCGAAAGTCCGAGCGCATATCATGGAGGCGTGGGCTGATTTCCTCGGACCGGACCCAAAGGTTGACGCGGGACTGCCATCTGAGTTTACCCAAGTTCAGCGGTGCTCGCGCCCTACAGGATGATCTTCGATGCCGGTGTCAGAGTCCCTGGATTGGTGAGTACAGTCCATTGCTTACCGGGACGCAATATTTTCCTTCAAGCTCAGTGTGATGTGGATGCTGACAGATTGCCCCTCCAGAGACTTGTACCTGGGGCAGAATACAACGAGAAGTCATGAAGCGGTCTCCTTGATGAGGCAAAGTATGAGACTTTTGTCAACCCTTGGCAAGGTCCTTGAGAAAAGGATTGTAGGCTCAGCATATGCACCCAGAAACCTTCTGTCGCGGAACAATCCATGTAGGACTTTTCTGTTGTCCATGGGAAAAAAAAGGTGGTTCGTGGTTCGTGGTTCACAAGTATCAAGCTACATTTTTAGAAGCCAAATTCTGGCGAGTTTGTTTTATCGACAAAAGCTGGTAGTCAGCCCCCTGAAATTAGCACAAACACTTTGGAGCAATCTTTCCGAATGGGTAGTCCATGTGGGTCATGTGACTGTGAGAAGACCAGAAGCAAAAAGGCGAACTAGGTAACATGTGATTTCGTTTCTAATCCCCATATATTTAAAACGTATGTGGTGCCTTCATACAGTGGTAAACGCTCAAGACCCTACGTTTAAAAGAGTACCTAGGTAACATAATCCTGACCACATCGTCTTTGCGTTGGTCTTGCATGGCAAAGCACGCAGCACGGAAGGTCACTCGGGTCCCCGTTGGGCTTCTTTGGATCACTCCACTTGTCCGCTTTCTCACCGCTGCCACTGCTGTTCATTCGGTGAGTAGTAACATGCAGGATGGCATTACAACCCTGGGAAGCGGCCGAGGCGCGGCCCATGCCGCCAACGAGAACCTCATTCTACGTTGCGGAGTTCCTCTGCTCTGTCAGCTCCCGTTATGATGGCCCAGCGTCTAAGAAAACAAAAGGTCGGTGGTGGAGAGCAGATTGGACATTCTTAAAAATTTATTACACAGTACTGGTTCCAGCATCATTGCCTGAGAATGAGGCAAATGCAGGCGGAGACGGTGAGCAAAACTAAACCGCCGAGCTGAATGAGACCAGTTGACGTCCTTTCCATCCGCACTTGGCATACAGTTCAGACCTGACTCGGCCGCAGCTCCAGCTCCAGTAACGCACACGTCTTCGGCAAGAGTATGCGTGGAAGCCACGAAATGTACTTTGCCTATCTCAAGCGCCGATCATGAACCCTTTCTCAGACACTGTGCCGTCCCGTTAGCGGATGGCCAGGGGTTATCACTTGGGCCTCGCTGCGAACTGTGGCAAGTCGCTACGAACCGTGGCAATCTGTGATTGCTGTAGCCCATCTGAGATCGCATCTCATTGAAGTACCCCAGGACGAAAGCAAGACTCCAGAACGACTCGGATTCATATCAGGGTCCTAACCATTAGCACGCATCAGCAGGGGCAATTTCCATGCACGGTTCCAAGCCCGTTCAATGTTTCTACGTCAACTGGTGACCACGAGTAGCCATGGCTTGAGCAATTGTCCACACATGTAACTAATCATGTTCATTTTGATTTTCATTGATACACATCTAATCATCCATTTGGTTCTGTACTGGAAAGTCATCCTTGTAGTAAAGTCCTTCAAAAATTTAGAACCTCATGAACAACTCCATCACTCCCATCGAGAGCTCAGCGCTCATTTCCTCTTTTTTGTGTGTGTTTTTTGTTTTCCTTTTTTTTTCGTTTTCTATTTCTTACTTTCTTTTTCCCTTTGCGTATTCTGGTCGCAATGTAAAGTGCTTGGGCACATTGAGTCTGGAGTCTTATTGAGTCTTCTCTCTAGACTCTCCTTACACTCGATGGAGGCCATCGATTACTCGGGATCTTGGGCCTGGGACACGTTACCCTTTCCCCCATTGCCGCGTTTCTTCCTCCTGTTCTTCTTGCGGCTAGATTCAGGATGATGAGGGCTGGAAGGTGTGTTGCTGGGGTCCGATGGCTGTTGTGTCTGAGTGTCAGCTTCAGTAGGGGATGGTAGGCCGGCGTCTTCGTGCCCCCCCGAGGGTGAGCCAGAGGCTGCGCCGCTTGCTACGGCTTGGTCTTGGTCGTTCGTTCCAGCCTACTAGTACGTGTTAGCGACATGCAACGGGTCTGAGAATGACGCGCTCCGGAACATTTCAAGCTGTGGAAGATGGGGGCCTGTGAAGGGATGCTAAAAGTAGGAACTCACTCTGCTGTTGGAACCACCACGGCCGCCACGGCCGCCACCGCCGCCACGGTTGCCACCCCTGCCACTGTTCTTACCGCGACTGGTGGAATCGGGACCAGGCCTACGCTCATCCGAAGGTGGCGGGGCGTGACGGGAAGAACTGAGTGAGTTTGGGGTGTTGGAAGATGGGGAGGGAGTGGCTGCGGGCTGGAGACTGGGGGTGTAGGTCTCATCAAACCACCGCGTGTACTTAGTTTCGTTGGGTAAAAACATCTTTGCGACGACCCTGTTCACGGAAGTGGGCGTACGCTGGCGACGAAAGAGGCCGGTTTCGGTTTCACAGTCGACAATTGGACCGACCTCCGAAATGTTTGGAGCTTTGCCATGGGCAAGGACACAGGCAACGGGGTCGTCGCTGCCGTTAGGATCGGTGACTTTGCCAGTCTTCACGTCAATATGGAAGCCCAGGAGCGCCTCTCTTGCGGCTGAGCGCTTCCTAGAAGCATCCTCCTGTTCGTCTGTCCTGGGGACCCTGATTTTGCTTGAGCTTCCAGTGCTGTTGTCACCATCATTGGTGGTGTTGCCATCAGGACCGTTCTCAGCAAGCGAGCCCTCGGCCTCGGAAGAAAAGGGGCCAGGAGCGGCAGCGTCGGAGCCCTGCGAAGGATCTCCCTTCGCTGACTCATGGGGATGAGAACTCGACCCATGAGTAGGAGTGGGAGGATCACTGCGCTTGCTGGGATCGACCTCACCGCCGCCGCCGGGACCGTGCCTCGGTGCCTCCTTACGCAGGGCGGGGGGCAGGCTGCGACGGCCGGGTGGAGGCAGCGATCGAGGGATGCGGGTGGCGATGAAGTCGGACAGGAGGCGGTCGCCGCCCGGCATGGCCAAGATCCGCACCAGGGTGGGCCACTGGCGACGGGAGAAGGAAGACCAGATGGGACTGACGACGCCGCCCCTGAACATTGGCGAGCGGTTGAGGAAGTGTCGCAGGCCCTTGCCGAAGCGTGGCGCGGGAGGGACAGGGCGAGTGCCGCTGGCGGGCTGGCCGGGCTGGGGCGCGGTGCGAGCGCCGGGGCGGAGCGCAGAGAGGACGGAGGGGATGTTGATGCCCATGGCCATGAGGCGCTGGAGGGTGATCATCACGGCCCCGCTGATGAACAGGAGGAACTGGCGGCTGCCGAAGTAGGACAGCAGCTGCGAGGCGACCTCGGTCTGGATCGTGACCTTGATCTGTCGGACGACATCAGGGTGGAGAGCTTGAGGGGCGTCCTCCTTCTTGGTGGCCATGTACTTCAGCTCCTCCACCTTCTCGGTGAGCCTGGCGTTGTCGTCAAGCTCCTTGGCGAGCTCATTCCCGAGGCGTTCAATTTCCTCATCGTGCTTGGCCTGCTGCTCCTTCTCGCGCTTGGCTGAGTCGGCAACGTGTGTGTCCAGTTTATTCTGGATGCGCTGAACTTTATCCTCGCTGGCTCGGCAACGAGCATCGCAACGAGCATCGGTGGCTTGGCAACGAGCCTCGACTTTGGCCATAAACGCGGCCTGTTCCTCGCGGCGAGCCTTGCCATTCTCTTCGAGGCGCGCGTTGAAGTCGTCACCCTGCTTGTCGATGGCCTTCTTGGTCTCGTTGTGCTTCTCGTCGACGTCGTCCTTCACCTTCTTGAGGTCTTCCTTGCCGACTAGCTTCTTCTCCAATGCCGTCCACATCCCGCGCAGCGAGTTGATCTGATCCTGGAGACTGAAGAATGACTTGGTCCTTGCCTTGTTGTCAGCCTCGCGCTCGGTCTCCTGCTTGTCCATCTTCTCCTCGATTCCATCGACTCTAGTGCGCAGCCCGTCAACAAAGTCCATAAGCTTCTTGATTTCCTGGCACAGGGTTTTGACGAATTCATCGATTAGGGACCCTAAAGAGGTGCCGAGTTTCTTGACCGTGGCGGACAGCGCATTCAGTTTGTCTTCAAGCTTCTTGCGGGCCTCGTCGTCTGCCCCGTTGTTCTCGAGCCCATCGAGCTGTGTTCTGAGGTCTTCCATTTCCTGCGCGAGTCTCTTGACAACCTCTGAATCAGCCTTGCTTCTCTGGAGCTGGCCGATCCGCTTATTGAGATAGGCCACTTGCTTGGACAATCGCTTTGCACGTGATTTGAGACCGGTGACCCTCTTGGACAGGGCCCCGATCCGCAAGTGCAAGTTGAAAATACCGCGTTGAACCAAGCCCACGAAGCCGTATATAAATAGATTGATTGTCGCGGTTGACCTTTCGAACAACCTCATCCGACGGCCAAAAATCCCTACCGCATCAGTGAGTATCTCCCCTAAACTGGACTGGTCGTTTTGGACTGTCTCGACAGTGCTCTCAAGACTTGACAGGTTGCCGAAGACCTTGGAGATGTCGGACTTGACCATGGGCAGCTCGGCGGCGTTGCCCTTGACCAGCCTGGCCAGCCTAAGAAACCTGAGAAAGTAGGCGACGAAGGTGGCCACCACGATGGCGACTATGAATATCACACAAGCTCCAACGCTGTATGCGAGGGAGATGCTGCGAGGGAGTTCATAGCGATCGAGGCAGAAGCAGAGGACCAATGAGAGGAAGCAGACGGTGGGAAGGAAGCTGCACGCAGAGATGAGGTCGACGATGTTGACGAGCCTCCAGAGCAGATACCATGCCAAGAGGACTGCCAGTGCGGCGAAGGTACAGCGATCCTCGACTCGGAAGCTGAGGTACCACGACACGGCAGACTTGGCTTGAGGTGACAGGATCGACTTGGCTTGAGAGGTGGACAGCCTGACGAGGAGCTCCAGGGCGCCGGCGACGTCCTGCGGTGCGGCCACTGTCTCGAGATGAGGCTGTGGCTCAGGCTCAGGCTCTGGCTCAGGCTGAGGCTCGACATCAGGCTCTGGTTCGACTTCTTCAGGCAAGGCTGTCGGGGCAGGCTCTGGTGTGGGCATCGCCGTCGACATTGCTGCTGGGACCCAGGTGGACTTGGGCACCGGTGAAGGTGGAGCAGGTGTCGGGGTGACTTGGCAGGGCGTGCCGAGGGTGGTGATGAAGTCGGGAGTTTGGACAGGAATTGATGGGATGGTCAGGTTGGCTTTAGCTGGTACCTCGGGCGGGAGCAGGCAAATGTCGTTGACGGTGATGGTGTCATTGACGAGGATGGTGTCTTTGACGAGGATGGTGTCATTGACAATCATCGGGTGAGCCAAGATGCCGTCCGCCGGGGTGTTGAGGCCGCTCTGCGATGAAATGAAGACCACAGAGGCCAGCAGAACCATAGCCAAAGGGAACGTCTTCCAATTTCTAGTCCACATTGGTCTATCGCCTCCCTCGTTTGTTTCCCCGACGCTCGCCTCGCGGCGTGCGACAGGGGCCATGAGGGCGACGGATGCTGCCATGCAGATTGTGGTCGCTTCACGAAGGAAGATGGTGTCTCGAGTAGCATCCAGATGAAGGAAGTAACAACCAAGCAACCAGAAGAAGACGGCCGAGACTTTGGCATCTGTGTGACCAAGACGACTGGAGTTCGGGTTGGATGCCAGAACAAGACCGAAGAAGAGACCGAAGAAGGCGAGGTTGAGAGCGACGCCGAGATAGCTGCCGCCCTCCATGATGAAGGATGTGGATGCCGCGAAGAAGCAGCAGCTGACGAGAAGGCCGTACTTCAATAAGAAGTTTAGTGAGCCTAACAAGGCGCCGAAGACGCCTTGTATGGCCGACATGATGGTGTTTTACGGCAAAGCCGCAGGAATCTTGGGTGATGTCAAGATTGATGTGAGGGTGAGGTTGGGGTTTGGGTACTTTGAGTGAGGTTGAAGTTCTGTGGGTTCAAGTTTGTCAGCGATTGATTGATGGGAAGACTTCAAAGGTTGGTAGCGTGTGGTGGAGTAGGGCAGTACGAGGGGCGACGCGCGACAGAGTGCTCAAGTGGGAGTAGGTGGCAGTGAATTGAGAGTAGATGGAAGTGAGGCGGGGTAGAAAAACAAACCTCGAAGCTCACGACTGCGTGACGGTAAAGCCGCAGGTATCTTGGGTGAGGTCAAGATTGATTTGTGATGGGAAAGATGGGGTTTTGAATGCCTTGAGCGAGCTTGAAGTTCTGCGATATCAAGTTTGTCAGCGATTGATAGGAAGACTTCGAAGATTGGTTGCATGTGGTGGAGTAGGGCGGTGGGTGGTGGGCGACGTGCGGTAGAGTGCTCAAGTGGGAGTAGATGGCAGTGAAGTGAGAGTGAATGGCAGTGAGGCGGGGTAGAAAAACAAACCTCGAAGCTCACGACTGTTTTACGACAAAGTCGTAGGTATCTTGGGTAGAGTCAAGATTGATTTGTGTGGGTTTGGGTGTCCTGAGTGAGGTTGAAGTTCTGTGATGTCAAGTTTGTCAGCGATTGATGGGAAGACCTCGAAGCTTGGTTGCCAAGGTGTCTGTGGTGGAGTAAGGCGATGGGCGATGGGCGATGGGCGATGGGCGACGGGCGGTAGAGTGCTCAAGTGGGAGTACGTAGCAGCCCTGGAGTGAGGTGGGCGGTGCGGGCGTCAGTTGAGGAGGAAAAACAAACCTCGAAGCTCAAAACTACGTATTGGGCTCAGTTTCGACTATTTGTCGAGTGGTGGTACAGTCGTCAATCTGGAGGCGAGGAACGAGTCCCCTTTGCTCGAGACGGCGTTTGGCTGTACGATCGGTGGATGGGGCGCACAAGATGAGTACTTGATGGAGGAAGGGGGATTATCAACAAACTTGGAGGTACGAAACAAGTTCGTCTTGCTCGAAATCGCTGATGGGAATCTGGTCTGGTGTGATGCTTGAGACTGTCGGTTGTTGACAACTCGAAGGCAGAACCAGATTGGGTTGAAGGAAGAGAGGAAGGGAGGGAGGTTGAGTTTGGATTGGGAGGGGGGGGAGGGGGTTTCAGTACTTGGGACTGGACTGCGAGGCAGTGCGGATATTTTGGGTGAATGGAATCTGCCCATAACTGGTTAGCTGGACAGGTGAATGGGAAGCTGTCAGTCAAACGCTTCTCGGTGCCCAGGCCAGTTACTTTGGACAGTCACCCTTGGTCAGTCACTGATAACCAGCCACAAGCCCAGCTAGAATCGACCGCGCCTGGATACCAGGTGCGCATGGGTGGCCCAGTACCGAATGGGCCTGCTGAGGGCATCTGGAGGATCGCAACAGACATGGACTCTTGATGAAGGTATAGGGAAATAGCACAGATATATCACTGCGTACTCCTCGGGCTGTAGGACTGTCACATCTACTGCAGACTCTGATCTGATCGAGAGCTGCTGTGCTTATATAAACTGTTACTTCGAGTCAATCTAGCTAGAAGGCCCCAAGCTTGTATGATGCGATGGGATCAAGCGGCTTGGCTGCCAGGCAACCTTGGAATATTTGGGAAGAGCAAGCGCTTCAACACACCACCGAGCGAACAGGTTTCGTGGAGCGTCTCGCCAGCCAGATGAGCAGGCGAGCTTCAACCAGGAACACCAGACTATTTCCCCAAATCCATACTCCCCAGCCGCAAATATTCAACCTTGCCTGCGAATTCCCGTCCAATTCCTTCATATGTATGTGTCCTAAAGTCGTCTCCCTCGCTCTCTATTTTGTCCTCACGACGGATTTCTTGCATGTAGTCCACAAGGAGTCACGTGAAAGAGCGGATGGCTGTGCCTCAGAACCGCGTATCTGATTCCATTGTTTTTCTGAGGGACTGGGAAACTTCCTATTCGGAAAAACAACTGTCCTGAGTCCGTCGGCTGGTTTATGGCGGGATGTTTACATCTCATCCCGCCGGTGTATTTCGGAATCCCCAGGGCTTCGAGTACGTCCGTCCCACTTCGAATATTGGCAGCCAGGCTTCGAGCAGTGCTAGTAAAGCCAGACTTGACACAAGGAAAACTCAGTGTAGTCTGCTGTTTACTTTCCCTGAAGCTTTCAATCAATCGAGAATGATGCCATGGTATGCTTTCATCGAGTTTTACGGCCTAGCCACAATGTCTTGTCGTTGAAATTCTGTCTAGAGATGGTATACATTAGTGGGCGGTTCGTCTAGACAGACGAGAGAGAAGCCATGAGGACCGTCTGTTCCCTCAACTTTCCTCCAATTCTCATCCCTTCCCTATAAAAAAAGATGATGCCGAAAGGTTGATGAAAACAGGTTGCTACGGCCATGATGTGTTGAACTTCTGATTGCGAGGAACGCTGGCACTTGTTTGGTGTGCCAGACAGAGGGGCATTCATGCATGGTGTAGGGGGTTCATGTGGGATGCAGAAGGGAATGGCTGATCGGGTGCACAGTCAGTCTGACAGCCCGAGGCCTTGCTGGGTCGTGATGTGCTTCCAGCATACATGCCTGCTGGCCACCTGGGCACGAGCACGCTTCAAAGCCTGCGTGCCTCTCGAACACGCAGAAGGAGCCAGTTGACCTGTAAAATGCATTTTTGCAGCGTCCTCGCATCGAAAATTGAAGCGAGACATCTCGGCCGAGTGTGAGGCTGCTGTAATCGACATCTTAGGCCATCCTCCTCAACAGATTCCCATAGCCCAGCCCGAGTCAGCACGATGACACGGGTGATTCCATGGCCGAGCTGCTTCGTAACGAGGCTCATCCACAGCCAGCTGATCGCAAAACGACGCCTGCTTGTTTCCTCTGCCTCCCGTGCTAGGAAACCTTTCGTCATCACGGGGAGCAACATCGACATAAAAGCTCGAGAGTCGAGCTATCGCCCGTCAGGACCTTTTTCGGTCGACACATTAGCTAACAACGATATAGGCATCAAAAAAGAACCAGCAAGGCCCTACGCGTGCCTCGGCACAAGCCGCCTGACCATCGTAGTCCACAGCGTTGACAAGGGCGAGGCGGCAAACTTGGAAGCTAGACACGGTCATGCCTAAGATGAATACCACGGCGGGGAGACCCATGCTCCATCTGGCGCGATGATGAAGAACAGGCATCTGTCTGAGCGAATTTGAGTTGAGCTGACACAGACGCGCATCTGCATCGTGCCAGGCTGCGTTGCCAACTTTGCTCATTAAGTGCACGAGGATACCTAGGTAGATATGAACAAGTCAGTCGTTCGCTTCGTGTAGACATTCCAAAATGCCAGCTGCTAAGCCTTGTGGCATTTGCTGAGATGCTTGCTCACTGAAAGCATGGCTGCAGGGTGCTCTGAGGTCGGTCGATGGCCTGCACTCCAGACCGTCGATTAACTGCTGCTCAGACGCGCCCCGACGCGTCCCGACGGACGTTGAACGCGATAGTCACGTGTTTGGGCAGTGGGCAGTCAGCACTAGCCTGCTTTCGGGTGGCCAACCTACCTAGGTAGCTGCCATCAATCAATCTGCTATCGATCAACAGGGGGTCTCTTGATGTTACGCTGCACATGTGCAGAATGGCGCCAGTTCTCTCGTGTGTCCTGCCGGGGTATTACGAAGCAACCTGAACCAATGCATCGGCCCCGAGCAGCAGAATGAGCTCAGCATAGCATGGGCCAACCCTGCTGTCACCAAAATCCCACGTTCGACTTCATTCACCTCTGCCAGGCACGATGGACCTGACGGCGACACAATGGCTCTTTGAGACACGTGCCCTTCGTGTGCTCCTCAGCATAGTGCTGTCGGCGTCTCTGGCCTGGTACCTTCTCGGCCGCAGCCAACGCCGTCGTGTGAGCAAGCCCTCAGTTGCCCCCCTCCACCCCAATATCCTGATCACTTGCTAACGACCACTTAGGCCGAGGAGCGCTTTGCCGCTGAGCGAGGGTGCCTGCCGCCAAAGATATGGAACTCGACCTGGCCCCTTGGCCTGGACATGCTGCTCAAGGCTCTCAAGTACGCCAGGACTGAGCAGATCCTACAGTTCTTCCTCGAGGTCGTCGACGACAATGGCACCACGTTTGTCCAGGAGCTACTGGGTGCCACCGGCATCGATACGGTGGACCCGGAGAACATTGAGGCCGTCCTCTCCACCAACTTCGAAGGTACGTCGCCACGGCACCCATGCCGCCGCCTCAGCCACGGCCGCAGCATATCTGACTAACAGTCACAACTCACCCAGACTATGGCCTCGGTCTGCGAGCCCCGCACTTCAAACCCCTCCTCGGCAGCGGCATCTTCACCCAGGACGGCGCGCCGTGGAAGCACTCGCGGGCCCTGCTGCGGCCACAGTTCGCCGCCAACCGGTCCCAGAACTTCGAGCAGATCAAGAGCTGCGTCCAGGACCTCATCGACGCCATCCCGGGCGACGGAAGCACCGTCGACCTCCAGCCGCTCTTCTTCAAGCTGACCTTCGACACGACCATGTTCCTTCTCTTCGGCGACTCGGTGCTGGACCTCGACTGGGGCAAGGTCGCGGGCCAGGAGTCGTCCTTCGCGCAGGCCTTCAACCTCGCCCAGGACTACCTCGCCCACCGCGGCCGCCTCGGCCAGTTCTACTGGCTGCTCAACGACAGGACCTTCCGCGACGCGTGCAGGAGGTGCCACCAGTTTGTGGACGAGGCGGTGGACAAGGCACTGCGGCGGCCGGGCAGCAGCAGCGGCAGCGGCAGCGCGCAGGACATGGGCAAGGGGGAACTACGTAGCAATTACTCGTTCATTGACGCACTGGCGGAGCAGACGCAGGACAGGAAGGTGCTGCGGGACCAGTGCTTCAACGTGCTGCTCGCGGGCCGCGACACCACTGGGTGCTGCCTGTCCTGGTCGATGAGGCTCCTGGCCCGCCACCCACAGGTTCTCCAGCGCCTGCGGGACGAGGTCGCAAGCGTCTGCGGCCTGGGCCCTGGCTCGCAGCCGCCGTCGCGGGATGACCTGAAGCCCGCGCGGATGCCATACCTGAGTCTCGTAGTCAAAGAAGGTAAGCACCCCCCATTGATCGACCACCCTTTCTCTAGCTCGAACCTCAAAACCCTAACTCGCCCAAGTACTCCGACTATACCCCTCCGTCCCCGTCAACTCAAGAGAAGCCATCCGCCCGACCACGCTCCCCGTGGGCGGCGGGCCCAACGGCAGGGCGCCCATCCTCGTCCGGCCGGGCCAGGCGGTCGGCTACTGCGTGTACGCGATGCACAGGCGGAAGGACATCTACGGCGACGATGCCGAGGCGTTCCGGCCCGAGCGGTGGGAGGAGCTGAAGGACGTGGGCTGGGCGTACCTCCCCTTCAACGGCGGGCCCCGCCTCTGCCTGGGCCAGGACTTTGCGCTGCTCGAGGTCTCATACGCGCTGTGCCGCCTGGTCCAGGTGTTCCCGCGCATCGCGGTGCCGGCCTCGGAGGAGGGGCAGCCGCACGTCGCCGTCGGGATGGAGAGGCAGGCCCTGACGCTGGTTGTCGCCAGCGCGGACGGGTGCCGCGTATCCCTGGGGTGATAATAACACCTGCCGCCGATAGCCAGTGAGCTAGTTAGACAGGTTAGACAATGTTCTGTGCACACCTCGGCGAAACAAGCGAGTCGGCCCACTCCAGTCGCGTGTATGTGACGTGACAGGCGCGCCGCCGTGGGTCGATTGTGTCGCCCGAGGCGCCGGCGCGATGGCCTGACCGATACCGATCGCGATGCTCGCGGTGGCTGGCTGGCTGCCCCTACGGGGCAGGGTGAAACAAATGTCGTTGGTGGGCACAGACGCTTGCCGCCAGGGGCCCTGATTCCCCCCCAGACGCCAAGGCGCAATGCGCCCGCCCCGCGGGGACGCTGCGGCAGCAGCAGGACTAGTATAAGCTTTGCATATGTATGTAGGAGGGATCCTCATATGGTGGGTGGGGTGGGTCTCGTTTTGAAGCAGGATAGTCGAATGATGAGTAAGTTAGTTGAGGTCGCTCCTGAATCGAAACAGTTGCCAGTCATCACAATTTTGTTGAGTATCTGGGTACGTAATTGCTGGGGGATATCATAGGGTTTCCTTTGTCCCCCAGGCAGATAGATACATGGCTGGGCTAATAATGTCATGGAGGCTCTTGTCTTGATACCTAGGCAAACTAGAGCCTGGCAATGGCGAAAGTGCACCGCATATACCCGGTGTTGATTTGACTCATCTCTGGCTCGGAGTATCTATTAGGTAGAAAACAAACATGTGGACATTGAACAGGTCGACTAGTCTTCATATTACTCGAAGCTAATAAACTGGCTAACCCGTTACATTAGGTCCAGCCGAATCAATTTCGACTTCCGCAACCTCTATCCGACGGAGACCCATGCGGCGCAAGGAGCCCACGAGGGAACACTCCACTGATATGTGTTAGTATTATTGTTAAACTAATCCTTCGGTTCCGTGACACGAATGAACCAAGCAATCCTCGATCCGAGCGACCTCGACGCCCCCCCCCCCCAACGACCCAGCCCAAAGGATGTTCCCAGCTGCAATGGTAATATCATGCGGCACACCGCCCTTGCAATAGTACAGTTGAATGTCATTGCCAGCACCCACTCAGCCCAACCCACAATGCCCGGCCCGAGTTACTACTTCGTCGCCCCTCAAGATGGGCAAATGAAGGAACAAACGGCCGTGGCAAAGGGGTGCCCGAGTCGGGCCGGGCCGCTCATGCTGCTGCGGCGGCGGCTGGGGTTCTTTCTGCTCGACAGGTAACAGGTAGTTAGCACAGGAACATGATGTTCGAGTTTGCCACCGGCCTATCTATGGTGGTTGGATCAGCCAGCATTACCAAGCGTTCGGGTCAGATAGTCTGGCGTAACTAGGCACTTGGGTAGGCTGTGCCCACGTCCTGCTGTCAGCGCAGCTGGGGATGGAGTTCAAATATTCCGGCCACCACACCGCCATGTCCGTAGAGCCAGCCGGTACACTTGGGAGAGGGACAGAACACCGTGCCCGCTTTGGCGTGGTCGAGAGGTGTCTCTGCTCTTCCATGATGAAGGCGCCGCCGTGGTTCCAGAGGACAATCCCAGTCGGGCCTCAAGTGCTTGTTAGCATGGTTGGGTTTGGCAGGGTAACTACATATGTACCTTGTCCCGCCGACCTTTGATGTTGTCACTGCGGATAGATAGTGTAGCAGGCCCTGCTGGATGTATGAAAATGTGAAGGCCTGACGACCTGGAACCGCGTGCTCCTGCTTTCCTAGTTTGTTCCAGTGTCAGGCTTTGCGCTAGCACCGGCGGCGCGACCACATGGGAGCAAATGTGTCCCGATAGCTTCCGATCAGACGCGCCGCGGTGGTCTGTGTGAAGGTCTATCTCGGGCCAGGTCGCCAGACCAGGGCCGTTGAAGGTGAGCCGATGATGATGAGGGCTAATAGGCTTGAGACTTGGATAATTTGTAGCGATCACGGCGTGCGAGTCGATCGGGGTGCTCGCTAAGATTTGCCCTGCCCAAACTTTGGGGTCTCGCAAGGGTGCAGCTGGCAAGCATTGCGGTAGGAGCAGCTTTCCTCGTCGAGCCTCCCCGTTCCAGCTCAGTCTGTCTCGCGTCCTGTACCTAGTTATGTCGCCACACGGTTGGGGGGGGGGCATGTGCCAAGAGAACTTGAGGCTTTAATGAAAATGAGAAGCAGCCTGAGACTTCAGCCTCATCAGACGTCGTCAAGATTACACTTCTCGTATCTTGCCAGTGCATTTTCCCTTTTCATGAAAGCACCCATGTACCCATCTCGCATCATATGATCACAGCGCTAGCTGCTGACTGACGAGGGGCCATATGGCCCTGTCTCCAGGACCCTGCTCGGAAATTTCGTGCTGATGGGTGGTGACGTGCAGGGACCCCTGCACGGTGCTCTGCAGATAAGCCCTCTTATCGATAAGGCTGCCACTCCTCCTACCTTAGGTACTCCGTAGTCTACACCTGCCTTGTTTCTTTATTTCCTTGGCCGGCGCTAGCATCACATCACATCTCGACAAGCGGAATTGCCAATTCGGTCTGCACCTTAGCCGTGCTCAACTGCCGCCTGAAACCCCAGTATTGTGGCTACTGCTCTGGCGATCGTCTGTGCCCCAGGAAATATAGGCGACTCCCCCCTAATGTCAGACCTGGTGCCACATGCAGGCGACGCACGCCCTGCTCTCAGGCTCCGGGCCCCAGGCTCCAGGCTCATCCATCATGCGCGGGCCACCAGGTTGACAGGTTCCACGAGCCTCTCTTGGGCCGGGGACAGTGGAGTTGAAACGTCGGGCCCTCTAGGCTGACAAGCTCCACGAGTTCGTTTTGGGCCGGGACGGTGGAGTTCGAAACGTCGGTTAATTCCTCCTTCTGCCTTGTACACACGTGCATGTCAGTCTATCATTACCTGTCCTGACCTGACAGAACAGCGGTTGCCCATCTCGATGGGGGCCTTGGCCTCTCCCGCCGTGCCCCGGGCTGTGTCATATACCTTTCAGCCTGCCTTGCTTCGAGTCAGGCTGGTCCACGCACGCGTGACCACGCTGGCGGGGGGCTCGGCAACAGCTGGAGCTCTCTGTCTGATTGCTCATCAGCCAGCCAGCCGCGCCCAGAGCCAGCCCAGCCGCGCACAGAAGCTGAGCTGACGAGCTTGCGAGATACCAAGCTGGGGATCAACAAAAGATAGGCTTGATCTGACCATGCCAGAGCCGCCGTGACGGTGCACCAAAGGCACGGTTCCAGCGGTCGGAGCAGCCCAAAGTCTATGGCCAGCAATCCAAAAGTGCGAAGACTCTTGGGTGCGTCTCAACATTTCTCGGTCGACAGAGGATGCGATTGTGGCCACTCAAGGCTGCATACACGCCGCGCTAGACGCACGCACATCAACTTTATTTTCACTCTCTGCTGCGAGGTTGAGTCGACTCGAGTGGGATTTTGGGTTTGTCGACTCATGTGGTGTTCAGGCCAGCGGGTTTCACCACTAAAACCCCCCCTCCTCTCGCCGCCCTGGTGCTGGTGCAAAACCCAAAAGTTTAATTAGGCTCTAAAATAAGGTTGCCGCTGCATGCGCCTACGATTCGGCCCCCTCCGGGTCAAGATCTGACACAGTCTGCCTACCCCAGCGCACGATAGCGCGCGTTCCAACGGCGGCTGTCTGGCTGTCTGGCTGACAGGCTAGCAGGCTAGCAGGCTGGCAGGCTGGCTTTTTGTTATCTCAGAACCAGGGACTGGCCAGGCAGTGGTTGCGGTGCTCGCCCGACAACGGTTTGGACCCTGGAAGAACCACGGGTTGGGCCGCAAGCGAGAGAACTCCATTGGACCCTCTGATGCTGGGACAAGGTGCAACTACACCCTACGTCTAACGTCTGGACTGGTCTATTCAACTATCGCCCTCTACGGGTAACTTGGGACGAGTTTTGCTTCGCTTGATGGGGCCGACTGCATGTAAACTAGGTGACCATCCTCCCGCGGGCGGGAAGACCTCGGGAGTCGTCTCAAGGCTGCAAAGCGATGGCGGAATAAAGTTCACACCTTGTCAGCGATTCGCAACCTCGCGAGTCACAGGTGCATGTCGGGGTGCATGTCGGGATGCACGTCTACTCAGGCACAACATTACGGATGCCACACGCTCGGAGTTTCTACAGGTGGGCCCACACCTTATGGGCAGGGCTGTGTGAACTTGTTCCAGAAGGGTCACCCGCACACCGTCCGGGGCGGGCGGGTGGCGGAGAGACGGAGCCTAATTCAAACTAAGGTTGATATATATGTCGACGCAAATCTCTGCTCACGCCTCGGTTACACGGCTGACCTCTCTCAAGTAATGTCGACCGCACGTCAACCACCAGCTCCATCGCCGACGGAATCGCGCGCCCGCCGACGGAGACCACATACACGCTAATGGGCTAGCTCACGAGACAACAAGATGGATTCGGATGTTCGAGGCCCGGAAGGGGTCGAGCTGCCGACCGAGAACAGGTCGGGGGTTGTGAGGGCCGTCGTCTCTACATTGATACCACTCGCAGCACTGGTAGTCGGCCTGCGCTTCTACGCCCGACATCACCTTGACCGCTGGGTCGGCATAGACGATTGGGCTGTGTTGGCGGCATTTGTAAGATCACCTCGCTAGGATAGGCAAGTCCACTGCCACAGTGTACTGACACACCTTTTAGGTTTTCACCGTGGGTTTGGGCATCACTATCTGTCTCATGGCCGAGGTGGGACTTGGACAACACTTGTGGGACCTCAGCGAATCGCAGATCGAGCAGTACTTCAAGGTGAGCGCTCTTATGGACTCTGTTTCTGATGCACACTGGACTGACAACTGCCAACAGCGATTTTACTTCACAGTCATCCTATACTACTGCGCCCTGGGCTCCATCAAGAATGCGCTGCTGCTGCAATACAGACGCATATTCGGGTCCAAGCTTCGCCGGCCGATCAACATTGCCTTGCTTGTTATTGGCTCATGGAGCATCGGCCTCGTGCTGGTGTCCATATTCACTTGCCACCCAATCTCGGGATACTGGATAAAGGACGTCAAGGCCACCTGCATTCCTACGTACCAGTGGTATATCCACTCCGCTGGCAACATCCTGAGTGACCTTGTGATATTCACCTTGCCCATACCGGTCCTGTGGAACATGAAGGTCTCGATGAGGCAGCGGCTCCTCTTGATCCTCGTTTTCTCATTAGGTCTTCTGTAAGTCAACCGCGCCTATCCGAATCAGGGTTCCATCCTCGCCACCTTGCTGACGACATGACCAAAAGCAACTGCTCCATATCAGGTATTAGGATCAAGTACCTACCCATAGTAAACCGCAACCCAGACGTCACCTACGACAACCTCGACGCCGCCGCCTGGACAATGGGCGAGGTGTGCCTCGCCATAATCTGTGCCTGCCTCCCAACCCTACGTCCCATATACGCCCGAGCCGCAAGGCAGAGGTTTACAGACAGCCTGGGGCCCGGCCTGAGGCGACGCAAGGCGGCGTACTACGGGGGCCCCGGCCGTGACCTCCTCACGCCAACCGAGGGCGTGTCGTCCTCCACGGGCATCATGTCCCGCCGTGATCACCAAAACATCGACATCGAGAAGCTCGCCAGCCCGCGGGCGACCCCGAAGCTGAGCTCGATCGACACGAGCTCCGACTGCACGCGGACGGGGATCTACCAGTCGCAGTCGCAGTCGTCGCGCGCCCCGTCCCAGTGCGATCACCACTGCTACGAGCTCGTGGAGAGCCCTCCGCTGGTGCAGCAGCACCCAGAGCGGAAGCTGCCCAGGCCGAGGGTGGCCAGGGTGCCTGGCGCCCTCACCAGCCCGTGCCAGCCGCCCGAGCACCGGCGGCCGTCCGTCCAGAGCATCCTGGACGAGATCGTCGTCACGCAGCCGCCGAGCGCCATCATCCACGAGGCGCTCGGCAGCAACTTCCCGATCCGGGTCGCGGGGCACGTCGAGCCCCTGGGCGCGTCGCGGGGCCGCTTCAGCTCCATCGACACGGTCGCCAGCGAGGGGCTCAGCCCCCCGAGGCCCAGGATACGGCGCATGGCGTCGGAGGGCTCGGCCGCCCCGCACGTGTCGCACCTCACATCACCAACCTGGCGGGACCCCGGGTCGGCAGCGCGGATGCCGGCTGACTTCTTCAACAGGGTCGACTTCCAGGTCGTAGGCTGGGGCAGCGGGTCGGCGAGCCGTTCCCCCAGGGAGGTCGGCCACGCCCCGCGGGATCTTGTGTAGGCGGCGGGCGCGGCTTTCAGAACTAAGTACCTACCTGGACACATACAGGATGCATGTGCACATACGGGACACGTGTGGAGAGGAGAAGGACAGATATTCATCCTTCGATATTTTCTTTTGATGATACCCATAAGGCTTTTGGGGTAAGGACCACTATAGACGGCGGGCAAGAGGGACGTCCGCAAGGAAATCCGCAAGGGAAACCAACCAACCACATAGGCATTATTCAGACATATTGTATAGTTCTTGTAATTTGACGTCACACGTTTACTCTCTCATGCATCAGTCACCCCATGACGGAGCTGAAATCCATACCCAGCCAGCCTGGTCGAGGGCGCAACACCACATACGGGATCACACGGCTGCAGATCCATCTAGCAGACAACGTCCACCTCCGGGCCCCAGCCATCAAATCCCGACGCACGACTCCGCCACCCAACCCCGGCCGGCCCCGAACCCCCGAAGCCGACATTCCTCTGACACCGACTGACTGACTCTCCGCGACGAACGCCACCCACCCCACCTCCACACCGGCCGTTTTGCCTCATCTACATGAGTCGCCCACCCGCCCTCCCGCCCGGGTCGGGATTCGGGACCGGGTCCTGCCCTGCCCAACCCAACCCACCCTGCCCAATGCTACGCGACGAAACGGGAACGGCCGCACCCTGCACCCATCTCACATGCGGGCTGGGGTCTCTTTCGTCCGAGGTTGACGACGTGGTAGATACTGTATGCAGGGCACATCTGTGCCGTTGGAGAGAAGCACGGGGCTGAGATCTGAGTGGTACTGGTGAGTTGAGTTGAGTGAGTGTAGCACCCGAGGATCAGCCATAAGTGGCCAGTGAGTGAGTGAGTGAGTGTCGTACCCGAGGATCAGCCACAGCTGGTGAGCGAGCGTAGTATCCGAGGATCATCCAGGATGCGACGGTATCTTCCGTGGACACCTGCAGCCCTATCTGCCTACCTACATACTTAAAACAAGGGGGCAGGCCGCGGTCAGGTAATGGATGACTGCGGACGGGAGTGGACGCTGGTTGATCGGTTTGATGATTCGTATGTATGTTCTTAAGCACAGGCTTGGCTGCTGCACTTCCTCCTCAGACGCTCGCTGGCTGATCCCCGGATACCCTCGGATAGCTCGGGAGCGAGGGGCGCGGCAATAGTTACCTTGCTGCTGCGGGAACTAATGCGACGTTCACTGACGATTAGTTATAGATAGTAATAGCCAGGCGCACCATGCCACTGATCGCAGCGGGTATTATGCCGCCCTCGCTGAATCTGCCCCTTCCAAGGTTGGCAGGCTGACTGACTACGTACGTCGTATGCACGGCAGGAGGCCCGCCCACTCGTCATGAGACAAGACGCGCGTGTGTGTTGTGTGTTGTGCGGCAGCCTCGCGATGTCGTGGGCGTGCTTGATTCCTGTATCAGCCTCCTTCGGAGTGCCAGACCTAGGTATCTTCCTTGCTGTTGCTGGCGCTTGGAAGGGACTGTGGTTTGTCTGTTAGAAGGCCGCATGTCTGTGTGTGTTCCTCTCAGGCAGCCTTGCCGGGTGCGTGGGTCGCCTGTCATGAGCAGGAGGGGGTTTTGAGTAGTCTTCGATGGATACGTCTTCCTATGGTCCGCCTCTTAAGCATCTCTCCCGGGTGCCGTGTCTTGTCCTGTGTCTTTCTCTTGCCGCAGCTCCTCCGCCACTTGTCCGCCCGCCCGATCCCATGGCTGACTGTCCTCGACAGCGGGCTCACGCAGACCCCCCATCCGGACCGTTGCCTCCCACACGTATAGTTGCAGACGTGGGCGAGCTACACGTGCATGCTCGGAATCACAAGTGCCACACCCCGGCTCCCCGCTCCAGGCCCCAGGCCCCCTGCGCCAGCCGCGCAGCCCCCGGGGGGGCGACCTCTTACGCGGTTCTTATCTTGACCGCGTCCCTGCTCGCATCGCCTGCTCTCGAGACACCCGGGGTGGGCGGCTCGGGCATGTGCCCCTGCGGGGAGTCGCCCGCCAGCATGACGGCGCGGTCAAGCGCGTAAGGGAGGCCGCGGTGGCGGCCGCGGATCATCATGGCGCAGATGACGAGCTTGGCAAACGTGCCGAACTGTCCGCACAGCGAGGTCATGACGGATGGGTGCCCGAGGGAGAGCCCGACATTGCCGCTGGGAGACTATGTGTGAGCAGTGAATAATCGGGGGCGACTGGGCAGGCACTCACTAGGCCGAGACGACTTCGAAAAATACGGAGAAGACCGAGAATGCCTAGGTTGGCCATGCGTCAGTTCGGCGTTGTCCATTATGGTATAGTTTCGCTCATCTGGGCGGATTACTCACCGGCTGTCCCAGGTCCTTGATTCGCCCGGACTCGGCTACGCAGATACAGAACGTCCCGAGAAACACATACCAGAGGTCGAAGCTTAGCTGGTTCTGGACGTGCGTCATGATGTAGCTGGTTGCCCGGGACTCATCGAGGGGGCGGTCCGTTGCGTACAGGCCGATTGCCTGCTCCTCGTAGGTGTTGGACGCGCCTGAGACGTGTTAGCCCCCAGCCATGCATCCGTCTTTGATTACAATGAGCCACCAGGGGTTAGGGGGCGGTGAGAACGATAGGAATAGCACTGACGGATGCTGATCGCGATTGGAAGAATGGCGATGTACATCATGACGAGGAGGCTGAACTGGACGGCGGGATTGATCTCGGCCAGGTTCAGTGTCGAGGTGCCTGTATGCCGGGAAGACGCAGCCTGAAACAAGGCCGAGAGAATCCTCGGGCCTATTGAGAGGTCGTTGACGGCGGGGTTGTCCAAGTCCAAGACAACGATCAGGAGCACATCCACAAAGTTGAGCGCGGCAATGATGCCGAACAGGATCCATGTAGGGGAACTGGGAAATAAGAGGGTGTAGCACCGGCGCGGGTGGTCGAGGAGAAACTTGAATGCTGTGCTGTTCGGGCTGTTCGAGGGCGTCAATTTGTATGTGACCCAAATGCAGAAGCGCAGTGCCACCGGGTAGCAGGTGTTGCCGGCGAAGGCCAGAAATGTCATCAGCAACATGGGCCACGTCGCGTCCTTGAATGTGATCATGGAGTCGGGAGTCAGTGTGAAGCCGAGGTTGTTGACCATGGTCTGCGCCGAGTAGAACGCCCTTCACGCCACATCTGGAGTCAGCAACGAACGGCCCCGGGAACACGGCGTATAGGGCCAGGCAGGACTACGGACCACCACGTCTTGCTTTGGCCGCACTCTGCCAGCCAGTCTGTGTACTTTGATGGGGCCGTGTGAATCCATGGCAGTAGGCCGATCACACCAAGAAGATGAAGCCCGAGATAATAGCCTAAAAGTCGACTCGGTCAGCAATTGGAGCAAGGCCGACGGTGCCGTGGCCATACCCAACACGATCTTCAGCAACAACTTCAGCGCCGCGTACTCGATGCCGCCAAGCTTCCTCTCGTCCTCGGCCGACATGTCATGGAACTGTGAGTTTCTGCCGACCGTGACTTGTTTGCGGAGACCAGGCAGATCATTGGGCCGTGGTCGCTGCGACGTGGTGGAGAGCCTCCGGTCTGCGCCAGGCCGAGCTCCCAGGACAAACACGGCGCTGGCGTGGTTTTCGATGGACCTGGCGGCGGAAATTATGGGGCCTTTGTTCCCAACATGCTTCCGGTGCCTGGCCGCGATACCTCCTCCCCCTTCTGTCTCTTGAGCGGGCTTTATTTCATCTTCATCCTCGCCTGCAAACAGCGGGAACAATCAGCATGCCTGCCCACTCAGACCTCGTCTTTTACTCATCCCCCTGGGCTGGGCCGGTCTCCCGAACGCGCTTCTCTGTAAAGGGTTGGCCTGTCTCTTTGGTCAGATATTGACAAGTAGCACGTGGTAGCTGCGGCAAGCTCCAGATCCAGACTGTCGGGACTTACCATTGTCGCGCTCCAATGGAGGCGGTATATAGTATTCCGTGGATGTTGAAGGCCGTTGCTTAGATTCAGATACGCTGGGTTCCATGCCACTGACATTAGCCGCGGCGGGGACTCCTTCATCACCCACAACCCGTCGTGGCTTGCTGTAATACTTCAGAGGTGCGCTCGAAGTCACACGGGCTTGCAGGGTTACGTACCTTTCCAGGTGATCCTCCAAGACCTTGCTAGGTCCCTCAACGTCTTCTTCGCGCCTCAAGGAGAAGACCACGCCCTTGGGAGTTGGCCGCGGGTCGGATCGAGCTAAGTGAATCTTTGTGTCAGCCAAGCACGCAGCATTGGGGCAAAATAGAAAGTATTTACCAGCGGCCTTGAGCTTTTTCTTGAACCAGACGATCCGGAAAACGACCACCGCGATGTTCACGACGCCTAAATTCGTAATAGTGGGAATTACGTAGAGGAAGACTTGCTGATAAGTCCTCAGGGCCTTCACGTCAACCCTTAGAAAATCATGTGTCAGCTACTTGTCGAGCTAGGTAACGAGATCCTCCAACTAACGTGTTGAGGCCGGATTCGGTCGAAGCGCTCGCGCCGAAGAAATAGGCGTCAATGGCAGCCAAGTTGCCCTCGGGCGTGAGGATCACCAGGCCAAGGAGTCCACAGAAGATTATCCAGGCATCTTAAAACCGCTCCGTCAGTGAAATCTATGCATTTTTGGCACGAACTGGAGACTCTGATACTAACAGTGAAGTGTAATGAAGTTGAGTCGTAGCGGGAACATGGTTGCCCACGTGCGTAAGCGTGGGAGGGGTTGTTCCAAATAGCTATAAGGAAATCCTGAGACAAATCAGACAGGGGATCTCAACGAAATTGCATCTACGCGCAAAAGTAGTAGCCGTTAGGGGTCGGTTGTCTTGGTCCTGTTGTGCGACAATTCGGATGTGGAATTGTTCGAGGAGGCCCACGTGAAGCGTGCAGGTAGTCAAGACATTGACCATTCTTGAAGTGATTTATACCGAAATAGGGCCTGGAAGGAGGGGACGTCATTAAATACCGCACATTCTGCGCTAGAGCAAGATATGGTGGTGGAGGTCAAGCCACAGAATGAGTCGAAGCCCTTTTCGACGGATTAAGTCGATTAATGTGCCACACAAGCAGAAGCCTCACGACTATATCAGTGGCAAGGAGAATCTGTGCTCTTGGACTACTTTCCAACATGTCTAAGCAGGAACTTCCAAATAAGTCAACTTCCACTGAACAAATAATACTTCGCTGGAGTCCAGAAATTCGACCAGCTTTTTGTCTTTGTTGATACGTTCTCGTCGGTCACCGGTTTTGAGCCAATAGGCAGGGGCCTGACGCAGAGCTGCGGGCCAGAGTCGCCAAGCCGGACGCTGCAGAAAGGGCGCAGGATCGGATCCGATCTTCCGGGACTGGCCAATCAATCGCGATACAGCCGGAAGCTGGGACCGGCCGAAGGCTTGGCAGTTGCGAACAACTCGCTGCAGCCCGTCGGTGATGACCTTGGCAAGCTGTAAAGACAAGTCGTCTTGCAAAACAATGACGGATGTTTGGGCTGCCTCCGGGGGTGGTATAATCGCTCCCTACCCTTCGTCCTGGGAGGGCGACGGAGTGACCATCTCTGAAACAGTATACAGGCGCCGTCATAAACCTTGCGGGTACTGGGAAGTTTGACTATAATAAAAAAATCCCAGTTCTATTGCCCCAACCGCTCGGGCGGTCAGCCGTGTGCGCACGAGGATGTCCATCCGTAAGCCTGCCCCGACGCCCACCCAGTCTATCCCCAAAGACGAAATCACAATTCTTCAGGGTCCAAGGAATAAGCTGATAGTGGTCTTCTCGACTGGAGAGATATCCTCCAAAGATGCAGCTCGGTTCCGCTTCATTTCAAGTCCGGCTCTGCCGCATGGGCACCAGCACTTCCTCGAGTCAACAAACCGCCAGGGGAAGCAGAGTGTCTGGCGGGATCGGTTGAATAGGGAGTGTGACAGGATGCGAGAAGGCCTGTCCCAGCTTACAATCAGACGCAACGTGCAAAAAGACTTACAGGGGGCCCCCGGGATCCCAAACGATGTCGCCCGTGGATGCTCCACGCTGGAACAAAAGTATGGGAAGTATTGGAAGACCATTGGCCGCGGCGCCCACGGCACGATCAGCATATTCCGCAAGCCCAACCCACAAGGCCGAGACGTGAGCCTAGTCGCCGTCAAGCAGTTCCACGAAAGGCCCACCCCGGCCCGGTCGACAGAGCAGGACGGCAAAGAGGCGCCGGCCGGGCACCGAGACCACCTGACGAGCGGCCTGCAGCACGCAAACGTGGTGCGGATCCTCGACGTCTTCCAGGCCGAGCAGCACAACACGCTCTATGAGGTCATGGAGTTCTGCGCGGCGGGCGACCTCTTCTCCCTGATCCAGTCGGAGTGGCCCTTCCAGGCCGACGAGGCCAACTGCTTCTTCAAGCAGCTCATGCGCGGCGTGCAGTACCTGCACGGGCTCGGCATCGCGCACTGCGACCTCAAGCCCGAGAACCTGCTGCTGACCGAGTCGGGCTCCCTCAAGATCAGCGACTTCAGCTGCAGCCAGCAAGTCCTGTCCCGCCCGGGGGACCCCGGCGGCGAGGCGCGGCTCCTCTCCGGCAGGCGGGGGTCCACGCCGTACGTGGCGCCCGAGGAGTTCACCGAGGACGAGTTTGACGGGCGTGCCGCTGACGTCTGGGCCTGCGGCGTCGTCTACATGGTCCTCCGCCTCGGCCACTACTGCTGGCCATCAGCGCGGGCGGAGGACGGCTACTACACTTCGTACGTCGAGGATCGTCGGGTGGAGGCCGGCTTCGCGCCTGTGGAATCGCTGCACCCGGTAAGCCTTCGGCCATTCCATAGGCGGGTTGGTCGCCTCGGCCTGCGCTGTGGGTTAAAGAAACACAACGAGTCTGACGAGTATCTAGGTCGAGTGTCGCGATATCGTATACTGCCTCTTGGACCCACTACCGGCTCGACGGCTCACAGCTTCCCAATTCCTCAGGTCAGAATGGGGCCGCAGCATACAGGTCTGCCATGGAGGCGGAAGTGCTTAGTTGGCAGTGCAATCTCTTGCCATTGTTCGTCGTCAAGGGCCGCGCGGCGTGCCCGGGCTGCAACCCCGTGGGACCTCGCTAAGTCGTGACCGAATACGAGACTCATTGTTGTCACCCCGTGGGACATGAACGTAATCCTGGGCAGCCTCAAAATACGGATGATCTGCTACTGGCGGTCAACAATACTTGGATGAAAGAAACATTCGATAATTTTTGGCCCAGTTGCTTGTTATATAGTCCATCTAGCTCGAGAGAACCCTCCAGAGTGGAAGCAGTGATGGTGAACGCGGACTAATTGAGATCTATCCGTCACCTACTTCAGAAACACGATTCGCGGCGAGATTGTGGCTACTGCTTGAAGAAACCAGTCTAAGAAGCTGCAGCTCGCACTTATCGTCGGGTTCCATGTGATCCATGCAAACAGTATCCGCAGATCGTCATCCTCCTACTGCTCGGCGACCGTAGATGCCGGGAACTTCTGTCGCGGAATCAATCGTATGGCATACGGGAGTCGAAGTTGGTCAACTTGGAAGGAGAAGAATCTTTCCGAGCGGGGTAGGCCTGATCGGGTATACTAAATACACGGGAATAGTGGGCTTTGTCTCAACAACTTCAAAGGTCGCCCAAGGGATCAAGCGGCGCGTTTGGAGAGAACATCGCCAGCGGCGAAATGTTCTGAAGAAAAGGCGCCTGGACGTCAAGAAGCTGTCCCTCAATGTCCATCTCCGTGTTGTAGAGCGGAATCCGCAGGGTGTCTTCAGTGAAAGCAGTGAGCTCGCTCTCAGCGAGGCTTACCCCTGGCAGCAGAGGGTATGCGAAGGGGTCCTCCAAGGGAAAGTCCATGAAGTCATCCTGCAACGGCTTCGATACCTGTTCAGGGAAATGATCCATGGAATCGGGCCGAGGTTCGGCGCTGGGGCCTGCCGTGGTGGGAGTCTCTGCGGAGAATGAACCCAGGGGCCATTGATGCTGCTGAGCGACCTGAGGACTTGCAGTCTGGGCGGAGACCGGATCGTCTCGACGGCGAGAAGATGGTTGGCAGTCACCTGTTGTGGCCCTTCGCGTCTGACCGCCTTGAGCTCTGGGTTTTTTCGGTTTATATTGGTCAGGGAGTTGATCAAAAATTGACTGTAAAGTTGTCAGACCTGGTCGTAGACCTGAATTGACCTAGTTTCGCGGTTGGGCGTTGGACTCACGTTCAGTGCAACAGTCACTCTGTCTGCCGCAAGGCTCCTTTGAGTCAGACCAGAGATGCAGTCTTTGCCCATCTTGGCGTCAGCGAAGAGCTCAGAAACCCTGGGCTGTTTCGGGTTGTTCAAGACAAATAACAACAGGCTTAGAACCGCAAAGAATTGCGTGTAGGTGATGAACCAGTATGGGCCTATGAGAACCGCCTGTCTGCGTATCTCAAGCCCTATGTGTATGATGTTGCGGCACACATTTATGCCCGCTGACGCGAGGGCAAAATAGCGCTCGTCGACCGATTCGTGCGACGGTAGCCGACGAGAATAGTATTGAATGAAGGGTCGGTATAGCATCATCTGGACATGAGCGTAGGTGAAGCGGAGGAGGATTTTGACCCTGGACAGTGTTGGGATTAGCCATGGGCACCACAATATTGAGGCTGCAGGGTGAAGGCGTCGACATTGCATACCGAGTGATTTGTACGTCTTCTTCGTGGCCTGGACGCCACGTGGGCGGCAGCTTTTCATGCCAGTCGCGGATATCTTGCTCCAACTCCCGAATTTTAGAGAAGCTGATCATATAGGTCTCGGCGGAACCATCATCGGCCCTTGTGGGCGGGTAGATGTCGCGAACGACTTTGGCGAGGATGTGCATGAGCCTTAAATTCGCATTTGATGCTTCAAGCATGGAAGGAGTCCCGGGCGGTGGCCACTCGATTCCACTATCTGTGATGTATTCGTCATCCACCTCGGACGGCCAGGGCTGATCAATGTCTTTCTCTTCTAGGAGAAGAGGTAGTCCGAGAGTGGTGGAAAGGTAGATGTCCATTTGCCGAATGGTGTAGAACACCCTCCGCCTCGTCTCGTCCTTTATCGGCCCGAGCGAGATGGCAGGCAGATGACGGTGCAAGCCCATTCGTAGGGCAGAGCGAAGGGCGATGCCGATGAGGGTATGGCAGCTGTTTAGTTCACCAGTGGCTTGCAAAAACTGAATGTTAAACACAAGCGCTTGCAAGGTAGTCATGTCACTACACTCGGTTACATCTTGAAGGTAATGCTTCGCCAAAGTGTAGAACTTGTACCTGGAATGCAATCAGCGGCATGTCGACGACATTAGAACCAAAGGAGGATTGCTTATCCATGTTACCCTCGCTCCATTGCCACAGCGTAGTGGTCGGGATTTGTCGGGTCATTCTCGTCAACATCGTACATGGACCCCAAAGCCATGACGGAGAAAAGGAGCCCTACGAACCTCCGTTCCTCGGGCGTGTATTTCTGGGGTCGTTCTTCGTAGAGCCTGTGGAACATGCGCCAAAATGACGGGGCATGAACCACCGGCAGAATGCAGGTAGCCCTGCTGAAGGCGAACTCGCACAAATCGCGGGCAAAAGGCTGGGGGGGTACTGGAGAAAAGCCATCGCTGACATGGGACCAAGAAGTTGCCGAATGCCCAAGGAGCCCAGATGATTTGGGTAGAAAAGGTCGTCCAGGCTGAGGCAAGAATGGCGTTCTGGAATCGTATCGAGACAAACCCGGGAACTGCTGGGTGATACGGCTTAAGAAGGCCGCCCCTGACGACATGCCATGGAAATCGTATTCGCCGGTCGCGGTCAGATCCAGTTGGCCAACATTCTCGACCAGAGGCATTCGCCTCGCAGCATTCGCTGTTTTGTCGGGGGTCTCGTTGGCCGCCGCGGCATCATCCCTGAACGACCTTTGGTCATGAGATAGACCTTTTAGGACAGATCGGGCGGAATGTGCTGGTTGCTCCAGCAGTGAAGCAACTTCGTCTGGATTATCCAGATCGACATGGGGCAAGAGCTTGTGAAGCAGAGTCTCAGCCGTGTATGCCTTTTGTTGCAGCGAGCTAAACCCTCGCGTGGATAAATTGGTATAGTTGCAACCTGTGGCAGAAGGTCAGTCACTGGCTGCCCACCCCCCCCCAACTATCCGGGGCTCGCCACAATGGGTTCCAGGGCTCCTCACTGGAGTCAAAGGCGGCACAGCTCGAACATGGCCTCTTGCCATCACACCTGATTTTCTTGCGTCGGCAATCGTCGCAGGCTCTTGTCGTCCGTCGCCGCTTTCTGGCCGCTCTTTGCGGACTCTGGCTCCGAATCTCGGCGCCGGGAATCGTCTGCTGTGCTCCGTCGCTCACAGATTGTCTGTGACGCGACGAGGACGAGGCCGGGGAAGCAGAGCCCCCCAGTGTGTCGTCCTCGACGGGATCGGGCACCATTGCTGGCCCGGGGGCCGCCACATGGGACGTGAAAAGAAAACCTTTGCCGCTAGAGCAAGGCTAGTAAGGACAGGTCAACTGGCGCCCGTAGCCAGGTCTCAGTACTTCAAGCCAGCCGACAGTTCTGATCACAACAAGGCGCTCAAGGTACTGGCTTGCACCTGTCGCTCTAAAAACATGCCTTCAGTTCAGGTCAGATTGGCAAGAGTGGGACGTGCAGCCCCAGAAGTCACGGGAAGGAGGGACAGGCTGACTAAACTCTGCAGAAGGGGCTGCCTAAGTACCTAGGTACTCAAGCTATGGGTACCTCGGTACTTGTTAGCGTTGCCACTGTGATCAGCTTGGCTGTGGTTTAGGGTTAGGGCTCATGGCTGTCAAACACCCGACGTTCAATTGACCAGAGGTAAGTCAGTAATTGTCCAGAGAAAAATCAGAGAGCCCGGCCCATCAAACAGGTTGTTGACCGTCTCGGCTCAGAGTCGAATTATTGCGCTGGGCGGTTGCCATGCGTGAGGGAGCGCCCGGGTGTGCCTTAACACGGTGCTTGCCATTACTCTAGGCTCCTAATCCGCAATACTATCTACTGATAGCATATGAGCATCCTAGCAATTGACCTATATCAACATTAGCACTGCTCGATCACGTCGCACGAAATACACACACCATGTCAGCAAGGAACTAGGCAAAGCAGGCAACCACGGTACTATTAAAGCTGATTGTAACCCCGCTCCATGCACCTCGAGCCGTTCCACTGGCCTTCAGAAGTCGGCACGGCACACCTGGGTTCCATATCGTCGCTCCGTCTTTCGTTTTTTAACTGTCATATCTCTGGAACTCAGCCATGTCCATTGAGTCTAGACAGGAGGCAGCCTTGCCGGCTTGAAACCCATAACAACCAAACATTTTCATTTATTTTCACATTGATCATGGCTTCTACTGGGATTATTATCGTCCTGACCATTCTCTCGGTCATTATTATCATCGCTGTACTATGGGCGGCACTTCCTCAGGTTTTCTCGGGAACAGGACGCAGAGGGAAATGGGGAGGTCAGCATAGGAGATCATCGTGGCCGCGCTCGAGGCGGGAGGCAGTGGCACGGGACCGGACGGGGAGGATGAGTATGCCTCCGCCAGGACCGCCAGGACCGCCGGGACAGCCAGGACAGCCAGGACAGCCAGGACCGCCAGGACCGCCAGGACCGCCAGGACCGCTTGATCACATAACCTTGGGAAGGCTTAGAGATGAAGAAAGGCAACGACAAAGGCAAAGAGAGGGAGAACGGCGTGAATCACCAAGGTTACAAAGCCCTTCCCATCAATTGTCGCCGAATAAATCAACTCGTGGAATAAGAGTGCCGCCAAAGTGATCTTTGAAGCAGTCTTTATTGTTGCAGGCGTTCAAGGTAAATACGAGGCTTGAGAAAAAGAAAGAATCATGGGGGTATCGGTCTCATATTTCAGGATATACAAATTAGATGCAGCGCCTGAGAAAAGGTAATGCCGTGTCACGCGAAGACCTCGGGACTTGAATCATCGAAGTCGCTTCCTAAGTCTCCGCGCTGAATTTGGCTGCCTTCCTCTGTCTCAATTGTGCAAGTTCGCCCCCCATCACTCCTTAGCCGCTCATGACACCAGTGTTGGTGATCGCCCAACTTCTTGAATCCATCACTTGCTTGCTGAAACAAATCTAAGGCCTCTCCTTCTCGACCTTGCTTTGACAGCACATGAGCAAGTAATGAGATGGCCTCGAGCGTGTCTGGGTCTCCTAGGCCACGCTCATCGGTAAAACCCTTGAGAGCTGTTCTCACAACCTTCTCTGACTCTCGATATCGTTTCTGGCCGCAAATGGCCGTTGAGACCGTCATCAGGACACGGCAGTAATCCATACTTCCTGTTCCATGACCGGGTTCGTATCCTTGCGCAGCTAGCTTACCCAGTGCTTCCGCCGACCCAAAGTTTTCCTGCATTATGTAGAGAATGCTCTGGTTCGCCATACAATGCAATGCATTGGGGCCTGAATCTTTCCCTGTCGAATCGCAATCTTCCATCACTTCGTTGTAGAGACGGCTTGCTTCTTCCAGTTTCTCTTGATGTTGAACACTGAGAGCGAGGTTTATCTTGGCGGTTAGGGTATAGCTATGCACGCGTCCGAAGTTATCGTTCGCCAGGTATCCGTCGTATGCCATGCGAAAATGGGCTTCTGCTCTGTCAAAGCAATCTCGCTTCATACAGAGATCTCCCAGATTGTTAATCATAGAGAGAGTATTAGGGTGATCACGTCCGAGTACCTCTGTCTGCCTGCACAACGCCTTCATTTGTTCTTCCTCGGCCCTCTTGTAGTCTCCCTGCTGCTTGAAAATATCCGCAAGAGAACTGAGACTTAGGATAGTGTCCGGATGGTTTGTGCCAAGTGTCTTTTCCCTTGACTGACACACACGATCCATAATCTTAGCAGCGTCGTCTAGCCTGCTTCCGTGTTGGGAGAGTGTTGAGGCGAACGTTCTCGCGCTCTCCATGGTATCTTGGTGCTGAGGTCCGAGCAAACGTTTCCTGTCCTCATAGTTCTGCTCGCCTAGCTTGATAGCATCTATGAAGTCACCGTTGCGACGGAGGACCTCTACGAGGATCGCTTCCGTCTCGAATGTAGATTCTTCAAGTATCCCGGGGCTCTTTCTGGTTGTATCCGATAATTCGCGCAATTCCTTTTTCGCAGCTTCGACTTGATTGACTCCCTTGAGACATAATGCCAACACCTGACGGCATTTGGTGTCCGATGTGTTAGTGAGCATTTTCAGGCCAGTTTTGGCCTCCCTGCTCAATTTCAAGGCCTCCTTGAACTTGCTTCGTCTTTCAAGTACCTCAGCTAGGTTGACTAGTCCATTCAAGTATCTCTCTTGGTTGGATTTAGCATGTGTTGTGTAGAAGGAAACGCATGCCCGAAAGGAATTCTCGGCAAGATCGTAATGCCCAGTGTCAAAGTATAGGAATGCAAATTTCTCTGCCGCTAGCGCATCATCCAGCTGAGAAATCTTGAACGGCGAGAAATTTTGTTCGAGAAACGTCTTGACATGAGGAAATAAGACGAATCTTTCTGCCTGATGTTTATGGGCTCGTTGATTGACAATGATATTCATCGTGAGCCCACGGGATACAGCTGCCTTAGCCCAACTTTGAACGGAGCTCTCACCACGATGCTTTAAATCCAGAGATAGCCATTTGTGAACTAAGCCATGCATGGAGAATTGGGAGGACCTCCGGTCGAACAAAGCTAAGGAATAGTTGGCCAACATTATGACGGCCTTGCGAAGTCGATCAGGACCCCAAGTTGAGCTTTCGGTTGATCCAAGACCACCAGATCTGGAAGGCGGCTGCACCTGGGGCCATATTTTGAATATCCATTTCACACTGAGAGGCCTGGGTGGCATCTGATTGAATAGTTTGAATGGTATGTGTTTGTGGTCCACCAAAGCACAGAGTGTCAGAATATCAACGGCATCGATCGAAGTCTCTGTGTTCAGCTCTTGGATCATCTTCCGACAAGCGTCCCATGTATGGCACACCAAGTGATATTTGGAATTCGATCCAAGGACTTCGTCAACCATGAATGAATCATGTTGGTATGTTTGAACTTTCTTCAAGAAGGTTCCTAGTGTGAAGTGACCATTGTGTATCAAGGACCCGGCATGGAGGATGGCAAGAGGTAAGCCCTCAAATGCCTGAGATATCTCTTGGGCGAGATGTCGGTTGTTGTTTTCTGCGGGATCTTCCGACGCCACTTTCAGAATCAGGTCGGTAGCACTCTCTGAATCCAATCCAGAAATAGGTTCGTAAAATTCTTGAAGTGCTGGAAGACCCGGTGATGTCGTTGTCACAAGAATGGCGCCGTAACCTCCTGAGGGGAAGAACTTGCTGATATCGATTGCCGGATCATTGGCTCCGTCGAATACAAGCAGCCAGTCTCTATCCCCATGCAAACCGGCCAGCCAATCTTTGATTTTCTTCATAGCGGTCTCACCGGTGTCTCCGCTTGGCAGAAGATTTGCCGATTTGGCTAATCCTTGAAAGCTGTGCATGATAGTACTCAGGCTTCGAGCATCAATCAATAGCGAGGCCCAAAATCTGATCTCCATTAGAATGATTCACGAAACGGCTAATAATATAAGTCAAACAAATTTTTAGCTCAAATTTACGACATACCGGTCCCGATTCTCTTCGGCAAACTTCAGAGCAACCTCTGTCTTGCCTGTACCGCCAATTCCCTGTACCACCAAAATTCTCCGCCTGCCCAGGTGGGCTTTTGCTGGTCTTTCTTTGACAGCAGAATATTTTCAAGCTTCGTGAGAATGTCTCTTCTTCCAACAAAGTCCGGCCGGGTGGATTCGCTAATGTAGTAACGGGGTTCTTTCTCATTTCCGTCTAGTACAATAAATTGTCAATTTACATATATTCAACTCCACACGGCTCTTTGCCAGAGCACTTCTGATAACTTCAAGATTTCATTGAGGCTCACCGTAGAATGATGTATGAATGTTGGTATTGTTCTGAGTCAAAGTCCTAATTCATATCAGATGTCCTGCCAACCAGGGCTCAAGTGATGCTGAGTTCAACAGACTAGGCGCCACAACTATAAATACGAAAGTGTGTACTCTCGGGAAGGGGGAATAGGCTTGAGTCTCACGAGTAATAAGCCCCTCCTTGTAGAACAATGTTGGAGTCGTCCAGATTGTGATAGTTGTTTGCAGCCATGACTAACGCAGAGCTCCCACTGGGCTGGAGAACGGCCTTCGTAGGTCTTAGAATTAGGCACAGGCGTCCACGTGTGATTGATTTTCAATTTAAACCACGGGTGCTAACCGATGATTCTCGTTGGATACTTATAAGCGCCTGGAAGACAATGGTCAGCAGTGGAACGGAAATTGAGCCAAGTCCGAAGTAGCACCTATGTATTAATTGTGCAGCCTAAGATCTAGTGCAACTTCTTAAACCATAGGAGTAAAAACGATTAGCAGCTCTATTAACTTTATTAAATAAAAATATCTTAAGGTATAATATAGTTTAACTTCTAATAATAATAATATATATATAGAGTTATAATAATAAAATATAATTTTAATATATATAAAATATAATTTTAATATATATAAAATATATTTATTAAAATAAAGATTATTATATTAAAGTATTTATATATTTTATTTTAAATAATACTATTAAATAAAACCTTTAAAGTTCTATATAACGGTATAATATTTTTAAAGTTAGAGTATAATATAACTTTATTTATATATATTAAAAATAGAGACTTTTTATATTTTAAGTTTATAGAAATTAAATTTTATACTTTTATATTTACTTTTAATTTACTTTTAAATTTAAAATAAAGTTTTATTTAAATATTAAATAAGATTCTACTTAAAGTTTTTATATAATATTATAATTAATATTAATATATATAAAGTTATAAATTATTAAAAAGTAATATTTTAATTATATTTCGTTTATTATAAGTCTTTATATATTATATAATAAATTAACTATTTTAATTAAAAGTTTTAAATTTATTTTATATTAAAAATAAAGCTTTATTTAATTTACTTATTTATTAATTTATTTTAATTAAAAGTTTTATTTAAAAATAAAGTAAAAATATAATATAATAAACTTTTATAATTATTATATAATAAATATTATAAATATTATAACTTAATTATTTACTTTATATAATTTATAAAATATAATATAAAGGCGCTATATATATTTTTAAATATATATAAAATAAAAGTAAAACTATATAATTTATTAAAGGAAAAAAACATTTAAATTCGTTATTTATAAAAAGTTTCACTTTTATAATTTAAAGTAGTAAATGTTTTTAAAGTCCTTTAAAATAATATACCCCTTTTAATAAATAATGCATGTAAGTTATTCACTTCTAGTACATAACATGATTCCTACCTCATTCTTTCACCACTAAGTGTTTTTCTCGGAGCCGTTATCAGTTGGTTATCAGCAAAGACTCGGATCAGCTTAGTGATGGGTGGTGCAAACATACTTACCTAGGTACCTACTTAATAAGTAACTGCAGCCTGCAGAGTCAGCACGAGCCACGGAGCTACCCTGGGCACTTGAGCTGGTGGCAAGCACAAGCGCAACATCGGCTTATGTGACACTGTATGATTAGGCTGGGACGACAGGCCAAGACCGGTATCCTTTGCAGATGACTGTTTCGTGGATGCTGCAAGCCAAGAAGTAAAGGAGGGTCGGGTGCGATGCCCAATGACAAATAGGGGCAGCCTGCTTGCGGGCTCTTGCGGGGGCTGCTGACGGGGGCTATGAGTGTGATGTTTGGGGGGCGGGGCTTTTACCGGTGAAAGTGAAAGAGCTGTTTTTATGCAAGACCGCATGGTGTGGCTGGAAATACAGGCTTCAATTGGTTTTGGTGGAAAATGACTATTACAGAGATGCTGCAACCAGAATTATAGGAGGGTCGGGTATGATGAGTACCCAATGATCAAGCAATGTATTTAATTGCCAAGGTTGTTAAGAGCTGCTGACAAGCCACCTTCATGAAGCCTTGTTGTTACCAAGCCTCGAACGCCCGATCTCTTTGCGCGAGTGTCTGCCGTGGAACTCGCGCACAAGCCTTGTTGTAACTAAGCCTCGAACGCCCGATCTCTTTGCGCCAGTGTCTGACGGGGAACTCGCGTACATGTGGTTGTGTTTCTAATCCCCGCTCGCGCACATGTTGTAACTCTCAGGGTTTCCGTTTACAAACATGCAAAGTCAACCTTGGAATGGAGTCGGCCGGGATAAGACAAGTATAGAACAGGCGGCTTGTCCCAAATTCCCACAAACTTTGCGTGTTGAATCGAGGCTTTTGAACCTCAGTTCGTTGCCAAAGAAGCAAAATGACTGGGCCTGAAGTTATTGCGGCTGCCAACGGCGTGGCTGGACTATTCAACACACTCCTTGCCTGGTTCGAATACGTCTATATCGCGAAAGAAGCTCATTCAAGGCTTCAGTCCATTATTCTGCAGCTTGACGGTGCCCAGTTGAGATTAAGCCGCTGGGGCGAGGCTGCTGGGCTTGACGACATTAGTATCGAGGATGAGAGTTTCAAACTCGACTCTCTCGTCCTAGATGAACACCAGCAAAGCATCGCCATCGAGACCTTCAAGTTCATCTGTGCTAGATTCGAAGAATGCCAAAAGATTTGTCTCGATGCCCGCGGAGACAAGACTGAAGACGACCCTGAGGTCGAGAAACGGGAAAAGTCGCTGTCGGGAATACACTGGACTCCGAAGAATAAGTACCTTCATGACACGATGCGGAAAATTGTGTCAAAGCGCAAGAACAAAATAGGTGTTGTCCCCCGGATCAAATTCGCCATCTATGACGAGAAGCACCTGCAAGATCTGATCAACCACATCAACGATCACATCGATTCCTTGTATAAAATTTTCCCGCTCCCCGACGACACCGCTGCCTTGGACAGACAAAGCAAGCTTACCAAGCATGAGATTACCGAGCTCCTGTCGGTTATGGAAACGCTAGGTGCTGCCATCCGAGGTCGTGACGAATTGCTTGGATCAGCCATTGGAGTCATCTTAGACCAAAAGGCAAGTGTACATACATCCATTCTATGACTTCCTCAGCGCATTTTCGTCCACAAGGGGTGATCTGATATGGAACGAGTGAACGCTTACACATGATATATAGAACGAGATGCGGATGGAATACCATAGCAAAAACGTCAATAATGTTGTTCAAGGTCAGATGACAGGTGGCCAAGCTAGCCAACACAACACTCGGAACTCGGGAGGTGGTGGTGAAGGAAGACAGATTCGGGAATAACTCATGTGATTGGTGTGACTGGGGCAAAAATGGAGAGCATCGGGCTACTCCACTGAGTGTAGACTCACGGAGCCGGCTTTTATTAGACCAAACTTTTGAACCTGCTGGGCTTCCTGGCCGGGTTAGCGGCCGGGATCAAGATGCAACCATGGCCGCAGGGAGCATCGTGATTCGCATGGAGTACCAACATGATGTCGTTGGGACAGGCAAGTGTATTTTGATAGCAATACTAGGTATTCGATCATAGGTAGACACAAATAATGCGAATGCTTCACCAGAACTTGACCTCCTGAGAAAGACATCATGGCCTGCATTTAAGTGCAAATCAAGCATCTACCTAGGTACGCGGAACCTCAAATCATAGTCCGAGTTCCAGTCAGCACGGGCTGCCACCAAACGTCCCACCACTTCGATACGGCCTTGCAATCTCCTAGCGGAAGCGATCTTGCTGACTTTGAGATCCTCAAGGCCCTACGTAAGCCAGCAATCGATCGCAGCTGCATCATATGCTCACCGCGACAACAAGGCCCCCCCTCCCCGCGGGGCCCCTCCTGCCATGGTCCAGTCTCAGAAACCTGAGCATGCGCTTGTGACACGACAACGCTCACAACCAGGAACCCAGACGTCCCAAGCCCCTTAGACAATATTACAATACCATAGGGGAAATCAGGTTAGCCTTCTCCCCTGTTTGAAGTTTTGCCACATCTGCTGGCCCGGCCGGCCGGCTGCCCAACGCCAGCCTTATTAGCACCTGACGTCCGAGTCCAAGGCCGACGACCATGATGCCGACACCGACGCCGCTGTTGCAAGACTCAACAGCGAGGCACATTCGCCGTACAACCTATTGGTCAATAAGCCATCCTACCTGCACCACCGCAAGCAATAGGACCTCACACTCCTCTCCGACTGTCAGCTGTCCCAGCTTATCCTTTTTGGGCTAAATACCTAGTTATCGTGGATGGGAGTAGCCGGAAACAGCTTTCTCCTAACGCCTCCAATAAACAGTGCCGCTCACGACAGCTCTGAGAGAGACAGCATGGGGCCGCCAGCCCCAACATGCTCGCCCAGCGGCTTACTACAGCAGAGCATGCACCAAAGTTGATGCAGCCGGCCTCATTATAAACGCGTCATCGGGGCCTCGTCTCATAGGTCGGGATTTGAACTTCCTGGACGCCAGGGGCGGACGGGAGACTCACGCTCGTGGGACAGGGCGGATGGACGTCGCGAGCGGCGCACCAAGAGACAAGTAACACAAATATGTATGTAAATGGTGGATCACCGTGAATGAGAGATCCCTTTACACAACCGGGGAAGTGTTGCGACCCACACAGTGCAATATCCCGTTAAAGTTCAGAAGCTTGCATGGTATCCATGAGCGATGCTACGCTACGGAGCAGCCCCATCAATCACGAGCCCTGTGGAATCACGATAGAGCAGAATCATAAATATATCAACGGCTTTGATTGGTTGGTATCAGGTTTTATCGCTCCCTGTCAACAAGACAAGATAGTTGCCGTCTTGGCCAGGTAGACGCACCGTGGAAACGAAGTCGCATCACATGTGCAGGGGGGATTGCTGCCATAATGGGGACACCGACTCCGAGGCGGCGTTTTTTATATCCACTCTCGCCTTCTCCCACACAATCATTAGCGGCCCTCTGAACGAGACGCATTGCCACGTCCTTACCACCACCACGAGATCCAGTTTGTGAGCCATGACGGGCGGCACACCCAAAAGGGGGCGAGGCCGGCCTCCAGGGTCGCGCAACAAGGGATGGAAACACCAGGCGTCTACCAGCCGCTCAAGGCGTGGCACACCAGCTTCAGCAAGAGTCCAGGAAGAGGTAGAAGACATGTATGAGCACACCCACACCCTTGTCATGCGCCATGCAGCGCTAAGTTCCAAACAAAAGCGAACCGTCCCCGTCCCTAGGTGCCTCGTCCGAAAATGACAGTGGCGCCTGGGAAGCCGAGCGCCAGGTCCTCCTGGACGAGAACCAGGAACTGAAGAACAGGCTCGCCGAGGCCGAGGCAGCCCTGGCACAGACCCAGGAAGAACTTGCGGAGCAGGATCAGAAAGCCGCCGACGTGATTGCTGACGATAAGCGCACGATCGAGGAGCTCCAGGAATCCCTGAACGCCAGCCAGGACCGCATCGACAAGCTCCATGTGGACAAGGCGAGGTACCTGCGACGGGCAACCGAGGCCGAGGAGAAAGCTGCCGAGCTGGAAAACCACGTTCGAATCCTACAATGCAGACAGCCGTGGACATCGACCGCCGGCGCCACGTCATCTGGTAGAAGGGACCCCTCACCGTCGCGCAACGACGCCCCTTTGTCGAGGCAGGTCGAGGCAAGCGCAGCGGCCCCAGGCCAAGCTAGGTCTGCCGCACCACCAGCCCGAGTGCCCTCGCGGCTTGTATTCGTCGGAACAACGGCGCCAGGAGAGATGGCAGTCCATGCATGGCATAGAGGGTATACAGGCCATACAGGGCGGATCCCATGGCCTAATGAGGACGAGCTGCTGCTCGTAAGGCTGATCCTCGAGGTCGGGCCGCGCGACAAGCCGCCACGGTATTCAAAGATAGCCAAGGAATGGGCAGAGAAATTCCCAGATCGTATCCCGCGGGATCAGGGGCAGCTCAAGGACAAGGCGTGGAACATCAAGGCGTTCATTCTAAAGTGAGTGGAAAATGCCGTGCATCGCCCGTTGCTTAGTAATCTTGGGAGTCAACTCCCAAGATTACATAAGCACTCCCTGATCTACATTGATGTTGCCCAGGTGTTCTACCAACCTGAAGCGTGCTACCTCTAATTTATGCTCGACCAGGAATCGCCTATTCCTACCTCCCAAGTTTGATGACATCGGAATAAAAGACAAGGTTCGAAAAGAGCTCATATCGGCGGGTATCAATCCCGATAGGAGGGAGGATGACATGGTGGTGGAGGTGGACGAGGACGGGAAGCAGAAAATGTATCTGACTAACGTGTTGCTGGTCTAATGCCCGGATTGGGAGCGAATGTGGACAAGACGACCTGGAGATGACGCTCTTTCGAAATATCTTCGAATCTATACTCGTAGGCTTGGGTTGGTGTCTGTTTAATCTATTTCCTTCATCGCTCGCTTCTCATATGAGGCCACTTCTGGTGTCTTGACGCGTCAAACACTCGTACCAATGCTTGCTTTCAGGTGAAATTGAATGTGTGAGACATTGCTCTGCCTTGCCGGCTTCAGGCAGCCTTGGAAGCTGGCTGCCCGTACGCACGTCCTCCACAGGCCCTCCGTGGAGAGGCATCAAATCACGAAAACACGTGACCCGACCGACCCGCGCGCGTGCTGCCAGCGGCGCACTGCAGAAGATGTACCAGTCCAACCAACCAACCCGAAATCGAGTTGTAGGGAGTTGCCCTCAAACCCCTCAGAAAACTCGTGGTGTTCACTTGATTCCAGGCAACAGGATTTACGCATGCGTCAAGCTGCCGCCGATAACCAGCGCGCCGGCGAGTAGCTGCCTCAATAGCAGGAGATGCCAACACATGCTGCTCGCGAGCCGTCCTGATGTAAGAATTTCACCGCTAATCAGTCCATCCTTAGTTATATTCACTGGAGCTTGCCCTCGCTGCAGAAGCATGGGCCGGCCATTGCTGGCCGTGACGGGTGGAGGAGGTCGTGGGATCGCATGAAAGGCATTCATCGCAAGACTCTGCATTTTCATTTGATTTACGTGAGCAACCCAGTAGCTGCCATGCTGGATGCCGTCTCCTTTTTCCCATGAGACCCTAGCTTCTAATCTGAAGCCCCTTTGCTGACAAATGTCCACGGGTACCAGGGAAAGTCGTCCCACTGCCCGAGCTGGCCAAGCATCCTGAAAATTGGCAATACCATCAGCTCACCCTCCTCGCTGTGGAGTGGATCCTCGCCACTGTGAAGCGCGGGTCCGGAACCCTGGTCTTGGTCGTCCGCGTTGGCCAGGTTGGAGGGCCCAGCAGCAGCGGCGGCGTCTACAGTTTCTGTCCCAGCGTCGAGCCGCAGCCAGAGAAGACGCTGGACGCGGCTCAGTTCTTCGACGTGGTCTCTGAGCCCGCCCTCAGAGCGTGCTGCTAGTTTCATTGTGTGAACCTGGACCCGACCGACGACCTCAACGCTGTCAAACTTACCGCCCGAATAAGGTGAAGAGGCTTCGCATGCTGGCAAGTCCCGATGCTGCTCCTGACGTCGCCAGGCTGTCTGCGTTGCGGCTGGTCGGTCTCTACGATATGCTGGACGAAAAAGGATCCGATTGAGAGTTGAGGAGAAATGGAAGACGAGTTGACGAAGGTAGCGGGAGAGAAGGAGTGGGAAGAAGATGACAAGTGCGGTGAGGCTCTCGATGGCTGCTGGCTGTTGCCGTTGCTGCTGCCCTCGTCAAATCGGAGTCAGGCGGACCTCACGCCCGTGGGCCGGGAGTCGCTCGTATCATGGCTCCGTTGTTGGAACTTGCTACCTAGGTACACTTTCTGGCTACGGAATCAGTCTTTAACCTAGAGCCCGGCTAGGCCCCCAGCACGTATTATCAGACCTCTCGGCATCAGCAGGCACCGTTTCGGGCCTGAGCCTTTCGACCACTTCACGAGCGTACAAGGCACACGTACACATACAGCAAGCCTCAAACCACTGGGGGAATTATTCAAGATTCAATGGGCTTTTGTACTTTTAGAGACGGATCAAATAAGACAGATATATTTAGTAGTCACTGATAAGGACCCTCCAAGCCACATAGCCATGGAGAGCTTCTGCCTAGCAAAAGCATGCAGCCTTCTTGCCCTTGATTATTGCTAAGAGAGGAATCAAGCGTCCAATCACTCCCGAGTAAGTTGATAGGTCGATGGCGAAGCCCGCAAAGAACGAGCCCAGGCCCGGGCAAGAGCAGGGTCCACCGTCTGAACATCAACAGCCCCAGTCTGGTCCCCAGCCTGGTCTTGTACGACATCTTGATTCTCTTGCTGCTCTTGCTGCACCACTCGGGTAGGTTCACGGCAAGCCTCCTGCTCAGCGCGCTCGAGAAGATAGTCCTCCGCATCAGCCAGGGCCATCGACCTGAGCTCCTGCATGTTTCTATAATGCTTCCTCTTGGCACCTGCTCGACAACATTTGCAAGAAAAGCCGGAGCCGAGCGCGAGGTCGTAGACCCAGTGCTGCTTGTGGTTGTGCCACTCGAGGAAGCCAGGTCGAACAGCTTTGTACTTCTCAATGACCTCGCGGGGGCCGGTGGGCTTGCCGCGCTTGATCTTGCCGCTGCGGCCCTTCCAGGTCTGCTTTGGAGACATTATCTCGATCGCAAGACAAGACATGTTGTCCATACTTTCTTCTTGACTTGGTAGTAGTGAGGAGAGTGATAAGCCCTGGAAGGTGACGGTGTTGTGCTGTTGATATCTGCAGGAGGTTATCTGATGAAGGTGTGGTGGATGCTGGACTGCCATTCAACCTGGCGAGGGCCGATCAACTTATACTGGTGATGAAACAATGTCCATTGTGTGTATCTAGAGAAGTACTTATTCTACAGTGCATCCCGCATCTAACAAATGCTGCATTGAGCAGCAGACATTGCCATTGTGCGCCCATTGACCAGGGCGGCAGTATGACAAAGGCTTTTTATCCGGCTCTCCAAGATCGTAACATCTGCGCCAAACCGCTTTGTTCCGAATTCTTTACACCACATGGATTCCATCCAGTGGAGACATTAGAGCCAAACCGGCCTGTGCGCCGCTGCGAGGCCCCACTGCAAGCTTCAACCTCCGTCCTCTTGCCAAAAGTCGCCTCAGTCGTCCATTCCGCTCATCTCCACGTCGTCATCCCCGACGGGGGGCGCGGTCACTGATCTAAGTCGATGTCGAGGACGTAGCACCATGCCGTAGATGCTGCCTCCGTCGCTGTTGGAGGCGCGACGAACAGCCGGCTGCTGACCATCGGGAAAGGCGGCGGCGACGCGAGCCTTGATCTCTTCCTCGCACTCCCAGATCTGCAGGGTGCGGCTGCCCGGCGGGACCCAGAGGCTGAACTGGACGGTTCCAAGCTCAGTGAAGCGCTTAGCCCTTCCCAGCTTCTTCTTGACCGTGAGCTCCAGCGTGTCGCTGGCGAGGTTGATGTCGAACTCGAACCTGAGCTTGCCCCTCTTGCGGCACGGGATCTGGAGGAGGTCGTAGGCCCTGTAGTCGGTGTCGATGACGGAGTCGTCTTGGGGGTTGTCAAACTCTGGCTGACAAATGACCTTGAAGTCTTGGGAACCGTCGGACTTGACGGTCCTGGTCCACTTCCGTCCCTGATAAAGCGCATGGTAGTTAGCAAGAGCAGCGTAGAGGCGGAGCCAGGTGCATTGCCTAGTATCGGTAGAAGATTTACTTACCTGAGCCCACAGCATAGTTGCCTTGCTGTCCCACTCGTATGCCAAGTGGCCATCTACCATGTACTGCTTGGTCAAAGCAAGGCCGAAGGCCGCCTTGTCGACGAACTGAGCCACAGACTTCGCGTTCGCCAAGGCATAGTTCGCTCCTCCGGCGAGTCGGTTGTGTCTGTGCTCAATTAATAAGACCTTTCAGTGGAAAATCAGCTGGTGGTATACGTACTCGCCTGGGTGATCGATCTCGACAAGAGCGACAGGCCGCTTCACCTGGTATTTGTTGCAGAGCTCGTTCATGCGCTGAGACCACATGACACCCTTGGCTGACCCGCCGCCGATAACGATTTCGATCCTCTCGCAACGAGTCTCAAGGGCTTTGAGTTGTTGAAGGCCGTCTTCAATCAGCTTGAAAGCATGATCGAAACCCTTGTTGAACTGCTTGGTGAATTCCTCGGGTTTCAGGCTGAAGACAAATGGCATTCTGCCTGGAGCACATCCGTGGATCACGAAAGACGCACCCAGGTCAAACCTGTAGTCCGCAATCATGTTGTAGAACGTCTTCATGATTGCGGTCTCGACGTCCAAAGGCATTTCCGTTCCATCGAAATCGATCTTCCATGCCTCCCTCGCCTCTTGAACCACATGCCAGCCCCACAGGGCGGTGCCGCCAATTGCGCCTAAATAACCTACATTAGGGAGGCATGTGCATAGGAGGGGGGGGGGGCTTACCATGATCAGGGCGAATCTCCAGCTGGTTGTCGTCATCGCAGATAGTGACCAAGGAGGTGTTCTATACAAGGTACTTGTGAGTTTTTGATGTTTTACCAGCCGTCATGCACCTAGGCTTTGGGGTTGACTTACTGTACTATGTCCTCCAGCGTCTATGACCAAGACAGCGTTCCTTGTCCTGCCGAGTTCGAAGAAATGGCGTGCCTTTAGACCCTCGCGATCATACCGAGTGGCCAGTGTACCGCGGTAGAAGGCATAGTGCATGTTTGTCTGTCCCTCGCTGAGAAAGATGAACTGCGGAGCAGCAACCGGGAAGACTTGGTGCCACGCATTGGTCAGAAGTTGACCGTACTCTTCCTCAAACTCAATTGCCCATTGAGCCGGGATGGTCAGCGCTATGGCATCAATTTCTCCGCGGGACGTGTCTGGGTCACACCCGAAGAATTTAGAAGCCTCACGCAAGACAGCCAGTAGAATCTGCTGAATGCCTATACGGATGTTCTGCTTGAGCTGGGGCTCATTGTTCGCTTGCTCTATGAGGCTGCGGATTTGGCCAGACTGTGCGGCAAATTCATCAGTGAGTCCGACAACTGCATACATGGCAAGCTTGGATGAGATGGCCTGGCGTCCAGGCTCAACGTTGTTTCCTGGATAGATCCAGTGACCAGGAGGATTTGGCTGCTTGTTGTCGAATGGATAAATGTCGGAAGCAAATTGGCGCTTCATCTCTGTCCGATCAGTCGCCCTGTCTGCTTCACCCGGAGTGTGAATTATGAGATGATCGATCGGTTCATCTCGCACCCTCTTGAAGAGGACCTTTGCCCGGACGGCCTGGCTTCCCCAGTCAATGCTCAAGGTTCTGTTTGGTGGAAGGTTAGTTCTGCATTTATCAATGCATACCACTGACACGGGGGCGCCGAAACAGGGTTCTGTTGGCTTGCCTGTACTTACTTTCTGAACACATAGTCACGCTGCGGGCGATCGCGGAGGTATTCGTGTTCTCTCGCCATGTCATTGGTGGTGGTGTCGACCGACATCCTTGATGAAAAGGCAGATGGTGCCTGGTATGATGGGGAGGATTAACGGTCAGGTGCTGTCAAATGCCGGCTCGACTGCTGCCGATTGTGCGTTTGGAAGTTGGGGCTGGCTGCACCGCGTGTTTGAGTGACGCGACCACGTCCACCTTGAGCAAGTAATTCCTGCAGGTGAGGTACCAGGGGAAAACACTTGAAGAGCTGCAACATCTGGCTCTGGCGGTAGGTAGGTACCTAAGTACCTACGTACCTAGGTACCTTTGCGGGCAGCCTAGCTGGCCCACTTCAAGCAACGTCCAGTCTCTGCGTGCCAATTCTCGATTTGCCCACAACACAACACACTTTGAGCAGCGACTGAGGTTTGCAGAACTCAACACTCAAGACTGTTGTTGCGTAGATTCTCATTACAAGAAAAAAACTACTTCTGTCATTGGTAGGACACACGCACCAATTCGGAGTCTGTCCAAACCGAAAAACGATCGCTCCTCCGCCAGCACAGCTTGCTCAAGTGCCCCAGAGCCACGTCTGCGAGCTGAGCAGACCACCAGTCAACATCACACCCCGAGTCGTGATTCATCACATTCGCAATGGATCCCGCTATCTCAACCACAACGGATCCCGCTGAACGAAATAGAATCCATGAGCAATTCATCAGCCAGTTCCGCCCCAATCCGGATGGTCCTGATTATGACTGCGGTGGCAAATACGAAGAACACCGAGGGCTGCTGAGAGGAATCCGGGACCCTGGAAATTCTACCCCTGACGACGTCAAGCCTCAGGCCATTGAGTATCTCAAAGAAGACGTCTTCCCTTTCTTGTAAGCGCGTCCTCCATTACCAGTCATTTCATCACGGTTTTACTCTGGTCTTGAGTTACCAGGAGTCTTCACCAGCAATCAAAAGCCTTGTGCTTCCATCACCCGTCGGAAAACATTGTCTCGCAGTAGATGTTGGCTAACTGTGCGTTGGCAGTGAGCGTTGCGAAGATGTCCACAAGCAGGAGCGAGATGAGCTCTTGGCCGTCTACCTAAAATACAATGGGCCCGATGGAATTCGCACCCGTCTCCAGCCAGAGCTCAACGAGAAGCGGGGAAGAGTAATGGCCTTTGGTCTAGACGATGACAATGCCACAGAGGCGATGACGAAGTTTATCCCCTATGACTCGGCGACCGGCGTGTACTTTTGGTTCGGGAAAGGAGGCTACGTCACCTACCATAACATGCATAAAGAATTGTCAACAGGAGGCTCCGACAGCAGTGATTTTGAACCCCCTGTTATCAACCACATTCCCCTTGGAACAGCGGAGAATGGCAACATGGCGCACCACCACAACATCAACCCCGATGACGATCTTTCCCTCAATCCCGGCCTTTTGGAGCTTTTGCGGGGTCTGATGAAGCTCAAGAATGCCCAGCCATTCATCAACTTCGCCCACGAAAAGAACGCGGACAACTACCAGGGTGTAACCTGGAGGCCTCGCTGCTTGAGTTTCATCGAGCAAGGTCTTCAACTGGACCCCTCCATTGGCTACGGATCTACAGCATTCTTCAACGACATGCTTCTGGTGTTTACCAACACTCGGAAGGGAAACCCCTTTCTCTACACGGAGGAGAATAGACAAGCAGATGGCGTGGAGTCAGTGATGATGAAGAGACTGAAAACGATGGGAAGCGCCGGTGCGAAGCTTCTGGTAAGTCATCCCAGCCGGTGTAATATCCAACTGTAGTTGAAACTGACACTCGCTCAAGGCACAATACGAGGCGATTAGAAAACAGGGACCAGAAGACTGGTCGGATCCTGAAATGCTCTACTTTAAAGCACCCCACAATCCACATCTCGACAATTTTGACGGAACAAAACCTGATGAAAACAAAGTTAGGACTCTGGCCTGGTGGCAGGTTTGCTTGAGTCGAAAGCGCGTCCAGAAGCTGCGTGCCAGCCTGGCTTCCACAGCACCAACTGCACACCAAGACACTCAAACCCCTGGCTTGGACAGCGGTGCTCCGCTAGACCAGCGCTCCGGAAAGCGCTCTCACGAGCAGAGCGTAGAACCCGAAAAGGATGGCCCGAGCCGCGTTTCAAAGCGCCCGATGTCGAATCCTGGCATCAATCCCAACCACTGCACAGATCCTCTGGGACAGCCTGGGCTCAAGAGTTATCGACAGATGATGGGCCTCGAGAGGAATGACGAGGAGGACGAGATTGACCAGAGCGAGGTGGTGGAGGAGAGAGCTCCGAAGCGACAGCGTTTGACCGAGCCCGCGGCTGTTACCAACCTTGCTGCCACGAGCTCTGGGCCGTCTCGTCCTGGTCCATCTGCGGCTCGTACCAGACTTGCTGCCACGAGCTCTGGACCTTCTCGCCGTGTTCCAACTGCGGCTCCTGTCCAGCGCCGCTCTTCGAAGCGCCTTAGGGCTCAAGCTGATGCTGACAACGACAGCGACGATGATGACGATGGTGGTGAAAGCCACGGGGCATCTCGTTCCAAGCGACGCCGCCTCACAAAGGACACAAACTCTGCGGGCCTCCCACACGCGAGCCCCGAGGCTGGGCCGTCCACCGCAAGCAAAGAGATGCATGAGCCAGCAGCCCTTCTTTCCCACAGCGGTCAAGCCCGGGCATCATCGGCCGCTGGGCAGCCAGCGCCTGAGCAAGGAAAGAAGCCGGTCCATTACCCGGCGCCAGCATCGCAGGCCCTACCCTCCAGCAGAAACACCGTGGCCATGAGCAAGCTCGCCAAGATGGGCAAGACACGCCCGTGGGTATTTGGCTACAGCACCGACGAGGGCTACGGCCTCTATGCATTCATGAAGTGTCCGCGCCGCAACTGCAAGCAGCGATTTGCTAGCGATTCTCTTCGGAACAACCACGCACGTGACCACCTCTCAGGCTGCGGTCAAGCCTTCATCGACGAGCAGGACATGGTGAGGCAGTACGCCAGCCAAGGTATGTATCCATTGGAATTCCCTCCCCACCTCACCGCCTTGTCCATGCAAGTGCTAACATTCTTCGTCAAAACAGTGGTCAAGGATGCGGGCAGGAAGTCCGACCTGACGGTCGACTGGGCGCGCAACTCCAACATGAACCTTCTCCCTTCGAATGAGAAGGACAATCACCCCGATAACTTCCCCCAGCCGCCTGCGGATGAGTAGGCCGCACCAATTACCACCGAACCGAAAAACAAGAAAAAATTGTCGAAACACCTGTACAGAATACCAGCCGTGGCCACGAATGAACTCACGACAACACGGCCTCATTGACATCCGTGAGAGTGGCCCAGACCCCTTCACCCAATCACACCTAATTGACACACCCAGACGCCTTCCCCGACCTCCGCCTTGCATAACACTTCTCCGGGCCATTGTCTTCATAAGACAGCCTACCTCACCGGCCAACATAATACCGTGCTTCAGCACACTACAGCAACACGGGCGATGGGATCTGGTCCCCAGACGGAAGACTTACCCTGCCTTCACCATATCCACGGTTCCTGCTTCAGGTCTACTCTACCAGCATTGAGCTTCTCCGCCGGCATCGAGCTTATCGACTGCTCTGCTCGCATTGAGCTTATCGACTGCTCTGCTCGCATTGAGCTTATCGACTGCTCTGCTTGCATCGAGCTTATCGACTGCTCTGTTGGCATCGAGCTTATCGACTGCTCTGTTGGCATTGAGCTTCCCAACTGCTCTGCCTGCATTGAGCTTATCGACTGCTCTGCCTGCATCAAGCTTCTCTGCTACCATCTTCCACTCATCCGCCTTGCCCACATCAGACCTAGCCTTTTGGCATCGAGTTCACTCTGCCAAAAGCGCCGACTCCCCCTGTCGGCATCAAGCTGCTTTCCGTCATCGAGTTCACTCTGCCGGCAACAGACTTGGTCATCCACGTGGGCTGATCTCATCACATACACCCCGCCTTTCACCGCCTTTGAGGGCCAGCTACCAACGCTTGGGCAAATACTGGAGAGTCTAGGGGAATGAGTTTGGGCAATACACGAAATTTGGCACTGGGCCGAACGAGCAGCATGTGCTGCATTACTTGAAAATTAGGCCAAACGAGCAGCGTGGGCTGCATGATATGAAAATTAGGCCAAACGGGCAGCATGGGCTGCATGACATGAAACTTATCCTTAGACTACTCAATGGAATGAAATCAATCAAATTGTAGAAAATGCTGCTCTGATGCCCTGGTTCTCAGTGCTGGTGCCTGATTGAGCTCTGGTCTTGAGGGCGCCCGCAGTGCGCGCGACGCGCGACGACGCGAGGCTGACGCGCTAGTCAAACGGCCCGCCCCGCCCGCCCCACTAAAGCTTGCTGCCCCACCAAAGCCTTCTCAAGCTACCCCACCAAAGCCTTCTGCCCCACTAAAGCCTTCTGCCCCACTAAAGCTTACCGCCCCACTAAAGCCTGCAGTCCCACCACACCTGCACAACGGCGAGGCGCGAGGTCCATTTTGGGAAGTTGTCAGCCTCGACGTCAGCAGACCAGACCTCCCACCTCCCACCTCCCACCTCGCCACCAGGCAACACAACCACCTCTGAACATTTGAAGTCGATGTGTGTGCGATTTGAAGAATGTGTCTGTAATTTTTGAGTAGTTGAGGGAAGCTTTGTGTATTTGATAGATTTCCTTAGTTAGCCGCCCAAGCAACGCTTCGGGCAAGCCTCGCGTCTCAGGCCACGCAACTTCGAGTTTGTAGGAATCAACAACCACCCATTTGCCTACATTTTCAGTCCCAAAATCCACTCGATTTCTGCAGTGCTTCCAAGTAGTCACGTGCCAGAATACACAGCCGTGAGCGATGGGCATACTGTGTGTAACCAGTGCTCTCAACGTATTGCACTGTGTGCAGGTGATGGTCCTCTACACAATAGTGACTCTCTGTGTATTCTGGAACGAACCAATCACGTCGCAGCTCGCAGATTCTGAATGGCACCAGTTCCTATTGTTCTTAACGGAACCAATTGCGATTGTCCCCATCAGTCCGTGCTCCTGAGAGGGAGTCACCTTGTGGAGCCTCGCCTCCGTTCTATTGGGCAGATCACTGTGCTCGCAGCGGTTCATGGAGGGGCACATCGTGGGTTGCCGTGGAAGCACCTCATGTGATATCTACCAAGTGACATTTCCATTCACTGACGAACAGTCACTGCACCAACAATTGCTATTCTGCGCAGCTGCAGACCTCAAATCCACAAGTACTTAAACCCTCGCATTCCCCCTGTTCCAGCAATCTTCCTCCGTCCAACAACAACAATCTGGGATTCGACCAGAGTTGACTGAGATTTCATTTCAAGACCACAGTTCATCTTGTTCTGCCATCCATCCATCCATCAACTCCTCTGTCAACCCATCTGTCAACCCAAACTTCTAATTTCAATCCTGTACTGCCCATCAATCCCAACCTCCTCTGTCATCAACAACTCTCTGTTGTCTTCGTTGTGCCACCCTACCTACCACAAACACACACATACTACGACTTCTTCCAAATCGTCCACAATGGCACCCATCAAGAACAAGAAGACGCGCACTGGCGCCGATCGCGTCGACCCGAAGCATATGACCTTCGAAGAGAGGTTCGCGGCGGTCACTGGCATGGCCCCCGAGCCAAAGATCCTCACCGACAAACCCTGTCCGTAAACACCCCAACGCGCCCAGCCAGGGCTCACTATTTTGACAACCACCGCTAACAATCCGCACGTGCAGTTTCGAAGCGCCCTGGCTTTGCGAGTGTGAGGGAGTCTGCCCTCTGCTCCCTCGTGAGCCCCGAGAACTCGACTCTGGCCCGTTTCCTGCGCGAGGAGGAGAAGGCCATGGACAACCTGACCGGTGTCCTGCGTCGCATCGACGAGCTCGAGGCCAAGGTCGAGCGCCTCTCCGACCCCGCCTCCTCCGCAGACCTTCTCACCACAGAGATGGCTGCTGCGTCGCCCGCGCGCTTTGAGAAGCTGTGGAAGATGGCCAAGTCTGCCAAGGCCGGTCAGGAGGCCTTGAACAACCACGTGACGGCTTGGACCCAGTGGGCACAACAGCAGATCATCCAGCTCGACGACAATGTCAATACGGTGGACAAGCACTTTGTGAAGAGCTCGGACAACGACGAGTTCAAGACTGAGACCAGCAACAAGGTCAAGTCCCTGCTGAAGCAGCTCGAGCAGCACAAGGGCGCATCGCACAAAGAGATCACAGGGCTCAAGAAGAACATCACGGGCGAGCTGGAGGCACTCAAAGCCATGGTGGAGAAGTCCAAGGCCGAGGGCCAAGCCTCAGCAAAGGCCGAGGAGGTCCAGGGGCTCAAGGACAAGTCTGAGGAGCACGGCGGGTACATCAGCAACCAGGGCGAAGAACTCAAGAAGCTCAAGGAGGAGAACCAGGCGCAGGCTACTCTGATTGCCCAGCAGGGCGAGAAGCTTGCCGAGCAGGAGAAGCAGATTGCGGACCTGAACGCCGGACAAAAGGTCCAGGACGCCGAGCACGAGAAGCTCAAGCAATTTGTCCTGAGCCTTGCTGCCCACACCGGCTTTCAGAACAACAGCCAGCAGTTCCCTGGTCCTGGCCCCGGCCCTGGCCACCAGCAACAGCAACAACAGCCTCCTCCTCAGCCTGGCCCCTCCAACCAAGCTCAAGGACCCCAGGGAAATGGAGCCTGGACACCACCACCAGGCCAAGGCTCTCAGCCAGCTGATGATGTGGACATGGAGGGGTCCGAAAACCCTGTCGAGGACGACTCCCCGATGAGGGATGCGCCGCAGGAGCCTCAGCTGCCTCACGGGCAACTCCATCTGCCTGAGCCTCCCCAGCCTCGACCCATTCACCCCCAGTTCCAGCAGCCTCCACCTCACCAGGCTCCATCTCCACAGCCCCAGTTCGCACCTCAGCCGCCGCAGCCAAGCAGCGCAGGGCTCGATGACATCGCAATGGGTGATGAAGGACCAGTTGTCTCGGGCAACAACGCCAACGCGGGAGCGACACCAACCACCGCTCCTCCAGCTGAGGCGCCCCTCTTCAATTTCGACCAGCCAACTTTTAACAACCCGAACTCATTTTCCTTTAATGGCACTGCCCCCGCTGTGAACCAGCCGCAGGTCAACTGGGGGGCTACGATGGGACCCCTGAGCTTCGGTCCTCCACCTCAGCTCGCTGCCGATGACGATGAGCGGCCACACCCTTCCATGGCCAACATGACTCTGGCCCCAGCTGCACTGCCCTCTCCTCCACCAAGCCAGCCTTCCCCCACTCATGCTGGCGCTTTCGGTCCTGCAGCTGGCCAGCCTGTTCCATTCCCGGCTGCCACCTTCAACCACCCAACAGGTCAGCCTGCTGCCGATATGAGGTCACCTGTAAATAATGGTGCCTCTCCTGCCACCAACATCAACGGTGGCCCAGCCTCTCATGCTCCGCGCCCACCATCCCCTGAACTCGGTTCACCCGCTGTGACCGCCAGACTCAACGGTTTCCCAGCCTCAGATGCTCCCCGCCCGGCCGGACACACCGGCGGCCGACCATCATCCCCTGAACTCGGCTCAGCCTCTGCCGCCGCCCAGCCCTGGAGACCCACGATCAAACCCAAGGGGGCCCAGAAGAAGAAGGCCAGCATCTTCATGCAGAAGAAGCCGGCAGCAAACCCCGGCAGCCCAGCCTCGGTAACAAGCAAGGCCCAGACGATCGAGAGCCATGCCGCCTCGTGGGCCAAGAAGAAGCAGGAAGCCTTCCGTGCTGGGAAGCTGCCCGAGTCTGAGCAGGCATCCTCACCCCGGGCACCAGAGGCGCCGATGACACCAGCCGACGACGAATCCGCAGAATGGATCAAGGAGCTCGCCGGCGAGGCCTCAGAACGGATGAAGGAGCTCCGGTCAAGGGCCAACCCGTCGCCCTTCGCGGCCAAGCCCAAGCCCACCACCAACAAGCCAACCACCTCAGCATACGGGACCAGCTCCTCTGCCACGCATGACACCGTCGAGTCGGAGGACCCGGGCAACATCTTCCTCAGGGACATGGCCGAGGAGCCCAAGCCACAGCCACAGCCCAAGCCAGAGCCCACGCACGTCCACGAGCCCGAGCTGAACCCCCGCAAACACACCAGCCAGCAGCACCGCGCCGCCCCGTCCGTCGAGGTCGAGGATGACTCCCCGATGGACAACGGCCGCAGGACGCTGAAGCCCAAGGGCCGCGCCGGCAAGATGTCGCCCGGCAAGGCCAAGGAGATGATCGAGGACCAGCACGTCGACCAGGCGTTCGCCATGTGGGACTTTGCAAAGGCAGCCACCCCGCCCAAGTCTCCCGCCTCTGACGCCTCCGGCAGCGGCTCCTCCCCATCCTCCTCCAAGATGACAAGCGGGCTGGTCCAGGAGCGCGCATCTCAGGATGACGCCGCCGCCTCCTCGGACGACAACGGCGAGCACGCCCAGAAGGTGATGCGGGTCACGCGGCCGGACGAGCCCCGCCTGACCGCCAAGCCGCGCAGCCTCATGAAGCGCATGACCAAGGACCAGATCGAGGGCCACCGGGAGGTGGAGGCGCAGATCGTGGCGGACGAGGCGGACGAGCGGCGGCGCCTGAAGGCGGCCAAGGACAAGATCGAGAAGGCCCTCGCGGCACAGGACGACGTCGTCGACTACGGCGACCCCTCGGACGCGAACGACGAGGACACGCACATCACCGTGGTGCTGTCCCCCACCGAGCCCACCAAGCCCGCCAAGGCCACCAGGTACTCGACCGTCATGTTCCTCGACTGGGAGCAGAGGATCCGCAGCAGCACGCGCAACTTTGCCAAGATCACGCTGCAGGGCCGGGGCGGCGACGCCGTCACGCGGCGGTGGGCCGAGGCGCTCGACCACTTCGACACGGAGGTGTGGCCGCTCGACAAGCTCATCCCGTGGGCGGGCTACGACTACGACGCGGACGGGTACACCGCCGCGCAGATGACCAACATCATGAGCTACTGGGCGCAGGAGGTGTTCGTCACGGCGCTGGAGAAGGTCGTCGAGAGCTTCAAGAAGGGCCCGAGCCCGGCCCTGGATGAGGAGAAGGGCGACATGATCCACAATAAGATCCTGGAGCATGGGAAGAAGTACCTCCGGGAGCACGCCCCTGATGTCGTCTAGGCGTCTGCCACCACCACCACCACCATCTAAGCTTCCTCCCCTGGCATACGGCTCCATACCTCGGCATTTCCTAATCGGCCACGTCCTCAATCGTGTGGTTTGACAAGATGCCTCGGGTCCTCACCATGGCTACGACTCATCCATCCCCCAGCACACGACACACAGCAGACTTCAGCGTTGACTCGGCCGCGTCCTCAACCGCGTGGCGTGACAACATGCCTTGGGTGCCTACTCACTGTGGGTCAGGCCCCAGCAGGCTGATGCTGCCAGAAAGAACCGCCACTTCTCCCCAAACAACAGCTCGCCGACTCACAGACACACCACTGTGGTGTTATGGCTCGGCTGAGCGTTTGCGGGGTTGAAGTAAAGAGGACGGAGGGCTAGGGGACAAGAAGCCCAAAGGCTGGGAGGCCGGGAGGCTGGGAGGCTAGGAGGTATAGGAATGATTGGTGGAGGAGTAGCGTGGACGGTAGCGAGCGGGTAAGGGACGGAAGGAAGGAAAGAAGGAAGAGGATTTGGTAAAGCGGAAAAGGGTACAATACCCATGACTTTGAGCGCTTCTTAGTGTACTTTGAGATACCCGACATGATGAGCCTTTGCAGTAGCTCCATGTCTCGAGATGATCACATTCAGTAGATGATCATCAAGTAATGGCAAAGTAATACAGCCAATTACAACCAACTTCTCTATCTCTCACCGTAGACTTTTATAACGTGAGCCCCCAAACCCCGTCCCATCTATCTAATAGCACTCGCAGAGCAAAGGTTCAATCTACCAGAGCACCCGTAAGTCTGAACGCTCCACCCGCTGCATATCATCATCAACCTGCCGCCAAGGACTACCAACCACCCGCCGGCCCGTCCACCCCTTTATATATACATACAACCACCAAAAACAGCGAGGCAGTGCCCAAAGCGAGCAAGGAAGGTTTCAGGGGCCCTTGGCATCATGACTTGCGGCTCCCGGGTGCAACCGAAGCCTCCGCACTGCCATCCAATCTCGCCATGTCATGGACGGTGAGAGCCACGAGTCAGTCCGGGCCCAGGCAATCCGTACGAGCAGCGGAGCCCGTTTCAAATGTTTTCCTGGTTCGGCTGTAGGGCTGAGAAGGGGAGGCAGCGGGGCCGGCGTGGTGTGGGTTCCAAAATAGCACCCGTCGAGTCGGTGGCCCCTTTGATCTGGGAGGGAGAGTTGTCCCCGGATGCCCGGGTGTGGGTCGGATGGTTTGCTGGGCAGGACCACCACGCCTTTTCCTACTGACTCTGACTTGTTTATTATACTCTGGTCACCCAGGCCCTGCTTTTTCCACACAAGCCGAGTCTCTTGTTTTTGTATTCCATTTCTCTTCTAGTTCAAGCGGTTGTTTGTTGCCTGCCTATTCGCTCATTATTCCCAAAGGCAATGTTCACGGTCTAAGTACCAGCACACATTCATTTCTTTATCATCACGATCACTACTAGTCATTCGTTGATTTTCAATTCAGCAACATGCACTCCTCACTCTCCTTATACTACCTCTCCCTCGGCCTAGCAGCAGCCGCCACCTCGCCCTACGCCCCGACGACAACGTCCTGCCCCAGCGGGCCCCTGGTCCGCAGCGGAAACACAGACCTCAGCGACAGGGAGGAGGCATACCGCGTGGCCCGCAAGGAAAAGGCAGACGACGCCCTGGCACAATGGCTAGACAGGCAGAGCCCGGGCCTCGGCTCATCTTCCGGCAGCCTGCCCGCCCTCGCGCTCTCCATCTCGGGCGGCGGGTGGCGCTCGTTCCTCACGGGCGCGGGGGTGATACAGGCGATGGACGCGAGGGAGCAAGTCACCAACAATAACAACAACACCAACACCACCACCACCACCAGCTCCAACAACGCGGCCACGAAAGGCCTCCTCCAGGCCATGTCCTACCACGTCGGCGTCTCGGGCGGCGGCTGGCTCGTCTCCTCGTGGGCGGGCAACGGCTTCCCGACCGTGACGCAGCTGGCCGGCGACCTGTGGAAGCCCGCCTTCTCGCACGGCCTCGAGGCCCCCGGCGGCTGGGAGGCGGCCAGGGGCGCGTACGCCGACATCGCGGCCGACGTGCGCGCCAAGGGGGACGCCGGGTACCCGACGTCGCTCAACGACCCGTGGTCGCGGCTGCTGTCGTACCAGCTGCTGCCCGGGGACCGGGGCGGCGCCGCGGTGCGGCTGTCGGACGTGGCGGGGTTTCCCAGCTTTGTGGGGCACGACGCGCCGTTCCCCATCATCGACGCCAACGGGGTCGATACCAAGGCCGGCCGGTGCGGCCCCACCGACAACGGGACGGTGTGGGAGTTCACGCCGTTCGACTTTGGGAGCTGGAGCGACGGCGTCGCGGCGTGGATCCCCGTCGAATATCTCGGGACAGGTGCCAACGACACCAACTGCACCGCGGGCTTCGACAACCTGGGCTTCGTGCTCGGCACGGGGTCGAACCTCTTCGGCAACCAGGCGTGCGTCGAGACCGACGCGTTCGGCGCGGCGGAGAAGGACGTGCTCGACAAGCTCGCGGGCGTCCTGCACGCCGTGGACGAGAAGCTCGACTTCGCGCGCATCCCGAACCCGTTCAGGGGGCTCGACACCGGCGCGCCGGGGGCCGGCGGCCAGGCGAAGGAGGTGTTCCACCTCGACGAGCTGTACCTCGTCGACGGCGGGCTGGGGCTGCACAACGACCCCGTCCAGCCGCTGCTGGAGCCCGCGCGCAACGTGTCCGTCATCGTGCTGAGCGACTCCTCCGCCGACGAGGACGACTTCCCCACGGGCGCGAGCCTGGTCGACGCGTCGTGGTACACCAAGAACACGTCGCGCATCGCGGCGCGGATGCCCACCATCCCGCCGCGAGACACATTCCTCGAGCAGGGGCTGAACAAGCGGGCCGTGTTCTTCGGGTGTGGCGAGCCCGAGGCGGTGACAATTGTTTACCTGCCTAATGTTAACTACACGTACCAGAGTAACCTGCCGACTACCAAGTTCCAGTATGACTTTGACGTCACCGAGGGCATGATCGCCAACGGCGGGGCGACGGCGACGCAGGATGGGGAGGAGGGCTGGGGGCTTTGCCTTGCGTGCGCGGTTATGATGAAGGAGGAGGGGGCCAGCTTGCCGGATGGGTGTGGTGCTTGTTTTGAGAAGTGGTGTTATAAGCCTGAGAGCACATTGCCGTCGAATTCGACTGCGCCTGCAAGTGTGGTAAGGCGGGCGTCGTTGAAGGCGCCCAGGTGGTAATACGAGGAAGGGTTAGTCAGGATATCCTAATTGAATTGGATTGTATCAATCGCATGGCGATATGAATCGCTGGTCTCACTCACATCGATCCCAGTCTCCAGGTGAACATGTGTCCGAGAAGTGACTTTATCGTTGTTCACTCGGGTCTTGAACACCGTAAAATGGTTATTACGCAACCTCGATATCTGGAGGAACCTTGCATCGTTCATGCACGTCGCTCCACTCTGAATTCGATGTTCCATCCACATACCCACCTGAGTCCTTTCGATCATCGACATTCTGGCAGTTCGTCCTCCTATACGAAACATTTAAAGTCGACCTCGACATAGACTCCGAGTCGGGAGTCAGCACATATTCCGACTGGGTGATCCAAACGACCTCAGCCATCACTTTCTCCGTTTGTCTTCTCCTATGGTCAGTATACCGTCGCTTGCTAACTCTGGGGCTCCAGTGCTTCTCTGCCTTTATCAGCCGATCCAATCAGGGCACATATCATACGACGAACCTATTCCCATGTAATTACTCTGCTTCAGCACCGCCGACGACCATTCCTGTCGGGAAACCCAAAGGCTCCTGTCATCGTCGGCCAACACGCAAAATGAGCACACCAAAAGCCTTTGAGGTCCTGAAGGCCCGCTTGTGCATGCTGAGTCTCCTCACAGGGGCCTGCAAGTGCCTCTTCGGCAGCTGCACTTCTCTCCCAGGGGTCCTGCCCCCCCTCGCCCTCGTCATCTACACAACCAGGGAGCTCATAAAGATCAACGGCGGCGCGCGCCAGCCCCCCGTCCCGACCCCGACCCCGACACCAGATCTCGCGGCCGAGGACGAACGGGATGAGGTCTCCCACATTGATGGCAAAATCGCTCCCCCAGAAGACGAGGTAAAGAAGCTGGCGCAGGCGCTCGACCGGGTCGAAGGTCTGCTGGAGCACTACGGCGACATGGTCGAGCGGACGGGGACCAGCTGTGTCGAGGCCTTTCGGCAGATCCACAAGCAGCACAGCGACCAGCTGAAGCGATACACCGATTTCCGCAACGAGTACGACGACAAGCTCGGGTCCGTCGGCGGCGCCCTGGACGCCCGCCGGCACGAGACCGCAGAGGTCTCGCGGACGGCCGCGCAGAACTACAGCCTGCTGTGCGACCTCATCGCAAAATACCAGCGGGCCGTCGAGGAGAACCAGGACGCCGCGAAGCAGCACATGGGCTCCGTCAGCGACGTGCTGCTCGGCCAGGACAAGGCGATCGCGGCGGCGCGCGAGCACGTCACGCTGCGCGTCGGGGAGTTCCAGGCGCAGCTGGAGGCGCAGGAGCGGGCGGCCGAGGAGAACAGGGGGCTCGTGAGGGAGTATGGCGCCGATGTTAACAGGGTGGTGTCAGACCATGCACGGCTCGTCGGCGAGTACCAGGCCGCCCTCGAGGGGGTGGTGTGTCTCAACACGGCCAACCGTGTGTTCTCGCTGGTGCGTGTCCCTTATGGCTGGGAGACGCTGGGGGATACCGCCGAGGACGTCGAGGATCACGGGGGGGCTCGGTCCGGGGCGCAGCCAGCTACTGCCACCGCCACCGGAAGCATGGTCGACAACGTCCAGGAGCTATCACGCACATTCAGGACACAATCCAACCAGACCGCCAACACCAACAAGGCCACGCCCCAGGAGACGCCAATGGAGCAAATGCTAGCCGACATGCTTAGCCAGGTCCAGGACACGGCGCGGGCGCAGCGCGCCGAGGAAGCGGGCCAGCTCCGGCAGGCGCAGGCGGACATCGAGAAGCTGCGGGCGGACCTGGGCGAGATCGAGGAGTTCCGGCGGGTGATCCGGGAGCGCCAGGAGGTCGAGGAGCTCCACCAGCGGCAGACTGAGATGTTGAAGGTCTTTGAGGATGACCCCGAGCGGTACCACCGGGATGCCAAGTTCCGCGCCGAGGTGGGCGAGATCAGGGGGGCGGTCGAAGAGCGCCTCCGCGGGGCCCGTGGTGGTGCCTCCTCGCCTGGCGAGAGTGCCAAGCCGCAGCAGCTGTCTGAGACTGTCTGGTTTAGTTGACGTGACCGCATCTCAACCTCGAGGTCCACCGTGGCTGCCTACTGATAACTAGGGCGATGAGGACGACTTCTCGCTGAATACGTCAGATCACGGCGAGGGTCACCTGCTGAACAACGATGTACACATCTTCAGGGCTGTTAGCGAGGATTATGGCACAGAAATGAAGAGGGGAAGCGCATGCTACTCGGGAAGTAAAAAAGGCAGGGGGGAACTTTGTGGAAACATCAGAAGAAGCAGGATGAGAGGGCCTCTAGATGTGCATTTGCAGGACACGGGTGGGATTACTATTGGTTGCCAGCAATGGGCTACGGCTGTAGAAGGCCCAAGTGCATCAATCTGTGATCATTGTCGATTTTCCCTTTGATTTAGAATTCGCTTTGTGTGATGTCCAGTCCCTCGTCGATCCATCTTGGTGGTGCTCGGGTTGTGTGGTTCACTTGCTTGGGTGAAGACAGACTCGGATCACGCAGTCGATGTGAAACGCGAAGGCTAATGTCACTGCAGTTTATGCTTCCCAAGAGGTCTCCGAGGCCGGACAGTGCTGCTTGTCGTGGATATGATTGAAATGGTAGACTGGCAAGTATTTGTTCAGGGAGAATGAGGGCAGTGGGCGCAGATCACGATGATGTCAGACAGTTGGCGGGGTGGTCCCTTGATATGTACATGGTGGGGCAGCTCCCACCCAGCAGCTCCCCTCAGCTCCCTCGACCGCAACTGCGGTACCCACCCAAGCAGCCGCCAAGATGGCCTTGGGTTTTCCCACCACTCGCCGAGCAACCAGAAGCTGGGCAAACAGCGACAAACGACAACAGCTCTCAAATATCTCTCTCTCTGTACAGCAGCTTCAACCTACCCCGCCAAAACCAAAGACAACGAAAACAAACCACGCAAGAAACACCACACATACCCCGCCAAACACAACCGCAAGATGGAGGCCGCAAAGGAGACACTCGCATCCGCAGTCGAGCAGGTCAAGGCCGCCCTCCAGACCCACGGCGAGCGCCTGCCCCAGACCCTCAGCGACGCCGGGCTCGTCCCCGGGCCGGCCGCCGAGCTCATCCCGGAGGGCTTCCGGCCGCGGACCAGGCTTGAGGTCTCGTACGGCGACAAGGCCGTGGAGCTGGGCAACCTGTTCCGCGTGCGCGAGACAAAGGTGCAGCCTGTGGTCTCGTTCCAGCGGGAGGTATGTATACGTGTGTGTGTGTGTTCGTTTGGCTCAAGCTTTACTGACCCCCAGCGCAGGCCGACGTGGACCACAAGACGTCCTACACGCTGATGCTGGTCGACCCCGACGCGCCCACGCCAGACGACCCCAAGTTCGCCTTCTGGAGGCACTGGGTCATCACGGGTCTCGAGCCCCTGGGCGGCGCCGGCGACGGCAACGTCGTGGCCGCGACCAAGCCGGCTGCGACGGCGTACCACCCGCCAGGCCCCACGAAGGAGTGAGTAATCAGTCTTCCATCCGGCATCCCCCTTCCTGTAGACAGACAGCCTCACGCACGCCCGCCTAGAGCTCTCTCTCTCATCTGGGGAGGGTGGGAGCCCGTATACAGTGTATCTATGTCCCCATGTGCTGACACCCGCCGCTCCACAACAACAGGTCAAAACCTCACAGGTACCTGTTCGTCCTGTTCCGGGAACCCGTCCACCACGGCCTGGACCTCAAGCCTGAGGATGTCGGGGGCGAGGAGTTCACCCAGCGGCGGTCCTTCAAGCCCGTCGAGTTTGCCAAGAAGCACGGGCTGGAACTCGTGGGTGTGAACTGGATGAAGGTTGCTGCTGATGATTGGGAGTAAGCTGGTGTGGTCAGTCAGTACTATGGTCGGCTCTGAATAGAGTGAATGGGCAAATAGTGTGGGCATACTGCGTGCGCAGTGGGAACAATCTAGACGATAGCATTGCATAGGTCAAATTCCACACACGGTTCCAAAACTTGGATGAAGTCCATTCACTGGTCCATTCACCCACACTGAACCAAACCTTGTCCGGACCTGCTCTGACTGTGTATTGCCAGGCCTGAACCAATAGCAGAAGAGCGTTCTAGACGGACTGCAGAGTCGGGATGAAATTGTATTGTGCCCTCGCGCTCTGAGTGGTCGACACAACAATACAACAACCTCCAGCGCACAATACAAACCTCACAATACGGAGCCAGCAATTGTCGTTGAACAGGCGGCAGCAGTTGGAAACGTCCCTCTCAAGACTATTTAATTCCAGGCCTCCCCCAGCCAGAACTCTGATCCTCCGACTTCTCAACCAGACCCAGGTGCCAGCGAACCCCAAGATCTAGTCTTATCACTTGAGCAGAGGCTCGAGACATTTGATCAGTTCGTCGCCTGGAGATCGCAGCTCACAGCCCTGCGATCGTCACACCTCTCTCTCTCTCTCTCTCACACACAACCATTTCTTTCCATCCCCGAGACCAGACCCATCCATCCACCATGGATTGGTAAGTCAACACTACCCCTCCCACAACACCACCTTGCCAAACAAACATCGCGCTGACTGACATCCACAGCTCCGGTTCCTCCAGCTCCTCCTCCTCCTCCTCCTCCCCCAAGGCGGCCGCGCCCGAGGCGGCGTCCACTTCTCCAACGACCATGGGGGACCTGGACGCCTACTTCGACCGGCTGATCCTGAAGGAGCTGGACCACTTCCGCGCTGGGCCGTCATCCCCAGCCAACAACACCATCAACAACACCACCGCTGCCCCCGCCAGCCCCGACACTCCCGCCACAGAGGTGGCGGAGACAACCGCCTCGCCCCCCGTCACAGGGCAGGCCGGGCCAACAACCCCCACCGTCCAGGCACGTCCCGCAGCCGCCGTCGAACAGGCTGCCATCCACTCGGCGCCTGTCACGGCTCCTGCCCCCAAGGCCGCCGCTCCCCCTGCCGACCATCCCGCCGAGGATGGGAAAGCCACAAAGCAGGTGGACGAGCCCGAGACCGCGACCAGGACCGTCGCCACAGCCCTCCCGGCGGCGGTGGCCCAAGAGCTCAGGCTCCTGACCATCCCCAACAACACGCCCCGCCAGAGGCACAACAACGGCGCGCGGACCCAGCGCGTTTACCGCCTGGCCGCCAAGCTGGGCGTGTCACCCGGCGCTGCCCGCTGGGTTCGCGGAGCGAAGGCATACGCGCAGCCGGCCATCCCGGAGTCAACCGTCGTCAGCAAGTCCGTCACCGAGTACAACCAGTTCCTGTACGACGGCGGCGACGACGACGACAAGAAGGTGGTGCTGCGGATGCCGGGCGGGTGGAAGCGGGACCTGGTGCGCTCTCGGCCGGCGTTCCTGGGGGTGGCGGTGATCGACGGGTTCCTCTGGCCGCGGTTCAGTCCGAACCTGCCAAGGGGGATGACCACGGATTGGGGTGAGTTAAGCCTTTCTTTGTCCCTGAAACAGAACTCCAAATCCTGCAGAAGCTGACAATCATCACAGAAGAGCAGGGCTTCGTTGAGTTCAACGAGGTCCGCTACACCACCCCGTTCGTGGCGCGGGAGCCGCGGCCAGCCGTGAACACGGAGCGAGAGGACGGGATCCTGATCCGGCTCGACGAGTAGAGGCTCGTCTGGCCGGGCTCAGCCAATCCTCCCTTTTTTCAGCGGTGGCCAGGATGACCCGTTGGAACCCGCGATCTGTCCCGGGGCTGGTCAGCGGCCACACCAGAGCTCCTACTTCCCAGAGGCAACAACAGACCTCGTGCGCTGCCCGGATCTCAGCTCGACTTCTAATAAGTGGAGGGTGGTCTGGACGGGGGGAGGCTCTGGAGTCTGAGCAAGGGCTCAGGAGAATCGTCGCCGACCCCAACGGCGAGCGCGGCAGGAAGATTGCCAGTTCGACCCTGGACAAGAAGAGGGCAGAGATGAGCAATGACGGCAAGCAGACCGGCTGCCACACGCCTGGCGGGAAGCGGGCGGGGCTGTCTGACGCTGGGCCCGGGGGGTGGAGGGGGGTTGGAACAGATGGGCTGTGTGTGCGGCTGGCGGGTCTTCCTGATAATAGTGGACAGGATGAAAATAGACTCTCCTGCCGCGGCACATAACATCCAGACATCGTCCCCTGGCTAAAAAAAAAATAAAGGCGGATTCCCAATCTCAAACAATGATGACAGTGAGCTGATCGGTGAAAATGCTAGTGAAGATGCCGTAGGTCTGTCTGGAACACCGCAGCTCGACCGATCGGTTGGTGGTGACAGGGCAGGTGCCGTGCCGCAGGACGTGGGCAGAGCGACCCAGGCTGGCGTAGTATCTGAGTCCACTAAAGAAAAGTCCTCTGATCCTCAGCTAGCTGACTGACTGGTGATGCTATCGGATGTGCCATGTTGAAACTACCTGCCTCTGCTTGATTGTGAAGGGGCTGGCTCGCCTTTGCAAGGGCCGAGCTTCCAAGACAGGGCACTTGGTCCCACTCGAACCCCACAGGTAGTTGCCTCGTCCTGCCGTAATTCAAAATCTTCGTCAGCAAAAGGGCAAGAGAAGAGGGTCAGAAAGTTGAAAGTCACAGCCCCCAGGAAGACGGGGATCATGTAGCGGCCGGCCAGTAGTCCATGGTAAAAACGCCTGGCCGCAAGGGGCAAGGCGGCTCCCAACTCTGAAAGCCCGGGAGACAGGCGGCGGGCATCAGCGGCATGTCGTGGTGCTGCCCCCTGGAGTTGAGCTGATGGGAACTTGGGACATGTGACACGAGGCATGTTGCGCGGTGGGAAGGAGAAGTCATTTGAAGCTTGATTCGAATTAAAAATAGCATGCAAATATGTCCGCGCCGGCTCTGGTCTGCCGACATCCACATCCCCCACAGCGGCGTCCAAGCACAGACGCACGCCCCCTAAGCGCGCGAGATGTGCTGCCCCGCAGCCTCCTCCTCCTGCACGGTGGCCCGCCCGTCCTTCTCGGCAACGTGGTGGGCGCCGCTCTCGCCCTCGGGGACGCCGAGCATCTGGGCGCCCTTGTCGACGTGGTTGGCGCCGCCAAAGAGGACGTCGATCTCCTCGAGGGGCACCTGCTTGGTCTCGGGGACGAGGAACCACACGAACGCCGCGAGGACGATGTTGATGGCCATGAAGAAGAACATGCACTTGAGCCCCTCCCGCTTGAGGAACAAGGGGAAGAACTGGTTGAAGACGGCCTGCGCGACGTTCTGCATCTGCGAGCACATGCCCACCGCCTGCGCGCGCACGTTCATCGAGAAGATCTCGGACGTCCAGATCCACACCGTCGCGCCCCACGACGGCTTGTAGAAGAAGATGAAGAGGAAGAGCAGGAACACGATGCTGATGCCCACGGGCTCCGACTTGGAGTCCGTGCCCGGCGTGGTGAGCCCCACGACCGACACCAGCATCGTGCACACGGCCATGCCCAGCGCGCCGACGATGAGCAGCCAGCGGCGGCCGAAGCGGTCGACGGTCCACACGGCGTTGAGGGTGAAGAGGATGCCAAAGGTCGAATTGAGCGCGTTGATGAGGTTGATCTTGGCGTCCGACTTCCACACCTTCTTGTAGATGGCCGTCGAGTACGAGTTGAGCGTGCCCTGGCCCGTCAGCTGCTGCCCGACGTTGAGCACGCACGCGAGGTAGATGCGCTTGCGGACCGACGGGTCCTTGAACAGCGCGCCGTAGCCCGACGAGATGGCCTCCTTCTCGTACTCGATCGCCTCGCGGATCACCATCAGCTCCTCCTCGACCTGCGCGTCCGTGTCGCGGATCTTGGCCAGCGCCGCCCGCGCCGCCTCGATGTTGCCCGACTTCTTGATGTGCCAGCGCGGCGACTCGGGCTGGAAGGGCAGCAGGCAGATGATGATGGTCGGCACGAGCGCCTGGAAGATGACGACCATCTTCCAGTCCCACTCGCCGAGCTTGGCGCGGTGCAGCGAGCAGGCGTAGTTGATCCAGTAGGCGATGAAGGACCCGACCGAGTAGAAGGTCTGCCAGAAGGCCATGATGTAGCCTCGGATCTCGGGGGGCGCCACCTCATTGATGTAGACGGGGCCGGCAGCTGCGTGTGGCGTGTTTGTTAGTTTGATGATGCCGTGTGGTGAGGGGTGGGGTTCACTAACTCAGGGCCATTCCCTGCCCCATACCAATGATGACACGACCTGCCATGAAGCAGCCGAGGCTGCCCTTGGGCGTGAAGGTCTGGATCATGGTGGCGACGATGGTGAGGAAACACCCGATTCCCATGCCCCAACGACGCCCGAGAAAGTCGGCCTGGCCCTTGTGTCAGTTTGGAGGCCACCGAAATGCTGGGTGGATGTGGCTTACAACTGGACCTCCGATGAACCAGCCAGACACGATCGCACCAATGGCGTACACCGTGTTGATCAACCCAAGCAGGTATTCGTCATCTTCCTTTCTCAGGCCGAGCCAGGCCAGCCAGTTGGGCGAGCCCTGGACCGAGTTGAAGGTGGAGGCATCATAACCATAGAGCACCATGCACATGGCTGCCACTATGGAGATGTACCTGTGAAGAGACGACGCCGGTCAGACTTTACTTGACTTCCTCTATATGGGTTGGCTTTTTGGGGGGGGTGGGGGGGTGGGGGGGGCAAGGTGGACGTACCAATTGTACATCAACTTTTTGGACGGCATCTTGGCTGTCTGTGCAGGCGGTCGACCGACCTGCTGTGTGTTGTCTGGGGGAGAGGCAACAGTAGGAGATGACCCAGAAAATGCAGGTCACCAGCGTCGAGGTTGTCAAGAAGCAAAGGGATGAAGAGAGCAAGGCGGGCAAGGCAGTGGTGGAGGTGGAAGGGCGCAAGGCATTTATGTATGCACGAGAAACGGAAATACATGCAGAAATATCTGTCTCCTAATGGAGAAGCTGGCTGCACGCCAACACCACCCACCCATGCCCAAGGCTCGCGAATGGAAAGCGCCGAGCAGGTGCAACACAATGATAAGTAGAGGGTCCATTTTTCCAGGGCCGCATGGCCAGTCACAAGGATCCCCTCGCGGCAGACTGGAGGCGATGGCATGGAGCTATGCCCGGTCGAGGTGGTCGGCTAGCCGAAAGCTTAACAAGCTTGTCCACGGGAGCAGAGGAGAAACGACACAAAGATGGATCTCGAGCTTCACCGACCAGGACCAGTTGCCCCGGCCGGGGATTGTTCGTTCCCCACGGCGGAGGAGCTGGCAGGCGCTGGTCCTGTCCTCCCCAGCTCCCCCGTGATTCCAAAAAGACCGGCTCGTGTTTTTCCCCAGGTTTACACCCCTTCCTGCCCAATACCGTCTGGGGTCGATGCGGAGAAACTTTCCGGGGTTGGATTCCACCAATCGTGTCGATACCGCGAGTGCCGGGATGGGGGTCCTAAGGAGAACTTCTTCTCATCCAGGTCATCCTGCAAGGCATGTCCCGCGTTGGACAATTTGGACCCCGACAATTCGAGCGCCTCTTGCTGCCAGTGCCACGCGGCGAGGCACGAAGGAGCAGGTGCTGCAATGCTGCATGCCCAGGCGCATCATGGTGTGTGCAGCCGCAGCTGATAATGCGGGTTGAAGCTCGCCCAGGCCGGAAAACCGGCAGCGGGAGGGAGCATGGCCCTCGGCGACCCTGCCCTTTTCTGCCTTTTGGGGGTTGATACCACCGCGTGCCAAGAGTGTCCATCCCGCGAGATCTGCGGCGATCTCTACCATCCGAGGTGCGGGATGCAGCAGCCTCTCCGGGCATGTTGTGAGGACGGGAATAGGCCATTTAGCTCCTCGAGGAAGGCCTGGGAGACGTCGACGTCGATGCTGCACTCTTGACCCGAGGTTAGCGTCTGCCCCAGAATCTGAGAGATTTCTGGGAATCTGGCGGGGAGGTGGGCCCTGGCACTTCCACCGGGGCCTAGAATTGCTGGGGAAATGGAGCTGCTGGGGAAATAACGGGGGCCTTTATCTCGAGGAATCCGGGGCTTACGGCATGTGATATGTCAGTGGACGCCCGTCGGTGGGGACCAAGAACCCCCCGCAAGATTAAACAGTTGACTCCAGAAAATTGCGGTCCGGGTGCCTTTGTTCGTGGCCCTCAAATGAGTTGTCGTTGTTTGTTAGGCGAGCCAAGATGCTGCCCAGGCGTCGAGAGGATCCAAGGTTCGGTTGAGCCCCAAGTGGCGCGGCGGGAGCGCCGCCACGGCCCACGAGTCAGTGTTGGCAATGCTTGGTGAGCTTGTCCAGCTCGGAAAGCAGCCCCAGGCCTTGGCCATCTAATCAGCCAACGTCCGCAGGAACAGCCCTCGCAGACTGACTGGTCGTAATTTGCAGGCCACTGGCAGAGCATGAAATGATGCTCTGTAGACGGCCCCAAAGTGTGATTGCTGCTGTGTCATTCATTCATCCACCCTGCTCATGACGGTCGTTTACCCCGAAGTGATGTCGAATCCGCGTTCGTCGTTCTGGCCGAGCGACGAGTCAATGGCCTGGCCTGTGGGATGAACCAACCGCCACTCGATGGCAGCCTGCGCACCTCGCCATCCACGAGGTCAAATTCCACGGTCGCATTCCGCACAGCCGGCTCGACTAATAAAAGAAACGGCGACCTGTGACCCGTCCATTTCGTGTCCCGGCAGCTTGGGTCGTCGCCCTGGATGGCGAGCCAGATCACCATTAGCGCATCCAGAGGGCGAGGGCTGCAAGGACGAAGGGGATGTTTCCCTGGAGCTAGCTGACTAGCCCGGGCAGGCCCCCAGTCGCTCCTGCCCAGGCTGGTGTGGGCAAAATTTCCGCCAATGAGGAGAAGCTGGTTTGATGGCCCGTGCGCGCTGGTGACAGCTGTGTCGCGTCAGCTGGGCCGCCATCGCTCCAGATGCCTACAACAGGCGCGCTGCCAACGACCTTGGTTAGACTTGTCGCTTATCAGGGCTTCCCTCGAATTCATGCCGAGTTGGTCGACCCAGAGAACTGCGGATCGATGGGGTCAGCGCCACGCCCAGGTCCACTTGCAAATATGACGGAGCCCGGCTGCGACTGCTGCTGTTGCGTGGTGTTTGGGTCGACGAGGGTGTGTCCCCGCCGCGGTGCGAACCAGCTGGGCCGTTGAGCTTGCTGGAGCCGTCGAGGTGATCGTCATCGACCTTGACAAAACCTTGACGCCCTCCCGCCACGGCACACAACTTAACTACGACCTTCCTCGCCCTGGCGTGCATGCTCTCGAGGCTCATCAGACCATCGCCGTGTTGTCCCCGCAGCAGTGGTGGTGATGACGGTCGGGAACCATCTGCCCCGTGGGCAGGTGCCATGGGACGAGCAGCCCGTTCGCCCGCACGATCCCTTTCGTCGGCCAGCACATCGATCCCATGGAAGAACGCAACCAAGGCTGAGGATTTCCAGAGAGGCTGTCGGGAATCCTGGCGACGTTCTGGGATCGAGGCTACAGCAACCAACAAGACCAGCGTGAGTATCACCAGCGCTGCTGGCAGTATCAGCCAGGGCCAGTCCACCTGTACGCAGACCGTCGTCTGAGCCACTGTCCCTGCCACGATCCCGGATCCATTCCTATACGCGTTCGAGCCCACCGCACGCATCCGGTTGCTGATCGCGACGGCGACCCTGTCAAAGTCGGACGATATGGTTTCCACGGTAGGCCTGCCGCCGCGGAACATTCCCCCTAGATACCAAGGGTCGCAACTTGTTTTTTTGCTCCACTGTGAGTAGCAATGTGAAGTGGCCCCGTATCCACCCGAGGTGAACATTGGTCCCAGGAGGCCCTTCATGATCCAAGGTACGTTTGACCCAGCCCTGAAGACGCATTCCAGTGGGGTCTTGACCCTCTGGCCGTCCAGGATAACTGTAGTATACTGCCTCCCTGGGGCGTGGGAGACTTGACTGATATTCGATATGTCGTAGGCTTTTGTGTCGACAATACAGGGTAATTTCAGCATCATTGTTTCATCGTTGCGGACGTCGATCTGGTAGCCGGGGGGGAACGTGTTCGTCACCGTCTCCTGCAGTATCCCGTTGCGCACGCGGCTGGTGTAATCCCTCACGCACAGCCCAATCGAGCAACTGAGAACAGTCAAGTCGGATTTTCCAAGCCATGGTAGCTGCTTCGGGTGGCTGTTGCAGCCAGCATCGCCTCGCAAGTCGCCACCGCGGTTCCGAGGGCAGGCGGACCAAATAAAGGACAGAAAGGTGGAGTCGAAGCGTCCGGAGTGAGACGACTGGCAAAATGCTAGCTGGGTGGCATAAAGTAGTTGATACCAGGCATTATTCGAGATTGTCCCGTTTACCACATCAAAGTTGAGCTGACAGGACGAGTCCTCCCCAGGGATTGTGTAGTTCACACCAGATGCCTCAAACTTCCTAACACCGTCCTCGTACGTTCCCTGCGGGCCGTATGTCTCTTCCACGTCGGATGTTATATCGACACACGAACTGCAATATCCGAGAGATTGATGTTGAGGAAAATCGCAATAGCCTGTTGGACAGTCGAACGGCACCGTCTTGCTGCTGTTTTCCGCGCCAACAATGCCTTGCATGGCCGCGGTTATCAGCTCCAAATCAGGTGATACGTCATTATCGTCCATGGCCAGACCAGAGCCCACCCAACTTGCAGCGGCCAACGATGCGCTCATGTTGCTCAGCGGGCGCCGGCAGGCAGTCGACTTGATGCTCTGCTGGGTGAAGGGCCCTATCGCCGCCGATAACAGCAGTATGATGGCGGCACCCACGGCGAGATAACTATACCCTCCGCATCACCGGATTGTTAGCACTATACTGGACACCCTATTATCGGGCATCCGAGACAGGATGGCAGTGGACTACTCACGCCCGAGGCTGCCACACAAAGCGGCCCGCAAAGGAAATTGCCCCCATTATCCCTCTTGATGCCGCATCGTAGTCTTCAAGGTCTTGCAGGGGGTGTGGCCGGTCAAACCACAGCCACTTGAGCTGGCTGATCACTGCAGGCTTACAATGTGAACTCGTCGCCCAGATCTGAAGCTTTGAGGGACACGCAGAGATGTTGGGCTGTACGTACGTTCTGATAAGATGAACCCCAATTGGGCAATTATAACGGTTGTAAATAGTGAGAGAAGTGAGTTGATATTGATGTTGTAAGGCCACTCGGGCTGCGTTCGGTGATTATACTTTGCCAACGTCGCAACAATAGCTGCTTAGAGACCCACCGAGGTCACTATCGAGAGACCTTCCCATTTCCAGTCCCAAAGAAAATGAGCACGGCGATGGCGCGGGGGCCTAGGTAAACTCCCCTCCGGATTCGGGTCCGAAGAAGGCGCTTTCCCGCCGGTATGAGGTCCAGCTGAACCATCACTGGCGAAGAATTTCCTGGGAGCTGTAGAGATAAAGCCTGCGTAATCCTGGTCACCGCCATCACGCTCAAAATGTGGGCCTGTACCCGGTGCTGTGTCCTGAGAGTTGTCACGGTCGGGTAGAAGTATGTCTGCCCGGCTCTCCGAGTTGCTGTCTCCAAGCGTGGCGTCCAGGGGACTGTACTGGCGGTCATGCTCTGGGCCAGCAGTAGATCTCTGAGAGCCGAGAACGCCTCTCATCGTGCAGCGCTGCATTGTGGTTGTGTGGGTGCCAGGGTTGGTTGTGGACAATGTGAGCTTCGGTGTTGAATCTCCTGGACTCTTTTAAGGCCAGCTACCAGCATATTATATTAGCAGGCCACCAATGAGGTTGGTTCAAGGCAGCATTGAACTTGTCACACGTGCAATTATCTACAAATTTGGTCAGCATTCAATGTCAGCCCCCAAATCTCAGCTGAAAGGATTGACGTCAACTTGCATAACGGCACCTGGGCAGCAAGCCGACTCGAATTTCTGGTCGGCCGGAACCTAAAAGACTTGGACTGCTCGCAGCCACCGCCACCCGGGAATGAAGATGCCAAAGGACCTTCGGAAGCCCGAATAAAATGATCATGATACAGCGCCGCAATTTTCACCGGTTCAGGCCCGTTCCCATGATCATCGGCAGAGTGCACAATTCTTGGCACGATAGGCAGTGCTAAGCCCAGGCTCTTGGCCTCTTGACCTTTCTTACCGGGGTTTTGTATTTGGGGCCCCATGCATTCCCGGCATACTTAGGTATCAATTGATGGCTGTCTTGGACCTACTAGGTCACTTCTAATTGTTCGCCTCATACACAGGAATCGGAGATTTCAGTAATTAAGACCGAGTTGAAATATCTTCAAGCAAAGAGAAAGCAGCCTTATATTGAGCCGCTGTTAAGCTGCGGCAAATCAGGAATTGAAAGCCAATATCAAAGACGCCCAATGATTTCGTGACAGACCAGCCTGGAATTTGATGGATACTAAACATTGTGCTCAAAGAAAGAGAATGCGGCAATGCATACGTGAACGAACGGTGAAGGGGTTCGAAAAGAAGCCGAAGGCTGTCACTAATTGAAAAAGTCACCTTTTCCAATCATCGATACGTGCAGACTTAGCCAGTCCAACCTACGGGAAACAGAATACTTAATATGATCTGCTATGGGGCATATGATGTTCAGTAAGTCTTCGCACACTATGAGTTCCGAGAGGTGAGCCGTAATCATTGATACAGTATTTGTACCATGACCGTACATACCTCAGAGTCAGACATTACTAAAGATTTCTAGGTACCAGAGCCACCGTGTAGAGAGCAGGTGGAGTATGAATTTAGGCTGCCGCCGACCAACCGGTCGATTCCTCCACAGTTTGAGTCCCTGCGCTGGCAAAGGCCCCACACTCCCCCGGGACACAAAACCTGTCGAACCAACAAGCAGATCTGCTGCTTCATCTCAACCTCTTTCACCCTCTATGTGTCTCCCTCGCACATCGTACCCACCTCGCCTGTCATCTGTCCCTGAGCCAGAAATCTCGCAATGGCCACTGCCAGTGAGACAACTGTGAAGTCTATCTTCTGCGACTGGTGGACTTGGCCCGTTTTCCTTGGGTCTTCTATCAGATTTCAAGAGAACGGTACAGGACATGTAAGTTAGCTCCACAATGCTATCACTGTGCGTGATCAGGTTCCACTGACTGGACCTTAGTTGGTGTGCGGTATTGAGGCCGCTCTTTTTATTGCAGCCGAGATTGATTGGACTCCCATTGGGGATTGTTCTACGGTCTTGGAACAGAAAACCGATATGAGCACTGATTTCCAAGTCACCCTTGATGTTGAGATCACCCTCACAAAGCGAGCCATGGATAACATTCCACCAGGATGGGTGAATGAGACGAATCTGTTCGACACTGCATTCCAGCCAAGGATATTTAAGATAGAACTAGCCAAAGGGAGGTTTTATTCGCGTGACTGGTTGGTTTGTGTGGGAAAACCTTCCAAGCCACCAAGGGACACAGAGCCGTGGCATGCGCTACGCCTGGTGTTCGATCAGTCGCCATATCCATCTTTAGAGCATCGGAAGGAGGACGTCGACCATGGAATACCATGGAGGGCCGCCAATGGGAATAGGTGGTGGGAGTTCCGAGATTTCTACCGGGACACGGAGGAGTCAGTTTATCGACCGGTAATAGACGAGAAAGCCAGGAGAGAAAAGTTGCGAAAAGCTTTTAAGAAGATGGGGTGGACGATACCAATTGCTTATCGAAATGATCCTATCGAAGAGGAAGAAGAGGATGAGGAGCCATCGAAATCGGAGTCGGCGTGATGCTTGGGTATTCATCGCTGACCCGAAGGGCCTAGCCTTCAACGGAACCAGTGGAGGATTCCAAGCTTGCGAACATCCCAAGTCGGACACTCCGTTTCGTCAATTACCTCGATAAGACAACGCTTGGGAAGATCCTAGTACGCGACTTTGCTGTTGCAACCCACATGTGATTTGTCAGATAATAATCAAGTGACCGTCCTAATTGGTAGTGAACACCCCAATACAAATTCAGCACGAAGTAAAAATAGTAAATAAACAAAACTGATTTCTATTCTGTTGTGATACAAAGCCATACTAAAAGAGAAAGGGAAAATCACATACTGTCACAAAAGCTCTATACCTGAATACAAACAATTGTCTAACCTCAGCGCTGGTCCGGGCCCGTTGAAACCAGCATAAGATCAACTTTGACTTCCTCCTGTCCCAGCATAGCAGTACAAGGCTCCGCCAACTTACCAGCTCGCTCCCCGACACCATTCTGCATCAATGCCGGCCGGAAAAGAAAGTCCTAAGGCAAGCTGGCACACTCAGCCTCGCCCTTGTTGAGCTCGCCGATGACCCTAGCCTCACAGGCGACGAAGCCGGTGACCTCGAGGATGGTCGCGGCGCCGGCGGTGAGGACCTCCGTGGCCAGGGCGGCGACGCCGCAGAGGGCAATATCGGCCACGGCGGTGGTGACCGCGCCGGTCTGGCACTGCGAGCAGGACACGCTGCAGGGCGTGCTCGTCAGCTTGCGGCCGCGGCCGCCTCCGACCTCGATCTGCTCCATCGCGCCGGTCCTGGCGTCCCGGAGGATCGAGTTGACCCTCTCCATGCCGGACTGCCTTGCGATGATGTCCTGGGGGGCGGCGATGGCGAGGCCGGAGATGGAGGCGATGGTGAGGAGGATGCTGGTGAACTGCATTTTGAAAGGGTTTTGGAGTTGGTTGGGTGGAAAGCTGTGGTGGAAATTTGTCGATGTGCTTCTGCAAGTTTTGCGATGGGTGGCTTGATACTGAGCTGAGAAGGTGAAGTGGTTGTTATGAGAATGGTGCTCTTGTTGATGCTGTTCTTGTTGAGTGATGATGATGATGAATGAATGAATGAATGAATGAGTGAGTGAGTGAATGAAGATCGCTGTGGTGAAAGGAACTGGCTCCTTTTATCTTTGGAGCATGGCTGATGACAAAGTCCAAATATGGTGAACCTCATCGTGTACTCAGCAAAGCATCGACGCCTGGGACTCATTTTGGGGCTTTCCTTGGCATGCATCACTGCCGTTCTTAGCTCGCGTCTGCGATGCGGGATGGAGTTGAGCCTCAACCTGGACAGAGCTCGGCATGCCAAGCCAGGACAGAGCCGCGCGCGTCCTTGAAAGACGCAGGGCTAGACTTCTGAACTGTACGCCAAGACTAGAGAATCTACTAAGACTCGACTGCCGAAACACTAGCCTGCTGTCCCGCTTAGTGCGAACTCCTCCAGCCATTCTCACCATCTGTTCTTGAGTATGCCACGTTATCTTGGCAGAACGGCATAGTGTTCACTTTCCCCTTGCGCACGGGAATTTCACCACCGTTGTGGTTTAGTTCCAATAACCAGAATAGTTCGTCCGACGAGGCTTCGTCTGAGGATTGCGATTTCCCCGCTCATCATGTTTACCAGTAAAGGCACACCAAGCTATACCCGAGTTATTTACATCCATTAATCAATACATCAGTACCTATGCGTATGCCTTGGCTCATTGCAGGCACGCTTCGGCACCCAGTTCGTATGCCGAAGCCTCCTTCCAAGACCCTGAGGCGGCTTTAGCCAGTCTTTCCTCTACTAGCTCCCGACGCTGACATCCTCTGCTTGTACCGCCGACATGGGGGCCGCTTCACAAAAGCTTGTCGCATTGACACCTTCCAAGGTTGTCAGACCACCCAGCAACGGCGGCCCGACTTCCCGCACCGTGCAGACCGTTGGCAACGGAGGCCAGATCCACCCCATACTAAGTACGTGCTGGTGAAATACACGACGGGTTCAAGTCAGGCTGAAGCGTGACGATGTCCTGCGAGGGTCGAGATGCAGCTCGGACCATCAATACCGATTCATTCGCGACTTCCAAGAAATACCCAGAAATACCAAGGTACACCGCCGAGGAGCCCCTGAATATGCACATGATACCATCCCGAGAAGCCGGACAAAAGTACGGAACAAAATGGCGCCCCGAGCCTGAACTACCTCACGACCTTTGTGAACTTCACATACAGCGGAGCGAACATCGGCCCAGCCACAGCGCTGACATGCTTCCAATCACCCTCCTTGTCCCAAGCCCAGTTGGGCCCCCCATTCTCGATAGGCTCGATCTCCAGGTCAAAGTTCCAGATGACGTGCGCGATCGCCAGCCGCACCTCAATACCAGCGAGGTTCTTCCCGATGCAGTCGCGGGGCCCGTACGAGAAGGGCCGCGAGAGGGCGAGGGCGTCCATGGTGGCCGGGTCGGTGTCGAGCCAGCGCTCGGGGCGGAACTCGTCCGGGTCCTTGAAGTTGTCCGGGTGGTGCGTGGCGGCGTACTCGGAGATGGCCACCGTCGTGCCGCCGGGGAGCATGTGGCCGTCGACGGGCATCCCGCCCGGCGGCACGACGCGGAGGCGCTGGACGGTCCCGAAGAGGGGCAGGCGGAACGTCTCGCGGATGACGGCGTTGAGGTAGTCCATGTCCTTGAGGGCGGTCCACCTGATGTCCTCGGCCCGGGCGAAGGTGCCGCGGATCAGGTCGCGCAGCTTGTGGTAGGCCTCCCGGTGCGTCCCCATGCAGTATGCCCACAGCGTCAGCGTGAGCCCCACGGTCTCGCCCCCTGCTATTATGAAGCCCGCCAGGTTGGCCATGATCTCGCCCTCGGACAGGAGATGTCGGTTCTCGTTGTTCTTTAGGATGTGATATACGAAGTCCTTGTGGTCCTCCTTTACGCCGGCAGCGACTCTTGCTTGAACGGCGCCGAAGGTCCTCCCGTATGACTTCATGCGGGTCTCGTAGACGGTCTTATCAGCCACTGCATCATCTGAAGTTAGCAGTTGCATCAACACCTTGTGCATTTCAATCAGAAAATGCCTACATAGCTTGCACACCAATGGCTGCAACGGGGAGTTCAGTCCGACAAGCCTGCTCGCGGCCTGCTCGTAGGGGCCCATGGTGATGATATGCCTCAATGACCTAGCAAAGTCGAGGTTCTCGCCACCTCCCGCCTTGAGACATCCAAACGCCTTGCCGAAAGTAAGAGACCCAATCACGTCGAAGGCGAGGAAGTTTGCCCAAAGCTGCATGTCAACTACCGCGCTGCCGTCCTTACTTCCGTCGCAGGCGCTCGAAAATGCGGCGATGAGCTCATCCACGTGGGACTGGACGATGACTTCTTGCTGGATGAGGGCGGAAGTGGTGAAGACGGAGGCCAGCCCCCGGCGGAGGCGAGCATGGTCGTCCTTGGGAGCAGTGATGAGCCCGTGTGGAGGCTTCATCTTGGTGGCCAGCGAGAAACGGGGATCCTTTTCAGTGGGCGACATTCCTTTCTAGGACACATTACTGTCAGCTTAGCCGCCATACAGCAGCGCGTCCAGCCTTCCAGTCTACCATACCTTGGTTCCATATCCAAAAATGTCTTCCATCGCCTGAGGGGTGATGAAGCTCAGTTCGTTTGGGGCAAGCCGGACGACGGGACCTGCCAGATGTGAGCCGAGCGCTTTCGATACAAATGGAACAACGGTGAAGGCGCCCTACCATATTTATCATGCAGCTTCTTGTGGTATGCAAACTGCCGTCCTGATAACAGCGAGACGACAAAGGGAAGATCGGACACTGCGTGATACCATGGTCCCGGATACTTTGAGAGAGGATGGAAGTAAAGCCGCTTGATGCAGATGCTGAAAACTGCGAGGATGCATATTTGCAACGCCAGCTGACAGATAATGTGGTTAGTTCGGCTGATCTGATAGAGGTTCCTCGGGGGGAAAAGGAGGCCATCGTACTCGAGACAGAGCCCAAGGCGAGCTAATAGCCTCTGGCGGGTACGGCAACGTTGCGTTGCTGATCACTTCCATTTCGTCGGGCTCAAGCTGTGTGCTGGCTGCGCGCGCACAACACCACGACTGGTCTCAGCCGGAATGGGTCAAGATGATCTTATGGTTTTTGCGCGGATGACCGGGCAGCATGCCCAGGTCGCGCCAGCGGATTTTTATTACCTCCGCCACGGTGATTGTGGGAATTCTTCATGCAGGGAGGTAGGTTATGGGGAGCCGAGGTCTGCCATGGCGTAGGTTATCATGGAAGCGAGGCCCAGTATTTAAGCGAGTGCGATTGCGATTAGTGCAACTGGTACCACGGTGATTAGTAACTAGTATGTACTCGTGCCCCAGTGGATCAGGGGCTGTATAAATCTGTCATAAATGAGGGCACGCCGGCTACCAACGAGCCATCAGAATATTGGGTCCTGCAGATACTCACACCTTGAGCACTGGCCACTGCGACGCATGCATGGCCAACAGCGTCGCCGTCGTCGTCGCGGTGGTCTTCTTACCGATGAGAATGAGCTTGGTAGGCTGTTGTCGTGCCCTCGCCTATGAAGCGGGGCATCTGCATGCAAAAGTCTTTGACATCGAGGAAGAGGTAAATCCACAATCAAGGGCTGACCATGCTTGGATGATATCCTGCACCCCAATGCCAAGACGATGGCGTGCATACAGTCCATGGGTTTCCGCATTCGCAGGCGCCTCCACGGATGTGATTGGCTGGGTGTCAGAGTGCGATTGCTACCACTGCGAAACAAGGTTCAATGTCGAGTGGGTTTAATCATGATGGGGGCTTCTCAGATCCCGAACTAGTGACCTGAATGGCTCAGTCTGTGGAACCTTGGAACCTCAGGGCGGGGCATTGCTCCTTGTCCAGGTCTTGTGGACGGGGAGGCTGTGGAACCTGGGTCGTCCGTGGTTTGGCTTGGGAAAGCATGCATGGTCCAGTTGCGACTGCGGGAAGCCAGTCCTTGGGACAGGATTTCCGGAAGGAGAGAACATTCGCACGGCTCGCCATGAGAAGTGTTGGTCCTGTCTTTGACTCTCATCCTCGGCTTCATGATTAGCAGTATGCGGATACTCATCCCATATGTTTGAATCCGTACAGAGCGTTGAATGCAGATTGAACACTCGTATAAACCATTGGGAAGTCATGCGGCAGACTGGAACGCCCTGCCGCGGCCATGGTCTCGGACCGAACCTTGTTCGGTCGCCAGATCTGGTCAAGCACGCATACAACCATCAGCCACAGGTAGTATTACCTGCCGAGCTTGACCTTCAGGTTGCATGTTACTCCCTTGTCTCACGACATGAAGACTTAATGTTGAGGATGCCCAGGCGTGGAAATCCATGTCCGACTGAACATGACACATGCGTAACACTTACCTACCTATGTATGCTCAGTGAGTGCATATCGCTTTTCGTATGTTCAAGCTGTCGAATACGGGTCTGCGATAGGTGAGTACCGGACGACCGAGGAAACCTCAAGCTGGACAGCTGAATTCATTTGTCATCCATTCTTGAGAATAGTAATGGGTGAGTCAACCGGCATACCTGAATATGCAACGCGCTGGCGCATAGGACGCTCCAGACGTGTGACAGGAAACACGCCTAGGTACTTAAAGGCAAGCCATGGCATTTGGAGCAAATGCTCAGCACCTGAGGTCACCAACTCCTGGGCTGGAACCTGTTTAATGACAGAGCTTCGATGCATATAGGGTATACCTCTCTTATTGGATGGCCAACCCACGAGTTGCCGTGACGAGCCAATGTGACGCTCTTGGGGGGGGGGGGAGGCAGCGCGCGTGTGCAGATCCAGATCGAAACAGGCAACCACCCTAGCCCTAGCATCTATGTCGCTGCGCAGTTCAGTTCTGGGACAACACATCTCTAGTCCACACGTGCATGAGCCAAGAGAGGCCAGGATTTCACGGACTCTTCCCGGCTCCATGTCACAGATCCGCCTGACACCACACACGTGCGATGAAAGCATCAGTGTGATAGAGCCTGGGGCGAGCTTGCAGCTGCGCCAAGGATTATCGAAGCTTCGTGAGTACTCTATTGACAGTACCCTGTTGACATTTTGTGCATTCTAAGTAATATTTATACAAGAAACAACATCCAGCCCATAAGCGAGCCGCCGCAACCGAGCAGGCTTACTTGCAGTTGCTGCCGCCGTACACGAACTTGCCGTCCGAGTTCTCGCAGCCGCAGGTGCCGTCGTCGGGAGACTTGATGCAGCCAGCGCCCTCTCCGCTCTTCTCGCCCTTGCCGCTGCAGAACAAAGAAACGTCAGCCTCTGCTATACTGCCAGGAGAGTCTCATAATACGGCACACAAGAAATGACGGGGGATGGAACTCGTTTTGGGAGGGGGGGTATGTGGGGTGGAGTGTGCACTCACGTCCAGAAGAAGGTCCAGCAGTCGGCACTGGCCTTCATCTCGGAGCTCGTTGGGGGCGTGCACGTGTAGGCGCTGCACGTTCCGTAGGGGGCGCCGTGGCTCTTGTCGTACTGGTGGTCGGTCACGAAGACGGCGAAGGTCTGCTTTCCGGACACGCGGGTGTTGTGGGAGCACTCGGGGGCCTGGATGGCCTTGGACACCTTGGTGGCTGTTGTTGCGCAAAGATATTATCAGTATTCAATCAATCTTGGCGATCAGACGATGATCGTGTGGGGGCACGTCACTCACGGGAGCAGGCGGGAGCGGCAGGGCATTTGCCCTTGGTGTTGGACAGGGCAGGGTCGAGGGTGGCCAGGACCATGGCCGGGGCGGCCAGGACGGTGAAGAAGCTGGTGAAATGCATTTTGGCTGGTTCAAGTTGAAGTTGTTGATTGTAAGTGAATGTAGTTGAACTGGCTGAACTGGCTGAAGTTGCTGAAGTTGTTGATCACGAGTGACGATAGTTGGATGGTGCTTGATGAGAGTCAAATCAAGTCCAAGAACAAAGAAGATCAGCTTGACTTTATAACAAGCAAACCCTCACAGGCATCCGAAGACGCCGGATTGTCCATCCCGCATTCTGATGAACGATGCGAACGACAATTACGTATGGTCATATCGCTAAGATGAGCTCAGGGGCAGCGATAGCAAGGCTTGGTGAGGTTGTCCCTATTCCATGACTCTACGGAACAAGCTTAGAGTGCCACTTAAATTGGAGCGGGTGGGTTCGCACGAAACAAAGTCAGCCCAGCCAGTGCGGTAGTGGGCCCCCGGAACCGCCACGGTTGCATTTACATTGGAGCCCGCGATCTAGCCCAACTGCCGGCCCAAGGGGCACAGCGTCTACCCTAGGGTACCTGGTGGGACGGGATCGGCGCTACCCGCACCTACCCAAGACCTCTAGGCTGTCCCGCAATTGCTTCTTTTTCCCTTCTTCGGGGCATTCTCGTTGCTCCTGTTGTTGCTATTCGTGTTCGAGGCCTCGCTGTTGGCGTGGCTCCGGTGGTTCCTGGACGTCTATTCTGGCCGGCTCCCAAGGATGGCCCTTGCACATGGGTAGGCCGGATAATTATTACCACTAACTTTGTTTCGCGCCAAGCACGGTGTTCGAGCTGGACCCCAAGGTTGATCTCGAGTGCTCATCGCAACAGCTACGTTCAATTTGCACGCTGCGGCATATTTCCCCGTGCCTCGCATTGGCGGAGTGCCGACGCCCGGCACTTACCCCTGCTTTTCAGCCCTACCAGCAAACACGATGTTACACTTACATTGAAAATCATCTAGCCGGGTCTTATTAGCCAGATCAGCCAGTCCAGGCTGGTCTTCAAGTTGACCTCACAGGTACATGTGCTACGATCAAGTCGATTGGCACTGGTTGTCTTTGGGTCATATAGCTGGCTCTTACATGGATCAATGGTCGTCCACAGCACTCAGGAGACGCACCAGGCACCCTGCGCTGCTTTCCAGAAACTCGAATGATCGCCTCGGAGACTTCGGGAGACGAATTCTGCGATATTGTGCTAGGGTTCGGGTTTTGTAGGACAGCCGAATTGTTCACCATTACATACAACCGGGGCAGGAGCAGGAGTTTGCTTGTCCTCGCCCATGGTCTGTAATAAATTCGAGTCCACATTATTAGCTCGATCATGCGTCAGTAAAGACCCACCGACCGCTTGCAACTGTCATGCAGTGGTGACTTGCCTGCTCCAACAACAATCTATAAACATCCATGAGAGACTAGAGATATGCACACCTGTTTTCGGAGCATACACACCCGTTTATAACTAAGCACACTAACCACTTCCAATCAGAGCTAAAGAGAAGAACTAACTTGTTCGTGACCTAGAGACATAAAATAGGTAGTTTAGTCCTCTAGGCTTAGAAATAGCGATTAATAGTACTACCCTAGGGTAGCTTAGAGTGAAGGGCTTAATCAGAATACACCACCCCTATCCGGATACATTTAGTGATGCGACCAGGGCCATTCTGACAACATCTCCCTCGACTGGGGGTCGGGTGTCTAGAGCTTTGTCGTTCTTATCTGATCGTCTCCTGTCGGTGGGCCTCCTCCACGCTCCAGGCTGCAATCAACCCCCTCACATGTTCGAGAGGTCCTCTGGCCCAGCGCATCAGCTCATCTCCTCCCACAAGGCCTTGCCCCTTTTACCCTGGTAGCCCTAAAGGTTTTATTGTCTATTTTAAAAGTTTTGATAAGCTAAATGGAGATCATTTAGTTTAGGGTTGAAATAGATGTATAAGCTCTAAGACGGGTATATAAATCTATTAAAATACCCTATTTATTAATAGCTCTATATCTATCTATAGTTTAATATAACTATTATTTTAGTTTTTTAAATATAAAGTATTAACTTATATAAGAAATACTTATTTCTTTTAATTTCTATAATATTTTAATAAATATTTAAAAAACTTACTTTTATTTATATAAAGGATTATTCTCTTTTTTAAATAGGTTTATAATTAATAAAATTTATTCCTTTATTTTTATAAATTATAAATTTAATATTAAATTAATTAAATTATAATAAACTTAATTTATTTATTTTAAAATTAATCTATTATATTAAATTTATTAAACTTATACTTAATTAAATTAAATTCTTTAATTACTTTTTAATTAAATTAATTAAACTTTATTCTTTTAAATTAAAGTTAATGAATATTTTAAACTATTTATATTTATTTTTAATATTATTAACTTTAAATATTTTTAATTATTTTATTATTATAAAATCTATTTTATTATAAAGTATATTATTTAATTTATTTTAATAAATAAATTTTAATTATATTATTTTTAATTATTTAAATCTTTAATGTTAATAAATTATTATATAACTTTTTTAATTTTCCTTAAAAGCTTATAAATTAATTTTTTATTAAAAATTTTAAAACTTTATTAAAAATTCTCCTTTTAATCCTACTTTTTAAATTCTTACTTTATAAATCTTTAATTAAATTTTTATAAAAATATTATTTAAAACCTTAAATTTTCCTTAACTTTTTAATAATATTTATATTATTATTTTAATTAATTAATAAAACTTTAAATCTTTTAAAGTACCTATTAATAATATTTTAATATTTAAATTTTATAATTTATTTAAAATTAATTATTTTAATTAATTTTAATATTTAAATAAAGTTAATATATATTATATTTAATATTTAATTTATAAAAAATATTTAAAATATTTTTAATATTATTATAAAATTATTATTATTATAATTTTATAAAATATTTTTAAAATTTATAACTTTATTATTAAATATAACTTTTAATTTATTATATTATATTCAATATAATTAAAAATTATAAAAATATTTTAATTTTAAAAATAAATAAAACTTTTATAAAAGAAATTATAAAAAATTAAAAATATATTAAATATATTAAAAAAATACTTAAAAAAGAAATATTATTATATAAAGTTTTTAATTTATTTTTATAATATAAGTTTTTCCTTTATAAAAATTTAAAATTTTTAATAACTTTATATAAGAAATATAATATTCTTTAATTATTTAATATAAAAATTATCTATATTAAAATATAAAAGCTATAATTTTTTATAAAAAAGGCTTAATTAAAAATAATAATAATTTATAAAATTTTTAATTAATAAAAACTATAAAGTTAATATTTTAATTTATTTAATATTTAAAAGGATCTTTTATATATATAAAATATAAAAATATTACTATAAAGTTTTAAAATACTTTTAAAAATTTTATAAACCTAATAAATTTATTATAAAATATTTAATTTTAAAAAACTTTAAAATATCTTTTAAAAAATTTAATATTATAAAAATATTTAAATAAAATTAAATAATTAATTAAAAATTTAAAAATAAATAATATTAATTTTTAAATAAATGATTATTATTTAAATATTAAACTTATTTAATAATAATTATAAAAGATTTATATAAAATATTATATAAAGTTTAAAAAAGATTTTAAAATTACATATTTAATATTTTATTTATTAATTTAATAAATAAATTAAAAGAAACTCTTTTATAAAAGTATTATTTATAAAAATAATAATAATAATAAAAAAGAAATTATAAAGTACTTTTATTATAATTTAAAGAAATATATTAAAGAAAATTACTATTTTTAACTTTAATAAAATATTAAAAGTTTAAAAATAAAATAAAAAAATATTTATATATATAAACTAAATTTTAATAAATTAAATTAAATTAAAAAATTAATAAATTATTTTTATAATTATTAAATTAAAAGAGGAAGATATTAATCCTTTTAATAAATTAAAAATAAAAAAATAAAAGGATTTATTAAAAGAAAATTTTAAAAATTATTACTATTTATATACTATATAAATTATTTATAAATAAAATAAATATAAGTAAAATAATTAATAATTTTAAAATATTAACTTATTAAGTTTTAAATAAAATAAATATTATTTATACTTTTATATACCTATAATAAATATAATAATTAATATAAAATATAAAACTATATAGAAATTATATTTATAAATTTATATTTAATAATAAAGTAAATATAATTAGTTTATATAATAAAAACTATTTAAAATATTAAAATTTATAAATAAAAATTAAATAAAGTAAAATAAATATAATAAATATTAAATATATTAAAAGAAAATAATATATTATTTTAAATAATAATTATAAACTTAAAATATTAAATATATATTATATATCTTTATTAAATTTAAATATATTTAATTATAGTATTATAAGTTATATTATATAAATTATATTAAAAGAAAATATAGTTAAACTTTATTTTATTAAATTTAATAAACTTATAAATAAAAATATAAAAATAATTTATATTATATTAAAATTAAAATATTTAATAATAATTATAATAATATATAAATAAATATTTTATTATTTAAAAGAAAATAACTTCTTTAAATAATATATATTATTAATATTATTATTTAAATTATATAAGCCTTATTTTATTTATATAAATATTTAAAAGTAATAAAATAAATATTAAAATTTTATTAAAACTTTATAAACCTTTAAATATAATATTTATTTATAAGTTAAATATATAATTAAATATAATAAAAAAATTTAAATAATAAAAATATAATATTTTAAAAATATATAATAATATAAATAAACTATTTACACTTATATATAATAATATAAATATTATATTCTATTTTAATAAAAATTAAATACTTATATAAATATTTATTAAAAAAATAAAATTTTAAAAATCTTTAAAAACTTTAAAAATAAAAAGAGAATAATAATAATAAAACTATTAAAGAATTTTTTTAATAATAAAACTAAATTTATTAATAAAAATTTAAATTTATATTTAATAAAATAATATATATTATTTTATTACTTTTATATATATAAAAGAATTTAATAAGGTTATAAAAGATTAAATTTTATTATAATAAATAAAATTTAAAATTTAATAATAGCTTTTAATTTACTATATATATTATAAGGAAATACTTTTAAAACTATTATATATTTATATAATATAACTCTATATACCTTTTAAATTTTAAAAGTTTTATAAAATAAAAATAATAAAATATTTAATATTAATAATATAAGAATTTAAGGTTTTATAGTTTATTATAATAATAATAAATATAAAATTAAACTAAAAGTTAGGAATAAAAGAGTTTTTAATAGATTATATTCTTAAAATATATATATATAAAGTTTAGAATATAGAAATTAATAAACCTATATTAATATAAAATATATAAATTTTAAAAGGAAAGTTTTTAATAAATCTAATAAGTTTAAAAATAAAAATAATATTAAAAATCTTATAAGGAAAGAAATACCTATAAAAAGATAAAATTTAGAAAAAATTCCTATAAAGGAAGAAATTTTATAGAAAATAAAATAATAATAAAGTATAAAGAACTATATTTTATTAAAAATATTTATATAAATATTATTATAAATAATTTTAATAATTCTTTTATTATTATAATAGTTAATATTATAATTAAATCTTTTAATATAAAAAAATATTAAATTTTTTAAAAAATTTATAACTTAAATTTATAATAAATAAAAAAATAATTTAAAAGAATAAAATTTTATAAAATAACTATATTATTAAAAATAAAAATAATATTATTTAATAAATAAATATTAAAAAAATATATATAAATAATCTTAATATAATAAAATTTAATTAAATAGTTAATAAAAAAAACTATTAAATATAAAACTAAATAGATTATTTATAATTATAACTAATAATTTAAAATAGATTTTTAAAATTTTTTAACTATTTATAAATTAAAGATTTATAATATACTATTAATTATAATAATTAATAAAGGCTAGTATATATTAAAATATAATATAAAAATACTTTTTATATTTTAATATAAATTATAAAATATATATAAAACTTTTAACCTTATATATAATAAAAAAATACAAAAATAAAGTTACTTTATTATTAAAAGCTATATATAATCTTAAATAAATATTTTATTATAATATAAATATTTAACTAATATTTTAATAAAAATTAAATTTAAAAATATTTTATAATAAAAATATATTTATAAATATAAATCTATAAATGATATTTACATATTATATAAATAATTTAATAGTTTTAAATATTAATTTAAATATTATAAATAATTTAATTTTTAATATTTAAAAATATAAATTTAAATTTCTAAAAGGAATTAAATAGTTTCTAAAAATAATATTAAAATTAATAAAATAATAAAATTATTACTATAAATTAAAATTAATATACTTTTAAAATTCTTATAAAATTGAATAACTTTAAAAATAATTATATTAATAATATTAAAATAAAACTAAAATTAATACCTTATACTTTTAAAAAGCTTTAAAAAAATAATAAATTAAACCTTTAAAAAAATAAAAGCCTTTTAATAATAAATAAACTTTCTTTTATATATTAGTTTAAAATTAAGTTAAATATATATTTTTAATATTTAAATTAATTAAATATATATTTAACTTTAATAAAAATACTTTAAAAATTAAATAAATTATAAAATATTTATTAAAATTTTTTAATATATATAAAAATTCTAATATTTAAATAAAAATACTTTATATTTAATAAATTATTATAATTTAAATTAAAGTAATAATATAAATAATAGAAAATTTATTTTAAATTATATATTTTTATTTATTAAAAATAAAAAATATTTAACTTTATTAGTTAGTTCTCTTAATAATAAAAACACTTATATTAAGTATTTATAAGGTTAAATATATAACTTTAAAAAGCTATTAAAAGAAATTTATTTATATAATTTATTAAATTATTTTAATAATTCTTTAAAATTAGAATATAATATTCCTAAAAGTAAAATATATAAAAATAATAATATTATTTTAAAATTAATTAAAAATTAAGTATTTTATAAATAAATTAAATATATAAATATTATATATTACTTTAATAAATATATAATTAAAGAAAATTTAATTAAAACTATTAAAATAAATATAAAAATAATTTTATAAATTAGTTAATAAAACTTATAGTTAAATAAAAATTTAAGTTAGTTAAAGAAAGGTATAATTTATATAAAAATAAATATAAAAATATTTTAAATATATATAAAAGGGTTTTAAAATAAAAGAAATATTTTAAATAAATAAACTATAATATCTATTATAATATACTTAATAAAAGAAATATTTTCTAAAAATAATAAGCTTTTTAATAAAAATATTTCATTTTACTTTTATAAATAGATTATTTTCTTTTAAAAACTATAATTAACTATATATATTAAGAGATTTTAACTATTAAAAATTTTATTAAAAATAAAATTTTTCTTATATTTTATAAACTATTAATAAATATATTAAAAATATATTAAGTAAACTTTAAAAGTATTATTAAATAAAATTTAAAATAACTTAAAATAAAAGTTTAAAATAACTTTTAACTTATAATATATAATATACTATATATTATTATAACTACTATACCTATTTATACTTATAACCTATAAATTTATATATATTTTATAAATTTATAATATATATAATATAATAATTTAAATATAATAATTAAATTATATAAAAATATACCTATATATAAATAAATATAATAATATATAAATATAACTATTAAATTTTTAATAAAATAATTATAATTATATATTAAAGGTTTTAAGTTTAATTATTAATATAATTAAACTTTTAAACTTTTAGTTTTTATTTTACTTAATAAATTAAATTAAAAATTATTAATATATATATAATTTATATTTTATATTTATAAATTAAGCTTTTATAAAAGTTTTATTTAATTAAAATATTAATAATTATAATTATTTATTAAGTTTTATTTTTTATAAAGGTTTTTAATAATAAATCCTTAAAATTAGGCTAAAAATATTTATATTTTATAAGAAGCTATTTAAATAATTATATATATTTAGTTTTTAAAGAATTATTAAAATACTCTATTTATTAATAGCTTTATATTTATTTATAGTTTAATATAATTATTATTTTAGTTCTTTAAATATAAGGTACTAACTTATATAAGGAATGCTTATTTCTTTTGATTTCTATAGTATTTTAGGGGGTGTTTAGAGGACTTACTTTTGTTTATAAAAGGGACCGTCCTTTCCCTCCTAGATAGGTCTATAGTTAATAGAAATCTATCCCTTTATTCTTATAAAATCGCTGCTCTTCAACACAAAGCCTACTAAAAGTTCGCAATGTAGTCCATTTGATTCATCATGCTCTCAATGATGGGAGGTCTTGTTTTGTCTCAATGTTCTGTGCTGCGCATTGAACATGGCTCTAGGCCCATAACATGCCTAAAAGTGATGTTCTCTGAGACTGGCGCCATGGGCCAGACTCCAAGTGCTGAAGAATAGGCGGACACGATTTGGTTTTTGGGCAGTGGCTATTAACTTTCCATGCAGGCACTTGGATTCCCGACCTCGCGTCCTCGACCAAGTCCACTGGCCACCAGTTTGTGGGAGTGGATATCAATCCGACCGACTTCCCAGACAACCCAGCACGAGGGACATCCTATCAAGTTCAGGATATCAATCAACCCTGGCCCGAAGGCTGGCAGGGCCGATTCAACCTCGTCCACCAGCGAGTCGTACTCGTTGCTGGCGGCGGTAAAGAGAGAGAGCCGTTGAGTCCATCAATCGGTGCCTTGATTAAGCCCGGTGGCTGGATACGGTTTGGTGAAGCCACGAACAAGCTACTGGAAGGCAACGGACCAGAGCTCCACGCGTTGATGGGCCTGACGAATGCTGTGATTGTAAGAAACCTCGGAGCTGTTCTTGGCAGGTCAAAGAGCCCCGAAATCCCTCGCTGAAGAGTTGTACGCCTCTTGTCGTGACTTCCGCTTGTTGGGACTATGCCTACGCCTTTAAGACTTTCAAACCCCGCGGCTACTGGCACCAGAGAAGCTCGATTCCATGAGCAGTGACCTGGAGGAGGAGCTCAAGGCCATGGGCGGGCTTTATCCGCTGCGTGCCATCTGGGCGGGCAGAGCTACATAAATGGATTGGCCACCCGGCTGAGATTCGTGCGTAAAAGTTGCTACGAGATTGCCCATAGAAGTTCAATTGCAGGAGTAGTGGAGAGTCGCGGTAGACAAACATAGAATGTTCAGCTCGCTACTTTCAGCCCTATGATAGATATGTGGGACATTTGAGATTTCAGGGATTTCATGCCCACAGTACTGAAAACGGGGAATAGCCACAAGAAGCATGAAAGACATTACACTTGATTTCCGGCTAAATCATTTCCAAACCTGTGTCATCAAGACCTATATAGCCGCTAACTACATAGTCTATAGGGACCCTACGGGAAGATGGGCGGGAGACTCCACTTCTCCTCCTGCAGCTTGACGGCCACGCCGGCGGCGGCCTGGGCCCCGCTGGCAATCGCGTTAGGCCAGACCTTGAACATGCTCATGGCGTCCCCGGCGGCGTAGACGCCCTTGACGCTGGTCTCCTGGAAGAAGCCGTGCGTCTCGTACTCGCCGGGCGTCTGGCCCATCCTGAGCCCGAGCTGCTCCTGGAAGGCGCCGCGCACCTGCGTCATGGGCGCGTGGCCCAGGAACGCCTCGGCGGCCGCCGCGCTGCCGTCCTCGAACGTGATGTCGACGGCGGTGCCGTCGGGCGACATGAGGGAGATCTGGGCGATCTTGCGCGTGTCGGCCTTCCACGGCTTGCCCTCCAGCGTCGGCGCGATCTGCTTGGCCAGCTCCTCGTTGCCGTGCGTGTAGATGGTCACGCTGCCCGCGAGCTGGCTCGTCATGTGCGACATGTGGAAGGTGAACTGCGGCATGGCGATCCAGTCGACCGCCAGCACGCCCGCGTGCACCTTGCTGGGGTCCTCCTGGTACGCCTGGGCGAAGAGGTTGTGGAAGCTGGTGTGGTGGGCAGATTCGTTAGGAGACAAGCCGACAGGCTGATCGGATATATATGGGGAAGTGAAAACCTACATGCCCTTGCCCCAGGCCTCGGCGTAGCCGGGGATGTCTGGGAACTTGCTCTCGACGCCGTTGGCCAGGATGACCTTCTTGCCAAGGTGAGTCTTGCCAGTGGAGTCGGTGGCCTCGAAGCCGCCGTCGACCTGGGCCAGCTTGGTGACCTCGGCGGCAATGGGGGTGTAGGTGTTGTATGGCTTGAGCTCGGCGCGGGAATGGTTCAGGTTGTCGGCGGGGGCCTTGTGGTCAGAGCCGGAAACGCCGTGAAGACGCGCCGAAGGGTACGCGCGACAGTCGTCAATGTCGAACAGCTTGACGGTGTGGCGCTGACGCACCAGTGTGAGGGCGGCCGAGAGCCCGGCAGGACCGCCGCCGACGATAAGGACATCTGAGAAGGACATGATGGAATGGTTTGATTCGTATTAACTGTAATTGAATGATAAGGGAAAGAATGAATAGCGTGGTGGATGGTCTCGTGTCTAATCCCCCATGAATGTAAAATGTATGTGGTGTCTTCACGAGCAAATAGTGAAAGAGTGAAACAAGACCGGGATCTGAAAGGTGACAGACACGCGAGGAAGAGGGCTAGGCAGACAGCTGCTTCCTTCGCGTCAAATAAGCTGCCTTCTTCGTCTGCGCCGACCAACATATTGATTTAGTACAAGCTGAATGTAACCAACCGGCACCCGCGGCTTGGCCTGCCCTCATGTTGCATCCCTTCTGGTCACCGTTTGGTTGGCAGCTGTGCCTCACGAGCTCGGCCACGGTCCCATTTCACTCACAGCCGCCCAATGCCACTTTGTACCTACAAGACGCGCCTTGCTCGGGCTGCATCGACGCAGTTGAACTTGCTTGATCAGCAAAACTGGCATTGGCGATACCACGCAGTACTACATATGTTTTCGTCTTCTGATTCTGGCGCTATGGGTACTTCGTGCTCTTTACTGGATCATGGATGTCAGTAGCTCAAGGATAAGAAACCGCAACCTGTGATCTTTTTCTCATTCTGGTAAAGAAACGAGGTGCTGGGTTTTGGTGTCCCTGGGTGTTGGTGTCGCTGCCCATCATGTGGGTGTTGGTTCTAAAGTTTCGCACGTCCCATGCCCAGGTTCGCGCCGGACGGCTCTCAAAATTACCTGCCGCCAAATTCTTTTGAGCAATTGCTCTACCCGGGACCAAGTCTATAACGTATCGCTGCGTTATCGGGAAACTTCAATAATCCCCGAAGATTGTCTTGGTCAAGCTCCGAGTTGTACTTACGAAACTTCACCAGAATAGGGGATGATACGACACATTTTTGTGACGGCCTCGATTTGCAAATAAAGACGGCAATATCAATAATCAAATACTACTGCGCATGAATAGTCACTGCTTTTCCGTAACAGCAATCGTCGCAACCATGCGGATCTTGTGAACACCATTCTCGTAGACGTGCCAATCCCCCTTCTGAAACTCTTCAGCCGCTATATCGATGGCCTGGTCCCACGTGTCCTCGTCCGACTGCCTCCAGCCTCCCGCCGGGGTGGCCAGGAAGGTCCAGGCAATCCTTGCCCATCTCTTAGGGTCAGGCATCTCAAGCCAGGCGCTCCTCTCCACGAACTGGGTGTTCTGGTAACCGGCCTGCTTTAGGATGTTCTTGAAATGTTCAGTGTCGTAGTCAACCACGGCGAGAAATGGGGGAATCGGGTCGTCGTCACCCCGCGTCCGCCGATGCGCCTCCTTCAGCGCAGCTTGCCAGGGCTTCTCCTTCCAGACGGCAATGGCGGCCGTACCGCCGGGCTTGACGGTGCGCAGGATGTGCTTGGCGGCACCGACCTCGTCGTCCAGGCCGAGAAGGAGGAAGTCGGTGACGGACAAATCAAAGAAATTGTCGGGGAATGTCAGGTTGTTGGCGTCGACGTTGGACACCTCGACCGGCCAGGTCGGGTTCTGCGACAGCGTGTCGCGCAGCTTGGCCAGGTAGCTGTCGCTCTTGTCGGTCGCGTGGATCTTGATGTCCAGAGGCACGCCCGACTTCATGATCTCACCCGTGACGGAGCCATAGCCGCAGCCGTTGTCGTGGATCACGGACCCCGACTTGATCGGCGGTACAACCTTGAGGAGCTCTTGCGCAATCTCTTCGCTCACGTTGCCCTGGAGCTCCTGCGCGAGCGCTCCGTCGAACTTGACAGCTTGCTTCGGGAAAAATGGAGCAGACATGTTGCGCCGCTGAGTGTGGTTCCAGACGAATGTAAAGGCACGTGTCTGTGGGAGCTTTATCAACCAAAGAATTGCCCAAGACGATGTTGTGGCGTTCAATTACCTTTGTGTAGGATGGCGACAGCGCTCGCAGGACTGTACGGGACATGGCTTATCAAGCAGGACGACGATCTGGCAGACAGGACTAGCCCTCTGCGACCAGAGACATCAAGCCAACAGCTCACTGTGGGGTCACGACGTTCTAAAGTTCAGCTATTGCTGACACATGCCGGACTGGGAAAGGCCTGGCCAGGCCTGGCCAACTCGGGCTCCGGAACGTTGGTTTTCCACATGCTGTGTTGGCCGTTCAGACTGGGGTATAATCAAGTCCTTGTGTTAGCGCATCGATGAATATGCAGTTGGTCGCGTTACTGTCACTTCCGGGGCGGCGCTAATGAGCCGTGGAGTGGTTGTGAAAACTGCCCGGATCCATGATCGGGAACGGTACCATTGATGTTGCCCAAGATAACTCGCCGATATCATGGCTCCAATCAGTCCAGGATCCGCAAGAACGGGTATGAAGTCAGTACTGTCTCAAGATAACATCGTCCAGTAGCGCCATTACTGCCTCGCGCCAAGCGTAAATGGCCTGGTCCCTTTCACATCAAAGCCCTGGAAAAACTGTCCACACGGCCCCGAACAACACTCCCTGAAAGCACACTAGGAGCCCCAATCTCAGATAAATCTTTAAGAGATAAGGGATCTATAGCTATATAATCAGAGGGTATACCCGTATTAAGTAACTCAGAAATCAAATTAGTTAGGTTCCCACCCAAGCAGTTATCATGTAAAATCTAGAGGTTTTCCCATAGAAGTTTATCCTATACTAGTAGAAGATTATCCTACAGGTGCTTGTCTTATAAGAGGCTGGAGGTTATTTCATTTATCTATAGGATCTTAGGTTATCTTATGAGGCTTGGGTGTACCCTCTGTTTTTGCGGGTGTGAATCCCTCATCTCATCTTTAATTACCGGGCGGCTAGGAACAAATGTGTCGGTCATTCAGACTGGAGGATGGATTCGAGCATAGCACAATAGGATACCTTGCATATAAGTGCGTGGATTTACTACTCATTTAGGTGGCTGGAGCCAATACCGGCAAATAGGATGTCCGTATCATGTCGGTATCACTGGCAATGGAACAGCTGCATTCTCACTAGACCCGTAAGAGGAAGATAGCTGGATGAACGGAGCACCACGCGTAACATCTTGGTGCTTTCAAAGTCACCACAGACAGCCCGTATCTCCTGACTTCCAACTTTCTACGCGGGTGATTTCTGACCAATTGCAAAAATGATGCAGTACTAAGCCCCACCCTCCTTGAAGAACTCATCCGCGGCACGCTCCCTGTAGCCTGTCGAGTACAGTAGCTGGTACGCCGATGTTGTTGTCGAAGAAGAGTCATCAGACATCAGTCGTCGTATTTTTATAGGGACAGAATGCACAGTAGTACCTAGGTACTCACTCTTGCACGCACCGGAGACACCCGTGACTGCGTTCAACCATCACCTGGGTACTCCGAGCACCCGACTGGGCGTCTTTACAGTGAGGGCCATGATAGTGTCGACGTGCTCCTCTTTGAAGTTTGTAAAGCCCTGCTCCATAATCCAGCCAGCCATCTGGTTAGCGAATTCCGCCCCGGCTCCGGCGGCTGCCATCCAGGCCCGGAGGCAGGTCCACGCGTCTTGCATCGCGGGGCCGCCGGGCTTGACAAGCTGGCACAAGTAGCTGACAATCTAGCGGGGTGTGGCTCTGTAGGGTCTCATGTTTAGCACATGACTGTCAAGGCCCGTTCTCCTCGGGCGGAGATGGGCTCGTCGGTGGAAGGCTTACTCCTTTACGCCGCCGGGGATCGCGAACCGCTAGTGGACAAGGTCCTATAAGGCATATAGCTCTTCCGGCCACGGCTCACTAATATCATGAATGGACAAGGATATGTGAGGCGGAGACGTTAGCGGGAAGAAACTATCAATAACATCCTAACCTATGAGAGTGTAGGGCTCGGCAAGCAACGGCTGGATTCCGCGTAGGAACAAGCCGTTAGCCGTGGCTGAGTTTAGGATCTGAAGTCCTCGCTGCTTCAGGTCAATTAGAGCCAAGATACGTTTACCTGCCATCATCTGTAAGATGATGGAATCTTGCTCAGTCAGACGAGCAACCTCCTTCTCTGGCTAGGGCTCCGGTAGGAGGTATTGATGCTTCTCCGACATGACTGCAGAAGGCTTCAATGGGTTGAAAGACGAGTTTGGGAGTGTAAGTAGTCCGTTCGGATCAGAGCAGTGGTCAATTTGAACGGCTGAGGATTTGGAGGTTGAAGGACGTATTTACAGATTGTGAATGAAGATCGTTTGAGACGATATACTGCCAGCAAAGCTTCGTCGGACTACTGGCACCCAAGGCTGCATCAAAATAAGTACAGAGCCTCATACCAACGCTCAATGTGAGCAAAGGTACCTGCGATACTCAGATAGATGTGTTTCTGACTGTGACCGTCTGCGACGCGGCTCCCGACGGGGTTGTAAGGTAGGCAGCAGCGACGCTGGCAGCACGGTCGTCGAACAAGACGATGTCGACTGCGGTGGGGACAGAGGCGCGGTCGAGGTTAAGCTGTTCGCTGAGAAGGAGGTGTCGGGCGATGGCAAGTGATGCTGAGGCGGTATTTGCTGCATCGGCCTGTGATTTGTTGGCGCCATGGCGATGCGACGGGGTGATGGATGTGATGCGATGGCGTGCAGAAGGCTGGAGTGGAGTACACTAACAAGCGACCCTTGAGCCGAGCCGCCTGCGAGGGCACAGGGAGTGCTTACACTCGTTTACATTCCAAGGTATTAAAAGTACACTAATAACACATAAATATTACACACCACTAAAACCTCTATACAACTAACATCCCTTTAATATTTTCAACCTTAACCTTACTATTTATATCTCTAACTATAAATTATACCCTTAAATAACTATTAATTAATTATTATAAATAAGTTTTACCTCTAAATATAATATTTTATCTATTAAACTATTATTTAATAATATAACTATTATTAATATATTATTAACCTTCTATACTAATATATTTAATTTAAATTATATATTATTTATTTACTTAAATTAATAACTATATAATATACTTATAAAGCTATAAAACTATATTTATAACCTTAAGTTAATCCTTTAAATTAATTATAACCTATTAACTCTAAGCTTTTATTATATTTAAACCTATTTAAAGCATTAAATTATCTTTAATAATAACTTAATAAAATAAGTCTAAACTACCTCTACTATAATACCTTTAAAAAATTAAAACTATAAATAATAATATATATAATATTATAATAAAATAATATTAAATATTAACTAATTATTATATAATAATATTAAAAATACTATTTAAATTAAAAACTATATATAAATTAAAAATAAATTAAAACTTTAAACTAAATATAAATAATCTTTTATTAAAAATTTAATAAATATTTAAACTAATAAAATAGTTAATAAAAACCCTTTTAATATACTAATTATAAATAGAATTATTACTAAAAATAATATATAAAAGATTTTAACTAAAAATAATTAAAAACTTTTAAATAATAACTTAAACCTCTTTAAAAGTTTAATAAAAATATATATAAATATTAAAATCTTATAATAATACCTATTATATAATATATTTAAATATTAAATAATTAATATATCTAATTAATTAATACTATATATTTGAAAACTACTTTTAACTATAAAATATAATATTTAATATACTTTTAATTAATAACTTAATATATTAAAGTAATAAATTATAAACTACTTTAATATATATAATATTAAAAATATATTTATATTAACTATAATATAATATAAAAAATATTATATATTAATAAATAATTATTAACTTAACTTTAAAAATTATTAATAATAAAAGAAAATATAACCTTTTATTATCTATATATTTAATTTTAACACTCTTTTAATATAAATAGTTCTTAAATAATATTTAAATATAATAATATTATTTTAAATAATTATATATTAATATTTTAATATATTAAAATTTATATATTACTATTATTATTAAAATAAATAAAAATATATTTAATTTAAAGTTCTTTTATAAAATTAATTTTTATTTTATTAATAAAATTAATTTAATATTATTAATAAAATAAACTTTTAAAAGAAAAATAAAATATACTATAATATATATATAACTTTATTAACTTTTAAAGTACTTAATTCCTAATAATTATATTAATAATAAGAAAAATACCTATAAGGTAACTTATTACTTTATTAAAAGGATTAAATTTATTTATATTTAATTAATAGAAAGGTTATAAATTAAATTAATAAAATTAAAAGTATTAAAAGAATATAAAATTATATTATATTTTTAAACTATATATAATTAAATATTATTTTAATATATTATATAATAATATAATAATTTTAAGGATATTATTTAAGCTTTTAATATTTAAAATAGAAAAACTTTATATTAATAATCCTTAAATAAACTAATAAAATATAAATTAATAAAATAAGTAATAATATTATTAATAAAAATATTATTATTAATAATAATAAACTTAATATTAAAATAATACTTTCCTTTCTTTAAACTATTACTAACTATATAAAGAATCCTTTAATATATTAGTTATTACTTTAATTATAATATATATTTAATTAGATATATACTCTCCTATAGCCCTATTAATAACTAATAAATTATTAAGAGTTATACTACCTTTATTAATATATTAAACTATACTTTTATCTTTATTTTTAATAATCCCTAATAAAGTTAATAAATTTAAATTATTAAATAAGTTTCTTATTTATATAGTATATTAAAAGCTTATAATTTTATTAAAAACTATTTTAAAATATCTTTTATAATAAATTAAAGACTTTAACTTATTATTACTTAAAGACTTAACTAACTAATTAAATAAATAATTTAAAAGTATAATATTTAATAATAACCTTAAAAGCTTTATATATTAATATATAAAAACTTTCTTTAAAAGACATTAATTAAGTAATACTTTAATTATATATACTAATACTTAATAAGTTATTAAAAGAAAATAAAGTATTTAAAAATAATTTATAATTATAAATAGTTATTAATTTATATAATTAATTAAGTTTATAATATTTTAACTAATTATAATATTTAATTTATAATTATAAAGTTAATTAAATATATATTAATTAATTATAAAATATTTAAATTATATATTATAACTACTTTATTATTTTTTAATTAAAAGATATTTAATTAAAATAAATATTATATTATTTAAATTAAAAGCTTTTAAATATATAAAATTAAAAGTTATATTATATCTATAATTTTTTTAATAAAGTTATAAGAGTTTAAAGTTAATACTTTTAAATTTAAGTTATAATCTTATTACCTACCTTAAACTACCTATACCTTCCTTCCTTATAAAATTACCTTCCTTTTTATTTTAACTTTATTTAATTAAATAATATTAATAATATAATTATAATTAATTTAAATATAAAACTATATAAAAAGTATTTAATTTAATCATAATTATAATAATAATATTATTTAAATAAGTAAAATCTTAACTATCAATTAATATAACTTTTATTTATAAAGTTACTTTTAATTAAATTATATTTTAATATAAAACTTATTAATATAATGAAAGTTATATTTAAATACCTTATTATTACCTTTATAAAGCTATAACTATTTAATAACTCACTATAAAATTAAATTAAGTCTTAAAACCTTTTAATATAATTAATATTAACTTAAATATAAAATTTATATAATATTATAATTATAAGTTTAATTCTAACTATCTTAAAATACTTTAAAGCTTAGTTTAATTTTTACTAATTTTAATATTTTAATATTTTCTTTTACTTATTTTATATATAAATATTAAATCTTATTATATATAATCTATATTAATTAATAACTCTTTATTATACTAATTAAATAATATAACTTTTTATTAATATAACTATTTTTAATTAAGTTTTAATACTTTAAAGATTATATTAATAATATCTTAAAGTAATTATATTAAAACTATTAAAGGTTAGATATATAGTTTATATAGAGCCTAATTAAAAACCTTTAAAGTAACTATATTAATAATATTTTATATACTTAAAATATATATTATTTAATAACTTAAAATTAAAGTTATTTTATTATATTATTTAATAAATAATTAAACTTTATTATATTAATTTATATTATAATAAAGTTAAGTAACTATATATATATATATATATAATTATATTACTATAATAACTACTATTATAATTAATCTATATAGTTAATAATATCTTTTCTTTACTATTTAATTTAAAAACCTTTATTCTTTTAAAATAGTTTTAAATAGTTTTATATTTAATTTAATTTAATATATATAATTAATAAAAATTACTTAAAGTTATTCTTTAATTTCTAATTATTTTTATAATAAATAGTATAATAATAAATAAATACCTTAAAGTCTTTAAAATACTTTAATTAAATTAAAATTTAATAAATATATAAAAGGTATTTTAATAGAATATTATATTAAATATATAAATTAATTAATTTAATATACTTATAAAAGCTTATATTATTTATAATTAATATTAAATTAAGCCTTAAAAATAATATTGTATATAATAATATTTTAAATTATATATATTTAATAAAGTTAATAAAATTAATATTTCCTTTATATATTAATAAATAAAGAATTCTATTTATTATAAATAATAAAATTATTTAAAACTATATTTTATAATTTTTATTATTATTAAAAGTAAATACTTTAACCTAATACTTGTTAATAATTAATTTATATAATAAGTATTATTTTATTTATTAACTTTAAATTTATTAATATAAATAAATTAATTATAATATTAATCTTATAATTTTAATATTTATTTAACCTATTAAATTATATTATATTATATAACTATTAATATTTTTTAATTTATTTAAATTAATTAAATACTTTATTAATAAAGAATAATAATATTTTAAGTTTAAAAATCTTAATTAATTATTATTATATTTTATTAAAATAGAAATTATTCTTTTAAATAAAGAAGTTAAAAAGAATTATATAATAATAAATATATTAATACTAATAAAATTAATAATATAGAAAGTTAAAAATAAAAATATATAATTATATAAAAGTCTATTAACTAAAAATACTTAAATATATAATATTTCTTACTTATAATATTATTAATATAATATTCTCTCTTTAATTTTTATACTTAATATTTTAAATACTTTATAACCTTTAATATAATATAATTATTAATTAAATTAACTTTAAATATCCCTTAAATAATATAATAATCTATTATTATTAAATTAATTTATAATATAATAATATTATTATTAATTAATCTATAATAATTAAAATATATTAAGTCAATATTTTTAAATTAATTTAATATATTATTATTAAAAAATTAAAGATTATATATTAAAATATTAAAAAGATATTAATTATATAGAGGTTTTAATAGTATATAATATTTATATATTACTAATATACTTTTAATACCTTGAAATGTAAATAAGTGTAGTCAGTATGGCCTGCTTTGAGGAATTGGACTTCAGATACTTAGGTACCTAGGTACCTAGGTAGGTAGGTACACAGGCAGGACCGCCCTGTTTTTCTGCACCAGCAGCCACTTTATAGGACAAGATCAGATTCCGAACTGTGCTTTCCCCAAGGCCTGCGACACTGCAACGACTGGCTTGCAACGAGCTGTGCAAATGCCTTGAGTGCCACATAAGCACCACGAGCAAAGTCGCGCAGACCGCTGTCACGTCCCGCAGGCCAAACAAAACTTGAAGCTCTCATGAACATCGCGCCTTCAGCAACTCCGCGCCGACGTTGAGGGCATTATCACCACCATGGTAAGGGACTGCTTCCCCCTCCCCCAGGGCTGCAATGTATTAACAACTGCTGTGTCGACTAGTCTCAGCGCTTTCTCTTCGACGGCGCTCCCGAGCAACCTGGAGTTCGGAGCGAGCCGTCTCCTGCTGCACAACATGCCCCGCCTCACGATGCTATCCTTCGCGACTCTGTCCAACACATTGAATCGTGGGACATTCCCCGAACTGGTGTCTCGTCATACATCCCTACGGCCCGCAACATGTTTGCGATGCTAGAAGCAATGTGTTCCAGAGCTTGGGAACAGACTCAAACCCCCAGCCGTCGTTTTCACAACAGCGGCCCCGGATTCTTCACTCCTGTTCTCTACCTTTACTACAGTCATGTGGTTTACTTCCACATCCTCCGCGCTCGTGCTTCTGCTCTCGGACCCGCTCTCCCTAGAGCGGAGGAAGAGCTACTTGATCAGTACAAAAACATCGCACCCGCTGAGAGGTGGCCGGTTGCTGCACCACTCATTGGTTTTATTCAAGCCATGGGAGCTAACAAACTAGACGACAGTTACTATTCCGAGCCATCGGTCGTCCCGTCTCTCCCAGATTTTGGCCATCTCCAGGAAAGCAGTGGGCTCGTTGGCTTGGAGAAAATTCCAGGTATGCTTCGCCTTCCGATCATACCTGCGCTCCAGAAGCTGGTCCACAATTTCGGAACCGGCGACGCAGATTTCAAAGATGATGGGGCCATGCACCCTGTCGCTCTCCCACTCAGCGAAAACCACCAGTTCATTGGTATTTCATCCTCTGGCGCTGATAGCCAATCTTTTCTTGCCGTCACCTCCAATTTGTGTTGGCACGCACCCTACGATTATGATGATGTCTATGGATCCATCGACATCAGTGATATACGCCGCCGCGTCTCTCGATGGAACGTTCCCGACGTTCCAAACAACGCAACGCTCAACACCGCTGAGTCGTTTCTCGGGCTTGCTTCCAATCTTGACTGGATGAAGCACCTGCTGAACACCGCGACTTCCATCAATCGGTTCTTTCCCAACTCGACCACTCTGTCCGAGATCCCGCCCTCTACGTCCCTGGGCAGCCTTACCCACGTTGAGTACTTCTGTGCACCGCGTACTCCCCTCACCGCACAAGAGGACACTTGGTACTACGACCGTGCCCACTTCACTCTCAAATTCAAAGGCTTTTTGAAGCAGAAAGACGGACGGCTCGATACAAAACTCGGAGTTGCAACATCAACCAATGCCGAATTCACTGGCTATTTCCCCGAATGCTCTGCCGGTGCCAGTCCCAACCGCAAAGGGGCATTCTTCGAGGACGATGACGAAGCACAAGAGAATCGAGAGGCAACCTTCCTCAGCGAAGGCTTCTCCGAGCTTGACCCTGTCAATCGTTACATCGACCTCATCAGCCGGCCTGAGTACTTTGACTCAACTGGAAGCAGCACCGTGAACTAGCGGCTTTTCACAGGCTTTGGGCCCCTTTGATGATGATAGGTTTTAATATTCTGTATTACAATGAGAATTGGCCAGTCCCAAATCATCCAGACCGAGAGCCAGACTCTTACCTAATCTGTTTTGCACCTAAGACATGATTTCTACCTTTCTATATCCATTCGCATTCTTTTTTCTGTTCGACTTCTCGTAAACGTAGCTTTGTGGTGCCCTGAAGTCGTGCGTACATATCCGGCACTAGGCGTGGACTCCCTAGGCGTGCGTGTCCCAGGTGCCTCTCGCGAGGGACGCTTGCCTTCCCAAGTGCGCCACATAGGTATTCCCAGGCTTGCGTGGCTTCGGAAGCAAGCAGCCCCGTAGCGAGGCGACATCGCGGACGACATCTCATACCCATCGAGGCTTTCGTCGACAACATGCCTGAACGCCACGACGCCTGTACGTCTCAGGCGTTTTACCACGGGTTGTCCTCACTGTTCTGGGTGTGTGGCACCCCACGCCGGCTTCACCGTGGGAATACGTCAAGCTGGTCGTGCCTCGGGATCCCACAACCCTCATATATGTCCTCTGTACAGCCGGCCACGCTCGCCGACAAAGACGTCGGAGCGCTCTACGCCGCACCGGTTGACGCTGCTGCAATGTGTTTGGACCTCGTCTGATGTGATAAGCGGTGCCATCCATGCGCTCTTGCGCTGTGGTTTGTGCTGGTGGACCCCGCGGATGGACTTGTTCCGATTCACCCTTTGGGGCTTCACGCTCTCGTTCTGGCCCACGGGCTAGATGTGCTCATGGGCGTGGCGGTGGATGTGCTCGCCCTGAACGGTTCGTGCTGCTGTCTTTGTGTGCTGGGTTTTGCTGACTTCTTCTTGGCTGTGGTGCAGGCCAGGAGTGTCTGCCTCCTCCTGGAACCGCTTCTTTGCGTGGTTCCCACGCGCATGGCTGATCTCGCGCTTCGCCGGTGCCTCTTGTACGTGGTTGTGCTTCTCGGGCAGGGTTTCCCGTGATTTACCAGCGGGGATTTGTTGCGATGGAAGATCATGAATCGTGTTTGACTAGTTGGTAGCCTTTTCAACTTCTTGAGGGCTACATTTATTCACGCTCGACGCCTGGCTTGGGAGACTTTGCCCAGATCTAACAACGTGTCGCCGCCAAAAAGCATGTATTGGTATCTCGCGCTCGACGTTCCCAGCGATGTGGTTCTGTACTGCGGACTTTGATTCCTCCATTGCGCGTGTAATGGTGTTGAGGATCAAGTCAGCCTCAAAAGTCAATCGAATATTTGGATGAGTTTCCCATTGTGGGGAATGAAGTGAGCGGATATCACACTGCTGTCTCCAGTCTTCCTTATCAAATTCCTAACTAGTTTCGGTATACGTCCGAGGACATGCATGGCGCCTTCATACGGTAGTAAGCGCTCAAGACCCAACGCTTGAAAAAGTCACAGTGTGGATAACTATAGTTACAATACGATAGGAGATGGGAGGTTTCAAAGAGGGCGAGTGAGTAAGAGTTCTCACATTTGCATGTCAGCACTTGGGCAAAAAGCATCCAAGCACAAAGCCCAAAACCACCCAATACAAATCCTAAATTTGAGCCATGGAACGAGCTAGACTGTTAGCGGTCAATGCAATTACAGTAGCGCGGGCATTCCCCGTCTCCCGTACACAGCGGAGCCCATGTCCCAAGTTGACAGTTAGGGGCTGTTCTTAGAAGTGCTTAGAAAGACATCATAATAGGTTAGCCGGCCCGAAGCAGATAGGACAGAGAGATTATAATTAGCCAGTATTTAGCTGACATCCAGGTACCTAGGTTTTCTTGCCGTCCCTCTCTTCAATCATAGAATAAAGAAACATGACGTCACCCTAAATATTTAAAGTGAAGAAATACTCCAAAAAAAACGCTCAACTAAATTTAGAAAGAATGTAAAGAAATTCTGCCTACTGAAAAGAACTACCACTTCATTCTACCTCGGGTAGATAGCATGCCAAAGCCTGATTACCTAGAAGGAAGCTGCTTACGGTTGGCGACTAGCTTACGGTTGGCCCAGATCTCCTCGGCTCATAATTGGCTATCCCTACTGCCGTCTACCAACCGTTTTTCCGGGGCCATGGGATCCGCTATGATATTTAACACGCGCTGCGCCCGCTGTCGCACCGATGAAACTAAACACGCCACATCTTCATCGTTCTACAGCTGCGAGGCAATGATTCTCCAACCCTCTCGATGCAAAGAATTAGCGAGCTTACTACTCTTTGTCAACATCTCTAGATTACCCAGTTATCTGCACACTTCACTCTGTTTAGTCAATCATCTGCCGATCTGACTTCCGAGACTGCGAACAAAGGCGTTGGCATTACCGCTCATGATGTCTGTCCCTTTTGGCACCCTCTGGACCCAGTGGTTCCCGCCCAGTGGTCCGCTCAGCGAGAGCAACCTGCCGAGCCAGAAGGGGAAAGTGTTCATCGTGACTGGGGGCTCATCTGGTCTGGGCTATGTTCTGTCACGCATCCTCTACGGAGCTGGAGCCAAAGTTTACATACTTACGCGGTCAAAAGAGCGCGCCGATGAAGCCATTGCCAAGATCAAATCGTGCTACGATGGAAGAGACGATTGCTCACAATTGGGGAGTCTGGAATTCATCCAGATGGACCTCATGGATCTCGAATCGGTAAAGGGCGCCGCGCTCGAGTTTCTTGACCGGGAGGGTCCGGATGGTAGGCTCGACGTCCTCTTCAACAACGCGGGCACCGGAGCACGAAAGAACGCCCCGAAAAGTGCCCAAGGCCACGAGTACCATATGACAACGAATACACTCGGTAGCTTCGTCCTGACCCAACACCTGCTCCCGATCCTCTCCCGCACGGCAAGCTCCTCTCCTGCAGGTACCGTGCGGGTAATATGGGCAGCCTCGATCCTCGTGGAAATGAACGCACCCCCGTCTGGCGTCAGCAAGGAATGGATGCAAGACCAGACTGCCATGACCGACTACATAGAGCTCTACAGCCAGACCAAGGCCGGCGTCTGGTTCCTCGCATCGGAGTTTGCGCGCCGCCAGAGTCAGAGCGGCGTGCTGTTTATTGCGGGCAACCCGGGAACATACAACACCGGCATGTGGCAATACACTCCGGCCTTAGTGTACTGGTTGTTCAGGTTTCTCATGAGAGATGAGTCTCAGCATGGTGCTGATACGTACTTGTGGATGGGCTTCTCCGATTCCGTGACCATTGATGACGCAGTTGCGGGTCGCTACGCTATTTGTGACGGGAGATGGCACCCTGGCCAGAGGAGCGACCTGCTTCTTGCCTTGCGCAGTGAAGCTGAAGGTGGATCGGGGAGGGCGGGGGAGTTTTTCGAGTGGTGTGAAAACGCGACGAAAGCCTTTTTGCCGTGAGCAGGAAAAGTCGGGTGAGCTTTGGGAGAGAGGGGCGGAGAATGCGTTATACTATAACTATTGTTCTATTCACGTTAGATAAGCGCAAGTCGTTGATCTAGATTCTCAGTAAATACGGGCTTGCCTGTAATGCTTGCTACGTCTATGATCCCGGGTGTTGTGCCCGTGACAAAATGGCCAAAGGGAAATTCCAAGGTTTGAGACTCGAAACTCCACGCTCGTGAGGCGCCCCTATGCCTCCTTAAGGGCTACCTCGAATGACCCTCTCTGGAACTCTTCGTGGAGACCCATAATCCTCGGATGCATCGGCGGCAGCATCTGGCAGAATGCCGTGCCACAGATGCCGGCCTCGTGGTCCATAAACCACATCATGCATGGCACACCTCCCCAAAACGTGGCACCCTTCTTGAAACGACCTTCTTGGTCATCCAGCACCACCATACCCGCGAAAGACCACGACTTGCGGATAGACCTAGGAATGCCCATCCCAATGAACTGCTCGTGAATCGGTGACGAGACCAGGTACTTGTTGAATGCCTCCTCCAGTACACTGTCGAGCTGGGGCTTAAAGAGTTCATTGTAGGATTCCTCCGTCAGAAGTCGATTATCCCGACGGAACACCGCCGAAAGGAAGGTATAGTAGGCTTGGGCGGTGCCAAATCCACCACCTCCTCCAAGACATTCTTTTCCACCAAAGCGGATATCAAAATCCAGCGCATCCGCGGCGGGAGGCTCCCCGGCTTCATTTAGGGTGCTTAGAGTAGCCATCCGGCTCCTCATCTCGGGCTTGTCCTCGGGCCAAAAGGAGAAATCATTTTCAGTTCCCAGGGGTGTGCACTATTGAATGGAAAATCAGCTCTCTTGCGAATGAGGATCAACCCAGAACAGCGGAACTTACGATGTGCTTGCGCATGAAGTCGTCCAGGGTCATGCCACTGGCTATCTCAACCAGCCTTCCCGCCCAATCGGAACCTGCGCCGTACGCAAAGTTGGTCCCTGGCTTGAACACAAGTGGGATGGCCGATTTATCAGTGAGGAGAGGACCTGACCAGGGCGTCTGGTTGAGAGACGCACGCCACTTTCCAAGGAGTGGGCTCATCCAGTCATATTCGTGGCCGGATGTATGGCAAAGCAGCATGCGGAGGGTGACCGGGGTCGAGTCGGGCTCGAAGCTTCCCTTATTTTTCTCGTCGTCGAAGCCTGTGATTATGCCCCATCTGCCCATCTCTGGCAGAAGGGGCTTGACGTTCTTGTCCAGCTCCAGCGTGCCTTGCTCGACGCACTTCATGACGGCCACGGCGGTCATGAGCTTTGTCATAGAGGCCATGGCACAAACGGTCGTTTCGGTGAAAGCTTCATCCCGCCCTTCCTTGAGACTAGCCTTCCCGAATGACTTCTGGAATAAAATATCGCCTTGAAAAGTCCAGATGTCAGTATATAAGAGTTGAAGCCAATGCAGGGTTCTGGGAGGTCTTACCGCCCTTTGTTCCGGAAATGACTGTCACCCCAGGAAGCAGCTTTGAAGCCACGGCATCCTCATAAGTCTTACTAATTCTGTCGGCCATGGTCTCTTCGTCCGGGAGCCACACGTTGTGCTGAGAGAAATCACGATGTCGAAGCAAAATTGCTGTTGAGAGTAGAACTTGAGACCGATGGGTTTGCGGGGTCGAGAGAGATGAGGACTTAAAACTAGACGTTGGTTCAGCTCGAAGGATCGTTCGCAAGGAGCCAACGCCCTAGCATTGCTGACCTGTTCGGCCAGCCAACGTAAGATCACTGCGCCTCATTGGTAAGCAGACTAGACTACGGTGCGCGATACTGTTCGCAGAGATTCCCCATATATCTGACATGTCACGACTGTGCCTAGGGACATCCTTCCTAAAAAGCGCATCGAGTGGCATATGAAGAGGCCCACACTGCTAGTTCATATGCTGGTGCACTTAAGCCGAGTAATGAACCAAACATGAGAAGCGGCCAGCACGATTGCCTGACAGTTTCGGGCCGCTAGGGACCTGCTTTCTCAGGGCGGGCCAAGTGATGAGACTTCAGGGGTGAGCAATAAGGCCTCACCTATCACTTATTTGCCAATTCGATGCACCACTTGCAGGCCCCCGGGCCCGCGGTGGATGAAAGTGGAGTTGACCTGTCAAAGGAGGGAGCCAGCCAGTTGACCTGTCCTTTGCCGCCACCAAGATGCACGCACAAGCCAAAATGGCCAACGAAACAAGCCCCCAGTGCAACGCAAGTAGCTGCTCTATGTTGCACATATCAACGCCTCTAGCCAAGCTTGATCTCATCCCAAACTGAACCGCTGAAGGCAGCCTTGAAGACCTTTCCCAGTGCAACACGCTCCCATAATGCCCTCTCCTTGTTTCGTTCTAGCAACAAAACAAAGTACAGATCCCACTCGGAGTCCTCTCGTTCCTTGGGGATATAGTAGTTCCATACCGGACATTCCCCCATGGTAAAGCTCTTGGCCTCAGACAGTGCAACAAAGAAAAGCGACCTGTCCAGGCAGGTCTCAGCATATGACCGTGGCAGCTTGATGACCCCACACCAGTCGCCAGATCTGTCACGTATGTCACACTGACAGAGATCCCCAGCTTCGGGCGCGGAGCCCCCATGACTGTCCTGGATGCTGATGTAGAGCTTGTGCCGGAACGTCCAGAACTGCAACACGGGCATGGCCTCTGCACCCAAGAGATCTGAATCGATGCTGAATGGCCCGCGGTTGACCCCAAACGGGTTCTCGGGCAGGATGCTTGTGAAATCGGTCCCGGCTTGGGCCCCTGGCCTGATGGGCCGGCCGTAAACATCGAATTTCGGCGTGTCGTACGGGTGGGGGATATGGGGAGATGTCGCGGAGGTCTTCCGCGTCTCAGCAGTCTGAGACGCCTTGAGAGGCGTATTTATATTAGTGAGATGCTCCGTAACATCTACATGATTGCCTCGCATCTCTCCTGGTTTTCGACTTGATCGGTTGCCGCTCGACGGGTTTGGGGACGTTGTTGCTTTCGTTCCTGACGGGATAGAAGTAGACCCGTCATGCGGGCTTTTCCTTCTGGTCGGTGGGATGTAATGACTCCCGAGGGTGGTCCCTTCTTCTTGTGTTTTTCCATCGGTGTCATGGTCATAGTAGCTGGGTACAACAGTCTCTAGGTAGGCGCTGTTTGAACGACGGAGCCAGACCTCACTTGGCGGCGGCGGTGTTTCGTAGCTCGCGGACCTTGTCTGCTCACGGTGGGACGACTCTTTCGCCGTCTCCGAGCTACTCTGATCGGAACTATCGCTGGAATCAGACCTGGGCCTAGGACGCTTTTTGGACGCCCTGGCAGACCCCCGGGCACCATGAGAGCGGGCCGGATTCCCCTCTGTCGTGGCTACTGCCTGTGACTGCGGGGTCGCACTTGGTGGTGGTGTAATGCTCATTGACCGGGACATCGTCCTTCCATCGTGCCCTGAGTAGCCTCGCCAGCGTTCGTCTGTGCTTATGTCCTGTATGAGTGAATCTCTGTCCCAGAGAGGTCTCAAATTCCCTTCTTGGTCTCGAACGTACCAAAGGATCCACGTCCTGTATCTGAGCCACACTTGCACATCAGGAAAACACCCCTCGAGCATACCAACCTCGTACTCACACTTGCCATGCATCCAGCCGCACCAAGACCAGCTAGGGAATTCTTTGGCCCCGAAGATGGAATTGTTGTGTAGGCACTCATTGCAACTGAAATGATCTTGCCAGCTTGGGGTAGTGCTTAGATCATTGTCGCTATTCTCATTCCTCAGTTTTCTTCGGCAGAGTGTAGATACCGGTGTCCAGAGCAGAGCCAGATCGAAGTGGGATCTGGGAACTCCGTATAGGAGTGGGGCTTTGAGGTATTGCTCGAGAAGCCATGAGCTCCCCTGGAAGGCCGTTAATATGTCCCTTGGCCTTGTCAATTGTCTTCCGGTGTACAGTCCAACGGATTTCATGTAAAACCAGAAAGCCCTTTTCTTCAATTCGCCAAGTGTCCGCAGCGGAGAATTGGTGCAGTCCAGTGACCATCCGCGATCACTCGAGTCAGAGTATCTGTCCTGTGACATGACGGTGGATCGACATTGGAAATATACCTGGTCTTCGGCAAAGATTAAGCACCGTCGTGACAACAGTCGTTCTTGAAATGTCCAGCCGCGTTTGTCCCATGAGGAGCACTGTATCACATGTTCCGGAGATCTTGAAACCAGCACACGGATCTCCGGTGAATAATCAATGACTAAGGACTGGTGTTTCTTGTCCTCCTCGATCTGCTCTCCCTCAACCAATCCCCATACACCAGAACGAGGCGAGCCTATGGTTTGGTCTGGTGTGGAGATATTTCCGTTGCTTTTTTCGTGAAAAGAATCCTGGACCATTTTTAAAAGATTTCCAGAAGTCGGTTGCATTGATGAGCGAAGACTTTCTGCGCGATCATAGCTCCTGGCCTCGGAAAGAATCGGGCTTACAGCACGGAGTCCCGTCCTGGCATCGCCATCTGCAGCACATATGGTAAAGAAGGCGTTACCATATACGAGATGCATGGCCTTGGCATTGAGCTCCCATGAGCTTGTGCTATCCTGGACGATGCACAAAGAGTCCACCCAGAGGTAGCGCTGCCCAAGGGCCCTGACCAGGAGCACAGCGTCCTGGGCGAGTTGAATTGTCAGCATACATGTTTAAAAGGGAGTCCTGGGGCAACGAATACCTGTATAGTCTTTGGCAGGAACCGCCAGTCCTCTCCCAGACCCCGTTCCTGTATGCGCTTCATCACATTACGTCTTGTGGTCATGTATCGTACGTGAGGGCCTGCTGTATCTCCCCATACGTAGCTCAGGGCCACATACTTCTCAGGGCGCCCGTCTTGAGCAGTGGGCAGCGGCTTGAGCTGTATGTCAACGACGTCGATGACCCCGAAGTACGTAGCCACGACGAGTCTCTCGAACTCGGCTCTTGTGCCGAGCTCATCAGAGCAACTTTGGTCGTGCTTTTCGGTACAAGTCTCTAGCCATCCTCTCATAATATCGAGCTTTTGCTGGAAAGGCACCGCTTCTCTGCCAAGGAATGCGTGATCATCCTGGGGGTCATTCTGGGAACCCACGAGTACGAGGCAGACTGACTCCGTCCTGCCATCGGTGTCCCTCCACGAGATCCGGATTCTTCGTGTTCGATTGACAAGCCTGTAATCCCCACCAACACAGCGACCATCCAACTCCCATAAAAGTCCTAAGGGTCCCGTTGTTGGGGCTTTGTTGCCACTGTACCGATTTACAGCTCGCCAAATGACATTGCAGAGGACGCAATCACCCCGCTGCTGCGAAATGATATCCAAACTCGAGAAGATACATTCCCCGTTCCCTGACGTTAACTGTGTCTCTGCGCGTAACGTACGAAGCGAGTCACCATGCAAAGCCTGCGCTGTATAGTGGCGGGACGCGGGTTGTCTCGACTCGAGGATAAACTTGTCCCGGTGGAGATTCAGGCCTCGGCATATTGAGCACAGCTAATCATTAGCCACATAAGTGAGTAACAGGACGTTGAATCAAGTGAATAGAGGACGAGCAGGGCAGTTGAGTGAATACGTACGCCCGCAGCTGCCTCACGACTCGCATCACCGTGGGGTTGATCTGTAGGATCCATGCTATTTGAAATACACCTTTTAACTTCGGCAAGTAAACAATAGGGTAACCTTGAGACCGCCGCTGTTCAAACAGTCGACTTTTGCGACGGATAAGCTCCAAATCATGGAACGATTGGCATACTAGTAGAGAGGATGGGCCAAGAAGCGGAGGTCCTAGGTGAGTGGACAAAATTGCTGGGTGAGTTGACGTTGTCTCGCCAATGAGGGGTGCTTTGGGGGCCACACTAACTATCGTGCCTTAGGGACGTTCCGACGAACCCCAGACCGCCTAACCGCACATGCATCTATGGTCGGGCGCTAAAATCCAAGGATCCAAGAAACAAGCGCCCAGCGCGACTGGCTGAGAATTTCGGGCCGCTCATTTTCTTCAGGATGCATGAAAGTGGAGCTGGCATGACCTTTACCGCCAGGGGATGCTGGGGAAACCAACAGAATCCCGGAGCGGTGCAGACTTATCCATCAGGTGTTGGTTATGCACTGCGACCCTGCAAAACGGAGTGCCAGTGCGGCATGTCTCTGTCTAGCAGAACGCAGATTAAGGAATTTCGACACAACATCGACTAAAATTGAGGAGTAACTGAAGAAGAGCCCTTGCCAATTATCCGGTTTATCATGGCCGAGCTCTCATGACCGGATTTTAGCAAGAGGTCGATCGCTGCGTGCATGGCGGTTGCCTTTTATCAAGGGGATAGACTCGGATAGGTGAGCCGAGTGAGTGGGATGCTGGTCGTTCAAAGTGGACGAACTGTTGGTCCCACAACAATGCAACCGTCGCTGCAATGCAGTTACATCGAGGGATATGTGGAAACACGAACAAGCAAATTACCGGGATCGTTTCATTCGGTCTACCATACTTAGTACCCCATCGCGGTCGTAACCAAAGATCGATCCTGGCTACTCATTCTCATCGAGACAACACGCCCGCGAGACCTATTCGGTTTGAAGGTTTGATGTAATTACTAGTATTCTTCGTGGCTCGATCCTCTGTAGGGACAGCCGTCAACACGACCCTTGGGAACCCAAGTCAGACGGTCTTCCCGCCGAAATAGTCCTCGATCATGGTGGGTGAGTCCACGGGTCCAGTCATCATTGGGGTGTCGGCCACCTTTGAGACCATTGCTATTGTCGCTGTGGCCATGCGCTTCTGGTCACAGGGGTCCCTAAAGCGGAACATCTCTGCCCATGACATATGGATCGTGGTCGGTTTTGTATAGTTCACCCTGGCCCGGAGTGGTCTCGCTAGTCTGCTAATTGCTCCTATAGACGTGTACCACCGCGATCTCGATAATATGCATCCTCAACGTTGTCTTGGGCGGTCTCGGGCAACATGCCAAGGATCTCTACGTCACACCATGGAAGATTGTGATATTTCAGAAGGTAGATATTTATTTTAAAAACCCTCCGTATAGTTGTTATAAGAAGCACTAAATTGCTGACATCCGGTGCAGCTTCAAATCTCTCTTCAGACGTGCTGGGCCTGTGGCATGGCAAGCATCAGAACATCCATCGTTCTCCTATATATTCATCTGTTTTCTACAGACAACAGGTTCTGCATTGCCTGCTACACCATCCTCGCAATCAATGGCCTTTGGTTCATCGCCGACATGTGCGTGGTCTGGCTGATCTGCCTGCCAGCTAAGAGCTACTGGGAGTCGTCGATTCAGCCCCATTGTGGAAACATTTCAGCGGCATATCTTGCAATACATGTCAGCAATTTGTTTGTTGATGTTCTCGTCGCTGCCCTGCCTGCGCAAGTATTGTGGCACTTGCAGATGCCAGTGACAAGGAAACTTGGAATCATGGCGATGTTCGCCCTTGTTGCACTGTAAGACTCCAGCTTCCAAACCGGCCGTCAAACATCCCTTAAGATATCAATTGACGTTAGCCGTAGGATTTGCTCCATTGCGATAGCTCGAATCGCGACGTGGAAAATTGCCTTGGGTCTTACTAGTGACGACTTCACATACACCGGCACGACTCTATACCTCTTCAGCGCCATCGACGTATCCGTGTTGTGTGCCCTCGCATGCATGCCTCTGCTGAAACCAGTAGGCGAGAAGCTTGCTTCATCGTCAGCGGTTGCTTGGACAAGGACTTTGTTCCAAAGTCTTCAGTCACGTGCAATGAAGGTCTCAAAAGGAAATCAGGACTGGGCGAAATCACGCAGTGGTGGAGAACCGTACCGTGGACCCCCGGAAGCCGATGGTATCTCAAGGTCATCTGGAAGTTTGACAAGCCGCGAACTAGGCTTGTCCACGAATCATCGGGTGGAGCAGGACACATATCTGAGCAACGACTCCCTTGAAATGGAGCCGTGAAGAGTGCAGCTTAGAATGGAACCCAATTCACCTGGGCACTGAACCTCCTAGAATTATCCCGAACGTGGAATGCAGACGAGGGCTGCGATCACCAAAGACATTCCCCAAGCCTCGCTGTTGTGCCGGGCTCGCGGAGGGTAGGACGACCACACCACCTACGGTGGGGCCAACTCCCACGGCAGTCGATGCTGCTGTGCTCGAGTCCGACGGTGCTGGTTTTGCTAATCCGTCGGCAGCAGAAGCCGATGGTGTGGTACAAGCAGTAGTTGGACGGCTGGACTAAGTCAACTGATGGGCCCACGCACACCCCCACCTACGCACAGCCATTTCCCACCAAAAAGGCTAAAAAGTCATATTTTTAAATCTTTATTTATTAATTCTATATAAATCTATATAAGAAAAAGTTTTAAATATAGATTTTAATTTATAAATAATTTAAATTAAAAATATTTTATAAATTCTTAATATATTATTTTATTAATAGATTAATAGAAATAAAGTAAAAAGTAAATTTAATAAGAAATTTAAATATTTTTAAAAGATAAATTAAAACTTTTTAAAAATATTTAAAGAATATCTTTTATTAAAAGAAGTTTAATTAAATAATTAAAAATCTTTATTTAAAAAAGTTTTATTAATAAATATTTTATAGAATTAATGATTAAAGATTTTAAATAAGTGGGAAATTAAAGTGGAGAAATTCTAGCTTTTTTTCTTTTATCTTTAATAATTAATTCTAAATAATAGTTATTATTAAATTTTCCTTCTTTTTTAATAAATATATATATAAAATATATTTTTATTATAAAACTTAAAAATTATACTTATAAAATAATTTAAAAACTAAGATTTTATATACTAACTAAATCTCTTATTATTTATAAGAAGAAATATTAAGAAAAAAAACTTTTATCGTTTTATATAATTTAAATATATTAAAAAATATTTATAATTCTAATATCTCCATTATATATTAAGTATAAAAAGAAGGATTTAATTAATATTTTGTTATATTTATAGAATTTAAGTAGAATTAAATAAAAATGTGTGGAATTTGGCCTTTTTGGTGGGAAATGGCTGTGCGTGGCTGGGGGTGTGCGTAGGCCCATCAGTTGACTTACACCTGTATCGTTCCCACAAACCTCCGAACCCTTTGCACTCATCACTGTTTCCAGGTGGCTTGAACTCGGGGGGCGCTGCGCCACATCGTGAATATGTTGCTGTTGCGGTTTACCATTGAATCGGCGGCTGTGAGAAAATAGCGGCCAAGCGTTGAGGGTTGGTCGGTGGGGTTGATTAGCAGCTCCTTGATCCTGACGAATCGACCGACACCGTAACCGATCTGAACAAACTTGACTAGGGCAAGAAACTGGTCGTTGGAGACAGTGCGTAAGAGGCCTGGAGATAGGGTATTGTGAGGTCTACATCAAATCTGGTGAGTTGTTAGCAACCAATGAGTCGACGCGGCTCGACCTGGGGAAAACCCACGACTTGGCGGCCAGGTACTGTATTGCAGACTAATGAAGACCAAATAATCTCCCAATAGGGCTGAGACTAGTCTGCTTTTCTAATTTTTCAATAATTAAGCCCGGAGCTTCAAGCACCAGTTGCCGCTGTGGGGCGATGCAAGTCGGCAGTGCGTAGTTAGTTGGGAAGATGTTGACTCTGGATACATCACAGATGTTGAATATGATATCGGTGATCGTGACCTTCATTCTAGTGCAACAGCCTATACTTTCACTATAGTCGGGATAAATATATTTTTTTTACATTATAATAAATATTTATAAGTTAATCTTTAATAATATATAATATTAAAATTATTTATTATATATAATTTAAATATTATAAAACGTTTAATAATTTTAAAACTTTTATTTAATAATAATATTTTTTAAAATTTAAATTAAAATTTAAATTTATTTTTATTTTTATTATAATAACTTAATAATATAATTTAATAAATTAAATATTCTTCTTATTATTATTTATATAATATATAATATATTTAAATTATAAATTAAATTATATATAATAATAAGAAGAATATTTAATTTAATTAATTATATTATTATATAAAACGAATTAGATTTTAATATTACTAGGCTTAAGAGGATTCTTAACCTATGCGCCTTTCCTAGTCCCGATTTAAGAGACTTACCAAGCAGCTAGTTACTCTTGAGGAGTAGGTTCCTCGCTACCGGCTGCAGGAGGAAGAGTCACGTGTGGTTTCGTTTTTAATCCCCATACATGTAAAATGTACGTGGCGCCTTCATACAGTGGTAAACGCTCAAGACCCAGCGTCTGAAGAAATACAGTGCCAATAACAGTGGAGGGGAAGAGTCACAACATCCGGATCCACGCACAGACCAACCTCGAGCAAATATAAAGCACCACGTAAATGCTGACTGCAGAAGAAGCGACAACCGCTAACCGAAGGGGCGCGGTATGAACCAAGAATGCTGATTTCAGTTAGGCAGGTGGCTTGTTGGGTCTGAAAGCCCAGATGAGTAATCTGGCGCGAGCATCTGTCCCCCACTCCCCCCCGCTTGCTCTCAACCTTAGGAACTCTAAGTTCGAGCTACCGCAACGTACGTCCTGCCCCGGGACCAACCGACCAACCGTGTAACAGTCCCGTGTTCCTCCCAATATAGTGATATTGCCGCCTCCCTAGAATCTTACGACCCCCCCCCCCCCCTATTCGTTCGTCGATCCAAGTCCGCAGATGGATGCCGCGCGGACAGAAACAAATGCAGGTGACGCTCACGAGGCCCTGCAGCGCCGGCGTCTGCGCAACCGCGATGCCCAACGCAGATTCCGACGTAAGCGCCTAAGCTATCTAAGCTCGACAGGGACTAGAAAACCCTACTAACGACTTCCCGTTGTCTGGGGTGACAGAGAAGCGCAGCTTGGCCAAGGCCGCGCGGCAGGACAGTACTGGCAACTCGCTGAGCCTCCACGCCGACCATGCCGTGCCCGACGAGGCCCGGCCCGTGTACTCTCCCATCCTGCTGGGGAACTTTCCCGGGAACTTCCCCTCGAGGCCGACGTCCCACCAGAGCGACCCCGCCTCCCTTGACCTGGCCGCATTTGCCACTGGCCTCGGCCTGGAGAGCGCCTGCCTGGGGTGGGAGGCGTGTGCGGCGGCGGCCCACGCGTGGGAGCCCCTCCTCGTCGATGACCTCTCCAGCGCCAGCACGGCCCAGATTCCAACCTCAGGGCCACAGTGGACTGACAATCCCCAGGCGCCAGCCTCGCCCGCCCGCAAACCGCCCTCTGGAGCGCCTGCCGACGACGCCGGGCCTTGGATGACGCCGCTGCACATGGCGGCTACACGGGGCAACAACCGCATCGTCCGGGTCTTGCTGGAAACGCAGGTCGACCTCAACGAGAAGGACAGCGAGGGCCGCACGCCCCTGATGCTTGCCGTGGCCCAGGGGCACGAGGACATTGTGCAGTCTCTGCTATCTCGTGGGGCGGCCGTCGGCGATGAGCGCGGTGCAAAGGATGGTATCAATGCCATTCATCTGGCGGTCATGTACCGGAGGGAAAGTATCTTGGGCCTCCTCGTCCGTCACTCCCCGGGCTGCGTGGACAGCTACTCTGCCTGCGGGAGGACCCCCTTGCACATTGCCATCGACATCGGCTTCGAGGCTGGTGTGATCTTGCTGCTCCACCACGGCGCTGATCCCAAACGCAAGGCAAAACATGTCACAGACGAAGCCCCAGCCCTGATTCCTTACGCATCGTCAGATGGCTCTCATTCACGGGAGCTCTCTGGCGTCAGCGACTGAGATCAACTTGTTGCATTCTGTACCGGTGCACTTTTCTGATACGAACGCTCTGGGGAGTCGTTAGAATACACCAGATAGATTTCAGTTGCCTATTCTCGCATCTAGATTCCACCTATTACTTAACAGCCTCTAAATGCATATCCGACTCCTCCTTGATACCAGCATTACTAGTGGGAATGCACACAAAGCATGAAATGACATCGCACATAGCCGTACCAGCCAGGTAATTTCGAGTTCAGTTTTGCCAAAGGCAACACGGTCCTAATCTTGCCCAGCTGGCCGACCTTTTCTTCGAACCCCAATGGCGATACGATTGATCCCGAGCCCAGATCACGCCTTTATGATCTTCTCGACAATGTCCAGCCCGCCCAGCTTCTTCAAGAACCCGTCGAGGTAGCCAAACGGCATAAAGGTAGCGAACCACAGCATGGTGGCCGACTCGCCCCTCCAGATGACCGGCGGCGGCTTCTTCTTGGACAGGTCGCGCACGGTCAGCCGGGCCCACTCGTCGACGTCCATGCCCTGGCCGACAAACACCTCCTGGCGCAGCGCCTTCTCGACGACCTCGCGGGCGGGCTCGTAGATGGAGCCCTTGGGCAGCGTGGGCGCCTTGCCGGCGTGGTTGTGGATGAGGTTGGTCTTGGTGACCGCGGTGCGCAGGTCGACGACCTGCACGCCAAAGGGCTCCATCTCGAGCCGCAGCGTGTCCGAGAGCATCATGAGCGCGGCCTTGGACGCCGTGTACACGCCCTGCCACGGCAGCATCGTGCTCGCGCCCACCGACGTGTGGTTGACCACCAGGCCCTTGGACTGCAGGATCAGCGGCGTCAGCGCCTGCGTCACGGCCAGGTGCGCCCACACGTTCAGGTCGAACAGCTCCTTGGCCTTGGCGATGTCGATGTCCACCACCGGCATCAGGAACTCGGCCCCGGCGTTGTTGACCAGCACGTCCAGCCTGGTCAGCTTGGGGACCAGGCCGTCGATGGACGCCTGCGATGTGACGTCCAGCTGGAGCGTCTCGATGCCGCCGACGGCGACGAGGCCCTTCATCTTGGAGGGGTTGCGGGCCGTTGCGATGACATGGTAGCGGCCGGTGTTGTGGAAGGCCTTGGCCAGCGCGGCGCCGATGCCGCCGTCTGAGCAGCCGGTGATGAGGACTGTCTTTTTTTCCTGAGGTGCCATGATGAGTTGGATCGATTGCCGTCTGGCGGCTGCTGGATGATGAACCTCTGGCGAGGCGCGCGTTTCGAATTAATATATGGGCTCATCATGTGCATCCTTCGTCTGATCTGATGGTACGATATTATTCCTTTGATGTTGTGCAGGCGAAAAACGAAACGAAAGCAGAAAGTCCCGTGTTGATTGAGCCGTCTATGACAGCCAACAGCCAGTAAGTTAGTAATCAGGGCGCTGTCACCACCAGCCATTAGCAAATGGCGGAAGGATCGGCGGGATAATCAGGCCGACCGGGTATTACTCGATGACCGGTAATCGTGCTGTGCCACAATAATTACCCTGCTGTGGCGCTCTCCCAAGGTGAGACGGCCCCACTACGTCTACAACAAAGACGAGCTTCCTTGTGGTTCCGGGGCCAATTCTCCAAGGGACCGGCTTGGATGACGGACGGCACGGATGCAGTAGTCGTATCTAGGCAGCAAAATTCCTATGGTATTCATATTACCCAAGTCCAAATGAGGTTATCTGGGCCTCCGTAGCCAGGGTAACTTGAACCTTGGACCGTCAGCGTATGGGATCTTGGCAGAGCAAGGGCACCGGATCCTTCAGCCCTAGGTAGGTAACGTTGGTGATACCGTGGACCCATTTGATCTTTACTCCAACAACATGGCACTGTCATTGAACATTATTTTTCTTATCTCCCCCATTGAAGTTATCCTGGTTTTCCTTTCCTTTGCTCTGCAATTGACATCAACATTTTCAATGAGCGGGAATGCTTTCGCCAAGTAGCGCTCCTGACATGTACCTGGAAGATGTAGCATACTTACAGAGGTAGTAATGACATGGATTGAGAGTCGTTCTCAAGCTAATACTGTCGAGAACATTTCCCGAGCATTCAAGATTCCTCTTGTTAACTACAGCTCATGCTCGCATCTCAGATAGCTACAAGCACTTTGGCATGATTCTAATAATAGACGCTTTGAAGTCTAACCAAGTCCTCTTAATCACGCTCTTGGTAGTCAGGCCGTACTCGGACTAACTCCGAACTCTGACTCTCAATGAGTGGCTCCCTTTAGCTGGCATCGGTATGATCATCTCGCTGTTGCAATCGATGTCCCGCTCCCGCACGGTATCATACAGCTCCAACGTCGGCCCATCTTGCCCTCGGTATATGTCGAACCGATTAAGTATCGTAGCCAGCGCCATGCCCATCTCTCTGCTGGCCATGTTTTGCCTGTTGCGCCCGGAAAATGTGTTGTTAGTTGCCTTGACTTGTGCATGCCGGTCCTGGTCACCAGACGCGAGACTCCCAACGAAATAATGGACACGTACCCGACGCAGTTTCTCGAGCCCCGGGAAAATCCGATGAATGCTCGCAGGTTCGACTTGGGGTTTTCGACCCATTTCTCCGGTTGCCACTCCAGTGGTTTCTCAAAGGCAACACGGTCAGAATGCATAGTCAGCGTGGTCATACGTGTCCACGTGCCCGGAGGCAGCACAAAGCCTTTGGACCCTGGCTTGTGGGGGTAGACGATTGGCTCATCGGGAGAGATGCGGTGCATATGTGACACCACGCCAGGATGAATGCGCAGCGTCTCCTGGATCACGGCGTTGAAGTGGACCAGATTTTCCACTTCTGCAAAGGATGGGATCCTGCTCTTGTCTGGCACCGCCGATTGGATCTCAGCCCGTACTTTGGCATACCAGGAGGGGTGCTTCAGGAGCTCAAATAGTGTGGCCGTCAGAGTATATGCTGTTTGGGATATCTCGGCCCGGACTGGGTTGTAGAGCCAATAATGCAATTTCTAATCGCTCGGCTCGAATTGGAAGCAAAACCTCGACACTTTGCCCTTCAAATTCCATGTTGGTAGCTTGAATTAGAAAAACCGTGGATGCACATGATGATGGCTAGGCTATGGAAAAGTGGCACCCCGCGCACAATCACGCGTTGCTTGCGTGTGTAGCATCGATATGGCTATGCAGATGCGGTCATGGTCTGCCTGGTGATAAAACCGAGGTGACCCCCGGAAGGAACGGCATTACCCGTTGATTAGCGGCCCAGGCATTATGCATCTCTTACGCCCCCATTATGCCCATTACTCTTCGAGCGTAATCGATTACTTGCAGCCTTGCTAGCTACTAGTCTTACTTGTTTTATATTTTCCCAGTAGCTGACGGGTTTCAAAGGGAAATGAAGTCAATTGTGAAGTCTCGCTTCGAGGACACGGAGACCAAGCAAGGACGCGAACACGGAGATACGTTGGTATGTGAGGATCTTAACTGGGTATGCCACAGCCACCCTTATGCTGCTACTGATACAATTTTGCGTCCGCAGAGGGAGAATGGATGAAGCACGATCTTGACCCGGAGCAGAGTCTGCTAGACCTCGTCGTCCTCATGCCCGCGGGAACAGAGACAACCATTACGGCCATTCGCAGCATTTTATTGCACATTCTAACGTCGCCTACCGCCTACTACAAACTCAAAGAAAAAATATCCAATGGCATCAAGGCAGGCCGGATTTCGAAGCCTATCAAAAATGAACAGGCCAAAGATATGCCATATCTCCAGGCTATTATCAATGAAGGCATACGGGTGGATCCGCCTCTAGTCAACGGATTGACAAAGCAGGTGCCCCCTGGTGGTGATACCAGTATGTAAAATACCTGAAATGTTTCTTCTTTTACGCTTTAAAAAGCAAACACTTACCTTATCTCTAATTGCAGTCTGTGGCAAATTTGTGCCTGAAGGCGTTGAGATTCACTGCAACTCCGTCACTATGTTGAGGAATACCGAGGTTTTCGGCGAAGATGCCGAAGTATTTAGACCAGAACGCTTCCTAGATTGCGACGCCGAGCTCAAGATATACAGGCAGAGGGTGGTTGATCTGGCCTTTGGGCATGGTCGTTGGCTATGTCTGGGGAAAACTCTGGCCATGATCGAGCTGAACAAGATCTTCGTTGAGGTATGTTGCCTGCCACCTCCTTTTCACCATCACTGTGACACAGCGTTCACGATTACTAATGCCGGACCAAACCTCGTTTCCTATTAGCTACTGCGTGTCTTTGACTTCCAAATAGTCAATGCAGAAGAACCCTGGAAGCGCACTGTTTACTCGACTTCCATCGTCAAGGACTTCGATCTCAGAATATGGGAGAACCTTTTGGATTAGTGCGGTGGGAATGGAGTGAAGATATATGTACTAGATATAACTGCAAAGCCAAGCTTATTGCGCCTATCTGAAAAGATACATCGTGCCTGGTCCTGCTGCGGCAGTCGTAGTCGTTCCGGCTTCATACAGTGACTCACGGAATACAAATAATCAGTCAATCACATCGGACAGATGAACACTAGAGCGCACAAATACTTTTAAGTTCCATTCCGACGTTCTTTCTTATAGATTTGTTGTCATGCCTGACTCCTTTAGTCACATTTCCGATCCTGGTTGAGCTAGCTTGCTCTTGTGCTAGCCAAGAAGATGTCCATAGCTGCTTGGGACCTTGACGTTCGGACCCAACTGACCCTGTGTGACCCGGCTTTCGCGGAATGCTTTATCCACACCCCTTAACTGCGACCGTGCTTCCTTTCGTCCCTCTTCAAAATACTCCTCAAAGTTCAGCGTCTGCGCTACCATTCTCTCTATATGTCTGAAGCGCATAGTCCCTTGGACACCTTGTTCTGTGAAAGCGATGGATTGAGCCATCCGCAATATGTTCCGAATCTGGCGTCCGTTCAATTCCCACATTTTCATGTCATCCAAATGGGCTGTGATCTCCTGCCTTGCATCTATCTCAGATGGCCCTAACCTTTCAAGCAGGTTCCGCCAGATCTGCTCGCGCTGTTCTATGAGTAGAGGCCCGTACTTTATCCCGAGCGAGACTCTCGACTGGAAGGCAGTGTCTATAGTTCCAAGACGATTCGTAGTGAGGAAAACAATCCCACGGTAGTACTCCAGCATCCTCAAGAAGACTAATTGTCAAAAAAAGTCAGATCTCATACGCTGACTCGATTGATAGCGGGAAATTGGGGGACCAACCGGATACAATCGCATTACGTGCATGGTTCTCCCATGATCGCTTTTCGAGTACAACATCCGCTTCGTCGAGAAGTAGCACGGCATTCCAGCGGACAGCTTGTTCAAAGATCTGTCTTAGATGACTGTCGATCGAGCGCTCGAATGCAAGTTGGCCAACGTCGACCGTCACAAGTGGTCTTTCAGAAACCTCTGCCATACTCTCTGCAAACCGCTACCGTCAGTTTAGCCTAATGAAAGTTGGGCTTGGAGATTGCGAACCAGCTGTTAGGGTCTTGCCAACACCCGGCGGGCCGTGTAGCACAATGATTAGACCCTGAGATAGTCAGCTGCGTTCCTTAGACAACCAAGCGGTATGGAGTAGCTTTACCTGACCCTTGCCCTCAATCACGTCGCTAGGCGTACTGCCCTCACTCGCGCTCCTATGAGCTTTGATCAACTTCACAAGTGTGTCCTTAATATTAGGATCTGCCATCACAAGAGCCTTCGCAGAATCCTTCGCCCAAACCATATCCGTTAAGTTGCCTATGTTGACAGTATACCACCTCATTGTAAGAGGTGAACATGCTCTGACAGTAGTCGGACATAGCTGGGCCTGAAGGGCCGAGAACTCCTCCAAAGGGCCTTGCTCATCCCGCAAACCCTCAATTCCTTCTATATTTATTGCAGGCATCGTGGGGTTGATAATCACAGGGGGCGGCGGTCTCAAGCCACCTGGAGGACCGTTATTCATGTTAGAATCTGGAAGCGATCGGTATAGAGAATATCCAGAGTGGTCGATGATCAGCCGCTCATCAAGCTACAACGCTGATGAGTCAGTTGTCCCGGTCATGTATGCGCGGGTGTGGACTCACGTGTTTTCGAGTCGCACTGATGTTTCCATCCAACTGGATTGCCGGGCCCTTGTGAACCTTATACGACGGCTGAGTAACAAGGGACTTCCAACGTCGGCCGCGTGCCTCCAAGCTATTGAGGAGGTCCTGCCTGTCTGCATGGTAGTACCGTAACGGATAGACCAAAAGATCCGTGATACGGCGAGAACCAGTGAAAAAGGAGATGAATATGTCCTCCGCCATGATCTTGAATACTTGAAGCGATGCATCCCAGTCTTGATGCAGCAAGATAATTCGAAACCGTGGAGCTATGCGATTGTATGCGGGAGCACTGACATAATTCCTAGCTCGGACATTGTCTGGATCATAACTCGTAGATTGAACGAGTCTGATCCGTGGCTGCTGGAAGTCATCCAGAGTGTAAGCAGTGTCATTCGGCCGAAAAAGTGCCCACAAGAAGTCAAAGGTCACATAGCCAGAGTCGATAGTGTTTCGAATGCCGACATGCTCGGACAAAAGATTGGTTTGATACCAGCGGCGCAGGATCTCCAGATCCCCAGTATCTTCCTTCTTTGAGATACCTGGTTGACGTGCAGCATCGATAATCTCATCATAGAACCAATATAGTGCACTGAAAGGCTGATCGATCGATAGAGACGCATGTTGTTTTCTTACACCCATAAAGTCGGTGCGAGGTAGGACTTTCATAATAACTGACACCAAGAATTGGCTTTGTACAGTCAACGTCTGCAAAGCTTCACGTCGGAGGTCCCAATAGACAAGTAAAGCAAATTTGGGTGCTGATGTTGTGGGTGATTGATTCCAAAATGCCTCGTCGGTTACGGCTGAGATGCCCTCTTTGCCCCTGGTGATGATACCCACACCAGTTAATACCTCGGATTTGGGCGCAGCTTCATCCAACCTTCTCGCCGGGATGAGCTCCTGTTCCCAGGCATCATATGAATAATGGGATGACGAAGAGTCTGAACCTGAATATGGGTCTTCATCAATCCACGGTGTCGGAGATGCATCTTCACCATCTTTGGTGGTAGGTGGACTATCGTTCGGTAACAGATTAGTGTATATACTATTTGCCATGTAACGCGAACAATACTCACCTGGTCTTGGCATTGTATTGTTTTGTAGGCCTATGATCCAGATGCGGAGTCGCTGACACTGCGGCGCTGGGGGTTTGCCTGCCTCCCACAAGAGCCGCCAGGGTTCTCTTTTTGGGAGGCGGAGGTGGCGGTTGACCTTTTGTAGCCATTAATGGGAAATCGCCGGTGGAATCCGTATCAATGCTTGCACGAATACATCCTGTCAGGATAAAATTGGTCGAGAAATTCGCGGTTGCAGAGATCTGAAGCTGTTCTTGAAGGGAACGAAGTCAGCGCAGGCAACAGAAGACCGAACAAGTCTGGACCATCATCAGACTGTATCACTAGCAGACTTCTAGATCCGGCTATTAGAGTTCAGCTTTCCTCGGTTGCGCACTGCTGTACCACCCATGACACGATCCTCATACAGTCCGATTGGCAGAGCCCACACCGCAGCTATCTAGTCGAGGCTCTGCTGACCACCATCTCGTATCAAACCCCTGCTACCCTCTAGTCCATGCATACCCTCGAGAGCATTTTGCCCATCTCCCACCTCTGCCGCAGAAAAGCCGCACTATTTCAGCTTCCGTACCCCAGCGCTCGTGGCGTGCCGCTATTCGCCAATTATCTAGGCAGACATTGCTGGGCCCGACTGGAAGTGCTTTATCACGCTGCAGCTTGTAGATTGCAGGTGCACAGCCGCTTTCTCATTCTAAATGCCTGAGACCTTGACAAAAAACCATATCACGAAGTCGACCAACGATATAGTAGTCTTTGCTGCCAATCCTCCAAAGCTATCTTCCAGTGTGAGGACCTCGGGCCAAGATCACGGGACTCGCAAGAGCAGACCTGGTGGTCGTCAAGTACTCCGAGGTTATCTATGATTCGCAGCTGGGTCTACCGAGGTAGTGGTTTTGCGCTATGCAATCAAGTAGGAATACATTGAGCGCTTGGTATACGTCCGGCAGCGATACCGGGTTCGTCTCTTTTCTGATCATCATCCAGCTCACAAGTTGATCTGAGATCAAATCCCCATCCTACACCATCTCATCTTATTTTCAGGCTCCTTGAATTCTGCTTCGCCATATTTAAAATACCAGAAACTGATCGGGTTTGATAGTCACTATGCATCCGCCCTCGAAGCATGCCGAAAATCGAGGCTGCGATTGACAAACTTTGAAATGACTGCCGAGGAGGAAGCTATTGTGCTCAGACCACCGACTGATGGCAATGAGGTCAAGGTCAGAATCGAGTTCGTCCTAATGGACCTTCAGAAGCGCGAGAAGAGGCCCGCATGGTTAGAGAAGACCCGTAATTTCTTCCAGGGCTTTTGCAAGGTTATCGACAAGACCTCGGCACTGGTTCAACCGATGTTGCCACAGAGTGCAGAGTACACTGTCACCTTTGGACTACTCGTTCTCCTGTTTCGGGTATGTGAACCGGGATTAGAGATTCAAGGTTGAGTCCCTTACCTAACCGCTAATGCAATTTGGATTCAGGCTGTTGTAACCAAAAGTGACAGAGAGGAGGCGTTGATGGAGCACCTAGACAAACTGTCTGCGAAACTACCAGTCATTGACTTTTACAACACCACGTTTCCTACTGCTCAGATGAAGTTCACGATTTCCAAAGTCTACGCCGAAGTAATGGGATTCTTCGATAATGCCCTGACGTACTACCACGGCGGGCGTCTAGGTTAGTGTTCACTGTTGCAGCGCTAGTTAGTTCCTTGGGCTACACTCTGATCCAAAGATACAGCAAAACTCGCCGACGCACTCTTCCGCACGAAGCCCAAGTTTGAAGAGTCTATTACCACAATCGAGAAGGAGGTTAACAAAATGCTTGACCTAAAGAATGTGGCACATGAAGCACAGACAGCAGACATCCAAGTGATAGTGACTAAGATGGAACAAGGTTCAGATTGCCGAGCTGCTCCATAATTCGGTCAGAATGAACCGTGCTGACGATGTTTAAGATATTGTTACGCTACTGCAAGACGGAGCCCAGAAGTCACAGGCCGACGACATCCAAAAGATCCTAAACAGCACTGGAAAAGGTTGGTCAATTTAGTTGTAGGTACTAACGTTGTAGAATATGTCCGCTGACAGAAACTGTCAGACTTGTTACGACTGCAGGATAGTATGCAATACATTGGCACTGCTGCCAGTTTCGGCTTGGAGACACTACATCAGCGTATGATTAAGTTTGATTCGACGATGACTCGCAAGTCTCTCCTCCGCTTCCCGACCGCATTGTCCCATCCCCCATACCTTGCAGTCCTTTTAGCTAACACCCTAATCTAGAGATGCAGATGCACAGTATGATCACACATGCGCAAGGTTTGCAGGATGTCGTTATAGCATCGGACCCAGACTCGTACTGGGACGCCGACGAGGCGCTTGCCAGGCTCTCAGCGCGCGGCTTCCGTCTTTCAGAAAAGGACCGCTGGGAGAACAATGGCATTCTTGACCACCTGCTGGAATGGTCCAAGGCTTCTGGCCCGATATTGTGGATCGGTGGCTCCTGTGGTAACCAAGAAACCTGGGTCACCGAGTTATCTCTCGACATTGCCCACGTCCTTCTGTCCCATAGGATCAACGTTGTCTACATCTTCTGTTCAGACTTCATGGGATGTTCCCAAACACTGACGCCAAAGCGACTGGTGCAAATACTGATTTGTCAGCTTCTCGATATGCATCCAGAGATTGCATATGGGAACCCTTCGTATTTCAGCTTGACACGACTCAGAAACACGAAGACGTTCTCTGGGATGTGGCATATATTTGAGCGGTTAGTCATGAGTCTCGGCGAAGTATTCATCTTGATCGACAGAGTGGAAGCATGCGCCGTGGACGATGACGCTGACTTGAGGAACGACTTGATCCCGTCCATCATGAAGCTGGCAGGGAAGTCTCGAGGTGTGAGGGGCATAATCACCAGTGAGTATGAAGCACCCGAGCAGACGCTGATGGAACAGGTCTATATCGATACAGGGCGTCGCCCAGGCATTGCCAAAGCATAGCTGGATAATACAACTTGATCATTGGAATGCATCAAATCAAATTATGAATCCCCGTGAGAATGTAATTGAGAGACATTATGCGCTAGAGCCTCTTGCTGTTGGGTCACAAACATGAGAGAATAGGGTTACTGAAGTATGAGCTGGCAAGTTCAACCTCAGTTTACGTTGATATTCTTTGATGGTTTGCAGAGGCTCATTACAGAAACGCTAAACTGATCTCAGCCGATCAAGACGCCTGGTGGCTGGAGTTTCTGCATGAGCTAGTGCACGACAAGCTAGGCAGTTGGCACCTTTTTCAAGACCCGCGCGCACGTGAGATGGGGAGACTGGGTACGGAATTGATACTACAGACAGGCCCTGGAGAGCAGCCTTTGGCCTGAGGGCAAGTTTACTGGTCCGACTACGAGTAATTGAGATTCTTAGTGTTATGTTTAGCTCGTGTCTACGCTTAATACTACTCGCCTTGCCCAAATCACCCAGACTCGAATCCTGTGCCGGTGCGTGGCTCATATCTTGCACTTTACATAGAATTAGAAGCTAGCACTAGATTGCATCAATGAATATGGCCTCTAACTAAGAGGCTAGCCGTAAATATGCTATATGAATGGGCTCAGAGGTAGACCTTGCGGGCATTCAACTCCATAGCCCTGACAAAAGACGCTGTGGTTGCTTTGCCAAATGAAATTTATTTGTGAAAAAGGATTGGATATTTATTTTCTCGAACGTTCTGCCCGATCCGGTGGGGACTCCGACTCCTCGTCGTCCGTCTCTCTCCTTACTACTACCCTCTTCGCCCTCGTCGTCGACCCATTCCTCCTATAGTACACGTCACTGTATTGTTCCCTGTCACTCTCTCGATCCCGTTCACTCGCTCGTCTCCTCTCCCACTGTCGTTCGCGCTCCCTATTCAACTCCCTGACTCTCTCGGCCGTCTTCTCCGCTGTACTATCGATCGCCGCCTTGAACTCTTTTTTCGACCAGAGCAGTGGAAGTTTCAGCCTTAGCTTGTCAAGAGAAACACCGGCCAATGAGCTGAAGTATTCAAACCAGATCTGCGCTGTTTCATCCGTTTTCAAAGAAAATATCACGGACGCACCATCCTCATTTGTTTCTAGGAATTCAACAAGATTCACCGAATTATTGACATTCAATAGAAGAAGGTGGCGAGGGTCATAGATTGAGATCTGTGGAAACAGTCGATAGCTCACTTCATTCCGGCTTGCTAATATTGCGTTCCGGAAGGTAAGTGCGCAATCGGAATGCGGAAACTTGATTGTCAACATGCCATTGAGCTCCAGGGTGATGCGCAGCCGGTGCTCTGCGGAGTTTTCACAGTCGCTATTGCTGGACATTCTGTCACAGGAACAACCTGACGGTGCGATGGATTCTGAATTGAAACCGGTCAATGTCTCGTACCAAGACCAGAAGTCGTGAGTTAAATGCGTACTTGGATACTCTGGCACCGCATATAGGTTTCGCTCTGGCCAACTCCAACCTCTGGCAGGATGGGTCCTCTCGAAATGGCCAAATCCAGTAGGATTCACATCAAAATGTTGAAAGGGGGCTTTGTCAGTCGACAATCACAACACATTCTGAGGTGGGTGTCTGATCTGGTTCGACAAGTTCCTTGACGAGGAAACGGGTGGGATGAAGTCCTTAAAGAGACTCGACATTTAAGAATAGACGGGATCTACACTAGCGAATAAACAAGATTGTCCAAAAATCGAAGTATTCGGTGCGGGGCCGCTGATCCCTCTCTCAGAAATGGCAGACAGCCTGCAGATGGCTATGCAGTCAGGCAGTCAATGCCCTCGTGAATGGCGAGACACGTATTTCATTAATGCTTCCTTTTTTCTACTTACAACCAATGGTGGCAAGCAATTTTGTATCACGCGCTCAGCTGCATATTGTGGCTGGGAACCATGTAGCCTGCATGTTCTCACGGAGCTGCTGTGAGTACAGCTTGAGGCTAGTCACACCGGTGTAGTATCGTGGCTGACTGGGTGCTACCCCCCTTTACATTCACAGCTTCGAGGCGGCGGCACACCACTTGAAAAATCATAACTTCTTCCAGTTTTCCTTCATCTATTCTACGCTGGACAAACAAAATCTCGGCTACCAATGTCGAACACGTATAAGACGATGGATGATCGAGCACTTGAGGAAGGTGCCATTGGACTTCCCACAAGTGGTATGTGCTGTCCGTGTTGCCTTGAGTTGGAAATCACGAGACGTTTGAGGAAAGACTAATGAAGGAATTGAGGAAAAATAAGGGGAGATCAGTCCTAATCAGGACTGGGAGAACCCACTTGCAGTGCGATCAGCTTCGCAGTCACCCAGTCCTCCAGCATTTATCCCTCGAACGAACGAGAATGACCCTAGACGCTCTGCTACAGACGAACTCGCGCATTTCAGACGGCCTAGACAGGGTCATTCCCGACCTCTTAGCAAGGCAACATATGAATCAGTTATTGTACCAGAAACCCGTCGCCCGGGCGGCGTTATCCACCTAGACCCCGGAGAGCCTGGACTCTGGTTGGTAGATCATCATCTCTACGGCCTCATCGAAGAGATTGTGCCCTCGGAAATCGAGAGCTTTCCGCAACGCATAATTAGTTGCGTGAAACTCTTGTTGGGTGATCCTCCTCAGGGCCAACGACTCAATAAGAAGAAGAAACCAGAGGAGACATACCGCATAAGTTTCGCTGAGATGCAACGGATGCATTTGCGTAAGCTTCAAATCAGCCTAGTTGATCACGCCGTGACGATGTATAGCAAGAAGGAGGAGTCCAATAACTGGGAGAGAGACTTAGCTGCGTACAGTGAGCGGAAAAAGACCCCTTGTGTCAGACCCTCCTACAAGCGCTGACTAGTTTTGAATCAGTTCAAGCAATGAAAGACTACGATTATATGGTAGAATGTAGCAGGCGAGAGCGCGACCCCTGCCTGGTCACAGGGGAACGCAAAATTGACCATTATGTCACACAAAAGGTCGTTAAAGCTGTTTTGGATAAAGTCGGCCGAGACCAATTGGAAAAGCCAGACGAGGTGCACCCATTAGGACCATGGGAGCATGACAGTGAGCCCATAGGAGGAACAAGAACGAGTACTTTGAAAGCGCTGTCGTTTAAGGACTTCCGTGATCGCCTCTTTCTGGCTACTCTAGGAGCTGCCCTCTTGCTGGGTCCCATGTGGCTGATGGTCCTCCACAATACGCTGTATACGTGCCTTGTCACGACGACCGTGTGCGTGGCTGCTTTTGGGCTTGTCGTCGTATTTTGGCTGGATAAGCGGATGGATGTGGTCTCAGCCACAGCGGCGTATGCGGCTGTGTTGGTGGTTTTTGTTGGTTTGACCACTGATTCGTCCTGAGCCGTATGGCAGACATCCTCAGGCGACGAGAATGCCTCTCCTGCTAAAGTATCTATAGTGACTCTATTTAGATACGTCATTGCTCTTCTTAATATCTGGGTCATATTCCATCAGATCAAGGCTGGCGTCAACCGGTACATGGAGTTCCCAGGTGCTCTGCCCTGCAGCACCAGCTATCAGTTCAAATATTATCGCTACAATCATGCTCATTGACGAGGTGACACTGGCTGTTCGTGCTCTTAAAGGATGGTTTCATTTCTAATCCCCATGCATATAAAACGTATGTGGCGCCTTCATACAGTGGTAAACGCTCAAGACCCAGCTTTTTTAAAAAAAAATTTTTACAAAGATCAGTGCCAATAACTGTGAAGGATGACCATATTTTTGTATCGGCGTCTGTAGATGCAACACCTCGTCGAAGGTCATGATAAAGCCAGTGACCTCAGCGGCCGGTTGATCATCATACCGGAAGATGGCGCGTCCTTGGTCTTTGGATGCAACTTCAGATCCGGTCGCCATCGTCACATATGCAGTCGTCCAAAATGGATCATGACCTGTGCCAGTCGCACACCTGTAAACAAAGACATTACACATAAGGCCTTACGCTCCAAGGTTGGTAACTACCTGCCTACTGACCTATAGGTCGGTATGAGCGGGCCGCTGTGGTGCTGAGAGGTTGTCCGTGCCGGGGAGCGAGAGGAGGTGGATCCGCGGCGAGGTGAGGGCCGTGAGGGCGATCGCCGCAGCGCGAGGGGGGGTTATGCCCAGGAAAGACGATGGCAGGGTTGTCAACATCGCCAAGGAGCGGATAAGGACCGCTGCGTCAAGTGACACACGATCAGCCGAGTGAGCCAACTTGACCGTCAGAAAAGCGGCCGCCCCTGTAGACTCGTTTAGCAGCAGCTGCATTCCCGTTGGGTATCAGTGAGCTCTCTCTGACTCACTCACACTGGATTGCTCTTCCACTGCGTTTTCGACGGACAAGCCGGAGCGTCAATTCTTTTGGGCGGCTTCTTTTTCCTTTCTTTTAAAAAAAGAAAAAAATGTTTTCTCATACCCTCCACCACCTCAAAACTTTTATGGTTCTTGGCTGGGCACATAGCGTTTATCACTACATAGTAGCTTTTCGCCTTTTGCGGATCACCTTAACGTGGGTCTTTTTTCGTCCCCCTTCTTTTTTTTTTTTTTTTTCGATACATCAATGCACGGCTATGAACCCACCAATCACTGACAGGGTGGTGGAGTGACCGATCACAGCAGTGGCCCTGGAAGCTGTGCAACCTCGACAATGTAGGCCACATTGCAGGCCACATTGCCAAGATATGCGTGCCACGGGCACCTCATCGGCTCACCTCCCTTGCATCATTTGATATCAGAGCCCAATAGTTCAGAAATGGGAATCACGAGTGCTTACCACCGTATGAAGGAGTCATGTGCGTCCTCGGAAGCATACGGAATAGAATCGAAACCAGTTATATCAAGAGTCTTGGATCTTAGCTGACATGAGGAGTAAAAAGTTTATGGTTTCGAGTCCCGAGGTTTGCAATGCACAATGAAAGGGAGAATAATGCTTGTATCGGGCTCTCCATTACACCGGTCCTCCGTCAGAGAACAACAGCGACGACTATCTGAGAACGAGCCAAGGCCTTCAATGGTCATTTCAAGCAGTCCTGATGGGAGGAAATACGCTACTGTAGCATTGCGGAACCGTTATGAGGGGCAAGTGAGGAGTCCCGAGGTCGCTGAGACCCTCGGGAAGTCCTATAATTGATATGGAATCTATACAACCCATCCGGCTTTAGGCCCTCAATTTCCAAATCCCCGCTTCCCAAGCTCCCGAGAGTCCGTAAGCTGAAGGTAACTCTGGCGGAGTGGCAAAGTGGCTGTGGTGTCTCCAGCTGGTAAAGATTGGGGAAGAGAGGTGTCAGCGTGGTCCGGTGATGTGTACATGTGCCCCACGTCATGGTGGTCTCCAGAACGCCCCTCACTTGCGCACAATGTTTCAACCGAGGTCGGCTAAGTTACAGCGATTATTTATAGTTTCGTTGCAGAATGGTCGACTCCTCACATAGCACAAATCATTTTTTGCGACCGTGCATGCCTTTCATCCCTTGCACTACTTTCCTCTCATATTACCCATCAGAACCATGGGTGACTCAAACGTTTCCTTCGATCGTTACGATGCTCTCGTCGTCGGTGCTGGATTCTCCGGCATATCTATGCTCTACCGCCTTCGGAAGCTGGGGCTGAATGCTAAGATCTTCGAAGCGGGGGACCAGTTTGGTGGAACGTGGCACTGGAATCGCTACCCGGGAGCGAGAGTCGATTCCGAATTTCCTTGGTACCAGTTGAATATTCCTGAGGTGTACATGACATGGACATTCAAAGAGAGATACCCTGACCATCGTAAGCATCCTCTTCCCTCTTTCACGGTCAACATATTTAAGGAGATCTCAGGAGGGAGCATCTCTTGCAGAATGGAGCGGATGATTGACCGATGCTATAGGTGAAATACGCGCTTATTTTGCGCACGCTGATAAGGTCCTGAACCTCCGGAAGGACACACAGTTCAATAGGAGAGTGGTGGATTGCTCCTGGGACGACGATGCCGGAGAGTGGACGGTCAAGACGCACGAGGGGCAGGTCGTCAAGACGAGGTTCCTGCTCCTCTGCTCCGGCCTGCTGCATCAGCGCCACATCCCTGACCTCCCCGGCCTGAAAGACTACAAGGGTGAAGTCTACCACTCCTCGTTCTACCCTGAAGACCTGAACCTCAAGGGCAAGCGCGTCGGTCTCGTCGGCGCCGGCGCCACTGCAGTGCAGATCACCCAAGACGTTGCCAAAGTAGCGGACCATCTGACCATCTTCATCCGTCGTCCCTCGACGTGCCTGCCTGCTGGGCAGAGACCAGTCTCCGATGTCGAGAATCGTTCTTGGCGCCAGTACCTCGGTGCCGTCTTCAAGGAGAGCCGGACGTCCACCAACGGCTTCTTGCCTGTGACCAAGCCAACCAAGACGACCCTAGAAGCCACCGCGGAGGAACGCAACGAGCTCTGGGAGGAGTTGTGGAAACGTGGTGCATTCGCCTTCTGGACTCAGTCATACGCCGATTCGCTTACATCGAAGGAGGCGAATAAACTGCACTGTGAGTCATCCACAAGGTCCTTTGGATATTGTGTCTGTTTTCTAGTCAAAATCCAATTCCCTGAGCCCAGCAGAAGTATGTTGGTAGATGCTGATTGGTAAACCATGGCAGACGAGTTCTGGGCACGCAAGGTCCGCGCGAGGATGACAGACGAGAAGAAGATGCAGTACATGGCCCCACTGCCGGCGGACAAAATGCCCTACTACATCTTCACCAAGCGACCGCCTCTGGAGATTGACTATTACGAGATGGTGGACAAGCCATCGGTCGATGTGGTCAACACCAATGAAACTCCATCCAAGAAGTTCAATGAGACCGGCATCGAGATGGACGACGGCAGACAAATTGACTTTGACATCCTCATACTGGCAACGGGCTTCGACGCCTTCAGCGGCTCGTGAGTATCTCTCCCAGATTGTACAACGCACGATTATCCATGCTGACACATCTGCAGCCTCTCCAAAATGGGCCTGAAAAACCGCGATGGCACCGACCTGCGCGACTACTGGAAGGACGGGATCCGCTCCTACATGGGGATGGCGTCATCCGGTTTCCCTAACGCCTTCATGTGCTACACCTCCATGGCCCCGACGGCGTTGTCCAATGGCACCACGACGATCGAGGTCCAGGCCGACTTCGCCACCGCCGCCATCAAGCAAGTGCTGGACTCCGAGAAGGAGGGCCGCAAGATTAAGTCCGTCGAGGCGACGCACGAGGCCGAGGACGAGTGGGAGGCGTACGTGGACGAGCAGAACGCGCCGACCCTCATGCCCTTCACGGGCAGCTGGTGGACGGGGGCGAACATCCCCGGCAAGAAGCCGCAGCAGCTGACTTACCTCAAGGGCTTGTCGACCTATGAGAGCGAGGTCATGGATAAGCTGGACGGCTGGAAGGGGTTTGAGGTGCGCTACTGGGACGGTGATGAGGCTACCGTGGTTGTAGCTGAGCCGAATGTGTTGAAGAGAAAGGCAGGGGATGTCGATCGTACGGATAAGGGGAAATATGGACCGCAAGAAGTCGAGGAGGCGAGCGAGGCAAAGGATATTCTACGTCCTACTGCGGTTGCGTAGGACTCTTGAGTTCTTTTGCGGTCTTAGTGTAAGCGTTATCCGATTTGACATTTCAATGACCTTCCAAGGTCGATGGAGCATTGAGAGAGGCATCTCAACTGAAATCCAGCAACTCTACTCCGTACTGGTTTTTAACATGACGTTATGTTAGTTGAGCGTTCGATAAGCGTACAAAGTAATCGAGACCTCACTTGGGAATTGGGCTCGAAGTTTGCAACAAATAGTGTGCCTTTTACAAGTAGGTCTGCCTAATAAGCGAAAGTGAAGAAAGGAAGGTTGCCCCTCGAGCTTCGGAGCGAGAGGGAATGGTGTGGCAGCCTTATCGATAAGGGGACCAGTGGGGACCCCTGCAGGGAGCACTTGACACCCTTGACCCCTGCCCCTTATTACTCCAGGCAAACCAACAATCCCTCCTGACTGCATCCCGCGAGACACTTATCCAGTAACCATCACATTTCCGGACTTTTCAACATAGCGGGTGTCAGCATGAATCTGAGCATGGCCGATCTCAGCATTGCGCCCGAAAAATGTTCTGTCAATGTTCTCCAGCGCGAATGTCGTGAGTTGGTAGCTCGGGCGATATCCAACATTTTGTCCACCGAGGTCGCGCAGAACACCTTTGCCCAAGTCGTGGATGGGGTCCCACTGCCCGCGGTCCTTGAGGATACACATGGTGGATTGGAATTGCAGCCTGATCATCCCTTGTTTGCCCATGAATCGCTCTGTCCAGGTATTCTTGAGAAGACAACAGAGCTTCTACAGACATTCGACATTGGAAGTTTGAAGTTCAATACTTCAGCAAGGTCCCCACAACCACCTTTCCATGCTGAAGATGCTGACCTAACTCACCACACAGCTTCTTCGTGCCCTCGAAGCGGAACGGCCAGGATAAAAGTTTTTTACTACGCGCTTCATCGAAGTCATAGGGGTCGCAGTCCACGAAGTTGCCAAACACCTGTACATGATGGATGGCAGAGGTCACCAGGCCGACAACATCGAAAGTTGGGTGCCCCCCAAGAACGAGGATTGGGATTACTGGTGGAGACAGAATCCTAATGGACCGCCCCCTACACTCTTTCAACATACATATTATTTCGATCACCATAAATACCCTGACGGTGTTGCTGATACCGTCGGATACTGGGCTGAGTCGCGTATCCTTGGTGGCGTTATCCTATTCGATAGGAAGGCGGAACCAGCTTCCGATGCTGTTTTCATTCATCCAGACCGGGAAAACGTTACCTATAGGATATGCGAGCTGACAAAAGAGCAAAAGACAGCCCTGGTTGCATATTTGCTTGCTCCGCTCTCAAAAGGGGACGGCACGCAGTGCCTCCTACCCATCACCCCGGACCTTCGAAATGTTAACCGGGTCGACCCCGAAGAACCTATATCCTGGACTGGTGTCTATCGAGACATCTGGGAGAGAGAAATCCATACAGATGAGCTGGGGGACGGCAGGGCCAGATGTGTCTGGAGCAAGGCCAGCGAGCTTGACTGGGTAACATTCGAGGATTGGCAGGATGCGCGTGCTCGATACTTCTCGAGGTATGACAGCTCCCGTTGGAGGACCCCGTATTTCGACACCTTAGAAGAGTGTACAAGATGAGCAAAACGATCTGTCAAGGTTTTAGTCTTCAGGTTGCTCTTTCTAGTGACCATCTTGTCTCATGAATACCACCCGAGTGATGAGATTCATGGATGACTGCGCACGGGAGAACTTGAAAATGAGAAACCGCCAAATATCGTCTTCGTACTTTAGCACATTTCACACCTTGCTAGTTGATACCTAGTTCTCGGTGGCCTTTCAGCAGACTTTTGAGTCTAATTTTAAATAGCTCGTTACTGAATCTCTTACGACAATTCCTCCATATATCACTTTTAATATAGTAAAAATTCATTTTACGAATATTTTTTCTAAAGGTTTCTTTTATTGAGAAATTAGGTGAAATGTGGACTGCAAAATGTCGAGGAGGCGACCAAGTCAAGGGAGACTTTACGTCCCACTCCGGTTGCGCAAACGAGCTGTTCTGAGTCAGGCTTCAATGTTGTACATCTCAGTCTGTCGGAGCAGAAAGAAGGTCTGTTTGATTTCTCCCGGACACAGCATCAGTAGGTTAAGAAACTGTGCCACAATTTGCAGCAACACATACGTTTCATATGGCAGGCAAGGCAACATAGTTTGAAGCATGCGGTATCACACAGATACGAGCTTGGAAGGCAAGTTGGACCTCCTTTGTCCTCATATGCAGGTCTCACTCAACATTATGCATGAGGCCTACCACAGTCAACAGCTCAAGCCTGTGAATGGCATGTGCTCTGAGCCACTCTTACAGTTGATCTCCCTGGCTCCCAAATTTTTTTCCCAACGTTTCCCATCCAGCGGTTTTTCAGCCAGCACCAAAGCTCAACCCAGCCGAGGGCTTGCAGTGGTCTCTGCCTTCTGGCAGTTGTTGTTTTGCAAAACAAGTGCGACGAACAAAAGACCAAACAACACCACCACACACCTTCCACCCAAAATACCTCCTCCCACGTTTCTCGACAGTTACTTGATCTGCTTGCCCCAATCTGCGCCAAACTTCTCATATCGCGTCGACGCCTCCAGCATTCGGGGCCATGGCGGCGATCGCGAGCGTGGACGAAGTCCAACGCGTCGTGCATCACGTCTTTCTCCCTCCCAAGCTGCCACAGCAAGCCGATGAGGAGAGCGAGATCTTACTCATCAACACCGCTTTCGAGGCACTCAGCGACCTACAAACTCTGCTTATGCCAGAGCAAACACCAGAGCCACTGGGGAATGTCACCAGCCTCCTTCTCAACACCAAAACAGTCAACGCTTTGCCTGGTGGGACAGTTGACGAAGTTCACCTCTCGAAGACCTTGAAGTCCCTCCCAATTGAACAGACTTTGGCCGTCAACGTTAGCAGTCAAAATGCCGCAGTTCTCATTACTCGAAGACCGGACGAGCTTGTCTTTGAGGTGTTCGAGCTGTCCCCTACCAGCGGTCATGTCATACAGACCGAAGGCAGGCTCATTCGCACCTTCCCTGGACTAGCTGTCGAGGTGCCCGCCAAGTTGCTCGACGAGCCCGACTTTTCCAAGATGATAACAAGTACTCTATCGACCATGTGCCATCAGCAAGAGCCAGGCATGCAGTGAGTAGTCCCACAAAGTTGAAATGCTTGCAGGCCATGTTTGTCGCTGACAAGTCGCTGCAGGCCCAAGTCGACGAAATCTGGAGTCCTCCACGATGAGACTCGTGACACCACCGACCCAGCCATGGTCTCCGAGCTGTTTTTTGGGGTGCTACGGGGTATCGGCTCTCCCACCTCGGTCTCGTCGGTTTCAAAGAATACTCGCGACGAGGTCTTTTGGAAGCAAGCGGAGGCGCCATGGCGCCGGTCCCCAATGTGGCTGTTGATTCGAGTTTCCATGCAACTCGTCGTCATGCGATCATCTGCTGGCTCGCACGCCCTTTACAAAGAGATCATGGTATTCATCATGAGCAGGATTTTGAAATCAGCGAACCGCCACGGCCTCCCTCCGGATCTGATCCACTGCATGGCAGCCAAAATTGACCGGCGACTGCAAAAGCTCTCTAGAGCTGGACCTCGGGTACTTCACGAGTGCATCATGGCAAGCATTCACAGCACACTCCAGCAGTCGTTGGAATATCTTTCCAGGACCTGGAACTCTTGTCAGCGACTCGACTCGCGAGACCCGCAGCTGCCGACCCTTTCAAAGTTGAACTTCGAGCGAGACACACGAGTGAAGCTCCCTGCCCTTGAAAAACACATCGAAGACATACAGGGGCGTCAGCGCGATACCATATCTCCTCGATTCACGCCTTCCTCGCTACTCTCAAGACACATGCCAACCTCTCTGCCAAGTCTAGACGACAGCCACTTCGATGACCAATATGCCGTTGCGAATCTCATTCAGTTCGAGCGGTGGGTGGCAGACAACCTGACCGCCTGGTTGGCGTCCAATGAACACGAATATGTGTGCGGGAGGTTGCACGACCTTATGGTTCAGTACCTACGTCTTGCCCGAACGCACTATGACGGAAACCCCGAGGCAACATCTGTCATGGTATTGACCATGTTTGAGCTGTGGGTGGCATGTGACAAGGCGGCTCTTCGACAGTGCCCATTGTTGAGCGAGTACGACCCTGGCATCCCGACCGATGCCCTCCACAATCTGATCCTGCCGTTCTTCGACCAGATGAACACACTCCACAACTTGGAGGATTACATTCACACACGACAGAAACTCACAATCATGACGACCGATCTTTTGTTCTCCTCAGCCTGTGAGGGTAGCTTTTCTATCCAGTATTTTGACGAGTCCGAAAACCATCAAGCACTACTTTCACGTATTGAGCGCGACGCCGCAGCAGACCGTCAACAGAAGTTGACTGAGCTCAGGCAGAAGAAAGATGAGTATGCTCGACTCTACAATCTTTACAACGAAATGGGCCATCAGAACATCTGGAAGGTCATTGACCCTTGGCTTGGCCTACAAGAAGTGCACGACCCCAAGTGCCAGGCATGTTCTTATAGTCGCCAGATGGAAGCTATGGAGATCGAGATCCATGAGTGGCCACTCCCAGACAACCCCCTGCAAGCCAAGGCCGTTGTATTTGAGCTGGATATACCGCTGTGGTTCGCAAATTGGAGGAATGCGCGATCAATACTTCTCCAAGACCTTCTCCGAGGCGAGACCAAGAAGGTTAGACCTTCCACGACGTTCCTTCTCTCAAGGAATGATCCGCACCTTTCACGGAGGCATTCCGGAATGAATACCAACCCGCGGTTCGACCTGTTATCTCAGACCAAGCCGGCAGTCTGTTCACACTGGAAAAAGAAGAAGATCACAAATCAGCTGCAAGAATCCGAAGTGTGCGTCCCAAACGGACTGAACTATCATTACTACGACACTCGCAACGATGAGTACCCAGGCAACTTGACTTTTTCCGATGCCGTTCCTCGGAATTGCACATATATGGTGCAGTCACAGTCCTTGCAGCAATTCCTCTTCCGTCCTGTCTTTGCTGTGGACGGCCCCGGGCCGAACACGGTCATCGCCAGTCAAGATGCGTGTCCCCAGAATATGACAATCGAAGAATTCAGAGAACTTGGTACACTCCCGCTAGGCCATAGAATCCAGTGGGCAAACATCATGGTTCAGCTTGCCATGCCAAATCTAGATTTCAAGAAGGCGGAAACGACTTCATTCATCCTTCAGTGTATCTACCAAGCTGGTGCAAGATTGGAGGAGACACCTTCAAGCGGATGTAGCAACAATGACCGCCCAGCAGTTCTCCGCAGCTCTCATGATTTCTTCAATTCCAAAGGCAACGCCTTGTCTCTCTTGGAGAACCTGACCAAAGCGTTGCAGCGGGTCAATGGCAACTGGGAATCCTCACAGGCTGTTTTTGTGTTCGCTGCCATCGCAGCTCGCGCACTGTCTCTGAGCACTTGCACTGACGTGCAGAAGGCCTGTCTTGAATTTCTGTCCAGCGCCCGCAGTATCGCCATGGGTTGGGTGAACAGCCTGAGAGAGAAAGCATTTGAAGCTGACGATCACGACGAGAAGTCTTTCTTCACAGCCAAGAGTGTTGAATTGGCATTAATATGCACGTCGACTTTCGACATTGACGACCAACATTTCGAAGTGGTCTTCGCAGAGGAAAGCAATGCCTCGATTCTCGTGCAGTCCTCTATGGTCGTTCTGGAAGGAGAACGCACTCTTACCTCCGACCAGGGGTCACTTCTTTCCATCCTGGCCATGCGCCGCAAGCGACTCTTGTGTCGTGCTTGGAAAACCCTCGCGCGCTACCCAACCGAGCTTGACGATGCGATAGGAAATTGGTGGTCGGCATACATTCCAGGCTCGAATTGGCAGGCGGCGTCCGAGACAGCTGATCACTGGATGACTACGGATACGCTTGGCATGACCGTACACTACAACCTGCTCACCGGCGAGCTCCTGGTGAATGGCCTACCGCTGGATCAGCCACCAAGAGAATATCGCACCCACCCTCAGTACAAGACATTTTTCGGACAGGCCGTCGTCGAAATCATGCCATCCACAACACCTGGGTTTCAGTTCTCCACCAAGCGCAAATTTGGGGGATATTCGGTGCAACTGGGCATGGCAGATGGCGAGCTCATTGTCAGAGCCACAGATGGCAAGACTACATATGAGACCATACCAAGCAGCCTTTTCCGAAACGCCTATCCGACTTCATTCGTTGAAGAGTACGTTCACTGGCTGAATGTTGCGACCAACACCGTGCTATTCAGCCCAGTCGAAGCGCCATGGGTCTCGTCTTCAGACAGAGTGTGGACCTTGTCGCGATATGAGACACACTGGCGGCTCTCGAGATCCCAGTCTGATCACGTCGTTTGCATCGGCAGTTTGACGTCACAGGCAGTATCTCATGTGCTGGACCCTCTGGCCGGCGAATGCCAAATCCACAGCATCCTGCGGCCATCTCGCGAAAAGAGGACACTCCTTGTTAGGCTTCCAAAACTGCGCCTCAATTTCAGTCTTGCAGAGGGCAGTGAGTCATTAGAGTCCAACGATTACCGCTCCATGGTGGTCGATGCCGACCAATCCATAGGAACACTTGTCGGACTACAGAGCAAGCTTGTTCTCAAGCATTCGACAACGGACGACCGCATGGTACTTATTCCCGAGACGGCAGTGGTCGGCTACCATCAGACAAGCGTTCATGTCTCCGTTGCTGTCCCCACAGAGTCAATTGGCGACAGCAAGGTCCACGATCTGCGTGTTGATCCTCAGCTCGGCCGGCTGCTTGACAATGGCGAGCTTGGCTGCAAGTTGTTCCTAGCCTATCTCCATGCTCTCACGTCTTTTTGTCTGCCCGACCCTCTTACGCACCAGACCGGCACTGAGCAAGCCCTTACCATTTTGAAATCTGCAGCCGTCCACTCCTTTGGCCAGCTTTCTCAGGAGCATGTGGACATGTTGGTCAAGATACGCAATCTCACCCCGAGCCGCCACTATTATCCTCACTACCTGCGTGTCATGCAAACCGTCGATTGGGACAGCAATATCAGTTTCTTGTCTCAACACGGACATTTCTTCGCAGAGGTCAAGACCTTGCTAGAAAAGGCCGCACAGTCAATTATTCTCTTCCCGGAAGTTGTACTTGAACTCCCTTCTATGGAGGTCACTGACGAAGGGCTTCTCCGGAGAGACAACATTCGGTCTTCTACTTTCAGGGTGTCGGGCTTCGGAGCAGAGGACCACACAGTTCACAGTGATCAGTTTTACGCCGCCCGCGATAACAATTTTGGATCGAAACGCGCCACAAATGCTTTCACTATGGCTGTTCTCACCTCACGAGACGGCGTTGGGCTCTCGTATCCAGCCCCGGGGGCGGGTAGCCTTTGGCAGACGATGCTCGCCGTCAACAAAGTCCACGGATCTCAGAAGGACGTCAAATGGTCGGATTTGAATCACACAAGTATTTTGAATGAGAATCAGGGGTCAGAGTACGTCATACAACATATGCTCGCATTGCATAGGTGCCTTTCGACCTCCACAGCTTCACAACAGTACAAGTTCTCAATCACGATGTGGCTTTCAACACTTGCCTCTCAGGAAGATGCAAATTTGCCAATGTTGCAGGCCGTTGCCATGTTTCTCAAGTCTACGGCAGTGGCACAAATCTCCGCACCAGAGTGCGACTATTTTCAACCAAAAGCTGGTTATGCTTGCTCGAAAGACGCATTGTCTGATGCGATTAAGGAGTTCAGTCTTCCTATTACCTCATGCCCCGAGCAGCACCTAGAAAGGTTGAGAAACGAGGGAGAATTCGAATATAACAATCGGCGCAACAGAGAATGGCGGCGCGCACGCAACTATCAAGTTGCGAGCTGCGTGGACGCCCTCGTTGCTCAATGGCCCTGCGAAGCTCCCACCAATCCTTCCCTTCCAAGTCTCTCAACGTACGTCAACGTCCATGATGCCATGCAACGCGTTAGCTCCTTTTTCAAGAAGTGGTATGACAACAGGCTGCTTCGTAACTTCTTGGAATCTATCGAGGAGACAATGTCGAGCCTTGACTCTGAGCCAGTTCACATGGTCGCCTTGACCATGAGCGCCCCTGCATTGAGGCCTGGGGTTCTTGGATTTGTGTCTGAGAACAGCGTCTTTTCCCATCCCGCACCGGAGCTTCCGGACGACTGCCCAACTCTCGATCACCATCCAGACTACTCGACTCAGGACCAGGGACCTCGTGAGCCGCGACGTCTTGGATTTGTCATCAAGGGTTTGGAAGACCGGGTCGGTCGTTCAAGGTACAAGTCCCAGTACGTGGCAGACCTTCGCGAGAGTCTAGACGCACTTGAATCACAAAATTGTGATGGAATGTCATCTTTCAACGTGACCGCTGACGAACTCTCGTCTTACTTGAAGTCGTGCACCGACTATGTGAAGGAGGTGTATGATATGCTCGAGGCTGCCTTGGCCCTGTCACCAAGCTTGGCTGGCATTCATTCCACCTACCAGCGACCTCGGATATCACAAACTTTCTTTTTGAAGCAGCTTTCCCACGACAGACGACACCGCCTTAGTGATGATTGGAAGTCGTGCATCGATCAATACGCACTAGCGCTTGCTGCAATGCAGCGGGCGGAACGACTCACAAAACTGACCGAAAAGCAAGACCTCATCAATGAGTTGCGAAATCCTGGTCACCGAGACTGGAAGCCTGAAGAACATCCGGAATCACTGCTGATGGAAGTGGAGAGCGGCTTCCTCATTCGGCCGGTCCAAAGGCAGGTTGCCGAGCAAATGCAGAACCCACCGCACGAAGACAACGCAGTGATGCAGCTCAATATGGGCGAAGGCAAATCCAGTGTGATTGTTCCCATCGTTGCGGCCGCTCTAGCCGATGGTAAGCAGCTGGTCAGGGTCGTTGTAGCTAAGCCTCAGTCGAAACAGATGGCGCAGATGCTGATCTCAAAGCTTGGTGGACTGCTGGACCGACGAGTCTACTACATGCCTATCTCACGCTCCCTCAAACTGGACACCACAGCTGCTCACCAAATTTCTCGCATGTTGCATGAATGCATGTCGTCAGGCGGCGTGCTTTTGATACAGCCCGAGAATATTCTGTCTTTTCAGCTCATGGCACTGGAATGCTACATCCTAGGGAGGGAAGAAGTTGGGCGCGAGCTCATGTCAACGCTGGACTTTCTGGAGCAAAATGCACGCGACATTGTGGACGAGAGTGACGAGAACTTCAACGTACGATTTGAGCTCATTTACACCATGGGGACGCAGCGTCCTATCGAGCTTTTCCCGGATCGCTGGCTGGTGGTGCAGAAAGTGCTGGGTCTTGTGAGACTGATGGCGCCCCGAGTAGCGAAGGCTTTTCCATCTTCGGTCGACTACCAACGGGGTGTCAAGGGGTGCTTTTCTAAGTTTCGAATCCTCCGCCAAAACGCGGCAGACCTTCTCAACCAGCTCCTTGCTGACTGTTAGAGACGTTTGTCACAATAAGCTGGTACTAGTGGGGCTCTGATATGGTGCCGGCGAAGGATGCTGGTACCGGCGCCCTGGCAGCGTAAATACCCCGCCGCGCAGGCGCGGCGCTAGCTATAAGAGGATAAAGGGAAACTAGAAGGTCTAGAAGGAAGGAAGGGAGGTAATAATTAGTAGCCTACTACTATTTAATATACTACTTTTCCCCTACGCCTACTCTACGCCTATATTACATGTACTTATTTACTTTACTTATAATTCTTTGCTTTAATAGTTTAATTATTTTACCTATTTTAAAAAGTAAATTATTTAAAATACTAGTATAGTATTAATATTGCGCCTTATATATTTGCGTATTAGTATTATTACGTTTAAGCTATAAGGGACTTATAACCTTTATAAAGGCGGCTAAATTTTTTACTTTTAGGTAGTATAATCCCTTTTTAATTTAGTTTTATTTTGGCCTAGCATTAAAGATATAATATATAATAGCTAACTTATAAGCGTATAATTTAAGTGTAAAAAAAAAAAATTTAACTAATAATTTAAGGATAAAGCTATTTGCTAGTACTTTTATATTAAATAAGCTAAGCTTATACTACTTTTTTATAATAAAAGTAAACTTGCCCTAATTCTTATTTTAATAGCTTTTTTTATATTTAAAAATACTACCCCCCTTTATTTTAAAGTATAAGGTAAGCTTAACCTATATAATATTGCTATTATATTTAAGTTAAGCTATTATTTTGGCAAACTTTTTACTTTTATTTATAGTAAAAAATTTTATATAGCTTTATAAACCTTTTTTTTTAACTTTTATTATTATTTTTATTTATATAAGATTATAAAGTTATAAAAGTAGGTGGGCTATATAATATATTATTTAAAAGGTATATTTAAGCAAAATTAAATTAGCTTTATTATAAAAAAATAAGTATAAAATATGGACCTTTTTGCTATTTTTTTTATAAACTTTAAAAAGTTTTTATATAATTAACTTTTAATTTTATTATATATATTATTATTATATTTATTATATTTATAATAATTTAATAAAAATAATAAATTTATTATAAATTTTATATTATTATTAGAAAGTTAAAATGAAATTTTCTAATAACTTTATAAAATTGCATTATATATATAATATAATTAATAAATTTAAGCCAAGTATTTATATAATATTTTATATATAGGTGTAATTACCTATTATATAAAAATAAGTAGTTGGCTAAGCTTAATATATAAAGGCTATAAAAAAAATAATATTAACTAGTAATAATATAGTATTGCTATAACCTTGCTAAGCTTTTTAATCCTTTTTTATATATTATATTTGCTAATAAGTTGGGCATATTTTTTAATATTATAGGAATATACTTATAATAATAATAAGCTAATTATATGTTTAGGACGCCTTTATAGCCGTTTTTATTTAGGCTGCTAAAAAAAAAGTAATATTTTTATTTTTTTAACTAGCTTTTTTAATAATTTATTATAATTATTACTAGTAAAAATATTATACTAATATATATTTTAAGTTATACTAAAATAACTATTATATTTATAGGTTAATAAACCATACTAGTAGTTAGTACCTAAATGTTTTTTATTATAATTATAAATAAAAGGGCTATATTATTACTTAATGCCCTAAAACCTTTTTAAAAACTAATTAATAACCCTTAAAGTTATAAGTATACCAAATAATTAGTAGCGTTATACTAAATAAATAATAGCTTTATATTAATATATAAGTTAAAATTAATAATTATATAAAACTTTTAAAATATTATTAACTTAAAATTAAAAGAATCTTATTAGCTATAATACTATTAATATATATAAGTATTAATATTATTTTAAAAATAAATTATAATTTATTAATATTAGTAATAATTTAATCCCCTTTATAATAATTACTTTTTTATTTAAATAATAAACTTTTATAATATTATATATATATAATGCTATTATTTTATTATTATAAATTTATTTAGTAAAAATATTATATTTAGCTTTTTTAGCTAAAGGTAATAAACTTATTTATTTAATAAAAATAATAATAATAGCGCTTTTTTTTATATAAAAACTAACTTAATATTTATATTTTAAATAAGCCGCTTTTATTTAATACTATTATTATAGCTATTTACTTTTATTTTATTCTTTTAAAAAATGTAAATAATAAAAATAAGAACCTTTTAGCTATGCCTTTATTATATTTACTAGCCAAATATATTAAATTTAAAGATATTTATTTAAAAAAAGCCATACATATTTTTACTAAATATATGCTTATAGATTATAAAATAAAGTTAAAAGAAGGCGCCTAGCCTTTATAGAAACTACTATATTTTCTTTTAAATATAAAGCTAAAAGTACTTTAAAGCTATATAAATAATATACTTATATAAGGATTTATTAGGCTATTTACTAGCCTAGTAGGCACGCCTATTATATTTATATTTAAAAAAAAAGGAAAGCTATACTTTTATATTAATTATTATATGCTTAACCAGCTTATATATAAGAATCACATCTTGCTACCTTTAATCTTTAAGATTTTAAATTAACTTAAAAATATAAAAGTATATATTAAGCTAAATATTAAAGAAGTATATTATTAGGTTAGAATTTATATAGGTAATAAGTAAAAGACGGCTTTTATATAAAATATAGTTATTTTAAATATATAATAATACTATTTAAACTAATTAATATTCTTATAATATTTTAAATATATATTAATTATATTCTTATAAGGCTTATAAATATATATTATATTATATATTTAAATAATATTTTATTTTTAATAATAATAATAAAGTATATATAGGAATATATATAGCATTTTAAAATGCTTATATTAATAGGAACTATATTTAAACTTTAAAAATATAAATTTAAAATTATTTAAATTAAGTTTTTAAATTTATAATTATATTTAATAATATTATTATAAAATAAAATTATATTACTATTATTAAAAATAACTATTATTTTATAATATTTGTAAAATTTATATTTTTAGGTTTTAAGCTTTTATTAATAGTTTATTTAGGTATATTTTAAAGTAATTATACTTTTAATTAACCTTTTAAAGTAGTATTATAGGGCTAATTAAGCTTTTATTTTATATAAAAGTAGTATTTAAGTATTTAAAACTACTTTTATAATAGTCCCTATTTTATAATATTTTATACCTTTATTATATATATATTTTAAAATAAATATATTTATTAAAGCTATTAAATTAATTATTTTATAACTTTCTTTTAAAGGAGCCTAGTATTTAATTATATTTAAATTATAAAAGTTAACTTTTATAAAATAATATTATAATATTAATAATTTAAAGCTACTTATTATTATTAATATTATTATAATTTGGCGCTACTACCTATAATATTTGTAGTATATTATAATTATTTTAACTAATTATTTAAACTTAAAATATTAGTATATAAAAAGGAACCTTTTTATAAAGTAGTTATAATGGCTTAATACCTTAATAATAGTAGATTTAATAATTAAATATAGGCTAGGAAATAAGAACCTAATAAATAGCTTATTTTATAGGCCTAATTATATTTATAGGAATTAAGTAAAAATTAAACTATAAAGATTTAGCGATTTTATAATATTAAGGGAGATAGCAAATTATAGTTATAATTATTAGAGTATAAATTTATACTTAAAAGAAGGGGGCTTTAAATAACGCGAAAAAGTAGCGTTAAAGTATAAAATATATTTAATGGCTATAGCTGCTTGAAATTAAAGTATATATTTAAATACCCTTTTATATAAAGTAGAAGAGTAAAGCGTGGTAATAGTAATAATATAGTTTAAGTAATTTATAATAGTATATTTATAATATTTATAATAAAAAGACATTTTTATATAAAGAGGGGTATGGCATAAAAAGTATAAATAATATGGTAAAGCTAGGAAAATATAGCAACTAAAAAACAAATTGTTTTATTTTAGTAATAAAATTTATATATTAAATAATTTAAATATATAAATAAAACTATTATATATTTATTATAATAATTAGCTTATAGGGTATTTTAATATTAGTAAATTAATTAAGTTGCTTATATATAGCTATTATTAGAACTTTTTTTAAAAAAATATAAAATAATATATTAATATATATATAGTTTGCTAATATATAAAAGCGTTTAAGTATTAACTATTTGGCTTTTTAGCGTTGCTATTATTGCCCTAATAATTATAAAAGGAGATTTTAATAGACTTTATTATAGGCCTACCTTTATTAATTAATTTATATAATAATAAGCCTTGTAATGCCATTTTTATAATAATAGATTATTTTATAAAATATATAATTTATATTATAATAATTATATAACTAATAAGTAGCGGCCTAGTAAATATTTTTATTTTATATATTTTTATTATATTTAAAATATTTTAGGGGATTATATTAAATTAAGGCAGCCTTTTTATTAGTTACTTTTAGGCAAAATTTTATGTGAATTTAAAGATAAAGTAGCGTATAAGTATTGCCTTCTACTTGTAAATTAATAGCTAAATAAAATAATAAAACTAAAACCTTAAATATTATTTTTGCATATATAGGAATATTAAATAAAGTAATTAGGCGTAGCAACTATATTTTGTATAATTTGCATATAATAATTTTAAATATTTAATAATTAAGGCTAGCCCTTTATTTATATTATTTGGCTATAATTTAATAGCACTTATTAATGCACTTCTACTATAAGAAACTAATATTTTAAATATAGTTAAAGCTAATAAGAATATTTAGGTTGCATATACTTAAATTATGTAATATTTATACTATGCTAATGCTAAGTATGTAAAATAGTATAATTGCTAATACCTTAATATAAAATTTATGAAAGGCAACTTAGTTATAATATTAATAAAGTATTTATGGTAAAAGTATAGGAGCAAGAAATTTGCAAATAAGTATTTAGGCCTATTTTATATTTTTAAGGTAATTAAAAAGCATGGCCTTGCTTATAAGTTGGACCTACTTATATAATATTACATTTATAATGTTGTTTCTATTATTATTTTAAAGCTATTTAGGCCTTATAAAGGCGAAATATTTATATTATAATTTAATATTAAGGTTAAATAAGATAACGTTTTTAAGGTGGAAGTTATTTTAGGGTATTAAAGGCTATAATTAATATAATAATATTTTATTTATTAGAAGGGCTATAGTTATAATAATAATTTATAAAAGTTGCGTTTTTATATATTAAATAACTTAGTATGAGAATATAAAGTAGGGATTAAAAGGTAGTTGGAAGCATGCTAATATAGCGCTAAAGCTGCATATATAATATAATTTATATTTATTTTTTTTATTTATATAAATATTTTATATGCCCATTTATTTGGGGATTTAATATTGCCCTTATAATAACCTTATATTATATTTGTGAGGACATAGCGCGCCTACTTATTTGCGTTTTTTATAAAATTATTACTCCTTATATACCTCTAGGTTACTCCTTTTTATTATCCTTCTTATTTTCTATTTACTTCTCGCAAAATATGCACAGTGCTTGCGTTTTGCATGTAAGCTTTTTAAATATAATAACATTGCGGCAAACTAGTAATATAAACTTATTTTTTGCAATTATTAAGGTAGTGGTAGGCGCAACTTATATGGCCATAATAACTATACCCTTAGCGGGTAGGAGGCGAATTGCCTTTATAAGGCGCTTGCACTTATTATTTTAAAGGAAGGCCTAAAGTAGCTTATATATAATGAAGGGGATTTAATATAATATACACGTAACAAATTAGTAGCACATAGAAAAAGGGGGACCAAAGTGTATTTATAGGAGTATAAGTCTAGTTATTATAGCTATAATAGGTATAGTACTTGCTAGTACCTAAATAAAATTATATTAGCCATATATATACAATATAAGCATATAGTAAAAGTGTTATATAAGATATATATTTTATTAGTTTAATAATGGCAGTAATAAGTGCTATTTTTTTTAAGGTGGCATACATAATGCGCGCATTATATAGATGTTATATGTATAGGGCTAGGCGCTTTTTTAACCTTTTTATAAAATAGTTAAAGGCGTAATATTAGTACTTAGTGCGCCTAGGAGGATTATAATAGGGGCATAATATAAATAAAATAAACTTAAATATATTTATTTGGGGGGCAAAGCTATTAGAAGAAGTGGAAATAAAAGAAGATTAAGGCACCTATTAGTAAGAGTTTAATATAAATATAGTTTATATATTATATAAGCGTAGTATTATAAGGAAATGCAACTTATAGTAAAAGTAGGAGTACTAGATATTTGGGAATTTATAAAAGCCATTAATATAAAGTGCAAGTATTATAAATATATTATATGGAAAATACTAAAAGAACTAATATTAGTAGTAGTTATAATAGGTAATTAAAAAAATAAGTTAATATAAGTGCCTAGCTTAAATAATATAAATATATTATAATAGTAATAAAAGGGGGGACTTATTATTAAAATTATTATTATTATTTTTATTATTATTATTTTATTATTGTTATTATAATATATTAATATAGCTTTTACAAATTATTATATATAAGGGGGTATTTATTATTTAATTAATTATATTAAGGGGAAAGGAAGGAAAAAAAGAAAAGGGAATAGGGGTATAAGGGTTTAAATATAAAAATAGGAGGGCGCCTTGCCTATATTATAATAATAAAGCTATTTAAAATAATAGGCACCCTTAATAATATAGCTTACTATTTAGAATAATAGGAAGGATAATAATAATAGGATAAAAAAAGGATTTTTTAAAGGCCGCGACTATCTTGCTTTTTTATAATACTATTATTATGCCGGCCCAGTTTTGTTAAAAACCTCTATATTAATAATATTTTCTAGTTGCTATTATGCCATTTTAGGGCATGGCGCGCTATAACCCGGCCCCTTTACTTTTAACTCGGCCCCAACTATATTATGGCAATATTATAATAATATTATAATATTATACTATTATTACTTTTAAAGGTAGGAATATAAAAGGAAGGGCAGCTTATTAAAAATGTTTATTATAATAAGCTAATATTAGTGGGGCTTTAATATAGTACTGGCAAAGAATGTTGGTATTAGCGCCTTAATAGTATAAATACCCTATTGTATAGGCGTAATGCTGGCTATAAGAGGATAAAGGGAAACCAAAAGGTTTAAAAGGAAGGAAGGGAGGTAATAATTAGTAGCCCACTACTATTTAATACACTACTTCTCCTCTACGCCTACTCTACGCCTATGCTGCGTGTGCCTATTTACTCTATTCGTGACCCTTCGCCCTAATACTGACCACATTTGCAATAATGGCCTTGGAACACTCCAGGTCTCTCGTTAACCAGAGGCAATCCGCAGGGCTGTCCATGCATACATCTCCAAAGTCGAGCTCACTGCGGCTGAGGTCGATGCCGTCGAGAAGTCCCTGTTTTGGACTGACACGACAGGTCCCCTCCTCCTCCTGCTTCGTGGCATTATCGCATGTGGTGTCCTAGAATTTGTCTTAACCTAAAAGCGATGGCGGGTGAACTACGGTCTGGCTCCATCTCGCACACCACCCACCCAGCTTGCGGTGCCATACCTCGCAAAGGATAATCCCTCACTTCGATCTGAATTCAGCCATCCAGACGTTGTCATTACTCTGACGTCCCTTTCCTACTACTACGGCGGACTCTCCAACGAGAGCCTTTTCACCGCGATGGAGTGTCTTGTGGGTTCAGACCAGGCTGACGCAGAGTATCAGGCCTGGGTCGGAGATGCTAACAGGCTGCCTGACGAGTTCAAGCAACTTCAAGGCATCAACCTGCAGGATCGCCCTCTTTGCATATCGAAGTTGTTTCCACCGCTCCGCTTCGCCAAGAGTGTGATAGACTTTTTCCTCGCACACATCGTCTTTCCCAAACAGATGAAGGAGTTCCCACACAAGCTCTCGGCCTCCGGATGGGATATTGGGAAGCGCAAGGGCCGGCCCCTGACGGGGTTCTCCGGCACGAATGACTCTCGTTGGGTGCTGCCAACTGATGTCCACCATCTTGACCACCCCGAGCAGAAACACACCAACGCATTGGTTCTGGAATACATGTTACAACCTGAAAACGGTGTTGTGCTAATAGAGCCGGCCTGGCCAGGTACTTCGGATGCGGAGCACTTACTGGCAACTGTTCTGCACCTTGCTCCAGCGGCACAGGTCATTCTGGACGTAGGTGCCCAGATAATCGAGCTCATCAACATCAAGGTGGCCGAGACTTGGTTGAAGGAGCACAACTTGACAAAGGAGGCGGCCGTGTTTGTGAACGAGGACGACGAGCTGTGCGTCATTGACCGGGCAGGCAGAGTAGACTTGCTCCGTGCCTCATCATTTTTCACCCGCATGGACGCCTGCCTTGTCTTCCTTGACGAGGCTCACACTCGTGGGATTGATCTGCGTCTACCAACAAAGTACAGGGCTGCAGTTACTCTTGGTGCCGGCCTCACAAAGGACCGACTCGCGCAGGCTTGCATGCGAATGCGCAAGCTTGGAAAAGGGCAGAGTGTTGTCTTTTGCATCTCTCGGGAAATCCAAGAAAAGATCATGCAGTCTAAAAAGGACGCGGGACCCGTCCTCCGGAGCTCGAGTATCAAGCTCATAGACGTAATTCTTTGGGCAATCTCCGAGACGCATGTGGACCTCCATCACAACCTTCCGCTCTGGGCAGTCCAGGGCGCGCGGTTCGTCCGTCAGCAAAAGCTATGGGAGCAGGTCCGCCACAATGGCCGCACGTCACTGTCCAAGCATCACGCCGAGAAGTTCCAAGAAAAGGAGGCACAGTCTCTTGATGATCGCTTTCGCCCGCGCCAGGGTGAAGGCCAGTCTCTTTCTTTGGGTGATGCCTCAGATGTCGATGTCCAACGCATAGTCGAACGTTGTCAGGAATTCGACGAACTGCAGTGCAATTCCAGCACGCTCCAGGAGGAACAAGAGCGCGAGCTGTCGCCGGAGGTTGAGCAAGAGCGACAGGTTCAGAGGGCACCCCCTGCTGAGCCTTTGCTGCACAGTCTACACCAGGACGTCCAGGACTTTGCCCTTAGGGGTGTGTTCAGGGCCGACTCCACGGCATACATGCCGGCGTTCGAGGCATTGAAAGACTGCAGTGCCGCAAAGGAATATCCAGTCTGTCAGCTGACAGGCAGCGACAGGTTCCTTGTTACCGCCGACTTCGCCAGGACCATCGTGCCCACTGGTCATGCCTCGTTTCTTTCCGATGTTTTCCAGCGTCCCGTGCAGTGGGTTCTCACAAGCCGGGAGAAGGGAACCGCTACCATTGATCGGATGCTCATCGTGAGTCCGTATGAGGCGAATAAGCTCTACAAGCCGATGGCGAGTTCCACTGCAGCCACATTGCATCTCTTCAAGCCTCGCAGCAATTCGGGGTACGCCTCGCTCGATGGGCTAGATTTCCACACCGTCACTGCCCAGGCCGGACGCTCCATCGTGCCCCGCAGTCTCGCAGTGCAGCTTGCCCTCTTCTCGGGACAGCTTTACATCAGCTCTTTCGAGGATTATAAGGAGATCTGCAACTTTCTGGGACTCTCTGCCAAGAAGGTCACACAACGGATGACTGACCAAGGTTGGAAGCTCAGCCCTGAGGGCTTCATTCTGAGCGATGACCAGGGCCGGGCCGGGGGTGCATCAGGACTGACCGAGAGCCCTGTCGGCTTTTTTCACACCCTCATGTCCAAAATCAGGCGGAATGGGGATGGTATCGACAAGACGGACATGGGCGGCTTGCTGGTGGGCAGAACGTTCCAGGAATCCGACTTTGAGGAGCAAAACGACTGAGGGATGTTGCTAGCAGACACGTTGGGACAAGCTTGAGAAGGACAGGATAACAAATGTACACAGATTATTGTTCTAACGTCGTCGAGATAGGAATCATCAGGGACACCCCGCGGCCCTTCTTCCCTTGTCCGTGACTGTGACAGTGGCCATACCAATAGCCAGCCCGTCGTGCCCGAGACCGGCTGGCATTATGACTAGCCGCAGCAGTTTGTAGGAGCGGCTCTCGAAGCATTCCAACATTCGCCGCGAGAAAACTATGCCAGGCTGCAAGAGCAGAGCAACCCAGCCGTGCGACTGCATGCGCAGAACCTCGGGGAGCATTGGGTTTGTCCACGCAGGAATGAAGTCGCAGGCGCCCAGCCAGCCATGACTGCTAAGGTATGCCACCTCGAGATTCTGCGCCGTCGTCACGGCACAGCCCCAAGTGTCGTCGATATTGATCGTCATTCCAGGTGCCTCTGCCGCTGCGTGTAGAGCATGATGGGTGCTTTGGTAATACCGCCGACCCGCGACAGCTTGATATTCACTCTTGCGATGCCCGCCTTGTGGGCCTGCACTAGATCGGCCACCGTGAGGATCAGCTCGTCCGCGAGCATCGGGAGCCCGGCGAGCCTCAATACCAATGTCGTCCTGCTTATTACCCCGCCTGCCTGGGAGCCCTCGCCACGAGGGCCAAGGACCCACTCATTATTAGGCGAGCCGGCGGACGGAAACTCCCGCACGAGGGCCGCATGACTAAATTAGATTGCAGGCGTTAAGAGAACTTGCTGTGCTGTAGGTATCTGTGCGAGAAGTAACCAAAGTCTTCTGGCAACATCAACAGCGGGCTGTCCCTACCATGTCCGCCGCCAGATCTCAGCTCTGGCGCCCCGCGGCAGCAGCCATCAGCCGGTCACCCACACCCTGGCAAGAAACACGGCGGCAGGACTGCGGTGCAGATTGCGTTGGCATGGGGAGTTGGTAATGACCGCTCAGTCGCCCGTAAGAGCACTATCGACTGGCAGACTAAGGAGAAGCTCGAGGCAGACTTTGTGCTGGATTCCGAGAACATCGAGGCCATCGGGGCTTTGGATATGAAGGCGAGGTTCGATGACCCCAGCTTGGACTATACATAGGTGGAGACTTTATACCGACCTTGAGGGGATTGAGGGTACCAAGGATGGACGGACCCATTGAAGGAAGTTGGGTACAAGAGTGTGATTTTCAACTGTTGACCGGTATAGGAGAATAGTCTGTGATACATTTTGTTAAAAACGAGGCAATCCAAGTGCAGATTCACAGAGCAATAATGAGGTTGACTGTCTCCCTAGGTATATGTTGTGTTCTAGTCGGGCTTTTACCAGCAGCTCTAGTGGAAGAATAAATGGTTTAGCATGTTACATTCCGTCCATGCACTATTATTCAACATTTTAGACACAGTTGTCGTTGATGCGTACAATCAAAAAAAGGCGATCGTGACATGGACTATGCATGTGGTGACCGGGGTGTATTAAATAGTCCTCGTGTCGAGGGAACAGTGGGTCGAGACGAGTCCTCGCACTGGTCGCTTGGCGGTAATAGGCCCGCGAGCCGCAGCCATTACATCAACTGCGGAATAGTCCTTTTCCGGAAGCTCATTGGTCCAGCGATTAGAGACAATTCAGGATATCTGGCCCTGTAGAATATCACCACGAGCCCGGCTCACAGGCGGTCCTCAACCATCATCGTCCGCGCCTCATCCTTAGGTATTTCCACCACCGTCCCCCGGCAGACGCAGACCATCAATAAATAATCATGGCCACGCGACTCCTAGCGGGCAAGACGGCGGCCATCACGGGCGGCACGACGGGTATCGGCCGCGCCATCACGCTCGAGTACCTCCGGCAGGGCGCCAACGTCGCCGTCAACCACCTGGGGCTCCCCAGGGACGAGCCGCTGCGGCAGAGCCTGCTGGAGGAGGCCAGGCGCATCCGGGCCGAGGCGCCCCGCGACCTGCCCACGGGCGAGATACTGGAGATCGCGGGCGACGTGACGGACCCGGCGACGGGCAGCGCGCTCGTGGCCGAGGCGGCGCGGCGGTGGGGGTCGCTGGACATCTTCATCGCCAACGCGGGCATCTTCAAGGCGTGCAAGTTTCTCGAGTAAGGCGCCCCGAGCAGTTGAAACCCACCCGTTGCCAAGCGTGCACATGCATATATATATATCTAACCCCCCTCGCCAGCATCGACAAGGAGACATTCGACACCTCCCAGCTCGTCAACGTCAACGGGGCCTTCTACGCGTGCCAGGCGGCCGCGCGGCAGATGGTGGCGCAGGGAAAAGGCGGCTCCATCATCGGCATCTCGTCCATCAGCGCGCTGGTCGGCGGCGGGCAGCAGGTCCACTACACGCCGACCAAGGCGGCGCTGCTGTCCATGACGCAGTCGATGGCCATCGCGCTGGCCAAGGACAGGATCAGGGTCAACGCCCTGCTGCCGGGGACGATCCACACGCAGCTGGCGGACCGCGACATGGCCGACCCGGGGAAGCGGCGCTACCTGGAGCAGCGCATCCCGTGGGGCCGCGTCGGGAGGCCCGAGGACCTGGCCGGGCCGGCGGTGTTCCTCGGGTCGGAGAAGCTGAGCGGGTTTGTCACTGGGGCGCAGTTACTTGTGGATGGGGGGATGTACGTGCATCTTCAGTGAGGGGGTGCGTGGTCTGGATGCCTGCTAGGAATGGGATTGGGTGAGGGGGCATGGCCGATTCGATGCGGTCGTTTTGCTCATGCCTCCTTTTTACCGGGGGCAGGCCGGTGAGAGGTAGAGATTCAGGCTGCCAGGACGGATTCGGGGAGGGCCACGACACACCCTATTATCATATCCTCTTTGACTCCGAGGAGGACTCCAAGGTCGCATGTAACGTATCTGTAAAGCCCGCAGAACTTCCAGTCTTGTCGACATGACTGTAGATGCATCAAACTTGCTGCGTTATGAGCACGTGTATTGGTCGAGGGCTGTCCTGGGCACAACAAAGCCCGTCTGTCACCCGCTTGCTCTTGTGGCCACACTGCCTGGACAAGGCTCGATGGACCGCGAAGCTGTCATGGACGTGCACACGGTTGACACAAGTCAGGGGGGCAACTCTACTTCCTAGGATGTGCGATATACCCACAATTTGTTTGCCAGTACTATAAGGGTATAAGACGGCCACAAGATCGTACAGAGGTAGTCAGTGGGCGTGCCACACCGGGCAACTACACGCCTCGACCAAGGACAACACCCGAGACCGAACAACCTTGGGAACAGCCAAAGATGTAGAAAGTCATGGAAACATCATCCCACCATCCATTCATCAAGAACCACCCCACCCACTCACATAACAGCACACCCACCCCCCAACCACCTCGTCTCAAGCGCCCTGATCCGCTCGTTAAGCGCCCACAGCATCCTCATTCAACCGGCGCTCATTAGGAAGCGTCCGCTCCAGCTCGCCCATGCGGCCGCGGTAGTGGCTCCGCACGGCCTCGACGACAGCGCCGCCCTGCTCGGCCGACGAGCGCACCACGCCCTCCACCTCGGCCAGCTCGCGGTGGTGCTCCTCCCTGAGCCGTGGCGCCAGCTCCAGCGCGACCTCGCGGCCCGCCGCCGTCTCGCGCAGCGGGAGGCCGTCGCGTCCCAGCCCACCTCCTCCTGCAGCTGCAGGTAGAACGGCGCCGTGCCGCGCGCCACCGCCGCGGCCACGACCTCGCGCGGGGACCCGGGGCCGTCGAGGCACCCATTGCCAGCAGGAGGGCCCAGATGCGCGCCCTCCTCGGCGCCGGCGCGGTCCCACATGGTCCTGGCGAGGGTCACGTCCGCCAGGTTCGCCTCACCCGTGATGCGGCGGAGCATGTCGAGGCTGCGGGCCGTGTTGGTGCGTCACGCGCGTGTCCGAGATGGGGTGCAGGTAGATGATGCCCGTCAGCTTCGCCTCCTGCCTGTGCGCCGCGGCCAGGTGGTCGGCGATCATCTGCAGGACCTCCGTGTCGGAGAGCCTGGTGTCTGAGAAGCCCGGCGTGTCGACGAGGCGCACCGTCTGGCCGTCTGTCTTGGCCTCGGCGACCTGGATCTCGCGGGTGCCTGGGGGCATGATGGCTTATCAGTATGGCTGTGGGGTGGCCGTCTTGGGTGCTTGGGCTTTTGGGGGGGGGGGGCTTGGGGCTGGCAGGGGACAACCGACAGGATGTGAGGTCGTGTCCGATTTGCAGATCGGTGCGGCCGGTGACCTTTGATATGAACGTGGTCTTGCCAGAGCCCGTCATCATGGGCGAGTGTCAGCTGCGCATCTCTGGTATTTTCTTTTGGTGAGAAGGGGGTCCACTCCATGACTGTGATCAAAGCATCCTTTCTCACGAGTTTCTGGTACATGGACTTGGTGTATTTCGACCCATCGCTAATCATATTACCGCCTCGCTCGCCCTTGGCACTCTGCGGGCCGCCGCAGAAGTCCTCTGTGGACGGCCCTGATAGCTGCTGGATGGCCTGTGCGACGGGATGGTCTGGAGAGCAGGTCTGAGAAGCTTGGGGCTCTTCACTTGACCCGCTGGACTGCCCAGGCAACTGCTGGGCGACGCATCCGAAGGCGAGGTCTTCAGAACAATTCCGCGGGATTTAGAGCTCATCATCTAACCCTGCGAGGCGCTCCGAGCCGGCTGTGTCGCTGGGAGGGAAGCTCTCCTGCTCCTCGAAGAAGGCTGTGTCGCTGGAAAGGAAGCTAATGGGCTCCTCGAGGAACGGATCGCTGAAGTCACTGACACTGACGGTATCATGGTTGTGGATGACGTCGAAGTCGTCGAACCAGTCGCCCGATGGATCTGGGGCGTCGCTCAGTCTTGCCACGGCCGATGAGCGCGGTGATTTTTGGAAAGATGTGAATGTTTGAGGCAGAGCTGTGTGTCATCCTTGGTTTGCGACGGGCATCTGATGTACATATGGGTGGAAGGCTGGCCACTAGACGGCCCAAAAGCTGGTGGCAAGGACGGCGCGTCGTCTAAGAGACTGCATCATTGACGTGGCCACACTTTGCCAGTTCAAAAGTGCCTCAGGCTGCATCATTCCTGCATGATTTTGCTTGGCTGGAGTATCTCAACGGCGTCATGTTTAGCAACAGGAAGAGTAGGCAAGCAGGGAATTTAATTGCTCCTTGTCATTGACAGGCAGGTACCTTCCCAAATGAGGACCAGGCAACCATATTTCGCCAGCTTTTGTTTGAAAAGTACGCAGCCAGACATGGAAATGGCATGTTGCTGTTCTTTGAGTCTCCAAGATAGGCTTGTCAAGTCTTTACACAGTCACGTTTAGAAAATGCTAGCATGCTCATTGAATCCCAAATCTTGTTCACTTACACATGAGCTCTCCATCCATCGTCACAAATGTATGTATCTGGGATCCCAGACCTCGGACACAGAAACATGTTCAAATGTTCGACGAGCCGCCCTTTTGCTGCACGTCAACCAAGATCTTGCAGTGCTGCTGCCCAGGCTTGGACAGGACCTTGATCCCCTTCTCAACCAGGTCCCCCATCTCGATCTTGCCAGTGACCATCGGCGCGGGGTCCATCCTCCCACTGCCCAGCGCCTCAATGACCTCCTCATAGTCCTCGTCCCGGTAGGAGAGGGAGCTCACCAGCGTCGCCTCCTTGTACACGTACATGTTGAGGTCGACCTCGGGCACCGGCGCCGCGCGGACCGCGACGTTGACGATAGTCCCCCGCGGCCGCAGCGCCGCCAGCGCCGTGCCCAGCGTGACCGGGAGCCCGGCGCACTCAAACACAGCGTGCGCGCCGCGCGCCCCGCCCGACAGCTCCATCACAGCGGCCACGACGTCGTCGCCGGCGGGCGAGAGGACCCGCCCCGGCTCCGCCCCGAGCGCAACCAACATCTCGCGCCTCGCGGGCGTGGGCTCGCTGACGACGATCTTGGTCAGCCCCTGCGCGCGGAGGGCGAGGAACACGGCGCACCCGATGGGCCCGCCGCCGAGCACGAGCGCCGTCGAGTCGGGGGTCAGGCCGCGCGCGAGGCGGGTCGCGTGCCACGCGACCGACAGCGGCTCGACGAGCGCCGCGAGCTCGGGCGCCGTGCCGGGGGGCAGGCGGAAGACGGTCTTGGCCTCGACGACGGCGGCCTCGGCGAGCCCGCCGTTGGCGTGGATGCCCCGCCACCCCCACGCCTGGCAGACATTGGTGTGGCCCGCCGCGCAGGCCTCGCAGGTGCCGTCGTAGAGCGAGGGCCGCACCGCCACGAGGTCGCCGACGCGGGCCCGAGTGCCAGCGCCCTCGCCGACCTCCGTCACGACGCCGCCGAACTCGTGGCCGAAGACGACGGGCATCTTCTCGTCCTTTGTCAGCGGGTGGGCAAAGTCGGGCTTTGTGGAGACGGCCTCGTCGTAGTACAGGTGGCTAGGTTGGCCGGGGCTCGGGATTAGCTCATGATGATTTGATAGGTGATATTGAACATGGTCTGGGCTGGCGTAATTACATGTCGCTGCCGCAGATCCCCACAAAGTTTGGCTTGATCTTGACGCAGCCTGGCCGGCACTCTGGCTCGGGGATGTCCTCCAGGCGGATATCCTCAATGCCGTAGTATCGGAGGGCACGCATGATGTCGAGACTGGCTTGTGAGGATGAGTCTGCTTCTGAAATGAGTTTAGTCTGTGAACACGGAGGAGCAGGAAGTCATCGGGAGATGGGCCAAAAGTTACAATGAAACCTGAATCGATGTGGAAGATATAGTTGAGAACGGAGCTTATGAATGAATGCGAGGGCCTCTTCCGAGTCACGTATTCCGAGGTCCTCTACAAAGTAACCAACCAACCGCATGCATGGAGGCTTCGGATCGCTCACCGTGCGGGGTCCGCTTTAGTCCCGCGACTCCATCCTCATTGCGCAGGCCGAGGCTCTTTATTCGGCCAGATTATGGGGCTTATGCGTTGAGGGGTACAGACTCAAGCCAGTATTGCCGGTCTAAGGTTTCTCAATTCCTCGGCAGTGTTGTGTAAATGTGTCAAACAGCCGAAGACCACGTGCAACTTCCAAGGTTGTCTAGTTAATAAAGCACGCGTTAAGAAAATGCTCTGGGCAGTCACACACATAGCTGAGCAGATATGCGAGTAGGGAGGCTCATACTTACACTTCTTGTCGGATCGACACCCGTGGTTGACCAAATTCCCTGGCCAAAGGCTCACACCTTTACTGCCATCGCAGTTGCCCATGACGCAGGTGCCGAATGCATCTTCGTGGCCAACCATTCCCATCAGGTTGACATATTCCGTCCATTCCATCTCATTATTTGACCCCCGTCTGCGAGATGCGTGCGAGGAGGCAAGATGTGGCTGTCTGCTTTCCATGAGGAAGCGTTAGGTATAACGGGCGGTGAGGGGCAACTGGGTGCTCGAGTTTGATCATCAAGCTCTTTCAGGGGGGCTTCTGTTTGAAGACAAAGCAACTCGGCGCTGACTGCTGCTGCAGCTTGGGATCGTGGCATCTTCGCAGGGCCCAACGAGTGCTTTCAAGAGGTGGCTTCTTGAGGTTGGAATGCAACTTGGAAGCACACTTTTTTGTTGGTCCGAGAGAAACTTGCTAGACTCTGGCGATGGATCTTGAACAACCCAAACCAAACCCCTTCTAGCAGTGCAGTGCTGGTACGGTGGACAGTCACTACTGACTTGCTGCCAGCCTACTCCCTTCTTCTTCATCCGGGCTTTCACAACTCAGCTCAGTCAAAAGCTCTTCCAGGCTTCCATTTCCCACCACAAACTCGATCTGTCATTCTACTCCATCGCTCTCCACCCTGCCACACTTCTCTTTGCCTCAAGGACCAGGACTGTGTGGCCCCTGTGCTTTGCCTCCACCAAGATCACCACTCCTATGCCTCATCAAAGTGCAACATGATGGGCTCGTCACATCCTGTACCTCTGCAGGCCCGCTTGCCAGACACCAGCAGCTACCCCACAACTAATCTGCAGGTGGAGATGCTGGCAGTGGTGTATCTGGTCTCAGCCCTTGCATACACCACCTACCTCCTGCGAATGTACACCAGGATCACCTCAAAGCAGCTGGGACTTGGTAAGCACTTCCGAGAAGACTGAGCCAAGTTTACCATCCCTGGTTCCGCCGCTAACCGCTTGCTGATCCACAGACGACTGGGTAATGACTGCTGCCGTGGTACGCTGACATCTGCCTCATCTGAAGTGTACCCTTTCTGACAAGCTGGCAGGGCTTTTCGATTCCGCTCGTCTGCCTCCAATTCTTCTGTACGATCCTCCCTCTCTCGCAACCTGTTCCAAAACTGTCACTCCCCAGACATGGACAGCTGCAAATATGAAACGACCTAACAGCTGCTCTCCAGACTACAAGTACAACTACTTCGGGGTCCCGGAGGCAGAACTGAAGCACAACAACCCCCACTTTGCAGGCCCACCTCTGTTCTTTACAAGGTGGCTGAACCAAGTGCTCTACGCCCCGATCCTCGGCTTGGTGAAGACCTCCACGCTGGTCTTGATGCTGCGGATTGCGGGTCACATGAGGGATTTCAGGCGGTCGATATACGTACGTCAGGAGCACTAACTATGCATTCTCAAACAACAACCTCATGCCAGCCAGGCCCTTCAGGGCCCAACGAGAAGCCCGGACAGGGTTGCTGCGCTTCCCAACTGACCTCCTCATAGGTCATCAACGCCGTCAACCTAGCCCTCACAATCTCCCAGTTCGTCGGCATCATCTTCGACAGGATCCCAGTGGCGGCATACTGGGACTCAAAGCTCCCCACCCAGCACCAAGTCGACACCGCGGCCTTCATGACGGCAACGTCGACCCTGACGGTCCTGACCGACTTCCTGGTGCTCGCCGTCCCGTTCGGCATCTTCGTCCGGTCCCAGCTCCCCAGGGCGACGAGGTGCGGCGTCATCCTGATCTTCATGACCAGCGGCCTGTCAGTACCCCATCTACCTACCACCAGTTCCTCACGCTTTTCCTTTTCGCTCCCCAGGGTGGCGGTCATCGATTATTACTGACAGCCAACCCAACCCCACAGGGTCACAATCATGGGGATAATCCGCCTCTGCGTCCTCGTCGACGCCTACTACGAGCCCCGGGTCGGCGGCTACATGGACTCGTGGGGGCCCTGCCTCAACACGCTCGAGTCGAGCCTCGGCGTCATGACCGGCTGCCTGCCGACGCTGAGCCCGCTGCTGCGCGAGTGGTTCCCGCGCGCCTTCGGCGGCCTCTGGCGCGGCGGCACGGAGCAGAACGGGTTCCCCTCCCAGGGGGCAAGCAGGAACGGGAAGGGGAGGGCGGCGGCTGGTGGCGGCGGTGGTGGTGTCGTCGCGCTGTCGGACTTTAGCCGCCGCCACCACAACCCCCGCTCCGTGAGCGGGTCGACCACCGAGAGCCAGCGGGGGTTGTTCGGGCATTCTGGGATTAGGAGGACGACTGATGTGAGCAGTCCTTCTTCTTTGTTATGGGATTCACACAAACCTGAGGGCGGTGGATGCTGACTGACTGCCTGCAGATCCACATCGCGTACTCCAGCACGTCTCTCACGGACCAGCACCCCGGCAGGGCTGGCAGCGCCGGCGAGGCATCGTCGCCTGCACTCTTGGATCCGGCCATGGTGCACGTGTGGCCTGATCCTCGCTCGTGAAAAAACACAAGCTGTGCCGTCGATTCATAAATCTTGGGGTTGCGAGCCCCTTCGCTACGGGGAGGAAGAAGTTGTTCCAGTGGCAAGGAGTGGGAGAACGGTGAGGGTTTTGGGGTCAAATGGGTGATGTAATTGGTGCCGGGAATAGGAAGTAGATCCTAATGAAAGCACCTTCAAGTCTTTTGGGGGAGGTCATCTGACGGAAGGACAAGACGGACGTTCGCATCCGCAAGCCCTATGTGGAGCACTTTCTTCTGTGCTAATAATCGAATTCGATCACGTAGAAATCATTGACTACGTCGCACTCGAGGATAAAATTCAGTAAATTAGAGCTGCTTCTGCCCACTTCGCTAATGCTCTACAACTTCTCAAATCGCCATCTCCACTCTCCTTCTTTTCCAAGTCTCCACCTGGGCGTGTCTCCTAGCTTTAAGGCGTGTTCTCGTAAGCCTCCGCCAGGAAGCCCAGTAAAGCGAGCCTCATCTGGTTGGACTGAGCAAAAGGGTAGACATCAATCTCGACGTAGTTGTTCACTTGAGGGGGGACAGCTGCCCCGGGCGGCACGGTATGGTCCAGCTCAGGGAAGTAAAAGCAGATCAAGTGGTCGTAGTCAAACATGGCCACGTATCTCGTGCTTTTCTTGATGGCGTATGCCGACGCCTGTTTTATGAGGTGCAACGAGCCCCCTTCGAAGGCCGATATGGGTCGTGGGACCCCCGGGGGAGTGAGGCTTGTCAGAATTGCAGCGAGATCGGCCGCGGCGGTTGCGGCCGCCGGGTTGTAGGGTCTCACGGCCGCGTTGAGCCGAGAACTTGCAATAATAGTTCGCCTCTTGTACTCGAAGACAGCAAAGGGGCGGGGCTCCGGCTGGGCGGCTCTGAGGAATGTCATGTCCGTCCGCACGCCTCTTGTCTTGTTGTCTTCACACTGCGAGCTGAGGGTGCCGTTAAGCATGGAGTGGGTGTTGAGAGCCTGGGATACGGGGTGGATCAGATATAGTGCCGAGGTTCGTACAATATCTGCCTCGTTCCGGTGCTGTATGGGTTGCTCCTTGTTGTATATGCGCTCATTGAGGAATGCAGTCCACAAGGGAACAGTGCTTGCGTTCTGAAGATTGTTTAGAAAGACTTGCCCAACCGCGGACCAGCGATTGGCTTGCGTACGCCGAACCGCAAAATTAGGTGATGTCGTATTCTTGGATTCTGTGCCACCCTCAGAAGCCTTGTGGACGGTACCATTGTAGCGGTAAGTCGGCAGAGGATCGTTGAAAGACTGTAAAAGGGAGCGAGGTGCCAACGCAGCAGCCATACTGAAAGGGACAATTTGGACGGGATAAAAAAGGCTATGAAAACTGTAGAAGACTTGGAGATGATGTTTCTTTCCATGGAGAACTCGGAGCGCGTGTTCTGTTGATATTTGAATCTATAGACAGCCCGAGGGTGAACCTGCTCAATAATCGTACCAGCCAACTTTGCTATTAATATCTTGCTGTTGGTGTCTTGAGACAGGTCGATATTCTGGCCTACACCAGGTCCACCCCACAGCAACTGGGCCGCGGGCGCCGTCGGTTGGCGACATGGCCGCCCCCACACTAGAGTTCCTGTACTGCAGCCTAAAATAAAATAAAGACTGGAACTTGACATGGTACTAAACAGTATATGCATCTAAACCCTAGTGGTTAATTTTCATTCAATCGTTGGCTGACTGCATGCAACGAAACTTACTAAAAAAAAGAAGCCAACACAACGTCTTGCATCACCAGCAAAAGGGACATCTTTTTTGTCCCGTACCTAGGTAACAAACGCCCATCAAAATCTGCATTTGATTTTCTTTAGAAGCCAACTTCAAATTCTCCGACTCTATCTACGCGCATAGTAGCGCTACAGTTTACAAGCATCATCACCATGTCGTACACCGAGAGCTCCCAACCCCAGCCGACCTTTGAAGACATGTTTAGGCCATGGTCGCCCGCGGATGATCCAGACAAGCCGCCGTTCCCATATATCACCGGCTTCACCGCGCAAATTGACCGCCACTCAGCCCCTCCGCCGTTCGGCCAGCCCCATTATGGCCCTGGTCCGAGGCCAGGCCACTCATCGCGGTACCTGCACGACGTTCCTCAAAGCGAGCTGGTCGTCGACCACCCCCCTCTCGACACGCCGCCGCCGCCGCCTGAGACCGCACGGCTGACCGTCCACGCGCCCATGTCCGTGGGCTGCCACCGCGGCGCCCAGGTTGTTGCGTGCTCTGTCACGCCCCACGGGGGAGGCGAGCCGTTCCAGGCGGTCGCAAAGATCTATGATGCCCTGTATTACAGGTTCACCGAGTCGTACGCCGACGCACCCCGTGATGTAGTGCGGGAAGCCGACGGGGACTACAGCCGCGAGGCCGCCGCCTACGAGCATCTCCAGGCTACGGGACAGACTGGCTCCTTTGCCCCCGCCTACTACGGCTCGTGGACACTTAACCTTCCCATCACCAGCAGAGGCAAGGCCTATCTCAGGCCGGTCCGCTTGATCCTGATCGAGCGACTCGATGGGCCCTCTATTAAAGACAGCCTTATATATAACGGATCGGGAAATGCGGACAAGGACGCGTTTCACTATCCGCTTGAGTATAGGCTGGAGATCCTAGCGCTGGCTATGGATGGCTATGTCAGGCAGCAACACTCCGGGATCGACCAGTGGGACTTTGCCGGGCGCAACGTCATCCTCGCCCCAAGGCTACCCTCGAACGAGCCTGCTGTTGTTGTTGCGGGAATGTCTCTGCCACGCGTTGTGCTTATCGACTACAATACGGCCGCTGTGTACCCACTGACCGAGATGGGAAGACCCCCTCTTATGGACTGGCCACGGCCCTGGAATCCAATGACTCACTTCTGGGGCTTGCCTATGAATGACTTTTGGGGGTGGGTCCCTCATGAATGGCATGATAATCAAAAGTTTATCCAGGAGTGGCTCCTGTCAAGGTTCGGCACCGAAGAAAAGCGGAAGCTGTACGCCCCGGTGGAAAGAGAGATGGTCATCATAGACGATGACCTGCCCCTGCATTAGTGATTTTGGGAGAAGCCGCGAATACGTTGATGTCGTTTGTACTAGGTTGTTGGTTGGTTAAGAAAGAGAAGCAGCAGTGGATCACCTGCTCAGATGGACTGGCTGGGTATTCTGAGGTCAAAATAGGTATGGATGCCTTAAAATGCATATGCTGCCATAGTGATGCTAGGCAGGGCTTCAGAAAAGATGGCATGTAGAACATAATACGAGCCAAATTGGCCACACAAAGTCTACTCCCAAACAGGGGCGTCAGTTGGACTGATCGGCTGCTTGAGTTCTTCTACGATCCACTCGAGCACTACAAGACTTACCGTAATTACCTGAATGGGCAATAGAGGACGGTGTGAATTTGCACATTGCCGTGTAGATAGAATGCATCCTTTGATCTAGGTCAGAGATTGAGGAGTGACGCTTCAATTTCGTACAACACTACATTTTCTTTGTGCACAACATGACTTCGAGCATCATTTTCTTCTATGTGCATACTTAGGTAACCGTCACGGCCTTGGTCCGAATCATTCTGGGGCTGTTGTCTCAAGGCTACGATTTCGGGAGGCCACCAGGAAGGCCTAGTGTCCACAACCCTGAAGTGGAGTTTATGTACAGGATGAGGGCCAACATTGAAATCTGAGACACGAGTCGTGCATGTGGCCCCACGAGTATTATTTTCAGCTGTCCCTAATTCAGATGTTGGCGGTCGCGGCCAGGTGGCGTATCTTTCAGCCTTCCTGGGCCCTAGAAAATGCGGCCTCCATAAGCGGCCTGCTTCAACGCGGCCCGGGTGGGACTCTCATTCCACTGCCCATCAGTACACGTTCAAGTACTCATCAAGTACAATTGCTTCACTACTTGCGGCTTCCCCTTATATATTTGATGGTCTGCATGCATTCGGCAACGGCAGTAAGGAGCAGTCTATCAACACATTCTCCTGTTTCCCAAACTATCATAGTGCACATTGTCGATCTTGACATTTCCAGAACAGAATCGTTTTTGACCCAACACAACTATCTCAACTGATCTACAATGGCTCCCAAGCCCGACCCCTCAGTAGTGAAGACACCCTCAACCTCGACTGGGGCCAAGACAACTTCAGCATCCACCGGGACCAAGGCAGCCTCAATGCCGTCCAACACCAAGACACCCTCAGCTCCCTCCGCTGCCAAGGCATCATCCACCACTGCCAATCTTCCCATGAGGAAGGGCAACCCCGGCACCAGCACTACAGCCACCAAACCGCTCGGCTCGGCCGCCCTCAACACAAACGGTGCCGCGCCCGCTCGGCCCGGCTCCTGCAGCGTGTGCAATGGGACCAAAAAGAAGGTGTTCGTCGACTACGAGCCCGTCCTCCCTATGACTCCGGAAGCTGGGTTCCGCTTGGCCCCGAAGAACGTCGTCCTGTTCCCGAAGGCAGCTGCACAGAAAAAGTGACGCCGAGCTCGCAGGGTATCCGGTCACGAGTTGGCGCTGGAGAATAGTTTCTTGCTGAAAGATGGTGCTTGTATAGAGCAGTATGTGTGGGTGGTAAAAGCGCGCATAGATAGCCGGCTGGGTAGCATCCGCATATACCTGGGGGTGCTTGAATCCAGTTTGCAGGTTCAAATCTATGATATGACGAGATCTCATATGTTTTGCATACTGAAAAGTAAAGAACTTTGGTGACCATCCTGTTTCCAATACGCCTAGTTCGTGTGTTAGATTTATTTACTATAGTATACTTAGGTAAGCCACTAGGCAACCGCCCGCCCGGCTAGCCCTACAAACCCTACGAGAATTTTCGCAGCGCCTGCCACGAGACCTCCTATCAACAACATCCACCCACCCTTTCAGACTACAGTACTCCGTACACATCGTCACCATTGCATGCGCTGATCAGTAGGTACAGGTACAATGCACAGTTAAGGGCAGGTGCTGGGGCTGGTGGCATGGTTCCTGCAGGGTACCCCTGCAGAGCCCCTTATCAATAAGCCCCTCTACCTACACCTTCTGCCGAAGGGCTGCGGAGGGGCACTTTTTCCCTTTCTTTTAGGGTTATAAATTTATTCCTTAGTTTTTTAGTTTAATTAAATTAGTCTTTAATTTATTAGTATTTAAGTAAATTATAATTAAAAAAAATAGTTTTTAATTATTTAGTTATATTAAGTAATTAAAATTAAAAAATTAAAACTAAATTAAAAAAAAATTAAAAAATTAAAAAATAAATAGAGTTTTTTTAATAATAAATAAATTTTTTTTTAATTTAATAATTTATAGATTATTATAAGAATTAAATATAGACTTATAATTTATATATTTATTAAAATTATTTATAAGAATTATAAAGTTAATTTATTTAATTATATTATATATATTAATTATTTAATAATTATATATATTTTTAATTTTATAAACAATAAATTAAAAATAATTTATAATTTATTTAAGTTTCTATTTTTCTTTCTTTCTTATTTTTAATTTAATTATTATTATTAATTATTTTATAATTAAATTAATATAAATTTATAAATTATAAAAAAGTATATTAAATATATTTTCTTTATATTTTATTAATAAATTTCTTAAAAATCCATTAAATAGTATAATAATTATATTTTTAAATTATATATAATAATTTTATAAATATATTTAAATTATTATTTTTAAAAATTTAAAACTCTTTAAAATTTTTATATATAAATAAAAATATTTAATAAATAAATATAATATTTAAAGAATAAAATTTATATTTTAAAATTAATAATTTAAATAGAATATTTTAATAAATTAAATTAATATAATATTTTATAAATAAAAAGATTTATTAATATTTTAAATTAAATATAATATAATAATATTTATATATAAAAATTATTTTAAAATTAATAGAAATATTTAAAAATATATAATATATTTTAATACCTAATATTTTAAAAATTTTATTTTAAGTTTAAATTATTTAATTTAAATTCTTAACTATTTAATTTAGACTCTTAAATATTTAATTTAAACCCTTAATTATTTTATTTAAACTTTTAATTATTTAATTTAAAATTTTAATTAAATAGTTTAAGTTTTTAATTATTTAATTTAAGTCTTTATTTTTAAATTTAGTTTTTAATAATATAACTTTAATATTTAATTATTTAATAAAATAATTTAAATATTTATAAAATATAATAATAATATAATTATATATAAAAGTTTATTTAAAATTAAAAATATTTATAAAATATTTTATTATTATTTTTAAAATAATAAATTAATTTTATTATTTTAAAAGAAATTTAAATATAAAATATTTATATATTATAAATATAATATTATAAAATATATTATTATATTCTAATATTATTATATAATATTTTTATTATTATAAAAACTTATATATTTAAATAAATTATTTTTTAAATTTTATTAATAATAAAATTAAATTAATAAACTATTTATTATTAAAAATTTTAATAAATTATTTATAATAAATAAATTTTAATTATTAAAATATTAAATAAAAAGTTTAATTATTTAAATATTCTTTTATATTTATAATTCTTTTCTTTTTAATTTTTCTTATTTTTATTTTTATATAAACTTTTATTATTTCTATTATTATATAAAACCTTTATTTTATTAAAAGATTTATTTATTTATTTTAAATAAATATATTTTTTTAATTTTTTCTATTATAAAGTTTTTAATATTATTTTTAAAAATAATTTATAATTTATTTTAAAAATAAATATAATAATATTAATTATATATTACTTTTTTAAAAATATATATTTATATTTTTAAAATAATTTATTTATTTAAATTTTTTATTTATTAAAAATATAAATTAATAAATTTTAATATTTTATATTTAATAAAATATTTTATATTAATAAAAATAAAATTATATATAAATATTACTTTATAAATTTTATTTATATATAATTATATTTATATTAAATTATAATTAATTAAAATAATAAAAGTTATTTTTAAATTAATTTTTATAATAAAAATATATTTAATTATATTTTTTAGAAGTAATTTAATTATATAATTAATATATAAAATAGATCTTTTAATTTTATTTAAAAAATTAAATTTTTTATTTAATTTTTAATTAATTAATTTTTATAAATATTTTTATAAATATAAGAATAGTGGGCTGTAGTGGATTAGCTACTATAAGTAGAATTAGTGGGTTTGTGCTTATATATAGACTAGCTAGCTTAGTTAGTAGGTTTAGCTAACCTAACTAGGCGCTTTACTATCTAACTAGGTAAACCTTTAACTAATATAAATATATACTACTTTAATTACTTTTTATATATAAGTTAAGTTAATCAATACTAATTAGTTGCCTATTAGCTTTAAATAGTTAGGTAAGGATAGTTAATTACTTTAAAAGTAACTATACTAATATTATAAAGGTGATTAGTATTAATTTTAGTCTATTAATTAAAATTATAGTGATTATAATAACGATAATAGTGATAGTTAGCGTTAATTCCAATTTATTAGTTTGGAGCTATTAGAGGTATTATATATATCTATTACGTTTTAAGAAGAAGTTAGTAATTTTTAAAGACTTAGGATTTAGCTTCTTTTTTTATTAATAACCCCCTTTTTAGCTGTAAGTAATGCCTTAAGTTAGGTGCGATAATTTTTAAAGACTTAGGATTTATAACCTTTTTTTAATTATAATAAATAAGTAGGACCTTTTTATTAGGTAAGTCTTATAACTTTTATAATAACCCTCTTACTTTTTTATAATATATAAGAAGAAATGTAAGATTATAGATGCTTATAGTAACTTTTTTTAGTTAGGTAAATTCCTTTTATAATTAATAATTTAAGCCTATTTAATAAACCTTTAAACTAGTGATTAGTAGCCTACTAGTTTATTAAGCACTCTTGTTAACCTTTTAAGTACTCTTTAAGAGACCCTTAAGTATAAATAATAGCCTTATAGGCTAAGTAATTAACTATATAGATAAGGTGATAATATATTTATTATATAAGAACTATGCTTAGTACGCCTAATTAACTAAGTAACTAACTAAGCGACTAATTAAATGAACGACTAAATAACCCCTATCTAAACAACTGACTATAATTAACCCCCTATCCAAGCAACCATGCAGATAGTAATTCGTGCTTAAAGCAAGCCCTACTTTTTAATAGCTACTAGCTAGCTACTAGTTAAATGGTTTAATTAACTATATAAGTAAAAGAGAAGAAAAGAAGACCGCTAAAAGGACTAACTAGACTAATTAATAATTATAAATTAACTAATAATTAGTTATAGTTAGTAAATAACTAGTAATAGCTTAATAAGTAATTAGTAATTTAAATTTAATTTTACTTATTAAAGTAATTTAAATTTAAAT